TTTAGCGGCATGCATATATAGTAGGCAGATTGCATACTCGACAATCGGGTCAGTTCCGGAGGCAACGTCCAAAAATCCGAGGGAATCTATCTTCGAAGTAGATTTCGAAGATGATGCTTTACTAATGTTTAAATCTGCGAGTAGATGGGGAGGATCGATATTGCCCGACGAAGAGGATGGATAGAGGATCTTCTTCCAGTGCGAGCGAGTATCTGACATTTCTAACAACAGCAGGAGTTGAGAATAAGACAACCTTTATTTTTCGGGACGTTGGAAACTGGTCAACCGAAATATATAAAGCCAAATAAGGTCCAGCCCGGCCTCGGCCATTGGTCGTTAGCTTTGGCCACGCGTAACAAACATAAGTAGGCCAGATCTTTCGGGACCTAGGGCTGCATGCCTGATATCTGGAGTCAGCTATTATATGGCTCTGGATCGTGGACCACGGCTCCACCTGAGTTTGGCTGGAAGCCTACACTTGGTCTGGCTCCTTATCCTTTTTATGAATCACTAGATCTTCTGGAGGCTAGCACTGGTCACCTTCTATGAGATCTTGCCTCAGACAATAAATTGTCGGAAATATGAGTTTTTCTTAGCAGGCCAGAAAACGGCACCAGAAGGACGGAAAAGGCCTGGCAAGGCAATGCGTCCTTACAAGCTCGAACTTTGGAGTTGGCACCACCTCTGTCAAGCCTGCGTCAGCCTTCGGGAGCCCGGGGCATGGCTTCCTTATATTTCCGACACCTTAAACCCAGATCAAAGCACACTCAATGGAGACCGGCCTCAATATTACTTGTGCTACGCCACGTTCAATCCAATAGCTGATGACTGCATGTTTTCTCGCATCACTCGCCGTGATACAGGAATGGTGGCAATCCAAAGGCGCATAATTCGGCGCATCCCATTCCAAGAGTCAAGACGGTTTCTCAGGTACACAAGGAATGCCGAAGCGTGCTTGAAGCTGCCTCCTCTTTGATTAGCACTGTGATCAAACGCCCATACTACAACTAGATATGAGATTTCATTGACATGCTCCTGATACTGCTATGGCTCCTTCACTGGATCAAGCTAGCTCCTTCGGCATGGATGAATGACTTCAACGTCGTCGCATCCGGGATTATTTCCCTCGTGAATTCGACGCTACGCCCATTTCCTTCTGGATAAAAAGTGTTGAAGTACTGTGTAAGCGTAAGTATCTTTCGGTTAGCATAGGCACATGAACGCCGCACCTCCATATTCAGCCACAGTTCTTCGAAGTTGGGCTATGCCCTGCTCGCTTTCCACTGCGCATCGTCAACCTCGTTGATGGTCACTTTCTCCCCGAGTTCCGACTCGATGGTCTTGGCGATATCACGAGGAGTTGCCCACTCAGTAACAATCTTGAAATCCTTGCCTGATGCCTTATGAGTACGATGCCATCGAATGAAAGGAGAGATATGCACCGATCCATTGCTGAGGATTCTTGAAAGCGACGAGGGCAGCCTTGCCAATGTCGCCTGCAAAGATCATAGGAATTTGACCGTCTGTCTTGAATGGCACGTCGAGAATGACTGTTCCATCTGCACTGCGGTTGATTTTGATCATTTGAGGGAACCGAATATTCTCGAGGAAGAACGAAGTATACAGCCTGTTCCCAGAGGTGAATCACTGATGGTATGTGCTAAATAGATGCTTACGACGTGCGTGGAACTCCGCTCTCCTTGAGATAGTCGTCGACGTCGGCCTTGGTTTCAAAGTGGGTGACCTTGTAATCTGAGTGGTCGAGCGTCGTACAAACAAAGTGCTTAGTTCCACCTTTCTTAGCGGCGTCGACTAGGTCTTTTCCTTGCTTTTCTTCAGTATCAAAGGCCTGCCAGTCAATGAAAAGTTAGGCAACGGATTTGGGGTGATTGCTCAAGGATGCTTACAGTCGGTGACACCAAAGACACCGTATGCACCACTGAGACTATTGAATTGTTAGAGTGTTATCAAGTGTTGGCAAGGTACGTACGCAGCTTCGATACTTGCTGGCTCGGAAAGGTCACCCTTGACGACTTGAACACCTTTCGCCGCGAGAGCTAATAAGTATTAGAAAGATTAGGGCTATATAGCTCAGCATCATACCCTTGGCAGCATCGCTCTCTGGATTCCTTGTCACTGCGCGAGCAGCGAACTGACCGTCCTTGAGGATGGCATTGATCATGCCACCACCTGTTCTTCCAGTAGCGGTGAATACAACAATGATTTGTTTGGAAGACATTGGAGGGAGAGGATGATGGGAGAGTGGATTGATATCTGCTGTCTGGTGGAGGCAATTGGTCGTCTATTTATACATTTGAGTGCTGGTGCAAGTAATATATTGTCTGATAAATATGCCTGCTTGTCAGCTGCATGTCCCATACCGCGACTCTATTCAAGGCGTCTCCTAGAATATGATCGGTGAGGACATCAGATAGCTACTCTATGACGAGCTCTTTAAGTGATTTCAGGACGTATGTAAGGCATTTTTCAGTCATAAGTTGAAGGCTCTAACTCCGACATCGGATTTGTTCATACTACCTGTGACTGCACCATTCTGCACGGGCCAAGGCAAATTTTCCTCGTAGAATTAGTTGCAGATATGTCTGATGTGCCAAATGTCCGAAATTTACCAGCCCAAGCCTCGTCGGCGTCGGCCGCTGATGAGCACGACGCGTCGCATTCACCAGCAGGCCTTGAAGTTTCATATGCCTTCCAGCTAATGCGAAACTCAGGGAAAGATTGGAACCCCACAGAATAGTCTCCTTGTGCTGTCTGGTAGGGAGGGGCTAAAGACAATCTCTATCTCACGGGGGTCGTACTGTGAGGGGTTGTGAGGGGATCGTCCGGTTCGTATGGAAGATAATTTTTTCCCATGTTTTTTTTGGTTTGGTGTGTAGTGGTACCTCGACTTCTATAGTTTAGTCGGATTTTCAATCCAAACATCTAGATCAGGTCGTTGGTCCTGGGTAAATGCTCCGCCCTAGGTGGTTATACATCTAAGTGACACCTAGGTTTTTTTTTTTGGGTTATTAAAGGTTTAGTCACTTGTCCGTGAGATTGGGCCGCTCTATCATGTGGTGAGAACCTACTCGGTACCTCTCAAGGAGGCCAAGGGATGTTGTCGATCGCTCCGGGCCTGGAATCCCACTCCGAGAAAACGTATCAACGCTCAACAATGGTGCATGAAAGCTATAATTAGAAAGCTAAACTTGGAAGGGACGCATGCTCCTCGTGGGTCCCTCACTGCCGATGAGCGACCCTGCTTCTTGGAATCAACCACAACTCTTATCTCTTGTAAATGAAGGCTGGCCTCTCCTGGCTGCAAGCAGCCCTCCAAGGAACGATTTTTCTTTCTCAGCTGTTGCCTGTGGTCGCCCAGGTGCCCCTGCCGACGCCCGCATGGACTCCACCGCCTGCAAGTTCCGGCGCTGTCAGCAGCCCCAACGCCAATCGACCCAATAAACAGTGGTCAACTCTCCTCGGAGAACTTCTCTACTTTTATGATGCTCAGAGGAGCGGGAAACTTGTTTCCAACAGGGTAGACTGGCGTAACGACAGTTTAACGGATGACGGAAAGGGATATACCGATCTCTCTGGAGGATTCTACGATGCGGGAGGTAGGACTTCTTGTTGGATCTTCCTCCAAGATGTTCTGACCCATTGTTTGTACAGACTACATCAAGGCAACATTTCCTTTGGTCAGTTAAATAATCTCCATCTCTTTGCTCATGATTCTGACCATGAAATAGTCCTGGGCACTAACGTCTATTTGCTGGGGAGCACTCGAATTTGGCAATGGATACAAAGACGCCAATCAGACCGCCTATCTCGACTCCACTCTCCGCTGGGGACTCGACTGGTTGATAAAGGCGCATCCGGAAATGAATACGCTCTATGTGCTTGTTGGAGATGATCAAAAGGACAACAACTATTGGGGCGGCGACCAAAACATCCCATCGCCTCGTCCAGCATATCAGGTCAATGACACACACCCAGGCACAGATGTCGCCGCATCTGCATCTGCTGCTTTTTCTTCGTGTGCGCTCCTCTACGGCAATAAGACACTGTCGAGCTCCTCAACGCCCGCGGCACTCGTCAATACAACCTATGCCAAAACGCTGTTGACACATTCGCGACAGCTCCTCAACTTTGCCGTCAATTCGACGCACGGGATGAAGCAATATCAGGATTCCGTGCCGCAGATCCAGGATGCCTATCCGTCGTCGGGTTATTACGACGATCTCGCACTCGCGTCTATCTTTCTCGGAGCAGCAGATTCATCCCCGACACTTCTTCAGCTTGCCAAGACATATTGGGACAAAGGAAGTCTGTCCCATGGCGATATTGCTCTTGACTGGGACTCCAAAGTCGCAGCGATCCCGGTTCTCATGACCGAGGTATTAGCTTCTCAGTCTAGTTTGTCATCCGCCCAAGATGCCAATGCCTGGAAGTCTGCTGCGGAGAGTATTTTGGACCAGATAGTGGCAGCCAATGGACCAGGCTACCTCACTGGAGGAGGATTGTTATATTTCGACGGCAGCTCTGACAGTGCAAGTCTTAATCCTGCTTTAAACTCGGCTATGCTACTTGTCAAGTACGCGCCGCTCGCGTCGAAAAGCTCCAAGTCCAATGATTACCTGGTGAGTACTCGACGTTCCGATTCGAATTCGGTTGACACTATATTAGGCATTTGCCAAACTTCAGTTAGACTATGTCCTCGGAAACAATCCTATGAGCAGTATGTATTCGATCCCACCTGGTACCTTGCTGATGTCTGGTAGTGCCATATGTTGTTGGCGTCAATCCTAATTCCCCGCAGAACCCACACAGTGCTCCAGCTTCTGGTGGTTCTGATATTGGTAATATCAATTCATCACCACCCACGGAAGCCCACATCCTTTACGGCGCAGTGGTTGGTGGCCCAACCAAAGGCGACGAGTTTTGGGACGAGCGACGTGACTGGGTACAGACAGAGGTTGCGATCGACTATAACGCGCCACTCCTCACACTTGCGGCATGGAAAGTCGCGACGGACGGTAACGACCCGTTCTATACCCGCCTGCAGGATGGCGCGTACGCCGCAAACCGACCGCCTGGCACATCGCGTCCGTGCTCGAATCCTGACGTTCCTTGTGGATATGAATTCCCCTTCCCTCAAGACCGCCAGATTGTCGTTGGGGTCTTCCTGGGCCTGGGCGGTGCTATTGTGCTTGCGATGGCTGGTTGGTATGCGTATGAATGGAAAAAGGCATCAACCAAGGCTGCGTAAAGGGGCCTGTTGCTCCTTGTGCTCGCGACTATGGACGCTTCTACTATTATCCAGTAATTGTGCTATTATATCATGATAGAGCGTAGACGCATCATTGGTGCTATTGAATCATCGGAGAAGAGGCTGCGGCTTTTGTGAGTAGCCTGCTGAGTCGGCGTCTTTAGGACTTGGTTCCGACCATCTCGACCTTGGTCGTCCCACAAACACTATGGCCAGTACCTCGACCGAAAGCAAGACTTTGAGACCGCCAGGAAACTATCTCGCCATTGGTGCGTCCAGATTTGAGACCAGGACCCGTGCTCACGCCGTGCTGCCGATCTAGATGGCGGCATCAGCACGCTCTCTTCGCTCATCATCCTCGAAGAAATGTTTGAGCGGTTGAAGTTCGACCTTAACAGCTCAGAAGATCTTCGGCCAGCCCGATTTCTAGACGCTATCATCGGTACAGGTACCGGGGGGTTCGTTTGAACATAATCTATACATTTCGATGACTTATCTTCTTCTAGAATCGCGGCTATACTCTTAGGAAAGTTGGGCATGACCGCTACAGAGGCTATCGATGCCTACAGCACGCTAGAGGGCGCAATGGCGAGGACCAAGGCAACTAATGACAGCGAAAGAGCCTCGAACACTGCACGGTTCAGAGAAGCATTTGTGTCGATCCTTCGTGCCCACAAAATGGAAAACTTGTTCATGCATGACGAAAAGCCAAATACAGCGACGTGTAAGACGTATGTGATTTATTTAATCTTAATTCCAGTGCTCACACTTTACACAGAATTGTTTGCGCCATGAACAAAGCCAATATGGCTGGCTGTCATCTGATCAGATCGTAAGAGACTGGTTTCCAACCAGCTTATTTGATCGCTCATAGTCAACCAGTTATCAGTCTAGGGGATGACCTCCCAAAATGTAGCATCCTTGATGCTGCTTGTGCCAGTATCAATGATCCGGAGATGTATGATCCAGTTCTCCTTGGGGCAGGCCACAGCTCTGTAACATTGATCAATGCTATGATGGGTTATGCCAATCCCATCAAGGAGCTGATGAGAGAAACTCAGACTGCCCCATTTGGCGGAGAATTCGCAAATCTCGACGGTCATCAGCTTAGGAGCAGGGAAGCACGGACCGCTAGAGGCCAGTAGACTCAGCGATGCCATACGGAACATCGCTGCAGGCGCCGAGCGTACACACCAAGAAATGCAAGGACGCTTACGCGTGGAGGGCATCTACTTCCGCTTTAACGTTGACCAAGGCATTCAGCCTGATGACGATATCAGCACCGTGAACGGCAAAACACGAGCATATGTGGAGATACCCGACGTTAATAGCGCGATCGATAACTCCTTGACCTCCCTGCGACATCGAGAGGAGCGGCTGTCTGCGAAACAGATCAGTACGTATTTTGATCCTCGCTGGACCTGAGTCTGACCGCTGTCTAGATACAATCAAGGTGGTTGAAGTAGGCTTTAAGCCGCGACCGGCGCTGGTCCCAAACTTCATCGGCCGCGAGGACATCCTTCAAGGACTGCGCAGGACGCACATCTCTCCGCATACTCCAATGTCTCCAGGTACACCGACCCTCAGCGTATTATATGGTCTTGGTGGAAGCGGAAAAACTTCGATAGCGCTCCGATTCTGTTTGGATTTTGAGCAAGCGTGCGCCATTTGAGCACCCTAATTTTCGTTTACTCATCTCACGCAGGAACCCTGAGGCCCGCGTATACTTCCTCGACGCCCGTTCGGAGTCCAAGCTCACTGCAGACTTGGAAGCCATCGCTCGCTCGTGCGGGTCGAAGTTCAAAGGGAAAGGATGGAGGAATGCCCTTGAATACTTTGCCGGCCTACCACAATTCCTGATTATCATGGACAACGCCGACGATACGACACTTCGTATCTCTCAGTTTTTCCCACAATGCAGCCACGGCCACATCATCATCACCAGTCGTAATGCGACATATTCCCAGCTCGCCCGTACAAGCAACTGGGAAGTTCGAGACTTATCTCCGGAACAAGCCAGGGATCTGTTGCTGACAGACGCCGATTATGAAAAGACGGAGACCAATGTCGAAGACGCCAGTAAAATTGTCGAGGCTCTTGGATGCCTGCCGTTGGGTGTAGCGCATGCGGCAGCCTACATTCATACACACCGATGTCTCTCGACATATCTTCAGACCTATCAACAGAGCTCGAGGCAACTCCTTGCTTATACTCTGCCGCACGATTTGAATGAATCGGTTGCCACGACCATCAACATGTCACTGGAGAAACTCCCTCAGGAATCCAAGGATATCCTACGCATCCTATCCTTCTTCTCTGTATCATCTATCGCCCACTCTATCCTCATCGACGCCCACGAACACCAGTTTCAACGACGTTCGCAAAGTGGGAAGAAACATTCCAGCTCTGTTAGAGCGAGTGTGGTTCTATCCTCTTTGCTCTGTCCCAATGAAGTATGGTCGGAGTATGACATCAATGCTCGGCTATTGCCGTGTATACAGCACTCACTGCTTCGTACCGTGACAAGCGCAAACAATACGAAATTCTATTCCATGCACGTTCTAGTGCAGTCATATCTCCAAACGGATACATCCCCAATTCACAACATTTCCCCCGAATCCCTTGCCATACGTCTCTTGGATTCCTCCATCAAGTTCGGAGAGTGGCAGTCAGTGATGCAACCTCAACTATTACCACATGTCAAACTCGTACCAAAGGGCAAGACGCTCGATCCTGGCGCACATGGAGATTTCGCCAAAGTTCTTCAGCAAGCTGGCGAATACCAAGCAGCGCTGATACAAGTACAAATCGCGGTCAAAGGCTGGGAGAACAAACTCGGTGAAAGACATGGGCAGACGCTTGCCGCCATGCAGAACATGGCGTGCTTGCTCGATTTCTCGGGCCGTATCGAAGAGTCGCTTGAGCTGAATTGGAAAATTCTAGAGCTCAGGAAACGGCACTCTCCCCAAGATCACCCGAGTACTCTGCTTTGCATGAGCGCCATCTCGCAAGCACTCACAAATCTCGGAAGACATGAGGAGGCGGCCAAGATGGCCGAAGAGGCACTCGAGGCACAGAAAAAGGTCTTGGGATTAACCCATGCCGAGACTCTGATGACCATGACCCGTTTGGGGTGGACCTACGATAACCTTGGTCATCATACACGAGCTCTGGATATCAAGATGGAAGCGCTGGAGACGAGTAAGCGCATGTACAGCGAAGATCACATTGCGACGCTCAAGGCCATGGGAGGCGTCGGCATTTCCCTTTGCAAGCTTGGTCGCTTTGAGGACGCGTACAAGTTGCAAAAACGGATCGTCGACCTGCGGGAGAGGAAGCTCGAATCGATCACCCCGATACGATTTCGTCCATGAGCAACTTGAGCACGACTTTACTTGATATGGGCCGGCGCGAAGAAGCGCTTGAAATGTAGCAAAGTCGTGTCGCTCAGTAAGAAGCATCTGGGTGAAACCCACCCGCGAACTTTGAGAGCGAGCTATCAGCTCCTCTTTGCATATGACAAGTTTCGGATGGAGGACGAGATGCGCCGGTCGCTGGGACCTATATTGACGCTACACGAGAGTGTACATGGTCGTGATCATCGGCACACGATACAGATCCGTCGATGGGAGCAGAAAATGGCTGCGCGGAGCGCGGGACCGATTGACTAACACATCCATTGGACAAAATTATTTCGTGTCATTACTTATAAGTATCTACTTTATTTTTGAACGGTGTATGTATTATCTCCTTGCTGTCTTAATGGAGGTCTTTCTTTGCACAGTGATGTCAGTCGATGGCTAACCTCCACCGCGTCGTTGGCCATCGTTGATTGCCCCATCATCTATGCGCCGCACGGGAAGATTTGGACAGCAACCCATTTCTCTCCCGATACGAACTTCGACTCGACGGATATTGGCACTGTATTCAAAAGGATCTGAACATCACGTTCGAAATATGAGCCAGCAAGCTGAATCTGGACTTCTTTTGTACACTTGGGGTACTCCAAACGGCAAGAAGGTAAGAACCGCTGGCACCGTCCACTAGGCTAGGCTAATTCTGACGAAACGCATAGGTATCAGTCTATCTTGAGGAACTCAAGGCCGCATATGGGCTCAAATACTCGTATAAACCAATTGATATTACGACTAACATTCAGAAAGAGGACTGGTACATCAAGGTGAGCATTCGGGCGATGCCACTTATGTACGCATGGCAGGTTCATGCCAGTACCTAGATCAACCCGAACGGTCGAATTCCAGCACTGGTAGATTACAATCGTGGAGGGTTCAAGGTGTTTGAAAGTGCAGCCATCTTGCTGTACCTCGCGACGCCCTACGATACCGACCGCAAGTTTTGGTTCCCTGTGGGAAGTGACGATGAGAGTGAGGGTCTGCAATGGATATTCTTCTCAGTGAGTGTGAATCTTGATTTCTTGTGAGCCTTGATTCAACGGTTGTGTAGCATGGAGGGATCGGTCCCATGCAGGGTCAAGGTAAGAGCGGAATTCCAGACGAACTCCTCATTGACCTATTCTAGCCGATCATTTTGCAATATATGCCAAGGAAAAGATGTAAGTTATCCGCACTGAATGCCGAGTCGATGCTGACGTTTGGGAAGCCCATATGCGATTGAGCGTACGCTACACTGTCCATCTTCGACTATGCACGAGACTGAGTAAATTCTTAGGTTACGTCAACGAAACAAAGCGTTTATACTCGGTGCTCGAGATTCGTCTCAAAGACAGAGACTATCTGGCGGGTCCAGGACGTGGAACGTACTCTATCGCAGACATAAACTGCTTCCCATGGGTCGATATTCACGGCTTGATCGACATTAAGACGCTCGACGAATGGCCTGGTGTAAAGGCATGTATCTTTATTCGCCTCTGTCCAAGGCTGAGTGTTGATAGGCATGGATGGAACGCATCAAAGTGCGTCCTCAAGCACAGGCGGGACTCGCGATCCCCAAGAAAGAGTAACGTTTTCCGAGTCCCGGATTGAAGAATCAATAAATCAGTGATTCAATATACATCTGCAGAATAACTCATTGGTCCTGGCTCATAGCTCGTCCTTGCCTCGCCCTTTGCCAGTCTTGAATGCCTCCTGAAGCTCTGAACAAGGGTTAGCGAGTTGATGTGAAAAGAGAGAGAATGACGTACTCTTTCGCGTATCTTCTGATAATACGGTAGGTAGAACCACGTTGAATTCGACATAGAGATCACCGTGCCCGTGGCCCTCGTAGATGGGCATACCCTCATCCTTGACAACCATAGTGTATCCTGTAGGCTAATAAGTCTAAGGTGGGGGACGAGGGATCCTACTTGCCTGGTTGCGTGACTCCTGGTCTGGAAATTGTGACCTGATGGCCATCCAAGTGGGTAATATTTCTCTCAAAGCCAAGTAGGGCCTATAGCCTGTGAGAGCGGTTCATAGAACACGGAAGGTCGTACCTCGGCAACAGAAATGGTCTCCTTCCAGTAGAGTGACGACTCCTTTCTTCGCCATCCACCAGCCACCTTCTGTGTTCGGATACGCAAGACAACATCTCCAGCTTCCCACTCGGCCGATTGATCCCCCTCGCCCTCAAAGACGACTTCATGCCCCTCTGGCATGCCCTTTTCAACCTCGAGCGTATAATGACCCGTATGATCAATAACCTTTTCCCCATTACAATGCTTGCACGGACGTGCAATGACTTTGCCTTTACCACTACACTGTGGACACGTCGTCTGCGTTGTCGCGTACATGCCGGGGAAAATCTGCTGACGACCCGTCTTGACACCAGAGCCATTGCAGGTCGGACACGTCTTGATATCTCCGTCGGAATTGGCGCCCGTTCCACGGCAGTGGTCACAGAGAATCTTCTTCTTGATCATGAATTCGACGCTGTTGCCCGTGTACACGTCGGCGAGGTTGACTTCAAATTCGGACATCATCGTTGGTCCACGACGGACGGATTCGTGGTGTGGATGTCCGCCGCCGAAAAAGTTGGAAAAGACGTCGAAGGGGTTCGAGTGTTGGCCGCCTTCGTGTGCTTGTAGGCCTTCTTCACCGTGGCGGTCATATATTTGCCGTTTCTGCAGGCCATGTGTCAGAATTCGGAACGTCAAGGTGGGAATGATAGCGTACCTCAGGATCTGAGAGTGCCTCGTATGCTGTTTAGATTGTCAGTCGTTGCATTTATATGGATACGGATGCCAACGAACCCTGAGTAATCTCGACAAACTTTGCCTCTGCTCCTTCGTCCTTGTTCCTATCTGGATGAAACTTTCTGCTGAGGCGCTTGTATGCCTTCTTGATATCAGCATCCGAAGCGGAACGGTCCACTGCGATAAGAGATGTCGTTGCAGCGTTTTAAAGGGTCGATAGACGTGCATTAGCAAACTGAGTATACACAGACGGAGTATCTCAGACTCACAGTCCAGGATTTTGTAAAAGTTTCTTCCACCGAGGACGTAGAGAGCGCATGTGAGCAACACGAATAGCCTGCTGATTAAGATGACTGCCATGGTTGGGAATGAAAAGCTCTAAATGACACGGCCTAGAAGTGTGGGTGTGCCAGGTGGCGGGGAGACGAGTGCTGCACGGCGGAGAGTGCTGGGAGCGGTTTTAAGACGCGAACAAGAGAACGAGGGAATAATTAACAGAGCCTATGGGCGACAGCGCACCAAGAGACTTTTGTGGTTGGTAGCCAAATCTGAGGTCAACGTGGCACCCAGTCTGCATCTCCGACGACGGTTCAGAGATTTAGAATAACATTAGAAAGTATACTAAATCAACTCTGGAATATATTCTATTTATATGGATCCGCCGGGGGTTTAACAGTCTAACAGTCTAACAGATGTCACCCTTTGAACTCGACCTCGACTTTTGTCCTGAGTCTGGTGTGGGCGGCTGTATGCCGCGACAAAAGAAATCTCGCACAAATGAGCAATCTCGCTCAGCAGCTTCCCAGTGAGTCTCATAACATCCATTTCCAGGTTTGCCACCGACTTGTCCTTGCGAGTTTTGCACATTTTGTCTGCATCGCTGACGCGTTTGTACTCGAAAACAATCCACAGAATCATCAGTCCCGTCGCTCAGCGATTTCCGGACGCATTTGTGCACGAACCAATGGCCATGGACGACGTGCACTCGGCAGCTCATGCGAGCCTGACGAAATCTCCAGAGCCAGAAATACACAAACGACGACGATTACCCATACAAGACGACTCTACCATCGAGGATGCTTACAGAACTTCCCACCGCGGCGTAAGTTGAACAAAACAAAGCCTCCCAAGGCAAACCGATGCTAAACGTGTATGTAGCCGCCAGACTCTTTTACGACGACCACAACGCGTCCTCCACCAAGTTCGACTACAGGAGCAACCCCTCCTCCCGATTCGTTAAGAAAGGACACGCTTTTGACCATGGACGAGGACAAAGCCCCGGCGCGTGGGCCGTCAGCGATGTCCATGCCAATTCCTAGAACACCTCCACGCTCCAGCCACCTCTCGCTTCACGCTACCATATCTGTTGCAAAGTCCCCATCCCGCACTCAGTCCCTCCCTACTGTCTCACCAGAAAGACCAGCGCTTGCGGATGCGGCTGAAGAAGCCGGCGGTTCACTCCACCGTGTTAGTTCTGCCATGGCAAAGCGTTCTGCTGGGCCGTCATCGGGTCGAAAACCTCAACCGGTCTCACTGTCTAGTCCCAAGAAGCCGTCCCCGATCAAGACGCGGAAGAATACCATAGAGGAGAACGATGCAGACGACGAGGGTCCTAGTCAAGCATCCACAAATCCCATAAGCGCGACACAGTCGATGCCAGAACTCGGAGAGTCTCCTCAGCATAGGATATCTCCCATTACGCTCCTGCCCAAAGTCCTCCGTCACCAAAAGCCAACTCCACCGCAGCCCATCAACCACGAATCATCTACCCGTGGAGGTGACGACACACAGTCCTCTGCTTCTTCGCGCGAGTTTCGTACCTTGTCGCGGTATATGCGAGACGACGAAAACAAGGTTTCTCGTCCTCTCACACAGTTTATAGTCGGAGAGAATCCGCCTGGCATATTCATTCAATCGCAAACGCAAACGCAGACGCAGACGCAGTCACAGGTTGACCCCAGTCACGAGGCGGGCGAAAGCCTATCTCATGTTCCCAGGACGCTCGTCAGGGGTACGCCCTCTGAGACGTCGGAGACGTCGCAGCATGAGCGTGATTGGCGAGCGATCGAGCATGAAGAACTTGTCCCGACGCAGATCCTTGAGTCCACCCAAGAGCTCTTGCCGACGCAGGATGCTACAGAGTTTGTCGAAACAGCTCTGGTAGACACGCAGGATGGGGCGCCCATGTACGAAGCGTCGCCTAGCAAACCGATCAAGACACTCAACATTTCCCCGGTCAAGAAGCGAGGAGGATACTTTTCGTCGTCATCTGCACAGAGTATTCCTGGACTCTATCTACCTGGAGATGGCAAGAGTTCCGAGTCGCAGCAGTCGCAGCTCTCCGAGAAGAGTATCAATCAGCCCGCAGCGCCTCTTGCGATGCCTAGGGTGCTTGCTGTCACTGCATCAGGGACAACCACAGGGACTCCTTCGTTGCAAAAGGAAGGGCCAGCTTCGACTTTGCGCCGTAATCCTATCAAGTCTTCGCGTCCAGGAGGTTACAGAGCGACGTCTGGTTCACAGAACGACAATCTTCCCCAAAATCCAAAGTCATCCGTCAATCATCCAGTCTCCTCTGCCGCGAACGGCCACGTACCCAAGCGGAACCCATTGGCCAGACGAAAGACGCCTGTCGATCTGAGTCAGTTGCTACAGGGTTTGGAGCAGCGGGAGCGCGTAGTTGTACCATCCAGTGACCCTTTCATGCCTATAGAGGCGGACCAGTCGTCTTTACCCGAGGAGACGATGCCGGTGAGCTTCCCTGTGGGTGAACAGGAAGCCATCGACGAGCCTCAAATCGAACAAGAGGATGAAATACTGGCTGAACGTGATTCATCAGAGCCGGCAAAATCTGAGATTATGGAGACGGATGATGAGCCTCAAGCTAGGCACGCTCTTGATACTCCCAGGCCGCTGCCTAAACATCAAGAGCACACTGTTGCTGTCCAAGACCCAGCAGTAGGTCTCTCAATGGAATTTCTACTTTATATCTCACACTTCTCTGTAGCAATACAGGTCTGATACCGACACGGAGGAGCTTCCGCCTCGCTCGATATCAACAACGAAAACGCCCGTATCGAAACAGTCGTCCAAGACTATCTCTTCTAGCCCTTCCAAAGGCTCTTCAAAGGTGACTGCGAAGCAGGGCTCTCCAATAAAAAGACCCCACGGAGAGTCTGTCGTTGAGAGGGAGCTTAGTGATCAGACGAGCAGCCCCGACGACGATGAATCTGATTATGTCCCTCAAACTCAAACTCAGAAGGACGATCTGGAAGGCGAGGCGGTGGAATCCTATCCAGGCGAGGATGCATGGGATGAGTCACAATCTCCTCGACGTCCGGGAAAACGATCTGCGAACGAGCAAGGTGGTCGTAAAGGCAAGCGAATCTGCCGACGGACGGCCAGTCCCAAAGTCGGCGTTGACGACGTCGAAGGGGAAGAAACGCCAAAAGGAAAGCAGGAGCAGGCACCACCAAAGCCTGCGAAACCGCGACTCGATTTAGGCGCGATGATGATGCCTCCACCAGGTCGACGTGCGACTCGTGCTATGGCCAACACGCGTACTCGTGGTATTTCTCTCAATACTCCCATCGTCCATAGCGGACACCTGGTCATGGCACACTTTCCGGAGAGCAAGCGTTTCTTTCCTGGATATGCAGTTGCCCGTACGGGTGTAAAATGGCAGGTTAATCCTTGTGATGATTCCCCATCCGTCTTTGTGGAGCCCGGCTCTATGCGTCGCTGTGTGTTCCGAGAAGGAGACATTGTCACCATGACGCCAGATGGCAATGGAGAAAACTATGGTGATGCCATTGTCATCCTAGTGGACTCCAAATGGGATGAGGAGCTGGTGGTGAAGCTGCGCATTGGTGCGGATGACGATGTCGAGGAAAGATATGTTCATGTCAGGCACATTTCGGTCCAAGATCAGCACATTACAAAGCAATGGGACACACGCAAGGTTTCGCATCGGGACCTAGAGACAGAGGAACCGGTCGCCGAGTCTCCTGTGCCCATGTCCGCAATTGGAAGAACGGGATCATTGATCATTACTCCTCCCCTGAAGGCAACTGCTCCAAGCAGTTTCCGTGGGCAGCCTGGAATCTCTGGGAAGATGTTTGCTGGCGTCGGGTTCATCATCAGCAGTTTCGACCGCGACACAAAGTTTTTAACCGACAATGGTGGAATCATTTTCCCCTCGTGGTTAGACGCCTTTCGCTTTGATGGCGTGATCGAAAAGGTCAAAGGTGGCCCGACGCGGGCAAAACGATGGACTCGCGGGATGTCGACGGGCCGTGGTCGTAACAAGATGTCCCCATCTGCACCCGTGACGTGGATTGGTGGCGATTTTGACGTGACGGTACGGACGATGTTTGTCATCGCTGGGAAGTGCGCTATGACGCCAAAGTACCTTATGGCACTTGCGTTGGGTATACCTATCGTTTCACCCAAATGGCTTGATGAATGCAAGGAAACGGTGCGTGTTAGTTACCGAATTGACATCTGTATTGAGTAGGACATAGAGCTCTCGTGTCAACTGGCTTCTTATCTCCTCCCGGCTCACCCACAAAACAGTCCGCTCAGCATCGTGTCGAGCTTGCCTTACCAAACACCAGATCCACTCTGGGGGTCACCTATGTATGATGCCAGTATCCTTCAGAACCTTCTCGCGCATGGACCTTTGCATCATCGGCGTATTCTGGCGGACAAGCCGAGCGTTTTATTCGTCGCTGCGGACTGTATTACCAAGATCGAGGCGGATTTGGACGCCATCAAGAAAGATGCGTATGAAGTGAGTGTTTCAGGAGCTCAAGAGCGTCATACTGAACTAGCTGGTAGCGCCCGAAGGATCCGTCCTGCGAATTTCCCTTTGTCTATTGTTGTCTGGCCATGGGCGCCCAGCAAATTGAGGCAGTGGAAAAGTATGATCACGCAACTGATCCGACGCTACTCAAGTATAATGTCGTTGTCCTGGCTGACGAGCTACATGGGCCCAAAGCAAAGGAGAATATCCTGCTGGCCAGCCTGCCGAAGACGCTCGTCGAAGCGGCGAAGAGCGGTGTTCAAGTTCTCAATCAGACCGACTTTAAGATGAGCCTTGCCTGCGGCAAGCTGCTTACCGTCTCTCATCGTCCAAACCATCACGTTTCGGCCACTATCTAGTACCCCAATTCAAGTGTATCACGTCATCAACACAATCTTGCTATCCAACTGTTGCTCTTCACATCTAGCTTTTGTAGTCCCTCAAGCCTTTTGTTGTGCACGAGCCACTCGACATTAGAGCACACTTTTTTGCATAGTACAGCTCTAGATAGTCAACACTGTACCATATTCAAAAAGATTGAAGTAAATTCTGCTTCTTCGTTTACAACTTGGAGTTTCCCCTGGATGAGACTTGTACCAACCTGTGAACAATATCAGAGTAACTCAATGTTCGAGACGGGAGGAGTACTTACAGCTTTCCAGTATTCTTGCCTTCAAAGAGATGATTTAGGTATTGAGGAGCACCCTCGAGTCCCTTTTCTATGTGGAATCGGCGCTTGAGTTTGCCGGCCGCGAGCCACTCTGCGAGTTTCTGACGTGCTTCCCCGAAGCGGGCACCATAGTCCATGACGATGAAGCCTTGCATTTTAGCTCGTTGCCCGATTAGTGAGAGGTAGTTTTGAAGACCACGCGGTTTGGTGTCGTCTACGTATGCAGGTCAGCGGGTTCCTTCTGAACAAGTAGTTGCTCACTGTATGCAGAGATGGCGCCTGGTAGAGATTAGTATGAGGGATAGAACGGATGTAATTCGACTCACCGCACATTACAATCCGTGCATTCTTGTTCAAGCGCGAGAGGCATAGATCGAGGATTTCGCCACCAACTGTTCGAAATTCGGTCCTCTCGCCCATTGTTCGATTCGACCAAACTCACCATTGTCAAAGTAGACGTCGAGATAGCCAACGGATTGCTTAAATTCCTTTGCGAAATCTGGGCTCTTGTAGTTGAGTGCCTTGTCGACGCCGACTTCTTGCTCGAGCCACTGGCATTTGTCGTCCGAGCCGGCAATGGCAATGACCTTGGCACCGATAATCTTGCCAATCTGACATACGACGGAACCTGTCGCACCGGCTGCACCGGATACGACGAGGGTTTCGCCTGCCTTGATTTCGCCAATCTCAGTGAGGCCCTGATCGCGGGGTGAGTTTACTCGTTTGCATAAGATGATATTTGACGCACAAAGTATGCGGTAAGACCTGCACATGGCCGTCAGAATGCTGGAGCCGGGCAAGAGTAAAAAAAACGCACCGGTCATACCGAGAACACCCATAAAGTCGAGAGGAACGCCACCTGTTGGAGCTCTAAAGTGATATTTAGATTGCGTTTTGCAGGAGTATTGGGCCCATACTTGATGACTTGGAGAGATTTTGCGGGCAGTTTGGCTAGCTCGGTCCATCCTGTAATAACATAAGTAAATGTGGAGATAGGGCAAAACGTTATAGACTTACCTAGTCCCCCAGAGACAGAGTCTCCGACTTTAATGTCCGACACTTCACTGCCGACGGCGACGACAGTGCCCAAGCCGCCAGCACGCATGACCTCTCCGATTTCAACCTGGAGACCATCGTCAGTCTTGGATCCAAGATTAATGGAGTCTACGAACGGGAGCAATGTAGGATCGCTCATTCTTGAGCCAGCCGCGCATTGCAGGATCGAGCGAGACATAGTCGACCGAGACGAGGACATCGGTGGGACCCATTGAGGCCTTGAGGTCCCCAGACTTGAGCGTTTCTTTCTTGAACGTCTCAGACGTGACGGGACCCTCTGGACGTTTGTCCAAGACGAGGCGAGTATAAGTTTCTGGGATTCCCGTAGACATTGATGATGATGAAGATGTGGTCAAGTGAGCGTCACCGGTCGACCCTCCTTTTTACGTCGGTGGCGATCCCCACGACCGGCCAATGGATAGCCGGTGCCAGCGTGGTGCTCAGGTAGCCGAGCGAAAAATTCGCTCAGATCGTTAGTAAAATTGCTCACAATACAATGCGAGCGGGGCCGAAGGAACAAAGAGAGCATTCTCGAGTTTAGCCGCAGATGTTATCGTAGTCGGCGAATTGAGTGGCGCACAACTCTAATTCGTGAAGGTTACGCATCTGAAAAGCATATTAAAGTAGTGTTCTAGCCGGCTGGACTTTGCGGGTCGAGACGAAGTGACTTTGTATGGCCATTGGAGAACTTCGAAGGAAACCTAGGTCAGAATTAGCTCTATACAATCTCCTCGATAAATTTCCAACCTTTTCGATTGGGTTCTTGACCCGTGACCCATCCGACTTGTCTTGGCCTTGCTCCGCGACAACAATTTCCAGCCATTTGGTTGTGATCTTGATTTTTCATCGAATCTTACTGCGTGAGAGGCTCGAGAATACAACTAGGAGGCAATATAGATGTATGTCGGAAAGATGGACCCTGCCATACACGGGGTTCGAACTTTATCTCAAGCAGCTCCTTTTATCTCGGTGCAAGAGTGGAGACATGGGCCTCGAAAATTGCGAATCAAGTTCATATAGCCACATCTATGAGCGGCCACGGTGGACAAAATTGACTCGACTTATGGATTCGCGCACCCAGAACAAAGCAAGAGGCAGGATGGAGCGGGCTGGGACAGGATAAGGCGGGCTGGGGAGTGATGGGACGGGATAAGCGAATAATCTAGCGGGCGGTGATGGGCTAGGGCAGGCCAGGATGGGCTGACGGCTGACGGGACGGGCCAAGGTATCTAATCAAAAGTATACGTCTTATTCGCTTAACCTGCTAGAGCCTGGCCCGTCCTAGCCTGTCACCGTAAGTTCACAGGAGGGACAGGACGGGCTGGGACAGGACAAGGCGGGCATGGGTATGACCAGGACAAAGTAAGCTGCATCCGCTTATCCTACCCCATCACTCCCCAAGCTGTCCCAGTCCGTCCCATCCTAGCCTGTTCTGTTACTATCTAGATGTACTCAACAATTTACATGGAATGTCATTGCACCTCAATCCCAAGCTCTTCATGAATTAATGGAGTCTAGCGCCCAAGCTCGTTCTGAAGCACGTATGGGAGCCTTAGTGGCTTTGACAAGGGACATAGGACAATCCATACGAGTGCATAGTCATGATGCACAGCGTCTCAGAGTTCATTTTGCGCCAAATCGTCGACTATTTGAAGACATGAGGAGTGCCGCTACCTATTTGACACTCTCAACAAGTTACTTGAGCTCCTTCATCGGATGATCAGCAATGCAACCGACCAGCCGGACGCAACGGTCCCACTAGTTGATGTACTTGTCAAACATACCAAAGGGCGTCGAGGTCACCCAAGAATCGACATCCACCCTAGCTTCCTGCGGACTGCCTGCGAATTACGAACACCCTCCCAGATTGGGCCACCTTTGTTGAACTCAAGTGCTCGTACAGTAGCAAGACATGCCATTGGGCTAGGCATTCGACCTCAATAGCCACCAGTGTTCAGCTTTACAACCAATGTCAATTGTACTAGAATGCAAACTCGAACAAATGCGCGTAATAGTACGCACCTTCCTCGTCGAATCAATACCTGTGTTTCATCATCATGGCGATAGCGAGGGTGTTGATATCTAGGAACCACCTGAGCCGGTCCTGAATCTTGGATACTGTTCATTTGGTGGCTAGATGCAGCTAGTGTAGGTCCAACGTGTGATTTCTTGGCCCAAGTAACGAGATTCACACCGGTCGTATAGTACTTACTCTGCCTGACAAGTGCCAGGCAAAAGTGCAAACATTGTATGAGGATACAAAAACTGAAGGGCTCTCCGGGCGGACCCTGACCTTTATCTCCTTTTGGGCTCGACGATTTATCGCGAAATATACGTTATACATACAACTCGCGTGAGACCCCTTAGACGCTCGCAATGAACAGGGAGGGGGGTGTGAACGAAATAGGAGATTTCATCAGAGACCTAAATGACAAACAAAAGCAATCGTGCCATCTGGATCCAGGAGAAGACAGAGCACGCAGGCGGAGATTGTGAGGGGCACTAAGACTATAGGCCCGAGCCTTCAGTCCTCTTTCCCTTGATCTGCTGGAGCTCGCGCTCAGGTGCATAAGAGTAAGCTGTTCGACAAAAGAACGTAAAGTTTCAGCTGGTGATGCACTCACAATACTCAAGGAAGTAACGTCTCTCCTTGGAACAACAGATGCGTGCAAATTCAACGGATAACAAGTGGCATAAACGTCTCTGACGGATGAAACGGAACGCAGAGGCTCGTGTCAGTACATCCATAGTGATAGGGAGAACGCACTGGTTTACGTGCAGACATTTCAATTACTGTGTCTGGTAAAGGCTTGTGAGACCTTTCCCTCCACTTCATTACGGTCAGGGGATTTAATCATTGACGGCTAAATTTTACAATCACAATCATTCAGAATTAACCGACGCAGGCTGACGAACTTGTGGCGTGACGGGCTGGGACGGGCGGGAACCAGGATGATTATTTGTGAGCCCGCCTCAGCCCGCTCCATCCTGCCTCTTGCTTTGTTCTCAAGAATCTTGAATGATTTTTGTCCACCGTGGCCGCTCATACACATCGTCTGGTCTACAAAAGTGAAGAGTGGAGCTGGGATCAAAGAGCCATCAAGATTTCTTCACAGAGCGTAGTTAGTGACTGCATTAGACGGGGCAATCAAGCTCCAAGGTTTGATGCCTGACGAGTCGCGTCGAGTTGACGGCCGCGAGCTTGATATTCCCTACTTGCGAAGCTATTTAGGCGCTTCGCGGATCTAGGTAGCATTTACTGGCTTTATGAAATAGAAGTAAGCTGACAAAACCCTGGGTAGAGCAATCACGAAATCCATGGATAAATCCGACATCGGAGTTAAAGTATCCATGGCAGGCTGACGCATACCTCCTTGTTTACTCTCCGAATCTTATACCCCCATGGAATGAAGTGAGGTAATTCGAGGTTTCAACCAATCCGGTGATTCAGGACAAGGGACTCTGATTACCGCCGCGGTGTGTCATCGATGTATGGTATCGGACATGCGCCCTTCCAACAATCATTAATCAGAGTGTTGCTTGGCTAAGCCTTGGTACTACTCTAAGCATATAAAGGAGGTTGATTGTCGCCTTCTCTTTGGCCAACATCAATCTACTCGTCTCACATCTTTCAATCAATGTCTTCAAAGCAAGTCATCGTCGTCTTCACTGCTACTGGCAAAACTGGTGGCGGTATGATCGATGCCATCCTCAACGACGGTCAATTCGCCGCTCGCGCAGTGACAAGGAACCCAGAGAGCGATGCTGCTAAAGGTATGAGGCTTTTGCCTGTGACTTGGTTTTTCTAACTCTTATCCAGCCCTCGCTGCAAAGGGAGTTCAGGTTGTCAAGGGTGACCTTTCCGACCCCGCAAGTATTGAAGCTGCGTACGTACTTTGCCAACACCTTGATAACACTCTAACAATTCAATAGTCTCAGTGGTGCATACGGTGTCTTCGGTGTTACCGACTGTAAGCATACTTTTAGCAATCACCCCGAAGCCGTTAGCTAACTGTTCATAGACTGGCAGGCCTTTGGAAATGAAGAGAAGCAAGGAAAAGACCTCGTCGACGCTGCTAAGAGAGCTGGAATCAAGCACTTTGTTTGGACGACGCTCGACCATTCAGATCTCAAGGTCACCCACTTTGAAACCAAGGCCAACGTCGACGACTATCTCAAGGAGAGTGGAGTTCCACGCACATCGTAAGTACTCATTCGTCCCGTACCATCAGAGTGACTGACGTCTGGGGCTAGCCTGTACACTTCGTTCTTCCTCGAGAATCTTCGGTTCCCTCAAATGATCAAGATCAACCGCAGCGCAGATGGAACAGTCGTTTTCGATGTGCCGTTCAAGACGGACAGTCCACTTCCTATGATCTTCGCTGGCGACATTGGCAAGGCCGCACTCGTCGCATTCAAGAATCCTGAGCAATGGATCGGTACGTATTATCCCTCATTTTAATATTGCAATTCTGATAAGATACCAGGCAAGGATCTGAAGATTGTGACCGAGTGGGCAACTCCTCGGGATATTGCCAAGACCATCGAGTCTGAACTCGGAGAGAAAGTGACGGTAAAGGAGGTCGACGATGCTCAATGGAAAGCAAGCAGGGCATGGCCCTTTTGAAGAGCTATGGCTGAACATCGAGGTGCGGCATTCGTCCATTCATACTGGAAGAAACTCATGATTACGCAGTACTTTAACACTTTCTATCCAGAAGGAAATGGGCGTAGCGTCGAGCTCACGAGGAAATCATCCCAATGCGACGACATTGAAGTCGTTCATCCAGGCCGAAGGAAAGAGTTTGATCCAGTAGGAAAGCGTAGTAATATCAAGTAGCTTCAATAGATACGAATATTAATTGATACGGTGTCACTATTCATAGTGCGAGCCGCGTTCAAGTCCCTCAGAGAACAACTGAAACCCAGCTCACACAGGGTCTGAGATCGACCCAATACCAGCAAGAAGAGTTTGCGATCCATCTCAAATGAACATAAACCAATCTAAGACAGGCGGGAATCAATTCAAGAACGGGTGGGTGTCACCCCAGGCGATGGAACGAGTATGCTCATCAGTCGGGTTTCTCTACTCAGCTCTCGAACAAAGTAGGTCTCAACCAGTTAATTCAGGGAGACGAACATTTTCAGACATATAATCGAGACATGAGACAAAATCAGAGGTATCCCTCGATTAGGAGGGAGAGACCACACGGTCTACTTTGAACGAAAACGATGAACGAGTAACCAATGCCAGTGACCAGTTAAATCCAACTTGAAAAACTTGACGCCTCTCCTACACCCGCCAACCTTGCGATGGCTGGCGAGATGCAGAGGTCTACTTTGAGCGAAAACGATCAACGAGTAACCAATACCAGTGACCAGTTAAATCCAACTTGAAAAGCTTGACGCTTCTCCTACACCCGCCAACCTTGCGATGGCTGGCGAGATGCAGAGGTCTACTTTGAACGAAAACGGTGAACAATTGACCAATACCAGTGACCAGTGACCAGTTAAATCCAACTTGAAAACTTGACGCCTTTCCCACACCTGCCAACCTTGCGATGGCTGGCGAGATGCAGACCGCGATGGCCTCTTCGGTTAGAAGAAGCCCGAGCGCAGAGGAGAGGGCTTGACCGGTGCGGTCGTCTTTCCAGGCATACCTACACCCGGCAGTCAGCTCGTTCAGATGGTGGAGGCCCCGCTACTTACCAGACTTTCCGGGGCGTCCGCCGCTCATAGCAGGCTTCGGGACCGTGATGTCGGGGACAAATGCAGGATAACGTCCCGTATCCTTCCAAGGCGCATATAGATCAAATGTTGCCATATCAAATCCGGGAATCGTTGGTGCCAGGGTGCTGGGCGTAGAGGCCACTGTCGTTTGGGATGCCGCAGACGGTGGATACGTCAACGGACCACGCGGGGGAAGCGGGATGAAAATATTGGGAGACCCGTTGGTTTTTCCAGTCGCCGACTCTTCGTCCGCCTTGAGGCTGCGGCGATAGCCCATGTACCATTTGACAGTGTAATATGCACAGAGGAGAACCAGGGCTGCACCCATAAATGTGACACCTACTATTGCTGGCATAGCATCTTTCCCATTATCCCATTCACTATCATCCTGCGAGGGTTGATGGTTTGCAGAGGCGGCCAAAGATGGGACGATGGTGGGAGCGGTAGATGAGATCGCAAAATCGACATGAGACGTGGGAGCGACAAGGGTTTGACCCACGAAGACAGCTGTGGGAGGGACTGGGTCCCACATCGGAGCCGTGGAGCTGATCACGTCAGCAACGGAAGCCGCGACGGAAGCCTGTTTGGTAGTTGTAAAGTTAGCCACCGGAGTAAGATCAACTGTGTTATTTCCATAGGCCGAAGTGGACTCAGACGGGGCGAATGCCACCAGTGTCTCACCGACGCTGGTCATGTCGAACGCGGAAGAGGTAGACTCGCTAATATCGCCAGTGAGACCTGTTGATAGAATTGGAGAGATTCATTCGAGATATCAACTACTGACCGGCAGAAAAGGAAAGAGCTATGTTACGACCGTGATGGGCTCCACAAGAGGGATCGTAGACACTGCAGAACACGTGGAAAGCTTCTGAGACGAAAATGACGCGTGAGCGCTGACCCTCTCTGTGTATGGTCGCGAACACTGACCTGCATCTAATTCAGGAGTGTAGCGCGATACGACGGGAAGATGATGGACTGCAAGCAGACCAGTATTCTCGAATGAGAGGAAAGATACAAATGAGATGGTGTGGCCGATTGGTATGGGCACAGCGGCGACTCCAGCGAGGTGCTGGAGCGCTGCAACCAAGGCGCACAAGAAGATTGCGCGGATAAAGAACATATTTAGATACTAGCTGAGGATAATAGAATCCACACAGCAGGAAATAATTTTACTTGTTTTTTTCCAGACGGCTACGTGTGTGGTCCGGGACAAGATGCGTTTGGTGTTTGCTCACCACCGTTTGTCGTTTACATAGATCCACACTGATCGCTTTGAGTCGTAAAGAGAGACAGAATGTACCGCTGAGCTGATCCTGAAGGACTGCCCTATTCCCTCCGTGTACTCGCCGCGCAGCAGTCTCATCGCGCGATCAGAAGCGATCGTCTGCCGTGAGAGAGGGCCCCTGAGATCACTTTCATAGCCCGAGTTTTGCTTCAATGTCTCGTCTATGCTCTAGCCACCCGTCGATAGCCCAAGTCCGACAAATGTCGTTTTATCACGTCGCTGACCGCAAAACATCCAAATCCAAGGGAAAAAGGCTGTTATACCATATTGGTCACTTTATCTTCATATCAAAAGCACCCCTCCTTCCTTTTGACGTTGAGCAAAAGTTGTGGCAAGGCCAATGAGAGTCCAGCCAGAAGACCAGTAGACTATATGAATGTACTCAAATCGTTGAGAATTGCCAACCTCGAGAGCCTCTGCAAATGCGCCCAGTTGAGTTCGCCGCAGATCCAATTCGTATCGTACAGGCTTCAAACCTGTCTGATCGTAATAAAAAGGACCGTAAGCTGCTCTTCAAATATCGTCCCTCACTTAGCCTGAATGTAAGAGACTCCGCAGGTCGAGTGAATTGATCGACTTCTCGCATAGAGACGGGAATAAGCGGAGATAAGCACCCTTGAAATGCGTCCAAAGAATTGTCGAGCTCGTGCGTTCGTCGCAAGGTTGAGCGCTGGGCTCTCCAGGAATTGTCCATCGACTATGGCTTGATTATCGCAAAAGAAGGCTCATTTGAGACGTCCAATAGCACTGTCATCAAGGGTCATATCGCACGTGGTACGCTGGGATCAATCTACTAGCCCATGAGCGTCCCAGCATCATGGAAGCGCTGTCTACGATACCTGTGGACTCCAAGAACCAGTAAGATCGTATCCTAGAGCCAGGGACGTGTCAGTGAACGGCAGCTGACCAAGGCAAACCTTGTTACATACAGGAGCAACGGCAGTGCCTAGGGATGTGAATGTGTGAAGTATACTCCATAGGTAGTTATGGGAGTCATGGTGTATACCGGATATCGCTGTGGTGCGCTGCCGACTCCCAGGTTGGCATATCCCGGCGGGAAATTTCATGGAATGGCCAAACGTAGGGGGAGAGATGTAGCCAGGTGACTGCAGTTTGAGGCTATCTTTGACGGATAGGATCTGTATTGCACATTGTCTGCATGCGCAAGCATCAGACTGCTCTTGCGGTGACCAACAGGAAGACGCAGGGCCGTTAGCACCATAGTCAAGACATATCAGAGACAAAGGAGGCCAATGGTGACGAAGGATAGTAGAATAATAGTGTCGAGGGAGCGAATCAAACGGGAATCGACCTACCCTACGACCGGATCGAGCGAGACTGCCTTCGGTGATGAAATGACGACGAGAACGAAGGATAATGTACGGTAAGAGAATAGAAATGTTCAGTAAGCAAGATAATGCGCACTAGCAGAGACGCACACTTCGTTCTGAGAAGGGTGCGACGATCGGCCAAGTATCGTCAGGTCGCACTTTCTATGAATTCCATAGCAGATACCGACGAACATAGGATGCTGAGTGGCTGACCTTAATGTCAGAACAGTCAGAGAAGGAGAGCAACCTACGCAGTTTACGAACACGAACTATATAAGATGTAGTGGAAGCGTTGGTGTTAATCAAGAACGGGTATAACATACGTACTCACCCACTCAGCGACCTTCCGCGAAGTGATCCGCCCATGAAGAGAGTGGGAATTATAAGGGGCGAAAGTCGCCAGCTGGGCATATGAAGATCGAAGTAGAGCAACGTAATAGGTGACACTGGGTCTCAACGTCATTGTACAGCGTTGTTCACCTGCGTTTCCCATTGAACAAGTCAACGAGTCACGCCACGCGAACATCAGTGCCGACTGCGGGATTGGTCACACGTCCTGGAAAGATAAGAGTACGGTCGCGATCTAGAGTCGAGATAGTGAGTATGTCTAGTGTATGCAATAAGCAACACTCACGGGTCGTGGCTTGAAGCTGGGTCGGTAGGCAAATATGAGATTGATCCAGCGGAGTTCGGAATACCAGTGCTCAATTGACAAGGAAGTGATGAGATTCGGAAGTCTAGATCGCTCCCTCAAGGCGAGACCGAGCCGCCGTTTGTAGAGCAAGAGATCGTAAGGAGAATTGTACTACACTACAAGGATAGGGTGTGATAATAAAAGCAAGCTTGAGAGGGTCCATGACTAGCACTACGCCGTTGTGAGGATTAGCTTACTTCGAGATCTGAGCTCGAAGTGACTCTGAGCTATGATAGCATAAAACGGTGATATGGCGCGCAAATCACGCATTGAAGTGTCTCCTGTACTTTAAAGACCCATACAGATGAAGGTGGCCCCATACTCAGCCAAGTATGTCCGCGGTTTGTCGGCAGGCGGAATATGTCGCTTCACTCGCACGCAAATAAAAGATATTAGATCTGAGAAACTGTGCCCAGTGGCTTTCCTTGTCAAAGACAGCACACGCAGACGCTGGATGGAGTCGAGTCGAAAATGGCAAGCTCGACCAAACAATTCAAACCACCTTGAGCTTTGCCACGCAGACGCTTTCAGACTTATACACTACTGAGGGCCAACTTCCTACTTGTAAGTCCTTTAGCCTCTCAGATTGCTGTTTGCTCATAGTGATTGGAAAGAATCTCCGCTCCGAGCCTCTTGTCTCAGTGCGACGAGATCAGGTCCATGCGAATTATCTCACTCTCTACGCAATGCAATACATTCATGTCTCCCCTGACGCTCCTCTCGAGATCCAGCACACGGTTTCTCGAATGAACGCGTGTCGTCAGCAGATAGAAGACCTCACGAATCGACTCAAGGCCGCAGAATCTCTTTGGGGCTCGCTTAGAGACGAGATCGCCGGATATATTCAGAACCCAGGGCAAAACGCCGCTGTTGCTACCCGTCCTGTCCAATCTTCGCTCAACCTATTGCCTGACGAGCTGTTATGCGACATCTTTCAACGATTGCGATTCCAGCGGAACGCCAACCTTGGACCCCTGCTTCTTGTGAACAAACGTATTCATTGCTTGGTGATGAATACTCCATCACTCTGGACTCGTATCGAGTTCCATGTCGTCGGTGACCTGATTGAGGAAGCACTTTTGCATCGTTCCTACGTCGAGGCATGTATGGAGCGTAGTCAGAATGTCTGCCTAGATATCGACATCAAACTCGATTGGGACACAAAGCAAAGGATCCTTACGCGAGCCGCGACCGATGCGGTTATGGGTCTGGTGGACGACGAAGAAGAAGCGGTCTGGTCGGCATTTGACACTATGGATATGGATTTTAACTTCTCCGTATACGAAGAAGAAGAGGAGTCATTGTTCGAAGTCCTTGATGCGATCGTCGGTGCTGAAGGTTGCAACATGCCTCGGTGGAAGTCACTTGTCCTCTCGCTTCCCCGCGACGACTCACAGCAAGTCTCGATTCTTGAACGACTTATCGGAGACACTCCGAATCTTCGCGATTTGAACCTACAGAATGCATTTCTTCTCGATGCGGATGACGAAATCGCCTGGGAGGGAGTTCTACCAAATCTTTCCGCCCTATGCAATTTCCAGAGCGATGGTCCCACTCCTTCGGCGTCCTCATTGAACCCCTTCGTCTTGCAGGAAATTGGGATTCACATTGGGCATCCTTCGGGCGTCAACAAACTTTCTTCATACCAAGCCCTTCAATACTTGAGTATTGTTTGCTTTGAGGGAGGCCCTTCGGGAGATCCGATCATATCTCTCCCACAGTTGCGCAGCCTGCATCTAGGGGGTTCATTCAACTACTTCATAGGTCGTCTCCGCACCTCCTCTCAATTTGCTCTCAATCGCATCACACGACATCTCCTTGGACTATAAATTACCCAGCGCGTCAGCCGTCGAGTGGACTTTATTTGGGGATTCAGAGCGGGACGTTGAGGGCACTATCAAGCTCTTACTGGATATATTTTCAGGCTTAAGAGGCACGCAAAAGCTTTCTCTCTTTGGGTTCGCCAAGGAAATGCTGCTTATTGCCATCCAAGTCTTCAAGGGACCGAGTCCGTTCATAGAGAACCTTCAAACCATTGATCTGAGACAATTTCGTAGCGCACCGGGCCCTCCTTTACTCGAACTTGGACGCAGAGACTTTGTTGAATAGGGCGATTATGTAAATAGCAGTCATTCTTTCTGCAGTCTGCTTTAGCCCACCAGAAACCAACTGAAAAGCTGGTGGAACCCTGTAGAGTTCAACAGTGATCCTCACCATCTCTCCGTTTTGAGAGCTCACACGACCTTTCAGGCCAGAGAGGTTCATCATTTTTCCCTAAGCGAAGATTTCTTTGAAGACCAGCCTTTGACGAGACCAACGAGCACGGGCTAGATTGCCGCGTGGCGAACGTCAGGAGACATTGACCCTGTAATACTCCATTCGCTGCATTTTACCTCTAAAATAGTCTTATGGAGTCACTAGAAGAGCATCTGCGTAACTTGAGGCAGGCCGTAACGATACAGGTCACACAGTTGTCGTTGGAACAGTGGCAGCGAGAAGCCGACCGGCTTGAACAACAATGGCTGCATGCGAAAGCGCAATGCGCGTTTTTTTCTCAGGAGCTACAATCATATACGCTCCAAAGGTGGCATTTGACGGGACAATATCGGACTCCTAGGCCCAAGACCTCACTCCTCGACCTTCCTGACGAGCTACTATGCGAAATAATTGAATATACTACACACCTGCTACATCCCTTTATTCGGTCGCTTTTGCTCGTATGCAAGCGCTTCCATCGAATCATCATGGGCACGTCCTCGTTATGGGCGCGTATAGAGCTCATATTCCCTGAAGACCTTATGGATATGTTCCTTCCCACAAAAGAGTATATCGACGCGTGCTTGGAACGTAGCCGAGGGCGCCTACTTGATGTCATTGTCAAGTTCCCTCGATATACCACCACCACGGACTATGCGCTGGACCAAATCTTGACTAAAATGACGCCAGTTCTAGGTCCAGATGGGGCCGTAGACCTGCAATCGGCACTCTACGAGGTGGACTGGGAGTGTGATAGCTCTGTGGTGAGGGATAGAATCACCCAGATGGAGAATCTGGTTAAGATTCTCGTGGGATCTACCGGAGAAAATATGCTACGGTGGGGATCACTCCACGTGACGCTTTCAGAGGAGCGGTGGGGAGGCATCCTACTCTGGAAAATGGAAGATAACCCAGCACCGAACCTCCACAGCCTAGAAATCATGAATATGCATTTCTTGGCCGATTGGTTTCACGAGGAAGATGCTTCCATCGCTGAGATGCCACAGCTCCGCTCTCTGAAGACGGACCGCCTGTGTCTACACTGGTTTGTCTCTCTTCCAACAACGCTCACTCTTCTAGACACTACATACGAAGATGGACTAATTTTCGATCATCTCTGCAGCTTGCAACAACTTCAGCATCTTTGCATTCGGGACGCCACGGCTTCTTCGTCCTACAAAGAGGATCCTATTACCCTTTCACACCTATCCGAACTCCACATCTACGGCAATGTCGATCGAATTCTTGCCATTCTCGTGACACCACGACTTGAAGTCTTGTATATCTGGTCATCACAGGCCAGAATGACGCAACGTCTACCCTCCGTCCCGGTAATCGAGTGGAATTTCGAAGGAATAAAGGTGGAGGAAACGCTTGGACTATCTCAGCGCATTGCATTGACGTCTATATTCGAAAACATTAGCAAGACGCGTCGCTTATGCTTACAGGGGTTCAGAGTGGAGCTGATAGATGAGATTGGAAACAGGCTCAAGCGCGAACGAGGTTTCTCGGAGAGTCTCAAAGTGGTCGAAGCGCGCACAGGTAACGCAAGGGCGACCATCTGTGAGTGGGACGAGATGGGCTCTATGACGTTGTAGGAGTAAATATTGATGCAATGCCACTCTTAAGTATCCCGATACGCTGCAGCTCGAGCTGGACCCAGAAGTGAGCGAGAAGAAGATGCCATCTGGGATTATAGTATGGTATAATACCCGCATGGCTACCAGAGGCTATAATGTCCAATGCGAAGCTGCTGGTCACGACAGCGATAAGAGATGAGCTATCCTAGAAGTATATCAAACAGGGATGAGGCGCACAAACTAGAGGCGTCTTTTTTGACAATGTACATACATTCCCTCTTCCTCAGTGGCGCAAATATGAAAAGCTTTCAAGTGCAACTTCCAAGGTCTAGTGTTACACATCCACTGAACACGTATTGTCGAGTCTTGATCTCTATCACGTCGACCTTTCAGATTGGCCAACCCTCACAAGCCAACACTGGACGTGTATGTCTGCTATTCCATGTATATCTTTTTTTGCTTACCACGAACTGGATAGTTGATCAGCTCTCAGGTTTGTCACGCGTGACGTAGTCAAAATCGCCTCTGAACATATATCATAAAGTCAAGAAACCTCAGCTTGTGCACAATGGAACACGTCAATGTGTCCCTCGATGCTCCTACCGAGATCCAGCACAAGGCTTCTCAGATGAACGGGTGCCGCGAGGAGATAGAAGACCTCTTGATTCGACTGAAGGCTGCAGAGTCTCGTTGGAACTCACTCCGAGACGATGTCGCTCCGTATATTCAGAAAGCAGACCAGAAAGCCGCCGTCGCTACTCGTTCCGTCAAGGTGTCGCTCAACCGCTTGCCTGACGAGCTACTATACGACATTTTTCGACGACTACGATTTCACTGGAACTCTAATCTTGGACCTTTGCTTCTCGTGAACAAGCGTATTCATCATTTCGTCATGAAAACTCCGTCCCTTTGGACTCGTATTGGGTTTCATGCTGACTTTGATCTGCTCTATACAAGATTTCCAAAGCAATCCTACATCGAGGCGTGCATCGAGCGCAGTCATGGAGTAGGTTTAGACATCGAGATCAACGTCGAAGTGGGAACGAAGGAAGACTTTCTTAAACAAGCAGCGGTTGGTGCAGTGCTATCTCTTGTGGATGAACCTCATAATGCAGATATATTTTCAATTTTCGACAACGTGGACATGGACCTCAACTGTTCTAAATATGAGGAGAAGTGCAAAGAGCTCGTCCAAGTCATTGATATGATCATTGGGATCAACGGTTGCAATATGCCCCTGTGGAGGTCACTACACCTTGTGCTACCATATGACTACATATTACACATATCAGTTCTTGAACGATTTATCGGCTACACCCCAAACCTTCGCGAGCTGCACCTAGAGAACACATGGCTTCTCGATGATGATGATGATAGTCAATATATCTGGGAGCAAGTTCTTCCGGAGCTTTCCGACCTGCGTAGCTTCGGGAGTGATCATTGCCTTCCGTGGGCGTTCTCCACACTGAATCCCGCGATGCTCAAGGAGCTTAACTTCAGTCCAAAGATACCTTCCAATTTCGATAAGCTTTCTCTATACCAAGCGCTTCAACACTTGGTCATTGCCTGGGGCGGTATTGACGTGCCTAACGACTCGACTATATTTCTACCGAACTTGTGCACATTGAGCATAACAGGGGGTTTCGAGTATGTCATAGCTCGTCTTCGCCTACCCACTCTCAATAAGTTCTCAGTCAGGTCATTCAAGACCTGTCTGAGTCGTTCATTACCGATTGCGATGGCTGTAGAGTGGTATTTCACAGGAAATTCAGACGAGGCGGACATCGAAGGGGGTGCTCTCCAGCTCCTGCAGGGTATACTCTCAGGTCTGAGAGGGACAAAAACGGTCTTTCTCTCTGGATTCACCAAGGAAGTGCTACTTAATGCGATTCGACCATTCAAACAGTCGAGTTCATTCTCAGAGGAGCTTCAAATGATCGAACTTCGACAACATCCTAATGCACATGGACCTCCTTTACTTGAGCTGGGACGCAGTGACCTTGCCGATTAAGGCACTGATGTACATGATATTAATCCAATCTTTATTTACACTCTTCATTATGCCAAGTATTGAGGACCGATATTTGCGAAAGCGGCGGACCGCAATAGTGTCCCTTAACTCTAGCACGAGTGTGGAAGCCGTTTCACTGTGAAAGTGCGTGACTGTTCAAACTTGTGAAGAAAACACGAGGAACGCCATCCGAGTGGGTGATACTCAAGTAACAAAAGTCTGGGAGGCCAAGAAAACCTTCGTATCGGTCTAGGTGATGCAGGATGAACTTTAGATGAAGTCTCAGTAGCGTCTTCTTGCACCGAAATCAACGGCAGTCAACCAAGCGTCAGGCCCTCCGGCTACTTTCGACCCGGCCTCATCTCGATTTCATGGCGTACGACCTCTCCAAAGCCATCGGGCACTCTGTTGGAAGCAAAGCGGTAAGTATTTTGATTTGTAAACCTAAATTCAGGCCCTTACATTGCGGTAGACTCGATGGAACAGACGAGACTTGCTCCTATACGCCGTCGGCATCGGCGCAAAGGCAACCGACTTGAATATTGTATATGGTAAGTTGGTTAAATTATGATCTCACGCATATTCTTACCACCTCTTGACGTAGAGTTGGGTAATGATCTAGGCTTTGCTCTAGGACTGGGCTTATTCGCCGACAGACAAAGAATTCAAGCCTTTTCCAACGTTCCCTGTAGTCTTGAACTTTAGAGGTCAGTGAAATTGTCCTTCAACGTTCATGACTTACTGACCGGTGTCTCAGGTGACAGTCAAGATGTTATCGACTTTAACAAGTCATTCAAGTCGGCTCCAATCCCTGGTTTGCCGCCGCTGGATCCCAGCAGAGTAGTGAGTCGCTGCTATCACACTATTTGACTGTCTAATTTGATCTAGGTACACGCAACCATGTCGACAGAGATCCTGCGGGACATTCCCGAGGACTCTGGAGATGGATGGCGGCTGACGAACCGGGTAATTGGTATCCATGAGAACAGTTGAGTCTAAGCTTCCAATTTCTAACTAAATGCTCACGATTCTAGAGTCTGGCATCATCGTAGAAAATGAGCTGCTCCTCGTAGACAAGGATGGAACACCATACACTCGCATGATCGTACGCGTCATCATTATACTGCCCCTATTTCCGACCACGATTGTAGACTGGCTCGTTCAACCTCGGCGCCAAGGCGACCGGCCAACCATATTCAAAGGCGATTCTGCGCGCACCTCAGGCGAAACCAATCCCCAAAGACAAGAGACCCGACTATACGTACAGAGAGACGACGACGCTCGAGCAAGCGATTGTCTACCGTCTCAGTGGGGACTATAACCCGCTCCACATTGGTCTGTCTCTTCCTCGCCTTATGACTCGAACAAACCGCTGAGTCACCTCTAGACCCTAGCATTGGCAAGCGAGCAGGATTCGGTGGGACCATTCTCCACGGTCTCGCGACGTATGGCTTTGCAGCTCGACATATCATCGCCAAAATTGGTCTTGGAGACCCGTCGACTCTCCGCGCGATCTCCGGACGATTCACGAGTCCCGTCAAGCCAGGAGGTATGCCAATTTCTTCGTCAATAGTGTTTGGCTTAGAATGTGTAGACGAGCTCGAGACGATGATCTGGGAAGTTGGGCCCGGACCAAATGATACCGTTGAGGTGTCTTTTGTCTGCAAGAACGTGACTTCAGGAAAGCTTGCCATCTCCAACGGAGTCGCCCATGTCCGCAGAAGGGCGCCTAGCAGGCTCTAAGTGCGAGCTTAGGTACTCAGAGGATGTTATAAATGCTTGCTTGATGATTGCTCGAATGATATACCTCTACAAGAAACTTCTGACCTACCATACCTACCCAAGATAGCGTTGCCTCGCCGCTGCGTCTACGCGACTCGGGTCGCCTCGTCGTAGGTGGCTTCATCCTCCGAGATGATAATCATATCCTCACCGTAAACACCTTGACTAGCCGACCGACTATTCTCTCCATCGGGGATGAGATTGCCGTGCTGAGCTTGAGCCGAGCTTTGACAATCCGCCGAGAATGGCCTGTGAGGTCAAAGTAAGTAGGTGACAAAGTCCAGATGAGTGACCATACCCCAGGCCGTGCACCTTCGACTGGTGATCCTTCAGTCCAGATCTTCTAGTAAAGGCTCTCGGGCAACCGGGATAATCACACTTGTACCGAAAATGATTCAAACCATGAGTCCGTCGATGGCGGGTTAGTGCAGACACATCTCCAAACGAGGTTGTGCATCCAGGGTACTCGCATTTATAAGGTTTCTCGCGCGTATGAACTCGCATGTGGACGACCAAAGCTGATTTCTGTGGCCGGATTCAGAAAATGAACCAGGTAATGGACAAATGAGGCTCACCTGAACGAATCCCTTTCCGCATCCCTCGAACGTGCAGACAAAAGGTTTCTCCCCGGTATGTGATCGCATGTGGCGAGCCATATCATAGGATTTAGCAAACGTCTTGCTACAAATATCACACACGAATTGCTTTTTGGGTGTTGCTTCTCCGGTTCCAGGTTGGGTGGTGCCATCGGCAAAAGACGGTGGAAACTGCACAGATTCCGTGTTTTGAACAAGGTGACTAGTTGTGGATTGCATTGGAGTCGGTTGATTGCTGATGACGGGACTCAGCAGGGAAGGATGGATCGTAGCGGTGGATGGCGAGAGAGATTCAGCAGTACTGAGTGGTGTACTCTTGCTCCATGGCATGGAAGATCTCTGTGAGAGGGATTAAAGTCAGCGATCATACATGTAGTCAAAGAAAAGGTCTGACGCTCACTGCCTGGGACGTTCTGGCGGCACTCAGAATAGCTGTTAGACCAAGAAGCCGCTCCGAGACGGCGGGTTCAGAGCTTTGAAGTTCCCATGCGGCTGTAGCGAGTGTGTCAAGCGAGGCCGAGACGCTTTCTGGATTCAGCAGAGGAGCAACGCGCTTTCCAATGATTGTTGCGCGATCTTCAATCTGCCTTCGTGTCGCTGGAGATTCGTGCAGACGCGACGTCGAGGCCTGTGTCCCCGCCATGGGACTTGGACGGAACCAAGGGCTCTGAGCCACCGTCACCCACTCTACTTTCGGAATCATTTCACAATTATATTCGATATCCACTTTGATTCACTGATGAATTCATTAGACGCTCGCTAGTAGAGCAGAGGGAGTATATACGTATTCACCCAGCCCTCTGGCAGCTGAGCGTCTTCTAAGCCAGCCTTCATTCTCCCAATATACTCTTCCTTTGGCCGTCCTTCCTCCAATCTGGGATCTATATAGACCAATGCACTCCTCTTGACTGGATTATCACGGTTCGATATGTAATCATCGTACATGATGACTTCGAGCTCGAATTTGTCGTAGCAGCCGATAGCGACGCCCTCCATCCTGTCTAGATATTTTTCGTCTTTAGCACTGAGTGTATATAAGACTCCATATATGACGTGTTCATCGCTCTGGTAGATATTCGCGTATCCTCTGCACGAGATTCCCCAGCGGTATTGTGGGAGGACAGCGATGCCGAGCTTGGAAGAGTCTGGACATCGTTTCTCCATCTGTTTGAGTGATAAATTGGAGCCATAGGCGAAATACAGGCGCAGGTCATTTCCACTGTCGGTCATCGCGCGACAGCCCAAAGTGGTGGACACCTCCAAACTTGGAGGCCACCTCTTCTTTGCTCTACAGCTGGGCTCGGCCACCACGCCACGACTTATGTCAAAGCCATCTCAAATTGAACATCAATCAATACGCATCACAGCTGCTGGCCACGGTTCAGTGAATGAACGCGTGTTACAGCCACGCAACATCAAAGAGGAGGCCCCTGGCTTTTCATTCAACGATAATCAGGATATATCAGATATGAATGCAGAACCGAGGCATGACGAGGTACGTCTGACCACTTTGTCAGCCAAGTCCCTCCCTAACATCCACCAGCCAGCTAGATTTCTTGATAATTCTTCCTTCCTCGTGATAGCCCCTAGTCGACAGGAGATTGAAGAGGCAAAAGTAGCTATCGATAGCCAGGTGGCCCTTTGCGTCTCGCTAAAGGAAGAACGCGACACCCGTCAACGCGAGCTCGTCGAGTTGGAAGAAAGAATCCAGGCAGAAGAAGCGATACTGGTCAATAGACGTGCGAAAATCTCAGTTGCACGTCGCGTGCCTCTCGAGATCCTCTCCATGATCATCACGGCCTATGTAGAGGACAACGCTGGTTCAGCATTGGTCGCCATGCTTGTTTCGCGAGCATGGCATCAGGCTACCCTTCTCGCCCGAGAGATCTGGTCGTCCATTTCTATCATTACTCCTGACGACGACACTTCCAGCGACGGCAGCGACCAGGAGGTCGAAACGTTCCGACAATGCGCATCCGAACCGCACCTGAGATACATGTTGAAGATGGCCGACAGATTCCCTTTGAAACTTAGAATCATCTGCAATGAGGGTCACTTTGCCTCCGACCTCGGTCCTTCCGGAGAGCACGACTGCCAAGTCCACAGACTTCTCGAGTTATTCAACAAGATTTCAAAGAAGCCTCGCATTCGCTCTATAGAAATACAAGAGTGTCATCTGGCACACAACACGTTCGACACTTGGGACTTCTCGCCATTGATAACCCTCAGCGTCTTTGGAGATCATCGCAGACTCCTTGAAAGAATCGGAAAAGAGGCTCTCAATCTTGATACGGTCGATGTATCAGGAGAAAATTTCATGTCTTTCAAAAGACCGGCATCATTGCTCCGCCTAAATCGCTTGACCCTTAGAGGCAGCGTCCAGCCGTTGGCTCAGCAACATCTCGTGACGTTTGGGTCTATCACGACGCTTTCTCTTGAGCGCACGAAATTCCATGGTCCGACCAGGATACTCCTCTCTCAGCTCCAGAATTTGACTTTGGACCACGTCTCGCCCTTCTGGCCCCTCGACTGCCCAAATTTGACGAAATTGACCATTAAATCTGAAGAGGGCTGTGACTATGACGAAGTCTTACAGCTTCCTCGCTTGAAGGGGCTCATCTGCGTCGACGCGGTCAAGCCATTATTCCTCCGTAACTTCGAAGCTCCTTCTCTTGACATACTAGAAATTGCAACTGGCTGCAACAAAGGAACGACATACGAACTTCTAAACTTGATCTGGCCTACCAAAGCAGGTTCGAACCTAAAGCGCACTCCCATCGAAGATTTGCGACAAAAACTTGATCCCAAAATTCTCAAAATACATTACTTCTCTGCTAATCACAAAGATGCGGCCCGTATTTTCGGCCGTCTTACACGCTGTGTCCACCTTCATCTCATCAATCCATACGGCATCTCCACCGACCTCTTCGAGTCGATCAGTCCCAAGTCGAGAGGCCGAATCTGCCTTCCCGACCTCAAGGTCTTTGTTATCAGGAGCTATGGCGGAAAGCTAGAACCGTTTGTCGAAGCAGCGAAGGCATTCTTGAAGCGTAGACGCGAGGCCGGTGCACCGTTGACTCGTTTCGCTTTTCTCCACGATGATGAGCTCCGCCTTCCATCTGGTCAAAGAGTCCGCAGCTTGGTGATCACCGATGACAAGTGACGCCTATTGGTACCGAGGGCTCCCGTTTCTGATTCTTTGTAGAAGATATACCTTCTATTTGAATGACATTCGTCGAACATGGCTCGTTTCCTCTCTCTTGCTCTCCGCATTTGCTTATGCATCATGTGTCGTTTTAGCATAGAGAATGTAATCACAGTAACTCCTTTCATTGCAGATAGTGACCATTCCGTGAGGCAACATGCATGGCCGCCAAACTTTGACCAAACCTACCAGGACTGATTAGAGTCACACGCCTCGTTATGCGATAACTAGAATAATAAATGGACGCAAAGGCATTCACTTCGGCGATATACCCCAATTTCGTCGTTGATTGAAATCGCCATAGAAGAGCGACGGCGACAACCCACGAACATGCGTCACTAATTCGCCATGAGATGTTATCAGGCGTTGAAATGACTTGAATGCGGACTTTGCGCACAATCTCACGCGTTGTATGTCGGCATTGCTCCCATTTGCCCAGAACTACTCTGAATCTGATCTTCACAACGGCATAGCCTAGTTATAGACGGTCTCGAGCTTTCCTTCATCGTCAAGGTCTATCCTTCCAGTGTGGTACCTTCAACTTCCCAGTCTCATCGCAACTTTGTCAATTGAGCACTGGTACTTTGAACTACGCTGGATCACTCTCATATTTGTCTACCGACCCGGCTTCAAGTCACGACGCGTGAGTGTTGCTTATTGCATACACTAGATATACTCATTGACTTGACTCTAGATCACTATCGTACTCTTATCTTTCCAGGACGTGTGGCCAATCCCGCAGTCGGCACTGATGTTCGCGTAGGTTTACTCGTTGACTTGTTCAATGGGAAGCGCAGGTGTAATAACGCTGTACAGTGACGTTGCAGCCCCGTATCACCTATTACGTTGCTCTACTTCGATCTTCATATGCCCAGCTGGCGACTTTCGCCCCTTACAATTCTCACTCTCTTTATGGGCGGAACACTTCGCGGAAGGTCGCTGAGTGGGTGAGTACTTATGTTATACCCGTTCTTGATTAACACCAACGCTTCCACTACATCTTATATAGTTCGTGTTCGTAAACTGCGTAGGTTGCTCTCCTTCTCTGACTGTTCTGACATTAAGGTCAGCCACTCAGCATCCTATGTTCGTCGGTATCTGCTATGGAATTCATAGAAAGTGCGACCTGACGATACTTGGCCGATCGTCGCACCCTTCTCAGAACGAAGTGTGCGTCTCTGCTAGTGCGCATTATCTTGCTTACTGAACATTTCTATTCTCTTACCGTACATCATCCTTCGTTCTCGTCGTTATTTCATCACCGAAGGCAGTCTCGCTCGATCCGGTCGTAGGGTAGGTCGATTCCCGTTTGATTCGCTCCCTCGACACTATTATTCTACTATCCTTCGTCACCATTGGCCTCCTTTGTCTCTGATATGTCTTGACTATGGTGCTAACGGCCCTGCGTCTTCCTGTTGGTCACCGCAAGAGCAGTCTGATGCTTGCGCATGCAGACAATGTGCAATACAGATCCTATCCGTCAAAGATAGCCTCAAACTGCAGTCACCGGGCTACATCTCTCCCCCTACGTTTGGCCATTCCATGAAATTTCCCGCCGGGATATGCCAACCTGGGAGTCGGCAGCAGACCACAGCGATATCCGGTATACACCATGACTCCCATAACTACCTATGGAGTATACTTCACACATTCACATCCCTAGGCACTGCCGTTGCTCCTGTATGTAACAAGGTTTGCCTTGGTCAGCTGCCGTTCACTGACACGTCCCTGGCTCTAGGATACGATCTTACTGGTTCTTGGAGTCCACAGGTATCGTAGACAGCGCTTCCATGATGCTGGTACGCTCATGGGCTAGTAGATTGATCCCAGCGTACCACGTGCGATATGACCCTTGATGACAGTGCTATTGGACGTCTCAAATGAGCCTTCTTTTGCGATAATCAAGCCATAGTCGATGGACAATTCCTGGAGAGCCCAGCGCTCAACCTTGCGACGAACGCACGAGCTCGACAATTCTTTGGACGCATTTCAAGGGTGCTTATCTCCGCTTATTCCCGTCTCTATGCGAGAAGTCGATCAATTCACTCGACCTGCGGAGTCTCTTACATTCAGGCTAAGTGAGGGACGATATTTGAAGAGCAGCTTACGGTCCTTTTTATTACGATCAGACAGGTTTGAAGCCTGTACGATACGAATTGGATCTGCGGCGAACTCAGCTGGGCGCATTTGCAGAGGCTCTCGATGTTGGCAATTCTCAACGATTTGAGTACATTCATATAGTCTACTGGTCTTCTGGCTGGACTCTCATCGGCCTTGCCACAACTTTTGCTCAACGTCAAAAGGAAGGAGGAGTGCTTTTGATATGAAGATAAAGTGACCAATATGGTATAACAGCCTTTTTCCCTTGGATTTGGATGTTTTGCGGTCAGCGACGTGATAAAACGACATTTGTCGGACTTGGGCTATCGACGGGTGGCTAGAGCATAGACGAGACATTGAAGCAAAACTCGGGCTATGAAAGTGATCTCAGGGGCCCTCTCTCACGGCAGACGATCGCTTCTGATCGCGCGATGAGACTGCTGCGCGGCGAGTACACGGAGGGAATCGGGCAGTCCTTCAGGATCAGCTCAGCGGTACATTCTGTCTCTCTTTACGACTCAAAGCGATCAGTGTGGGTCTATGTAAACGACAAACGGTGGTGAGCAAACACCAAACGCATCTTGTCCCGGACCACACACGTAGCCGTCTGGAAAAAAACAAGTAAAATTATTTCCTGCTGTGTGGATTCTATTATCCTCAGCTAGTATCTAAATATGTTCTTTATCCGCGCAATCTTCTTGTGCGCCTTGGTTGCAGCGCTCCAGCACCTCGCTGGAGTCGCCGCTGTGCCCATACCAATCGGCCACACCATCTCATTTGTATCTTTCCTCTCATTCGAGAATACTGGTCTGCTTGCAGCCCATCATCTTCCCGTCGTATCGCGCTACACTCCTGAATTAGATGCAGGTCAGTGTTCGCGACCATACAGAGAGAGGGTCAACGCTCACGCGTCATTTTCGTCTCAGAAGCTTTCCACGTGTTCTGCAGTGTCTACGATCCCTCTTGTGGAGCCCATCACGGTCGGAACATAGCTCTTTCCTTTTCTGCCGGTCAGTAGTTGATATCTCGAATGAATCTCTCCAATTCTATCAACAGGTCTCACTGGCGATATTAGCGAGTCTACCTCTTCCGCGTTCGACATGACCAGCGTCGGTGAGACACTGGTGGCGTTCGCCCCGTCTGAGTCCACTTCGGCCTATGGAGATAACGCAGTTGATCTTACTCCGGTGGCTAACTTTACAACTACCAAACAGGCTTCCGTCGCGGCTCCCGTTGCTGACGTGATCAGCTCCATGGCTCCGATGTGGGACCCAGTCCCTCCCACAGCTGTCTTCGTGGGTCAAACCCTTGTCGCTCCCACGTCTCATGTCGATTTTGCGATCTCATCTACCGCTCCCACCATCGTCCCTCTTTGGCCGCCTCTGCAAACCATCAACCCTCGCAGGATGATAGTGAATGGGATAATGGGAAAGATGCTATGCCAGCAATAGTAGGTGTCTCATTTTTGGGTGCAGCCCTGGTTCTCCTCTGTGCATATTACACTGTCAAATGGTACATGGGCTATCGCCGCAGCCTCAAGGCGGACGAAGAGTCGGCGACTGGAAAAACCAACGGGTCTCCCAATATTGTCATCCCGCTTCCCCCGCGTGGTCCGTTGACGTATCCACCGTCTGCGGCATCCCAAACGACAGTGGCCTCTACGCCCAGCACCCTGGCACCAACGATTCCCGGATTTGATATGGCAACATTTGATCTATATGCGCCTTGGAAGGATACGGGACGTTATCCTGCATTTGTCCCCGACATCACGGTCCCGAAGCCTGCTATGAGCGGCGGACGCCCCGGAAAGTCTGGTAAGTAGCGGGGCCTCCACCATCTGAACGAGCTGACTGCCGGGTGTAGGTATGCCTGGAAAGACGACCGCACCGGTCAAACCCTCTCCTCTGCGCTCGGGCTTCTTCTAACCGAAGAGGCCATCGCGGTCTGCATCTCGCCAGCCATCGCAAGGTTGGCAGGTGTGGGAAAGGCGTCAAGTTTTCAAGTTGGATTTAACTGGTCACTGGTCACTGGTATTGGTCAATTGTTCACCGTTTTCGTTCAAAGTAGACCTCTGCATCTCGCCAGCCATTGCAAGGTTGGCGGGTGTAGGAGAGGCGTCAAGTTTTTCAAGTTGGATTGAACTGGTCACTGGTATTGGTTACTCGTTCATCGTTTTCGTTCAAAGTAGACCTCTGCATCTCGCCAGCCATCGCAAGGTTGGCGGGTGTAGGAGAGGCGTCAAGTTTTTCAAGTTGGATTTAACTGGTCACTGGCATTGGTTACTCGTTCATCGTTTTCGTTCAAAGTAGACCGTGTGGTCTCTCCCTCCTAATCGAGGGATACCTCTGATTTTGTCTCATGTCTCGATTATGTCTGAAAATGTTCGTCTCCCTGAATTAACTGGTTGAGACCTGCTTTGTTCGAGAGCTGAGTAGAGAAACCCGACTGATGAGCATACTCGTTCCATCGCCTGGGGTGACACCCACCCCGTTCTTAAATTGATTCCCGCCTGTCTTAGATTGTTTTATGTTCATTTGAGATGGATCGCAAACTCTTCTTGCTGGTATTGGGTCGATCTCAGACCCTGTGTGAGCTGGGTTTCAGTTGTTCTCTGAGGGACTTGAACGCGGCTCGCACTATGAATAGTGACACCGTATCAATTAATATTCGTATCTATTGAAGCTACTTGATATTACTACGCTTTCCTACTGGATCAAACTCTTTCCTTCGGCCTGGATGAACGACTTCAATGTCGTCGCATTGGGGATGATTTCCCTCGTGAGCTCGACGCTACGCCCATTTCCTTCTGGATAGAAAGTGTTAAAGTACTGCGTAATCATGAGTTTCTTCCAGTATGAATGGACGAATGCCGCACCTCGATGTTCAGCCATAGCTCTTCAAAGTTGGGCCATGCCCTGCTTGCTTTCCATTGAGCATCGTCGACCTCCTTTACCGTCACTTTCTCTCCGAGTTCAGACTCGATGGTCTTGGCAATATCCCGAGGAGTTGCCCACTCGGTCACAATCTTCAGATCCTTGCCTGGTATCTTATCAGAATTGCAATATTAAAATGAGGGATAATACGTACCGATCCATTGCTCAGGGTTCTTGAATGCGACGAGTGCGGCCTTGCCAATGTCGCCAGCGAAGATCATAGGAAGTGGACTGTCCGTCTTGAACGGCACATCGAAAACGACTGTTCCATCTGCGCTGCGGTTGATCTTGATCATTTGAGGGAACCGAAGATTCTCGAGGAAGAACGAAGTGTACAGGCTAGCCCCAGACGTCAGTCACTCTGATGGTACGGGACGAATGAGTACTTACGATGTGCGTGGAACTCCACTCTCCTTGAGATAGTCGTCGACGTTGGCCTTGGTTTCAAAGTGGGTGACCTTGAGATCTGAATGGTCGAGCGTCGTCCAAACAAAGTGCTTGATTCCAGCTTTCTTAGCAGCGTCGACGAGGTCTTTTCCTTGCTTCTCTTCATTTCCAAAGGCCTGCCAGTCTATGAACAGTTAGCTAACGGCTTCGGGGTGATTGCTAAAAGTATGCTTACAGTCGGTAACACCGAAGACACCGTATGCACCACTGAGACTATTGAATTGTTAGAGTGTTATCAAGGTGTTGGCAAAGTACGTACGCAGCTTCAATACTTGCGGGGTCGGAAAGGTCACCCTTGACAACCTGAACTCCCTTTGCAGCGAGGGCTGGATAAGAGTTAGAAAAACCAAGTCACAGGCAAAAGCCTCATACCTTTAGCAGCATCGCTCTCTGGGTTCCTTGTCACTGCGCGAGCGGCGAATTGACCGTCGTTGAGGATGGCGTCGATCATACCGCCACCAGTTTTGCCAGTAGCAGTGAAGACGACGATGAGTTGCTTTGAAGACATTGATTGAAAGATATGAGACGAGTAGATTGATGTTGGCCAAAGAGAAGGCGACAATCAACCTCCTTTATATGCTTAGAGTAGTACCAAGGCTTAGCCAAGCAATACCCTGATTAATGATTGTTGGAAGGGCGCATGTCCGATACCATATATCGATGACACACCGCGGCGGTAATCAGAGTCCCTTGTTCTGAATCACCGGATTGGTTGAAACCTCGAATTACCTCACTTCATTCCATGGGGGTATAAGATTCGGAGAGTAAACAAGGAGGTATGCGTCAGCCTGCCATGGATACTTTAACTCCGATGTCGGATTTATCCATGGATTTCGTGATTGCTCTACCCAGCGTTTTGTCAGCTTACTTCTATTTCATAAAGCCAGTAAATGCTACCTAGATCCGCGAAGCGCCTAAATAGCTTCGCAAGTAGGGAATATCAAGCTCGCGGCCGTCAACTCGACGCGACTCGTCAGGCATCAAACCTTGGAGCTTGATTGTCCCGTCTTATGCAGTCAATAATTACGCTCTGTGAAGAAATCTCGATGGCTCTTTGATCCCAGCTCCACTCTTCATGTTTGTAGACCTGACGATGTGGCTAGTTGAACTTGATTCGCAATTTTCGAGGCCCATGTCTCCACTCTTGCACCGAGATAAAAGGAGCTGCTTGAGATAAAGTTCGAACCCCGTGTATGGCAGGGTCCATCTTTCCGACATACATCTATATTGCCTCCTAGTTGTATTCTCGAGCCTCTCATGCAGTAAGATTCGATGAAAAATCAAGATCACAACCAAATGGCTGGAAATTGTTGTCGCGGAGCAAGGCCAAGACAAGTCGGATGGGTCACGGGTCAAGAACCCAATCGAAAAGGTTGAAAATTTATCGAGGAGATTGTATAGAACTAATTCTGACCTAGGTTTCCTTCGAAGTTCTCCAATGGCCATACAAAGTCACTTCGTCTCGACCCGCAAAGTCCAGCCGGCTAGAACACTACTTTAATATGCTTTTCAGATGCGTAACCTTCACGAATTAGAGTTGTGCGCCACTCAATTCGCCGACTACGATAACATCTGCGGCTAAACTCGAGAATGCTCTCTTTGTTCCTTCGGCCCCGCTCGCATTGTATTGTGAGCAATTTTACTAACGATCTGAGCGAATTTTTCGCTCGGCTACCTGAGCACCACGCTGGTACCGGCTATCCATTGGCCGGTCGTGGGGGATCGCCACCGACGTAAAAAGGAGGGTCGACCGGTGACGCTCACTTGACCACATCTTCATCATCATCAATGTCTACGGGAATCCCAGAAACTTATACTCGCCTCGTCTTGGACAAACGTCCAGAGGGTCCCGTCACGTCTGAGACGTTCAAGAAAGAAACGCTCAAGTCTGGGGACCTCAAGGCCTCAATGGGTCCCACCGATGTCCTCGTTTCGGTCGACTATGTCTCGCTCGATCCTGCAATGCGCGGCTGGCTCAAGAATGAGCGATCCTACATTGCTCCCGTTCGTAGACTCCATTAATCTTGGATCCAAGACTGACGATGGTCTCCAGGTTGAAATCGGAGAGGTCATGCGTGCTGGCGGCTTAGGCACTGTCGTCGCCGTCGGCAGTGAAGTGTCGGACATTAAAGTCGGAGACTCTGTCTCTGGGGGACTAGGTAAGTCTATAACGTTTTGCCCTATCTCCACATTTACTTATGTTATTACAGGATGGACCGAGCTAGCCAAACTGCCCGCAAAATCTCTCCAAGTCATCAAGTATGAGTCCAATACTCCTGCAAAACGTAATCTAAATATCACTTTAGAGCTCCAACAGGTGGCGTTCCTCTCGACTTTATGGGTGTTCTCGGTATGACCGGTGCGTTTTTTATACTCTTGCCCGGCTCCAGCATTCTGACGGCCATATGCAGGTCTTACCGCATACTTTGTGCGTCAAATATCATCTTATGCAAACGAGTAAACTCACCCCGCGATCAGGGCCTCACTGAGATTGGCGAAATCAAGGCAGGCGAAACCCTCGTCGTGTCCGGTGCAGCCGGTGCGACAGGCTCCGTCGTATGTCAAATTGGCAAGATTATTGGTGCCAAGGTCATTGCCATTGCCGGCTCGGACGACAAATGCCAGTGGCTCGAGCAAGAAGTCGGCGTCGACAAGGCACTCAACTACAAGAGCCCAGATTTCGCAAAGGAATTTAAGCAATCCGTTGGCTATCTCGACGTCTACTTTGACAATGGTGAGTTTGGTCGAATGGAACAATGGGCGAGAGGACCGAATTTCGAACAGTTGGTGGCGAAATCCTCGATCTATGCCTCTCGCGCTTGAACAAGAATGCACGGATTGTAATGTGCGGTGAGTCGAATCACATCCGTTCTATCCCTCATACTAATCTCTACCAGGCGCCATCTCTGCATACAGTGAGCAACGACTTGTTCAGAAGGAACCCGCTGACCTGCATACGTAGACGACACCAAACCGCGTGGTCTTCAAAACTACCTCTCACTGATCGGACAACGAGCTAAAATGCAAGGCTTCATCGTCATGGACTATGGTGCCCGCTTTGGGGAAGCACGTCAGAAACTCGCAGAGTGGCTCGCGGCCGGCAAACTCAAGCGCCGATTCCACATAGAAAAGGGACTCGAGGGTGCTCCTCAATACCTAAATCATCTCTTTGAAGGCAAGAATACTGGAAAGCTGTAAGTACTCCTCCCGTCTCGAACATTGAGTTACTCTGATATTGTTCACAGGTTGGTACAAGTCTCATCCAGGGGAAACTCCAAGTTGTAAACGAAGAAGCAGAATTTACTTCAATCTTTTTGAATATGGTACAGTGTTGACTATCTAGAGCTGTACTATGCAAAAAAAGTGTGCTCTAATGTCAGTGGCTCGTGCACAACAAAAGGCTTGAGGACTACAAAAGCTAGATGTGAAGAGCAACAGTTGGATAGCAAGATTGTGTTGATGACGTGATACACTTGAATTGGGGTACTAGATAGTGGCCGAAACGTGATGGTTTGGACGACGAGAGACGGTAAGCAGCTTGCCGCAGGCAAGGCTCATCTTAAAGTCGGTCTGATTGAGAACTTGAACACCGCTCTTCGCCGCTTCGACGAGCGTCTTCGGCAGGCTGGCCAGCAGGATATTCTCCTTTGCTTTGGGCCCATGAAGCTCGTCAGCCAGGACAACGACATTATACTTGAGTAGCGTCGGATCAGTTGCGTGATCATACTTTTCCACTGCCTCGATTTGCTGAGCGCCCATGGCCAGACAACAATAGACAAAGGGAAATTCGCAGGACGGATCCTTCGGGCGCTACCAGCTAGTTCAGTATGACGGTCTTGAGCTCCTGAAACACTCACTTCGTACGCATCTTTCTTGATGGCGTCCAAATCCGCCTCGATCTTGGTAATACAGTCCGCAGCGACGAATAAAACGCTCGGCTTGTCCGCCAGAATACGCCGATGATGCAAAGGTCCATGCGCGAGAAGGTTCTGAAGGATACTGGCATCATACATAGGTGACCCCCAGAGTGGATCTGGTGTTTGGTAAGGCAAGCTCGACACGATGCTGAGCGGACTGTTTTGTGGGTGAGCCGGGAGGAGATAAGGAAGCCAGTTGACACGAGAGCTCTATGTCCTACTCAATACAGATGTCAATTCGGTAACTAACACGCACCGTTTCCTTGCATTCATCAAGCCATTTGGGTGAAACGATAGGTATACCCAACGCAAGTGCCATAAGGTACTTTGGCGTCATAGCGCACTTCCCAGCGATGACAAACATCGTCCGTACCGTCACGTCAAAATCGCCACCAATCCACGTCACGGGTGCAGATGGGGACATCTTGTTACGACCACGGCCCGTCGACATCCCGCGAGTCCATCGTTTTGCCCGCGTCGGGCCACCTTTGACCTTTTCGATCACGCCATCAAAGCGAAAGGCGTCTAACCACGAGGGGAAAATGATTCCACCATTGTCGGTTAAAAACTTTGTGTCGCGGTCGAAACTGCTGATGATGAACCCGACGCCAGCAAACATCTTCCCAGAGATTCCAGGCTGCCCACGGAAACTGCTTGGGCAGTTGCCTTCAGGGAGGAGTAATGATCAATGATCCCGTTCTTCCATTGCGGACATGGGCACAGGAGACTCGGCGACCGGTTCCTCCGTCTCTAGGTCCCGATGCGAAACCTTGCGTGTGTCCCATTGCTTTGTAATGTGCTGATCTTGGACCGAAATGTGCCTGACATGAACATATCTTTCCTCGACATCGTCATCCGCACCAATGCGCAGCTTCACCACAAGCTCCTCATCCCATTTGGAGTCCACTAGGATGACAATGGCATCACCATAGTTTTCTCCATTGCCATCTGGCGTCATGGTGACAATGTCTCCTTCTCGGAACACACAGCGACGCATAGAGCCGGGCTCCACAAAGACGGATGGGGAATCATCACAAGGATTAACCTGCCATTTTACACCCGTACGGGCAACCGCATATCCAGGAAAGAAACGCTTGCTCTCCGGAAAGTGTGCCATGACCAGGTGTCCGCTATGGACGATGGGAGTGTTGAGAGAAATACCACGAGTACGCGTGTTGGCCGTAGCGCGAGTCGCACGTCGACCTGGTGGAGGCATCATCGCGCTTAAATCGAGTCGCGGTTTCGCAGGCTTTGGTGGTGCCTGCTCCTGCTTTCCTTTTGGCATTTCTTCCCCTTCGACGTCGTCAACGCCGACTTTGGGACTGGCCGTCCGTCGGCAGATTCGCTTGCCTTTACGACCACCTTGCTCGTTCGCAGATCGTTTTCCCGGACGTCGAGGAGATTGTGACTCATCCCATGCATCCTCGCCTGGATAGGATTCCACCACCTCGCCTTCCAGATCGTCCTTCTGAGTTTGAGTTTGAGGGACATAATCAGATTCATCGTCCCCGGGGCTGCTCGTCTGATCACTGAGCTCCCTCTCAACGACAGACTCTCCGTGGGGTCTTTTTATTGGAGAGCCCTGCTTCGTAGTCACCTTTGAAGAGCCTTTGGAAGGGCTAGAAGAGATAGTCTTGGACGACTGTTTCGATACGGGCGTTTTCGTTGTTGATATCGAGCGAGGCGGACGCTCCTCCGTGTCGGTATCAGACCTGTATTGCTACAGAGAAGTGTGAGATATAAAGTAGAAATTCCATTGAGAGACCTACTGCTGGGTCTTGGACAGCAACAGTGTGCTCTTGATGTTTAGGCAGCGGCCTGGGAGTATCAAGAGCGTGCATAGCTTGAGGCTCATCATCCGTCTCCATAATCTCAGATTTTGCCGGCTCTGATGAATCACGTTCAGCCAGTATTTCATCCTCTTGTTCGATTTGAGGCTCATCGATGGCTTCCTGTTCACCCACAGGGAAGCTCACCGGCATCGTCTCCTCGGGTAAAGTCGACTGGTCCGCCTCTATAGGCATGAAAGGGTCACTGGATGGTACAACTACGCGCTCCCGCTGCTCCAAACCCTGTAGCAACTGACTCAGATCGACAGGCGTCTTTCGTCTGGCCAATGGGTTCCGCTTAGGTACGTGGCCGTTCGCGGCAGAGGAGACTGGATGATTGACAGATGACTTTGGATTTTGGGGAAGGTTGTCGTTCTGTGAACCAGACGTCGTTCTGTAACCTCCTGGACGCGAAGACTTGATAGGATTACGGCGCAAAGTCGAAGCTGGCCCTTCCTTTTGCAACGAAGGAGTCCCTGTGGTTGCCCCTGATGCAGTGACAGCAAACACCCTAGGCATCGCAAGAGGCGCTGCGGGCTGATTGATACTCTTCTCGGAGAGCTGCGACTGCTGCGACTCGGAACTCTTGCCATCTCCAGGTAAGTAGAGTCCAGGAATACTCTGTGCAGATGACGACGAAAAGTATCCTCCTCGCTTCTTGACCGGGGAAATGTTGAGTGTCTTGATCGGTTTGCTAGGCGACGCTTCGTACATGGGCGCCCCATCCTGCGTGTCTACCAGAGCTGTTTCGACAAACTCTGTAGCATCCTGCGTCGGCAAGAGCTCTTGGGTGGACGCAAGGATCTGCGTCGGGACAAGTTCTTCATGCTCGATCGCTCGCCAATCACGCTCATGCTGCGACGTCTCCGACGTCTCAGAGGGCGTACCCCTGACGAGCGTCCTGGGAACATGAGATAGGCTTTCGCCCGCCTCGTGACTGGGGTCAACCTGTGACTGCGTCTGCGTCTGCGTTTGCGATTGAATGAATATGCCAGGCGGATTCTCTCCGACTATAAACTGTGTGAGAGGACGAGAAACCTTGTTTGCGTCGTCTCGCATATACCGCGACAAGGTACGAAACTCGCGCGAAGAAGCAGAGGACTGTGTGTCGTCACCTCCACGGGTAGATGATTCGTGGTTGATGGGCTGCGGTGGAGTTGGCTTTTGGTGACGGAGGACTTTGGGCAGGAGCGTAATGGGAGATATCCTATGCTGAGGAGACTCTCCGAGTTCTGGCATCGACTGTGTCGCGCTTATGGGATTTGTGGATGCTTGACTAGGACCCTCGTCGTCTGCATCGTTCTCCTCTATGGTATTCTTCCGCGTCTTGATCGGGGACGGCTTCTTGGGACTAGACAGTGAGACCGGTTGAGGTTTTCGACCCGATGACGGCCCAGCAGAACGCTTTGCCATGGCAGAACTAACACGGTGGAGTGAACCGCCAGCTTCTTCAGCCGCATCCGCAAGCGCTGGTCTTTCTGGTGAGACAGTAGGGAGGGACTGAGTGCGGGATGGGGACTTTGCAACAGATATGGTAGCGTGAAGCGAGAGGTGGCTGGAGCGTGGAGGTGTTCTAGGAATTGGCATGGACATCGCTGACGGCCCACGCGCCGGGGCTTTGTCCTCGTCCATGGTCAAAAGCGTGTCCTTTCTTAACGAATCGGGAGGAGGGGTTGCTCCTGTAGTCGAACTTGGTGGAGGACGCGTTGTGGTCGTCGTAAAAGAGTCTGGCGGCTACATACACGTTTAGCATCGGTTTGCCTTGGGAGGCTTTGTTTTGTTCAACTTACGCCGCGGTGGGAAGTTCTGTAAGCATCCTCGATGGTAGAGTCGTCTTGTATGGGTAATCGTCGTCGTTTGTGTATTTCTGGCTCTGGAGATTTCGTCAGGCTCGCATGAGCTGCCGAGTGCACGTCGTCCATGGCCATTGGTTCGTGCACAAATGCGTCCGGAAATCGCTGAGCGACGGGACTGATGATTCTGTGGATTGTTTTCGAGTACAAACGCGTCAGCGATGCAGACAAAATGTGCAAAACTCGCAAGGACAAGTCGGTGGCAAACCTGGAAATGGATGTTATGAGACTCACTGGGAAGCTGCTGAGCGAGATTGCTCATTTGTGCGAGATTTCTTTTGTCGCGGCATACAGCCGCCCACACCAGACTCAGGACAAAAGTCGAGGTCGAGTTCAAAGGGTGACATCTGTTAGACTGTTAGACTGTTAAACCCCCGGCGGATCCATATAAATAGAATATATTCCAGAGTTGATTTAGTATACTTTCTAATGTTATTCTAAATCTCTGAACCGTCGTCGGAGATGCAGACTGGGTGCCACGTTGACCTCAGATTTGGCTACCAACCACAAAAGTCTCTTGGTGCGCTGTCGCCCACAGGCTCTGTTAATTATTCCCTCGTTCTCTTGTTCGCGTCTTAAAACCACTCCCAGCACTCTCCGCCGTGCAGCACTCGTCTCCCCGCCACCTGGCACACCCACACTTCTAGGCCGTGTCATTTAGAGCTTTTCATTCCCAACCATGGCAGTCATCTTAATCAGCAGGCTATTCGTGTTGCTCACATGCGCTCTCTACGTCCTCGGTGGAAGAAACTTTTACAAAATCCTGGACTGTGAGTCTGAGATACTCCGTCTGTGTATACTCTGTTTGCTAATGCACGTCTATCGACCCTTTAAAACGCTGCAACGACATCTCTTATCGCAGTGGACCGTTCCGCTTCGGATGCTGATATCAAGAAGGCATACAAGCGCCTCAGCAGAAAGTTTCATCCAGATAGGAACAAGGACGAAGGAGCAGAGGCAAAGTTTGTCGAGATTACTCAGGGTTCGTTGGCGTCCGTACCCATATAAATGCAACGACTGACAATCTAAACAGCATACGAGGCACTCTCAGATCCTGAGGTACGCTATCATTCCCACCTTGATGTTCCGAATTCTGACACATGGCCTGCAGAAACGGCAAATATATGACCGCCACGGTGAAGAAGGCCTACAAGCACACGAAGGCGGCCAACACTCGAACCCCTTCGACGTCTTTTCCAACTTTTTCGGCGGCGGACATCCACCACGAATCCGTCCGTCGTGGACCAACGATGATGTCCGAATTTGAAGTCAACCTCGCCGACGTGTACACGGGCAACAGCGTCGAATTCATGATCAAGAAGAAGATTCTCTGTGACCACTGCCGTGGAACGGGCGCCAATTCCGACGGAGATATCAAGACGTGTCCGACCTGCAATGGCTCTGGTGTCAAGACGGGTCGTCAGCAGATTTTCCCCGGCATGTACGCGACAACGCAGACGACGTGTCCACAGTGTGAGTGGTAAAGGCAAAGTCATTGCACGTCCGTGCAAGCATTGTAATGGGGAAAAGGTTATTGATCATACGGGTCATTATACGCTCGAGGTTGAAAAGGGCATGCCAGAGGGGCATGAAGTCGTCTTTGAGGGCGAGGGGGATCAATCGGCCGAGTGGGAAGCTGGAGATGTTGTCTTGCGTATCCGAACACAGAAGGTGGCTGGTGGATGGCGAAGAAAGGAGTCGTCACTCTACTGGAAGGAGACCATTTCTGTTGCCGAGGTACGACCTTCCGTGTTCTATGAACCGCTCTCACAGGCTATAGGCCCTACTTGGCTTTGAGAGAAATATTACCCACTTGGATGGCCATCAGGTCACAATTTCCAGACCAGGAGTCACGCAACCAGGCAAGTAGGATCCCTCGTCCCCCACCTTAGACTTATTAGCCTACAGGATACACTATGGTTGTCAAGGATGAGGGTATGCCCATCTACGAGGGCCACGGGCACGGTGATCTCTATGTCGAATTCAACGTGGTTCTACCTACCGTATTATCAGAAGATACGCGAAAGAGTACGTCATTCTCTCTCTTTTCACATCAACTCGCTAACCCTTGTTCAGAGCTTCAGGAGGCATTCAAGACTGGCAAAGGGCGAGGCAAGGACGAGCTATGAGCCAGGACCAATGAGTTATTCTGCAGATGTATATTGAATCACTGATTTATTGATTCTTCAATCCGGGACTCGAAAAACGTTACTCTTTCTTGGGGATCGCGAGTCCCGCCTGTGCTTGAGGACGCGCTTTGATGCGTTCCATCCATGCCTATCAACACTCAGCCTTGGACAGAGGCGAATAAGGATACATGCCTTTACACCAGGCCATTCGTCGAGCGTCTTAATGTCGATCAAGCCGTGAATATCGACCCATGGGAAGCAGTTTATGTCTGCGATAGAGTACGTTCCACGTCCTGGACCCGCCAGATAGTCTCTGTCTTTGAGACGAATCTCGAGCACCGAGTATAAACGCTTTGTTTCGTTGACGTAACCTAAGAATTTACTCAGTCTCGTGCATAGTCGAAGATGGACAGTGTAGCGTACGCTCAATCGCATATGGGCTTCCCAAACGTCAGCATCGACTCGGCATTCAGTGCGGATAACTTACATCTTTTCCTTGGCATATATTGCAAAATGATCGGCTAGAATAGGTCAATGAGGAGTTCGTCTGGAATTCCGCTATTACCTTGACCCTGCATGGGACCGATCCCTCCATGCTACACAACCGTTGAATCAAGGCTCACAAGAAATCAAGATTCACACTCACTGAGAAGAATATCCATTGCAGACCCTCACTCTCATCGTCACTTCCCACAGGGAACCAAAACTTGCGGTCGGTATCGTAGTGCGTCGCGAGATATAGCAAGATGGCCGCACTTTCAAACACCTTGAACCCTCCACGATTGTAATCTACCAGTGCTGGAATTCGACCGTTCGGGTTGATCTAGGTACTGGCATGAACCTGCCATGCGTACATAAGTGGCATCGCCTGAATGCTCACCTTGATGTACCAGTCCTCTTTCTGAATGTTAGTCGTAATATCAATTGGTTTATACGAGTATTTGAGCCCATATGCGGCCTTGAGTTCCTCAAGATAGACTGATACCTATGCGTTTCGTCAGAATTAGCCTAGCCTAGTGGACGGTGCCAGCGGTTCTTACCTTCTTGCCATTTGGAGTACCCCAAGTGTACAAAAGAAGTCCAGATTCAGCTTGCTGGCTCATATTTCGAACGTGATGTTCAGATCCTTTTGAATACAGTGCCAATATCCGTCGAGTCGAAGTTCGTATCGGGAGAGAAATGGGTTGCTGTCCAAATATTCTTGTGCGGCGCATAGATGATGGGGCAATCAACGATGGCCAACCACGCGGTGGAGGTTAGCCATCGACTGACATCACTGTGCAAAGAAAGACCTCCATTAAGACAGCAAGGAGATAATACATACACCGTTCAAAAATAAAGTAGATACTTATAAGTAATGACACGAAATAATTTTGTCCAATGGATGTGTTAGTCAATCGGTCCCGCGCTCCGCGCAGCCATTTTCTGCTCCCATCGACGGATCTGTATCGTGTGCCGATGATCACGACCATGTACACTCTCGTGTAGCGTCAATATAGGTCCCAGCGACCGGCGCATCTCGTCCTCCATCCGAAACTTGTCATATGCAAAGAGGAGCTGATAGCTCGCTCTCAAAGTTCGCGGGTGGGTTTCACCCAGATGCTTCTTACTGAGCGACACGACTTTGCTACACATTTCAAGCGCTTCTTCGCGCCGGCCCATGTCAAGTAAAGTCGTGCTCAAGTTGCTCATGGACGAAATCGTATCGGGGTGATCGATTCGGAGCTTCCTCTCCCGCAGGTCGACGATCCGTTTTTGCAACTTGTACGCGTCCTCAAAGCGACCAAGCTTGCAAAGGGAAATGCCGACGCCTCCCATGGCCTTGAGCGTCGCAATGTGATCTTCGCTGTACATGCGCTTACTCGTCTCCAGCGCTTCCATCTTGATATCCAGAGCTCGTGTATGATGACCAAGGTTATCGTAGGTCCACCCCAAACGGGTCATGGTCATCAGAGTCTCGGCATGGGTTAATCCCAAGACCTTTTTCTGTGCCTCGAGTGCCTCTTCGGCCATCTTCGCCGCCTCCTCATGTCTTCCGAGATTTGTGAGTGCTTGCGAGATGGCGCTCATGCAAAGCAGAGTACTCGGGTGATCTTGGGGAGAGTGCCGTTTCCTGAGCTCTAGAATTTTCCAATTCAGCTCAAGCGACTCTTCGATACGGCCCGAGAAATCGAGCAAGCACGCCATGTTCTGCATGGCGGCAAGCGTCTGCCCATGTCTTTCACCGAGTTTGTTCTCCCAGCCTTTGACCGCGATTTGTACTTGTATCAGCGCTGCTTGGTATTCGCCAGCTTGCTGAAGAACTTTGGCGAAATCTCCATGTGCGCCAGGATCGAGCGTCTTGCCCTTTGGTACGAGTTTGACATGTGGTAATAGTTGAGGTTGCATCACTGACTGCCACTCTCCGAACTTGATGGAGGAATCCAAGAGACGTATGGCAAGGGATTCGGGGGAAATGTTGTGAATTGGGGATGTATCCGTTTGGAGATATGACTGCACTAGAACGTGCATGGAATAGAATTTCGTATTGTTTGCGCTTGTCACGGTACGAAGCAGTGAGTGCTGTATACACGGCAATAGCCGAGCATTGATGTCATACTCCGACCATACTTCATTGGGACAGAGCAAAGAGGATAGAACCACACTCGCTCTAACAGAGCTGGAATGTTTCTTCCCACTTTGCGAACGTCGTTGAAACTGGTGTTCGTGGGCGTCGATGAGGATAGAGTGGGCGATAGATGATACAGAGAAGAAGGATAGGATGCGTAGGATATCCTGGATTCCTGAGGAGTTTCTCCAGTGACATGTTGATGGTCGTGGCAACCGATTCATTCAAATCGTGCGGCAGAGTATAAGCAAGGAGTTGCCTCGAGCTCTGTTGATAGGTCTGAAGATATGTCGAGAGACATCGGTGTGTATGAATGTAGGCTGCCGCATGCGCTACACCCAACGGCAGGCATCCAAGAGCCTCGACAATTTTACTGGCGTCTTCGACATTGGTCTCCGTCTTTTCATAATCGGCGTCTGTCAGCAACAGATCCCTGGCTTGTTCCGGAGATAAGTCTCGAACTTCCCAGTTGCTTGTACGGGCGAGCTGGGAATATGTCGCATTACGACTGGTGATGATGATGTGGCCGTGGCTGCATTGTGGGAAAAACTGAGAGATACGAAGTGTCGTATCGTCGGCGTTGTCCATGATAATCAGGAATTGTGGTAGGCCGGCAAAGTATTCAAGGGCATTCTCCATCCTTTCCTTTGAACTTCGACCCGCACGAGCGAGCGATGGCTTCAAGTCTGCAGTGAGCTTGGACTCCGAACGGGCGTCGAGGAAGTATACGCGGGCCTCAGGGTTCCTGCGTGAGATGAGTAAACGAAAATTAGGGTGCTCAAATGGCGCACGCTTGCTCAAAATCCAAACAGAATCGGAGCGCTATCGAAGTTTTCCGCTTCCACCAAGACCATATAATACGCTGAGGGTCGGTGTACCTGGAGACATTGGAGTATGCGGAGAGATGTGCGTCCTGCGCAGTCCTTGAAGGATGTCCTCGCGGCCGATGAAGTTTGGGACCAGCGCCGGTCGCGGCTTAAAGCCTACTTCAACCACCTTGATTGTATCTAGACAGCGGTCAGACTCAGGTCCAGCGAGGATCAAAATACGTACTGATCTGTTTCGCAGACAGCCGCTCCTCTCGATGTCGCAGGGAGGTCAAGGAGTTATCGATCGCGCTATTAACGTCGGGTATCTCCACATATGCTCGTGTTTTGCCGTTCACGGTGCTGATATCGTCATCAGGCTGAATGCCTTGGTCAACGTTAAAGCGGAAGTAGATGCCCTCCACGCGTAAGCGTCCTTGCATTTCTTGGTGTGTACGCTCGGCGCCTGCAGCGATGTTCCGTATGGCATCGCTGAGTCTACTGGCCTCTAGCGGTCCGTGCTTCCCTGCTCCTAAGCTGATGACCGTCGAGATTTGCGAATTCTCTCCGCCAAATGGGGCAGTCTGAGTTTCTCTCATCAGCTCCTTGATGGGATTGGCATAACCCATCATAGCATTGATCAATGTTACAGAGCTGTGGCCTGCCCCAAGGAGAACTGGATCATACATCTCCGGATCATTGATACTGGCACAAGCAGCATCAAGGATGCTACATTTTGGGGAGGTCATCCCCCTAGACTGATAACTGGTTGACTATGAGCGATCAAATAAGCTAGTTGGAAACCAGTCTCTTACGATCTGATCAGATGACAGCCAGCCATATTGGCTTTGTTCATGGCGCAAACAATTCTGTGTAAAGTGTGAGCACTGGAATTAAGATTAAATAAATCACATACGTCTTACACGTCGCTGTATTTGGCTTTTCGTCATGCATGAACAAGTTTTCCATTTTGTGGGCACGAAGGATCGACACAAATGCTTCTCTGAACCGTGCAGTGTTCGAGGCTCTTTCGCTGTCATTAGTTGCCTTGGTCCTCGCCATTGCGCCCTCTAGCGTGCTGTAGGCATCGATAGCCTCTGTAGCGGTCATGCCCAACTTTCCTAAGAGTATAGCCGCGATTCTAGAAGAAGATAAGTCATCGAAATGTATAGATTATGTTCAAACGAACCCCCCGGTACCTGTACCGATGATAGCGTCTAGAAATCGGGCTGGCCGAAGATCTTCTGAGCTGTTAAGGTCGAACTTCAACCGCTCAAACATTTCTTCGAGGATGATGAGCGAAGAGAGCGTGCTGATGCCGCCATCTAGATCGGCAGCACGGCGTGAGCACGGGTCCTGGTCTCAAATCTGGACGCACCAATGGCGAGATAGTTTCCTGGCGGTCTCAAAGTCTTGCTTTCGGTCGAGGTACTGGCCATAGTGCTTTGTGGGACGACCAAGGTCGAGATGGTCGGAACCAAGTCCTAAAGACGCCGACTCAGCAGGCTACTCACAAAGAAGCCGCAGCCTCTTCTCCGATGATTCAATAGCACCAATGATGCGTCTACGCTCTATCATGATATAATAGCACAATTACTGGATAATAGTAGAAGCGTCCATAGTCGCGAGCACAAGGAGCAACAGGCCCCTTTACGCAGCCTTGGTTGATGCCTTTTTCCATTCATACGCATACCAACCAGCCATCGCAAGCACAATAGCACCGCCCAGGCCCAGGAAGACCCCAACGACAATCTGGCGGTCTTGAGGGAAGGGGAATTCATATCCACAAGGAACGTCAGGATTCGAGCACGGACGCGATGTGCCAGGCGGTCGGTTTGCGGCGTACGCGCCATCCTGCAGGCGGGTATAGAACGGGTCGTTACCGTCCGTCGCGACTTTCCATGCCGCAAGTGTGAGGAGTGGCGCGTTATAGTCGATCGCAACCTCTGTCTGTACCCAGTCACGTCGCTCGTCCCAAAACTCGTCGCCTTTGGTTGGGCCACCAACCACTGCGCCGTAAAGGATGTGGGCTTCCGTGGGTGGTGATGAATTGATATTACCAATATCAGAACCACCAGAAGCTGGAGCACTGTGTGGGTTCTGCGGGGAATTAGGATTGACGCCAACAACATATGGCACTACCAGACATCAGCAAGGTACCAGGTGGGATCGAATACATACTGCTCATAGGATTGTTTCCGAGGACATAGTCTAACTGAAGTTTGGCAAATGCCTAATATAGTGTCAACCGAATTCGAATCGGAACGTCGAGTACTCACCAGGTAATCATTGGACTTGGAGCTTTTCGACGCGAGCGGCGCGTACTTGACAAGTATAGCCGAGTTTAAAGCAGGATTAAGACTTGCACTGTCAGAGCTGCCGTCGAAATATAACAATCCTCCTCCAGTGAGGTAGCCTGGTCCATTGGCTGCCACTATCTGGTCCAAAATACTCTCCGCAGCAGACTTCCAGGCATTGGCATCTTGGGCGGATGACAAACTAGACTGAGAAGCTAATACCTCGGTCATGAGAACCGGGATCGCTGCGACTTTGGAGTCCCAGTCAAGAGCAATATCGCCATGGGACAGACTTCCTTTGTCCCAATATGTCTTGGCAAGCTGAAGAAGTGTCGGAGATGAATCTGCTGCTCCGAGAAAGATAGACGCGAGTGCGAGATCGTCGTAATAACCCGACGACGGATAGGCATCCTGGATCTGCGGCACGGAATCCTGATATTGCTTCATCCCGTGCGTCGAATTGACGGCAAAGTTGAGGAGCTGTCGCGAATGTGTCAACAGCGTTCTGGCATAGGTTGTATTGACGAGTGCCGCGGGCGTTGAGGAGCTCGACAGTGTCTTATTGCCGTAGAGGAGCGCACACGAAGAAAAAGCAGCAGATGCAGATGCGGCGACATCTGTGCCTGGGTGTGTGTCATTGACCTGATATGCTGGACGAGGCGATGGGATGTTTTGGTCGCCGCCCCAATAGTTGTTGTCCTTTTGATCATCTCCAACAAGCACATAGAGCGTATTCATTTCCGGATGCGCCTTTATCAACCAGTCGAGTCCCCAGCGGAGAGTGGAGTCGAGATAGGCGGTCTGATTGGCGTCTTTGTATCCATTGCCAAACTCGAGTGCTCCCCAGCAAATAGACGTTAGTGCCCAAGACTATTTCATGGTCAGAATCATGAGCAAAGAGATGGAGATTATTTAACTGACCAAAGGAAATGTTGCCTTGATGTAGTCTGTACAAATAATGGGTCAGAACATCTTGGAGGAAGATCCAACAAGAAGTCCTACCTCCCGCATCGTAGAATCCTCCAGAGAGATCGGTATATCCCTTTCCGTCATCCGTTAAACTGTCGTTACGCCAGTCTACCCTGTTGGAAACAAGTTTCCCGCTCCTCTGAGCATCATAAAAGTAGAGAAGTTCTCCGAGGAGAGTTGACCACTGTTTATTGGGTCGATTGGCGTTGGGGCTGCTGACAGCGCCGGAACTTGCAGGCGGTGGAGTCCATGCGGGCGTCGGCAGGGGCACCTGGGCGACCACAGGCAACAGCTGAGAAAGAAAAACCGTTCCTTGGAGGGCTGCTTGCAGCCAGGAGAGGCCAGCCTTCATTTACAAGAGATAAGAGTTGTGGTTGATTCCAAGAAGCAGGGTCGCTCATCGGCAGTGAGGGACCCACGAGGAGCATGCTTCCCTTCCAAGTTTAGCTTTCTAATTATAGCTTTCATGCACCATTGTTGAGCGTTGATACGTTTTCTCGGAGTGGGATTCCAGGCGCGGAGCGATAGACAATATCCCTTGGCCTCCTTGAGAGATAATAAAATAAACCACAGCCTGTGATTGGTGACCAGGGCATTCAAGTGAGTATTAGGCAAGTTCTGGCCCAGCTCATCAGGGCTGAGAGTACACTCCCATGTAGAGGCAACTTACCCTCTTTGATTCCGAATGCGCTTGAAACGAATAGTTGCATCTCACCCTTTGTTCCTTGTATTGAGCTGGCAGGTTATGAGGTTGGATATAAAACTCGTCGACGAGTATGTTCTCACCACATGATAGAGCGGCCCAATCTCAAGGACAAGTGACTAAACCTTTAATAACCCAAAAAACCTAGGTGTCACTTAGATGTATAACCATCTAGGGCGAAGCAATTACCCATGACCGACGACCTGATCTAGATGTTTTGATTGAACATCCGGCTAAACTATAGAAGTCGAGGTATCACTACACACCAAACCCAAAAAAAAACATGGGAACAAATTACCTTCGATACGAACCGGACGATCCCCTCACAACCCCTCACAGTACGACCCCCGTGAGATAGAGATTGTCTTTAGCCCCTCCCTACCAGACAGCACAAGGAAACTATTCTGTGGGGTTCCAATCTTTCCCTGAGTTTCGCATCAGCTGGAAGGCATATGAAACTTCAAGGCCTGCTGGTGAATGCGACGCGTCGTGCTCATCAGCGGCCGACGCCGACGAGGCTTGGGCTGGTAAATTTCGGACATTTGGACAACCTCGCAACCACTCTCCGGATGCGCGGTCAGTTGAACGAGGCAGAACAGATGCAACGAGATACACTTTCTCTGCGACTTGACGTCCTTGGACAGCGACATCCAGATACCATCTCGGCAATGTCCAACCTCGCAAATACTCTGAAAATGCGCGGTCAGCTGGATGAGGCGGAAAAGATGCATCGAACTGTACTGGCCATGAGGCTTAAAATCCTCGGGCTACGGCACCCAGATACTATCTCCGCAATGAGTGACCTCGCAGACACTCTGCGGATGTGTGGTCAGTTGGACGAGGCGGAGCAGATGCAACGAGAGGTTCTTGCTCTGCGGCTCAAGATCCTCGGAGAGAAACATGCAGACACTGTAAATGCAATGAACAACCTCGCGGCCACTCTACAGACGCGTGGCCAGTTGGATGAGGCGGAAAGTATTCAACGAGATGTGCTTGCTCTACAGCTTGAGATTCTTGGACAACGGCATCCAGATACTATTGTTGCACTAAGCAATCTCGCAGCCACCCTAGTGGAACGTGGTCAACTGGGCGAGGCAGAGACTATGCAGCGTGATGCACTTGCCCTGCGGCTTGCTCTCCTGGGACAACGGCATCCACACACTCTCAGTGCTACATATAATCTCTCACGGACACTATGTATACGCCACCAATTTGGGGAGGCAATACAACTTCTCCAACCGACCATGCAACTGCGTGTCCAGGTCTTAGGTGAAGGTCATCCTCGTACTCGGAACTCAGAGAAACTCCTCAAATATGCCATTTCTATGCAATCTTGTAGTAATTCATAGGAAAATCCGGAGTCAAATATTGTATTGTCTCGTGAAAACATATTTCAAAAAGACACTTATAGCTGGAGCTCATTGTTATCAGCCCTTCTTCAATGGAGTATAGTACCCCTGGGTTGCATCAACCCATTCACGGATTAAACAGAGTCTCTAAAGTCACCAGGCAGCAACGACTGCAATCTTAGTTCCCCTTTTGAACAGGCATTTATGTCGCAAACCCCAAAAGTCTCTTACCCCTCTGTTGGAAGAGTTACTTCGGGCAAGCTAGCTGCTGGATCAATGTCAACGCGCTAGATATCAGAATTTGGAGACCTCTCTTCACTGTTTTAGTGGCTTTAGTACAGCGAAACTAGTCAAGATTGACTGAAGCGACGAGATTCTGTTGATGTTTAGCCCAAGGCGCCGAGTAGCACATCCGTCCGCGCCGGTTTGTATAGTAGAAGCTTACATATCCGAAGCAGATTATAATCTTTGTGTTGCCGAGCTTTTGGGAACAGCGATACCCGCTTGTACTTGTTCTCTCGCTTGAATACGTGCCACCCAAGCCTATGTAATACAATAGTCAGTCACCCTCCTCCCATAATAGAATAAGGCACGTACTTTTACTCCAGGCCAAGCGTCCAGCGACTCGATTCCTGTGAATGCGTGTCCATTCACCCACGGGAACGCGTTGATATCAGCAATCGAATATGTTCCCTTTCCTGGGCCAGCTAGGAATTCTCGGTCGTTCAGCCGAATCTCAAGTACAGAATAGAGGCGTTTTGTCTCTTCGATATACCCTATAAATGCATCAGCTATTGCGGGGTCGAAAAGGAAAGGCATTGACGATTGATAGCGTACGGGCTAGAAAGCCATGTTAGTCGTAGTAAGAAGCTTATAGGAGTACATACATCTTTTCAGGCGCGTATCTCACGAAATGATTCGCTAGAATGTCTCAGCAAGAGTCATACTAGACCATATAGGGGTACCTTGGCCTTGCATGGGTCCAACGCCTCCATGCTATCCCATGTCAATATGAGAACTAGGCCGGGGATTCGACTTACAGTGAAGAATATCCACTGCAACGCCTCGCTTTCGTCGTTGCTCCCGACGTCAAACGAAAACTTGCGATCCTTGTCGTATCTTGATGCTAAGTATAGAAGAATAGCGGCGGATTCAAATACTTTAAAGCCGTCATTCTGGTTATCGACAATAGCGGGAATTCGTCCGTTTGGGTTAATCTACCAAATAGATCAGAGATAATCTTTGAGAGAAAACGCCTTACTCGAATGAACCAATCCTCTTTTTGCTCATTCTTGCTGAGTGTGATAGGTCGGACGGCGTACTGGAGACCATATGCAGTTTTGAGTTCCTCAAGGAAGATTGAAGCCTAGAAATGATCAGGTGGAATCTCCAGAGGCACGACACCCGAACCTTTCGTCCGTTTGGGGTCGACGACGTGTAGAGGACAATTTGTTCAGGAGCACTACTGCTCATATTTCGTTGAAAGTGTAGATGCCTAGAAGAAGGGTCTGCCAAAGATTTTTTAAGAGCGTTGAGTCGGCTCAGTGCGGTGTGTCGGGCGACAAAAGACATGGTCGTCGTCAGTATTGATATAATGAACAATTACAAAGCAAGAAACAGATATTTGTCAAATAGAGCCGAGGCTGATCAAGCTAGCGAGTATTTCGGACCAGATTGCGCAATCCAACCGAGGCGAATAGATTGCAAGTATGCTATTGCACAGGGACTCTCCATAGAAATAAACATCCTGATCCAACAAACGAACGAGAGACGGCATCAACCAGACCCGTCAGGGCGAATTATATGGCAGACGAAGGAGTGGTAGGCGCAGACAGACTAGCTGGGAATGGGTAATGGGTAAATGGAAAAGGGAGAGACAGGTAACTGATAGCATAGTTCCCAGAATGCGTTGATAGTGGTGGTAGTGACATGATAGTAGAAATCCAGCAGGTTGGAAAGCGAGACATGGGTGGTGGCGATTACATGCAAGCAAACTTGGACTTGCGCTTTGCGAGTTCCTCCATCCGGCTGTCCAGTTGTGCACGCGCGCGCTCCTTGGCGCGTCGTTCTTCATCGAGTCGTTGCTCCAACGACTGCTTCTCCTCAACAATCGACATTCGTACGTTGACAACTTCGCGTTTCGCATCTTGAAGATCATTACGTGCGGCCTCGAGTTGATGCTGCAAAGTATCACGCTCGCGAGCCATCTCTGAAGCCTGGAGACGGGCTTTGCGGACTAGACTTCTTGTCAGTAATACGTTATTTCATCCCGTCGAAAGACATACGATTGCGCTCAGAGTCGTTCAAGGTAGACTCGAGTGTTCGAACAAGGTCCATATGTGCCTGCAGGTCGCCCTCACAGTGCGTTAATTGCTTGTTGAGCGTCTTGATCATCGTATCCTGCTCCTCGACCTGACGGGTCAGCTCTTCCAGTTGAGCGGCTATCTTCGAGTCGGTTTGCGGGCCTGGAGAGAGGATGGACGTTGCTGGGGTCGATGGATTGACAAGCGAGTCCGTAGCAGAGTGCATCGTCGAAGTGGTCATCGAACGTGACGAGATGCTGCCAAACTTGTCGTGCGAGAGATGGGCACCATTTGGAAGTGAGGGCAATGCGCCGGCTGGAGGAGGCTTCGAAGGCGGCACGCCGTTGACACGCGAGCGAGGAGTCATATGGACATCGTGTGAGTCGTTCGAGCCATGGCCCTCTGTAGAGGCGACAAGCTGTGCCTGCAACTCCTTGACCATTTGATCTTGACGAGCCTTCTCTGCTTGTAGCGTATCCATGGCATCCTTGGTGCGCTGAAGGTCGATGCGAAGGTCACCGATAACGGAACGGTGACGATCTAGTTCCTCGACGAGAGACTCTCGCTTCGAGTCCGAAGAGGTCGGCTGAGCCATCTGTGCGCGTTCGAGCTCCGATTTGAGCATATCAATCTGCTGGGAGTATTCGCGGCGTTCCTTCATGACCGTGGTAATCTCCATCTCCAAGCGAGTAATGACTACAAGCTTTTCGTTGAGTGCCAGCTCGTGCTCGCTTCTCATTTGCTGGAGCTGAGCATTCAGGTCGGAGTCACCGGCAGCAGCAGCAGACAGTTCCTCTACTTGAGCAGCAAGAAGATCTCGATCCTTCTGAAGTGCCTCTCGCTCCATGTAATGCATCTCGTCCACTTCGGCCAAGGCCTGTGCTTGCTGTTCTCGCTCTTCAGCCACCAGCATGTCATGCTCAAGACGGATTTCTTCAATCTCTTGCTGATGCTGTTCACGAAGGGCAACAATCTCGTTCTGAGCAGCAGTCATTGCCTGCTGATGCTCTGTCTTTGATGCAAGGATCTCCTCCGTATGCGCCTTTTGGAGTGCCATACGCTCGGCATCCCAGGCAGCCTTCTTCTCCTCGAGCTCGGCCTTGAGCTGTGCAAGAGCGGTGTCGTGCTCCTTTGAGATGCTGGAGATGAGCGTAGCCTGCTCCTGTTGCGCATTTGCGACTGCTGAAGCCAGCTCTGCCTTTGAAGCAGTCTTGAGCGACTCCAGAGCCGAATCGCTCTTTGCCAAGGCCTCGGTGAGGCGTGCCCGTTCGCGATCCCGTTCTTCCTTGACAGCCGACAGGTTTGCGAGGCTAGTCGAATGCTCTTGACGCAAAGTCGACAAAGATGTTTCTTGCTCTTGACGGAAGGCATCAAACTCTTCCTTTGCACGCGCAAGAGAGGCCTCGAGTGTTTGGACCTCTGCCTCCAACTTGGTGCGAATGGCTTGCAACTCTGAGATGGCTGCAGCGTGCTCTGAACGTTGCTTGGCCAAAAGTTCGTTGTGTTCGGCCTCCTTTGTCGCCAGTTTCTGTGCATGCTCGGCACTGAGTTCGTTCATCTTCTGAAGGAACTCCCCATCGGCCTTTTCCACCAAACGAAGGTGTTGATCACCCACACGCTTGACCGCATCTGCGAGCTGCTGACCAAATGCCTCTTCAGCAGCCTTTGCCTGCTCCTCGTATGAGGCCTTGAGCTTGGCGATGGCAGCATCGTGATCACGCTCCTTTTCGCTGAGAAGTCGTGCGCTCTCCACCTTTGCATTCTCGAGGTCCTGAGTAAAGGCTTGCTCGCGCCGGCGAATGTCCTCTGCATGTTGTTCTTGCAGCTGCTGTACGGCCTTGAGCTGAGCATCTTGGGATTCGGAGAGACTGCCTTCGCGAGCAATTTCAGCTTGCTTAAGAGCAGCTGCGTGGTCTTCCTTGAGGCGAGCAAGTTGAGAAGTGAGATCTGCTTCTTTACGAGCGAGTGCCTCATCATGCGACGCCTTCAACTTTTGCATCTCCTCTTCATGACGCTCTTGTGCCTGCTTGATTGCAAGAGCAGATGCTTCTTGCTTTCGAGTCGACTCGGCTTCGTGTTCGGCCTGGATGACGGACAGCTTCTCGGAATGCTGAGATCGAAGAACGTCAATGGCATCAGCCTGCGACTTTTGGTGCTCGGAGCGAAGACGAGAAACATGTCCCTCGTGCTCCGTTTTCAAGGCTTGCAACGACGCCGCAAACTCTCTCTCCTTGTCGGCAACGAGTCGTTCATGGTTGGCCACTGCCTGTTGATGCTCCTCTCGTGTCTTGGCAAGTTGCGCTTCGACCTCGTCGGAGCGTGCCTTCAGGGCGGCAGCGTGCTCAGACTTGAGTTCTCGGCAAGCTGTCTCCTTTTCCTCTTGCATCTTGAGCGCACGAGCTTCGGCTTCGGCAATTTCCTTGTGGAGGCGAGAGAGCGTGCTCTCGTGATCTGCACTGATACGCTGGACGAGTGCATCGACCTCGTTTTGCTTCGCAACGAGAGCAGCCTCGTGGTTGGCCTTTGCAGTCGTCAATTCCTGGACGGCTTGAGCGATGCGTGCAGCAGCCTCGTCGGAGTGGGATGCAATTGCAGCGGCATGCTCGGCCTTGAGTGCGTCAATTGCTTTAGAGTGATCCGCCGATGTGACAGAGTGGGCGTCGACAAGTTCTGCTTCTCGCTTTTGAAGCTCGACAAGTTGCGATTGCAGTTCCACGCGCTGTGTCTCGGCATTTTGGAGCTGAGATCGCAGACCTTCAAGCTCGTTGGACATGTTCATAGCCTGAAACTCGTGAGCACGTGCAATTACACTAAAGGCTTCCATACCTGATCACGGGAGAGCACACTAAGGTCCTCATACTGGCGTGTCATACGAGCGAGCTGGCTGCTCAGACTATCGACTTGTTCCTTGTGCTGCGATTCTTTCTGAGCCATGGATCTGCGCAACAGTAAGCCAAAAAAGCAAGGATAAAACCATCATGTACGTACCGCATCAACTCGTCCAACCGATCAAGACTCTCCGACTCGGGGGGTGCATCATCGTCGGGGAACTTGGGAGGATGCTCAATGATCAAGCTATGCCTCAGTCTTGCGAAGCGCTTCATCAATGAAGGCGAAAGCTTGCCATCCGAAGGCTGCTCGTCCTCTACATCTTCAGGCAAGTCTTCTTCCGCCACTCTAGCCTTCTTGGGTGGGTTCTTGAGCTCCTTCAAGCTGATCTCAAGAGCGCCAATCTCCGCCTCGCGCTCTTTGAGTACCTCTTGAAGCCGCATAATCTCTTTTTCCAAACTCTGCACGGACCGCGCATTGTTGCCCTCAGACGGTGTCTGCGGCGCAGAAGATAATGACGGTGCAGACGATCCAAGCAACGTCATCTTGGGCGTCGTTGTCCCCGCCGAAATCGGTGAATGACTACCAAAGGCGCCAACGCCGTTGATGCTCAGGCTGGTTAAAGAATGCTTGGGCGTACGCGCCGAGGAGAGCTCCTGCGACAGAGGTTGCGATTGCGATTGCGACCTCGCGTGGAGCGATTCCGACGAGGCCGCCTGTCGGAAAAAAAGCCGCCGGCCTTGGGTACCAGGCGTTCCATTTCCGCTACCACCTCCATTAATGTTGACTCCCGAGTTTTCAAACATCTCGAGATTGGCGCGCTTGGCCATTCCGCGTCGTCGTCCAAGTGACATTGAATCGTATTGCGGAGGCCCCGTGCTCTCGTCTGCCGAGGGTGTAACCGCACCATCCCGTTGAGCGCTTTGCAATTTTGCCTCTGCAATCTGAGCCGCAAGGTCGGAAATTCGCGCAAGGCGTCCCGATACTTGGCGCTGACCGACGAAAGATCGGCGAGGGTTGCAGTATGTGTCTCTTGCAGCGCAACGTATTGCTTTTGCAGCTCCTCGTTGACGCCCTCGGTAGAAGCAGCAGCAGCAGCAGCCGTCGCGGCGGCAGGTTCCTTGTCGTTTGCTTGCGCGCGCGCAACCTCTTCGTCAAGACTCTGTCGTGCCTTGGAAACTTGACCAACGAGTCCACCCAACCGCGCACGATCTTCTTGCGCAGCATCCCTCTCTTCCTCCCATCGCTTGAGTCTTTCCTCCAACTCGGTGACACGATGCTCCCGTTGCTCAAGTTCTGCTCGCCAACTTTCGCCATCCTTGGTGAGCGTGAGCATCTGGCGTTCCAATTCTTCCGCCTGAGCACGTCGCGACTCGGATTGAATCTCGAGCGCCTGTATCGTCGCGCGCAACGCCAAGACGTTTTCGTCTGCTTTGGACAGTCGCGCTTCTAAATCGGCAATGTGTTGGGCCGAGTGAGCCTCTGCGTCTTTGAATGCTGCAATTTCCCTCTTGAGATCGGAAACGGTGCTGTTGGAGGATTGAGTGGTGTCATCAATGGCCTTGAGCTTGTTCTCCAAATCACGGATATAAGACTTGATGAAGGGTTAGAAAGAGGCGATAGGTGGTGTGTAAACCAACCTCGGTAGCAGACTCCCGCTCGGAAAGTTTCGCGACACGAAGGCGAAGCTCGTCGACATACGCCTCGGTAGCAGCATGACGAATAGCGAGTGATTCGAGCTCTTCTTCTTTCTCAATGAACATGTCATTGGTATGCCGCTGTACACGTCGTCAATCATTGTTGTTTAGACACCAAAGCAACTCACCAAGGCAGCACGATTGAGACTCAACTCTGCCTCCATGGCACTAATCGTCTTTTCGTACTCGTCGATGACGGGTCCCACAATCTCCTCATACTTGCGCGACGCACCCACAGCGCCGCCGGCATAGCGCCTATCCTCCATCTCCCTCCGTAGACGAGTGAGCTCTTCCGTGCGCTCAGTAAACTTGGATCGGAGGTCTTCATAGTTGCTCTGAAGCTCGACCATCTGCTCAAGCACTCGCGCGCTCGGTCCACTCGCTACATCGCCAGTACCAGCGCCAGAGGCCGAAGGAGGCAAGACGCCACCATCCTTCATGACCTTGACCTCTTTCCGAAGCTTGAGGACCATGGACTGTAGCCACTCGACGTCGTCCCACCCTTCTTCCTTTTCCCGAATCTCTGCCCGATTCTTGATATTCCTCGCACGATTTGCATACTTGAGCGTATTAATCGTCTCAGCCACGTTCCATTCCGCCGGGCTGACACACGCAATCATGAGTGTATGCGCATTGCCACCGAGCGAGTCTTGCAACAGGCGTGTGAGTTTCGAATCTCGATAAGGGACGTGGGTAGTCGCCCGTGATTTCGACGGATCACCGAGGGCAGAAATAACATTTCCCAGCGCGAGAAGACCCGAGTTGATGGAAATGCCCTCTTTGACTCGGTCTCCCTGCGCGGCGGTGCGTTTGAGACGTTCAGAGCCGGCCAAATCGACAAAGTGAAACTTGGAGACAATGGTCGTCCAGGACCCTGGTCCGTCTTCCTCCTCGGGACTCCCAGATCGATGGCCCAAGGCGGATGAAGGCCGTAGCCCGCCCCTGCTCATTGCATTGGCAAACGAGGGGGTAGGCGGCCTTCCTACGGTCGGGCTTCCAACGCGGGTACTTGGGCCGCCAGAAGCGTATACAGAGCTCGGTCGTGCGAGCCGGGACGGAGAGCGCCCCGCGGCAGGGGGTAACGGTGAGGTTGAACGTGGAGGTGCACCGCTGCCGGTATACTTTTTTTGGGTGAGCGTGAGGGAAAATATTGCGTGCGAGCGGGAGGACTGGGCGTTCATGTCGGTCTCGTTTGTCCTGCGAATTGCAGTCCCTTGCCGAATGAGGCTAGCGGCCAGCGTGTCAGCCGAGAAAACAAGAGAAAATGAAAGGTCGATAGGAAATAGACGTACTTCATGACTTCTTGCGCGTTACGGACATTTACTTCGCGTAAGCCGCCCCAAATGATGTGGCCGTCCTTGTCCTCGCGGATTTGGACCTCGCGACGGACGCCAGACGACTCGTCGACGAGGAGGTCGATGAGATCCTCATTATACAGCTCAATAAATGAACCTTTTATCGCGTATTGCCAGCCTCCAGCCCTCTCCGTCTTGAGTTCGTTTGCCTTTGCGAATATGGCGGCAACGGCACGAGGGATGATACCCATGCCATTTGTCGCGTCTCTTGGGTCAGCATCCAAGTCGACACCGGTCATGGAATACGTCTTTCCGGACGACGTCTGGCCATATGCGAGCACGGTGCAGTTGAAGCCCTCGAGAAAGCGCGAGACGAGCGGCTGGGCAGTCGACGTATAAAGGGAATGTTGCGTTGTGGATTGACCGTGGACTTGGTCGAAATTAAACGTCTGCTTCTTTGGCGGGGGGCCAGTGACTGGCTGCGAGCCGCCTTGTGCTGGAGGACCGCTGGTGGCGTCTACGGCGACTTGGGTTGTAGAAGAGTCATGAATTACAATCCGCTGGAATCGAGGGGGTATGTTTGTCGCGTCCTGGTTGGTCACGGGCCTGATACGAACCGCTGGAGGGCGACGGTGAGCCAGCTACTCGCCAACAACACGGACATGACAATCTGTAGTACTTACCGACTTGGACAGACGTGGTTGAGCCAGCACTGGCGTTGGCCGGCGCCATTTCAAACGAACGGTTGGGGATAGCGGTAGAGTCCAAGAGAGGGCGGAGCGGAGATTGACGGAGACTGGCGACAAATCCCAGCTTGTTAGAATACTATAATACTTTAAATAATTGTGATACGCTCGCCATTATCTCTGGGATTTCTCGCCGCCGCCCGAGGACAACGATCGAGACAGCGGCACTCTCAAGCAGGTGGCCTCCGGTTTCTCATCTCACCCACGTCCTCGCCTGCAAGCTGAAAAAATGTCGAGATATCCCAGCATGTCCCAGAGGCCAGCGTACGATCAGACATTGCTGGCTGGAGCTCCCTCGGTCACGCGCGAGGAGCGCCAGGTGAGCTGAGGGTTTGTTGACACCCATCGGCGTTGCTGACATCAAATCGGAAAGGCTGGATATGATATTAATGCACTTGAATCTGGCAATTACGGTGCTCCCATCGCTTCAGGAAGCCGTCCAGCAGGCACCAGAGCGTACGAATACCCAACGACAACGGCGGACCCATTCGCGGACCCATACGCACAAGAAAGATCCTTTACGCCTTCTATCACTCGTTCAACAACCAAGAAACCGTGGTGGACGACGAAGCGAGGGCGCTGGGCTCTCGGTCTAGCCGCCATTGTCTTCATTGGCTTGATCGCGGGGATTGCAGCAGGTACTGCAGCCGCACGTAATGCTCGAAATAGGACTCTATTGCAAAACAACGAAGCAGCAGAGTCTCCTCAAGGCGCCCAAAGCTCCAGCACTTCACGTGTTCAAGCCCTTCCTTCTTCCTCTTCTACCCCTTTAACCTCTTCTTCCCCCCAGACTACATCAAATCCAATTCTACAACAACCAAATGACAGTACACCGTTTGTCACACGTACTACCCTGGTCGTAGCTCCCACGCCAGACGTCTCCGTGCTTCCTCCAAACCAAGGAACGACCATCACCTTTGGAGCACCGCCAGCCCAAACTCCAGGAACATCGCCCAACATTGGCGATGAAGACATTCCGCTCATCTGCTACGTGGTCCCTCACAGCAGCGCTTGTGCGCCCTACTTTGAGAATGGTCGACGAAGATCATGATCATGATCCAATGTGTCGACTCCTGGAGAATTCAACAGGCCGGTACTGATTGACGACGATCCTTGTTGTATAACTTTTTGATGTAGACTATATCCTCCGAGCTGGCTTGTTAATACACGACGTCTTTCAGAATACTTTACTCCTGACCAACACTCGAGTCAGGCTCCGATGCTGAGAACCTGACAACAAATTAGTAGAAGCGAATCCGCTAACGGACCTAGAAGCGCTCCCGCGCCTAACCCGTGGGTCATAAACCCCCCCTTTCGCTGTCCAACGTCCTAAACCTCCCCCAAACTGATATCCCATTTAACGGCAAATGGGAGACGAACTAGACCTCTGGAATGTCCTCACCAATCTCGCAGACGACTATCAAACGCCAGAGGCCGCTCGACCAGAGGCCTCGACGGTCCTCCTCAGCCTTCCCAACGAGCTTTTACTGAAAATCATAAACTACAGTAAATTCTCCGACGCTCGTTCTCTGGCATTGGTGTGCAAGAAACTTAATGCTATGGCCATCTACAGACTCTACGCCACCGTCGCGCTCTATCCCGGCCAATTTGTACCCAAGGGACTACGCTCAAAGCTCGAAAAGGTCTCTACGGAAGAATTTTTACGTCTGCATGCAGACGCAGGTTACCGTCGTGGTGGCCTAGTCGGGGGTCTACTCGCACGACAAGCGCATTTGGACGCCGTACGAACCCTGATCATCTCCGATCCACCAGGATCGTGCGTATCCGACTATGGACGCCATGCTAATGCCATCGTCAGAGAGGTCATTTCGCGTGCAAGAGGCCTTCGGCACATTTCTTTACCGTCCATGGCAAACTACACGCTCGACCCTGAGAATACGTTGGCCTTGGATTTACGTGGTATTCAGTTCCCAGCATCCCTGAAGTCGGTATGCATTGCCCAACTGCCGCTGGGTCCAACAACAGACTTGCAACCCATGCTAGCAAATATATCAAGCCTCGACATTCAAGGTGCACTGTTTAATTATGATGTGGGGATATTTGATATTGGTGTAGGACTAAGTCTTCGCCATTTGAATTGTACGTGGGACCTTGGTGATGTCAAAGGCACAATCCTTGGACTAGATACAATCCACAACTTCATCAGAGCACTATCTAACCTTAAAACACTCGCAATAACTGTCTACTACAATACGACTGACGATTACATACGAACATCATCTGTCAGTGCCTTGCTGGAAAGTTTGAGAACAATTATTCACTCTTGTTCCAGGACATCTTCGATTTCTACGCCGATGTGATAAAGCCGTTGAAAAGTCTCCGCAAGTTGACAGCTCTCCGGTTTATGCTAGGCGGAGACTACGACCGTGATGAACTAGACCTAGAGCCCTCGAGGGTACTTCGGTTCACAAAGGCCCACCCAAGTCTTGAACAGCTTACATTGCCAATAACTTGGTGGACCAACGTCACCTGGAAACGATGTATCCAACTGGAGGAAGACGAGGAGACGGTCGTTTGGTTACCGGATCCAGCCATACATTCAAGATGGAGGATATGGTTCGACATGTACACCATTCCGGAATTGGTCGGACAGCGAATGCACCAATTCTGGGGAAGTGAGAGGCGGATCCCTTCCATTGTCGATCTTCAAAAATGGTTCTACCGGGACGGAAAGGGACCAGGATCTTGAGCAGACGGAGAACACCTCGTTACACAATCTATGAATTTCCCAGTCGGTCTTTCATTGTATATTGTTTCTTCCATGAGACGTTTGACAGAAAGAACCGCGAGATATATTCAAAATGATAGTAGTACAACACTAGTGGGCATTATTTCGAACGGTCGTCCAAGAGGACCCACATTGGAAACGTGTGAAGTCAAGCCTAGTTGCACGGAGCGGACTTGACGTCGGTATAGTGAGAAGATGCGGATATTGTAGTCCATGTCGATTCCCTGGCGGTACCCAGAAAAGAAGCTTGCCGGAAGATTGCACCCAGCCATCATGCAAAAGCGAACATTGTTTAAAACCAGGTATATGAATCTCCAGGGGGATACCCGGTAATTCATCGCTAAGCCCTGGATACAAGGGCTCTTGGCCATCCTTGGTGGAGTTATTCACATTTGCACCTAATTGCGTCAGGTTGAACAATCAACTAAGCTCCGAATACACTCACCAGTGTTGGAGTTCCATAGTCGGATAGTCTTGTCATTCGAGCCAGAGACAATTTGTGAGCCATCTGGCGAGAACGCAACGGCGTTGACTGATCCTTCATGACCTTGAAGTGGCTTTCCAAACGGCTGGCGAGTGACTACATCCCATAGCCGAATACTGTGGTCGCGCGAGCCAGATACAAGTCGCAAGGTATCTGGCGCGAATGCCACAGTCAGAACGCCGGATGTATGACCATGGAGTGGTTCTCCCAATGGCTGACCAGTGTGCGCGTTCCATAGTCGAATTGTGTGGTCCTCCGAGCCAGAAACAATTTGCGAGCCATCTGGAGAAAATGAAACAGAGTAGACATCGCGTTCATGGCCTCGAAGCGGCTCTCCGAGGGGTCGACCAGCGACTGCGTCCCATAAGCGAACCGTCTTGTCGTGCGACCCAGAGACGATTCGTAAACCATCTGGGGAGAATCCAACGGCATTCACTGATCCTTCATGCCCCTTAATGGCTCTCCCAATGGTTGACCAGTGATTGTGTCCCATACACGAACCGTCTGGTCGAGCGATCCAGAGACAATTCGTAAGCCATCTGGGGAGAAAACGACGGACTTGACTGATTCTTCATGACCTTGGAGTGGTTCCCCCAACGACTGACCAGTGACTGCATCCCACACTCGAATCGTCTTGTCCTCTGAGCCAGAGGCAACTCGCGTTCCGTCGGGAGAGAATGCGACGGCGTTAACCGAACGTTGATGATGTCGGAATGGCTCTCCCAATGGCTGACCAGTGGCTGCGTTCCACAGTCGGATCGTGTTCTCGCTTGAGCCAAAGATTGTTCCAGAACCAGAGACGATTTGTGAACCATCTGGCGAGAATGCAATGGCGTTAACATTGGATTCGTGACCTTGAGAGGGCTCCCCCAATGGCTGACCAGAACATGCATCCCATAGTCGAATTGTAGCATCCCAAGATCCAGAGACGATTTGGGAGCCGTCTGGGGAAAACGCAACAGAAGATACACAGCTTTTATGACCTCGGAGTGGCTCTCTCAGCGGTCGTCCAGTGGCTACATCCCAAAGTCGAATCGTATTATCCCACCCCCATAATTGTCCCGACGCAGAGACAATTTTTGATCCATCTGGCGAGAATACGACGGCTCTGACCGCACACGAGTGTCCTCGAAGTGGGTCCCCCAACGGGCGACCAGTAAGCGAGTCCCATACTCGAATCGTGCAATCACCCGAGCGGGAGAGTAGTGGCGGTCCCGAGCCCGAGACAATTTGTGAACCATCTGGCGAGAATGCGACGGTATAGACCACAGATTCGTGGCCATAAAGCGGTTCTCCGAGCGGCTGACCAGTATGTGCGTCCCAGAGTCGAATTGTCTTGTCCTCTGAGCAAGAGACAATTCTCCTACCGTCTGGCGAGAACGTGACATCGTTTACTGCAGATGCGTGCCCTCGGAGTGGGTCTCCCAGCGGCTGGCCAGTATCTGCATCCCAGATTCGAATCGTAGCGTCGGCCGAGCAAGAGACGATTCGTAAGCCATCCGGAGAGAATTCAACGGCGTAGACTGTAGATGTATGACCCCGGAGTGGCTCTCCCCAAGGCTGACCAGTGTCCGCATCCCACAGTCGAATTAACGTATTGTCCGAGCCGGATACAATTCGTGAGCCATCTGGCGAGAATGCAACACTATGGATGAATCCATTGTTAGCTTTGAAGGGCCTCCCTAATGGCTGACCAGTATCTGCGTCCCACAGTTGAATGCCTGAGTCTTTTGAGCCAGAGACGATACGAGAGCCATCTGGTGAGAACGCTACAGTGTAGATAGAAGCTATGTGGCTTTCTAAGGCTCTAGGGAGCCCAGGATACGCCTCCTCAAGCCCTTGAGTAACAACGAGGGTGTTTGAATGCACCTTTAGACCCTCGATGTGTAGCTTGGACTGTTTAGGAGTAAAAGGAAGCGCCGAAATATAGATATGGGGAGCACTGTCCCGGATTGGCACCAAAAAGGCCATTATGAAGCGTCGGATTTCGGTCATGCTCCTTCTAGTCTCCTCGGCAAGCTGTATATTGTATAAAACATCAGATTTATTTAGGATAGATGACTCACCCCTCTGTGGCCTGTGACACCTCGAAGACCGGCTATCGCTCGCGTGACGCCTCCGGTAACGCTCAGAATCTCTATCCAGTAAAGAACGTGTGGACTTTGAATAACATATATAACTCCATTGTTGAGCGTGTGCTGCCAGTCGTCGTTTGTTCTTGCCATGTGGAACAACCAATGGGAACTGGCGTATCGAAGTCTTCGTGAGATAAACTTGGATACTCTGGCACCAAGGTCGGTTATATCCCGATTTAGGTAGAAAGATGATTCGAGTTGACATATATTGAACTTGAGACCATCAGTGGGCGACTGCAGACATTTTAGGCACCATGACGCGGCTTGGCCATGCGCATTGGCGATATCGATGAACACTTTCTTGGTTGTATCGACAGTTTCGCGGACGCAGCGCCGTCGAAGGTACTCGACGAGGGTGGGATGGCGAAAGTGAATTAAGCCTGTCTTCTGATCTTCAACGAGTACGCTTCCCAAGGTTTGTACCAACGCTTTGGCGCTTCCACGTACTCTAGCGTGTTTCAGAAGATCCTCCAGATCGCCTATGTCGAGCGGTTCAAATGCAGCAACCAGCAGTGCGAGCATCGCGCACAAGATTGAGCCCTGTTCTGAGTTTGTGCGCTCGAAGACGAGATCGTATACGTCATCTATGACTCCAGTCTGATTCATGGAGATTAGGCGATCATATGTGTCTTCGGGCGAACTCAAGTTGAATTTGCTAGTGAGCATCCGACACGCCGTACTCGCCCAGATGAACAGGCCGTTGGCCTTCTCAACCAGACGTTGCCTCTTATCCTGCGGTAGAATCCCATAAAGGGAGTGGTGTATATAAATCGCTATGTCGCTGATGTTATCGGGATGTTTGACATCGTGAAGGCGGTCTTCCAACTTGTATTTGATAGAGAGTTGCTGCAAAACCGCTTCGAGGACCGGATCAGGTCGACTTGTGATGAATACTTTTTAGGTTGGGGGTTTCTCGTGTAGCCGCGGCAAGTGTGTCGATAAGCTCCTTTCGCTGTGATCCGGACTTGCATTCGTCTATGGCGTCGAGCACGAAAATCACGCGCTGTTGTCGATGATGGAGCGGACCAGTGACGAGCGTACGAAACTGTTCACCAAAGGGACTTCGCATGATAGCCGGATGTCGCTTCACCGCCTTGGCGACTTGCGGCGCGAGTTCAGGTATATGATGTGCGATTTCCTTGGCCATGGTCGAGCAGAACTTTTCAGTGGTTGATGCATCGGCGCTGGCCATAGAGAAGAAGAATTGCCCTCCTAGCAATCCCTCCGCTCGCCACGAAGCTACGGTAGACATTGCAACCGAGGATTTGCCGGAGCCAGCTATGTCGCATAGCCAAAATATTGGTTTATCCGACATATCGTCTGCGGCCCAACGCCAAATCGCTTCCAGAACAGCCTGGCGCGTTCCTTGCAGACAGGGTGTATGAACCGAAGACGCGGCAAATGCCACCATAGGTAGCTGGAGTATGGCATTTGCATCGACTTCGATTGATTAGCAGGCGTTCCGTAGACAATTGTTGGGCCTACCATCTGTGAGGAGTGTCTCCACATTGGCTTTGGTAGTCTTAGTATTTTGTTCGATGGTTTGAACATGTAACGCGGTGAAAAGACCCAACGCGTTCTGCATCTATGGTAAAATTGCGAATGATGTCGACGATCCTCTTACCATGAACTGCCTATGTCGATCTTCAATCTCTTGATTGAGTCTACGAATCTCCCCTGCATCAATTTTCACTTTACTGATCGCTCTGAGGAAGCCGAATTTGCTACGGCTGGGTTTCTCCTTTAGATTGGCAACCAAAATATACAGTTTGTCGAGGGTTCTGGACCGATCAGTCAATAGCAATAATGCTGGGCTGCTCACCTACTCGGCGTAGAGTATGAGCGGCCGCCTGACCGGGTTGTTGACGACCGTGTCCTTGAGAGGATCTGCCTCAAATAACGCAACCTGTTCTTCGAGTGAAGACGTATATTCCTTCAGACGTTGCGCTAGGTTGATCCAATCCTCGTGATTGTCATTGATAGACTGCGCTTTTTGTAAGACAAGGTTGTGACACTTTCGGTCAACCAACCAGCATGACATCGAGGATTGTCTTCGTCGCTCTACAGGCTGCTTTAAGAGGGGCGAGTATATCTGACGCCTCTGCTACATTTGCCACCAGGTCCAGACCAAGGCTTGCCACGTTGTACGCTTGAGTCCTCTTGTGCGATGGCCTCCCGGTGGAAGACGATGATACTTGAGGATTTAGAGTTTTATTGGTGAACGTAGTGTGCTCTCGGGACGACATCGTGAAGGTGGATGAAATCCAAGATGATCGAGTCGGCGTCTGCGACTTCAACTCCCACGACTAAACAAACATGTACTTGATTTCCTTTCCGATTGGATCTCTTAAAATGTTCGCTGTCGGGCTCATGCTTGGTACACACTCTCTCAAAGCAACAAACTCCTCTTAATTTTCATCAACAACTCGTAGCCTCTTCGTCGTCTAGACTACTACAACCCGTGTGAGGGATGAATGTTCAATTTGGTTGTAAGTTTAATAGCAAGTAATGGCATATGCGACACGCTTCTAGTTCCAAATTTATAATAGCAATCTTGCTCCTGGCTGCGACGGCGCGACTCAAACTCAACTTTTGACGAGCCGAAAGATCAAAAAAAACGAGTATGACTCGGCCTTTCTGACGAATTGAACCTGAAAATAAGCGCCGCAGACTTATTATAAGTGGGTTGCCTGCCGCATCCAGGAATCCTCAAACTCCCTACTGTCATACAAAGTAAGCCAATCGATATTTGCACCCGCGCGCCTCTTATAAAGCCCCAGCGTGATCTACATATCTGCTTCGACACATTCCGCGGCTATCATCCCAATGGAAGACGAAACCGGCCTTTGGTATATCCTAACAGATCTCGGAGATGACTATGTGGTCCCAGATGCTCGACCAGACGCCTCGACGGTTCTCCTTAGCCTTCCCACCGAACTTTTGCAGGAGATTGCAGAGTACTGCAAGTTCTCCGACGTCCACTCGCTCGCAACTGTGTGCAAACAGCTGCATCCTGTGGCCATTTACAGGCTCTACACTACGGTTGCACTCCATGCAGCCAAATTCCTGTCGACGACGCTGCATTGGACGCTAGTCGATAGCGATGTGACTACGGAAGACTTTTTGGATCTCTGCACTGTGTCGGAATCTGCCCATGGTAGAATTCTCTGTGGCTTGCTGGCACGACAAGAGCATCTGGACGCTCTCCGAACGCTGATAATATGCGACACACCGACCTCCTACTTATCCAGTTATGGGCGTCACGTGAATATGATCATCAAAGACATCATCTCCCGTGCAAGAGGGCTTCGACACATCACCTTCCCGCCCCTTGGATACAACCGGCCGTACTCCTTGCACCATGCCGACTCTGGGGCTTCCAACTACGATTCGCCTCTGGACCTGAAGGAGTATCAGTGGCCTAGTTCATTGAAATCACTACGCTTGGATGTCCTCCCAGAGAATAATACGGATCTGCGTACGTTGCTTGGGGAGATTTCAAGTCTCATGATCCGGCATGTGGTCCACATTCCCGGAGACGAAACGTTGAACATTGGTCTCGGGTCAAATCTTCGACATTTAGACTGCCGTTGGCATTTTTACGATGGAGACGCAATCGATCGAAGGTGGACCCTCATGTCGATCCATAACTTTATCACGGCGCTCTCCGGTCTAGAATCGCTGGCAACAGGGATCCAGTATACTCCACAAAATTGGGGGAAGATTGTCCGCATGTCATCGGTAAGGAGTTTCCGCTAGTATCCATAACATGGGCCAACCGTTTTGCACAGGAAATTCTTGAAGTGTACATTAACATCATCAAGAAACTCAAGCGTCTCCGTGAACTCAAAATCTATGGATTCGATTCAAGAGAGGATCCTGAATTCACACTTGAACACTCTGCTATCCTGCGCTTTGCAAATACCTGCCCAACGCTAAGACAGGTCATACTCCAAATACCCGACGTGCACCGATACACAGAGAATATCATGTGGAAACGATGTGAACATCGAGAGGCAGTCACTGGGGAAGCTCCTATTTGGCTACCTGACCCAGCGACTGTTCAGAGATGGAAGATATGGTTCAAAGTGTACACTACTGCCGAGCTGGTCGAGAAGCGGATGCACCAGTTTTGGGGCAAGGAACGCCTGATTCCATCACTTATAGACATAGAAAACTTCGGCCCATGATACAGATTCGACGTATAGAAGGGTAAATGCGCAATCTATGTTCACTAAAAGCTACATTGAATGCATTCTTGTAGTCACTGCAGTCGACCAGATGAAGCAACCCGCCGGACGGTGTCAATAGTCGGCTGAAAGTGGATGCTGGTGATTGGTCCTTCGTCAGATAGAGTCGCCTCAGACTGGACTGTGTGCTGTACCACTCGCGTGACGGGTAGGATGCGTTGGATCTCTTCGGTCTCTAGAGTATCCAAGGATGACTCTTGTAGCTCGGGCTCCTCCAGAATCATTAGGCATGAGACAGAAAGATAGGATCATCACTGACCTCTGAAACATTGCACATGGCGTTTGGAGCTTTGAATAGAGGCACATTATCCCAAGGATTGGAAACATCGACGTCAAGAGGTGTCGTGATTTCACTGGATGCGATCGAGCCTTCATCCGTTGGTGCCATGCTCAAAATGCTTTGACGTTCCTCTGAGAGCGCATGAGTCGTGAGCCCAGTCTGGTGCATCCGTAACGACTATGGATGGAACGCTGAGCAGCTCAGCCACTGAACCTGTCGAGTATGGGCCACTCACCCCGTTTGCTCTGTAGGCGAGACCAGTGTGGATTCCCAGTTTGTAGGAAGCTTCTTTCGATGAAATAATGCGCTCGTCTTCGTTGACATCGCCTTTGCCATGGAACCCAATTTGGACAAAGATTTGCGAGACAAGGATGCCCCGGCTTCATGAGGTAAAGCGGATGGATTAGACTCGAATTGAGCTTCAGAGTTGTTGTGGAATAGATAGTCGGGCGTATGGTCATCAGAGAGAAGCACAGCGAGCTGTTTCGCCTGTCTGTGGCTGAGTGTGCGTGCATTGGGAGTGGACATGATACGAGTCGTAATGCGAAGAGAAGAGAGTACAAGAAGGAAACGTGATGACTGCAAGCCGTACAAATGCAGAAATGAGTGGCGGTTGTTGGGAGCAAGTTGTATTTCAAACCTGGTGCCGACCATCCCCGTCTTCTGTTGCCATTTGCTTCCTCGAAACTGTTAGGACTATACTCTTTCGAAGACAGCTCGCGCAGAGTCAGGGCTAATTGGACTGAATGTCATGTCTCAGATAATGCGGCGTCCAGAGATGCAACGACGTACCATATGGTTATCTTCTTGAGAATATTCTGCAAGAAACGAGGCCGGCTCGACGATGCATGTGGTACCTGTGTGAGCTTGTTCTCCTCCATTGCCGCCACCACCGCTCGCGACAAAAGCTAGAATGTTTGGCAGGAATATCCGCAGTACTATTCTGTACGCACGAGCTTATCGACCGCAACGACGACTTGCTACGCTTGCAGAGGTCTGTCGCGAGTTCGACAGCCGCGTATGTTGAACATTCAAGACAGGAAGTCCTGCGTGACGAGACGTTTCACATTCCAGTAGTCACATTCTCCAAGTTCCGCAATGCAAAATCCACCGCGGAGCGCGAGCAAACCGCTCAAGAAGTCGTGAATGCGTTCAAGGAAGTGGGTTTTGTCTATTTAAAAGAGTACGTGTATATGCATTACAACCTTATACCATTAACATAGCGTAGTCATGGCATCCCTCAATCAGTGGTCGATAATGCATTCAAACAGGCAAGTCACAAACTAATATTCTTGTGACTTGACAGAGTGACAATTAATAGAGTGCCGAGTTCTTCAAGCTCCCGATTGAGGAGAAGATGAAGCTTGCGTGGGAGGACCCTCGGTCCAATAGGGGATATGTTGCCAAAGGTCGTGAGCGTGTCACTCAGGAGACGGACGCGGTCAAGATTGCCCAAATGCGCATTCAAGCACCAGATGCCAAGGAGAGCATGGAGATTGGTCGTGACTGGGATCCGACGTGGAAGGTATGCATCTGTTGCACACCTCGGGCCTAGACTCATTTGCGGTAGAATCAATGGCCTCCACAGTCTCTCGCCCCTTCCTTCAAGCCTACGTTTCTGAGCTTCTTTCAAACATGCCATGAGCTTCACGTCGAGGTCATGAGATCCATCGCCATGGGACTACAGCTAGGCGAACATTTCTTTGATGAGCGCATCAACGAGCAATACCACAACCTCAGGCTCCTCAACTATCCATCTATTCGTACCGAACTCCTCAAAGGCGAGGGCCAGGCGCGCGCTGGGGCACACTCGGACTATGGCACTCTCACATTCGTATTCCAGGACGGTGTCGGAGGTCTGCAGGTGCAGAATCCGCATACGAAACAGTATCATCCCGCCACCCCAATAGTACGTGCAATATGACTCGTTCCATGTCGCTGATTACGTTCCAGAGCGGGACAATTGTCGTCAACGTTGGAGACTTGCTGGCTCGCTGGAGCAATGATGTATTGAGGTCGACTCTTCACCGTGTGGTGGCACCGCAGGCGTCACTCCTTCCTCCGGGTAAGCCATGCCCTAAGAGGGCAATGTTCATGTGTCTAACTCAAGTATAGACGCAGAGATGACGCCTCAGAGACAGTCTATTGCATTCTTCTGCAACCCAAATGGACGAGCAAGCATCTCCTGTCTACCCAACTGCCTCGGATCAACGGGCCCCAAGTACCCCACGGTCACCACGGAGGATTATATCGTTGGTAGACTGAAGGATACATATAGTTAAGGATTTGAAGCTTTCTTTGTCTCTATCTTGTTGGTTGGTTGTTTTGAAATCTACCGGCTATTATTTTGCCGCCTACCATTACCATGTCCGATTCCGATGCCTCGAACGCGTCCAATGTTGCCACAAAAGCAGATAGCACGACGAGTGAAGCAAGTTCTCGTGAAGGACTCCTCGCCAAAGCCAGAGCTTTTCTGCGCCAACCGGATGTACTTTCACAAGACGTAGCTACCAGGCGGGAATTTTTGATAGAAAAGGGACTTGATACAGAGGAGGTTGATCAGCTTATTTCAGAGACGGTTAGAGTCGTTTGGACACGTCGGCTCGATTCTGACTGAAGCATCCTTGCAGCCTCCGCCCGTTCCTCCACGAACGTATCCTCAACCAGCCCCATCAAAGCTTCCAGTCATTCTATACGCAACCATGAAGCTCTTGTTACTCCTCACTGGCGCGTCGGTCGTCGGCGCTGCCATGTACTTTGTAAGTCCAAGCTATCCGATTTCTCTCGAGACGAAGATCTAAAATCGTGTAGACTTACATATACCCGAAACTGGCTGCGACGTTCGGCGCTCGCTCAAAGCTTCTTGAACATCAAACGGACCTCCTTCGACGATTACACACCACTGGAGAAGAAACGAGAAAGCACAGAGTAGGCAATCAGGTTCACTCTCTTCCACCAACAGTATCCCCGAAACCAGACGCCGCAGAGACGCCGATTACAGCCGAGGCAGAGGACGTTCCCGTCAGACTCGAAGAACAAAAGGAACCTCAGAGTCAGACTCGAGAGACACAAGAAGTCCAAGAGTCACAACCAAGCTCTTATGATCGCTTGTATACGTCGCTGCAACGACTGCGCGATGCTTTGCCAAGGAGAAAGCCTCAATACGGGTCAACGTTGCAAGACATGAGCGACATGACGGCTCTGATCACGTCGAAAATGTATGCCCCCAAGGTCCACTCGGGCATCGAGGGCGAAGTGCGAAAAGAAATTCGCGCTGCAAAGGGACTACTGCTGAACAGGTTCGACTTTCGTTCGCCTTTTCGCATTCACTGACTCATCATCAACTAGGAAAACGTTTACAAGTATCCGTCCTCAGTCTGAAGCTATCACGCCATAGATATATATATACCTTACTCGAGCGTATTCGAGGATTAATGAAATATTTGATCCAAAATACGTTCGCTAAGAAGACATACAACCACATAGCAGCAGGTATGTATCCGACCCCGTCCTCGCCTGCGCGCTGCAATAGTGGTCCACCCATCCGGGCAGCAAGAAAAAAAAGACAACAACAGCAGCGTCCAAAATAAAAGCACATCTATCAAGAGCGGGGCACCAGCGCCATTGTATACTAGGGATATCCAAAAAGGAGAGGAGATCAAAATTTGAAAGATTTGGGCTAGGTGCTCCCCGCTCGTTGTGCAGACGATGTGCGATCTCGGACGTTGACTTGAGAGCGCGATGCAGGTGGGCGCGAAGTCGACTCTTCATCATCATCATCGGCTTCGATGGGCTTCATCGCATTCGCATCGTCAAGGGCGCGTTGCGCGACAACTGCTTCTGCGTGTTCGATTGCTTCTGCATCCGCATTGGCAAGTGCTGCGTTTCGCTTCTTCTTCTTCTTCTTATTCTTGCTCGAGCTTCCGCCACTCGTCGTGGATGCCGCACCAGGAGAGACTGGAGTTTCTCCAGTTTCTCTAGACGCCTCGATGGGTGAGGTCACATCGCCGTTTGATCGTCTCTTGGCGTCTTCTTCCGCACGGACAATTTGATCTACCTCGCCCTGGACGACGAGGGTAGAGATGAGTGGGTGCTTGAGCATGTCCTCGGCCGAGGCACGTAGGTCGGGATGTAAGTGAAGCATCGAGTTGAGGAACGAGGCCAACATCTTGGACTCTTCTCGGCTGAGGAGATACTTGTCATGTAAGACGTCTTCCAATGGCCAGAATCGAAGTTTGTGAATGTGTCTCAACTCGCCTGCTCGGCGTCAGTATTGTATGTGACCAACTCGTTGTACGAACCTTTGCGGTTGAAAAATTCGCCACTGTACTTGCCCGCAAATGCCACGCTCTTGGGAAACTCGCCCATGAGTTCAATAATTTGGGCAATATGATCGTCATCTTTCGAGTATCTCGAGCCGGATGCAGGGTCGAACAGGTAGTCTCCGCCGGTCAACAATTCGAAGAACTAGGAAGAACATAAATTGGGGGCCGGGTCGATGAGATGCAACCTCACCAAGCAGGCCGCACTCCAAATATCTGCACTCGTACCCCAGGGTGCTCCGAGGATGACCTCTGGGCACCTGTACTGGCGGGTCTGAATGTCATCTGTAAAATGATGATCCGTCCAGGTGGCTTTTGGGCGCTTGTCAGCTTTCCAAATCCGGTCGGTCACACGCCTGAGAGAGCTTACCATTTCCGAGATCTGCAATCTTGACGGTGATTCGCTCCCAAGCAGAATCGTCCCTCAGCAGTCGGTCGAGTGGGTGAATATCGGCATCTTCGGGAGGTTCAAGTACGTCTGGTGAGGTCTGCAGCGTCGGCCGTTGGGGGGCCGCGTTGGAGGAACCGGGTGCACTGAGGGAAAGTGCCGAAGGTCCTACGGGTGCCTTGTTAGCAGCCACATTCGCCCTCTTCTCCCCAAAGGATGCGTCGAGCGTCGACATTTTTTCGACGGCCTGTTCCGTAGAGTCGCCGCGCCTGCCATTGCTCGCCTTGGAATTGTCGACGCTGCCAATCGCATGCGTGGTGCCGCTCATGTCGTCGTCGTCGTTCATTCTGGTCATCAAAAAGGAGCGCTTGTCGAGCATTGGGCTGGTGCCTGCAGACGAACCAGGACTGGATAAGGGCTGTGAGCCAGTGATGAAGATGGATTCGGCTCTGGGGGTCTGATTGCCACCGCGACCCTTGGAGGGAGGGACACCAATGAGCCTCGTCTTTGCGCTCGTCGACGACTGTGCGAGTTCGTTGACGATGACATTCTCCACGTCGTCGATGCACACGAGGACGTTTTCGGGCTTGAGGTCGGTGTGGATCACGCCGCAGGCGCGGTGCATATAGTCCAGGCCGAGGAGAACTTGCTTTGCAATCTGGCGGACGAGACCAATTGGAACACCTTTGGTCTGATGTCGCTTGATGAGCCCCAACAGGTTCTCACCCAGAACTTCGAAAACCATGCAGACGTGGTTGCCATTGGGGCCCTTGTGTCGAAAATGATCGAGAAATGAAATGACATGTGAGCGGCCCGGGTGCGTTGGGTCCGAGGAGATGAGCCGTTGGAGGAGCTTGATCTCATCGAGCGCCGTCTCTGTATAGCGCGCCGCAGACTTGACGACCTTGAGCGCGATGTGTCTGTTCATTCTTTGAAAATAAGAATGTAAGCAGGTGGCGCAGGGCGAATAGGAGTTGCATAGACGTACTTTGTATCCTTTGCGAGCCAGACGGTGGAGAAATGGCCCCAACTGGGCAAACAGTGAGCCGCTGAACGCACTAAAGATGACAAAGAAACTCACCCGAGCTTGCGGACGACGACGTAGCGGCCATCGGAGAACTTGTCACCAATGTGGACGGGGTGATAGCCACCGGGCACATAGTCTTCCCAGTCCTCTTCCTCGCTGAGATCATGGTTCGACGTCTGATTCGACTTGTACGACGACATTGCGGCGGCGACGACAAAATGGGCCAGACGAGGAGGAATCCAAGAGACGAATCACGAGCCAATAAACAGGAATCTGCCGCGCTGACGGGCTCATTGGACGGCTGGTTATAGTTTATCACAATCTCTATTATCCTTCCGTTGTCTCGCAACACCTCGGGTCCTTATCCGAGCGAAGCTCCTGCGATTACCCGTAACGCCGATTGCCATCGACTGCGTTGAACCAGTCGTCTGTATTCCGAGCGTGGTCCATCTGAGCCACGTTGATGATAATCGACTTGGATTGTGAGTCTGTCTTTGGTCAGCTGCTACTCAAATCCCACAAGTAAGCGGGCACCTACAGCTTTCAAACGCCTCGATCCCATTCTCCCTGCCTATCCCACTTTCTTTCATCCCACCCCTGCGATTGCGGTTACTCAGCGTCCTTCCCTGGGGCGAGATCGGTCCGCGGCTGGCTTACCATGGCGAGCTCGGGTCATTTCTGTGATGGGTATTGACCCAAACCAGACCAGACTCTAGCTCGTTAGCGATGCGGTGCGCTCTCGACAAGTCTTGCGTCCACAGCCCCGCACCAAGCCCATATTTGCAATCATTCGCCAGCGATACTGCATGCCTTTCGTTCTATTATGCAAATCAGTAGTTGATCACCTGTGCATCTGATCATATTACCTCGAATTTCGCAACGGCCAAAACCGGTCCAAAGACTTCTTCTTTCCATAGTTCATCCTCCACCCCGACATCCTCCACTATGGTCGGCGCAAAGAAGCTTCCCATCGAAAAGTCGAATCCGTCGAGAGATGAAACCCCATTCATCTTTTCCCCGCCAATCAGAATCTTGCGGTTGCTTTTGCGTACCGCGGCCGCAACTCTCTCAAGGCTCGCCGGCGAGATGACGGTGCCCATTGTGGACTGAGGATTTAGAGCTGGAAACAATCAGTCCACTGATAACGACAATAGTGAACATTTGACGCACGATCGCCCATGCCCTTGGTAATCTTGTCCACTTTTTCGACAAGGCGAGCCATGAACTCATCGTAAATGGATTCATGAACAAGTAACCGCGTAGCCGAGACACATGTCTGTCCAGACGCGATGAATGCCGCAAAAGCCACCCCGTTGACCGCAGCAGCTATATCCGCATCTTCAAACACGACCACGGGTGCCTTTGGACGGATCAGCCAGAGTCGCGCATCGTCACGAAAACTATACTTTGCCACCAAGCTCCGCCGTGTAGGACGCCAAGTTGCTTCCTGCCAAGCTCCCAATCGCTCGCCCGGTATTCGTACCAGCCTACGGTGGTCAACCTCGCTCTATTATGTAAGGTAAACTCACTGTGACGTCGACTTTCTTCACCAAAGGATGTGATACGAGGGTTCTCCCCAGTTCTGGACCTGCACCAGTGAGCACGGTGAGTACAGATGGTGGCAAGCCTGCCTCGAGGGCCAGTTCCGCAAACTCGAGCACGGTCAGGGGAGCTTGCTGCATTCGTTTATAAGTGCAAAGACTCGAAGGTTATTCATACCTCGGATGGCTTGACAATCTAGTGACTATCAGCGACATCACAAGAGGAAATTTTCGCCATACAACCGAGTTTCCCGCTGCGAGAGCTGGGCCTATCTTTTTCAAGGCGATCAAGAGAGGATGATTGAAAGGCTATGATCATAAGAAGCTGCATCATGTACGAGTGGTGAACGGACCGTAATCTGGACAACAACTCCAAGTGGTATTCGATTGACATAGTTGAGCAAGGGCCCCTGAGTCGGAGCGACAAAACCAGAATGTACACGAAGCAGTGCCGCATAATAGTCCCTGTAGGTCGATTGAGAAGAGATTACGAGTTGAACGGATAGACATACAGCCATTCAGGAAGTCGGGACAACTGGGCCCGCATTTCGCGAATAGCGCGTCCAGTTTGAAGACTCTCTAATTCTGCAAGCTCTGGAATTCGCTTTTCGAGAGACCTCGCCATCTTTCCCAGTACAACGAGCGTTGTATCGCTGGTGCGCGCGACCATTTGCCTTCTTTGAATGTCTCATGTGCTAAATTTACTGCTTCGTTTGCCTGTTCCGCTGATGTAGAGGTCACACTGTGGCTTATCAGGGGCGACTTGACCAGAATCATGAACCTACGTGGAAAGGAGGTCACCGTTCGCAGGGTTATGAACAGGAATCCTACAAATATCAGAGGCTAGTCTTGCTTTGAGTGATAGACTTGCTCGTTGCCTGCACCGGTCACAAACTTGCCTCCAATAAACGGTCCATAGCGCGGTTTCTTGTGGACTGTCAGACGAAGAGAGTTGATAACACAGGGTCCACCGACCAATGATAGCTTCTTGAGGGCTTGGGCAGATCTCGTTGCCATTGTGGTCGGGTCAGAGTTGTTTATCTACGAGCGTTCTGCAAACATCTTCCAGAACTGTTCGACGTTTTTGCATCTCCACGATGTGCAAGCTAAGTAAACGACGCGGGGCCCTTGTCGACTCGCTTGTGAGGGCCTGAGAACGGCGGTCGCGGCCTTGGACTGCGATCCAAACTCGCCCGAGCTTTGCCACTCCGGTTTTGTAAATCACTTTGATGTCCACATTTTGTCATTTGCAGCGTCGACGATCCACAATGTCCAAAACAAGGGGGTCAAACCACTTGGACCTGCTGACCACCTTCGACTTTGGAGAAACGAGACGCAAGCCTTGAACGGGCTCAAGCACGATATCCTATTGCCTTTTAATGTCGGAGCACAACGTAAAATGGAAACAGCAGCTCGCTGACAGCCGGTGCGTTGCATCTAATCCAGCTTTGAAAAATCAAAGTTGATATCAAAGTAGCGACACGTTCGAGGCAAAAGTCGACGTAATTTTGCGCTCTTTGCTTAATGAAATGTCTGGAGGCACGTCTACGACTGAGAAACCTCCTGAGCGGAGCGAAGCAGCGACTCAGACGGAGCCTGAAGTTTCAAACATGCAACTTGTCGTGTCGCTCTCACCTGTGGTGACTACATCGGACAGTGGGACACTCGTGGACCAAAAGGACGAGGCTTCGCGCGATATACTGCACCGGTTGAGGGAGTCCATGCCTGAGGGTGAAGAGGCGCTGCGAGCGACGATAGCCGTTACATATTCCATTCTCATTCAACAGAAGAGCACGATAAGAAGTTTTGAGCAATCTTTGGTATCTCTGAGGGACGAAAACTCGGTTCTCGTGAAACGCCTGGAAGCAAAGGAGGCGGAGAATCGCAAATATCAGGCTGCCCAGGAAACACACGAAATCACTACGAATAGACTGACGGCAGAGCTGAAAAAGGCAGGAAGAGAAGTCGAAACACTGCGAAAGTCGATTGGCGAGTTTCACATACCAGCAAGTCCATTATTCCAAAGCGTCAAAGATGCCGTCCTCAGGGATATGCGAGGAGAGAGTATGTGATATTTGCGCTACATGTTCCCGCTAAAGCTGCATTAGAATCGGTCTCACCCCGTATTCTTTCACATCCGCTCCAACTAACAGAGGACTTGCCAGAGGCGCGGCCTGTCAAGGTTAGTTCATCTCCTCGCAACTAAATCGGCCTAATTCTGGCAATAGCGGCCACGAACAAACTCGCGTGACCTGTCGACTTCCCTCGTGATAGACACGGAGATAGCCCACCGTCCTCATCAGCCTGCAACCGTTCATTCGGCTCCAATCATTCCAGGTAGACCTCTGGACACGCAAATGCAGAACATGTTTCCCAACCATCCATCGGCTCCGCCTCGACCAACTTATACCAATCAATCCCATCCCGCAAATGCACCACCGCAAATGCCAGCCCAGATGGTTCACCCCATTTAAACCTGCGCGGCCGTGGTCATCGACCTTCTCGCTCGCTCTCCCTGGATGTCCATCCCAACCCACATTTCCAGCCGCCTCTACCTACACAAGGTCCTCAGAGCTCCATGTTACTTTACACGGTTCAACAATCGATTCCTCCCAATGGTAACGGTCAACCGCAGATTACTGCGATACCGTATGGTTGGAAGCCTCCGTCCGCTTCGCCTGCTGGACCAGTTATCCCAATCCGATCCTCACACCCGCCTCCTCCACTACCGGTCACTATTGAAGACCGATCATCTACTTTACTGTCGATGCCGCCACCATCTCAGCAAATGCATGCACCTCAGCCACAGCCGCGGTCAGCCAATCAGTCGCCGGCGACTCAACCACCTCTCTCTCTCGTGGGAAGGAGTCCAAGTTCTCATTCCAGAAATTTGGAAGGCAGTATCGAGGGTGCGGTGCCAATGAACAGGTCGCAAGCCAATTCAAGCAGTAACCCAACATCAGGTGTTGGATCAACTGGTAGTGCCGTGAATCCTGTCTCTGGACCTTCTTTTCCGCGGCTACCTACGAGGCCAGGCCCGCCAAAGGTTGTTCCGATCGAGATGTCGAATCCCAAGGCACGACGGCTGTGTGAAGCATTGTGGGATTTGACAGAGGTTGACAACGTCCTCGCTGGCAGGTGTAAGACATGCGGGTACGTAGTAGATCCTATTATAATGATAGCTAACCTTGTTTTAGGTTAACGGGACAGATCATTGGATCGTTTGGTGACGCCTTGCAGCATTCTGCCAACTCACATCTCGCGCAATTTGATGATGCGTATGTAACATGTATCGAGGGACAAAGCAACTCCAAGACTTCGTAGATGTAATTACCCCTTTCGCCGACTTGCTTCCTGCTTGACTAGCCGATGACCGTGCGGCCAATGTATCCTATATCTGTTCAACCCATTCGTTCATCAAACTATGCATTGATCCATTCGGACCTTTGATTGATAGCTATGTTACAGCTTGTGTTTATTGTCGAGTCGCGTGACTCAGTATAGATACATCCGACTCGCGTTATTTCCCTTTCAACCGTTGATCGCTTGCTCTAAGAGCTTTTGGGCGCGCTTTGTTGCTGACCGCGGGATCTATGGCATAATGAGGAGATTGCGAGTGGACAAATTGTGAAGGACCCACGAGGATGTTTAAGCAATCCTTTGTTTGCGTAAAGTGGTGTTCTATGCTTTCGTCGTCCAGAACCCTTGTGCACACCCCAAGAATGTGTATAGGGGAGAGTGTGCCTTGTGGCGAATTAGCAAAGACTCTGATGGGAGTGGAAAACGTACCGGTTTCAGACGAGATTTGAAGCACCTTGAAGCCCTCATCGTTCAGACTGTTGCTCGAGTGAGAACTTGCCGGGAGAGGTGCATCGTCCATCTCAAAAGCACCTTCGTCGTCGCCTCTCCTCGCTCTTTTAGACATCGTTTCCGTCTCTGAATCCGCTTCGTCTTCGGAAACGGCCACGTCGCCACATCCACCGATAAGCAAGCTACTTTCGAATAATTTGGCCAAGAGTCGACCGCGCGCCATGATGGACGCGCGTACTTCATTGTCCTTGCCGCTTCTATGACCGGGGACTGGGCGCTGTATTACAAGTGATGCGAATGGAAGAATGTCCTTGTGCTCGTTTTTCGGTTCCTTTAGAGACAAACCTGTATCGCTCGTGGGACGTGAGGTGTACAAAGGTGGTGAACTTTGAGCAAGAGTGATAGATTGGTGATGAGAGTGAAGGGTGGACGTTGGTGCATAGGAAGAAGAAAGCGAGTCCTGTCGAGGGGCGAGGAGTAGAGACCGTCCACCGTTTGTGATATCCGCTGAATGACGCGATACGAGTTTGGGACGACGGAAAGATTCTGACCGTGCTCTGCTGACGCGCCATGCTGCTGGTAAGGGTGGTGGGAGTCGAGTGGATGGTGAAGGGGTCAGGAGCGTGTCTGGCCATCCAAGCATTTGGACGAGTCGTAATAGCCAATCATTTGATGCGGCAAATTGTGTCGTGTGTAGACCGTGAAAGGCATGGGTATGTGGCAGGGTGCGCAGGGACCACGTTTGGCTATGGCTATCTTCTTCAGAGTGCTTTCGTGATGGGACTCGAGAGCGCGAGCGGCGTTTATTGGGCGTGTACGTGTCTTCCTCGTCGGAGAAGATGAATTCCAGGTCGTGGAGGAGAGAGCAGACACGGGCGATGCAGTCCGACTCGACCTGGGGATTGTTCAATCAGAGATATAGAGACGGAGAAAGGAATTTGTTTACAAATAGATAGTCTGTACTCATCGAGGTCTGATACATGAACTGGATACTCTTTGCTTGCAGAGACTGGATGAGCTCGAGCAGGCCATGGTCATCGGTATCGAGGGAGAACACGGCCCAGGCCTCAGCTGAGGTGATTATTGAAATATCCTCTGAAAGGTGCTTGTCAAATAGGAGCGATACTTGGTCATCATTGAGCGTAAGACTGAAAAAGGAGAGCGTTGGCTGGAGGAGCTGCGGCTGCTTAGGAAAAATCCAGTAAAAACCATGAGGAAGTACCTTTGCAAATAGATGATGGATATAATCAGCAAACTCGTCCCGCTGAAAGGAGAGGACGGCAAGGGGGATTGGAAGGAGATCTACGTGAGATGGCATCTTGGACCATAGGCAACCATGAAAGGGACTGTTTACTCGGCTACTGGGATCAGCTGATGGGCAGAGCCGAGTGCATTCATAGGGGCATCACGTGACTGAACACGTTTTTACCTCATTTTCGACAGAGACGCGTAGAACATGCTAATGATACTCTTTTTTATTTTATAGTACATTTTAAAGACTATTATGAGGAGACGCAAAGGCAACGGGGTTGGGCATTGTTTGGCCAAACATTCTTGAACCCGCCCACTGCATCTGGGACGCGATGCACAGGCAGACTGACATTGAGAACATTGCACCAGAACGTACTCTTGTCCCCATCCGTCGCATGTCCACTCTTATCCCACTCCGCAAGGCGTCCCGCTCCGCCCACCACCCCCTCGACGGCGTATTCCCGCGTATGGATCCTCTCCAGACATCCACAAACACCTTTGAGTCTGAATACACGCCATATCTCGACCAACGACGCGTCGAGCGCTCCGAAAAACGCGTCCAACGCGTCGGCACTAAGAGCAGCATCCCGCGGCCATCCCACATGTCGCACAGGACGGCCGATCATGGCGATGAGACTCGCAAGAAAAAGGAGAAATCAAAGTCAAAGAGCGCGTTTATGTTCCCTGGAACCCTCAACTACCAGCCCGTCACGACCCAGTTTCCCATGTCCCCACCGCCCGAGGAAGAGCTTCGGTTGCAACGAGTGAGCATAAAATTAAATACAGACTCTGATAGCTTACTTTTATTTTCTTAAAGGTGACCAGGCCCCCTCACGATTTCATGCACAAGCTTGCCGCCATCGTCCCTATCGATACGACCAAACCCATCTCTCGCGAAAAGGAAAAGGATAAAAATCCTAGAAAGAGACAGAGGTCGCAGTCTCGAGTGCGCTCTCGCGCCGCCAGCCCAGATCCGTCGCCGCGCAAATTGGTCAAAACACATGAGGGCGACACGAGCTTTGGGTCCAGCCGGGGTCGTCAGCCTCGGCGTGACTCATTATCACAAGAATCACTGGATCGGTCACTTTCTCGTGATCGCTCAGGAGTACAAGAGCACTCGACGACCAAGGTCAAAAAATCGCGCGAGTCGAAGCATGCCGACGAGACTCAAAAGGCAGATAGGAGAAAGTCGAATCCTGAAGGAAAATCGCGTCCTCGTTCGCATTCTCGATCAAATCTAAAGTCGAGAGCCAGCGCACCTGGACCGGCTTCCAGTCGCAAGTCTGGCGCCTCTCAGTCGAGTCGAAGAGCGACGTTGAACACGCCTGCGAATCGATACGTTCGACCCCCTCCATTTGATTCCCTTCCGCCTGTCGCTCCCCCCAGCCCCTCTGATGACCCCTTATTGCTCGTGCCTTCGCCACGGCATCGCTCCAGAAAGTCGCTGGCCAGTCCGAGCAAAGATCACAGATCGCCGAACCGACGACAGACAGTTTCGAGATATGACTGGACGATGGAGTCGAGCGACCCCCTCTCACGCAATGACATTTCCTTGCACGAGGAAGAGTGGGACAAAAGCATACTTGGGCTTAGGGCACACACGAAGACTGCGGCTGCTACCGAAAAGCAAAAGAAGGAACGAAAGAGGAAATCGGCAGTAGAAGTTGTACCACCTTCGCGACATGTGGAAGAGCCCGTCGCCCCTCTTTACGACGAAGATTCTCAGATGCGTGATGTGTTTTATGACGAGGTCGCTGCCGTTGAACAAGGATGGGCCGAACCTGTCGAGGAGCCATCGTATCAAGAGCACTCGGCTGATGTTCCAAGTCACGAATACGAATCTCAAGTGCAGCAGTATCCGGATGAAGGAGTTCAACGGGACTATGTCGTCCCAATGAACTTTGGCTCGAGCGTCTCTCAGCGTATCGAGTCGCCCATTGGTCTCACATCCCCTCCTGCGGTAACGACAGGAACATCGAATGGCTCTCCAGACCTTTTACTATTCGCATCGCCAACCAAGCGAAAGGGTATTCCTCCGCCAGTAAAGGCATCGTCCACGCGCTCCGTCCGTCCACCGAGTCCTTGGCTCCGTCCGTCTGTTGCCCAAGAGGAGTCCTTTGCACAACAAGAGGTTGAAGAGGAGTATTGGGCGCCACTCCAAGATAATGCGTCGGATAGCGATGAAGAGCAGCAGGTTATCGAGGACGTGGATCAGAGTGCGCCCGAACTCCCGCCTCGAGAAGAAGAGCAGGAGCCCGAAGAACAGGAACCTGTCAGCATTCAGCAGCAAACTCGCACGACACCGGTACTTGAACCCATCTTCCCTCGTCGATCTGTTTCGAAAGAACCTACCCGCCGATCTGTCTCCCGCGAACCAAGTGTTCAGCCTACCACACTGGTATTTAGAGCACCTAGTGTACAACCTCCATCAAAAGCGACCAGCCTTCAACCTACAGCGATCTCCCGAGCCCCCAGTGTACAACCTACCAGAGCAGTGTCCAGAGAGCCTAGCTTACAGCCAGAAATTGAACATACCCAAGATGTAGTTCCACTGGCTCCTGCCATACCGACAGTCGTTCTCGCCCCCGCTACGCCTTCGCCCATCAAGCCTGTCAATCGTACTTCCAGAGTCGAACAACCGGCGCAAGTGCCATCTCCTATTCAGCAAGCTTCGCCAGCCCCTTCCCCCCCCCGTGCACGCGCCACGTCGTCTTCACCTCGCTCACGTACGCAAACAGCCTCACCTGTTCCTTTTACACGCCGCTTCATGTCTCCAATTCCACCTACACAGTCCTCTGGTCCGATCTACATTACCCAACCTTCTACTTCTGCTCAGCACCGCGGTCAGCCAGAAATGTCTGCCGCACCTCCTGAGCAAGAACAGAGTGGGTACGAGAGTGACGATCATGAGAGTGGTGGATTCGGCGGTGGCAAGACGCTTTCGCAGCGTTTTGCGGATCTCGAGGTCAAGCTTGCAAAGGAAGGGCGTTCGTTTAGGTTTTCAGAGATTGCGGCTATCCCTTCGTCGGATCATAGCATTCGCTTCGGCCCTAGCGACCTCCCGGATTCGTCCCCGCAAAAGGCGAGCACGGTTGATGAGGAAGAGCAAGAAGAGGTGCTGCAAGAGTCGTTGATTGTCGACGAGGAAGATACAGATGCCATGGACATTGTTCTCGAGTCCGCGGCTCCAGAGAGGAAGACCCCAGTCCTCCAAGAGGAGTCGGCCTCGTTCATCTCGCCTATTCAACGCGCCCCGTCTGTTCACGAGGAAAGCGTGCAGGTCGCTCAAGAGTCGCATATCGAACAGGTTGTAGACGCCAGTATACAAGATTCTAAGGCTCCGGCAACGGTTGTCGTTCCATCGCTCGGCTCGGCGTTTCCTTCGCCGCTCATGGCCCGACAGGAGATGCTTGTCGACGAAGAGGTTCAGGCAGAGGAAGCACCCGAGGAGATGGTCGAAGCTGGGCCTTCATGGGAGGATGATACCGATGCCGAGCCACTCGTCCAGATTAGGAGCATGGATCCTCATGCTGCTGCGCGTGCTGCTGCTATTCTCAACTTGGTGCGACACTCCTTTACATTTATTGATTTGATTTTGATGTTGTTTTTAGCATCACGAGTATGTCCAAGGAACACCAAAACGCCGTGCCTCGTCGGTTGCTTGGAGCAACGCTTCTCGTCGTCATTCGGTCACACCCGCCGTTGGTGCTCAACCTCGAAGTTCGCAGGTGTTTGCTACGCCAAGCCGGATTGGTGGAGAAGTTAGCCAACTCGTATCCGTCCCTCAATTCGACGACATGACCAGCCTTCGTGGGGTTTCGATGGCCCCAAGCGCTGTATCAGAAGTGCAACGTGTGCCCCCTCCGTGGACTCGACAAGAGTGGAAGGCACTCGAGCAGTGCTTTACCGACGTTCGCAACGAGGCTGCCTTGGCTGCTGGAATGGACGATGTTGACCCAGAGGATATCGAGCTCGACGACGTTGTGGACCGTTTCGTCGACAACTTTGCTCAAGGTATCAGGCTCAAGGGAGAATGGAGCTGGTGAGTAACCTAGCTATTACTCCATGGTTGTATCTAACGGACTTCTAGGGATAAGATGCGCCGCCGTGCATGTGCTCTCATTTCCCGTCAAAAGGAAGGCAAAGCTCGCGGGCTCGCTCCAAGCTCTCCTGCTCTCTCCATGATCACCCCCGTACGCCCATCAGTTGGCGTTCAACGCGCTGTCAGGATGCCCTCCGAGGCACCGACAAACTACAGTCAAGACATGACACCCTCACTGCCCCGACGCAACCGCGATATGCCCCCTCCAGCCCACATTCCCATCCGAACGGCACACATTGATCGCTCAAAGTCTCCATACCCATCGCTTCCACCATCAAAACCGTATCAGATTCCGTCTGCAACCCCTCTTGGACCGACTGTTCGCTCTGCTACAGAGCCAACGTCTGCCTCGCGCCGCATGCTCAATTGGATGGGCTCATTCTTACGCTCGGGTAGCCAAGAGCCCAAGAACAAGCAGATGAAAAACACTCAAAACGAGTATGTGCCTTGCTTGCCGCCCATTTCCGACGCGGATCGCGAAGCGCTACGACACGTGCCTACGCCACCACCAAAGCGCAAAGAACGCATCGTGCCGCCCAAGGAGCAAGTGCAGCTACAACACGTCCCGACGCCACAACCAATTCGCATCCCGCGCAAACTGAATCACAAGAGCAGCACGGGCAGCGTCAAAGATATGATCAAGAGCTTTGAAAGTCTGTCCGAGGACGCGTCGCGCTCGAGTATTAGCATCCGATCAACAATTCCACACAAGATTTCGAACATTTCGTTGGCATCGTCTGCACGCACCGCCGAGTCGTCGACCGAGTGGTCCAAGGAACGCTCCGAGTTGCGCGAAATGTCATTTGGCAGTGTGCGCTCATTGGGAGAAGGAAGAATCAAATCTGACACGAGTTGGATTCGAGAGTAAACCCACAATTTTCTATTAGATCTGCTATGGTTTTGGTTCCTGGTTTCCTGGTTTCGGTCTCCGTTTCGCCTCATTTCAGTCTCTCAGTAACGCAACAATCTGTTTGATGTCTTCTGTATAGTTTAATGGAATAAAGACAATCTGCATGTATACCTTGGATGCAAAAACTCAGCGTAACTTGAGGTAGATGAGGATAATAACTGTCAAACAAACGGTCATAAGAGACAGAAGAGCGCCTATTGTTCCACAGTAGACGTTTCCGCCTGCGCGTCTCATGGTTTGACGTCGAACGATTTCTCGTTCTTCTCGTTGCCTTTGGATCAAGCCTGCGGCTGAAGAGGACCGGCTAATGGGTCGAAAATGTGGTTGACCATCGAATGGTGGGGCGAGTGAGGATGAAGACCGTCTGTGGACGGATGAACGAGGGTCGAGAGAGGCAGCGCGTAGCATGGGCTCAAACGACGTGCTCGCGCTATCTGGCGACGGTGTTATACTCCTGTAATCAATGAGTGGAGCACCAAGTGATTGTAAAAGTGCTCACCGTAGATCTCCTGAAACATAGCCCGACTTGAGTTCGCCATCGAGGTCAATACCCGTGTCTGTGTTGAGATAAAACGAGGTCCGTTCGTTTTGATTTCCAATTCTTGATGGTCGCAAACGCGTCTCGCCTCTTTCCAACGTCAACGAGGGGGAATGCTTGACATGGGCCTGACGAGTATAATCCGAAGGTGTGAAGAGAAAAGACATCTGATATAGTGTCAGAAATATGACATTTTGGAAATGGAGATGGGACCTAATGTACAAGTGGAGAGATGATGAAACGAGTCCAAGGTGCATTGTGTATTTGTTTTGAACTTGTACTCAGCCACTGCCTTGCCATACAAAGCCCGTCGGATACATCGTAAACTTGCCGGCTATTAGACTACATTTGAGCCCGACGGCAGCTTCTTGACTTTGTGCGTGGCCAGCCTGCGACGCCAGACGTTGGCCGCGCCGCTCTCCGTCATTTCTCGCGGAGTCGACAAAGACCAAAAGGAGCGCTATCGGTCATAAAAATGGCGTTATCACCGCCTAGAAGCAAGCTTTTCGAGGCGCATGCAAACTCCGCGGCCGTTTGGCAGGCTGATCTCAAGAAACTGTTCCACCATGCCAAAGAGCGCTACGCAGATGTAATGTGGGAGGTATCAGACGGTGATGATGCCCCTATAGAAGAAGTATACGGCCACAAAGGTGCGTTGCATGCCTCGCGCTAGAAGATTCCCTGCCGTTTCGTCTCTTCTCCACTGCCGGCTTCATTCGCTGACATGATATACGTGTTGTATTATAGCTATTGTATACGCTCGGGCACCTATGAAGTTTCAGGCGTCCTATTTTTCCTTTCGACCACGACCTCCAGCTACCCCGGACCCATACGATGATGGTTACGGCCCAGATCAGTCTACCTTTTCTCTGCAAATTGAACCTTCTTCCCCCTTGGACAGCGTGATGCAAGACTTTGATCGGATACGGGGTGGCTCCCCGTCGCAAAATGAAGACGGCATTCTCAGACTCAACACCTCACTCAATCCAGCTCTCTTCTCCAATCAACTAGAGTACCTATACACTGCACAGGGTATGGGCCAAGCATTTGAATGGCTCTTTGAGCCCGAAACACATGATTTAGAGGAATCAGAAGAGGAGCGCCTAGACAAGCTGCGCAAGGATTTATGCTACATGTGGAGATCTAGGCTCTTTGCCGACGTTAGAATAGCCCTCGTCGGCGACTTTCGAAAATCAGATGTTCCACAAGACGAAGACACGGCAGTCGTCTTCTTCAGCCACCGCTTCATACTCGTCTCTCGCTCCCCATACTTTCATAAAGCCCTACAGGGCTCCTTCCAGGCCCCTTCTCTCCCTCTTGATGGAACGCTTCTGACACTCCAATTGCCCTCCACCGCTTTCACCCCGGCTTCCCTTCACTGGGCACTGGGCTTCATGTACGCTGGTACTCTCAACTTTTCACATAGGACCTTTGATCTCGACACTGCGTTTGCCATCTATCGGTCCGCGCAGTATCTCATCATGGCGACCATGAGAGTGGAAATCGAAGCGTACATCATCGAGGAGATGCTGCATGGACTCTTCCACGCCTACCTCACTCTTGCCGAATATGAAAAAATCACTGCGGGGAAGTGGGGTGTTGGAGGATGCCGATGTCGACAATGTCAACGGCGTGTTCCGCGCGTGCTCGAATTCGCCCAGTCTCCCGATATCGGGAACAAGACACTAGACAGAGGAGCGATGCGCGGTCTCGTGGGCATGTTTGGCGAGGGATGGTGCATCAGCGAATTCGCTGCCCTGTCCACCAAGACGCGCGCACTCGTGCTCAATGGCTTGAAGAAACGAACGACGCCTCAGAATATCTTTCCACTTTGTTTGCGTCTGAAGCCGCCCTCGCAAAGCTCGATGTCATCAATGACTCGTGGCGGGATTCGGTCCTCGACCTCGTCACGCGAGCGCAGAAGAATATCGATGAAGTCTTGTGTGACTTTAGCGAAAAGTGCTTTGAGCAGCAAGAGTGGCTGGAGATTATGGACTCGGATGGCACGCAGTTCCAGGATATGGACAAGGTCGATTGGATCATGAGGAGCGTTGGGCGAGGGCTAAAGGACACCAATGCGCCGACGGTGTATCAGGTTTGTTCTTGATCGACTCTTCTGGTGTGTTTCTAACGTTGCTTAGACACTCGTCTCGTCAATTCTGCTACGTCCTCATCCAACCAATACGTCGGCCACGCTTTTGCCCAACAACTCTCCGGTCAGGCTGAGGGTGGAGGAAACTCGAATGGAAGTGATTCGATGGCTTAAAAAGCATTGGATCAACGTCCGTATGGTTGGAGGATTCGATCATCTGCAAACATGGTCTTTGACCGAGATTGGCCATGGTAAGCTTCTTCCCTCAGGACTTTTGTTGTATCGTCTTATCGTCATTTCCAGAACTCGAGATTAGCATACCAGACTTGAGATCAGTCGGTTCCAGTTCCAAGGGCGCTGTTACGCGAACCGGGCTTCATGTCACTGTTCCGAGGGAGAAGCCAGACCCAGACCTCGAAGGAAACGGCGTCACTGCAACTTCGATGAGAGCCAACGTGCTCAACCGTAATGCTGCCAGAATTAGCCCGAGTATCGCTCGAGATCCCAAAAAGGACGTGGTCCACTCTGTCACTATTACCCGCTCTTCCAACGTCTCTCGACCTCGCGAATCGGCTGTCGAATCGAATGCAGATGAAGATACGAGATCTCGCGCAATCTCAACCTCCTCCTTTGCCTCGTCTAGAACGGGGCCGCCCCCCGAAGTCGCCTCGACAAGCGACAGCACTCCTTCGACCCCAAGATTACCAGAGGTATCGTTTTCAAGGTCCAACACGCTGCACTCGGTCACGTCGACAAACGATACGCATCAGACGACCAACTCACTACCATCAGAGCCACCGGCCAGAAGTGTTACTGGACGACGGACTGTGATGAGTAATACGACGTCTGCTGCAGATAGCCCAGCTTCCAGCAGACCGAAATCGTTGGCCGCCTCTGTCAAGTCGACGACATCTACCATTCGCAGAGAGAAAACGTCTCCAACGAGTCCTACGTCGGCAAACGGTTCCAATGCGGCCAATAATACCATCAAGGCCAAAGCCGAGCCTCGTAGGAGTACCGTCTCGTCCTCCACGACGCCTGCTATCACGAAACCCACTCCTCGTAGCTCTGTCGCATCGAATCTGTCGCGTCCGAGCTCTCGCGTCTCAGACGCCTCGGGCGTTTCTGGCTCTTTTAAGAGTGCCAAATCGGAGCTCGAGGTACCTCCCGTTCCACGGGCAAGGACCACGTCTCTCGTGTCGACGACGTCGACTGTCAGCACAAGGACGGACAGTGGTGGCAGCAAGACGGCCGGAAAGACGCGAGGGACGCTGACCGTGAGCACTCCAAAGGTGCTTCGTGCTCGCAAGACCTCTGACGCGTCGGTCGTGTCATCCGCTTCCGTCTCAAATCAAAAGGGTACCGCGACGCCGAGACGTCCCTCGTCTCAGGCATCGGTGCGGTCAACTGTATCCTCTAAAACGACGCCAGTGAAGCGTACAACTCCGCCCAAAGTGCCTGATGTGCCATCTGAGGCGCCAAAGCGCGCACCTCGAGTATCCACGACTCAGGCACCTGCTGTGCGGACGATAAAGAAATCACTTACCACTCCTTCGACACCTGCGGTACCCACAACTCCTACTAAACCCAAAGCAGCGGAACCTCTTGTTCCAACAACACCCCCTGTCGTCGTGCACATTGCAGAGCCCGATGAACCGTCTACTCCACCACCCCTACCCGCAAAAGAGCCCAAGAGAGATACTATCGAATCGATTGGTGGCCTCGCTCCGACGTCGCAAAAGGATAAACGACCATCAAACACGTCGACCATTTCCACCAACTCGGGGTCGACGATCAAAGTTACCCGGAAGCGTTCCAACGATACCATTACCGAACTCTCTGAAAAGGATGTATCCACGTTGCGTGCAAAGGCGCTAGCCAGGCTGGTTGGCAATTCGCCGTCCCCCTCACGTCCTACTGCAGCAGAAGCTGTTTCACCTATTACATCTCCTCGGGAGCCAGCATCGCCTACGCCAAGCCATAGTACTGCGACGTATAGCCTCGTAGCGTCCCCGCCATCGTATGTCACGCCAGTGACAAACACCGCCCAACCAGCGCCAGAGCCCTATTATTACCCTCCAGACACGACGCCTCCTGGAATCACGCTCAAGGTTGGTATCCCGTGCATCATCGTCTCTCGACGTGCCCGGTTCCGCGCGTTTGCACGGTACCTGGGGGAAGTCTTAGGCGAACGCGGGCCATGGATTGGCGTGGAAGTGCCACTTGGCGAATTCTCCGGAACCGATAAACTCGAGGGACGTGACTGGCATGACGGGAGCTGGAATGGAGTGAGGTACTTTGAAATTCAGAATGCTGGATGGGACGACGACGAAAAGGCCAAGCGGCGTCGAATGGGGGGACCGTATGGGTATGGACGGAAGCGGGATGGGGAGAGTACGCTTTCGGTGGACCAGCGGTCGGCGAGGATGCGGAGTGCGAGTCCTGCCGTGTCCGATGTGAGCACGTACGAGTCTAGGGGTCTGTTCGTTCGTCCGCAGCAGGTTCTCTATGTTCTCGATGCGCGGGCTGACTACTAGAATTCATTCATTCGTTTCTTGTTTTGTCTGGTTTGACCTGTACGATATAACTCACACTCTCTCTTGTCATGTTATTCTTGGTTAATAAATGGTCGTGTAGGTAGTCGGTTTGGGGCCTCGGAGAAGACGGCAATAGGCGCTGTCGGTGGGATGATCGAGTCCAGAACGGGGCATAGTTTGCGACGCCAGGAACACGGGGATTCGGTGGATGAGAGTAGCTTCGTCATGGCCCTAAGGAAACCCAACAACTTGGAAAGTATAGAGGAATCGGGTCGTGATGGCTGACCCGAGGGATAGGGCTCGGCCCCAGCAAGGCACAAACTAAACGGGCCTGTTGAGTAACTTGGACTTGTCCACGAAAGCATTTAGAGCAACAGCAACGACAACAAACGGGCTCTCAAGTCTCTGAAGCCTCGTAAGGTCGCTGCGACGTCTGATCGACATGAAATTGGCGTCGCTCCGCCTCGACACGGCTTGCTGGTTGTCCATCATCCTCGAGACATTCTTCTATGGTACTGTATCCTTTTGATTTTGACAAATATAGCTCAGCGCTGACAGCCTCTTGATTTATCCCAGGCGTATACACCATCATATTCGTCGCTGGAGCGTCCATCTTCTTCAACCCGAGCACCCGCGGCCGAATTCCGCTCTTGATAGCGGTTCCTTCACTCCTCTTGTATCTCAATGCCTCGTACGTCGCATCCATTTCCTTATCATTCTCTAATTACACCTTGTACACAGGGCCCACGTCGTTACGACTGTCGTACACGGTGCCAATGGGTTTATCAGGATAGCCAGTCAAGGACAAGTCGATGGAGCTATCAACTACTTTGCCACCACCGTCAACGGTGTCAACATGTGCGTCTTACGCGTAGTGCTCCCATACGCGTCGCTTACTGCCTGGCTCGCCATTCTAGTGCAAACCACTGCCTCTACGTCTTAAACGTGCGCATTATGAAACCATATTTGATACTGATGAAAAAAGAGCCTAATACGCGTCTCGCATAGAACTTTCTTGGCGACTCGATTCTCATTTGGAGGTGCTACATCGTTTGGGCCCGCAACTGGAAAGTCATCGTGGTTCCACTTTGCCTATTGTGCACCAGCGTCGGTTCGTCTTCATTTCATCCGCTTCCATTTCATTCGCTTCCATTTCATTTCCACCCACCCCCGTGCCCCAAGGCCCCGAATATTCTCCCAACCCTTGGAGCGCTGACATTGTCGGATCACACCCCACTGACATTTGTCTTTTTTTTTTATATGTCCCTGTCGTCGTCGTCAAAACTGCTCCTTATGATCACCGGCCCACCTCTTGCGGATCCCGGTCCATCCCATCAATTACGCGGACAAATTCTTCCCACCTGAACGCCCCTGTAAACATTGGTCGGCAACGTTATACCCGCTCCGTTCCCCTTGCTTCTTCGGGCCCACTCATCAAACCTTGAACGGCGCTCCGTCCCAAACCACAAACTGTACAATTCACAGTCTCTGGTTTTGTCACCGCCTATCAATTTTCGCATACGACACATGGGCCATTCAGCTCCGAGCTCGGGCCGGCGGCAAACATGTTCTTCACGTCGCTCTTTCTCACCAACATACTCGTCACCTCGTTGACCGCTTTTAAGATTTGGAGATGTCGAAAAATGCTGTTGCATATCCCGACGACAACGACGAGTAGCAGGAGCCAGGCTGCGAACGGGAGTAATACGACTGTGAATGCTCCGAGGAGAGCCAATGTCGCCTTTAACGAAATTGATGGGGAGCGTAGACGAGTTGCAGAGTATACTGGAGCATTTAACATTGTTGTCGAGTCTGGTAAGTCTCGAGCGCAAAAGCGTTGGAGTAACACTGACCATTGGCACAGGAGCCATCTACTCCATCATCCTGGCTATGGAACTCATGCTTTACTCTCTGGGACAAAACTTTATCTTTGTCCTCTATACGAGCATGGCGCAGATTACGGGCATCGCACCGACGGGGATCATTGTCCTCGTCTTGCTGGGTCGCACCCTACGGCATTCGAATCGAAGCGTCTCTGCACCCTCGAGCCACCGCCATCAACAATCGATCACCAATATTTCATTCGCTCCCACTGGCAGTGGACACGCGAGGGGCGCTCGAAATTTCAAGTTTTTTGGCTCGCGACGGCCAGGGAGTAGTGGGCGTGGACGCGATGGTGCCGACAACGATGTCATCTCATTGGACTTGGATATTACTCATCGGAATCGTCGTGCGGTGGATGAGGAGAATAGTCCCGGGAGTGCAGCTATCAATGGCAGTTACTCACCCGACGTCAAGCGTAGTTCGGGATACGACGAGACGTGTGAGAGTTCGACGCCATTTGGAAGCGCCATTGCTGTTGCTGTTAGTGATGGCGATCGGGATCGTAAACCATCATTCTCAAAGACACGGGGCGGTGCGGCTCCGACAAAGATTGAGATTGACGTGCGGACAGAGCAACAAGTGCTCGAGTCGCGCGTGGGCGGTCGAGGAGGGTATACGTACCCTGAGACACCGAATCTGGATGTGGATTCGACTCAACGGACGTGGGAGACACATTCGCCTCCTCGTTCCCCACCACAGTCGCGGAACCCATACGCACAACCTCCATCATCACAACCTCTCGTAAACGCACAAACACACGCACCGCAATCACCAACGCGAGTGCATACACCGCAATATCATCGTCCGAACCTGCAAGCCAGACGAACGACGAGTGCGCAGGAGAGCCCATCATTCGAAACGAATCAGGGCGCGACGCGTGGGGAGGAGGAGAGCGGTGGGTATGGTGGAACAGTCGTTGACAGGAACCCGTATTTGAGTCCACATGGTGGAGATTGGAGACCGGTAGATGGGAATACGGATTGGAGACCTGTTGGAAACGGGCAGGACGATTGGCGGCATGCTGGTGCATAAAACCGTCGACGAAGCCCGGGATATCTAAAACTAGAAATTGGATCAAGAGCTCTTTTAAAACACACTCGCGTTTCTCATGTTTTTCCTCGTTCTCATGTGCCACTCTGTATCTTAGTGATAGCATATTTAGCAATTTGACGCAGCTTTGATGGAGGAAATTATTGTATGAGTCAAACTGCTATGTGCCAAAGTCTAATGACGCAGACGTGCGGTCCTATACGATACCCCAGGGGGCTGTAAACGTCCGTGCGTCCTTTCCATCTAATGGCGACTTTTCCTCCGGTGGTACTCCATAGTTTTTAGGGCATTCCCAAAGGGTAATGCTTTGAAGGGTTGGACGTGCTGACACTAGCTCTGTAAGCACCTTGCGTCTCGTTGCAAGGCCCCATCGTTCATTGTGGTGGAATCCACGAATGTGCAAATCTCGAAGTCGAGTGAGGTTCCGGACAATGCTCACATAGCAATTCAGGACATCCTATATGGAGCATCAGCCAAAATAGTCAAATTGGATGAGGATCAAAGACATGCCTCGCAAAGACTTGCTACGCCGCCATCTAACCAGCAATCATACGCAATACCAATGGTCAAAGACTCGAGATTTGAAAAGGGAATGGTGAACGCCTCGACTCTAGGCAGTAAGAACACGTGCGATCGCTCCAAATCTTCTCCTAGCCACCATCTGCACTCCAAGTGACGAATTAGATCCGTATTCAACCCTATTTTCAGGTTTGTGAGAGCAGTGAGATTCCAAAAAGCAACCTCGAGACGTTTGAGCCTCGCCAGGAGCGGTCGCAGATCAGCGATATTGTCTGGCATCCTGTGAATATACAGTGAAGAGAGGTTATTAGGCCATTGGAGGCCCCTGACGTCTACAGTCAAGATCTCGTCAGGTGGAGGATGAACGCGAGACCAGAAAGACAAGCGCGAGACTCTCTTTGCGCCTGAGAGAATCTCGCGCATGATCCTGTGGATGTATGGTCCTCGGGAAGTACTTGCTACAGATATAGGTGGCATATCACAAATGATGAGCGTTTGTACTCCTTGCAAGTGCTGCTGCCGTGCGAGTAGACTGTAGAATATTTTACCGTGGCGCGTATGAGTGAGCGTAGATGAGAGTTGTTGAGCCGTTGAAAAAATCTCCAGAGGGTGAGGGGGCTGTCGGTTCCATAGTTTGCCTGGATGAAGCGCGATGGTGGTATATAGCCTGTCAACAAAGAGAGTGTGCATATACTTGCAGGTAACTGTGAGAGAGAGTAACCGGAAAAGTTGGAGTATTTCACAACCTGCTCCAATATCTCAAACGGAAGATGGAGCAAAGTGATGGACTGTCCTGGAAGAAATGAAGGTTCATTCTCATCATCCATCAAACTGGTGAGGACATCCCAATGACATGAATCTGCCATGTTGTCTTGTTGATGGTCTGAAACCTGAGGACCTCGAGGTGGTCGTAGAATGAAAGGCGCTGAAGAAGAAACGCGAGCCCTCAAGTTGTCGATGCTGGGAACAAAATCTGGTCCTCCAAATTTGGAACTCGCCTCGTTGGTCGTCGCGTCGCAAATGCCTGCAGCATTAGAAGATGATCGTCACTTGGAGGATAATCCAGAGGCTTCATTGCACTCTGGACGGGGCAGCGCTCGTGGGAAGCAAGGGAACGGCATTCAAGTTCGTGCAGACCTTCAAATGAATCTCTCATTGACCAGCTTCCTCAGCAGGAAGCGAAAAGGGAACATAAGGACCATCAATCAACTTTTCCGATTCCAGTCGAGCATGTTTACGATGCGCTATACTCGGCCGGTGTCTGTGCGTTGATCTGTGCCTCGGCTCATATCGTCGCTTCCAGAGTATGGAAGCGAATACTGGGACCCAAGCGGATTACCGCGCTGAGTGAACGGGAGAGGCTTTATCTGGGCGAAAAGTAGGGGTACATTCCTGCATCTTCAATACTTGGGCACTAACTCGAATTATCACAGGACTGCAGCTACTCTTAATGGACTTATAAGTGGCGGCCTAGCTACGTATGCAGTCGGGTCGGGTAGCTGGAAAGGAGACGTCGTCCAACCATACCCACGAACCGCCCATTATGCCCTATCGTTTTTCGCAGGTGGGCTACACTCCTGAAATGTATATCTTACAAGAAGACTTATTCGATTCATCCTAGGTTTTTCGCTTTATGATAGCGTGATCATGGCTCTCAGCGCACGTGAACCACCAATGATGTGGATTCATCACGTTTTCGGATTTGCTGGAGCATTCATCATGATGGCGAGTCTTACTTCTTTCTGTCTGGGGTGTAACTAAATGTCGACATACAGTGCTACCGCAGACTCGCCTTTTTCCCACTGGCGTTCACAATCACCGAGCTGACCACTATTCCATTTAACCTTATCTGGTACTCGAAATTACTCGGATTCACAAGTGCATCTCGCCTTGTGCGCTCGCTCGTCCTTGTCCGTGCAGTCGCATTTCTCATTATCCGGGCACCCATTGGATTCACATCTGTCGCATATGCGCACAGGCAGACCAAAGGAGGAATTATCGCGCTCTGGAGAAGACTGTTTGTCAGAGAAGAGGTCAAGCCGACCTTCTTGCCGTATGGAACCGCCTTCAATACGATACTTTTCAGTGTCCTCAATCTCATTTGGACAGCACAAGCCTTGCGAGCAAATCTCAAGGGCAGCGAACACAAGCGAGCTTGATCATCCTAGACTCAGACTCTCACTGTACACTTTGCTTACATGGAATGAGCACTTATCCAAATGATCCGCTTCTATTCCGTGATGATAATACATTGAGATACCAGATACAGGCCAAGAGAAACGGATACTTCACCCCTCGGTCCGCCACTTCGCTATGGGCGGGAGACTCTCAATGATACCATCCAAGGTTATGAACGACACTGGCTTGACCAGACTACGACAATTGTCAGCTTGTACCATGCTAGATAGATATCTGATCCGACTTACTATCCATCAAAGCCGATACTGGACGCTCGTTCCTTATCTTCAGTCGCTGCAAGGCCACTTAATGCATATATAGGCAGTCGTCTGTGGTCTTCCATGAGACCTCGCTCGGCTTCAACTTCACGGAATCTTTGAGTGGCGGAGAAGCCGTCGAGGACGGGCATCTGTAAATCCATGAGGCAAATACTACGAATGAAGTCAGTACGAAAGAAAGAATGCTTGATAATGGCTGACTCGAAATATCCTGAGCGATGCTTCTCAAACACTGATACGCCCTCTTGCCCGTTGGAGGCCTCGACAAATTCAAGGTTTCGCTTCCGTAGATAGGCTGCGAGGACCTTCCGATTCACCTAGAAGAGGATCAGAGCAATCAGGTGCATACAAAGGAAACATACAGCATTGTCTTCGACAACCAAGACTCTCGGTCGCGCATGCTCCTTCTCTACAGTTGGCTCCTTCTCTGGCCTTTTCGTGCCTTCGTCAGCCTTGGTCAACATGAGCTCTGACCTCGGACGCAGCGCCGGGCTCTTGGTTTTGTTCCACCGAGGACTCTTCAGAATGTTGGAATCAGTCGGCGACGAAGGGCGAGATTGATCGCTCAATTTTGAGAGTAAATTCGCGAGTGCATGTGGGCCAATAGGCTTCAGCGAAACCAAACATACACCTCCTCCGAGGCTCAAACCTTGCGCGAGCTGTAAAAGTGCATTATCGATAGGACTTGTGGAGAGTACTAGAATCTTTTGGTGTCGCCTTTTTGGCTCCTTTAACAATTTGATTGCGTTTAGGCGCTCGTGATCGTTGATGATGAGGACTGCCGCTTCGTCGATATCCGAGGTCTCGTCGAAGCTGTTGTACTGTTGCGTTAGATGCTGGCGAAGGAGATTCTTCAGCTGCAAAGCACTCATATCCTCTGGTGGAAATCCTGCCAACGCAAATTTGACATGGCCTTGTTTGTTCAAGTTTCGAATCAAAGACATTGCGGAAGTTTGAAGGGCGATTGGAGCTTGGAAACGGAGAATCATTCGAGTTCCAAATCCGACTTTTGATTGAACTTCGATGGTACCATCGACTCCTGGCGTCTTGAGGATGGCTCGAACTATGATTTCTCAGGATATACACTCAAGAAAAAACTATGCACATACCGATGGCCAGACCTAGACCAATACCTTCGGCGAACGGTCGCTCTCGAGAGAAGGGGTGGAACAGTTTCTCTCGAATGAAAGTCTCAGACATGCCCTAACTAGACTGAGCATGCGAAGTTGACGCGTCGACAACAACGCACCACTCCTGTATCCTCGACGACAATTTCAACAGGCAGATGAGTGGGGTTTTCGACGACGCCTCGACGAAGGCTTATTTTGACGTAGCCTTCTTGACAGAACTTTGACGAGTTTCCGATGAGGTTGATGAGAACTCGTCTCAGGCCAGCCTTGTCGACCAAGACATTCCAGTTCTGCCAATAAATGGTTAGAAAAGATGTGTAGCAGCGAAGCGAACCTACAGCTAGCGGTTCTATATCTATAAGGGGCTCCACCCTATTGCTGAATTCGGGGGCAGTAGAAATGGGACTAATTGGTGCATATATGTCCCCAATATGCTCAGCGTCGCTATGGCGTGGCTTAGATCTTCCAAGCCAGCAGCTAATCATTGTCTCTTCGACGAGATGGGCCAGATCCACGCTGAAAATCATGTCAGTTTCGAAATATTGAATACATTAGAGACGATTTACGGTGTACGAGGTTGTGAGGGTGCTTGAGATGTCGATTTCGTAAAGTCGAGGACATGGGAGATTGTCTCACTCAACGACTGCAGCTTCAAGCATCAGATGGAATAAGGAAATAGAGATGATACCGACAGTTGCACATTGCTTAGCGGTGTGTAGAAATGATTCTTGCGTCTGATTGAGAGTCGTCTCGCTGAGTAGTTCGCACGACGCTAGCACTCCGTGTAGGGGTGTCCGCAGCTGAGGGGTGTTGGTACTTGAACCGACAAGTTGATGGTCCGTACCTCATGAGATATGCTAGAGCCAGTGAGCCACTGTAAATGGATAATACATGGATCACTTACTTGGCTATGAAATCGACTTTTGCCTTGTCTGCCTGGGAGAGCACTTGCTTCTGACGTACCGTACAAAGTACGAGCCCCATGGCAGCTAAAAAAGATAGTGTAGGTCCAGGGAGCAGCAAGGTAAAGTTGGGCTCAAGGGTGTAGATGCAGATGACGGCAAAGGGCTCATTCGCACTTCGAGAAATCGGAGCAACTGTACGAAAGAGTTGGATATGGCAGAAAGGCGAAATTGTACTTACTCGCGGCTGCTGAGATCTCTGGTGGCAGTAATGCCACCAACAAGTCTGGCATTGAATCCCCTCGAGAGTAGACGAATCCCGCAGAATATTGCTTAAATATGGTGTCGAATAGCACCCCACGTCTCGAAGTCGTCATCACCTCTGATAACATTGTGGCATGCCTCGATGCCGCCATTATTGGTATGACAAGGCCGCTTTTGTCCAACCAGGAGGGCTGCTCGCCTGATGGGGCTGAAGTACGATCAGAAACAAACCTTGTATACTTAGGTGGCACTAACTTCGAGCAGAACTGGCACCAGTCGCATCCAAAATAATGACACCCTCAACAGAAAGCGTCCTAGTGATGTGATCGACAAGTCTTTCCAACAATAGCTCAAAGCTGTATATTCCGCTGACTGCCTCGCGGTTGAACATTTCAATCTGTGGAAGAAGTATCAGACGAGTCTGCGTAGGAGCTATGGACAAACGGTTTGTTGCATTTTATCCCTTAGGGCTCCTTGTTTTTGATGAAGGCGCCCTTCAAGCTCCCTCATAGTCATTCGAGTGAGCTCTTTGAGCAGCGCTCTCTCCTCTGAACCGAATTTTTCGCGAGGTTTGTTGTCCAAAACGCAGAACACGCCAATGTTTTCACCTGATTCGGTTCGCATCGGAAATCCAGCGTAGAATCTGACTGAGAGCTCGTCGGTGACAACCTTGTTTCCTCGGAAACGCCAGTCCTTGAGAGTATCGAGAACAACGAGCGGCTCATCTGCCCTGAAGATTGTCACTGTATGAGAAAGGCGAATATCACTCGGGACTCACTTGAGCAGAACGGCATGGCTGCACATTGGGGTTCCTCTAGGCACCATATATGGAGCTCGACCGTCAAATGTGAACTGAACTTGGTCCTCGTCCACCAAGGATATAAGTGACGCATTCCTAGACTAAGTTGAACGAAAATTTACTGGTAATAGAAATGACGCACGCTGCGAACATCGCTTTTCCAAGTTTCGCAATACGATCAAGATTAGGATCCAATTGGTGGTGAAAGGGCTTGAATCTGAGCCAAATTTTGAGTGATTGAACAGAAGGAGCCTCCAAAGACCTACGACCGAACAGCTCGTCTTCGTTGTACCTCATCCGCTGCCACAGGTGCCTCCAGGTATCCGAGCTCCTTGTAACGACGGAATGCTCGTGCCGTGTAGGTGCCGCCGGTAATCTCGGCCGTCGAAGCAGAGCGTGCGCCTAGACGGAGGCCTGAAACTGACGTATTGGCTTGAACTTCGCCTGGATCGGTGAAGGTGTTGGACTCGCTCCTGGGGGTGAGTAGGATTTCCGAATGGCTGACTCGACGTCCGTTGACATGATACCCTTCGTCTGCTAGGAAAGAGCGGTAAACGTCTTCGACAGACTGGGTTAGGTCAGGTGGAGCTGCAAGCCTTGGATCTGTTGATTCCATTCTAAGGGAATCCTGTCGCGAGAAGAGTATCGGGTCGACTTGGAGCTCTATAGGAGTCTCAAGTGGGTTCCATTTCCCTTCTGCGTATCTCTGAAAGAACCCGTCGGGGCCGTCAGCCGCAATCTGGGAGACGGAGGAGATATCATATATTCCTACAGGGTTTTAGCAAGAGTACGTTCTAGCCTTGATGAAATCCTACCAAGATGGCTAGGCCTCGCCATGAGTGTCTCCTGGCGGGCAGCCTCGACATCGAGACCGCCATCTAGAATGTCACTCGCTGTGTCCATGGTGTACTCATCCTCGAGTACAGACATCTCGTGGCCAGTAAAGGCGAGCTTAGGGAATGGCAATGCAAAGGTTGAGTCCAGGCGTTGAATAACAACGTTGGACTTCGACCTCGACCATGTCCAGGCGCCTTTACGTTGGAAGTTCGTCTTTAAGGTCATATTTTAGAGCAGGAGACTGAATTGGCAATCTTCTTACGCCGCAGAACTACCGCCAGACGTCAACTCTGAGGATGTTCGCAGATTTTTCGAAGACGAGGCAAGAGTCAAGGTCGTCGACTGCCGTATAATGACAGGTATAATCGTATATGCTACTCTGAAAATGCTCACTCTGCGATTCAGGCTTTGGGTTCATCGAGTTTGACTCGTCAGAGGTAGCGTGGCTTTCGTAGGCTGGGGAAGACTGAAGCAAACCTCTTTCCAGGATATGGATACCGCTCTTCGCCTCGATGGACACGATTTCCAAGGACAACCTATCCTTGTCCAGGTTGCTAGAGAGAAGCCTCCTCGAAGGGAGCCTCCACGTGAGATGCGATCAAGGTGCGGTCTAGTTGGCATCCTTTTTATGATGAAATTGCTGACACTGCTCTGGATCTAGTGGAAGACGCCAAGGTTCGCCGAATCAAGTTTTGTGCTTGAGTTATGCTCTTATGGATATCTTTTTGCAGGTGTTACAGTTATTGTCTCAAACGTATCTCGCGACGTCAGTTGGCAGGTAAGCTAGGCCGCTCCCGTTTCCTGGATCGCATGGACACCCGGACTACACTTCCTACTGGCCGACTCCCTCTCGTGATTGAACATACTGGTCACTCCGCTTTCTCCCTCGATGACTCGGGGTCGGTTCGTGGAACGGCCAATATTTCATCGACTTGCCGGGACAACACGCTCTTCCCTCTGGACGCGCTCACCACTGATGCAATTTCTTCGGAAAGGATTTGAAAGACTTCGGAAGAGAAGCCGGCGGTGGGGTCATCTTTTCGGATATCGACAGAGATGTCCCGAATCAAGGGTATATGCTTCTCGCCAGTGTTTCAAAGCTCATATCGTCATTAGCATACTTGAATACTACACAGCTGAGGAGGCAGAACGCGCTGTACGAGAGCTAGACGGACGCGAGCTCCGTGGCCATACGGTCACCCTCCGTTTGCAAGATTCAGTAAGGCGCTATGCTTTCTGCAAACAAACTTCTGCTGACGTTCCCTCAGCGTGGTGGAGGAAGAAGAGACCGATACAATGATGATTACAGGCGGGATAACGACGATTATAGGCGGGATAACGACGATTATAGGCGGGATTACAGGCGACGCTCACGTTCGCCACCTCGGCGCCACGACGATCGCGACCGGTACGACGATAGAGATTATGAAAGAGACCGTGAATATCGTCGAAGACCCTCACCTCGTCGATATGATGAGCGTCGAGACCGCGACCGGTAAGTTTTCGTCTTTATGTGCATCCAGCGACTCACTGTGCGCGTAGTTACTAATTAAGATGAACAAAGTTGGCGAATGTGTGATGCTGCTCACCAATCATGCCATCTAAAGGAGCAAATGGACGACATAGATAGTTGATGAATCTCAGCCGTCTTCGTGACTTTTCACCATGGAAAGTTCTAGTATTGCCATCCAGTTGCCAGTGTATTCACTCCATCCCTCTTGAATCTCTTGTTAAAAAAATCCTAATCCTAAGGGCAGTCGAATCTCAATGGAAGGCTCAGAGCTTTTAGCTGCTTTGCATAAACCCAACTAAGTTCATCCGTTTGGAATAGATTTAGGAGATGTACATGTCCGCAATGGAGACTGGCATGGGGTCACGGGTTGCACCCAACCTTGGTCTCCATCCACGTCACATTCTAGGAACATTCGCAAAAGCTAGAAGACAACCATCGAGCTGTACGTCCTCATGGGCTATCTTTTCAGACATTCTCATTTCTTGCCTCAACCTAGGAATCCGTCAACTCCACGCCGCGAGCACAAGTCTACGGCTGAAACTTTCAATTCGCATACAATGGAAGATTTCGAGGTTCCTATTGACGCTCCTCTCGACATACAGCAAAAGGCTACTCAGATGAGGCGCTGTTGGGAGCAGATACAAGCCTTGACGGGTCAATTGAAGGCAGCAGAGTCCCTCTGGAACAGTCTAAGAGACGAGGTTGCTGGATATATCCAGCAATCAGAGCGAAAACGTTTGATTTCTGCACGTCCCGCGAAAGTGTCGCTCGACGGCTTGCCCAACGAACTGCTATTCAACATCTTTCGACATCTACGGTTTGAGAGATATGGTCACCTCGGAGCTCTTCTTCTCATCAACAAACGCATCCATCACTTCGTAATGAGCACTCCTTTACTGTGGACTCATATTGAAGTCTTGGTCGACTGCGACTTGTTGGATGCAACGCCCCCAAAGCCCTCATACGTCGAGGCATGCTTAAAGAATAGCCAAAGCGCCGGCTTAGATATCGAGATCCACCTAGAATGGGACGCAGCGGCGGAGTTTCTTAAACAAGCTGCAATCGTCGCAGTCGTCAATCTAGTAGATGAACAGGAGGAGGATGCAGTCTGGTCGACCTTGAACGACATAGACATGGACTTCCGCTGCCCCGTATATGAAAAAAAGGAGGCGGCATTATTCGAAGTTCTGGATGCCATTATCGGTACTGACGGATGCAACATGCGCCGATGGAAGTCACTGGTCCTTTCACTACCATCTGATCCTTCGCATCGCATAGCTATTCTCGAACGACTCATCGGGAGCACTCCAAATCTTTGTGAAGTGGACCTACAAAACACAGATGGATCTGATAGCGAGCAAGATGCCTGGGACAGTATCTTTCAAGATCTTTCCAGCCTATCTTGCTTTACGAGTGACTATCGGCTGCCTTGGGCATTTTCTGCGCTAAACCCCAATAGAATCAGTGAACTCAAGATCGACCTTCGAAACTCTATGGACTTTGAGATACTAGCTTCATACCGAGCACTTCAACACTTGGATATTTATTGGGAGGGCAAGGGGGATTCAAGCAATTCGATTATATTGCTCCCAAATCTACGTAGTTTACATATAAGAGGCCCCTATAACTATATCCTCAATCGCCTCCTCACACCTCTCCTTGACAAACTCTCAATTTCTTCCTTCACATTCAGATTACCCTGGGAGGTTCCGTTGCTGACTGCGACGGTGGTTCAATGGCATTGTCGCCATTTTCCGGACGGTATCAATGCTTCCGTTAGTTTCTTGCAGCAGATTTTCTCAAGCCTAAGAAGGACACAGCAGCTTATTCTTTCTGGATTCGCAGCAGAGGCCGTAATGGATGCTTTTCAAGTGTTCAAAAGGTCGAACTCATTCCCAGAGGAGCTTCAGGTGATTCTCTTGAGACGGTGGATGAATACGCCTGATACTCCATTGCTTGAGCTTCGACGCAAGGACTTTGTTGAATAGATTAATCTATGTAAATATTAGCAATCGAGTCTTTCCCCATCTCGCTTGTGCCGATGAAGCGGTGGATCTCTTTATAGTCAACCTTGCTCCTCGCCGCACCCACTGGCACCCACAGAAACTCACCCACGGCGCTGCTGTGAGGACGTAAGTCGCTGTAAGAAACAGGAGACTAAGACTAAGACCTTGTGAAGAGACTGCGGTGAAGGAGACTAGGCTGCCACATCGCGTGCGGGCTGGGCAGTGGAGAACGTCAACGGGGAGAGACTGGCCAGCATTCCATCCCATTCCCCGCGCTCAACATTTCAAAGAATTTATAAGCTTTCATTGGCGTTTGAGCCACTTGCGATTATGGAGACCACACGGTTACTGCTTGAGCGGTGCCAGCGAAAGGTCGAGGACCTCGAACGGCAATTGAGGAGTGCTAAGTCACACCATGCTTCTCTTACTCGGGAACTACAAAGATATTCCTCCGAATCATGGCAAGCGTCGGACGAATACCAGGTCGCCAGGCACAAAATCTCCCTCTACGATCTCCCAGACGAGCTGCTTTGCGAAATATTCGAATATGCGACCCTCCTCTGCCACCCTTTCATCCGCTCGGTCTTGCTCGTTTGCAAGCGCTTTCATCGAATTATTATGAGCACTTCATCATTATGGACGCGCATAGATCTCCGGTTCCCCAAGGACCTGATGGATTGTTTCTTCCCTACCAAGGAATATGTCGAAACATGCTTGGAGCGAAGCCGTGGCCGTCTACTAGATATTACCATCGAGTTTCCACGCTATATCACCACTACAAACTACGCTTTGGATCAGGTCGTGGTCAAAATGACCCCGATCCTTGGCGGGGATGCCTCTATGGATTTGCAGGAGACGCTCGTTGGTGTAGACTGGCAATGTGACAGTTCACTAGTGGAGGAAAGAGTCACTCACCTAGAGACCGTGGCCAAATCCCTCATTGGCTCCAACGGAGAGTATATGCTTCGATGGCGTTCACTCTCCATGATACTCTCAGAGGACGAATGGGGAAATTTCTTTCTCGCGCGCATGCAAGACTACCCAGCTCCGGATTTACAACGACTCGAAATTATGAATATGAGGTTCATGGAGGACTGGTTTGAGGATGGAGATTGCTCGTTCCCTACAATGCCACAACTGCGTTCCTTGAAAACGGAGAGGTTGTGCCTACATTGGCTTGACCCGGCCCCAGCAACGCTCACTCATTTGGATACCGCGTACAAATTGGGCTTGCTCTTCGATCACCTTTCTGGCTTGCAACAACTTCGGCATCTTTGCATCCGAGACGCTACCAGTGAGTCTTTGTACCAAAAGGATCCCGTCACCCTTCCACATCTCTCTAAACTTTATATTTACGGAAATATCGATGGAACTCTTGCAAGCCTCGTCACGCCCAAACTTGAAGTGCTATTTGTCTGCTCATCGCAGACTATGGTCAAAAAACTACTACCCAACGTTCCATTAATTGAGTGGGAGTGGAGTTTGGATGGGAGCAAGCCGGAGGGGATATTCTCCTCTCAGCGGGACGCATTAGGATCCATCTTCTCAAAGATGAGAGAGACGCGTCGCTTATACTTGCAAGGGTTTAAAGCAGGTATGATAGATGAGATTGAAAAGAAGAAGAATAGGCGGAATGGGGGACTTCCGGCGAGTCTCCAGGTGATCGAAATACTCGTAGGCGGGGTTCGACAGACGATTGTGACGAGAACATCATGAATCCGGCCCGATTACGTAGTAACAGATTGTTGATAATAATGACTCTCTTTAAATATACTCTTCCTTGAGATGACTAACCAATCAATGTATATGGACCACGCGAGATGGGGCTTACCTTTGGATCCCTGTTCTAGAGTAATTTATCTTTTCAGTCTCGAACCTCTGAGATCTGGGGCATGATGGCGAGGGGGAAGAAGACGTCGAGATAAGGCGAGCCGACCTGATGTGCGCCAGGGATTTTTGCTATGGGAAGACCGCGCGGGATCTCCCGAACAAGAGGTGCTCACATGCTCTTTGGGCTCGCGTAAGGGCGTGAGGGGTCTGATAATCTTACGAGAAGCGAAATGACGAAAGGGACCCCTTGGAGCTTGTATGTAATGCAAATTGTCGAGATGGCAGATGCGCCCTTTTGCTTCATAGGACATCCCGTTGATTGATCTTTGATCCTGCGGCTTGTCCGCACAACGGGAACAAAAAGGTCCATCAATATCGTATATGAGCCAGGATTCTCTGTTCTGACGTCAAATGCTTCTGCAGAGGCAGCGCTGACTGTGATAGTTCTGCTGGAGTATGCTCAGCTGACATGGCCACGTACAACGCCTCGATGAGCGGCACCGAACTTTAACCCGTTATCCTCAGAGTTCTTTTCATCAGCCGCCGGTACTTAACATAACTCTCTGGCCATTCTCTCGACTCATGGGACTTGGCCTCTTGGGGTGCGATCCGCTAGGCTATGATCTCTCCCGGTCGAAAATCAGTCTGATAACTGTCATGAAGGAGAGATATCTAATCGACCCGATTAACTCGCTGTACCTAGACTCCACGAGGATAATCTCGATATGGATGGCCAGAAAAAAAAAGCAAGTCCGGTCACGAGATGTACGTGCGGCCGCTCGGGTGGCTCGCCATGAGGAAGTCATCAATCCTCTCAAAAGTAGAAAGTTACAATAACATAACGCCATTCACACGCATCCAACACATTTTGCCACGCGCTGCCTGCAGGCTTTGAAGCGGAGTTGGATGGCGCGTTTGTGTGCACTGAGCCAATCTCGATCGAACCAGGTCGAAATCGCACGCCTAGGGTTGTCGAAAGTTTGGACATTCTTCTTCATTGTTCCATCCGGTGACTTGAACCCTAGGCGTGCAAAGCAATCGACCACGCCCCTCCCGTCCCAGCAAGTCACGGTCGACCATGACGCGTCATGATCGGCGACCACGCGTCTCGATGAGTTAATAGCGAGTATAACGGTCACTTAACCGCCATGATGTAGCAAAATATCCCCAATGAATGCCGGGTCGAAGTTAGTCTCACGACAACCCGTATGACGGCTTCGCCTTCTTCCATCAACACGACTGTGAGCATCGCATCTTGATTCCCATGTTGAATCCTCGAACGACTTTGTTGGGTTCCGCGCTTCGACTGTTCTTGCAAAAAGGGGGCATGCACCCAACTTTTTTTTTTCCCTAGTCTTCGACTCCAACTAAGACTGTATTGCATGTTAGACTATCCGCTCGACCGGTCGAACAGTGACGGTCCCTTTTGTCACACAAATCAATTTGTTCTCCACTGCACCACACGACCGACCGATCGTGCCCATTCACTGTGTTTATAGTCTGTTTCCCCCACCCCTCAAGTTCTCGCTTGATTCTCGAGCGCTAACGCGGGGTCGAGTTTTCCGAAGCTCTGGCTGCCGAGTTGCACTTCCCATCGAGTTCGTACCGCATCAACGTAGAAACTAGCCTCCTTTAGGGTGGCCCATTGACCAAATCTGACCAAAAATATTTCACCAGCTGGGCCCTCGTCTAGCGAGCTCGGTTTCGTCTGGTCGACGAGTTCGGATCTTCGACTTTACGGCATTTGGCCACCTCTTTTCTCGTTTGTAGTATTGGGGTCATCAACAGTTTCAACTCAGCTGAGGGGGAAACGTTTTTTTTTTTAGAGTTGGAAGAGGAGACGACGATCGAATTGCAATAGACGACAATAAACACGATAGATGAGAATATGACGCGACGGGGAGTGATGCTACAGCAGCGCAAGGGACAAGACCCAGTGAGAGAGAGAGAGAAAAGAGGATGAGAGTGGATGAGAGAGCACACAAGAAAGATTCGGCCAGCGTCGATGAGGACACGGTCTCGAGTGATGGTACAAAGGGTGCAGAGTGCTTTTGGATGATTAGGCGTTGGCGTTGGCGTGGCGTGTCGATTCGTGATGGGTGAATGCGTATGCAAGGGGGGGGGGATTTGAGGATGCCAGATGATGTCCGAAGGGGAGCATGGATCGATGAGTTTGATAGATAATGCTGAATTGTTCGTCATCTCCAAGACGAATGAGGAGACAGTTTGTGTGTTGTTTTCGATAGAATTAACAGGAGGAGAGGGACGCGCAAGCGCGAGGCGGGGGGATGAGAAATGGGTGAGGAAATAGATATCGGGCACCCGTTCTGGCCCCGCGTAGGAGAAGCCCAAGAGAGAATGGAGTTAAACAACTCGCTTTAGCCCGAGGGAGAGAGTAGATAGAGTTTGCATAGGTGCACGAATAAACACCCGTCGTCCCCGTGCTCCTGGTATACTCGTCGGGATGGTACTGTCGACCTTTGTACCAAAGTGACGATGTGGATCACTCAGAGGAGTGTCCTCGACGTGGCGTCGCGGCACGACTTGAGGAGCAATGAGAGCTCGTTGCCGCCCGTACCACGAACAGGCTCCGTCTTCTTCTTCGCCGCGAGCGCAGCCTTTCGCATCGCTGGACACATTGCCATACCCATACTCCCAGCACCAATCCCGCATTCCCCAGCACGCTTCATCATCTCGATGCCATGCTCGGCACCCATACTAGAAGGAGGTGTAGGGATACCGCTGCTCTTGCGGGACATGGAGACGACGTAGAGACAGGCTATGCGAATGTGTGCATCGCGGAATTGCTTGAGTGCGAGCACGGCGTCGTTGTATGGCTTGAGGAGCCTGTCTGGATGTGCGCGAGCGAGTTCACGGATGGAAAGTGGCTGCTGCTGTTCGATGAGTTGAACAAGGGACGAATCCAGCGTTGTTGGCATCGGCTTGGTCACCTCTACGCTGTATGAGGGAGCAGGTGTAGGCGTTGAAGTGTGCTCGTCTGAATTCGAGGGACCATGAGTGATGACAGAAAGCTGTTCGAGAAAAGCCTGATGACTGCCTGGCATATACTTGCGCATGCGCGTCATGAATTCGCCATTGGGGAGCTGTCTTTTGGCCTCGTCTTGTTCCCTCTGCCGCTGAGACATGACTGGACACTGCACGCTCGCTTGCTGCCGTTCGTCGTCGTCAGCTCGAGCCCCAGAGACGGGGCAGCGCGTGACGGGGACAACCTCCGAAGGCGATGAGCTGGTCGAATCTGTCTTGCCATATCCGGCTGGACATGCAGATTTTTGCACCGCGGCATTTGTGGATGGCGTCGAGGACCGCGAGTCTGCGGTACTATGATGGTCCACGTCGAGGAAAATGTCCAGAGTGTGGATGATGGAGCTCTGGCCTGCAGAGGGCCCGCTGAGCTCGAGCACCTCGTCTTCGTCGACACCCTCGTAGATCCATCTTCGCATGCCTGGTGGAGGGACCGGTACGGTATCGTCACTCGATGCGTCTGATCCACCAACTCCGGCACTGGCATCGCTTCCCCTAAACCACGGTCGGACGGCAAAGTAAAACGCATGCGGGTCGCAGATTTCGCGCACAGATTGCAAAATCGTCGTCAAATCCTTGATGACGCTTGCGACCGTGTGCAGACATGCTGCGGCCTCGTCCAGAGTGACCTCGTCCACTCCTTCTTCGCGTCTTCGCCTGTCGAGCTCATCCGCAAAGTCTGCCAAGTTGGAAAGCAGATCCTTGTGAGAGGATGAAGAGGCATTCTTCGGCCGTCCAGCCACGTCGTAAAAGTGGGCAATAGCACGGAGGGCCTCGACACCCCTGAGCTCGATTTCTGCGCAACATCCATAGAAATTGGCTTCGTCTGGACCACGAGTGAAGAGAGTGAGCGGACGAATGTTGGCGCGTGTGAGTGGTCTGAATTTCGTCCGGTTAACTCGTTGCTGTTCGTCGGTAATAGTGGAGCGGTGGGTTTCGGGGGTGTCGATAATCTCGTGGTTCCAGAGTACCGTATCCGCAAAGGTGAGGACGGGCGCAATATCGAGTCTCTTTGAGACGCGGACGAGAGGGAGTGCGAGGGCCTTGGGGACGAGGATTGTGTGGGGGCTGAGTGGATCGGGTGGACTGGAATGGACGTAGAAATGAACGAGATATGCGAGGACGTGGTGTGCCCGGCGCAAGAGCTGGACGTCATTTTCGAGTGGCGTCGTGTCGAGGACAGGCATCTGTTGCAGGGGTTAAATGATAGATTTCATTAAGTAGCAGGGATAGCGAGAAAAAGAAATGTCAGTAACGGTGCGAAGTGGAAGCGATCAAATGGGGGAAATGGGACAAGGAGAATACTCGCCTGATGAAACTGAGTGCGCCATTCGTGTCCAGAGACTCTGAACCGCCTTGCTCGCATCGAATCGTCGTCTGCGTCTGCGAGTGCGAGCTGGTCTGGTGCGCTCGCGAGGGCGTCCTCCCAGCGGTCATAGGCGGCAGGCAACCGATTCCTATTCTTCTTTTTGCCGTCTATATCCTCATCTCGAGTATCCAATTCTGCGGGTGCCGATGTGACGGCTGCAGACGAGGGCACGAAGCCCGTCCTGCCGTCAATCTCGTAATCCCTGCTGAGGACGTTCTGGATAGTGTCAGGGCTCTCTAAAGCAGTAAGACTGCTCAAAGTAGAACTTGTTGAGAGCAAAGAAGACGAAGAGGCGTGTGCGCAGTTGTCGGATGCGAGTCCATAGACGAGCTTGGTGGTCGAGCTCACAAATGTAGACGACTCGAGTTGCTTGTCGACACTGGCAGAGAATGGGTGACCAGCAGCCTCGACTTGTTCCGCATTGACGGGCCAGTCGAGCAGCCAGAGGGCGGCTCGGATATGATTGACGAGCGAACTAGCAAACGTCGGCATCGTCGATAACGACGTCGAGGACGAGCAGAGCAGCCACGAGCGCGGGGCTTTGGGACAGGCGGGATCTGCCGCGAGAGAGAGTGCGGGGAAGCTGGAGCCGTAAAGCTTGTAAAGCCTTTTTCCCAAGTACGGTGCGTTTGAGAGAGCACAAACGAGTAAACGAAACGGAAAGAAGAAATAAAAGGGCAACGAGGCGGAAAAGAATTTGTCGAGCCAGCCCGTGGTTTATATACGCGTTGGCTGCAAAGCTCGAGGCGGTTGGTTCGTGTTACTCGCTTAGGGCCGATTACTAAATCCGCCAGACGTGTCAACTTGTCAATGTGACAAGTCCATGCGCTCTCCATGCCCCTACCCAGTCCCACGCGACAACCCCATTTCCTATTTTTATATTTATTTTATTTTTTATATTTATTATTATCTGTATTTCACCCCCCCCTCTTTTTCACACAACCCTATTTACCAGTCAGTCGATCCATTCGACAACTCCGGCCCCCGCCCCGCTCTCCACGACCCGTGTCCTCCTCGTCAACACTTCCTGCACCCGTTCTCGCACTCCATGCTTTCCTTTGAACGCTTTCACAACTTTATCGACAATCTCCTCGCGGCTTTGTCCTCGTTTGGACCCAGACTTGCCTGTGCCCTTGGTCCTTTTGTCGCCCAGGACCATTGCCCGGATCGTCTTCTCGCTCGGCAGACCATACGATGACCGGTCTCGACCCGCACCCTCTCCCGTCTCGAGCGTGAATCCTGCCACTGCCTTGCCCTCTCCTCCCGCGGAGGACACCAAGCCACGGACCATTTCCTGGTCAACCTTGAGCAAGCTTGCTGGGTCCCATATTGGTGGGCCTTCTGATCCCCTCTTGAGCAACTTTGCCTCCACGCCCTGGACAAAGTCACCTGCTAGTGTCGTCTGGAGAATCCCTCAAGTCAGTATACATTTCTTCCCCACACACAGAGATCAGTTCGTGAGCACATGTCCTCCCCGCAACCCAATCGTATCAACGCCAATGATCGATTACGGCGTCGAAGCCCGCGACCCGTCTCCTCGTCATGAGAAGCCCACCAACCAAAAAAAAAAAACTCCGTTCGACCCTCGGAATCTAATTTCCTCGACGAGCAGTTTTATCGAGCCCATGGGCTCCAGGTCGACAGAAAGAAATTTCTTCAAAACCATTTGATGCCATGTGTCCATCTCAGATCAAGATCGGCCTGGCAATCTCCGGACGTCGTCGATACCTGACCGGCCCCAGTCTACAATATCGACCACTCGGTGGCGCGCACAAGACGCACCGACAAAGCCTGGCTTTTGTATCACACTGCCTGGCCCTAACGAGAAGCTTTGCCTTTGCCTTTGGCCGGCCTCGTTCAATCTCAGTTCGCGCTCTTGGGTTATTCCGTCCAAACGCAATGCAAAGGGGCGGATCCTGCGGCCATTCGAAAAAAAGAATACTCCCTATGCGCTCTGTAACACTGCTTTCCAACCCTCTTTCCTGCACCTCTATTCAACAAACTTGTCCCCACCCCCCCCGCGCGACCCGACAGGCCACGGCACGGGCCCAGTCTCGCTCAGCCCCGCGACCCTCTACGGGCGGAGTAAACCAGATCCCTCGAGAGCTGTGCGACGTTTGAACCGAGTGGATCCTACCCAGCATTGGCGCCGACCCTTTGCTGGAAAGCAGACGGCTCGAATTGCCTTTCAAGGTAGCTGCGTCCAAAACGCGAAAACGATGAGGGAAAAAGGAGAATTTGGAGCACTCACGCAAAACGCTTTCGCAAGCCCCATCTCAGTCTCGAACGCACTTTGGAGCGTCTTCTCTCTCGCCTGCCAGATGGCTTCCCGCGTCACGCATACCGCAGTCGGACTACGTCCTTGAATCGCTTCCATCGTCTCCGTCGCCCACGCTTCGACAGCTGCGCCCACGGGTGGCGTTGGGTCGAAGACGGACGCGGTCGAAGATTCAACTGGTGATGCTCCACTCGATAAACTGTGTGCCTCTGAGCCTTGCTTCTTCTTGACCATGGTAGTAGGGTGTGCAGAGGCAATGGGCCGTCCTTGTGACAGAGATTTGAGGTTTTCCATAATCATGATAGGGTCCCTGGGACTAAACGCTTGATCGATCGCAACCCTTACGTCTCCGACAAGAACCGGTGGCGGATCGTCGTGGGTTCCGCCACCACTAGTCCCGGAATGGGTCCCGTCGCGCGTCAGATCGAGATTGTTTTGTGCCGGTTTAATACAGTTCCAGAACGTTGTATTTGATTCGTTGCGAGGCGACAGCGAAGGGGAGAATTCAATGTGTCAGTTAGCCGTCGATAGAGATGTGTACGCCGGCAGAAGGACGTGCCCCACACACATACACATACAGAGCGAGATACACATGCTCACCTCGTCCTGTGCTCATAGAATTCATCAATCGCTTGGTCGATGACGTTGTAGTCCGCATCCTCTAGCCGCGATAGTCGTTCCAAGAGAAGTGGAATGTTACGTGAAGGTACGTAATGCGTTGCAATACCACATTCACTGTGGTTATCCGTCAGTCCTCTTCACAAGCGAGCTGAGCCACCCTTGCACGACCAGTGGCCCCTTCGATGGGTCAAAGGTCGAGGTAAACGCACGACAAGAGTCGAACGGAATAGCGCAAAAGGAAAGACGGAAACAAAAAAACGTGTACGCACAAGACTGCCCGTCCGGTCACGCGGGCGCTGGAGAGGCCGAGGTAAGTGCCCAACTGGCCGTCAAGATGGGCGAGGAAATGGGTAGCGCCCACGTCTGTAAAGTAGCCGATGTCAGTCTCCGGCATAGCAAACATGGTCCTTTCGGTCGCGACCCGGAACGGTGCGTGCATGGAAAGGCCAACCCCGCCACCCACTAGTGAACGAGTGAACGGCGAGGTCCATGAGCAAAACACGTGCAATATTTGAGGCGAGTTTTCCGTATAGTAACCGTGTAGGATCCCGCGAAACACCAGGGCAACGCGTGTTTGGGCCAGGGTTATGGGATCGTGGATAATGGGCGGTCGTCGCAAGGGTGGATTTGTGGTCGTATCATGTCGACGCAATAGAGCAAATTCGTCAGCGGTACATTCTCGGATAGACGGATTGCAGCACTATGAAAAGGGAGCGAGGGTAGAGTCGAACCAAAAGACTGACTAGTGATGCCATCCATGATAACGACATAGGGCTTGCGGAGCTGTGATAATTGAAAATCGAGCATGAACCTGCAAAGTGGAGTCGCAATCAAGAGATCAGCATAGTAAACGTCAGATGGGATCTGCCGCTGGCGACAGCGATAGCGATCAATCACGGGCAAAAAGTGGCGCTAACATGTTGTATCAAGCCATAAAAGTTGCTTCCAGGCCTGGCCCGTGCAGTACCCATGACAGAGGTCGGCTCAAGGGGAGCAAATGACGACTCACTCGTCTCGGAAGAAAGCGATGGCTTGGTCACGGGTCGACTCGTCTTGAATCAGGGTTACGAGGGCTAACCATTCAGATAGTCCCATATCGAGCGGTGCCGTCCAAAAGTGATCGTTGGGGCCGAATAGGACATAGGGCAACAATCGAGCGCGTGCATGAGTAATCGTAGAGTTATCATGACAGAGTTGAGGCAGTATAGCGTGTTGGAGGTTATTTGGTTTCCGTAATCGCGTGAACAGAAGCGTTCAGGGTAAGCTTGCAAGAGTATGCCCAAATAATGGAGTCGGACGCACTCTTAACGTCTCCTCCAGCACAAAAGTGACCGTTACCAGTTCCGATAATCGAGCTACACAACTCCGACTCATTCCATGCCTACCGCAACAGTTGGTCAACAATTTCAAACTTTCTTCCGACGCGGGTAAACGGGGTAAAGGCCAATGTAGTGGACGAAAAAGTGTAAAGAGATTTGCTCTCAACTGCGCACATACCTTGATTTGCTTCTGGAGCATCTGAACCATTTCGTGATTCAGGGCGTTGAGCAATTTTGGTCGATTGAGGGTGTATATGCGCGAAGCATACTGTTCACGGAAAAGAACCAGAGGCTCTGGAGTCGTTGGCGGTGCAGGGTTGTTCAGAGGTGCAGAAGAATTTGCGGTTGAAGACATGTGAGCACTAAGCTGTTGCATTCTTCGTACTGTCGAGCTCATGAGGTTTATTGCTGCTGGTCTACGGTTGCAGAGAAGAAGGCGGCTTGCTTGACGCGCGACCATGAGACCCGTATCCGTCAAGGTCCGGTCGAAGTAGTTAACCGATGGTCTCGCAGCAAAAGTACGTCTCCAGCGTGGCTCTACTAGGATTGCAGAAGATGGTATTAATGTTGTTGCGTAAATAAGGATACATGCTTGTTGGGTTTGGGTAGTAACGAGGGGGGGAAGCGAGGGGTGACGAGAAATCCACATTGAAAACGGACACGAACTCGAGGTATTAGTGTAGTTTATACATCGTATCCTTGGAAAGACGCTTGCTTCACGAGGACTCGGGTTCTCCTATCAACGGATGCGCGCACACAGAGTGGAAAACCTGCGCCATGCGTGTGTTGCGGTCATGAGCAAACTCCTCCCCATGCGTGGTACTGAAACAGATAATGAGGATAAAACCCGCCTATGGCCATTGGCAGACAGGGGTAGATGATAGAAAAATTTGACGGAGAGGTGGAGGCTAGCGTGTAAAGCGACCAGGACAGGGTGATAATGATAGATGGGCGACATCAAAAGCAAACTCTCAGACCGAGCCGGCCTGGAGGTCCTCAAACTTTTGCTTCGCCATGCGAATGTTGATGCGGATCGCCTCTGGTGCTGGAGAAGATATCCATCAGCAAAATGAGTGAAAGCATGCATCCAAATACGTACTAATTCGTTCGTCGGCACTCAGAACCATTACATACGAGTTTACGGTCAATGGTTCGATGACAGCTGCAAACTCTGGGAGTTGGATATGAAGTCCGTGCCACTTCTCTCCGTTGGTCCAGTTTGGACACGAAAGTTTGAACACCTTGAGGAGGGATGAAATTCGTTCGAAGCGATTGGCGGAGAGCTGTGACAGAAGTTGGAGACGCTTCTTCTCCGACGTTGAAATGTTTCCTCCGACACCATCGACATTCAAACCGAGCGTACTGCTCGAATTGTCCGTGGCAACAGACGTTCCCACCACAGAAGATGACCCCTCAGTCGAGACGGGGGACGACGACGACGAAGAAGCCATCAGAAGGTTTTCATCTATCATGCTTCGAAGACCCTCAGAGTGGGCAATCAGCAAGAAGGTTGTCTTTTCGAACAAGACCGCTTCTACGGCTCCGCACGCTCTCGTAAGGGTAGTGAGACCACGTTTGAGTGCAGTGGCATTTGGAATAAGCGTATGGACAATTTGAGACCACGCCTGAAGAGACAGTTAGACGATTCTGGTAGCCAAGGGATCGAATAAACGTGCCTTATATAGCGTCTCGTCCCAGATACTCGAGCCGAAAATACGAGAGACTTTGAGCTCTTTGGCGTATGTCAGAATCTCTTGTTTTTTCCTGGAAAAAGTGTTGGCCCTTTCTGGTGCAGGCACGAGATCCTAAGGGTCTTCGGTCAACGATCCGAGTTTCACGCAGCAGCGTTTGAGCTCCATTGGGGGTGTGATGTAAACGCACCATCTTGTGAACAAGGACGAATGCGGCCGCGTCGGGAGAGTATGCGAACAAGGTCCTCAAGCATTGCTGAAAGTAGGCGAGGTCATTTCTCCATTCGGCTGCGCCAGCATCGACATCAAACACATAGATTAGTACTCCGACGTGGGCAAAAACGGTCGACTTTTGGCTGTTGAGGTAACTCTCTAGAAAGCTGCTCTGCCCGCCACAGTCCCAGAGATTGAGTACCAAGGATCCAAGAAAACGTTGGTGAGACTGCTCGACGTCGATAGTCGCGCCCAGACGATGAGTAAGGGACGGTAATACGTTCTGACTGTAAAGGGGGGTTCGATGAGGTCAGACCAGACGAAGAGGAACATTGGAGAACGGGTTGAGCAACGGATATACGCACAAGATGACCGAACGCATCGACGTCTACACTCGAATTGGGAGCAGTTTGCGAGCGGCCACCACAGACGGACAAATCCGTAATGCAACAGAAAAAAGTTGAGATTGTTGGAGACGCAAGCGAGGGTGCTAAGCAATCACCTTTCCGCTGCCTGATCTACCCATCAGAAGGACCTGCGAGCAGATGCGCCAGAACATGAGCGTCCAGGCCGAGAACGACAACGAGCTGGAGGTACTCACCTTCTTCTTGACCAGATGCGGCATCTTGTGCAGACGTTACAGACGATCTGGGCTGCTCTTAGAGGCTCGCAGCTGAGCACAGGACGAGAAACACAGTAAAATGGCAAATCGAGGGAGACTTTAACTTGTTGGGCCACCAAGAACCGGCAGCGGTCCGGGCGTCTGCGCACAATGAAATTCCAATCCCTGGTTACAATCTCATACAAATCTCACCTTTAAAAACGGGGCGTTGGGTGGCGCCGAACAAGCTCACATGCCGCGACGGGGACTGTCCAAGGGCTACGTCTATTTCAACCACTAAAAAGAATTTCGCGCATTGCGCAACACAGGAAACAATGGTATGAAGGATGGAAAGAAATAGATGCGATAACAATCTAATCCAGCGCATCACGGTCCGACGTGCGCGGGTGTAATTGGGTGTGATGCCCATCGATATACGAACAAGGTAAAATGCAGAAAGCTGGGTGAGACAAGGCTGAATACGTGGCTGGGCTGAGGGCTGCAAGATAGAGGCGGGTGAATGCGTGTGGGCAACTAGGTCGGGTGAGCGGAGCAATGTCCTGTTCGGCGGCTGGTGATGGTGGTATGCAGGGTCATCAGATGTCGAGTGGCTTCATCAATGGGTCGTGTCGCTTTTTTGGCCCGACGAGACCGAATCAATATCCTCCACTTGACATGGCTGGGGCTGCATAGCCATAGTTGTTGTTGTACTGATTGCCGTTGTACTGATTATAGTTATTGCTGCCTGCATATGCCGTGTTGTACTGATATCGCGAGTTTGGAACCAGCGAATAATGATTCTGGCAGTTGTTCAAGCAGCTCGAGAGCGCCGTCTCGGCAACTTCGCGCGTCTGCACGGCAGTTACCGTAGCCGTACGGAACTCGGTGACATCCAGAGTTCGTGTACCAACAATATTGCTAGTCAGAGTCTCGACAACCGTCTGGTTCTCCTCGTTGACCCGAGTCGTCTCCCAAATCTTGACAGAAGTCGTCGGGACCAATCGAGTAGAGTGAATAGTCTCGACGTCGGTGACGGTTCGAACATCCTTGACATCCGTCACAAAGGTAGAAACGTCGGTGACCACAGAGCTGAGCGTCTGTACAACAGTCTCCGTCTTGTCTTTTGTGATGGTCGTCCTCCAGACGCTGACGTACGTGACCGGCTGAAGAATGGTGGACAGCAGATTCTTGGTCACGACATGGTTCCGCGTCACGACTTCAGTCTGCGTGGCAACGGCAGTATTAAGTTTGGTGCGAGTAGCAACCTGGGTAACCGTCTCTGTGGCCGTGAGGGTATGTTCGATGACTTTGGTCTGGTCACGAATCTCTGTGGACACCCAGACGCGAGTCGTGAGGACCACATCGGTGGCGACGACTTCACGAGTGACTTCACGAGTGCTCGTGACTGTTTCTGTGGCAAACTTTGGGGTTTCGTGAGTCACAAACGCTCTATGCAATGGGAACTAGATACGCACGGCAGTTTCTGTCATGGTCACTGTGGACTGATGTCCCATTACAGTAGTAGTCACATCGACTGTCTTGTGGTTTACTACGGTGCTGCAGATCTTGCGTCTGTTGGGGACTGTAAGCACTGCAGAGCTCGAAACGAAGTGACAGGGGATTCACTTGTTGATTAGGACAGTCTCGTAGCATCCCTCCATCTGATACCACGGTTGTTGCATACAATATGCCTGAGGACTAGCTCTCGCGTAGCCATAACCGCACTCCATTTGCTGGTAGCCGCCTTGGGTGAGGCTCGAGTAGGGCATTTCGTCTGTATACCCATACGAATTATCATCGGATGCAGATGCACTTGGTGCAGCAGTCGGCATAGAGGACATGTCACTCGAGGCCGTAGTCGTTGCCGTCTCTGAGGGGACCGAGGCAGCAGTACCCGAGGCGTCTCCTGTCGCACTCCTGCTGTCGCTGGCCGCTGGAGGTGTTCCAGCCTCGCTGGCATCGATAAAGTGCACGCCAACTACATTTTGGGCGGTGACGGTGCACAACGACGCGATCGCGGGCAGCACGGCTAAGAGGTATTTCATGGTCGAAGATGCGCGGAAAAATTAGCGAAAATTCTGGCTAGTGTTTCGAGGATTTCAGACGAGTCTTGAAAGTCGAGAAAACGAATGAGTGTAACGAAGCGGTCTACGCTACGGCTTGGAGCGAGCGAGCGGCTGCAACCTGGACAAGACGGAGGTTGTGAGTAAAATTGGCAATGAGCGGACCGCAAGAGGTAGCGGGGAGGAGATAAACTGACCGGTGAAGATGAGAAAAAACGAGAGGAAGAAGAGAAAGGGTTGATTAGGTAGAGTCCAAGTGGTGGCAAGGCACTAGCGAAGCCGTTGCCATCCGCCTATCATCGACATGCCCGGGGGAACATCATTCACAGCAGCCTTGGTGGGTAACCAATTATAATTATCAAGAAGCATACACACGCATTCAATCACTCTTGTTCTTGACGCCCACTTCATCAGCTCGTACGCTCGTCGTTTTGTGAAATCCTACCATAGACTGATTTGCGCCCGTCACCTAAGCCGAATGAGATGCAAGAAGTGATCGCAACGATAAATGCGTACCCATTTAGCCCAATAGTTGACCCAGTATGGGAGAATCGGCATCAGCAAGGCCGTCTTTGCCAGCTCCGGGAGGACAATATCGCGGCTCTCTTGCAGATCAATCGCCTTGATAATCTCTTTGACGACAGCATGTGGCGGAAGAGCGGGCATGGCAAAGTCAAATAGCCATCCCGGCATCATCGCATTCTCTCGGAGAGGCCGTTGCCCAGAGAACATGGGCGTCTGGACCAGTCCTGTCGTAAGCAGCGTCGTCCGGACGAGCGGTACATGGTGCCGGTAGTCGAGTTCCTGGCGCAGGCATTCATGCAAGGAGATGAGAGCTGCCTTTGACGCGGCGTAGTCGGAGACTTGAGCACATCCGGTCCGTCCAAGGAGGGAAGAAACCGTGACAACGTGACCAATTTTAGCCTCAATAATGTCAGGTAGGAATGCTCTCAGAACGTTGAACTGTGCTACAACGTTCACATTGAACGTCCTGCAAACTTTGATTATGGAATAGAAACCAAAGGCCCTGCCGGCTTACTGCTTGACGTCTTCCTCTGTCAAATCGACAATAAGCTTGCCTTGGACAACTCCTGCATTGTTTACAATAACGGTCGGAGCGCCAAGCTACATTCCAAGTCAAAAGGTCATCACCTACGTAGAAATAGAGCGTACCTCTTTCTTGATCTGTTTGGCGACTGTAGAAACTTGCGTCCAATCCGATACGTCGCACTCGTAAAAGTTGATATTATCTTTGTGCACTCAGTGCACGCGACAGAGTCTCGAGTCGTTGCGTACCGTGCTCGCTCTTCGTAGGCTTGACATCCAGGACCGCAACAGTGCATTGTCGCATGGCAAGCGTCTCGGCTAATAGAGCGCCAATACCAGATGATCCACCGGTGATGACAATAATCTGTTCCTCCCAGTCCAAGAGTCCTGACGTTCCTGCATTCCGCCATTTCCTGGCTACGAATCGACAAAGCCCTGTGGAAGAAAGGATGTCAGCTCTCCGAGTTGTTCCGTCGACAGAAAACTTGCATATCAAGGCCATTAGCGCAAACCAGGCGGAGAAGGCCTGCAACGTGGGATCTGACCACGGGAGGCCGGTACTTTTGTAGATGAATGGAATAAAGAATGTGAAGAATGGGCTGAAGACTGTATGCGAGGCCACTTTGATGAACATATCCAGATCCAGCTGGTCCCAAGCCGCCGAACTATTGTCGTATTCCTCTTGATATGGATTCATGGTCGTAGGAAAGTTGAAGGAGACCGGTATTTCGGGCTGTGTGCTCTGCAGTCGTGCAAACTGGAAAGAACAAATGGCTACAGGCGTCTGGACCACAAAGGAATGCTGATATCCGACGTAGACTTTGCTTAAAGATGGCTTATTTCGCGATTATCTAGTGGACGGCCAGCGCTCCAGTCGCGGTCGGATTCAGAGGTGTTGAATGTCAATTTTGTCTGCCACCATATCCAGCCATTTATCGGACCTGTAAGACTAGGCCTCTGAGGCAGTTATTCTGGATATTTGAAGGTCACAACGCTCCAATTCTTCGCATTCGACCGCTATTCGGCTTTAGCGACACCTCGTGATACGACAATGGATACTCCTTCAAGTCGGATTCAGGATTCCTTGATTACAACCGGCTTCAGTGTGGCTATTTGCACGGGTGTTCACCTGGTAGTCAAGCCACTATGGAGAAAAGCGGTAGGAGAGAAGAAGTATACGTCATTGAAGAAGAGGGAACGTATTTACCTCGCCGAAAAGTAACTCTCCGACTCCAATTCTCTTGATTACAACCTCATTTGTGTCTAGGACTGTTTCCTCTCTGAATGCCATCGTGACCGGCGGCCTTGCATTGTACGCTATAACGTCTGGTAGCTATGCTGGAGATGTAGTATATCCGTATCCCAAAGCCGCGCATTATGCTCTCGCTTTTGTATGCGGTAAGCTTGGTCCATCTCACACAACATCGCTTACACCTGTCAGGATACTCGTTGTACGACACAACCGTGATGGCTCTCGGGGCACATGAACCTCCCATCATGTGGGCTCATCACATACTCGGACTAGGCGGTGCTTTCGCAATGATGGTATATGCCCACCTTGATCCATTTCGTCCGGAGCTCACCCTTCCATAGTGCTATCGGGAGCTTTCCTTCTTCCCAGTCGCATTCGCCGTCTCGGAGCTTACTGTTCTACCAATCAACCTAGTGTGGTACCTCAACAAACTCGGTATCTCTCGCAAATCTCGACGAATGCGAGCAGCTCTTCTCGCAAGAGCCATCGCATTCTTGACACTCCGTGCACCAATTGGGCTGCTTACCTTTGCGTATGCACATACAAATACCAAGGGTGGACTACAGGCGTTATGGAGGAGACTCTTTGTGAACAAAGAAGTCAATCAGTTCGTCTCGCGAGCGGCGGCTTTCAACGTTTCTGCTTTTACGATCATGAACCTTCTTTGGACGTACCAAGCCGTCAAAGTCGCCATGCAGGTAGAGATAGATAGCAAAGAGGAGTGATTAGGGTGAGTCGACGGAACCTCCCCATACCAAAAGCCATTGATTGCAAGCGTCGTCAGAATCGTACTGACTCGGATCAGCGCACAGAGAATAAACACGGCCAGTACGCGACACCTAAGAAGGCCCGATTTCGAATACATCCGCGAAACACTTGAGCGTGACTTCTTCAGCAAATTAAAGAGAAGAGTCTGTTCACGGTTGTACATGCGTACTACTCCCGAATCCAATTACTTGAGTGATTCAGAGTATGAAACCAATGCATTTGGGTCATTTACACAGTCATAGTTAAAAGTGAAATTCCTATAAATACGCAATTAGCCTGGGTTCATCTCGCCCCAGTCGCAGATGATCGTTCGAGCATCACCTATGAGTACATCCACCGCCTTGAGACTCGACGAGACTCCCCTTTCGCATTTGAATCTGTTTCCAATTTCTTCTACAAGCTCCACCTTGAAGCCCCTCAGGGACAAGCGAGACGTCTCTGTCGCCGTTTCGAGAATGGACATGAGTGTGATCCTCTGTGAGATATCAGGCGCGTCGGTCTGGTCGAATGTCCATTCGACTAATGGGACCGGAGGGAGTGATCGTTTGAACCTATCCTGTGAAGAAAAGAAGACGACCAGCTTTTCAAGTTGTGGAGTCACAAGATTTGCGATAATTCGATCGTGGTTTCCGTATATATGAAGTTCGGAGAGATGTGGAAGCGGATTGTATTCCCTTTGTACGTAGAAGCCTCGGTGGCATCTCGGATGCAAAGGTAGTGAAGTTTTTGCAAGTCAGAAAGGTTATAAAGGATGGATCCCCTTCCGTAAGTAGTATCTAAACGAGTCAGGGTTGCTGGGGCAGGGTTGAACCAATCTAGAAAGGGCCCGTCGGTTTTCAATGTGAGCAATTTGGCATCGGATGGGGTGGGCAATCATCAGACTGATACCACTCGCCCGAGAATCTCAGATTTGAGATTTCCAGTCGCTGTAACTCTGGTGCTGGGTCCTCCTCGCTGTACCCAAGAAAGAAGTTTCCCCAGTCATCTTCTGAGAGTGTCACGGAGAGTGAGGCCCACCGCAGTATATGCTCTCCTTTGGACCCGATGAGAGCTTTGGTTGCAGTCTGTATGAGGGCAATCCTTTTGTGCACGAGTGAACTGGTACATCCCCAGGATAAATCGAAAAGTGTCCTCCGCAAATCCATGGACGCATCTTGACCAATCACCGGGGTCATTTCGACTGCTACCTGATTTATAGTGTAGTTTTCAGCAATGATATACTGGGGAAACCTGATGGTGATGTCCAGAAGACGGCCACGGCTGCGCTCCAAGCACGTCACGACGTACTCCTTGGTAGGGGAGAAGCAATCCATCAGGTCTTTAGGGAATAGGAGATCTATGCGCGTCCATAGCGACGAAGCACTCATGATGATTCGATGAAAGCGCCTGCAAACAAGCAAGAGCGAGCGGATGAAAGGGTGGCAGAGGAGTGTCGCATATTCGAATATTTCGCAAATTAACTTGTCTGGGAGGTCTTCGAGAGAGGTTTTGTGCCTGGAGACCTTGTATTGATCCGACAATTGCCATGATTGGGGGGAATACTCTTGTAGCTCCCGAGCAAGAGAGACACAGCGCGACTTGGTATCCAGCAATTGCCGTTCGAGGTCATCAGCTCGTTGCTGGCATTGCTCAAGCAGCAGCCGTGTGTTCTCCATTGTTTCAAGTCGCTGGAATGCCAACGAGAAACCATTCTATAATTCCTGTATGGCTACTTCGAGAGATAGTATGTGGAGAATGGGATTTTTCGTTGGCTAGTCTCTGCCGTGCGGGCTTTCCAGTAGACTAGCCCTGTCCGTGTGCGATGTGGCAGCCGAATCTCCTGTACCGAAGTTCTTTCGCGATGCCTCAGTCGCAATACTCTTTTCTAGTCAAAACAGACTCACAGCGTGGGATGATGTGATAGGTGGTGGGTGCGGCAGCGAACAAGGTTAGATCGCCTCACACAAAATGGATGGTGATTCGATCATTCTTATCTACATGTTCGGCCGATATACTCAACGAAGTCGCTGCGCCTAAGTTCGAGCAATGGAGCGTAAGTTTCAAACTGCTGACGTCTCAAGGTGATTACCATGAGCTCTTCCGAGAATGAGTTCGAATTTGTGAAAGCTTGAAGAGCGTTGGTGACATTACGTTCTATGAAGCCAGAAAGAAACAGATGTCGCGTCCCTCTCAGACTTGAGAATATATCCTGCAAGAGATTGACTAATTCGGCATCTTCCGTCAAATATTCATAGTGCCATTCAATTACGGTGGCAGTCGGCAACAGGGTCCCCGATGGAGAGGTATATGAGAGAACTGAGAGCTTATCAAGAGAAGGTAGGCCTAGGCGATGAAAGGTGTACTTGTGATAGGACCCAGTTACGTGCAAAATGCGTAGACTTGGGAGTGCTATGATCGAGTCCGTTGGTTTCCCCTCCCTTATGAGCCGGTGAATTTCCAGGCATTGGAGTGCTTGGTACGACGCTGGTATACTGAGTTCGTCAGGGTAATGAACACAGATCTTGAGCTTATCGATTCTGCCTGGGTTTAATGTGGGAATATCCAAGAGGGGCGATAGTCGCTGCTATAGCTACTTAAGCCGGAAAGGTCTGTAAAAATATTATCACAAAGTGCCTTATCTTTGTGTCGAGAACATAGGTTTTCAATAAGTTTAGATGACAGAGATTTAGGGTATCTCCGATGAATCGTTCTAGAACCTCAATGTTGAGAATAGTCGGAAGGTAGCATGAGGGCGAGTGTCGTCCATCGGTGTATGTTGCAACGTTCGAGACTGATAATCGAATCGAGGGCTTTGAATATCGCGTCCTCCTTCTTTCTATATACGGAGCAGCTAAAGTGCATATCTATCTCCTCAAGGGTTGAAACAACCGCTTCTTCTTCTCCCTTGTCCCCTACAGCGATTATTGCACTCTTCGCGACGTCGCGGATAAAGTCATCTTTTGACTGCCACCCCAGGTGCATTTCGATATCTAGGCCGGCACTTTGACTACGCTGTAAACACGCCTCGACGTACGAGAGCTTTGGAAGCGTTACGTCGATTAGATCGTGGTCGACACGGAGCTCGATACGAGTCCACAATGACGGAGCGTTCATTACGAAATGATGGGTGCGTTTGTTGACAAGAAGGAGAGCTCCAAGGTGACCATATTTCTCGAAGCGTAATCGCCGAAAGATGTTATATAGTAGGTCGTCGGGTAAATCGTCGAGTGAGGCTCCGGCGGAGCAACCCGCGACGATGGATTTCCTATTTCCATCTGAATATATCCAGCAACCTCGTCTCTGAGAGAATTCCAGAGAGACTCTGCTGCCTTTAAACGACTCTTGAGGGCCTCTATCTTGTCAACGCATGCCTTCATTTGGGAAGACTTTTGCTTGATCTCAAACGGAGCATCAGAAGGCATTTTGAGGTCCTCCATTAGGTATATGATTTGAGTGGAATACGCAACTTTGAACGGGTTCGACAAGAAAGCTGGAATGAAATATGGCATTGCCGGCAAATGATAAGTAAAGATGGTTCTAGAGGTCAATGTGACGTACAGAAGCGAATACTAGCTTGTAGCTGTTTGCGAGTTCCAAAGCTGTGATGGGTAAGGGCCAACCTTTGTTCGCCACCTGGAGTTTTGCTTCGGCTCAACAAGCTCGAAGTTCTCTCTTAAGTAGGATATCAGGATTTAGTGAGGACGACATACTGACCGGATTTGTGTAAATATTAGCAGTTATATGGACTCCTGGGAACCTTGTGGTTGCATGAGGAGTATGTCGGTTTACTCTCAGTCAATTTGTTGTCGTATTACATACGTGATTAACATTGATTCGGAGTGTCTCAGTCGCAGATAATTATTCTAGCGTCATCTACGAGTACCTCTACTACTTTGAGGCTCGTTGGCAGTCTGCCTTCTCGCTTGAGCTTGTTTCTAACATCATCTACCAGCTCCACTTTAAAACCCTGAAGGCTCAAGCGACGCGTCTCTGTCATGTTCTCGAATATGGAGGTAAGTGTGATGTACTGTAAGAAATCATACGCATCGGTCTTGTCGAATGTCCATTCAACCAATGGAACGGACGGAAGTGGTCGCTTGAACCTGGTCTGCGATGAAAAGACGACCAGCTTTTCGAGCTGTGGTGCCACTAGAATTGCGATAATTTCGTTGACATCTCCGTATATATGAAGTTCGGAGAGTTGAGAGAGGGTGATCGAATCCTTGGAGTACGAAGAGGTGTCAGTGGCGTCTCGAATACAAAGCTGGTGGAGTTTCTGGAAGCCAGAAAGGTGATCAAAGATAACGCCACCTCCGTATGTGGTATCTAGGTGAGTGAGGGCTGCTGACTGAGGATTGAGCCAGTGTAAGCAGGGCCAGTCCGTCTTCAATGAACGCAGACGTAGCATTGTCGGAAAGGAGCACCCTCCATACAGAAACCAGTCTGTAGAAAAACTTATATTTGTGATTTCCAGTTGTTGTAAACCCGGAGCTGGATAGTCCTCCATGCGCGCAAGAAAGAAATTTCCCCAATCGTCTTCTGAAAGTGTCATCGAAAGTGAACCCCACCGCAGCACATGCTCCCCGTTGGGACCAATGAGGGACTTGGTCACGTTCTCTATGTGAGTTACCTTTCCTCCACCAGCGAACTGTTGCATTGCCAATCTGCATCAAGGAGCGTTCCGTATAGGTCTGAGGATGCATCGATACCAATTATTGGGGTCACTTCAGCCACAACCTGTTCCAAGGCGTAGTTTGTAGCTGTGATATGTCGCGGGAACTTAATGGTAATATCAAGTAGACGGCCACGACTGCGCTTCAAGCATGCTTCAACATATTCCTTGGTAGGGGAGAAGCATCCATAAGATCCTTGGGAAATATGAGATCTATGCGCGTCCATAGCGACGAGGTGCTTATGATGGTTCGATGAAAGCGCCTGCAAACGAGCAAGAGCGAACGGATGAAAGGGTGGCAGAGGAGTGTCGCATACTCGAATATTTCGCAGAGCAATTCATTGGGGAGACCGAGTAAAGAGACCGGGTCTGACGACCTGATTTTGGCTTGTCGGGAGAGACCATTGGGAGTTGTATTCTTTTAGCTCTCGAGCAGTAGCTGCGCATTGAGACTTTGCGTGTAACCACAGTTGCTCAAGCCGGTTGGCTTCTCGCTGCCATTCCTCCAATGACATTTGTGCGACCTTTGTCGTCACAGCCAGCCTCAAGCTACGTATATGTTCATCCCGGGAGTCCACATGGCCATCGTGTGGTATTGGTTCTTCTATGGACCCCACGTGGCTACTTTGAATGGTGAACTGGGACAAATGTGACATTGCGCAGGGCAATAGCCGGTACATGACGAGAAGCACACTACCTAGGCACAATTTCAGAGATTAGTCCAAAACTGTGGACACAGGGAGCACCCACCGTGTCTGACATAGGTGCAGTCAACCTGGAGGAGTTCGCCCTCGAGGGAGCTAATAAAAAAAAATCCCCTTTGTTCTATTCGTACAGGACGTCTGACATCGATTATTGGCCATATTCTGTAGGTTTTGGGTGCCGGCCGCGAGATGGGCTGGAACAATGGTGAGTCGTCCCGCGATGGTGGTGTTGGTTGAGAAGATGATGGGACGACGGTCATCATTAAGCAGGATCTGAAACATGTGATAAGGTGGATTTGGGTTCAAAGGCGGAATATAGTGCACTACGTTCGAGAAATCCTGATGAACCAGTGAGATGCCAATGTGGGCCGAAGCGTCATAGAAGTGCTCACTCCAAGTTTCAGTGATTCGTAGAGATGAAAGTCGCAGTCCCTGGGGAACTCTACGTTGGGCGGCGTCAGAACGACATGGCTATTAGACAACCACCAGGCAGGCTAGGGGAGGGGGGATGACGCACGTGCTTTGTCATGCAAAAAGACTAACAGAAATCCAGCTGCTTTATGTACCACAAGGTGATATTGAGTGAAGGAGTAGTTTGGCGGATCCTGAATGAAATGGCCGGTACTGAGGTGGTGGCGAATAATGGGCAGGCGTGCATAGCTAATGGTAATAATCTGGAGCACAGAATAAGACTCGAACTTACTTGGAGCCGAAAATGAACACATACGGCTGCTTGACCATCGTCGTCTGCGAGACTGGCAAAGAGGCGTTGGCCCAGGATCTCGCCACTGGGATTGTAGAGATAGTCAAGGAAGCTCCTGCCAATGATTTGGTCCGATTGGTCGACGGCTTTGTTGAACGAGGGGCTGGTGTAGCAGATCCGGAGGTGGGAATCGAGTAAGAACCAATCTGGGGGGTGAAGACAATGAACGAGCGTGTTTATAACAGTTCTACTACACGTACAGCAGATGGGATCTAGCGAAGGTTGGGAATTCATCTCGCTAGGTTGCCTTGTGGACAACACTTGTGGAGGCGCTGTCCAATAAGGGTGTCGCTTTGTCAACTGGGTGCCAGTCTGGGTTCAAGGGGTATCCGCAAACCTTAATTAGGACTCTTGGATAGTTCTCACTCACTCCGAATACGAGTCATAAGCCAGAACATGTTTATCAATTATCACTCTCACATACAGTTGGTCTCGCGTCGCCTATGACCATCATCGAACTAGATAGATATTCTTCCGCGGAGGCAATGTGTCTGATTTGCAGACTGAACTATGGTGAATGGGATTGAATGTCCGTCGACATTTTCCACGGCGGCTGTCTAATATCGCGCGTTGGTGTTGTGAAATACAAGTAGTGTGGTTTGAGAATCGCGGTGTTGTCCAAATCTAACTTGCGAAGGTTCGGAGTGTCTCCAACAAATCTTCGGGCAACTAACAAACTTGAGAATACTCGGTTGGCAGCGAAAGAACAAGCGACTTCCACCGATACATGTTACAGCCATTAATGCTCACAATTGCGTCGAGTAGGCGGCAAAGCTCTACTTCCTTCCTTTCGTAGATGGTGCGGCTGTTGTCCAAATTTGACCAGGCTTCATCTCCTTCTAGGTCGTCCACTAGATGCACGGACGCATCGGTTCCGTCCTCGGAAACGATCGCGTCGTTTGTGTCTGTCTAAGTCTAAGTTCGGACTACGATCCATGCACGCTTCAATGTAGGAGTAATGCAAAAGTCTTTCTTTGCTCAGATCCCCGCTGACCTCAAGCCCAATGTAGGTCCATAGTACTGGAGTGTTCATCACGAGGTGATAGATCCGCTTGTTGACGAGGAGAACTCGAAGGTGAGCATACCTTTCGAAACGTAGTCGTCGAAAAATGTCGTATAGCGTCTCGTCGGGCAAGTTGTCAAGTGATACTCTGGGAGGAATAGCGAGGGGTAGATGTCCTGTCTGTGTTTCGCAAACTTATTTCCGAAGGAGACTCTGATAGTTGGAATCGATGTCCGAGCGCTTCACCTCCTCGTCACGAGTGTTCATCTGAGAAATCGTTTGCTATGGAGCATGGGAACCTGGGTATTCTGGCGCGATTGACTTATTGATCCTGGCAAGACATAATGAAATCTCATGGAATAAGCAACAAGAATAAGAAGTAGGAGAAAAGGCGTACGACCCAGTTCTGGCTAGTCGCTTCATCCGAAAGTCACTGTCTCGACGTGGCAGAGGTCAAGGCTCGTCGACAATGGTGGGATTGAGTGTCTCATTCTTCAAAGAGGTTTCTTAGTGCACAATTACTTACGCAGTCGTTTCGACAAATCCACCCGGGCCTTTTGGCGCATAACTTGTCCCCCACCATGGGCTGCACTTCTACGCCAAGCTCCTTCGTTCAGCGACAATGATTTCGCCAACTACTATGCGCGTCCTTGTGTTTGATCACTGCTTCAGTCACGGTGTCGAATGCCTAGATGGTATCTTTATACTCTTACCATAGCCCGGGCGGTAAGACTCCTGAAGCGTAAAAAGCATCCATCATCAAATTACACGTCAAGAATTGGATGCAAGCCCGCCCCCTTTTCACCCTTCCGTCGCGCAGAGGACATTGAAACTGGCACGACTTTGCGCACGGCACCCTCTGCCAACCCAAATTGACTATTTCCAGTGTCTGACCTTCTATAGAAGTCATTTTAACTCACATTATTCTCCATACCCTCCTCGTATTATCAGACCCCTTCCGTCCTCAGGCCCACCCTCTCCATCTTAGACTGAAACTAGACGGTTTCACTGCAATTACTTGTATACATGGTATCAGGTAGCAGGGCTATCAACGTGTCATGGGTATCAGGGGTATCAGGGGCATCAACCCACCAACTCGGCCCAATGTTTCTTTCAACACCATCGTTTCCACGCCAGATGTTCGCGAGCAACTTCCTGCCCTCTACTTCCTCTCTTTACCTCCAAGTCGCTCGTTAATAGGCCAAAATGCTGGCCACTTGTATCACCCTCGTCCCACTCCTTTTGACCCAATCCACTGACGGAGCTCCTATTGTTGGCTCGTATACTGACTGGAACTCGGTTGGATGCTACGAAGACATTGTCACTGCTAGAGCCCTCCCGCACGTGGAGCAAATCTCGGGCGAAATGGCCGTCGAGAAATGTCTGGATGCTTGTCACGCCAGCGGATACGCGTACGCTGGACTCGAGTGGGGTCAGGGGCCCTTCTGTGGTCCTTCTCTTCCGCCTACCCAAGTTACGGATGGTCGTTGCAACATGCCTTGTCAGGGTGAGTGCCCCCCCCTCCGTCCCGGGGCTCGCTGGTTGACTGGTGGCCTCCATTTAGGAGATACAACCGAAATATGTGGAGGCTCTCTTGGTCTCTCAGTTTATCGGTATACCTCGTCCAACCTCACAAATTACAAGACGTGGTCATACGACAACTGCTACGTTGACTCGATTTGGAACAGGGTTCTCCCTAATAGCAAGTTTGTCTCTGGTCCGATGACGATCGAAAAGTGCCTCGATGCGTGCGACGCTGCCGGATACACCTACGCTGGCCTCAAGTACGGAGGCGAGTGCTAGGGCGGAAATATTGAACCAAAATAAATTGCTAATAATGTTCACTGCAATATGGCCTGTTCCGGAGATGTCAGCGAGTTCTGCGGCGGAAGCAATGGCCTGAGTGTTTACCACTCTACGGGAGCTCCTCAGCCAATCGATGAGTATAATGGATCGACGTTTTCTGGATGCTACAAGGACTCTACTCGGAACCGAGTTCCTCAACATCGTGCCGCCCCCGAGCACGATTACGATCAAACGATTGAGATTTGTACCGACGCTTGCAACGCGCTTGGATACGCATTTGCTGGTGTTGAGTATGCCTCCGAGTGCTGGTGCGGAGACGCCAGGCCTGCAGAACTTGCGACGGATGGCAGGTGCAATATGCGATGCGTAGGTAAGTGTGGCAGTTGTGCTGCAGGCAAGCAGTGACCTGACACAGTCTTCAGGTAACCACCAGGAACGCTGTGGAGGCCCAGACGGTATCGGCGTCTACGAAAGTCATCCTCAGACCACCACCTCCACATCGACCTCGACTTCGACGAGCTCTACGTCGACAGATACTAATACATCGACATCTACAAGTTCCACGACGACAGAAACGACGGGAACTTCAATTCCACCCTCCATCGGGCATGCCGGAGGCGTAGTTCTGGAGAGTAAATGAAGAGCTCGAAGCGGAATCCAGGCGGAATGGCCGTAGTCGGCTGGTGTCGCATGGCGTCAACGCGGCTTCCTATGGACAGAGATAGAAGGTCACATATCAGCTTATAATCTCCAATGGGCGTCTACACCGACCAAAATGTGCATATCCTGCCGGAACCGAGCTCTCGCAGTGTCATTTGGGGACCAACGCGTGGACCAGCTTATCGATTCGGTACCTTGGTTCAACTTGTGGATTGTAATTTAATAGCCAACGAGGTATCGGTCTAGAATGAGGCGGTGCAGGGCCACTTTTGACGGTGGTGACCCGCATGGCGGCCGGGTCTGGTCTGCCAGTATAACGAGACTGTCTGTGGATAGCGTTTTGACCTTCAACCACGACTAATGGCAAACCGTTCTTATGATCAGAACAAGGATCTCCCACCCCTTCCCCAGACTCCTCCCCCAGTGAAGCCACATGCAGACTCGAATAGGAGCGGGCAGTCGACTATGCCGAATTCCAGATCGAAAGTAGATCGCTTAGGATTTCTGGAGCTCGCTTCCGGAATAAATCCCATTGTCGAGTAGGTCGTTTATGACGCTGCATATTCTACCGCTGATGATCTTGCTCTATCAGTATTGTCGCCATTCACGGTTTAGGCGGACACAGAGAGAAATCTTGGATGACAAATGATGGAATTTTGTGGCTACGTGATCTCCTGCTGGCCGACTTGCCCAATGCCCGAGTCCTATCATATGGCTATGATGCCGATACTGATAGCCCGGAATGTGTATCCACCCTAACATTGCGTCGGCATGCAGAAGAGTTCATAAGAGCGCTCTTAAGAAGACGCGCGGACCATCCTCGAGTGAGCCTCCATACATCACCCGGGAACTCTTTTGACTCCATGTTAGCGACCGATTATCTTCATAGCACATGATACAGGAGGAATCATCCTCAAATTGGTTTGTAGCACTATATCCAATCCGATTCAATGTTGATGATTTGATAGGCGTTGGTCATCTGCCACAGCCAACGGCTAGGATCGAGAGACCAACTTCGAGACATTCTGACTTCCACCCATGCGATCCTTTTCTTTGGAACACCGCATTCTGGCATCGATACTTCCCTTCTTGAACAAGTCAACCACTTGGCCTCGGCCTATATGAAGATGACAGACACCATTCTCAAGGATCTTCGGGCTCACTCGTCTGAACTCGAGGATATACAGAGTATCTATGTTCAGGCAAGTGTGGAGATCCACTCCGTTTTCTTCTCTGCGGAGGATACAAAGGCACGACTGGTCAGTGTCTCTATCATGTGGGATTGAATGCTCACGCGAAGATCAGAATGTTTCGTACTCCTCAACCGCGATTGCGGGCGATCCAAACGCAACGACGATTGTACTCCATACCGGCCACCGTGATCTGGTCAGATTTGCACGGAGAGGCAACGGCGACTATCAAACGGTTCTCAAATATCTCAGGATGTACTTCGACAATGCAGGTGTTGAGATCAAGGAGAAATGGGTCAAGGAAGAGCAACATCGTAGTTGGTAACCAGCTCATGTTCAGTGCTTGTCTGACTGATATACAGGTGTTGCAAAGGAAGAGCCCACTTCTGTCATCGCGCCGAAGCCTTGTCCGCCTGTGTCAAGAGGCTACGTCGAGCGAATCTATTTGCAGTCGCTTATCACGCAGAACCTTCTTCCGGATAGTCCTGTGAAGCACCAGCCACGGTGTATATTACACGGACTCGGAGGTGCGGGCAAAACTCAAATAGCGACAAAGTGGATTCAGGAGCACGAACACCGGTACGGTTGCACTGTTATCTTCGCACAAGATCTGATCATTGAGATTAGCTTCACCCGGGTGATCTGTGTCAATGCCGAGGCTCAAACCCAGTTAGAAGCAGACCTACAACGTTCAATCCGGTGCCTTGGCCCCGACTACAGCCAGATGACGTGGGAAGATGCGGTCGCATACCTTGATGGCAAAGAGAAGGGATGGCTGCTCTTCTTCGACAACGCCGACTTGCCGTACCTCGACCTTCGCCCATATCTCCCTTTCTCCGCTCATGGCGCAGTCTTGATCACCACCAGAAACAGAGAGTGCATCAACTACGCTCCCGATGGCGCAGTTGCTGTCGGTCCTCTGGAGGAAAGCGAAGCGGTAAAACTGCTTCACACAACTGCCGGTATTGCACCCCATTCCGATGCGCAATCTCTCGAGATTGTCAGGGAGCTTGGGATGCTCGCACTTGCTATCACTCTGGCAGGGGCGTATATTCGCCGTACACGAAGCCTGAACACATTCCTTGACATATTTCGCAAAAATCGGAACCGGCTTCTGCGCAGGCAGCCAGATCTAGGCTCAGACTTCAAGTACTCGGCATACACGGCGTTCGACCTATCATTCTATCAATTACGTAGAAGAACACAGGAGTTCTTGAAGCTGTGCGCATTCCTTCATCATTCACATATTCCCCACTATCTCTTTGAGAGGTCGACTGCTTTTGGCTTCATCACATACACAGTTGTGAAAGCATGTCCACCGCCAGCGAGTGACAGGACTTTCACCTTGAAACTGGTGGAGATCTTTGGGAAGACATGGGACGAAATATCGTTCCAGGAACTTATCGAGTCGGCCTCGCAGGCGTCATTCATCGAAGTTACGATGGACGGCCAGTTCTACAGTGTCAATCCTCTCGTTCAGATGTACATCCAGGATTCGCTTTCTGTGGAGGAAAAAGGGGACTATATCCGTATGACGGAACAATTGCTGCTTGGTGCAATTCGACCAGCAGAAGGGAGCAATGCGGAGCTTTTGCCACTGCTACCGCATGCTAACAGGATCCCCTTGTCGGTGCAATCGGAGAGCATAGCACACACATTGACTTTCAATGATTTTTACGATTCTTTGGAGAATTGGGAGACATGCTCGAAGCTATTAAAATGCTACCTTGGAAGATTTAAAAGAACCCAGGGCAAAAAGCATATCGACTCTATATTGGTGATGGGTCAACTCGGCGAAGCACTGTGGCGCTGTGGTCAACTCAGCAAAGCAGAGAAGATGCTGAGAGAGACGCTTGCTCTGCAACGGGAGATCCTCGGAGAAAAGGATGGCGAGACCATAAGGACAATGGCATGCTTTGGGCTGACCTTGTGTCATCGTGGTCAATTTCATGAGGCGGAAAAGGTGCAACGAGACGTGCTCGCTCTGGAATTCGAGGTCTCTGGACCACAGCATCCTGAAACCATCGCGGCCATGAGCAATCTCGCGGCGACGTTGCGTGGTCTCAGTCAATTCGCCGAAGCGGAGAATATGGAGCGACACGTAGTTTCTTGGCGGCTCAAGGTCTCTGGATCACGGCATCCTGACACCATCCTAGCCATGAGCAACCTCGCGGCAAGCTTGCTAGGCCTTGGTGAATCTGCTAAGGCAGAACCGCTGGAGCGAGAGATACTCGCTCTGCGGCGAGAGGTCTCCGGACCACGGGATCTCCACACCATCCAAGCCATGGCCAACCTTGCGGCAACCTTGCGTGATCTTGGTCGATTCGCTGAAGCGGAGAAGATGCAGAGAGACGTGCTCGCTCTACGGCGAGAGGTCTCTGGACCACGGGATCCCGATACCATCCAAGCCATGGCCAACCTCGCGCTCACCTTGCGTGATCTTGGAAAATTTGCTGAAGTGGAGAAGATGGAGCAAGAGGTATTTGCTCTGCGGCGAGAGGTCTCTGGCCCACGACATCCTGACACCATCGGAGCCATGGGTAACCTCGCGCTCACCTTGGGTGATCTTGGTCGATTCGCTGAAGCGGAAAATATGGAGCGAGATGTGCTTGCACTGCAGCTCGATATCTCTGAATTAGGGAATCCCGACACCCTTCTCGCGTCATATAATCTCTCTCATACGTTATATCGCCAGGGTCGGCTTGAAGAAGCATTGCAGCTCTTGGAGGAGACAATGAAAATACGCCATGAGGTGCTTGGCGAAGATCACTATCATACTCAATGGGCGAGGCAACTTTTAGGATTGATCAGATCCGCGCAGTCTGTCCCTTATTAGTTTGTAGGAAATTTGGAGCCTCGTTTTGTCTTCCCCACCGACTGGATTTCTGCATTGCTTGTGATTGTATTCGTAATCTCTGCAGAACCTGTAATCGCGTCGGAGCCACAGAAGCTTAGCGGCATTTCTTGCAGAAATGGCAGCTCACCTCAATTTACAAGCGTTCGATAGATGGTTTTTTTCGCCCTGCCCTATAATATAGTTGCCCTCTAGCTGTCTCCACGCCTAATATCATTCCAGTGAGAAGACCGGTCATGAAGCATCAGGAAAATCACCCGAGTGTCCACGGCCGTCGATCACAGTCAAGCATTTGCCAGGCTTATGATTCACTCGCAGCTAGTTGCGTACTGAAATGCGTGAACGCTTGTTCAGGCGTAAAGGAGTAACATGCGAGTGAAAGAAGGAAAATGGGGGCGAGCGGGTAAACGGGACGCTAACGGGCGTCGAACTTAGAGCAGCGAGGAAATAGCTGGGACTCGGACTCTTGTACTTCGTTATGTACGAGATAGGTAGATTATGGAGGCTTATATCTGCGCGAGAGCGCCAGACGAAACGCGGAAGGATGGGAATGGAGAGTAGAAGCTGGAGATGAGACATAGCGGAGCTGCTTCGCCGCTTAGAGAGTGTATGGGACTGGTAAAAGTGTAAGGGACTAGATAAATAATCCCGAGGGTTCCCGCCGGGCTCGTGCCACAAAGGCGCGAGGGCCTTACAGTACCCAACGCCACCGCAGTGATACAGTACGTGAATTCATGGGCAGTTTTGCAATCGATATACCAGATCAGAACTAATGCGGAATTCATATACGATCGAGCTATATACATGGCGCCAGGTCTGAGCTCATCAGTCTTGCCCATGCCGTCACCAGCAGAACTGCGCATATCTTCTTAGGGGAAAATCGCAGTTTTGCTTTGTGCCTGACTGCCATAGGTGTGAGAAAGGGGCTCACGCCCGTCAAGACCCCAGAGAGCACGTGGACCTGATAGTGGTGGTCGACCGCTTCTAGGAGGTGGAGGTCGGCTGTTGAGGGGACCCGAATAAACCAGCGGTTTCCTTTTTCTATCCAGAGCCTAGAAGTGATTCTGTCACCAACTTCAGTGTATTGTCCGATACGACAGCTCAAACGCTTTGACCACTTACAGTCGAGGTTTGATAGCAAATTAAGTACTTGCAAAAGTAGCCAATTCCCCTTGAATTGTTAGTAGACGAAATTCTTTCACATGTTCCTCGCCTTGCGTTTCAATTTGCACTTTGGTTCTGACCTGAGTTGCTGCCGACCCCTTTGCAGGAGCTTTCTGCGGCGCTAAGTAGTGAAAATCGCTATGGCACGATTTGCTTCAATCGTCAGGGTGGTAATTGTCTGATTTATTCCGACCTCTCACCAGGTCACGATTTGATTGTGTTTGCAGTTGCTGTTGAAAACGTGACAGCGTGGACAGGTGCCAGAAGGAGCTCCTTCAATGATTATAGACATCTCAATGGTCTCCCCGGACTTCAGATGACGCGGCCAAGAGGCCGGTATAACACCTCGGCGCTCCTTGCTATTGATTAACTCAAATTGGCCATCTTCAACGAAAGATCTTCCAGCTAGGCCGTAGTTTGTCGCGAGGAAAAAGATAAATTTCTTCATCATCTGCTAAGTGGGTAAGCTATTGGTGAATCAAACAGGGTCACATACTTCATAACTGGAGCAATATAAAATAGATATAGGGAAGGTCTGGTTGAGAGGATCGATCAGAATGATGCTAGGTTCGACCTTGACCGTTTCCTTGATGTTGTTGTCCAGGACTGTGAGCCTCTCTCTGATCTCCATGTCGAAACGTGCTAGCTGTTGACCAACAAGAGCAACGTCTTTGGAAACATCGGCTCCCATGTCCTGTATCTGACTACAAAGCTTTTGCGTCGATCCATCGAGGCGAGCTTGCTCGTATTTCGCTCTGTCCTCTTGGTGGCTCGCATTATACCTAAGTTAAGTCCGATCAATAGAGGTACAGAGTTATGGGATTGCTCACATCTGGAGGAGAATTGTTAGCTGGGCACATCTTCGTGCGAGTAGCCCTTGCAGCTCCTTAGCCTCGCTAGTACCCAAAGTGTGCCATGACACCGTCTGCCAGAATCCTTTTGGCTTATTTCTCTTATTGAGAAAGGCAACGATGGCTCGGTGGCAGTCCGCGGCCTGCTCAAGGAGACGGGTTAGGTAAACTTGTGTCTCGTGCGAGGTTTGTGGGCCCATCTTGAGGACCTGTATCTCATGAAGAAGTTGGACTGTCTGAACGAGCTCGCCCTTAAGTGCCTGATACTCGCTAGACGAACCTGTCGCGTCACAGAGCTCCGTGCCGATTTTCCAGAGCAGCTGGACGCATTGAGCAATATCTCCAAAGGAGCCGTAGGTGACGGCGAAGATGGGCATATCCAAGACAAAGATGCAGCAAACACCAACTTCCATCTCTTGGTCTGGCCACAACGCCGGATTTGCGAAGGAGACTGGCACCGGCGTAAACCCGCAAAGGCTATGCCATTCTCATGCACAGCTTACGGGATGGGAAAAATGACCGCTTCTCTGGGTCTCCTATCTCAGCTGATACGGCCAGAGTTAGTACATATCTTCTGCGAAATGGGCACCCTGTAATACATATCCAGTATATATACTAGAGAGCTTTTAGTGGAGGCGAGCTTGCTCGTATTTCAATGTCCTTTTGGTGGCTCGTATTGTACCTAAGTTAAGTCCGATCAATAGATGTACAGAGTTATGGGATTGCTCACATCTGGAGGAGAATTGTTAGCTGGGCACATCTTCGTGTGAGTAGCTTGTGTAGCTCCCTTGCCTTGCTAGTACCCAAAGTGTGCCATGACACCATCTGACAGAATTCTCTTGGCTTATTCCTCTTATTGAGAAAGCCAACGATGGCTCGATGGCAGTCCGTGGCCTGCTCAAGGAAAAGGGCTAGGTAAACTTGTGTCTCGTGCGAGATTGTGGGCCCGTCTTGAGGACCTGTATCTCATGAAGAAGTTGGACTGTCTGAACGAGCTCGCCCTTAAGCGCCTGATACTCGCTAGACAAACTCGTCGCGTCATAGAGCTCCTTGCCGATTCGCCAGAGCAACTGAACGCATTGAGAAATATCGCCAAGGGGATCTCAGAGTCGACCAGAACCGACTCAAGATCACCCCCGGGGATATGCCACCTAATGTATGGCGGGTAAGACCCAAAATACGTTTACACCTACGTACGCACTGAAATGTGCGAAAAGGCGCATAATGCGAAACCAAACAGGCAGAATGCCGAAGTTTGGACGCAACAGCAACCATACAAACAGGAATACACACACTTAGTACAACCCAACCACACAGTCACAAATCCCGTCACTAAGAGATAGAAGCCACGTAAGAGAGGGAAAACCAACCAAAAGCGAGTTGTAAGCAAAGACGTGAGGATCCTCAAGGTAAAGGTGTGGCAGGAGAGCTTGGACCTTACCACTTGCAACATATAGTCAGCAGACAGACCAACGGAGAAAGAAAAGGAGCAAGAAGCAGGGGGAATTGAAGTTACGATGAATGGAACTGGGTCTGGAAAGGCGAAGAGGACAGAAATAACAGCTAGGGGCTCAATCACAGGAATAGACAGAGAGGTGGTCTATGACTACAACACAGTGGTGGATCACATGAAAAGGAAAAAGTGGATCATTGATGGAACAACAATCATGGCAGTACTCATGGCGGACATCATGATGCAACAGGCAGAAAAACCAGCAGTGAGCCAGGAAATCAGGAACATGTTAAAAGCATTTGCGTATGCTCTAGAACATGTCAGCATGGACCCTCTCATAGACAGCTACAACAAAGCGGTAACAGGAAAGCTCAATGGCCTCATTGAATCAGCAAAACAAAAACTTGACAAGGCCATCAAAACGCCAACCAAATTTCTGGATGCTGTTACCACCAAATGTGGGGAAATAGTATCAACAATGACGGATCTAGCAAAGGCAACAAAGGCAATGGCAAATGCTGGCACATGCATCAGCAACATCAACTCGACAACAACAACAACACTGGCAATAGACAAAGCCAAAGCAACCAACATAGTCAATATACACAAGTGGCAGATCATGGTCACTACCCCGTCAAAGGTGAAAAAGCCCTCAGGAATATACACTAATGGCGAGGTAAGTAGCTACAAGGTAAAGCTGAACAAAGTGATTGAGAAGAGGGGAAATGAAGGGAAGAACAAATGGAAAATTATCAATCTTAGGCATGTACAAGGCGGCAACACACTACTAGAGTTGAGCACGCCAGAGGCAGCCAGATGGTTAAGGAGTGGAGAAGAATGGAGAGAGATAGTGAAGGAGGCATTTGGAGTAATGGACAAAAGCACCAAGATAGTCCCAAGGACTTATCAACTGCTTGTTAAATTTGTCCCAATTGGGTGGAGCCTACACAAAGAGGAAGCATTGAGAGAGTTTGAAACCAAGAACAGCATCCCAGCAAACTCAATGCAAGCAGCAAGATGGATCAAGGACCCAGCCAGGAGATACAGTGGACAAGAGTTTGCCAACATCAAGATGATCTGCATCTCACCCAAAGTTGCAAACAGACTGATCCTTGGACCAATGCGTATCAACAACTACGTAGTCAAGGCACAAAGGGAACAGCAAACCATTCCACTATGCACTAAGTGCTCACAATTTGACCACTTCATCGCAAACTGCAAAGCTGACAAATTCAAATGCCGGTTCTGTGCACAAGAGCACAAATCTAGGGACTGTCCAAACAAGGCAAATAGGAAATGCACGCTGTGCGGCTCCAAAAATCACACATCAGGCAACAAGAAATGCAGTGCATACAAGGAGAGAATGGAAAAAATGGAGAGGACAGACCCAGAGTTCTACTCGGCAATCTTCCTTACCAAAGAGAAGTGAACTTACAACACTACTTACCCTCCTCCATGGAATACAGGAGCCATCATACTGACTCAGGAGGAAGCCACCATGCCATCCCAACCAGATACCATAGAGCATAGTAAGCAACCTGAGCAAGGTGAAGCTAACCAGAGGATAGGGGACACAAGGAGTATATGGAAAACAGCAAGTATGGGAAACCTGCGCCAATCCACCCTCAACTTTGGTGGAGTTATCCCCACTCAGGTCATGCAACAACTCCAGTCCCAGCCACCAACAACTGGAACAGGGGCAACAAGCTGGAATGTACAGGAGAACAGCGATGGTAGCAACCATACCACTAGCACAATGGTATGAACAGAAGCAAATACCAAGACACAATGGACAAACTCAGAATATTCCAAATCAACACCAGAAAATCACCAGATGCACATGGCAAACTCATCAATACCCTCTCTCCCAATGACTGGGACATCATTGCCATCCAGGAGCCAGCACTCAACTCCGTAGAGAACATACAAGCCACCCGACACTGGCAAGTCTTCTACCCCTGTACCAAACCCAACAAAAACCACCCAAGACTCCATACAGTCACACTAGTCAATGCAAGAATCAGCCACTGCATGCAAATCAATGTCACATCAAGTGACATAGTTGGTATTTATATAGGTCAGGCAACTAATCAAACTAGTATATACAATATCTACAACAATGGTACTAATAATGACATGCTCAAGCACCTTGCAGCCCACCTTGAGGGCCAACAGCCAAGCAAGAGACAAGCCCCATCCATCTGGCTAGGCAACTTCAACAGGCACCATCACATGTGGGAAGGCAAGGCCAACGGCCATCTACGCAGCTCACCTGACAAAATCACTCTGCTCCTAGAGCTGGTCATTGAACATGGCATGCAACAACTCCTCCCAGTAGGAATCCCAACTCGAATAGAGAACAGAAGCGAGACCCACCCAGACAATGTATGGGCATCCGAAGGTATTGTACAAAGGATGGTGGAATGCAACACGTGGCCGGAATGGAGACCTAACACAACAGATCACGTACCCATTGTCACTATCATAGACACCAACATACCAAGAAGCCAAGAGGAAGCACAGCCAAACTACAAACAGACAAACTGGGAGAAGTTCTGCAAAGGGATAGAGGGAGCCATCAGAGCAGACAAGACGCTAAGTTCAGAACCAAGAAGCGTAGAGGAAATGGAGGCTACCATTGATGCACTCACAAGCCACTTGCAGATCCATCTGAAAGCAATGACTCCAACCAGCAAAACCAGCAGATTTCAAAAGCCATGGTGGTCTGACAAGTGCAAAGAGGCTCACCGACGTAAGTGCACAGCATATGCTGAATCTAGGAGATGGTGGGCAACCCCAGACCACCCATCACACCAGGCATACAGAGTTGCTCAGGACAAGATGAAAAGGACAGTAAGAGCGAGTAAGGAAGAACACTGGTGGAACTGGATTGACAATGCTAATGACAGCAACTTATGGAACATCAACAGATTCCAGAAGCAAAGCAACAGTGATGGTAGCAGAGAACGAGTCCCGCCCCTCAAATCAAGCAACAGCACACTTGCGCAGTTGGAGGAGGAGAAAGCAGCCATATTGGCTGAAGCATTCTTTCCCCCACCGCCATCCCTAGCACCAGCCAAACCCATCCTAATCACAGGACAGCTACCCAAATGGAGCCCCTACACAGTAGAGAGGATCAGATGAGCAGCCGGCAACCTCAAGCATGACAAAGCCCCAGGACCAGATGGGATACCTAACACAGCAATCTAAGAAGCCCTTCCATCGATTGAATCTATACTAGCAAACATCTACAATGCAGCCATGTGCCTACAACATATCCCAAAGCAATGGAAGGTATTGACAACAGTGGTACTAAGGAAACCAGGTAAACCAGCATACAACATGGCCAAGGCATACAGACCAATAGCTCTACTGAACACACTAGGAAAGCTCCTGTCAGCCCTCATGGCAGAGGACATCTCAAACCTCTGCAAACAGCACAACCTCCTACCCAACTCCCAGTTTGGAGGTAGACCTGGCCATACTACCACAGATGCACTGCACCTACTCACATGCGAGATCAAGAAAACATGGAGACAATCAAAGGTAGCAAGTGCCTTATTTCTTGACATCCAAGCAGCATTTCCTAATGTTGTCAAACCAACACTGGTAGAAAACATGCGAAGAAAAGGCATACCCAAAGCGTACATCCAAACTATAGAGGATATACTGACAGGCAGGACAACCTGCCTCAAGTTTGATGGTAACCACTTGGAGCCACAACCTATCACAAATAGAAACAGCCAAGGATGCCCTCTCTCAATGATTCTCTACCTATTCTACATTGCTCCCCTTCTTGAGATCACTAACAAGACAAACCAGCTCACCATTGGCTTTGTCGACAACACCACACTCCTTGCGATAGGCAAATCCTTTACAGAAATGCACGAAATCCTCAAACACATGATGGAGAACCTAGGAGGAGTGCTCAACTGGTCATATCGACACAGCTCACCACTTGAAATCAGCGAGCTTGCATTAATCAACTTCACAAGATCCCTCGACAAGCAAAAAGAGTCAATGCCACTCATCCTGAATACCACCAATAGCCAAGGAAACCCGCAGTCAGTCAATCTCACCAGTAGTGAAAGCTACAAGCTGCTAGGAGTCATCCTCAACCATCAGCTTTACTGGAACAAGCACCAAGAACTGGTGCATGCAAGAGTAGTGAAATGGACAGTGTTGTTCTCACGCATCCACAGAGTTCTACATGGTCTACCCATTCAGATGGGATGCCAGCTCTACAAAGCAGTCACCATCCCATGCATCCAGTATGCAGCTGACCTCTGGTATGTACCACCACACATCAACGCCAGCAAGACAAAGAGGCAAGGAGCAGTTGCAATAACCAACAAGCTGCAAGCCGTCCAATGGAGAGCAGCAATCGGGATCACTGGAGCAATGAGAACAACTGCAGGTAATGTACTTGACACACACACTAACCTGCTACCAATCGATGTAACTCTTGGACTGGCATGCTGGAAAGCAGCTGCAAGGTTAGCAAGCCTGCCAAACACTCACCCGCTAGTGAAGTACATCAAGTGAGCAATGTTAGGGAAGGTGAAAAAATATACCACGCCAATGCACTACCTATTCCACACAGCAGGTATAGACGTAACAAGCATAGAGAAGATCAGGCCAGCACTCAGGCATCCAAACGCCACCCATATGTTCAAATGGACCATCAACAACTCAAAGGAATAGGCTATATAGAGGGACAAAGAGATAAGTACCCAAAGCATAGCAATATACATGGATGGATCAGGGATGGAGGGTAAGATTGGAGCAGCAGCAGTCCTATACCAGAATGGCCAAAGGGTCAAAGCAGTATGTTACTTACTGGGAGCTGAAACAGAGCACACAGTACACAAAGGAGAACTGGTGGGCATTGTGCTAGGTATCCATCTAGCAAGGACAATGCAAGGAAACTGCACAAAAGTCAACATCAGCCTAAATAATCAAGTGGCAATCCAGAGCATTGCTCATGCCAGACCCAACACAGGCCAACATGTCATGGAAAATATCCTATCGGAGATAGAAGACGAGCTAAGTGATCATAGAAGGCTACAAATAGAATTCACATGGGTACCAGGACACAAAGGTATACAAGGAAACAAAGTGGCGGACAAGGAGGCAAAGAAGGCAATCACAGAAAGTGCAAGTAGACCCAGCAACCACCCAAGATGGCTGCAAGAACCCCTCCCATCAAATCTCTTGGCAGTGAAGCAGGAGTGCAAAAGACTGGCAAAAGAAGGGGCAAGGGAATGATGGAGCAACTCCAAATGATTTGACCGGATGTCCAAAATCAATGAGACGATGCCGTCGGAGAGATACCTGAAACTCACGGACAAACTATTGAGAAGGGACGCAGCACTATTGATCCAGCTACATACAGGACACACCGGTCTGAATGGGCATCTAAATCACATCAATAGGGCAGACTCACCATGGTGTCCACACTGCAGAGAAAGGAACTATGAGAACCTAATGCACATGCTATACATCTGCCCCAAATACGGGGAAGCCAGAGCAGAATGGGAGAGAAGTCTACAAGGAAGAACCAAAGACCTCAAAGAGGTCCTAGGAACAGAGGATGGGATTGAAGAAACGCTCAAGTTTATATGCAAAACAAGGAGATGGAGGACAGGAAGGGTGGTCAAAGGAGAATAGATGGTGGCAAACATTGGAACATGACACAACATGCGACAAAAACAATAGAAACTAATGGAGCAAAACGCGAGAGACAATAAAGCGATAGACAAAGGTCACACCTAGAGGGGGAACTTAGTGAGGTTGAGCATGATTTTCTGCCTGCAAGAGGTTGGCTCCACTGAGAACACTAAGGATAACCCAGTAAGCGGACCAGCAATAGACCAATGTGCTATATTGGCAAAGCCACTGCACAATAATACCTACCCAAAAAAAAAAAAAAAAAAAAAAAAGGTGTGGCAACCACCAAACAGCAGTGCAGAAACCACCGGTGCAAGAGCACAGCCCTGCAATGAAGTGACACAATTTCTCTGAATGAGAAAACCAGCCCCCGTAATGAAACAAACCAAGAAACCAAGTCACCAAAAGACCCAGACCCCAGTCTAAGAACCAGGAGAAAGCCTATCAGACCACACAAGGCAAACAATGAAGCGGCAGTAAAACCGCTGAAAACGAGATGAAAACCCAAAAGAAAACATGCCTAACATCAAGCAGTAACCCAGCTGTCACACACGCTGGCTAAACAAGGTGGCCCAGAGCCATTGTGGGCACAGTAGAGGAAATCTAGAAACTAGATAAAAAAAAACATAAATATAACACAAATCAAAAGTAAGCACACACTGAGATAACACCCATAAACTACCAGAAAACTGCCCAGACAATGCTGTACTCTGACAAACATTTTGAATCTGAAAGTGAGGAGGACCAGTCAACCTCAGGAGAAGAGATTGACAAGACCCCATCAAACCTAAGTGACACCACCACAGGAAACACATTGGCCCCACCAACAACCCAACCAGAGAAGCAGGCTCCAGAGAAAGATGGCAACAGCAAATCAACAAGACCATCTGTCACAGAGGTCCTCTGGGCTGTGGCTGAGGAGGCCACCAAAGAGGACCAATTGGGAGGATGACAATAGAACAACCCGACAAACCTGAACTGACAAAATGGCACATCATCAGGAACACCAATATGTCCCTGGAAATGGAATACTATAGTCAAAGCCCCCTCGATACCTTCCCCCTGGAAATGCAGCCAGAGATCACCAAAGGATTGCTCGGCCTCCCCACAAACCTCACTGATGCTGCAGAGCTGGCAACCACCAAAGGATTCAGACTGTTTGCTAAAGCCATTGGGCAAAATACTCCTGATAAAATGGCAATAATCTGGATCAAAGCTGCTCTACAACACATCCTAGCAGAAGCGGAAATACTGCTTGAAGAAGCCATAGCAATTCGAGTAATTGGGTTGATCAAGCCCAACTCAAATTGGTGCATGATCAACACAACGAAACGAGCCCTGGAAGCAGTAAAGAACATCAGGGGAATGTTTGACCACTGTGCGCAAGTCCTCATTCTACTCCGGCAATGGACAACACAGGTCCCGAGGGACCAGACCCTATGTTTTCTAGGCCTGGTCACTGCATACGACACCAATGAACACACAACTCAAGACTCAGTTCAGAACTTCACAACACAAATCAACAGGATGCTCAAAGAGAACAAACATGACGCAAAGGTGACAAATTTCACCCACATTGGAAACCGACCCTGTGTACATTGATACACAAGTATGATTCATGAATATTATTTAGACTCGCCTCCAGTTCCACTGTCCCCTTATCCCAATTTTCATAGAATTTGACAGCCTCCTCAAAATGACTAGGTAAGAATTGTGCTGCGGCAGCCCTAGTCATACCCATGCCCAAATACACTTGTCATCCTTCGATCTCATCTCATGTCAAGCTTAGTAATGTAACTGGGCTCACAATGCTCCAGCTGTGGGCACAGTCTAGACAAGGTACTGCGAACTGTGTGCACAGTACACTGTGTAACTGTGGGCACAGTCTCACTGCCACTTTGAATGGGTATATAAGGCCTGTAGAAACATGTCTAGTACGAACAAGATTTATTTTAGAATTATTCCCTGTGTCAGATCATTAGTATCTCTACCTAAGTTCACACTCAGCAGCCAGACTGAGACTACTAGTACGCCAACTAGATAGTTTGAACTTACCTAGCAATCAGAATCTTCATAGTGAGTACTTAAGATAGTCTTCTTACTGATAGTACTGTGTGCACACGAATTTTCCCAAGTAATATACTTGTGTAAATTCCTTATTAAATACTTGGATCAATATATCGAAATATGAGCTCTATCCGAGCACGGAGGCCCACTTGGGGAAAGGAGAATCGCTCAGAGAATCACAACAGAATTAATCTAGGAAGTTCCTCAATGCATGCTGGTCGCTCTTATGGGCCTCTTAGTGATCCTGAACGCACTAGGCGTTGGGATCAATATGCATCTGACCTAGGTGAATTTATTCAGGGTTTTAATGAGCCTCCTCACGCCTCTCCTTTCAGGATCAAGTTTGACAATACATTGTATGAAGATGAGGACGAATATGAAGAGGAATATGACTCTACAGCCATCAAGATTGAAGAAGCTGAAGAGCCTGACATTCTAACACGCCTCAGGTCCTTCTCAAGACCTTATGGTTCACCTCATGAGCTTGACCCTCAAGCCAAAAGAGTATATCCCAGCTTATCTAAAGATACATTTATTCAGAGACTAAGTTCGCCTAAGGCTCTGCAGTTTGTATCTGATAACATACATGGCACCGTTTCCCGTGAAGAGTTCACTTTTGACTTGGAGAAACCCGCCAACATCCTATACCCAACAAGCATGCCAACAGAATACTACATCAGCAATGGCAAAAAGTGGTGAATTCTAGCCCGCTGGCCAATCCAATGCCCGATATGCCTCTCCAAGTCCCACCCACAGAAACTGTGCCCATGGGCGACCATGGACTTCAACAGTATGGTACCGAACCTGTTCCATGCAGTGCAATACAAGCCAGGCCAGACCCCCACTTGACAAACAAGGAAAAGGCAACGCAACGCGACACCACAGACTACTACATCAAAGGCATCTGCCCCAATGAGCAAAGGCGACCAACCAAACGCCAAAAGAAAATGGCAACCATGAAAACTATGGAGATAAATGAAGCAATGGACATATCAAGATCCCATAAAACATATACCCCTATGCAAACATACTCGTTGTAAATATTTAAATATATATTGCTCCATCCAAATGACACACTGAAAGTGCGAAACCTATGGAATAAAGCTCACATGAAAAATAAGGGCATAAACACCCAAACTAGTGTAAACCACAAATGCGAGCAAACCTGGTCGCATTGAGAATGACGACCAATACCCAAACCTAAGTGCTGTTAGGTGACTAATCCAGAAATCAGCACACACAACAAACTAGATTTGATAATTTCTGACCGTTGTGATGGTATCACGCATGACGGAGGAGGGCCAACAGAGAGCCCTGGGTGAGTGTCCGGAGAGCTTTGTCATGGTGCGGGTTGACAGGTGACAATAATAACCGGTAGCGATGGGCGCAGGCGTCGCTCAGGCGTTCACGGACTTTGTCTGAGGGTGGACTGTCGGAACTCTTAACAAGGGATAACAGTCGAGGGGACGTTACCCAAGCGGAGTAACAGTCTAGTATCTAAGTCTGAGTAGCTTCTCGTGCATCGAGAAGAGTGTGAGTGGTCTGAGTGCGTAGCGGGTAGTAATTGTGATAGTAAAAGCGAGTGTCCATTAACTAGCAGAATTACACGAGTCTGATATAGGATAAAGACGAGTCATAAGTTTTGCATAGGTGCATAAGTCGAGTCAAGGGGGAACTAGTCAACGAGACAATGAATCAAACTTTAATAGCCTAATAGTCTATATTACATTGATTAGGCTGTGGACGAGAAAGGCGCTGACTCTCGTCATTCCGGCTACGAGTCATACCATAACAAGCTTAGTATCAACGACAGAAACTATGCAAAGGCCTACGCAACACTTATATTGCACTGTCTACCGTCGCTCAAAATATATCTAGACCAGTGCCCGCCATCATACGCCTGTCAGGGACCAGAGTAGACAATCAGGCATTGCTGTTGCCACGACTTTGATTGTGGGGATGCGCTTCTGTCCATCTTCCTCCCTGGTGTTCCGATGGTATGTGAAACCAACTTCATTATGATACCAAATGGAGAGGAATCCGGTGATTCCGGCCCGTGGCAAGTAGAAGTGGGCTTAAAGTCGAGTTCCTCGCAAAAACGACGTTATGATCCTTTTGTTTGCAGAAGAAAGCGGCAGGCATCTCTTGGTCACTGACCATATAGACGTTGGGGAAGGAGCCGAAGACCGCCCAGAACAAACAAGTGGAGCTTTTCATCGCTACTGGGTTCAGGAGAGGTCTATCGAGATCATGAATACTCACGGCGTTTGCAGAGTGTACCAGCCCTTGTCAGCAAACTTTTCCACGAAAACCGTTTCTCAGGGTTTTCGGTGGTTGAAGGTTTGAGAGACGAGGCATGTCAAATGTAATATATTCATTCCGTTGTCGATTTTGGGCCATTGATCAGATGTCCACTATAAACATCTCACGCCGGAGCTGAGTATCTGCCGAGCTGATGGTCGGATTCTGAAGTCGACTCGCCAGGAATCCCGCATACGAATTATCCCCGGGAGTTTGAACAAACTCGACATGTCCCGTTGCGAGAATGGGCTGAGAGCGATTGCGTCCGGTCATTGGATGCGTAAGTAAAGCCACTGTGGGCAAGCCTCGTGCACCAATGAACAGCAGTGAATTATTCGGATCTACCTGTCCGCAGGCACTGGAGCCATCTGGCCCCCGCGTTTGGCTGGTCGCATCTTATATGAGCTTGGCAAGCAGTACTCCAAATATTGTCCACCATGATGGGCTCACCGCGCTTCCTCGTCACAATGACCATGGAGTCGAGACTTTGTGTTCGAGGAACGATGAATAAAGTCGACTTTAGACGAAAAAGAACCTGTGTAACGTGTGTATATTGAGGACAGTTACAAGGGAGTACAAGTCTACTCTGGGGATCAGAGAACAGTCAAGTACTACGGGCTATATAGAGAATGTGGAAATAGATTGGAAGGAATGGAGGAGTTGAGGATGTAAATCGGGACGAGCGGAAGGCATCTGACTCAGGTATAGGGGTAAATGAGTGACGACGGTCAGAGGGCCGTAAGGGACAGAACGAGAACAATGCAGCAAATGGAGATGGTAACTAGGGCAAGGAATAAAGCGATGAAGAATAATCCTTGATTCGCACGAGGTAGCAGCGTCGTACAGAGCAGACGCGCGAGCCTACAATACTTTGGCAGCTATGAATGTCGAGCAACCCAGGTAACTCGCTAGAGTCGCCAGTCGACCAGGTATTCATCTTCAATTTGCATATAATCTGCTTCAACTACCTCGCGCAAAGTTGTCCGAAAGTTCGGCTACATGGTCGGCCGGATTTGAGAGAATTCACCTTTATGGTATCAAGACATATCGCATTAGACATAGGATGAAAGCACTAGCAGTGTCATACGGGGTATTAGGCAAAAAGCGTAAGAGGACACGGCTTTGAGAGAACGACTAGTCCATGATTGTTCATCACTAGGTACGAAAGTCCGTGTCAAGGCACAAGAACACTGAGAGAGAGTTACTACGGTGTATAACAGTGTCCACTGAGCTCACCAATATCAGTCGTTTGATTCTGCAGCTTCTCCTTCGCAAGTCTGCCCAGACGCAGTAGCCACCGGCGTGGTCGTTCCAGTAGCTACAAGACTGAGCAACTCGAGCACTCGCTCGTCATGCGGATCACGCTGATGATGCGTCGAGGGCGTGAGTGGGCCCAACTTGGAACTGACACCAGCGCCCGTTGCACTTGTTGCACTCGTCTGACTTGTCACGCTTCCACCGGTCATGTTCGCATCTAGTTTTGTCGGTACAGGTGGTGGTGGGACACGGGCGCTAGCAAGTTGTCCGGTTGACGACGTCGAGCCATGTGCTGGCGTTGCGTCAATGAGACGTCTATAGGCTGCAACTGGACTCACGACTCGCGCCGGTGATGTTTGCGATATCGGTTCCAGAGGAAGAACGGAAATGCGTAAACGGAAGCGCGCCGTCTGGGTTGGCGAGCGGTTCGAGTTGTGGCTGGAAATGACCACCCGTGGTTGGCTGACGTGGTATCTCGTTTTCCGAGGTTGCCGAATGCCGGAATTGCGTTCTTCCTTCTGATATAGAGTATGCGCTCTGGGTTTGTACAGCACCCGGTGTGGGTTCTGTCGACCATTGGCCTGGCCCCGAGGGGTCATGCTCATACGTATACTGCGGTCCAACAGGTTGCGTACCCGCCGGACGAGGCAGATATGCGTTACCTGGCTACATCGCGCAGCAGAATGGACCCTTTATCCTGCCCACCTATACGACGGATTCTGCTGCTGCACTTTTGGTCGTGACCGAGGGTCCAAAGCCGGTGCCGCAAGGTGGAACGTGCTTTGATCTTCTTGAAGTGGTGAGTGTCTTTGATCCCTTTGGTCACTCTCGTTGACCATTTCCAGAATCCACCCGACATTTTACACCCATACCTGGCGGCCTACTATGGTGCATCCCTGTGCGTCTCAAGTGTTTCTTGGGTTACAGAAGGAGAGTACTCAGATATTTTCTAGCTATAACATTGACAGCGCCATTACGCAGAGTATGGGATCTCTTACCATAAGAGTACCGCACTGAGATTCGTATAGCTCCTCCCGGGTCTACCAGACAACCAACGGGTAGCACGCGATCAACCACGGCTGAAGGAGAGTCCTGCATATGGATTTTGGACTCGAGCGGCCTCACTCTATCACGTAAGCACATGCCTTATTCTGACGCATACACCAATGAACGGTGTGCAGAATTCTGGGTCGATGACAGCGGGACCATTAAGGACCGATATCTCTACTACTACGGGTCAGGAACGACTGGATACTTTATGTCAACGGTTGATCCCGTTACATTTGAATCCCAGTTCCCAACTGCACTCCCTGTTGTAAGCAGCTTCGACATCCCCTGCATCACCCGAGACTGACGACATGCCTAGCGATTTGTCCTCGAAGAGGTTCTCCCTTTGATCTAGTTCTTACCTCACCTCCTGTGGAGCGATGCTCGCAGATTACTTTTCCCGTATATTCCTCTCCTAATTCAGCCACGGTCATTACTCGTCATATTACATCCTGGTCAGATTTGCTTCGAGTCGCGAACCCGCACATTCATTATGCGCAAGACCTCACTCATTTTCCAATATGGCGTCTTTTGCGAAAACCTTCGGAATCACCTCGAAGAGTGAATGGGGAAGAAACGGAAGTATTTGCAGGTGATATTGTCTGCGGACGAGTGGCATTCATCTCGTGGTCAAATGCCTCACATTGACGATTTAGACTTGCCAAGTGTTTGCTCTAAATCCCTCGAAATAGGTCTGCAACTGGGACACTGTGCCTTTAGCCACTTGAGAAGTGTGGCTTGTTTGATTCTGATGCATGTCGGCGGACTTTCGACATGATGGCCCTGCCGGGTTGCCGTGGCCGCAGTGTAATGGAAATGAAATGAGTCTGCTATTTATATCAATCGGAACAGATATCATCCAAAGGCTCACCATTTGACTCCCCAGATTCCAGACGATGAACTATGGTCGGTGCTTGGTCTATATTCTATCTCAAAATAAAGCTGAAAATGTACCCATAGCGCGCCTTGACCAAGACAGACCGGGGCCAAGCTTATCGCAGGTTGGCACCTTCTACGACGGGCACTCTATGGACCAAAGTCAAATCAGCTCCCGGGTGAGTGCAAACGGTGAAAGTTACAAGGATGACACAAGTCTGGCGTCTGCGACCACGTCAAGCTCGTTTACGCGACAGGAAGGGGGGAGAGTACGTCCTTTGTATCGCGCCCGATGGATATCTGAGGCGCTTAGTCGTATAACATCCTTAACGAAACTTACTTTCTACCCACTGGTTCGTTCATCATCACGGCTCAAAGGAGAACTGCTGATTCACGGGCAGACGACGATGAGTTTGTGCGACTGTGCGCTAATAACACCGATTTGAATAAATCTCAAGATGACACAGGAACAAGCAGCATTTAGCAATCACGTTGGCATGTCTGGACTGTATCCAGCGCCGGATATTGTCCAGGAACTCCTCGCACCAAGAGAAGGCGTGCAACAGCGGATACTGGATGTTGGTACGTTCTCCTTCTTGCAATACTGCTGCTCCCGGATCTCAATACTTGAAAGGATGTGGCACAGGTGCATGGTATTTCATTCCTCCATGCTCCTGGAAGCCGTCCTGAGAGAACTTTAGGGCAATCTCTATGGCAAAGGAATTCCCGCATGCTCATGTGGTCGGCATTGATCTTGCACCAGTCCCCATCTCCGACACTCTCCCATCCAATGTTACTTTTGAGCTCGACGACGTCAACAAGGGTCTCACTCACCTCTACGACACATTTCACCTCGTCCATGTTCGTTTTGTTGCCACCGGGCTCAGAGATTTTAGCAAATGCAAGGCCGAGATCGAGCGATGTTTAAAACCTGGTGGCTTGGCCATCTGGATCGATGCCGACTATGATATGCTGAGTAGAGATAAGGACATATATCGTCCACCGGCGATCGAGGGCTCGGTTGAAGATGGATCTTGGGTGGCCAGAATGTTCTTCGGTGAGTACACTTTGGTATTATGTCGGATACTACTGGCTAACAGAGATGATCATTAGAGACCCGGAGAATTGCGGTTCAGCTCGGAGGCAGCAGCTTATTCGCCGTTACGGAATCACTCAGTCGCGGCTTATGGGACGACGAACTACTAGATCCGAATACGTGAGCAACCACGAGTTTCTAACTACCTGCTCTGATGAGCCCTAGGTGCGCACGGGCCGACCTCTTTCTTCCAATCGGTGCGTTGGCTCTTGTCGCACTACTCGAAACTGACTGGTCCAAGGTCCATGGGTAACAGGTATGTGTAGCTGACTACTGAAATGAGTTACCATCTCCTGACCGTTGACTGCAGATAAAGATCCTGTACAAAGTCAACGGCTAAGCCACATTGGATCGCTCATGCGTCAAGACTTTATGGTGCGCCTCCTTTCGGCTTCTCTTGTTTAGATTCTGATAACAATACACTGTCCTTGACTTTATTGTAGAGTGGTTATCGTGCATTCCACCCGGCACTCCAACGTGTTGGCATCCCTCCCGAAACATGTGAACAATGGTCCAATCGTGCAGACGAAGGTGCGAATCGCTTATTCATCAATAAGGTCTTTATCCGAGGTTGAAGATGACTGACAATGTGGACAGAGCTCAACACGATGAAGGATCCAATATTCGTGCGGATTGCATGCGCATGGGGACGGAGGCGCACGTCACTAAATGGTCCAGCGCCACCACTACCTTCGTCAAACGCAGACTCTACATCATCAAGACTAGACGCCGCTCCACCGAGTTCGTCATCTCATTCAACCGCCTCACCAGTTCTTCCTCCTTATCCATACATGGAGATACATACGACGAAGTCAGCTGCACTCGAGGCGTATGAGAGACGGAATCGGAGTAAGACGTTTGCAGTACCGCCTCTCCCTCCAGGACTTCAACTATAAAATCTTGAACGGCCAGTGGACATAAAATGTAGAGTGGTAGTAACAAATGATCGTGTTAAACGAGCGGATGTACATTGCGTGTACTTGACCGAGTAATGAGAGCATGTCCAACAAACGGTGTCAAAGTGAATGCTCAAGTGGGAAAAGCGCGCGATCAGAATATGGAGAGCAATAGGCTCTTGTATAGATCCACTCTGAGACCGCCTCCGCACGAGTGCGCGCGGTCGCCTGCGCAAGGAGTGTCGCATTTCGAGCCATCAACCTCTTGCGAATCGTCGACGGTATTTCCACAGAAACACTGCTTGCCTAACTCCAATCCAGCATACTTGTAGTCTTTGCTAAAGCAATTGACGCTATAGCACTGTCAGAATGCGAAGGGGAGAGTGCAGCAAGGGGACTTACGCGCATTTGGTCGCAGTCATGTCGTCTGCCTCGAAACTATAACCGTCCAATAGCCTCTTTTCGTAGCTGTCCGAATAGCACCCAACGCTCAGATATTGGTTGAGGAGATTCGTCCCCACAAGAATCGCTGGGTCCAATACATTTGGATCGTCAACGGCTCCATAGACATTGATCCTGTCGTCGTCTCCACAGACACTGGTCGAATCGCCGCTACATGCCTGTGCGCGCAGTCCGACGAGGTCGAGAGTACCGGCGAGGCAAGTTCGGGGCTGACCAAATGCACACCACACCAGCACTCGTTTCCATGCTCTACGCCTGCCAGGCGGTACTTTTGGTCACGGCAGAACTTTGTGCAAGCGGTGGGTGTCATATTGGCCGAGGAGAAGGACGCACCACCGAGGGTGCGGTATTGGACGCGGTCGACAAAACATCCGAGATGAACGTAAGAATCGGGTCCTTTTCCAACTGTTGCGGGTGATGTAGGTACTGGCAGCGGTGTAGATCTGTATGAGCTTGTGAGCAAGTTCGTCGAGACTGATTACGGGAATACAAACTTGTTGGTGTAGTAAGTGCTATAATGCCATACTCTGGGAGATGTAGCGTTAATATTCGTTTGAACATCGGCCCAAGACGTACCCTCCGCAAATCTCACCCGCATTGCCCGTGCAAGGTAACGAGCATTCCTTGTCGTCCAGTTTGGGTGCCTTGCTGGAGATAGCGTTGTCGCATGCACATGTTTTTCCGTTCATGACACCAGCGAGCTTGTAATTCTTTGCAGCGCATCCGGCGACACACGACTCGAGTGTGACCGAGGGGAGAGAAGATGTAATGTCGTGGTTGAGCGCGTTTTTTCCACCTGTATGATTACTGTTATACGAAGAATGAGGATTCCAATATGGACATGCCTTTCAACTCGTCATAGCATCCGCGGTAAAAGTACGTCTTGCCGGGGCCAGCTGGGATAGATGGCTTGTTGACAGGAGTCACAGCTCGATTGACAAGTGCAGGGGTCGCGAGGACAGACGACGCAGCGCCGACGAGGGCGACGGCAAGCAAGTTGAGGGAAAGCATGGCGGGGAAACAGAGTCAACCGGAGACCCTTGTCGAAATCTCGGTTATATACCGTGCAATGTTGGAATAATGGAATGCACGGTTGACCACCGTGATACATGCGAGGGAATTCACGTAATTCAACGGTGAGAAAAGAGACGTTGGTTGGCGGACGGATTGACATGGGAGCGATAATCCTTTGTAAACACCATTCTGTATGCTGTCATACACATAGACGGCCCTGGTCTTCGGATATGGCAGAATCATGGGAGTAGCATGTCCATCTCAGGATTCGACTCTTATGGTTCTTGACATGCCAACACATCCAAGTGTTTCAAGTTGAGTTGAAATAGACATTCATCCAACTGTCGAGTATCGAGGTTGAGGCCAAGGCCAAGGTGTACACCCGGCCCGTCGAATCTACAAAAAAGCAAAGGACAGGAGCAATTAAATCACGATATCTCACAATCACAAAACACCCCAGGCCCCCGGTTTGTATAGATACGTCAAGCCTGCATTCTCCAGGTAAACCAGTGTTTCACCTACATCCCATACGCGCGCCCAGGTATCGTCCATCGCGTGCAGACTTTCCAGGATATCCTCCTCGCTCACTCCTTGCACCTTGTACGCAATTGCATTCCTGTCTCGTGCATCCGCCGCGTTATTGAATTTTGCTCGCTTGAGTGCGTCACGGAGGGCAAGGAGGACTGGTTGAGCGAGCACATCCACCGAAGTGGGAATATAGCTCTCCTCCTCCTCATCCAAGTCGGATAGCACCATATCCGTACCCTCTGCAATGCCCGATACCCTGGTTGTATCGCCAAGCGTCGTTGAGGAAATGTCTAGGGTCCTTGAAGACATATCCATGCTCTGTGACATGTCCTCATCTCCTTTGAGCTTCCATATTCGCAGACTGTTCACCCACTCTGCCTCTTCGCGACTCCACTTCCTCGCACCGCCGGTATGTAAGACGATCGCTCCTTGCTGGTAAAGAGTCCGAGTCGTCTCGATAAACAGCCTTTTCACGTATTTGCGCGTATCGTGGGCTTTCTCCTTGTCCTTGCGTTTGGTCTCAGCAACATCTTCGTCTTTTTTCCGTTTCGTCGTTCGCATAGTCTTGCGTTGTTGATTAACGACGCGAATTGCCATCTCTTGTAGCTCGGGCACTCGACGGAGGTATCCCAGCGCAAATCCCCTTCTCTCCTCGTCACTCGCGAACAGCTCGCGCTCTTTCTGCTCCCGCGTCTTCAATTTTCCATTTCTTGACGAGGATCCTCCCGTTTCCATCCTCCGCGGTGGGCAGTTTGCTCCTTTTGTTGACGCACTCGAAGAGGACGCATGGAAACGCTTTGCCAACGCTTGCGCATGAGCATGCGCCTGTACTGTGTGTATGTAGTACTGGACATAGAGACGGAACATGTCCACATTCAGATCTTTCCCCTTCCTCCTTGCAGGATGCCTCAGCCGAGCCATCGTATTCAGGCCTGTCTCTGTCGAAGCTTTGTTGGACGAGACACCGAAGCTAGTTTCAGATGATAAAGGTTGTATAGTAGATGAGTGAAGATGTGAACGTGTTGATGCAGGGAGGAGAGGAGGAACGAGGTACTTTGTAGGCGATAATAAGGCAGAATGTGCCGAAGACGCGACTGAGCTCACGCTTTCAGCTGGTGAATGCGCTCTAGCTCCCGTCTGCCTTGGTCGTGGTGTCTCCAATTCTACATCGTCTCGACGATGACGCTTGGCGCGCGGTGTCCAGTCATGATCTTGCTCGGAATCCTCGCCATCCTCGCGAGACCTCCGTGGTGGTGTCATCGGAATGGCAAGGGGCACCATGTTGTGTGGGCCAGAGGATGTAGATTCAGGGAGCGTGAATGGTTGTGAGTATTTCGTTTTGTGCAAGTCGACGACCCGGATTATGTGTGCTGCTTCTTCCATATACGAGCATGGCGCTAAAGTTTGTCGTTCAGTAAATTTAACAGACAGAGTTACGGCATAAACGTACTCAGCTCGTCTATTTTCATTCGTTGGCCATCCGGTTTGCCTAGCACAATGACCGCTGTGCCAATTGCAGGGACAGGTCGAGGAACGTAGCGTACTTGCTTCCTCTTTGGAAGCTCTCTACTCGACTTTCCTACTTGTGATTTGGATTGTTCATCTGATTCGTCGACTAGTTCCTGCACATGTCGATACGATCCCTGAACGAGGGCTGTCCCGTCATCCACTACCCATGGATCAGAGCTATTCGCCTTTTATTGAAATACATACGCACGAAGGATGCGCGACTTTTGCTCCCAGACATCCACGCCAACAATGATCGCAACAACACGCACGACGACGAGCGGAACGTTACCCAACCAATAATATCGGCTTCCTACGCACCCGTTGGGAAATGGGTTACAAATATTGATTGGGCAAGAGATGAAGCGTACCGCCAACATTTGTTGTGGTCATCTTGGCCAAGTCGCGCAAGAAACACGGCGCAAAACCGGTCGTAGAGTGAGTATACTGAAACAAGCTGTTTGCATTGAGGGTGCTGGGCATTGACTGCATCCACCGATGGCCAGTTTGCGTTGTGGCAGGGTTCAAGCGCTTAAACTATACAAGTATCAACTATGACTCAGAGTTATATTTATCCTCCAGATACAGGTGGTATAACTGCAACCTGTACGTGTCAACTTGATCAAAGTCCAAGACCACCAACGCTAGTCTTACCTCTTCGCCACCGACGAGGAACCTCTTTTCTGGATCCTCGACCATCTCAAGGTCGACACTCCATTGGCTGACATTCAGAACATCCTTTAATCCACGCCCTTCATGCAATTTACAGAGGACCAGGCCCAGGTCCGACAACGGGAAGCCCTTGTCGTCGGTAATGGTCAACGACACAGTTTCGCTGTGAACGCCTATCGCCGTCCTTGCGGCTCCAAAGTAGAGCACAGTGATCGTCGGTTTTTTGGTTGACATGGCGGGGACCAACTAAAGTGATTTCGCTCGTCCATTTCCTTGGTGAATTTCTTGGAAGGAAATCGTAACAGTGAATGTAATCTATTCCAAACGCATAGTAAAGAGTCATCGACTACTTTCCGACGTAGAAATTATACTGGTTCGACATCCAGATCAACGATGTCGCTGCAACATCATCAGCACATTCGAGGACAGAGGAAGGGAGAAAGATACATACTGGCGACAATGAACGGCGAGATGACACCTCCACCAAGCTTGGCAGTCTTGTACACAGCAAACTCGCTCCCAAAATGTGCAAGCGCAAGTACATATGTGCACATTGTCAGATGATACAACCTATGCAGACGTCAAACACCAATCCAGAAGAAGTTATTCAATTTGGATGTGGGAAGAGAGGACGTACGATTTTTGGCCGAGATTGTATGCGCAGAAAATTCGCACAAGCGCCGTCGTCAACGTCCATATTCCAGAAGTCCGTCCAGCTAGGGGCGTCACTACAGCCAAAAAAATCAGTCCTCAACTCATCGTACGACCCCGCCAAGAACACACAACGCGAGTCGTCTTGACGAAGGGAAGGAAAGAAGACACATACCCTCATCTGGTTTCGCAGTGTAAATGATGCGGTTGTGCAGCGGGTGTAGAACATTTCCGACGGCCATGTAGATACCCGCGGCGCTCGTCAACATTAGCCAGTATGGTAGAAGACCATCAGTCGTTGGTAAATCTGTATCTTCTGTCAGGTCTATCACTCGCGCAGAGAAAAGGACGCGTACAAGCAGAAAAGTCGAGCATGTCGAAAAGTTTGTCAACGTGGTTGGTTCCAAGTTAGTCTTGAAACAAATACATTTGGATATCATTGAAATAGCTTATATTACAGTTTCGATATCAAAACTCTTCCACCTCGATCTCAAACCCACACTCCTTGCACCGTTGCTTGCCCAGCCCTTCACCCTCTCCATCCTCGTCATCATCCACGAGGACTGGCCCAAAATCATGCACATGTTCTTCGTCCTTTCGCTTCTGCCATATGCCCTCTCGAGTCTTGCGGCGCAACTCCTTGAGTCCCCTTTCGAATTTCTTGCTCTTCTTTCGTCGTTTTTCTTCCTCGCGTCGATAAAACTCTTTGTCGAGTGCTTCGGGTGAGCCCCACTTTTTCCATGCAAACTCTTCGACCTGGTACCGGAGGAAGAGCATCATATTGTTCCAAGCAGCGGAATGTGGATTTGGTTTGAGCATGTGTGGGAGTAGCTCTTCGTCACGTAATTCAGAGTCGGTGAGAATGTAGTCCTACCTCGACAGTTAGACCAAATGTATAGATGGAATGGGATAGTTTACCTCTTTGCACTCCGTCTTGGTGAGCAGACTATACTTTTCTGGATACGTATTCTTGCATGCATTGCATACTAAACACCGAAACGTGCGATGAAAGACATGGTCAATGTCCAATGAACCACACTCGCGGCACTTGGGATTCTCCGCAGGATCCAGCATCCGAACTATCCAGGTTTTCAGTCTATAGTTATATAGAATGGACAAGATGATACGCACAAGGCTCGGCATTCTTCGCGACACGCTCCATCTCGCGTTGCTTTTCTCTCCTCCGCATATCCTCATCCACCTCTTTACCAACCCCACTCCCATCCTCATCAACCAAGAAACCACCCTTGGTATTGACCATCTTGCTCAAATCGTACTCAAAGTAATTACTCAGCCGCGAGTTGCGCTTCAACGGGCCCTCCTTTTCACCGTCATCGTATGCGCGTTTACTCGTACTCGGCACTGTAGGCGATTTCGACGTGGCGGGTGTGACTTCGAGCGGTCGTTTGCCATTACTATTCACCTCGTTGGACGACTCGGCTTCGAGAGCGGAGCGCCGTGCCAATAACTCGCGTTGACGCGCCTTTGCTTTACCCAAAAGTCAAAATCTATCGTGATACGACAAGAAGATGGCGCACCTTTGAGTCGGTTTACTTCAATGCGCCGTTGCTGCTCCGGCGTCAACTCTACACGCGACGTCGCGTCGGTAGACCGATTTGGTGGAGTTACTGGTACACCTGCGAGTATTTCTGATACCCGCGGTGGTGTCCTCGGCACCGACATGACAAATGTCGGTGATGGAGGAAATCAAAACTTGCTTGGTTCTCTCCGCCACCTCTGGGTAAAAGTACAATGGCTCCTGGGGCTCAGAAAAATCTATGGGTTGCGGTATGTATGTATTCGAACCCCTTTTATATACTAATGAACAGCATAGGCAAGCGATGGTGATCTTACGCGAGTAAAGGTGAGACGGCCCGACTAAAGGTTCTGGTAATGTAAATTATGGAATACGTAGTATTTCATAGAGGAAGAAGGTGCGTTGGAACGCTGGAATCCAATGAAAGCGCTAATCTCTCTACAGGCATGTCGCCAAACGCACCTGATCAAAACACATATACACCGATGTAAGCCTATATTTTTCGGAATGGAAGCAGGTTCAACAGGCTCTAGGCACGCCGCGGCGTCATACGGCCACATTGAACTTCTCGAATACCTGATTAGCAAAGGTATGGTCCTCCAAATACGAGTACAAGTTTTCTAGATGCAAAGCAGGCGGAGATGTCAATGTAGAAGACGAAGATGGCGACACACCGCTATACACGGCCGAATCACTCGACGTCGCAAAGTGGCTCGTCGACCACGGGGCAATTATCAACAGAGTCAATAACGAGGGCATATCTGTACGCTCACATCTCTCCAATTTTGATCTTCATCATATCTCACACAATACGCAGCCCGCACAACACCTCCTCGACGATTACCCAGCCATTGCACATTATCTCTCACCCGAACTTGCACAAACAGGAGAGGAGGAAGACGTAGAAGGACCCTCGGAATACGCGCAGGAGCAACTGAGCGAAGAGCTGACGAATCGGATGATGAAGGCCGTAGAGGAAATAATGGCGCGTGCGGCAGCAGAGGGTCGTGATCCAGAAGATGAACTGGCCGCGTTGGTGGAAAAGACGGTGTTGGAGAGCCTTGATGCGGGAGAGGGACTCGTCGAAGCAGAGCAAGTCGCGACGCCGTCACTCGAAGAACCAACCGTCCCATCTAAACGAAAACACACGGAAGAGTGAAAGATTGTATATCGTATACACGATCATTTATGACATAAATAACGCCGTGTGAACTAGACTTTGACGAGGCTAGGATGGTGCGTGAGTAAAACGCGTCACGAGTAAGAGTGGAGACTGACGTTGCGTCGATTTGTTTGAGTTGCGGGAGCGCGATTATGAGCCTGCGTCGGTAGTTTGCCATATCCGTCCTTTGGGCTGGGTTGCCCTCGAGGTAGACGGTTTCGAGCTTGGCCAGGCCGCCTAATTCCTTGTCGATCGTCTTAATGTCGGCTATTTGGTTGTAGCTCGCCTGAAAGGATGTCAGGACCCGATCAGAGAGAAACAGGTTTACACACCCAGAATTCCTGGAGGTCGGAGAGGTGGGAGACGTTTTCGACGGCAGTGATCATATTGTTACCCACGTCCAGGGTCGTGAGTTTTACCTTGGAGACGGGGTGAGAACAAATCTAGGTTTTGGCAATGAACCGACATTGTTCTCAAGACCTTCAATCTTCTCAAGTCCATTGTGGCTCATGTATAGCTCTTCCAAATTGACAAGCTTCTCCAAACCTTCGATGCGCGTGATCCGATTCGATTGAATGGAGAGCAACCGGAGTTTGACCAGTTTGTCTAGGTTCTAGATGGAGATGAGCGGCGAAAAACGTGGCAAAATAGGCACCGCGAACCTCTAGCTTGGTGATCTTGTTCTTGCCGAGCCAGAGTTCCTCCAGGTTCACGAGCGCGTCGAGGTTTTCAATGACCTAGGGACGATGAGAAGAGAGGCGACCCAAGCAAGGTGTACGACTGACGCGTATCCTGTTCGATCCAAGCTCTAGACTGCGGAGAGTAGCGCCGAGATGATGGAAATGTTCGATGCGTGTAATCTTGTTCTGCACGAAATAAATCGTCTGAAGCGCCGGGATATTCACAAGCTCTGGAGGCACAGCGCGTAAGAGATTGAAGGAGAGATCGAGGATGCTAGGACAGAATGAGACTAGATCAGGCGTAACGAGGGGGGGCAGTACCGTAGCGAAGCTTTGCCATCCAACGCATTTCCCAACTGTTTCAGGCGATTGTCGTAAAAGTCTGCCTCTTCTAGGTGAACTAGGGGTCCGAATACGTCTGATTCGAGGTCTGTGAGAAAGTTTGCGCGCAGACAGATTGAACGGAGATGGTTTGCAAAGCGGGGGATGCCCAGGTGGCTACAAGAGGCGAGCCTTGATCTCGCGAGATCAATTTCCTAAAACTAATGAGATTGGTTCGATTGTGTAAACTGCAAGTGACCTCTGTATCGTCTGGGAGCTGGGCCAGTAGATCATCAAGTGTGGCCGGTTCTTCGTCGTGTTGCTGCGTCTCGTCGTCGTCGTCATCCGAGACGAGGACAAGACGAGCTTGTTTCTCATTGTTAGACGTGCTCATCGTGGTAGAGGTCCAAGACGAGTGGTCCGATTGATTACTCGATCATTGCTTGATCAGAGGCTCTTTGCCTTCGACGCCTTCGCGTTGCGGCCCGTCGAATCGCGCGAGCCATTGCGGGGACCCGTTGCGGATCCTTTTCTTGTACTTTTGGATCTGTTTTTGACGCTGCTGCACGCTATTTGTCGCCAGCGCCTGCGCGAGTGGTGTCCATGAGGCAAATTGGCACGATGAATCCACAACCGTCGCGGGATCCCATCTGCTGTACGTGTTATCGATACATTAGACTACGCTTATCCATCGTATTCCATCCACAGACTGGTTCTTACTCGATTCCAACCTCCGGATCTGCTACACCAGCCCGTCGTTCAACAACGCCGTCAATCAGTATCAAGACATTATCGGCAAGAGCTTTCTCGACTATCTCCACACTCCCAGTGGTGACATCCTCGCCATTCGCCTCCACGACTGTCTCGCAGATGACACCGACCAGGCTGCAGTATGTCCCCCAGTTGTGCGTAAGATCAATCTGATTCAGTGCTCTAGGTCCTCACAATCAACTATGCAAGCGTCTCCATCATTCGCCACCACCTCAATACCGGCCAGTTCATCGAGGATCCGCCAAACTACTCGTTCATTCAGTATCAACTCGTGGTGAATAGAGCAGCTGGCTTTCTCCTAGTCTTCTTGCATGTCAAAGCCGGTCAGTCCCGTCCGCCCTGGCCGGTTGCTTCGAAGCCTTGTCTGAACCCCCCGTCCATTGTAGACTTTCTCAGGGACTGCGACTTCCATCTCTACGAGGCGCTGAAACCTGGCGTAAGTACTTCTATCATCTTCCGAGCCACGTTCGCGTCTCACTTGGCCGTCCAGGACCTCTCGAGCGTAGTGCACTATTTGCCGCCCCTGAACCCAAGTCCTCCTTATCATGTCTTTCAGATCCTGCTTAATGATGACCGTCGCTCCATCATCTTCTCCACCACGACCACCATTGCCGGTCGGCTCACCGTTGTCCCCGCACATCTCGCTGCCAGCACCCAAAGCCTCAAGGGTATCGCCAACAATCAGTGCCAGACATCCTGCACGAATAGGACAAAGGGTTTCTTCTTCACCACCTCGCTTGAGGGCGAGCTCCTCCAGGTGGACTGCTCCTACCTTAAGCACGGTGCGTGCTCAAGTGCTTGGTATCAAGCTCTGACACTTTTGTCCAGGCAACGCGCTCTTGGTCATGTACCGGCTGGTGCCCACCACGGTGTCCGCAGAACTCGCGCAGCCGACTGCGTCTCCCGACGTGCAGAGGTACAATCATCAGCCTATAACGCCGATCCAGTATCACCCGCACAACCCTGGAGGCTACAGGAGGCCCTCCGGTGCGTCTGATGGCTACTCGCAGACAAGCCCAATTCAGCATCAGCAACCTGTCATCTCCCCAGCGGGCTCTCATCATCCATATTCATCGCCCTACAGCCCCGGTGTGTCGCCGATGGGTCGCATGTCGCCGTACGAGACCAGTTACCCACCTCAATCACCAGACGGCTCCTCACGCTTGTCCCCGCACTCGCCCAGGTCCATTCGACACGCCCAGGGAGGTATGCCGATTCGAAGGCACTCACTTGCGGGTCACAGTTCTGCCCCCGTCATGGGCTACGGAAACATGTCCCCCCGGATGGGATCGCTCGACGAGCATCGGGCAGTCAACAACAACACGGATGGACAGTTACTTGCACAGACACATTCGCCGACCGAATCTACATTCATCATGGAACCAGGCCACGGATCATCGTCGTCTTATTCCGAACCGGCTGACCTCGCTGGTAACGCGCTTCGCGGACGGCCCGCAAAGGAACCTCCAAAGGGCGTTACATGCTGCCGGAGTTGCCACACGACGTCGACGCCAGAGTGGCGCAAGGGGCCTACAGGCATCAAGGACATGTGCAACGCGTGTGGGCTGCGCTGGAACCGACGCCTCAAGAAGATGAAAGGCGACGGGCCCAGTGGCGGCGACAATATGTTGGAATCGCTCAATTTGACTGTTCCCGAGGCCGAAGCGATGCTCGAGCCTCAGCGGTCGGGCGGTGGGAGTAAAAAGGGCCATCGCAAGAAATCGACAGAATCCCGTACGCCGGCGCTTACGACCAAACCTGCAAAACGCAGGCACTCTGATGTCGGTTCACCGCTCTCAGGTCGATCGGAACACGTGCCCCCCTCTCCAGATTTTTTGTCTCTGCAACAACGAAGCCACCCGCATAATCCGCACTATCACCACCATCAACAGCAGAATCATAATATTGCGGGCGGTAGTTCTCAACCTCGGCTTTCTCCCCTCTTTGATGGTCCAGCGTCGTTCCCACCACAGACGCCACTTGGCATACATACGTCGGCCCAAAACGGGGGGTTCCCGCCTCCTTCCCATCCTCCTCCTCCGGCCGCCCACCATAATGGACACCACCTCAAGGATCCATCGACCCCAGAGTCGTCACACTTTTACAATAGCACGGCGACTAGCAGCAACGGTGGGGGCGGGGCCGGCGGAGGACTGGGCGTGCCGCTTACGCCACAAGAACATAAGCCTTTCATTGGGCATTATGACTCGTCAAGACCCATGAGCGACCATGGACATGGCCAGCACCATCGTGGACCTGCCACTGTCCCACCGCCACAGGGCGATCATAGCCAACTCCCCATGCCTGGTGTACATTATCAAGCCTATCCGGACCACCACAATCACCACCCAGACGTCTACGACCACACCAAGCATCACTCTCGCGGTCCAGAGTGAGCTTTGTGCGCTTTTAATGACAATCCTAATCTGAATCTCTATGCCATCTTGGAACCTCTCGTATTTACGTGTACATCAAGTGTTCGTGTATCTCCTGTCTTTCTGCGTCTCTGTCTCTCCTCCTAATCCGGCCGTCCACTTATTTAATCTGGCTACAGCATCGAAGACTCATTCATATGTGTATCGTCCTATACAAGCGCATCGTATTTGAAACACAGTTATTGTTCTTTCTTTTTTTTTTTTTTGGTCGTGTGTATGTGCAGGTCGTCGATTTCAAAACAACAACGTGATGTACACCGTCAAATATCAAAGCACTGTTATAAGCTTCTGGGCGTAGATAGCACGGATGTACTCGCGTGGTCAAGAAAAACGTGGTTGAAGAAACTGGTATTAGGGAGTGGGGGATCGCGGGGCTATATTGTGGCGTAAGGTTACATCCATTAGAAGAATTGAGGGAGGAAAGTGCTGTAGAAAAGACGTCAGGAAACATAATGCTGAAAGAATATTCAGACTCACGTCGCTCCCCAGCCAATGGCAAATGCAATGGTGCCCCAGGCAGCCGCTTTTTGGTTCGGGTCAAGCGTTGGCAGAGTCGGCCAACGAGATGCGACTCTACGGTTTGTCACCACCGCACGCTCTTCGACAGGGACAGGAACGACGTCCTGCGAGTGTTCTACAATGTTCAACGTGTCTGATGCCTCTGCCTCGTCTCTCGTGCGCTTGATCGTCTGCGTAAGAGGTGCAATTGTGTGTTGTGCCTCTTCCTTGAGACGCTGGACGAGATTCTGCGACTCGGCAATGTCCTCTTCGGGAACGGGAAGCGGTGCCTTGCTCACGTCTTCGTCGTCGGACTCGTCGTGTTTGGCTTGCTGCTTTTTGGCGGCGGCAGACCGACGACGAGGCGTTGAGCGTGTGTCCTCTTTCTCCGACTCTTTCTTTGACCGCGTAGAGGGCTCGGGCGCGGGTGCAGGCGACGCTGTCTTTCGTGCTCTTGTTGTACGAGAGGGTGTGGTGCGTGAGGGAGCGGGGCTCTTGGCTTTCCGCGTCTTGCTCGTCGAGACGGGCGTTGACAGTAAGGAATGCTCGCTCGCGCCGTTTGGAGTGGCGTTTGCTGGGCTCTCATGCGTCTCTTTCCTTCGTTTGTTTGGACCAGACGGTGTCGTTGTGTGTGAGGCTTTGCCATTGGCTACGGGCTTGTTGCTTGCCTCCTCCATTGGAGCGGCATCGGCTAAAGCATTGACAATGGCTAGAGCAATCAGCCCCTAGCAACAAACGACAATAGAAAAACGTACATGTCAGGTGAAAGGAAGGCGCCAGGACTTTTGCGAGCTCTGGTGGGATCCATACACCAGCAAGACGCATCACTTCCTTCTCCGAACCAGTCTTGATGTCATAGTTGGCTCTGATCCAGGAAATGTCTTCCTTTTCGTCACTCTGCTTTGTGGATGGGAACGCTGCTCTCCACATTGTTGTCCATGAAATAAATCCATTGTCATAGCGGCGCAGGACATAGGCGTGCGCGCCTTCCTGTATAGATAATTATGAGCACATAGGAGTCTCCTGAATCCATTGCCCGAGGCGGGCTCACCGGAGTTGACTGGGTAGCGGGAGTAGGAACCTTGACTCGGCCTACGATCACTTCGGCGCCGTCTTTCGTGATTGTCTGAAACTTTACGATCGGTCTTGGATCAACTGTCGACAATCAAAACGTCGTGCGCCATCGAGCGAGGGACGCCCTTCGTCAACAATCTTGCCCGCTCAAACCACTTGAAGGGCGCACCATCTGCGAGCAGTTTGTTCCATCTCACGGGCAATGTCGGCCGTGGGTTGCTTGTTTTGGGCAGCAGCTGAACGCTAGGCATCGGCGTAGGTCGAAGTCGTGGTCAACGTGTTCGAGCTTTGCAGCTCCGCGTGGATTCTCGAGCCACCTCAGGGGCGTCGGGCAAAAGTGAAGAAATATCGTAGTATATATCGGTGTACATGCTAGATTTGTGAGCAAACAAGAATGCCGCGAGTATACAGACCGCTCATCACCAGAGACCCATCGCTCCAGAGGGCCGTCGTGACCGCAGACCAGCCCGTTCCATTACTTTGGTAAAGAGTCTTTATCGCGTATTCATTGTCGACGCTAACACGTTTGTAGACGCTATAGGGGACGGTCCCCGACCGATCGTCCTCAGTCAAATGTTCCCGCTTGGTGATTTGCGTAACCCATGAAGGAGATGTAGGTCGTTTGCGTCTTGCCAACAAGGAGATTCCGGGAAAGTGGGGGTGACCAGCCACCAACAACGACGAGTCGTCGTGATAATGTAGATTATCAGGGGAATAGGGAAGACGCAGCGTCTTCTTGTGAATTAGTTGACCTGTACTAGTGTTAGCCGCATACAGATGAACCTTGGTAGGCGATGTCGATGCAACGGCAAGCTCTGATCCGTCAGGAGAGAGGGCCAAGCCATTGGCAAAGGCAATGCCAGAAGCTACCCTCATAGCACTGATACCGTCTTCCTGGAGCTGCACAAGCTCTACCGAGCCGAGTGGGAAGAAGAGCAAGGTTTCCAGAAAGTGCATCACCGTGGTCAAGGGCCAGAATCCATCTCTTGTGAACCCGTGATCATTGGACAGGAAAAATGTTGAAGGAGATACTGCAGCGACGCTATTGGGCGTTCTGAAAGATGGATGCTCGAGCTGGCGGAGGTGAATGAGACGTGGGGATGATTCATCATGCAATTCAAAGAGTTCGACTGTTCGTTTCGTTCTCATGTGATTGACGATGAAAACGGTTGGTGGTCCCTCTGGTCCTGCGACAATGTCGAGACCGAGGGGATGGAAGTCCAAGTCTGAAGGGAACCCATCAATCCGAACAGGTTGCGCGCGCAGCCTCCCATTGATGTTCTGTAGTAGCCAGATGGACCCTCTTGGTTTGGGGTCTCGCATTGGTCCCTGAGCTCTTGTCAGCTATATCACTTGTCGGGCGTCGAGGTATTACCATGACCGTGTTCCATTCATGTCTATATCACGGTTCAGCTTTGAAGGAGTTCGTAGGAATGACCTAACCTAGCCAAATCACAAGAGGCCAGAATTTTGTCGACGCGCTTGCCATCGACATCGTGGGTCTTCCAAAGAGCCAGGTCTTCGCAGAATCCTAAGTCCTCTGAGTAATTGTGCTGGATTATATCGCATGTTGACCCGTTTCCGTAGGCAAAGTAGGCAGCGGGCAGAGGAGGAGCGACAAGTTGGTTATACGCTGTGCGTCCATATTCGAATACCCAGAGAGCCTATACTTGAATAATTAGAATTCTGGCAGGATTGGAGGTATTCTTACAGCCAGAAGAGCGGCTAGATGTTTGTGTAGAGACCAACCCATTAGGGAGCTTACTTTTGAACCTGACCGACCACCGAATGCGATCCGCCATAAATCTATAAAAATGACAGGACCACTTGCCAAGATTGCTCTTGTCATTATACTCTGCATTCAAGTCGTCCTATGGTCCCACTCGCAGCAAGCAGCCGTCGACGTCTCGCGTTCGTCACCAAGATCAGTACAACACTGGTCTCGCGCGCTCGTAGAGAGTGTAAACAATGATTTTACAGCAAAGACGGTGAGCCTACAGCGATACAACTCGCTCTTGTTCATCCGCTGAGCTCCGAGACAGTGTGCGCCACGAATGTTTCCCGCCAACGAGCAATGTGCACACGTGACAAGATCGTGTCCCAAATCAAAGACACTATTACGTGTTACATACGTGCAAAAGTACTTTTGTTCGTCTCCCCGGATACGACCAGGGTACTTTATGGGTCTCCTCATCTGGCTCATCTTCCTCTTTTCGACTTTGGGCATCAGCGCGTCTGATTTCTTCTGTCCAAATCTCGCTACAATATCAGCAGTCCTTGGCCTAGACGAAAACGTTGCTGGCGTCACGTTTCTCGCCTTGGGCAATGGCAGCCCTGATGTCTTCTCGACATTCTCAGCCATGAAGGCCGATTCTGGCAGTCTTGCCATCGGTGAACTAATAGGAGCCGCGTCTTTTATCGTCTCGGTCGTTGTCGGGTCCATGGCGTTGATCAAACCATTCAAAGTCAACCGCGGTCCATTCCTTCGGGATGTTGGCTTCTTCACTGCTGCCATCTCACTTCTCCTTGCCGTACTCAGGGATGGGGTCATCAAGGCTTGGGAGGCCGGCATGCTTGTCCTCCTTTATGTGTTATACGTGGTCGTCGTAGTCATCTTTAGCTGGAGAGAGAGGAGACAGCAACGTCTTCAGAAGCTAGAAGACTTGCAAAGGTCTCAATATGGGGAACACGGCAGAGATGACACGGTCATTACGACGCCCTATCGAGACGAGGAAGAGTCCGAACCCTATCGTGATAACGCCAGTACGTACATTATTCTGAACGCTGTGGCTTTCCTGACTTTATACTTAGCGGAAGACACTCTCTCCGTGTCTCCAACCTCGCCAGTCTCGGGAAGAGGTCGATCGGTGTCCGGTGCGACCCACCCTGACCTATCGAGATCCGTATCACTGCACCCTCCTCACGAGACTCGTTCTCGACGAACGTCCATCCAACAGCTTCCATCGTACTCGCTTCTGGGTGCTTTGGAGTTTCGGACAGCCGTCAATCAATTGTTGCAGCAATCGTCCGCTGGGCCTAATGTACACGTGCTGGATGCATCTCCCATCACACCGTATGCTGCTGGGCACTATCACAATCCCTTGTTGTCGCATTCGTCACGACGGGGAAGTGAAAGCGACGTTGCAGACACGGAATCCAATCCATGGGAAGCAAGTCTAGGAGGCCTGCCTTTAGATGAACGGCACCACGACGAAAGCCTTAACGGCTCTACAGCACTTCAACCTCCTCATACTCACCTCAGGGTTCAAACAGACTCTGTCGCACTGTCAAGCGGAGCCGGCGCTTCACCTATCTCACCCTCTCTACGATCCCCTGCGTCGGAAATTGAACCACGAAAACGGTCAAAACGCCAACGAGTCAAGAGTATCCTCAAGGACATCTTCCATACATTGTTCCCTACTCTGTACGACTTTAGGCACAAGTCGATCGTAGGCATGGTCGCCGCCTTGTTTGCTGCACCAGCTGTGCTCTCCCTGACACTTACCCTCCCTGTGGTCGTCACCCCTCAACCGGCGGAGGATGTACCGGAAAAGGTTCTCACACCGGCTGGACCGACACTAGGGACACTGATCGACTTTGAAGAGGAAGGTGTTGAGAGGGCCTTGGTAGCAGAGGAGATTGTCGAAGAGGAATTGCACGAGCTACAATTCAACAAGTGGCTCATGGTCGTCCAGTGCATATGCGGGCCATTGTTCTGCGTTTCTGTTCTTTTCAGTATGTGTCTCTGACGACATGAGCGTTTTTCTCATATGTTGTTAGGCTCTTCAGCGCATTACCCATTGATGTTGGCCTTTACTGCCGTTGGAGCGGTCATCATTGCCATATTGGTGGCTATATTTGCGGATAAAGGCAACGATCCTGCTGCGCGTATAGCGCGGACATCCATGGGTTTCTTGGTTGCCATTGTCTGGATCATGGCAATTGCAGATGAGGTAGTCCAAGTGCTCCAGGTACGTATTTTCGAGCCGTTCAATCACTTCCAACTGATGCATTCTAGACATTTGGATTCATCTTTGGACTTTCTGACGCTATCATTGGCCTCACCATCTTTGCGGTCGGCAATTCGCTGGCAGACTTTGTCGCCAACATCACTGTCGCGTCATTCGCGCCTATCATGGGCTTCTCTGCCTGTTTCGGCGGACCCATGCTCAACATTCTCCTTGGTGTCGGCATCTCGGGAAGTTATCTCATTCAACAACGCGGAGAGGGCTATCCTCTTCGCTTATCCACGACACTTATCGTGAGCTCGGTTGGATTGCTCATACTCTTATTGGCGACGATTATATTCGTGCCATGGAATGGTTACATGCTCACGCGCCCTTGGGCCGTCTTCCTCATCGTGACTTATATCGCCGTGATGACCACCAACGTTCTAGTTGAAATCAGACAGGATCGAGAGCATTGACTGTGATTTTTTATTCATCTAGCCGTCCAGTTCTTTTTATTTGTGGACTCGAGACCATTTTCATGTATCGCATACCTTTTGCTATACCTAAAATAGAGAAGATTTGCTATGTACGATACAGGTTTCAGCGCCCTGATAACTAGGTCTGGGTAGCCAGCTGTTGGCCTGTGGTCAGCAAATGTCGTCGCCGACCACGACCAGAGCAAGACCCAGACGCGCTTCACGCGCTGCAGTAGCGACCTCTATCGACGAAAATGGACCTTCGAGTGACGCTGTCATGACGGATGAAGACGCCCCGGCTGCCCTAAAACCAGCAGCGAAGAGCCAAGTCAAAAGGCGTGGACGGAAGAGCCAAAAGGTTATTGAATCGGATGAAGAAGAGGACGAAGATGGATATGAGCGAGGGAAGAGTTCAACCATGGCCTATGCGGCCACGCCAGAGCAGAGTCAAGGAGAAGGAACACTACCAGCTCAGGAGATGGATAACGGGGATATTTCACTTGGATTATTCGAGGACGATGCCATGGGTTCAACCACGCCACAGGTTCCTCCAGGTGTCAGCCCTCTCAAGAAGAACGGAGCCATGATGCGGAGGACGAAAAAGAAGGCTGCTTCTGCTACACCTTCTAGGGGTGAAGATGGAAAGATGACAGATTCAAACACCATGGACGTCACAGAGAGCCAAGCGTCCACGAATGCCGTGGGCGAGTCGCAAGCGGTGATTGGACAAGCCAACGTGTCGACTCCTAATCCTACGTCAAAAGCGTCGATATCTACACCAGGTACACTTTCTAGTCAGCCAGAAGGTACGACGAAGCGAAAGGAAATGGAGGGCGGTAGCAGTGCTCCCGAGCGGCCAGCCAAACGTGCCAAACTTCCTCCGATAAAGAAACACGCTGTGACGCCTGGAAGTGGTACACCATCTGGGAGTACGGTGGACAAGCTTGCCGGAAAGATTGGACGCGAAAGACAGATAGTGGACGGTCCAGTCACGAATGACATTGACCTCAGGAATGAGGATGCATTTGCACAGCTCTTTAAAAAGGTCCGCGGTCCCATCGTTCTTTACGCCATACTCACTGACTATCGCAGTCGGGTACGGGGAAAAGCGAGGCTCGATACGACTTGACGACCTCGGAGAAGATGGAGCAAAAGAAGGCAGAGCTGAGTCGACTCAGAGAAGAATACGTTACAAAGAAGAACAAAGCAAAGGCAAGCTGTCCTATACGAGACTTACAATGAGCTAACCCGACGTAGGCGCCATTCTTTGATCTAGGAGAACAAAATCGAAAACTAGTTGAGGTTCAGGCAAGCAAAATGAAGCCGTATCGCGTTTATGGCGCGCTGACCTCGTGGCAGAGACAATTGGAGGCAAATGGGAGCCGGGTATGCGTCAACGTCGTCGGCTCCTGCATTCTAGATGTCAATCCCGAGTGGAAGAAGCTGGTCGAGCAGACCCAACCGCATTGATAGATGGCTTTTTGGACATGTCCCCAACCACTTCCTCACATCTTTCGCCCGTCTGCTTAAACTGTATCACCGCTTTTTAATCCGATCCGAACCGTTGTACAACATCCCAGTGCTCCCAAAATGTCAAGAAAAGGGCAGCGTCTTCTCCGCTTTAGGCGCCAACCAATCGTCAGCTGTCAACAGGCCCTCTGTCGCGTCATTTCTAGATTCCTGACTCGATCCCAGGTCTCAAGCTTGGGGTAGCGCGCTCCTGCGACCTCCCTTGCGATATGTCGAAACATATTGGACGAGCCGTCATGGGCTCAGAGATTCGCAACTACTCTTCGCACGTTGCCTCACCAAGATATTGATAGGTGAGGATATGGGGACTCAAAGCTTCGCAGACGCCGAGCTCTGACTCTTTAGCGCCGACGCCACTTGGCCTCGACTGCACCCAGCACCTCGAGGACGGAGCATAAAAGATCACTACATCCAGACAGCATCCCGCCAGTCACCTCGCACTCACCATCCAATATGAGCTCCGTCCCCTCGATTTCAGCCACGACGGAGACCCATGTAGACAAGATCAAGCATCTGGCCAAGGATCCATTCGCGCCATCCGTCACCGTCCATCCTACGACATCTCCACGTGACACCTCGCGCGATGTGACCCTCCCAGACCTTCCAGAGCTCTTTGATCCCGATTTTCTCAATAAGCTCCTTCCGAAGATAGACACTTCCATTTCCTCTCCCAAGGCTCCCGAGTCGAAGAAATCTGCCTTTATGGATGCTCTCGACAAGGAGGAGAACAAGCAGTTCACTCAGAATCTGGCTCATGGGTTCAAATCCACCGGATCGGCGACGGTTGATGCCTTCAACGGCTTGAACCCACAGACCGCGCATGCAGACTATGACAGATTGCTTGCAAGGAGCTGGAGTGCGGATCCTTTGGCGACTCTGAAGATCATCTGGAATCTTCGCTCGATCCACGAGGGCAAAAGCGAACGAGAAGGGTTCTACCGTGCCTGGGGTTGGCTATACCGCAATCACCCTCGAACGGCAATCCTGAACCTCTCGGCGCTGACGGAGCCCCTCATCGAGAAGAAGCTCAAGAAGAAGGCAAACAAGGAGGATGGTGACGACGATGATGACCTGGTACTCGTTGGAGATGAGCCGAAGGAGAGGGTGGTACGGGGAATGAGCCATGGCTATTGGAAGGATCCTCTCAACTTGCTCATTCTGGCTGCGAGTGGCGAGCTAAACTCATGCACCCAGACCTTCTCCTCTCTTCACGCACCCAAAACGGAAAAGACTATGATCAGTCAGCCTCAACGTGCTGGTCGTCGAGTACCCTACAACGGCGTGCGCCGCTCCAAGTCTACCAATTCCGCAGGCGGGCACCGCGGCCACAAAGTCGTCAACAAGAATGCACCCAAGCCAACGACGAGTGGCGAGGAACGTATTGCTCAAGCGCTGCAACGTGACGCCGAGAACTCGGCCAAAGCAAAGGAGGAACGTGCTAAGCGAGATGAAAAGGCTAGGAAAGGCATAGAAGAGCTCATAAATACGTCACAGCCTTTCAAAGCATTGTGAGCAATCTACAGTGGTCAATCTTTCTTGCTAACAATTTCCAGGTTCGTTTGTGTCGCACGCATGTTCGCTGATGCCCTCGAGCGTGATGTCCGAATCCTCGAACAGATTGCCGATCCTGCAACTGCTGACGATGAGCGGATCAACCTGTCCTTCCAGTTGTCCCTCGCAGCAAAGTTTGCTCCATCTCTTGGAGGTACACACGACCGCAAGTCAAACATCTCTTCGGCCATTGCGGCACTTCTCGGAGAGCGCAATGCTCTCCACGTACAGTATGCCCCACCGAGCCCTAGGCATGCAATCCCTGTGGAGCAAATGCATAACCTCCGCATGGCATATACCCGTTGGGTGATCTCGCCCCTCCGGAGATTCATGCAAATACCAGAGCTCTACATGTCGACAAATCGCTGGAACCAGCTCCCATATCAGCGGGTCGGGTCGACCTGCATGCAAAAGAACAAGAAGCTGTTCATAAAGCATGATAAGGCTCGGTTCTCCAAGTAAGACTCCGCCTTCTTTCTGCATTTTTAGACTTATTTATCCTCTAAGATACTTGCGAGATGTCGCCTCGGGCAAGCGGACGATTAGCGGCGCGACACTGCTCCCTCATACACTTCTCATGGAAGCCCTGGACGCCTCCGATGATGGCTCCGGCAATCCCGAAGAGATGGCAGTGGTCGAAGCCCAATGGAAGACTTTGGTCGAAAAGCTACGCGAGGCTGGAACGCTGGAAGATTGCCTCGCCATCTGCGACGTCTCCGGCAGCATGGGATCACTTGGCTCACACCGAGGCTGGAAAGGCCCAATTGACCCCATCTATCCCGCTATTGCTCTCAGTCTTGTCCTGTCCCAGGTTTCCCGAGAACCATGGAAGGACCGCTTCATCACGTTCAGTGAAAGCCCGGAGATCGTCAAACTAAATCCAGCGGACGGATTTATAGAGAGTGTGAGGCGCATGGGTTCGGCCAACTGGGGCATGAACACAGATTTTAACGCCGTATTCCTCAAGCTCATTCTCCCTCTCGCGATCAGCAACAAGCTACCCAAGGATGAAATGATCAAGCGCCTCTTTGTGTTCTCTGATATGGAGTTCGATGAGAGCACAACCTTTGTTGGAGACTTGAAGGAAACGTGGACGACCGAGCACGAAAAGGTCGCTAAAGCATTCGCGGAGGCGGGTTACGAGGTTCCAGAGATTGTCTACTGGAATCTCAACGGCGCAGAGGGCTCGAAGCCCGTTCAAGCAGATTGGGAAGGCGTCGTCTGTCTGAGCGGCTTCTCACCTAACATGCTCAAGACCTTCATGGAGGACGGAGGGGTTGAAGCACTTCAAGAGGAGATGGAAAAAATGGAGGTCGTCGAGGTTGAGCAGGCTGACGGTGAGACGGTGATCACTACCAAGCCGGAGAAGCAGAAGATGACTCCCGAAATATTCCTTCAAAAGGCGCTGGGCAAGCCAAGCTACGCCACGCTCGTGGTGGAGGATTAGCTCGGAGGAGCTGTAGGATAAAATCTTGTATCACCGGTCACTCACTAGAAATGGAATTCATTCTAAACATGTTGTCCCAACCTAAGTTTGACCTTGACTATATCCTCGAACTATGGCTCGTTTAGCACCTACCCCGCATTCTACGGCTGCCCTCAATTCGATTTGAGACGAGAAGTAATATTCGGCACAATGATTACAGGGTATAGATATATTAGAGGGGATTCGGGGGCGGGGGCAGATAAATATTGGCCTTGTTTTGTGCTCGGAGCTCGGTCGCTTTCAGGGCCTCCTCTTCATTCGTATAATAGTAAATATATGGATATGGTGGGATTCCTTCCTCTTCGTTGGTTACTAGAGGTGGTAATGGCGGTGCAGGTTCCGAATGGCCAGCGCGTCGTCGACCCCAGGCGACCGGACATCGGACCAAGACGTGTCTTGTCGTTTTATCCAGTTCTTTGAACAACCTCAGTATCAGGATGGCAACTTTAGGCGGATACTTGCCTTCGTCTGACTGCCTAACCCACTCCTCCAACACATCTGATGTAAAACCGACCCTCAGGAGAATAGGTTGAAGTGCCCGATGGGCACTCTACTTTCCGATGAGTGCGTGAATTTTCAATTGCTACACACGTACTTTGAGGTCCTGCTTTGATAGTTGTCCAACGAATTTGAGGCGTTGGTTTTGAAGGGGCTCTGGGTCTGATACGTAGATGAGAACGAAGATTGAGTACATTGAAAATAAACACACGGGAGGCCCATGGTCCTATATCTCCTATAAGTATAGGCTAAGTGTAGTACCGCATTGACTCACCTGCTGGTATGTAGAAGCTTGCTGCTCCACAGCTAGGAACGCTTAGTCCAGTAGGCCATGTTCGCGAGTCACACGTACGTCTCTGGATCTATCAGATCATCGCTCCAAAGTCCACGGTCAATTGTACGTATAGCTGCTGCTAAGTCACTGCGTCCAACGGTGAAGGCACCCCTCTGAAGTTCTGCAAGGGTCTCGTACCAGCATCTTAGAAGAGAAGTGGCTACATACCCGCGAAAATACGCGTCGTCCATGACCCATCAGGATGTTCGTCGCTGGCTGGCTGATGGTACACGTTCCGATCCTCTGTCAACATTTGAAAGTCGATATCAATCCAGATCATCATTCCACCCGGCTTGAGACACAATTCAATATTCCGTTTTGCCACCTCAAAGTTTCGGAGGCCGCCAGAGATGACGCGGGCGTGGACAACGTCGAACTGACCCTGAAAGTGCTCCAATCCATTCATAATATCGTCTATCTCAAAGTGGCAATTTGGCGGGAGAGTCTCAAGGTCGACAGGTGTGCTGCAAGTTCTTCGTTGATACGCGCCGCAAGGGGAACAGGAAAGATACTAACGGTGCTAAATCGACGCCAATAACCTCGCAGTGAGGATACTCTCTGGCCATAGCGACTGCCCTAGTTAGGGATCATGTGAGATCATGCACCGAACTGAGCGCAGAATAACTTGCCATACGCCGGTGCCGCAGCCTAGCAACAATCAGCCAAGCTTCAGGAGCATGCGAGTAACGTACCCAGGTCCAATATTCTTTTTGTCTTTCCGACCTCGGGGGCCAGTATCGCCTGTACTTCATTTGCAGCGGGATAGAGTCCCCCAAGCGCAATGACGATTATTATATGCTGCTTATTACTGGGTTTATTAGTTTCCTGTTGTGGTTAAAGATGCTAGACTGACAGACGCGTCCACTCGTCCTCGTCTGTCCGCAGATTAGTCTCCTAGAATATCGTGCTTGGTCACTCTTACCAGTAGGAAAGAAGTAAGTATCGTTAAGGATATTGAAAGCCTATAGACAGTGAATTGTTAATATCTCCTGATTGAGTAAACACACCCGTCCTCTCTCTTGCCGGCGGTACTGGTTGATTACATCTCCCGTTGAGTATGTATGCATCGAAATACGACTCATTCTATCCTCTTCTTCTACTCTTGTGATTGAAGCAGACGTATTATCGACTGATCCTGAGTCGAGGGTTGGGGTAAGCTGCGACATAGCAGGCGAATATGACTCCTGGTCGCTCCGAGCCTTTGCCTCTCCTGATCCAGAAGACGAAGAATGCGTGTCGGGTCGAATGAACTTGGATTCGTGTGCTGGCATCATCATGTCCACTTTGTTGGAAGGGAGCGTCGGCGAGGTTGGGCTGAGAGGAGTGGCTGGTGACTATATACTGTAAAGCCGGCGGAGTTTGCATCGGGAAAGGTCGTTATGCGTCCCTGAAAGCGTGAGAGATGGAAGTGGGGATCTATTGGCCATAGATGTCAATCGGCTATACGTTTATGGACTATCCGAACCCATCGCGTCCTGGTCAATCTATGTCCACGTCCACGCATGGGCTCATAGACGAGTGGGAGCGAGTAAGAGCCGACCCCGGAAGAAGTTCAATGGCGGTGGCGACGGTTAAGCCGCAGGTGCCATCCTCCCTTAAGACGAGATGACAAAAAAGGAGATCAACCAGACATATATTTGACTCTGAATACGCACGAATATCATTTAGCTTGGCGAAGGACACTCCACACTATTTTGACAGACTAAATGGCGCAGTAGGCCAGACTCTCTTGGCGCAAGTCGAGACCTTGTGAGCGATTACGAGCCTCCGGTACCCTGAAGTGCAGGAGGATTCGGCGGTGGCGTAAACGTCTTACTCTTGTTCCGCAGTTCATACGCTCTTGCTGCCTCCTCTTTCGTAGTATGAATGTGGATATGTGGATATGGTGGCATCCTGGCCGAACCAGTCTCATCTTTGACCCTTCTTTCGGGTAAAGGAGGTGCAGGAAGGTTTGGACCTGCACGTCGACGGCCCCAGGCGCAGGGCACCCGTACGTAAATTGGCTGAATCATCGTGTTCATTTCTACAAATGTTCAGTCACAGCCCATTCTGAATATGTGGGCTCACCTTCTTCCGCTCGGTCAGACCATTCATTGCAGGTTTGTGGTGAGATGCCGACTTTCTGGAGTGTTGGGTGAAATGCCCTCATACCAATCTGCACAGGAAGTTCTTATAAACCCTATGCCAGCTTAAAAGGGAGACATACCGCAAAGTCCTGCCTAATTAGAGACCCCATATGGCTAAGTCGTTGATTCTGGAATTGATCGCTGTCTGAGAACTAGTAAGATGAGGAAGATATGGGCATGATATGCTACCTGTTTGCCAGGGCCCTACATATAGTCAGCCTCAACACACGAAACCAAACTAATAGCTGGCTTACCAACAGGAACAAACATATCTGCACGTTGACAGCTATATAGTTTGTCAGGAAACGAAGAGTGAGTGTCTGAGTGTTTACGTGTCGGGATCCAGGAGCTCATCGTCCCATAAACCCCAGCTGAGAGTGTCCGGAGTTGCGAACAAGCTGCTCCCGCCGACTACGACAGCCACACGCCTGACCTCTGAAATCCATCAGCCTTGAATATGGAATTTAAGACGAGAATACCATAGAACACCCTTGCCACCCACGACCCATCTGGATGGGCATCGCTCGCAGGCGCCAGATAAACATTCTTATCCTGTGTAAGTAGATCGTAGTCCACGTCAATCCAAAGCATGATTCCTCCGGGCTTTAAGCATCGTTCAATCTCTGCTTGACATTTCTTCCAGTCCTTCAAACCGGCAGCGAGGAAGCGGGCGTGAATGACGTCAAATTGGCCATAGTAGTGCTGCATCCCGTTGTTCACATCGTCGATTTCGAAGCGACAGTTGGGTGGGACGGAGTCTGGATCCAGGGGCACAGGGGCTAGGTCAATGCCAACGACCTGACAGTGTTCAAAGTCTTTGGCCATCGCTACTGCCCTTTTGTCGCATCATCATCATCATCATCGTTATCATCATCAGAATATGGCAAGAAAGGCTAAACTGAGCCCACGCACCATGCCCCGGTACCACAGCCTATCAGGGCGTTTGGTCAATTGTGGTGGGCAAAAAGAGAAGAGCAGTGCATACCTACGTCCATTATGCTTTGATGCACACCATCACGGGGTGCAAGTATGGTCTCTACAACTTCGTGGGCCGGATAAAGACCTGAGAGCCCAAGGACAACCGCTGTATGTTGCTTGTTGCTACGATGAATGTCAAAATTCTGGAAATATGTGTGTATATCGCTTACAGCCGTGCAAACTCGTCGTCGTCTATCAGATCAATCAGCGAGAAGGATCGGAGGCTTGTATCACATACCGGAGGGTAAGAAGTAAGCGTCGTTTAGCACATTGAAGGACTGTTTGAGTATCTAAGAAGAAAATCCATTCTCCAGCACAAACACGCACCCTGCCGGCCTCTTGTCGCCGATATGCGCTGGACGCGCTCGTTGAAAGGGTAGCAACGGAAATACGACTAGAGACATCATCTGCGTATTGCTGCTGTTGCATTGGGCCGGCTCTAGAGCTTGCACTGTCCAATGTGTCCGGGTAGAAGATCGTTTCGACTTGGGATAGGCTCGCCAGTCCCATCGGCTCCTGGTCTACACGCGCCGTAGCGTTGGGCACGGACGTGCCAGATGTATGATTGACGCTCTGGTGTTGCTTATTCTGCTCCATCCGTGCAAACGGGGGATAGATGAAGAGGGGAAGGCAAGGAGTAAATGTTCTCGGGTAGAAGTAGCCAAGTGAGCGACCATTGAGTGGAGATTCCCTATCAAAGAATAGCCTGCAGGTATTCACCAAACTCTGTTCAGCCTCTCGACCCAGAGTTGCGTCACCATTTGCCCACTACCCGTGCCAAGAAGCCTTTGTTTAGAAACCAATTCCGCATCTGAGGTGCTGAGACTGTCATATGAGCCACCAGTCCGTTGTGTGCCCCGGTGAAAGTAGCATCAAGCCAGCCACGCGGCCTAACAATCACAGTTAAAGTTCAAGTGTGATCGATTTCCTCTTTGACTGTTTCAGGACTCGGCTAATTGGTGTTCAGGTGAGTCAAATGCAGAATCTAGTCTATCCAAACTTGATATACGCACAGACGCCTACAATCGAATGCATTGACTACACGAAACCTGAAAAGTTCGTTGGCCAGAGAAGATGGCACCTTCCGTCTTCCCATCTGACGTCTGCGAGCCAAAAGAATCGGCTCTGCGTCCACGGGTATAACTTCTTCCTGCTAGACAACTTTGATGCTTCGGTCACAGAGAATCGTGCATTTTCCACGGTAATGGCCGATATTCGCCGAGGGTGAGATTCGCGCGGCTCCTTTCGGACAACTCGCACTTCAACCAGCCTCTCAAAGGTCTCCCGCGTCATGGTGTTCATCGCGTCTTCGATACGCAGGTATCTGACGGATGGGAACATGTAACGACTTCGCCCATCTGTTTGCTGGTTTGATGGATCATTGGCGCTTGCTGGGGATGCGAGCTCTTCAGCCCACCATGCCGGAAGGCTCAGTCGAACGACTTGTGAGCACGCACGAGAGAGCTCGGTCATCTCGCCGGGTGCAAGCCGACCATAAAGGTGGCTAAACGTTAAGTCGGTAATAGTCGGATGATCACGGAGGAATTGACAGAGCTGCTCTACATGGAAGAGCGCGGTACCGAATTTGACGAGATGTGGGAGACGTGCGTTGTTCGGATATAGTGCTTGGAAGTGATCAAAGTCGTCAAAGCTGTGGAGGTAGAGCTCTCGTAGAGGTGGAGGTGGTGTCGTAAGTGGTGAAAGTATAGTATTTGAAGTAATATATCCGTCGAGCACAAGTCTCTCAAGATTCGGGCAACTCTTGAACACAACCTCGGCTTGCGCCACTGGTCGTGGGAGCCTTCGAGCAGTCCCCGAATGTCGAAATACAATCGTTCGAAAAGGTAAGGGTGGTAATGGTCTGCGGGTGTCCCAATGAATGGACAGATCGATCATATGGATGCTTTCCACCTTGGACAATTTGGACTGTTCGTTCATGAAGCAATGTTTGATGCTCTCGGTGAATGGAAACTCCCTTTGTAGCTTCGCATATTTGGATGGCACACGCTGGTCGGGCGCTTGGTGGAACGTGAGATACCGAGGCGGAGCCGAAAGGACATTGATCAGTTTGTGAGGTACGTTTTGCGTCTTTGGGTTATTGAGATAGAATGTGAGGCTCCTGACACGTGAATCTCGAAATACGGCGCGAAATGCCTCTATAATCGCCACGCTCCATCCGCCGCAGTTTCCATCACGCACAACAAGGCGTAATGGCTTATCCTGAGCCCTGGATACCATAGTCGAACTATAGTCCACCAACCTCTCGGGTGGCCAGTAGAGTGGAAAATCGACGATAGTCCAAGCCTCTGGTAAGCCTAGTATAATTTGGCGTGAGCGACGACATATGCGCGAGATGATCTCGCTTGGTCGCAACGAGGTGGTGGGTTCCGCTGCTGTATCGACTTCGACCACGTACTGGAAGATGTCGATGAGGGTTTCGGTGGGTAGGTGCAGAATTGGGGATTTGTCCGCATTTCTGGCAGACTTGTCGGACTTGGCACCTTTCGATAATGTAGAGGATGTGCCTTGTTCGGGAGAGGACTGGGAGTTGCCCATCAGGACGGGAGTCAAGGTGCGCGTTGGGATGCCTTCTGCAGACCCCGGGCCGTTTTGGAGGTTACTCGGCGTTATTTGATTACGTCCTATACACTTGTGCGGTCTTTAGTAATGATTCTGCGACAATATCGCGCCGATTATATTGGCAATGAACAGCCAGTTGTGGATTAAACGCGCATGGCTTGTATGAGTTAGTGCTAGGCACGCACTTCCATCAAATGGCCCCCCCTTTAATCCTTGTGTCAGCTTTAGTGAATGGACTGTATCCATTTACCGACAACTTAAGGGTGAATCTAGCCCTCACTTGGCTGTTTATGCAAATGCCCCACAAGTGGTCGGGAGCAAGTGGATTGCCAACTTGCCGCTCACCAAAATGACCGCACGTACGGAACAAAACTGGGATGTAATTGCCGAAAACGATGAAGATGAACTTCAGGAAGACGTGTGTGCTCGCTTCGCGTCTTGTAGCCGTGTCCTGACGTCTATTTGCCACAGTATCTGAGCTCGCTGAAAGACGTCGTACTCTTCGCCGTTGACTGCTCTCCATCCATGATGGCCCCTCAGCGCTCAAACAGAAAGGGAGACTCAATGGAACCGAGCGAAACCAACAGTCACCTCTTCGCCACATTGAAAGCTGCGGCAGAGTTGCAGAAGAAGAAGGCAATGTACGAGCCGAACGATCTCGTTGGAATTATTCTCTTCAACGTCGTGTGTATGGCCTCCTTGGAATTGATGACCGTCTTGACCGTTTCCAGATGGACACTGGAGACGCCGAGGAGCAACTCAAACCTCACGTCTCCGTTTTCCAGCCAGTCGCACAGGTTAGCGCGGACACCATTTTGGATCTTCTGTCCATACTGAGTGGTGAGTTCGTGAAGGACGACCAGGTTCTATTCTGACTCACTAATAGACGTCGAAGAAGGAACTCTCTCTCTGGAGAAGAGATTCCGCCCGTGGGGCCGCAGAGTTCCTCTAGGCGATGTTTTCAATGCATGCAACTGGCACCTCCGTACCCAGTAAGTACAACACGGAGGAAGGTGCTCAGTTTTGATGCTTTCCAGAGCTCCCAAAGCGGCAACAAAACGTATCTTCTTTGTGACAGATGTTGATGACCCTCATGATGGCAACTTTCAGCTAGATAGAATTGCAAAGCAGAACATAGCCGTAAGCCACGCGCAGACCGCATCTCCAAACTGATGATTACATTACTTCCAGGATCTATACTCTCTTGGTGTCATCGTCGAACCATTCTTCATCGGCACCAAGAAGAAGCCATTTGACCCAACGAAGCACTTTACCGATATTCTCTCTCGTGCAGCTGATGATGACGAGGATGCAATACAGCCAATGCCAACTGTAGTGGACGGATTCTCACGCATCCTAAACGAGATGGCGATTAGGGAGACACCGAAGCGGAGTCAGTTCTCCATCAATATGACACTAGGAGCTGGGCTCGTGATTGGGGTCAAGGGATATTCGCTCGTGGTTGAGCAAAAGAAGAGTGCACCTAGGCGATTCCTCGACGTAAACGGTGAATTGAAGGAGTTGGAGACTAAAACGGCCTATTTTTCAGAGGTACATGCTGAGAAGGTAGAAGAATTGGACCTACTGAACGATTCAACAGGAAAATCTAGAAGACATTGGCTCTGGTGCTTCGCTCGTCTACGGGATGTCGCTCCCTTCTGCCGCTATACAGAACGAAGATGCAGGGGTGGAGGACCGTGACATTGCGTCACGAGACGCCGCGATGAGTGTAAATCAGGAATTCATCGATCGGACAGATGCACCTGATGGCCCGAATGGTCCACTGATTCCCGACGAAAGAGGCCAGGTGATTCAGAAGACACCTGTGAGTATTCTGTCGAGCTTTCTACGTCTTTCTCATTGTCAGATTTATTATACGAAAGAAGATGTTACGAAATTCAGAACGTTGGGAATGGAACCAGGTTTGTCGGACATAAACATCACCTTACTCCATATTCATGGCAAGCAGGGATCAAAATACTAGGCTTCAAGGATGCAGATACACTGGTGTTCGAAGATAACATCAAACACTCATATTTTCTTTATCCCAATGACACAGTTAGGCTCCGACTTATTGCGTCGCGCCTCCGTAATGGTTACCCAGGTTTACAAAGGCAGTACAGCAGCATTTGGAGCCCTTATGAGTGCCATGGTCACAAAGGGGAAGATTGGACTTGCACTTGGCCTCTTTCGACGCAACTCGAGTCCATACTTCTACGCAATGGTACCGCAGGTGCGCACCGACATCACAACAATATAGCGACCTAAAGAGGCCTTAGGAAGAGGTATTGGACGAGGATGGAGCTCAGGAGAGACCGCCCGGATTCCATATGATTCCACTCCCATTTGCAGATGATATTCGAGCCGCGCCCGATGCAGCCGAGTCATCTTTACGAGGTATTTACTCTCTTAGACAGATTAAAGCATGTTATGGACGTTTATAGCATCAGACAATCTTGTCCAAGCAGCCGCAGCATGGATAAAAAAGGTTCGGATCCAGAAAGGATACGTGCCAGATGCGTATCCTAACCCAAGTAGGCACCATGCTATATTTTATATGCAAGTAACTGGACTGGTATTTCATCTAGCGCTCGGCCTATTCTACTCGCAGCTGCAAGCCATGGCTCTGAGAGAGGAGTTCGATGCAGAACAGTTCAGCGATCGAACTGCGCCACAGCTCGAATCCATATTCAATGTGAGTGATCTATTGTTTAGTGTAAGACTGACTGTTAAGCAAAATGTAGAGGGCCGGGGCCAAAGTCGAGCAATGGAAGGAGGTATTGGAGAAAGAGCCAAATGCAGAGACAACATTCCTCACGTCTTCGTCAAAACGAAAAGCGGTGGGTCACTCATCATCTGCAAATCTAATCCTAAACCTTCTTAAGGACGTGACGGTCAACGACCTAGAGGTGCGAACTCATTATGAGAACGAGACATTGAGCAAAGTAAGATGGATCAGTCGTCTGAATGTGAGCTTCCTGACCTGTTCTTGAGATGACCGTCGACATGCTCAAGAGCTTTCTACGATCGAAAGGGAAAGCTACTTCTGGAACGAAGCCAGTTCTCATCGAACGTGTGACAGAGTATATGAAGGAGAATCCATAGTCTTACCGTCGTGCGGTCTTATTCACAAGTTCCCTATTCCGTGTTCGCGAAGTTGGTATTTTGGACCTGACACCTTCATGCCACCATTGTAAGGCCTTTTATGGCGTAATATTTGACGCAAATGACGTCTACCATGCAGAAAAGACAGATTTACAATTCATTCTAAGGCCGTAGTCTGCCAAGATGTTGAGATGCGCGGCGACATTACAATTGGAGCAGGTACCGTCCAGCACTCAAACACCATAATGTTACCTAAAGGCATCTAGGAACTGTTGTTCACCCCAAAGCTGCAATCTTCGCTCTGGGAGGCCCAATTATCATTGGCAACAATTGTATTTTAGAGGAAGGAACAATTTTGGTTAACCGGTGCGTATTTAGGCTCTCTTTAGAAGGACGAAAAAGTCTCAACCACCCGTGATAGCCGCAAGGAGATTATGAAAGTGGGAAACGACAATTTATTTGAGATTCATTGTCGTGCGTCCGGTTATATAATCTTCTTTGCCTTCTGCATCGTATCTGAAAGTCGTATGGACAGGTGTCGAGGCCCCATACATCGGCGACTTCAATACCATCTCAACAAAAGCGCGTGCATCATACAGTCCGACTTTCCAACCACTGTGTCGTTGGCGCGGGATGCCTAGTCACGCCTACAGAAGACGAAGTCATGCCAGACTATACGGTCCTTTATGGTCCAGGATGTGAGCGCCAGACGTGGAGTGGGAGGGGCAAGCTACAGGAACAAGATCTAAGACGCAAGCATGGAGAATATCTACGGGAAATGTTGCCCAAGTTCAATCGTATACGAAGGACGGATGAGTAGATGCATACATGATTGAAACGGGAAGGCTATTCGGGTCACAAAGGGAAACCTTCGACCCAAAATGAGGTGAGCCCCGTTTGGCAGTGGATCCTGTGGCTCATTGATCCGGTGACAGTCTTTTTTAATGCTAGAGATGTATAGAAACTGAATTGAGATGCGGCATCTAGGACGCGCAGCTTCTTCGAGCCCGAGGTTTACAAGGGCTGTCAGCCCACCAATAATTTTCGAGTGTGCCACCACTGCGGTTGATCTTTCTTATCCCTCCTCTGTTAGTATCTGGCTCAGGGTACCAGGTCGGCGGACCTTGTTGAGCTTCGAAGAATTCAAAGGCGCCCTCATTCCAGTTTTTGGTGGGTCTAGCTAAGACCAGGAGATATATAGAGGCGTTTGATATCGACCGGCTGGGTATCCCCTCCTTGGAAAGACGGCCCATCGGCGTCGTTGTCGAGTGTATGAGCAACGGATCATACGGACACCAACAGAGCAGATTTACTTCCTCGAATTCCATAGCAAGAGTGGATCAAGACGCATTTGGACGAGGCACCTCAGATATTGGGTCGACTTACTACGCCGAATCAATGGCGGATACGCATTTACCAGATGGGGATCATGACAGAGCAAGTCAAGTCTCAGTGACAAGTACCGCGATGATTGAACGAGAAGAGTATCTTCGACAAGAAGCTGGGCGTGTAAGTACCATACAAGATTGTCAAGGGGTGCTAATGGGGTTGCAGTCTTACAACGTATTGAATGACTCTTACTTCCTCCCTACTGGTGCGTTTCTTGACCAGAAATACGATCCCTGCTTAGAAAGCTGTAGATGATGAGGAGTTTGCCCGATTGTGAGGTTCTCTATATTGTGAACATGCCAATGCTCATATGGATTAGGAACAAGCAACATCTTGCACTGAAACTTGCACTCTCTGGTCTATATACCGCGCCAGAAGTTGTTGAAGTCATCCTCGCAAAGCGAGACGGAGAGAAGCAAAAGATCTTGGATGTCGGTACGCGATGATTTATTGAGTAAATTCGCATGCCTAAGGAGGTTTGACACAGGCTGCGGCACCGGTGTATGGGCAGTCGCAATGGCCAAAGCCTTTCCGCACTGCGAAGTCGTTGGAATCGATCTCGCGCCTGTACCGCTCGGACCCGAAGCGATCCCACCAAACTGCCGCTTCGAACTAGACGACGTCAACAAGGAGCTCCCTCACTACTATAACCAATTCTCTGTGGTCCATGCCCGCTTCATTGCTGGTGGCTTGCGCGACTTCAAAAAATGTAAAGGGGAGATTGAGCGGTGCCTGGAGCCTGGTGGCATTATGCTATGGATGGACGGCGACTATGACATGTGCACGAAGGATAAAGCCATCTATCGTGCTCCAGCGAGTGACGCACATCCGGACGGTTCATGGCTAGCACGGATGATATTCGGTGCGTGAAATATATCATATGTCATATGGAGCTGACAAATTTTTAGAAATGCGTAGAACTGCTGTTCGAATGGGCCGTAGTGATATCTTTACGATGATCGAAACATTGAGTCTCGGGCTTTGGAATGATGAATTACTGGATCCAGAGACGTATGGTATACCTTGAGATCCGCTTAATCGATACTCATCTGCACAGATGCGGGGCGGCCGACTTGTTCATGCCTTTGGGTATGTTGATTCCCTTCAATATGCTCGATCAGTCCTGACAAACACATAGGGCCATGGGCTACAGGCATGTAATCTCAACTCAAAGTCTCTCTATTAACGGGTAATCATAGATCCAAATCCTCTCCAGAATCAGCGTCTACACCATATCGGCACGTTAATGCGCCAGGATTTCTCTGTAAGTCCTTGAGCGTTACGATACGGTATACTAATAAAATGCAGAGCGGACACAAGGCGTTTCATGTCCCCTTCCAGAAAGTCGGCATCTCCGCAGAAACTTGTAACGAGTGGTCGGGTTTGGCCGACAAAGGTATGTATATTACTAATCGAACCTTTTTATTACTTATCTCTTTCAAGACTTGAACGAGATGAAGAAACCGCTACTTGTCCGCTTTCCCTGTGCGTGGGGTCGTCGACGAGCAGGGCCAGGTGAAGCAGCGCCTCCACTTCCCTCTTCATCATCGAAAGCAGATATCAAAGAAAATTTGCGCTCAAGTTTACCACCATACCCTTACTTTGACGTGTTCCAAACAAAGGAACAAGCAAAGGAAGCGTATGAGAGGAGGAACAAAACCAAGACATTCACACCGCCCCCGAATCCCCCGGGTCTACAAGTATAGATCTGAATGATCATTTCATTTAGCCACTGCCAAGAATGTGCAGATGCGGGTGAAGGGCAGGTTGAAGGTTATCACAAGATTTTGGTTTCTTCGCCTACGGCTCGTCTACGTCTTGTTTGCAATTCTGGTGAGAAATCTACGACCAGTCGCATACTTTCCTGTATGCAGAATCTGAGAATACCTCGACAATTTTGAGGCTCTTCGTAATCTTTCCACCATTCATGAGTCTAGTAGCTACGTTCTTGACTGTCCCTGCCGGAATTCCTCTCACGAACAGGTGGCTCGTGTGCGAAATCTTTGGGAGCATGTCTGTTAACAAAATGCTCTGAGCAAGCTGGTCCTTGGCCTTGCTATCGTCGAGGTACCACTCGATCAAGGGACAAATGGGAGTGGTCGTTTCAGACTGGTCTGCGCCGAGCTAATATGAAGCCTTTCTAGGTGCGGGACTTTGAGGATAGTTAAAACTTGGTCGCATGTCCCGTGTATGTGAAGGGTGGATAGATATGGAAGAGTGACGGAGCCCTTGAAGTCTGATTTGTCGGTGGCGTGTCGTACATAGAGATGTTGAAGTTGCTTAAAGGCACCAAGTTGAGAGAACATGCATCCGTTCCTGTATTCGGTGTCCAGGTGAGTGAGCCCTGGTATTTCGACGATGTAGGAGGGGAGGTAGTCCACTGTCATCATGCGTAACCCAGAGAGGTCGTGAAATGGTGGCTCATCAATGAGATACGTGTCAGCATATTCCAAGTTGTGAATCTCAAGACGACGCAGGTTCGGTGTTGGGCCACCCAGATTGTCGAAGAAAGTAGTAGGGCCATATATTTCCTGTGGAAGCGTGATTTTAAGCGATTCCCATCGCATCATTTGCTTTTGGTCAACTCCGAGAAGAAGCTCGATCAGGCGATGAACGCAGGAAGCCCTTTCTTGTACAGGCCCGTCATCAGTCTGCCACTCAGACTCGTAAAGGGCTTCAGCGACATAGCCAGCGACGGTTCTTCCAAACTTGGGCTCAACTATCTTCTCAATCTGGTCAATTTGGTAGGTAGTAGGGTCCAATTTGCAGGGAAGTTTTATTGTAATGTCGAGCAGACGTTCCTTGCTGCGCTCCAAGCACGCTTGAATATAGCATTGGGTAGGGAAATGAGGGCCCATTAGATCCTCCGGAAACATTAGATCGATACGTGTCCAGAGCGTCGACGTTCCCATAATGATCTGATGAAAGCGTTTGCACACGAGCATCAAAGAGCGGATAGAAGGATGAACAAGGTACGTCGCATAGTCAAATATTGTGCAAAGGAGTTCGTCGGGAAGATTTCCGAGGGACGTCTGACGGTTTGCCCTCTTTTGTGCAGCAAGTATCATGGACTGACGTTGCTGAAGAGCATATGTGCGCAACTTTTTCGCGAGGGAAGCACGTTTTGTCTTTGCATGCAGCCATTGCTGCTCGAGGATTTCGGTTTCCTGCTGCCACTGCTTTAGCAAGATCTGGGTGACCTGCATGGTAGGCGGAAGTCTTATCCCAGCTAAGAGCTCTTCGATATGCTCCATTTTGATTTCGAGGGGGCTCGGCCGTCGTAGTCCGCTTTCTGAACCCAGTGGTGATAGCAAGGACCAAGTTCTGAATGTCACTTGGTCGAAAACAGGCAGTGAGTAGCGGCAATTCCAGGGTATATATAAAGTCTAATCTAGTCGATTCCTACATCATAACTCCGCATCCACCGACCAATGCATCTCGCAGACATCTTCCGTCCACCAAACCTCCGCAAGTGCATAGTAACGACTTCTCATCCAAGGAAAGAGCCTCTCCCTCACACCTATCTCGGAGAGATTCACCATCGCACCTATGTGGAATTTGATGGAGAGTTGGACCGAGGTGTCCCTCCTCGCGCTCAGTCTAATACGTGCAGTAACAAGTCGTTCGAATGTCTTGATACTGATCATATTGGAATGGTCGTCAATTTGTAAATTAGGCACAGCGTATAGCCGCCGCCGTGACTCGTCGATCGCTCCCTCATACTCAATCATAGAGGGCAGGAGCATGGCTAGCCAGCTAGCTGGAAACGTTAATTTCGTCAGGTTTGGACACATACCGAGTATTTGTGCGATCTCGGCGGTAGAAACGCTATGATGTTCTGGACCGAACGAAAGCTCCTCAACCGTTGGGTTGGTGGATAGAAACTGAACAAGGCGACCAAGTTGGAAGAGATTCATACCGAGCTTGCGTAGCTGTGGCATTTGGGGAGGTCGTTGGCTTGCGAGGCACCAGTACGATTCCATGTCGTTAATCTGGTAGAGATATATTTCTTTGAGGGAAGAAGCAGGCTTAAAAGGGGTATTGTTCCCGAAAGCTCGTTCCATCACCAAGCTGCCGTCAATGTTGATCCTCCGTAGTCGAGGGCAACATAAGAATAGTAGGTCGCGTGAAACGGCAGGAGAAAATCCGCCCTTTAGATGTTCACGTCGATATGTAAAAGAAGTCCACCCAAACTTTGCCTTATCGCTCACGCCTTGGAACCGGAGAGTCATGTCAACCAGCTCAATCGACGGTATAGCCTCCATGATGTAATTTCCATAGAAAATGCAATGATCTATAGCGAAGTGTCCCCCTTTTCTCTGTGAGGGCTCGAAGCGAGGTGAAACCCGTTGGTACTGGGGCCGACAGAGAAGGAGCGACCGAGGTGGACGGGAAAGGGTGAGTGTAAGCTGGTGGGGAATCATGCGCATGCCGAAGTGGTTTAGATGGAATGCGAGCTGGTGGATATTTGCGTCGTCGAATGCACGGCTGAATGCATCGATCACATTTCCGCTCCAAATTTCACAGTCTCCATCCCTCACGAGGATATAGAGTGGGTGGTTCTTCGCAAGCGCTCGTCTTTCCGCGATAATAGGCAATAGATCTGTCATTCTCCAGAAGAGCGGAAAGTCGATAACAGCCCAAGCCTCTGGAAGATCTAGCATAACTTGCCGAAAGTGATGGCAAACATGAGAGAGTATCTCTGAAGGCCTTCTTTTACTCGCATTTCGTGAATCGCGACGGTATTCGATGGCAAAGCGGAAGATTGTGATGAGCGTCTCGATTGGAAGACCAAAGATCGTCGCTTGTTTCGCATTTTGTATGCGTAGTGTACTAGTGTCCATAATACTGAGCACGCCGAACCACTGGGAGCCTGGGGTCAGCTTGAGTCTCTCAACCAGCCTGTCGGGGTCTGGTTCAACGTTAGGCGGGTGATGGGCGGCTCTTGTAGATAGCGCTGTAAACTATGCAATAAAAATGTCATGGAAGCAAAAAATATGATTTTCAAGGATATATATATACTGGTCACTCGCTATTGCGTCCACCGACTAGGAGGGAGGCTCATTTCTGCCCATGGCAGCCGCTACCTCGTTCGACCAATACACGTGACAAGCATCCTCCTTCCAGTGAATCTTAGCCCGAGATATGGAGTGGCTATGCATCCAAGGGAGGACAAGACTCTGATATCGAGTCCCCCCCCTTCTCAAACTCCGGATTTCGAATCGAGATCGTGGACACTCTACGGATTCGCTCTTTAAGGCGAACCTGGACTGGGGCCTCTTGACCTTTTGGCACGACAAAGCCCGCCCGCCCAGCATTCGATCCGTCTCGTAAAATGCCGCGGGCCTCAACGAGCTTTTCAAAGATATCCGTAGTGGTACTATAATTGATTTCATCAAACTCGAGATGTTCGACGGAGGCGAACATGCCATGCGGATCTTGAGCAGATTTCGCATTTGTAAATCCGCGCATCCATTGAGAAGGTAGGTTGATTTTGGTGATTCCAGTACATGCTTGAGAAAACTACTTTATGTATTTCGATGGAAAGCACGAGGTATTGGAGGCGAAACCGAAGGTCAACTGTGTCAAGGTAGGATGATTCCGAAGAAACGCGCATAGTTGATCTGCTTTGAAGTGAGTTGTACCAAATTTGATCAATTTGGGCAAGGTGAGCGGTCGCTGATTCCTCTCAAATGATCGCACACCCGGAATGTTATGTATTGAGCTCGCGTAGAGCTGGTCGTATATACGATACTGGATTGGGCGAAATGCTTGGAAATTGGATGTAATGTATCATCAGCTTCTCTAGACGAGGGCACTGAGCGAAGACCACGGTGGCGTCAATTGTTACCGAATACCTCTGCGCTTTAAAGTGTTTACATTCGTGTATGAATGAGCGTAGCTCCAATTTGAGCCCCTATTCCAGGAGTCTCCAGTTCATATTAACGTCAGTCAGGTGTATCGCTCTGATGCTGATCAACGACCGAGTGCTTGGGAGGTGGCATAATGGGAAGTGATCATCGATTGGTTTCAAAGCTGAAGTCGAGAATATTTTGAGGAAACCTTCTGTATGACTCTTGATATCATTAGCCCATGTGGGGTGTTGGTATGGCATCAACGACAGTTTTAAGGATTCCAACCATCGATGAATGGGAAATATGAAAGATGATTTTATCCACTGACGTAATATCGGCAAACATAGACGGGATTGAGTTAATGGTCTGAGTGTTCCAAGCACCAATTCCTCCGTCGCGCACGAAGATGTAAACAGATCGATCTCTAGCCCGCTTTTCATGGTAGAGACGTACATTGAGATGGATTTCTTGGACCAGAAGAGGGGAATGTCAATAGTTCGCCATGCCTCTGGCATATCGAGCATGATGTTTCGGAATATATGGCACGTGTGGGCGATTGATTCGTGTGAACGTAGCTTTGTGCCTGAGTTTGGCATGTCTTCCAGTGCGAACCAAAAGATTACGGTCAGAATCTCGGTCGGCAGACAAAAAATGGGTGCGTTGGCTGCATTCGCGGTAGTTCTGGTCCGAGCACGACCTCTAGCTGTTGAGAAGAAGAGAAGATCGCGCGCTGTCTTCGAGAGTTGTATCTTTGCCTTTGTGGTTGGGCTTCAAGATGCACCCAATATGTTCAAGCGGAATCCAGTAATCTCATGGGTTGCATATAAACAACTATATATGTCTAATAAGTGAGTGAGCAAGATCAATGTCAAGGGAATGCAAAGCCAAGGAAAACGAGTAACGAAGACGGGCAACGAGGAAGTGACAATGTGAGGGGAAATGATAGGTTGAGTGAATTGAATTCAGCATTCTAGAGCTTTGGCGTCGACTTGATTGGTCTGCTGTCACAACTTTGGACACTATCCAACAACAGCCTGCCAGTAAAAGGCCGGTTTAAACACTCAGATTATTGACCATTATCCTCGATGCATTCCCGTTAAACTGCGTTGATCCTGAATTTGTATTGTTATCCCTCCTTCCAGTCTTCGAAGCGCCAATTCGCCAAATCTCGAGCTCTACCCAATATCTATCGCAAATCTTTCATCTTGTTTCAACACTTGATACTAGATGAGCTGTCACGCTCTCTTACCGTTGAAATTGTGTCCATTAAATCTCTTCGGATCCATCTCCAGAATAAACAGGTATCCTCTGATCACCCCTTTCACTCTTTGGATCATTTTAATCATCGCAGAACCTGCAAATTGGCAGATTTTCCGTGGATGAGCCCTTCATACCACCCTTTATTTGCCGCTCATCGGCGGAGCCGTCGAACTATGGTCACCGGTAAGCTTACTCGCGTCCCTTCCATTGGGGCTTCATCCTTCACTCACTACCTCTTTGCATGACCGTCCGACCCAGCTCGGCGGACCTCAAATCGATCACAGTCGCCTTTGAGTCCGTACCGTTATATAGAAGGCCTCCACTAAGGACACGAAATAATCTCACTCTCACCTCTCCCTCGAAACCCCTGGCCCAGCCACCGGACGCCAGAGACCGAAGCCGAGACTGAGGCGCAAACCCATGAACAAGGAGTTACACAAACAACAAGATATAGTTGAACCGGACAACTCCTCGCTCACTCGGCCCAAACTGGATCAAGACGTGCTTGGACCCAGTCCCTCGGACGTTGGGACGGTGTATTACTCCGAATCGGCTCGTAGACCGGACGGCGAGAATGACGTGAAGAGTTCACTCTCTATGAGGAGTATGAACACGACTACGCAAGATGAGTATCGTCGGCAGGAAGCTGGGCGTGTAAGTCGAGAGAGGAACTCGAAGTGATACGCGCTGATAACCATCTAGTTGTATAATGTGCTGAACGAGGCATACTTTCTACCTACTGGTACGTATCATGACCATACGAACGGCCCTTTGTGACAGAATCTGTAGACGATGACGAATTTACTCGATTGTGAGCTCTGCAGAGAGAGATTGACATTCTAGCTCAAGTGAAATAGGAACAAGCAACATTTAGCGGTAGTAATTGCTCTCTCTAGCCTATATACCGCACCTCAAGTTGTTGAAACAATCCTCGCGAAACGAGAGGGAGAGCAACAGAAGATCTTAGACGTCGGTATGCAACCACCTATCTACTGCGTTTAAATATTTAGCGACATTTCATTCCAGGCTGCGGCACCGGTGTGTGGACAGTTGCAATGGCCAAAGCATTTCCGCACTGTGAAGTCGTTGGAATCGATCTCGCGCCTGTACCCCTCGAATCCGAAGCGATCCCACCAAACTGCCGCTTCGAGCTCGACGACGTTAACAACTCGCTCACCCACTATCACGATCTGTTTTCTGTCGTCCACGCGCGCTTTATAGGTGCTGGCTTGCGGGACCACAAGAAGTGTAAAGAGGAGATTGAGCGGTGTCTGAAGCCTGGTGGTATTGTGCTGTGGATGGACGGGGACTATGATATGTGCACGAAGGAGAGGGATGTTTATAGCGTCCCAGCGAGCGACGCGCATCCGGACGGGTCATGGTTTACCAGAATATTGTTTGGTGCGTCCCGCCTTCTCTTTCGGCAGATCCATCTGCGTGGCTGGTACTCACTAACTCGTAGAAACGAGCAGGGCCACCCTTCAAATGGGTGTTAGTGACTTATTCGCGATGTCATCAATGCTCAGTCTTGGGCTATGGGATGATCCACTTCTGGATCCAGAGACGTATGTCATATCTTTTAGATCACCCATCGTTACTCAGCCACATAGGTGTGGAGCAGGCGATTTGTTCACGCCAATTGGTGCGTCTACTTGTATAATAACGATGGTTTTTGATAAAATCTAGGGCCATGGGCTACAGGTTTGTGCAACCGACCCCACAGCAGCTATTTACCTCGTTATAGATCCAAACCCACTTCAAAATCAACGTCTCAGCCACGTTGGCACATTGATACGCCAAGATCTCTCAGTAAGCACTTTCCAAGGAGACAGAAAGTTGCACCCATCTGAGCTTGTACAGAATGGGCATAGAGCCCTGCATGCCCCTCTTCGTAAAGTGGGCATCTCCGCAGAGACGTGCAACGAGTGGTCAGAGTTGGCCGATAAAGGTATTGCTCTCAACTCACCTAGTGCTATACTGCATCTTAACGTGCACGAAGAGATGAACGAGATGAAAAAACCGCTCTTTCTCCGGTTCGCCTGTGCATGGGGCCGCCGACGGGCGGCACCAGGCAAACCAGCGCCTCCACTCCCCCCAGTATCCCCCAGTACTGAGAGGGAAGATGATCTGCCCTCAAGTTTGCCACCCTATCCGTTCTTTGACCTGTTCGAATCCAAGGAGCAGGCCAAGGAATCGTATGAGAGGAGGAACAAGAGCAAGACATATACGCCACCGCCAAATCCCCCGGGTTTACAAGCATAGACTCAGATATGGTGAGGGTTCATTCGCTTGCAGGCCTAGAGTTTTTGGCTTCACTGAACCGTCTTGTACATACTTGAATAGATGATTCATGTAGATGTATAGACAGTTTCCCGAACATTGTTAAAATCTTTGACCCTCTAATCGGTGTCTTCGCCTCTTGGCCCATCTCCATCAAAACCGCAATGGATATATTCCCGGAAAACGGCCACGGGGCATGTAAACCTCAATTCCCAGCAAGAAAGGATCATCCGTTCAAACCAGTTGGGATCGAAGAGCCATCGCTCGCACGACCCATCCCGACGAACAAGTTCTATGGCAACTTTCTTGTTGGAAGTCGACTAGAGCCTACTTGGCTGCACCCATACTCTGTCTGGTGGTCCAAATCGAGCCCTGGGTTTGGACTTAGTGTCGCTCATACAGAGCCTGGCCAACGAGTAAACGTCCATTTGCACTAATAGATGCGGCCTTTAATCACTCTATAGGTGTTTGGACCCGATCCATCGCAGAATCCCGCTCAATATTACTACAATCCCGTCCGGATACAATCCATATGCTTCTCGGCCAAGGAAATGGAGGAGAATACCACGGATATGAGCATCGACGATCCTCAGCACATGTCCGCAACCCTGTATTTCAAGTCCAAAGCAAACCCGCGACGTCAATATATTCGGTTTCCCTTGGTACAAGGATCTGCCTTTGTGACGGCGGAATACCATGGAATATCCCCCATATTTGCATCCGGAGTGCGTTTTCGGTCGTTTCAACAAAACGCCGTATCCAACCGCAGGTCAAGGTCTACAATAGTGCTCGAGGACGGTCATACCTGGCTCCTATATACATTCTCCGAGTCCCGAGATGACCAACCGTTGTGTCTCCGATTTGCATCAAACGAGCGCATAGAAGGGGATAGGGTGTTTTGGGGAATCATACAGCTAATCAAGATTCCTCGCCACTGTGAGCAAGCCAGCTTTCAACGACTGACAGACGCCTGTGCTGGACGATGGGCTACGGCAGCCACGCTAAATGCTCAGTCTCTGAGTGACTCTGTGGCACGATACACCATCCGCTTCCATACTCACCCCAACTCTTATTCCTCACAGCTGCTCATGTACGCGCTGCCGCATCATGTCCAATCCTTTGCGCACGACTCACGCGTGAACAAGTATTCAAACTTTCAAATGCAATCTACGACCAAAGGCTCGATGACTGCCATCGTTGGTGATGAGTGGTGCTTCGAGGAGTCGAACCTACCTTGCTACATTGGGTTTGACCCAGTGGCGGATCACGGGCTGAGTGGAGAGGCAAGAAATCTCTTGAGGAGAGTTGTCCTGCAGGAGGCGGGAGGTGACCCCCAAGCGGAATCGAATCTAAACAGCATGTACTTTTCTGGAAAGGCCCTAGACAAGTTTGCGTGTCTATGTTGGGTGATTGCCGCTGTCCTTGGGGATCAAGAACTAGCGCAGAGTACCCTTCTCAAGCTCAAACGCGCATTCGCTCGCTTTGAGCAGAATGCCCAGCAATTCCCGCTCGTATATGATGGTGCGTGAAGACCTTTTCCATCTTTCACATACTCAACATACATCTCATAGAACTGTGGGGAGGTGTGGTAGCTCGCGGCTTGTACGATAATGGTGATTGGATGCAGGACTTTGGCAACGGCTGCTATAGTATGTGCCTCGTCCAGCTTCCCCGCTTTCTCTAACCAACGTAGACGACCACCACTTTCACTATGGATATTTCATCCATACTGCAGCCATTATTGCAAAGCTAGATCTACTCCTCGGTAACGGAGGTGGTTGGTATAACGAGAATCGAGGTTATGTCGACACCCTCATTCGAGACGTACGTACCATGATCAATTCTGGCACCCATTCTTACCGTTCTGGTAGATTGCCTGCGCCAACGAGCAAGACCAATTCTTCTCCCTCTCGCGCAGTTTTGACTGGTTCCACGGACACAGCTGGGCCAAAGGCATATTCGAATCGCAAGACTCGAAAGACGAAGAGTCGACATCCGAAGATGCGTATTGCTCCTACGCGCTTAAACTGTGGGGACAAGTCTCGGGGAACAAGCGTCTGGAGCACCGAGCGAACTTGATGCTCGCCATTCAGCGTCGCGTATTCTGCAACTATTTCCTTTTAGAAGACGATAACCCGAACCAACCCGCGCAAATCATCGGGAACAAGGTCGCTGGAATCGTAGGTCCCCCTAAGTTCTTGTGTGATTATACTGACAAAGGTCTAGCTCTTTGAGAACAAGGTAGATCACACGACCTACTTTGGACACGAACTCCGATACATCCAAGGTATCCATATGATCCCCGTCTCACCCATCTCCCGATACATCCGCTCCCAAAAGTTTATACGCGAAGAATGGGAGCGCTTCTTTGCAAATGACGACAACACTGGAAACGATGGGTGGAAAGGTATCCTCTACTCGAATCTATCCATCATCGACCCTGGGCGTGCCAAAGACTTCTTTGCGTCAGAAGCCTTTAACCCCGCGTGGATCGACGGAGGCACGACAAGAGCATGGAGTCTCGCCATGTGTCTCTAGATTACGCGCTCACAAATGATTGTCGACAGACTTGTATAATCAACTGCTGTAGTACAGACACAAAACTCTGGAAAGAATCTGACCAATTAGAATCTGGAAAGGATGGGGTCTAGGAGATGGTGAATATAAGGTGCCGACCATTGGAAGCTGACAACGAGACCGACGACGAAGAGCGAGGTGAGAAGAGCTGGACCGGGTCGAAGGAGACGTTTTGGCGGTGGAGGTGTATCCTTCTTGGATTGAACCTTTTCTGTATCTTTCTGCGACTGTTGATGTTGACGAGTAGTGGACTTTGGTGGAGGAGGTCGTTCGGGGAGGTTGAATGGTTTCGGAAGAGGTTGAACATCATAGGGACGTTGATCACCAGTATAGCCAGTCGCGGGTTTCTTGACACTTGCAGAAGATTTAGATGCCTAGATACGAGAACACACACACACACACACCCCGCCACAATCGACCCCCGCAACCAACCCAGTCAACCCAACCCAACCCCACACCACGCCAGCAGAACGAACCGTTGTCAGCAGCCATTCGAGGCCGGGGAGGAGAGAAAAGATGAGAAGGGAGGGGGGAGGGAGAGCTTAGGCACCTACACCGACAGCCCCGTGCTTGAGCTCGACGCCGTCGTTTTCGAGGATGCGCGAGTCGATATTCGGGTTGGGTATGAGTGCGATTTGTGGCACGTTTGCTCCACCAGCCTTTAGTCGACCGAGTTCGCCCACAAACGTGTTGCCCCAGTACATTGCCGAATACTTTTCGACGTACTAAAAGGATGAATGAGTATTGTGAGAAATTAAAGGGAAGAATGGCTAGGGACGTTACCTTGAACAACTTGCTATGGTTCTCCGCTCGTACCTCTTGTGGCATGGTCACTGCCTCGAAAATGGCATCTGCAACCTGTTGACTGTCCCATGGGTTGACGACGATACTCCCGTTCAAGCTCTGAGCAGCACCGGCGAATTCGGAGATGATCATTACGCCCTGGCGTTCTTGCTGCGTCGCGATAAACTCGTACGAAACCTACAGCTGGGGTTAGGAAAAGGCGGAGACTTTGCGTCAATACCCACCAAGTTCATACCATCACGGGTACTAGTCACCAAGCACACGTCACTGACGGCATAGAGCGCGCAAAGTTCGGTAAAGGGCAACGACTTGTGCATGAAATGAATCGGCATAAAGTCTACCGTTCCCAAATCGACCATTAATCCGCCCAACAAGTTCATTGACCGTCGCGCGCAAGTTTTGATACTCTTCGACATCTCCTCGAGACGGTACAGCGAGCTGGATCAAGACGACTTTGCCAACCCACTCTGGGTGTTGTTCGAGGAAGAGTTCGAGGGCCGACATCTTTTGGGGGACACCCTTGATATAATCAAGACGATCGACACCGACGATGAGTTTGACACCTTGGAAGCGTTGTTCGAGTTCTTTGATGCGTTTGGACACGGCGGGAGTTTCGGGACCCTTGACAAAGCTTTCGGGGTCGATGCCGATCGGGAATGTGCCGACTTGGCAGTATGCACCCGTAGGGAGTTGGACGCCGTTTGGCATTGTAGGCAGTGACAAGATGCGCGTGCACGAAGAGAGGAAGTGGCGCGCATAGTCATAGGTGTGGAATCCGACGAGGTCGCACTGGATTGTTCCGAGAAGGATCTCACGTCGAACAGGGAGAATGCTACGGGTTATGGTTAGATCTTGTAAAAAGGACAGGGAGGAATAGACGAACCGGTAGATTTCGCTACTGGGGAAAGGAGTGTGGAGGAAAAAGCCAATCTTGATTTCCTGACAATGCTCCTTTTCTGGCACGTCGGTTCCACGAACGAGTCCTCGTTGAAGGCGCTCGACCTCGCTTGCCGTAGCTTCGCCGAGGCTCTCTGGACCATCGACCATGGCGCGGAGGAAGAGAGGGAGGAGCATCAAGTGGTAATCTTGTACCCAAACCATGCTTCCCTTGCGAACTTGACTCATGACGGCCTCTGCAAATGTCAGGTTTGCCTGACGGTAAGCGAGCCAGTGGCTCTCGTCAAAGTTCATTTCTCCGGGGTGATAGTGGAAAAGGGGCCAGAGGATGGAATTGGAAAAGCCGTTGTAGTGCTTGTCTGCGACGTCGTCGTCGAGATAGACGGCCAAGCACGAGTACTCTTCCATCAGTCGCTTGTCGACGATGGGGCGGTCCTTGTGGGGGATGAAAAAGCCCGTCCAGCCAATCCAGGTGAACTGAATGGATCTCTTGAGGCCAGAGAGGGCAGATACAAGACCACCCGAGGACATTTTAAAGTGGTATTCGCCCTTTGCATCCTTTGAGATGGTGACGGGGAGTCGATTGGAGACGACGATGAGATGCTTTGCGTTTCCGAGATCCATTTCGTCTGGAAGATAGTCGCTGGTGTGCGTCCTGCTCACAGACGCTCTCGACGACGCAGCTGGGGCGGGTTCAGAGGCCATTTGGGTGGTGCGCAGGGGTTTTATAGTCCAAGCCTTGTTCCGGAAAGCCGCCGTAGACCAACGTGTTTCGATGATCAGAGCCGATAACTGGTAAACGCTCTGTCGTCGTCGACGCTGAAATGCTCTTACGCCCGCTGCCGCCGGGATGACATCGCCGCCAATTAATCACACATTCTCAAAATTATACAGAAAATGATACAAAAACATTTGTTTATTTCCAATCATGGACAAACGTTTCTTTATCTTGTATGGTTCGTGTTTCTCCGTGCAAATGTTCTCAGAGAATATCTCAGCTCGACTCAGCTCGGTCCACAATTCAAATCCAGCGTGCCGACGGCTCCAGTGTGTCTCTCCTCACTTGCGCCGTCGGTACGGATCGCCCCTTTCTACCGTCGAAAGTGGCTTGGTGGCATAAAGATTACTAGGTGCGCTGTTTTTCCAAGTTTGTCTGATCGATATATCATCATTCCTTGTCGAAACACCGTCGGCGTCATCATTGCCTTTTTCAGCTTTCATGGCATCGATGGACTCTCCAAGCTAAGACGCCGTTCCGACCATGGCCGCAGAGAATTCCCACGTAGAGATTAATCACATAGCAGATCACAAACTGAATAATCTCCACGAGTGGGCCAGGGATTGATGCATTTGTATCTACGAAATGAACTCTCTTCATCCAGTTGTCTATAGTTCATCATATGGTGCAGAGAATGAGACTCCACGATGTCAAGTGTCAATGAGAATAGTCAAGTTGGACGATTGTAAATACTCTCTATCCGCATCTAGTAGCCACGGATTAAAGGAATTACGTACGGCTAGAACGTGCGGTCGCAGCACGCCTTGCTCAATTCACTGCTTTTGGCTTGCTCCGTCTACATCAACCGCGACGGATGTCTTGGTTCAAAGGCAAAGAGAAAGCTCCTCGTTCAAAGGATGCTGGTAACCCATCCGTCTCTCAATCAGACACTTCGCCTGCTAGCACAAGCACTGGTTGGGAGAAGGCCCGTGACACTGCGATTCCGATCCTCGAACTCGTCGCCAACATCGCAGAAGGTTCTGATGCGCTTGCCTCTCTCAAAGCAGCATGTAAAGCTACAAAGCAGATACTCGAGATGACGCGCGTACGTCCACTCGGTGTACATACGACTCATCTGATGATGAAATTAGGCCATCCAGAACAACAAGAAGGATTGGGGGCGTCTCGCTGAACGTCTTCAAGGTCACCTAGAATCGATGGAGCACCAGATCACCATCTTTGAAGGGTATCCCGAGGAGAAGCGCCAGGCGGATAACTCTTTGCGAGACCCGCTACTGGCCTATGTCAGGCAGGTTTTGTGCTTTAGTCCAATGGATTCGACTTACACAACGAACAGAAAGCTCGACGAAATACAGAAAGCGGTCGAAGCCCGAACACGTTCGCGGCTCTTGTCTCGAGCAACAAAAGTGGACATGGACGCCAGTGATATTCAAGACTTTCATCAAGATATCGATGACTGTCATCAAAGACTCACGGTACGGATCATTAAAGATCTCCCACCCACCGTGGCTGACCACCATTTCAGGCCGCTTTAGCCGTATCCACTTCACTCCATGTCCAAGCCGTCAAAGGTGACACCGAGGCTCTGAAAGGGGATACACAACTCATCAAAGAGGATGCTAAGACTCTATTGAAAGATGGTAGGTCCGCACTCATTTGTACAGCCAGCTTGCCTGACCTTCTCAGTGGATATGATTGCCATCGCACAACTTCCAATCGTCCTCTCGACTTCGTCTATGGTGCACAATCCTTGCAATCCGGGAACTCGGGTCGCCGTTCTCGACACCATCCGCCGTTGGGGAGAGGGCGAGTTCTCGGAACCCATCTTCTGGCTTTGCGACATTGCTGGTTCTGGTAAATCTACAGTATCGACCAGCATGGTCACAACCTGGAAGGAAGCGGGCCTACTCGGGGGACAGTTCTTCTTCTCGATGACCGCAAGCGAGGAGTCTACCATTGCCAAGATGTGCCCGACCTTTGCCAGGCAAATGTTTGAGCGCATCCCAGCGTTAGCACCGTATGTTATAGACGCAGTCAAACAGCACCCCGCGATTATGACAGATACTTTCGAGGAGCAGTTCAAGAAGCTAATCGTTGGGCCGATCACGCATCATAGGAAGCCAGTCATTATCATCATCGACGCACTTGACGAGTGTCGAATTCCGAGAGAACGGGAGCAGCTTCTGCGAGGATTCTCACTTGCCGTCCGAAGCTGCCCTAACCTCAGAATCTTCCTTACGAGTCGACCAGAGCCCGACATTGAGAGGCTGTTGGGTCCCCTAGCACTCAAGAGGAAGCTCGAGTTTCGCCTTCATGACGCGAGCTACTCGGACAATGTGGATGATGTGGCGACATATATCCACGAGACGTTGAGGGGATGTTCTATCTCGCGAACAACGTCTGAACCTGATAAAAAAAGCAAATGGACTGTTCATCTGGGCCAAGACGGTTTGCCAGATGTTCGATCCGGAGAGACGATTTGAACCCCCAGACGTAGTTTATGAGAGAGTAGCCTCTCGTGAACATTCCAGTGATATTGACTCGATCTACCAACTTATCCTCGAGCGCATAGAGCCTCCAAATGCTCTTCAAGCTGCATATAAGCTACTTGGAGTGCTGGTCGCAGCCTTCGAGGCTCTTACCCTCGCAGGCTTGAGCAAGATTTTGGAGGAAATGGGACAACGAGTGGATGTGGCCAACCTGATCAAACGGCTGGGTAACGTCTTGCACGTGGAACCAGTCACGACCCTCATTCGATTCCGTCATCCGACCTTTGTCGAATATCTTGAGCGATGTAGCAGCTCGGGAGATTATATCAGCTTGACCAAATGTCACGCCGAGCTTGCACGATGGAGTCTGAAGACAATGAGCACAGGGCTAAAATTCAACATATGCCAGATCGATTCATCATTTGCTCCAAATAGAGCCATACAAGATTTCGAGGACAGGGTCTCAAGGTTTATCCCGCGCGAACTCCGTTACGCCAGCTCTCATTGGCTATTCCACCTCTCCAAAATGGACGACTCATCTCGGCAGATACAGTCGCACCAAATTCAATATGCACTTCAAAGCCCGCAAGTTCTATATTGGGTTGAGGTTGTGGGTGCCATACTGGGAGTGCCACGAGCAATAACTGGTTTACGATGTGTTGCTTCATATTTCAAGGTAGGTTTCATTCGAAGCGCTGTCAAATTTGGTTAACCACGTGAGCAGGGCGAAATACATGAACGCATCGAGGACACAAGGCGGTTTATGATGGCCTTTTCGACCCCAATCCAAGAGAGTCTTCCTCACATTTACATTTCAGCACTTCCATTCACTCCGAAAAAGTCAAAGCTGTATACTGAAGGCCTAAAAAAGTATCCAAACTCTCTCACTGTGGCTCAAGGAGTCAAGGAGATGTACCCTGGCCTCCCCAGAAGTCTTCGAGGTCATGAATCGCCTGTTATGGCGGTCGGATTTTCTCCAGACGGGTCTAGAATTGTCTCTGGCTCATGGGACAAAACGATTCGATTGTGGGATGCGGACACTGGTCAGCCATTGGGAGAACCGCTTCGAGGCCATGAACGCCAGATCACGGCGGTCGCGTTCTCGCCGGACGGCTCCAGGATTGTCTCTAGCTCGTATGACGAGACAATTCGATTGTGGGATGCGGACACCGGCCAGCAGTGGGGAGAGCCACTTCGAGGGAATAACTGGGGAGTCACCGCCGTCGCGTTCTCGCCAGATGGCTTGAGAATCGTCTCTGGCTTCACATATGGGGAAATCCAATTGTGGGATGTGAACATTGGTCAGCCGTTGGGAAAGCCACTCCAAGGCCATATACACGCTGTCACCTCCGTTGTATTCTCTCCAGATGGCTCGCAAATAGCCTCCTCGGGGGACCGGGCGATTAGATTATGGGATGCAAACACTGGTCATCCCTTGGGTGACCCACTCCGAGGTCATGAAGGCAATGTTATGACATTGCATTTTCGCCAGATGGCTTGAGAATAGCCTCTGGCTCAGATGACGAGACAATTAGATTGTGGGATGCCAACACTGGTCAACCATTGGGAGAGCCGCTCCGAGGTCATGAAAGGAGTGTCAGGGCAGTCATATTCTCGCCAGATGGGTCCAGAATTGTTTCTGGCTCACATGACAAGACGATTCGATTGTGGGATGTAGACACTGGTCAACAGCTGGGGGAGCCACTCCAAGGTCATGAAGACGGAGTTATGACGGTTGGATTCTCACCAGACGGCTCCAGAATTGTCTCTGGGTCATGGGAGCATACAATCCGATTGTGGGATGTGGACACCAGTCAGCCATTGGGAGAGCCGCTCCAAGGTCACGAGGGAAATGTCATGGCAGTTTCATTCTCACCAGATGACTTGAGAATAGTCTCCGGCTCAGACGACAAGACTGTCAGAATGTGGGATGCAAAAAATGGTCAACCACTAGGAGAGCCACTCCAAGGCCATGAACGCGGGATCACGGCGGTCGCGTTCTCGCCGGATGGCTCCAGGATCGCCTCTGGCTCATATGACCAGACAATTCGATTATGGGATGCGGGTACTGGCCAAATGTGTGGAGGACCACTCCGAGGTCATAAAGGGGGGGTCATGGCAGTTGCATTCTCGCCAGATGGCTTGAGAATAGTCTCTGGTTCGGATGACAGGACAATGCGACTGTGGGATGTGGGCACTGGTCAACCATTGGGAGTGCCATTCCAAGGTCATGAAAAAGGTGTCACAGTGGTCGCATTCTCGTCAGATGGCTCCATAATTGTCTCTGGCTCAAATGATTACTCGATTCGGTTATGGAATGCGGACACTAGCCAGCCATTGGGAAAGCCAATCATATGTAAAGGCTCTGTCTGGGCGGTCGGATTCTCCCCAGATGGCTCCAAAATTGCTTCTGGTGGGTGGGATCAGACAATTCAATTGTGGGATGCAGCCACTGGCCAACCATTGGGAAAGCCGCTCCAAGGTCATAAAGGGGGGATCATGGCGGTAGCATTCTCACCAGATGGCTCAAGGATTGTCTCCGGCTCGCAAGACCACAAGATTCAATTTTGGGATGCAAACACTGGTCTGCCGTTGGGAACGGCAATCCGAGGTCATGAAAATGAAGTCGGGGCGGTCCAATTCTCACGAGACGGCTCTAAAATTGTTTCTGGCTCGCATGACAGGACGATCCGATTGTGGGACACAGACATTGGTGTGTATCTCCCAAACTTGTTATCATGTGTGAAGCTTGACACCATTAGATACAGATGCAAAGGGCTCTAATCAACGTGGCAAAGGGCTCACATATTCTGACGGCGGTGACCAATCACCGGGTATCCCCCTAGGAAACCTTGCTGGATTCAAGCGGTGCTCATTATTGCCTGATGGCTGGGTGCAATCTTCCGGTAGACTTCTCTTCTGGGTACCACCAGAGAATCGACATGGCCTACAACATCCACAGCTCCTTCTAACCATTCCAACAACAAGTTTGCTGCGCGCGACCATACTTGATTTTACACATTTTAAATGCGGGCCCTCTTGGACAGCCGTTCGAGGCAATTCCTAATATGAATGCTATCTCCATATCGATGTATTTCGTCTTTCATGGCCGTTGTGTAATAAAGAGTACGTTCTAAATCGTCCGAGTTGCGAGTTCACGACAGGCTCTCCTGTCAGTAGATTCGGCCGAGACGGTGGCTACGAGTGGACGAGTTGAAGCCGGCTAATCGCCGACCACAGTCATCTTGGATTCGACCTCTTTTTTTCTCGTTTCGGCCTTTTCTCGAAAATGTCCTCTGCCATCGTCCGCAACGCTACCAGACAGGCCGCTCGCGCCTCGAGAGTCGTTCGTGCTCCAACAGCGGCTCGTTCGCTCTCCATGGTCGCACGCGCAACAGCCGTGCAGTCGAAACCACACCAAGTCACTCTGTCGCAGGTCAGAACAAACACTGAACCAGTTTATTAGTCCTTTTTGAATGCTAACACCGCGTTCTAACAGGCGCGTGGCATGAAGACGATGGACTTTGCTGGAACAAAAGAGGTCGTGTACGAACGTTCAGACTGGCCCGTAGAGAAGCTTCAAGAGTACTTTAAGAACGACACCCTTGCGATGATCGGTTACGGCTCCCAAGGTCACGGTCAAGCCCTCAACGCCAGAGACAACGGTCTCAAGGTTATTATTGGTGTCCGAAAGGATGGGGCCAGTTGGAAAGAGGCTATTGAAGATGGATGGGTATGTTTTATCTCATAAACACTGTAAGGATTGAGAATACTCACTTTTTTCGAAAGGTTCCGGGCGAGACCCTCTTCCCTATCGAAGAGGCCATCAAAAAGGGCACCATCATCATGAATCTTCTCTCGGATGCCGCACAATCAGCTACTTGGCCCGATATTGCCCCTCTCATTACCAAGGGCAAGACTCTGTACTTTGCACACGGGTTCTCCGTCGTGTTCAAGGAGGACACCAAGGTCGTCCCGCCCAAGGATGTCGACGTTATCCTCGTCGCTCCCAAGGGCTCTGGTAGGACCGTCCGAACGCTCTTCAAGGAGGGTCGCGGAATCAACTCGAGCATTGCAGTTTGGCAAGACGTGACTGGCAAGGCCAAGGAAAAGGCCGTTGGCCTCGGTGTCGCAGTCGGCTCTGGTTATCTCTATGAGACCACGTTTGAAAAGGAGGTGTACTCTGACCTTTACGGAGAGCGCGGTGTCGTAAGTGTCCATCTTTCTCCTACGAAGAAAGCTCTCTAACTGGACCTAGCTCATGGGCGGCATTCGTGAGTAACAGGATCAATGCAAGATCTAACTCCTAACCCCGAATTAGAGGGAATGTTCAAGGCACAGTATGAAGTTCTCCGAGCCAATGGTCACTCGCCATCAGAGGCGTTCAACGAGACAGTCGAAGAAGCGACGCAAAGCTTGTTCCCACTCATTGGGCAATACGGAATGGTATGCCATGGTCGACATAACGCCTTGACCTAACTAACATCCGACCCCCCTGAATAGGACTACATGTACGCCGTACGTGTTGGATCTGTCACCGATATCCTGGCTACTGACATATGTCAACAGGCATGCTCGACTACCGCTCGTCGTGGAGCGCTCGACTGGGCACCCATATTCGAGGCGGCCAACAAGCCCGTGTTTGAGAAGCTGTACGAGTCTGTGAAGAATGGAACCGAGACGCGCAAGTCGCTCGAGTTTAACAACCGCAAGACGTACCGACAAGACCTCGAGCGCGAGCTCAAGGAGATCAACGACCAGGAGATCTGGCGAGCTGGGAAGACGGTCCGAGCATTGCGACCAGATGCCAAACGCGATGACTAGTTTCACCATACTCCAAGGTTTCAGGTGATCGATCTCTTCTTTTTTCAAAAAAAGCCAGGTACGTGACTGTTCGGCCATTCAGGCTAGATGGTCACGCACCAACGGTGCCCTCGTAGCCTAGAATTGAAATGCCAGGGATATTTTGGTTCGACCGATGATGCCTATTGGACTATCTTTTAGCGCGCTGGCATATCGGAGCCGTCTGGCCGGCCTCGGTGGCTGGCGGCGATCTGCATTGCCCGTGTCAGCCGACTTGAAGCTTGTAGCGAATTTGTCACCCTCAAAAACAATGGTCGTGATCAAACACTCTACTGAATCTCTCCTGAACCTGACTGTCGTAACCTGTCGGGCTTGTTGAGGTGGGGCGGCCTGTGCTTCTCATTGGTCACACTCCTATCTCGTGTCGTATCCGACAAACCAGGACGTTGCAAGTTTCGACTAGGAGAGGAAAGGGCACTGTTCTTTTTACGAACTAAGCTACACGTAATGACACCCTCGAGAGTGGGGATAAATAGCAAGCCATTCTCGAATACGAATCGTCACTCACCCTAAGAGGGCAACCAGCTCACTCAGTTTGCTCTTTAGCAGCGCTATATATCCACGCTTTTCATCCCAAATACCCTCCATTGCCCCAAAGTCGACACCCCCTTCCTCAAAGATGTCCCACCGCGAGACGCTCAACGAAATCAAACAGCGCCACAATCTCAACTTGGTCTACCAAGACGAGGTCACTGGCCTGTCGCATGCTCAAGTCTGGTTGGGGACTTGGAGGCTGAATGGCGGCGTAGTTATTGGCCATGCGAGTGAGACCTCCAGAGTTGCTGCAAAAGAGGAAGCCTCTCGTCTAGCTATCCAGTACCTCAATGCGCGCGGACTTTTCTAGGTATGAGCATCTCATCAACGATCCCTGATACAGCATTCATAGGCTCACCAGGTCGTCCAGTATCCACCCCAGGCCTTTCGCTCTTGGTTATACCCTTTATCCATTAGTTTATATTTATTCATCGCTTTTTAATGGTAACACAGGTCGCTGTCAGTCCGTAAGCTGTGACATTGCTAAACTGCCGGGGCGCTTGCCAGGATCCCCAGCAATTGGCATGCTTGAGAGAAATTTCTTGGAGTTTTAGTGAAAAGCTCGATGAGGGAGCGATATCAAGTACTCGGGCAAGGTTGAGTCTCGGGCAGAGAGGAAGTTTAATGGACACGGGAACCCCAAGACAATTCAACGCTTGTCCTTGCTGAATACGTAATTCGAAGCCAAATGCATATCTAAGGATACCGTTCGTGAAGAAACTGCTAAAAGGTTGAAGGGGACAACTCGTACGACGCCTGGTGCTTCAACAGTTCTGCAGCCGATGACCGTGTCGTACGCCATGAATGTGAGCCCGCCTTGGGCTTTGCTCCTTATGCTTTTTTCTGAATACTAGTGCCCAGGGTTCAGATCCGTCTCAAGGGATGCATCTGTCGGCTCGTATTATTCAAACAGCTATCCCGGATGCTGGGAAGGGAAGACCGAGTTCTTAACACAAATGGGCTCCACATTTGGATATCTCAACAACAAAGCATTCATTCAAAGGGGATATAAAGCTCCGCAGAGCAGTATGAACCATCTCTTTTCTTCCCTTTCCTCGATCTCCATTCCCAAGAACAAGCCCGACGCCGTCAACGTCATGAGATGGCCATATTCCTTCGATCATAGATTAGACTGGCGCCAAATCTCCATCCCTGTCCAAGCTGGATTTGCCGTAGTCATCGGTCAGCAGACCAAAAGAGGCTTCAACAAACGACCTCAAAACTTACGTATCTCATGCAACATCATAACCGACGCTCTTGAGCCAAAGAAGAGCCTGTTGAGCCGCTTGTTCTTTCGCTGTCGCCTTACTCGTGCATTCGCCAGACTGGCCGACGACTTGACCCTGCATCGAAAATGTACAATACCATCTGGTTGCATGCTCGGGGCCCATGCTCCCTACCGCATACGTTCCCGTTGTGCGAAGCTTCTGCAAGGCGGCAGCGAGTGCTTGGCGATAGGAAATTTGATCCGACGACATGGATCTGGAAGCAGTGTTGTTGGACTGAACTTCGAATGGCACACTGGATGGTACAGTCAGGGGTTCAACAATCCTCCCCGTTCGTTCATGGGCGTACCAAACTCGAGCGGATGGTATTCAGAAGCAAAAGCAGCTCTTCTTAAATTGCGAAACGATGGCTTCCGAGCTTGAGCCCAGCAAGCGGAGTATCGAATTACCGAGAAACTTGAGGTTCCACTTTGTGGCTCCACTTGGAAACCTGTCAAGAGACCTAATTGAAGATGGAAAAGAAGTGTCCTAGGCGTTGCAGAAGCACACAGGCTGGGAATTATTTAACCACTAGGAACCTGTCTTCAAAACTCCTCGGTCCGAAGAGAACATGAGGCACCCTATGCATACCGTCTTTGCTGGCAGTTTGCAACCAACCTCTCGGGTGAAGGTGTAATTGTAGATGACCCCGCCATTTGGATATGTCTTCGAGGACAGCCTCTACGAGACGGATCGAGCATTTGTCATCGGGTTGTCGACTACAAGCCAGCATTAGTCCTCGCAAGGAACATGCGTTGGTGGGAATGGAGTCGATGTTCAGTCTCACATCCCCCAAAGGCTCGATCTACTCAGAACAGAGACTGTCAGACAGGGACGCCATATTTAGCCTGTCAAAGCACCGCATGTCTATGGTCAATTTCGGGCATTGTTCATATCAGATACTGCGACTGTCCTGAGCAAGCCGACGAGATACCCTAGCCCTCGGCCAGTGAATCAAAATTCAATGTTCGCTGACACTTATATGTAATCTCTACCGCCACATTACCGAATTGGATTGTGTAATCAGCATCTCCGCCGGTACATGAGAAGAATCCAACTATTCGCAGTTAAGTGTGGTCCAGGCGTGGTCCATGAAACTCTCGGGTCAATATTTGCCAGAATCGACACTAGCTCTTGTACCCTCTTGACACCTTCCTCCTGACGCTGGATGGGCTCCAGATATGATTGGGGCTTGGAGCTGACGGTCTCCTTGGCTGACGAGATCTGAGAAGTGCCAGCCTCTAATTTGCCTCCAGGACCTCCTTACATGTCAGCACGGTGCTCAATAGTCGATACAAAAGGGTGGTAACGAGGCACAGGGCGGTGGGAAATGACAGTAGAGGGACTGCTGCGGTTTCTTTCTACCACCTCCTTCCAGATTTGATATGCTAATAATGTAGAACGTTGCGCAGCTTCTATTTCCTCGAACGCAGCTTGTGGTCCTGTGACATTATCCCTCCCACCCGCTTCAGTTCAGCTCGGGTTTTGCCGTTGCGTAGTATAATCAAGAGTCCGCCTGCTTCGTTATCTAGCTGCAAGCAGGGCATTTCGAATCCAATTTGACGCATCTCACCTGTCTCGTAATCGATTATTCGGTCAGGGCACCCATCTCTTTTTATCTGTTATGGAGTCCTGCTTTACCACAGAACTCTTGATAACGTCACTGAAGGCGATCGTTCGGCGGTACATCGAGGTATTCTTCTTAACTATACTCGCAATTATCCGTATTATGCGGTAGTATACAACTTGAGGCGAGCAACCAGTGGAGGAACCTCCTGATTTTCCCCTCAGTTAACCATCAACACTGGGATGCTTAGTGCCGGCTCCCAGGGTGGAATACTCAAGGATTACAGCCTTCCAGACCTACTAATATTCTTGTAGAACCAGTATGGTGTAGGAATGACCAGTTGAATTGAGAACTCTACTTTGGTCACGTTGAGTCCATCACTTGGCCTGATGCTGTGATCGTTCACCTCGTGAGGTGTACACATGAGCAAAGAGAGCACCATTAACGGCATAGACACGGCGTAGGACACCCACCTAGAAGTATTGGTGCTGCATGGGATGAATCCACGCAGCGATGAGGAAGAATTTTGGGCAGATTTCCCCATCCGTACTCGTAATTTCAAGCTTGAGGTTGAACAGGAGCAAAGTCTAAACTTGTACCAAACCGCGTTCGCCGTTTCGTTGAGCGAAGCCTAATTGTTATAGTCATGGTATTATATCCGCACGAATCAACTATGACGACGTCTCATTTGCTTCGCAGCAGGATAATCGTCCGCAAATGCGCCGCAAGTCGAGCGCCGGCAATCTCTTCAACTTTCGAAACCCATCTTCGTCTTCCAATCCACTCTCCTCGACTAATCAACTCGCAATGTACCCCGCACCGCTCCAAATGGGGGGCTTTATGACCACGCAACCGTCGATTCCGACTTCGGCGGCGTCGTCGCATTCAACTGACACTGCGAGCACTCTCATTTCACCCACTGGTCAGGTTACGCCTGTTGGGAGAGAGTGGGATCAACAGAGCGCCTCGGAGAGCAATCCTGGACACTCGAGCGTGCTCAGTAGCGGCAGCGTTGGGACTGCTTCTTCTGGATTACCTCCCAATCAACTAGATCTTTTGAAAGAGACGATGAACAAACGAATCATGACTTTGACCTATCTCCGAAGCACACACGAAGGGTCCGTGGCGATTCGTCGACGATTATATTCCACGCAACTGACGATAAACTTCAGAAAAATGTACTGGTTTAATACCATTCTATTGACCCGAGATGGTCTGTCTGAAGCGTTCAACCAGCCTTCGATGAAGAAGAAGTGCGCTTAGTGGATTCAACAGCTGGGATGTTGGGACTAATTTATTGATAACAGGGCGTATCGTTTATCTGTGCTGGCTATGTCGCTTGCGAGTCTATTCGATATCCAGATTGCAAGCGACTATCTCAAGGCACTAGTTTCACTCATGACAGAGTATGAAGCATTCCAGGATGAGACAGTAAGACCAAAGGTTTGGATCGAATACCTTGTTGCGTGTTCCTAGGGCCGACCACCTACCAGGTCAAGAAGCGAAACCTCTTTAGGGCGTCCAAGGTTCCCAAGCGAGGGGGTGTGATAGATTATGCTGGGGCCACGTATGACGCAGACAGTTATCTGGTAACGCCCAATGTGGTATGTTGATCGTTGGATGCAGCAAGCCGCTCGTCACTGACCCTGTCGATCGATTGCACCTCTAAATACAGCCTTTCCAGCTGGATTACCCACAGACCATCATCTCACTGACGGATATTCTCTCGGAGACGTACCAGAAACTGTCCAAAAACCTCGGGACACTTGCGACAGGCTACGGTCCGCCCAGTACGGGCGACGGTAGCCGATTGGGGGCGCAGACACCTGGGCCGTACGGGCAACAAACGAATATGTTCCATGGAGCTGGAACCCCGCAGATGTTTGGACCGTTGGGCGTGATTACTCCGTACCCCGGACTGACTTCGCTGTGGCCCGGAGGAACACCGCCGGCGGACGAGATGAACGAGGGCTCGCTGTGGTCGCTGGCATCGAGTGGGCCGGCCATCAGCGTCGCAGTTCATCAAAGTGCGACGGTATCGCTGGCCAAGGAGCTGGAGAATATCAAGACGATTGATAGCAAGCTCAAGGTACTGTGGGACAATTGCTGGATTTGGGCAGTACTGACGTCTTTCGCCCAATTGCGGGAACCTGTCGATTGGTTATGACGGGCGCTGTTGCACATCATAGAAAGTGATAGCATCACTGCTCAAGGAACTGGATGTGTTTGCGCGGGCAGCAATCAAGGCCGAGCTCGAGTCTCTGGACCCACTGCTCAAGAACCTGGTGCTGCCAGACCAGATGCAGGGGGATGGCGCAGATGAATACTGAGAATGTGTTTATCTCTCAGCAATGAAATTAAACCATAATTATGCCATTGGCGAGTGCTGTCATCGATAGGCGATGGCTATCTGGCCGCACAAGGCCCTAGCAAGCTCCTTGAACCTGACCTCGACCTCCGAACAGACACCCCGAGTCGCTCGCCGCCCTCGTCTGCCCACGAAGAGCAGCAGCGCGTGTCTGAGACTCGAAGGAGTCCAGTCGTCGACCTCGTCAGCGGCGACGACGACGCCAAACGTCTCCAACCTGACCAATCGATTGATCAATCCGCCCGCCAGCCTCGATCCCGCCCGTTACGACCACGACTCTGTTTACGAAATGGCTTCTCTCTTTTACCAACGTATGTACTGCTTTTTCTGGTCTTTTTTCCCGCTTTTTTCTGGGCCGGCTGCTGCGACCCTGCGCGGCGTGAAAACACCTGGGGCTGACCATAAAACACACAGAACCTCATCCCCAAGTGTACTCGGGTGCCGTTGTAGACGGTTTCGGTGCTCCGGACGCCTCCGCCTATGCCACGCTCCCATTACCCGCTGGTGCCGCCGTTCAGACTCACGGCTACATCGTGCCCACGGACGCATATGCGCTCGCCAGCTATCAAGAACAAATCGCTCGCGAACATGCGCTCTACGTTCAGCCCGAGCAACATGTCCACGACTTGCAGGCGGCCAACAATGCCAACATTCAGAATGACGCTGGCGCTGGCGTCTCACTGACCGTAGATGTGCAAAAGAACAACCAAGATCAAATCGCAGCCCTCGTCAACTCCCGTGACCGCGAGGTTACGCTGTTGCAGACGACACTGGCCATGCCCTTGGCCCACTTCAATGCCAAATTCATCTGGCACTGCATTATGAATATTGAGCAGGACTGCGAGTACGTTTGTCTCCTTTTTTTCCCTCTTCTTTTTCCCAAATACTTGAATCCAACCTCGTGCGACACCCTCGACCGTCCCCCGGGAAATGTGCGACATTGTCGCACCTGGGGACCAGGTTGGGCTCCCATGCAACCAATCGCATGGCCACCAGTGGCCCTATGCACAGTTACCCCATGGTTGCCGCCCGTCTCCGACCTCGTCTTAGCCTCGGCTGTTCTCATTCACCGTACTAACCGCCCGCCCAGTCCCGTCTTTGTGGAGAAGATCAAGACTATTCACAAGACATTCTATCTTCCCCCGGCAATCTCGTTCTATGCACTCTGGCTTCACTTTCGCTTCTGGGATCAAATGCCCCAGGTGTACGGATTAACCGAAGCGCTCCTCCCTCCCGCGACCGCTTCTACCTCGCTCTTGTCGAAATCCGTACGAGTGGGTATCATCCTCTACATGATGGCTGCCTCTTTTGCGAACAAGCACTTGGATGACTTTTCCTATCGAAACTCCTCATGGTATGTAGCCCTTTGCCATGAGCAAGCGCCGTTTTACTGACAGGTAATAGGTATGAGGCAGCGCGCATGCCTGCCAAAGACTTTTTGGAGATCGAGTTGTTGGCCCTCAAGGAACTTCAGTGGTCCTTGGAGATTACTTCCAAAGACTGGATGAACTGGCTCCTCTACCTTCGCACGTGCAACATCACGTTGGAGAGGACCCGTCCTACAGAGATGAACTTCCATTTCGTCGTGGCTCGTCTTATTCAAGATGCCATCGTTTCCGGTGGCGGAAAGGACGAACTACTCAAAACAGGTGTGGCGAACGGGCTCGGGAGACTCGAAACCCGGACCCAGACCCTACCAATCGGGAAGAGCACGAACATGTGGCACGACAACTCGCCCACACTCGTCGCTTCATCCCAAGGTGCGAGCCCTCCTTCATTCGAGGGTTTGCATGCACGCATCAACGGCAACATCGCCGACGGTCCCTTTGGTTTACACGCGCTCCAACGCAAGCTCGAGATGATTCAGCGCAATCCCGAATCATCTATGCCGCGCTTTATTCCATGGGACACGTCGCTCGATCCAGTCGTACAAGTGCAGTCTAGGTCCCGTTCGAGCTCCGGATCGGGAGCACCGTTGGGCGGAGACAAAGGTGTGAGTGCCCCGGTCAGGAGCAGCATGCTTCTTGATGGAGCACGATGCAGATATGACGCGGACGGCGTGGTTGGACCGGCCTCTTTTCCTCCCTATGGAGAGTGGGTCGGCCAGCCAGAGTATGGTGGAGGTTACGGAGAGGTCGGCAAGAAGGTGTTTGGGTCGTACAATGCGCCCACTCGACCTGTCACTTGCGGTGATGTGCTCAGTGGTGGAAAGAGCAACCTCTATCCGATCGATTACGATGGAATGACGGGCATGATGGGGCGCCCTTACAAAACTTGCAAAGCCGTGGACAACAACTTGTACGATATGCCGATGATGGGACACCCTGTTCCAAGCGTCATGTGGCCGCTTCACCTCTAGAAAGCCCGCCATCACGCTTCGCCTTTTGCTGTTCGCTCGACCACGGGCTGCAAGCAGCAAATACACGGCGTCTCTCGGTATCCATGCGCAAGATCACCCGGTCCACAACACTTGACTGGGTTGTGACCGGACCCATTCTCTATCCACTTTTCCGACTTTCCAACATGCGGACAATGTATATATGCCCAATCCTCTCGAGACATCGATCAACACTTGGCGGGACCGGTTGCGTGACAAGTCTTGTTCGCAGCTGTGTTTGTCCTCGACCGACGCGCTCTCGTGGCGATTGCAACTCTAGATTGCTCTCGCAGTTCTCTATTCCGCGGACGCAGGCTACTTTGCTGCCCCGCCTGCTCAGCAAGATTCGCCCACTGGTGGACATGCGTTCTCCAAGTGGGCCAGTCGACATCATTCTTTCATTCTCTCGCAGCTACTCAAGATTTTACAATCACGCATCTCGCGACTTAGACAATTCGACTCGATTTCTCTTGGTTACTTGGATTCCCTGACCTTTACCGGTCGTCGACTGGGGTCGAGCGCGGCCGACATATTCATCCCGTTCTCAGCCTCCCTTTATGGGGATCGACAAAGACGATTCTCGACTCCCTCTCGTAATATTTAATACGTCCCCTGGGCGTTGTTTCAAAGGTTGCCGCCGACCGCCCATTTACCATTGAACTTCGACACTCGAACTTCGCTCTTACAGTCGCTTTCTCGTTCGTCTCGACATATATCTCGCTCGATATCACGGCAGAACCCCTCCTAATTCGGCTTCGGCCAAATCCGATGTATTTCTTCCCAAAGCGTCCGTCTCGGTCAGCTTCCGCCCTCGACCTTTCCAGTATCTCGGATTTTTTGCTCGCGTGCGAGCAAATCAACGACTCGCCCACCGTTTTCAGCACGTCACCGTACTGCTGAATACTACCCCCCCCACCTCTCTCATATACACAACCTCGGTCGATTGTGGATCAACTCCAACATTCGACAACAACCCGCTCGCGACTTTGGAAAACAAATGTCGCACACAAGCACGCACGTCCGTGTTTGCTTCAATTGCTTGCTCACTCGATTCTCCTCGCCGTACATACGCCTCCGCTTCCCTTACCCATCCATCTCTCTCACTCTCACTCTTCTCCATCTCCAACACCCCAAATTATGCAATCCCTTTCTTGCTACCTGTCGACCTCCCACGGAGGGCGATGTCAGTGGCAACATTATGACGACTCCGCGTCCGCTATTGGTTGTTTTCCCCGACTTTTACCTCAGCTCACATCCCTAGTCTCCCTTCATGATGCGGCTCCCGTTCTGTAGTGTGCTTAATGACGACGACTTGGATTGCTGGTGTACGATAACAACCGAATCGAATCAGTGGTTCGCTTGATCTGTTCACTTTCTCACTCGTCAGTTGTAAAAGAGACAACTCCATACAAAGAATACAAAAACTGTAAGATCTGCCCATCAGCCACCCGCACCGGGCTAGGAAACACGAATGGACAGCCGGCAAGAAGGGAAAGTACTGACTACAGGAGCATATTGTCAAAAAATGGTATGGTACCGGGTCAAAAAGGGGAGAGACTACCAGAGACATCCAACGGAGCAGATTATGAGGAAAGGAGAGAGAGAGAGAGATACGACAAGTACAACAAGGCCCAAACTGTTTCTTTGTGTGCACAAAAGTCGGGCTCACTTCTTCTTGGAGAATATCTTGTTGAGGAGGCCAAGGACCTTTGGTACGTTAAGTTGGACGTACTCCAGATCGAGCAGGTGCTTGTTGTCCTTTTGCTTTTCGAGCAAGTCGTCAATCTTAAGATCCATTTCGAGAATTGCCTTTTCGCGACCCTTGTAGTGCAAGGCAATGATAAACGTTCCCGGCGTCGGCGACGAAATGTTAAAGTAAATGTTTGGTCGTCTAACGACGTCGTTCGTTAATGTACTGGAAAACAAGTTGGAAAGGAGACTGACCTGTTGTCGGGAACGTTGCTCTCGACGATGATACCCTCCTTTTCGAGCTGTGCATGGGTAAAGCGAAACGGACCCTGTGGAGCCGTCTTGGCGGGCTTTCGCTCTTTGCCGCCATATGCCAACACACCAACGCCACCCGCCGCACCCTTGTCGGCCGCAAAACGTACGTTTTGCAAATAAGCCTTGTACTGCTCAAGCTGGGACCGCAGATAATTGTTATGATCGCAAATCGTCTTGTACACTGCCTCGAGCGACCGACTCTCCTGGAGCACCTTTTCGCGCATGTTGCCCAAGTGGACGAGCTCCGCCGCCACTTCTTCCTGCATGAGCTTGTAATCGTCCTTGCGGTCGACGACCTTGAGCTCTTCGAGCTCACGCAGCATTTCCTTGACTTTAATGCCCCTGCGCACAAGCGTCGCGTCCTTTGATGTGGCGGCTTTTTCGGCAATGGCGGACAGGTTGATGGGACGCTTGTCTGCCGCGTGTGGAATAGACCGTATCAGCTGAACAAAGATCGACTTGGTCTCCATGTAGAGAATCTCGTTCTGTGTGATATTGTTCTCGGCCATGAGCGCGGTCGTAATGTCTTGGATCGGCGTTTCCCAACGGCTGAACAGACTGAGGTCGACCGTGCGGTTTTCCTTTCGTGGGACCTGCCCGGGCGCAGGACCGAGCTCCTCGAGCAGAATGCGCAGGTGGGATTTATCATTAGGCGCCTATTGAAAGTTAGTACGTGGCAGTAACTGTTCAGCCGAGGCGCACGCACTAGAACACCGATGTGCTGGTTGAGCAGTGAATGCGTATTGTAAAGCTCGTTTAGAGTAATGTGAATCATTAGGTCTTTCTTTGATAGAGCCATGTATTGATCCATCTAAAAGTCATTAGTTCAGCGCCTTTGGGTCCGCAGCCGTTTCACGCTAACCTCTAATGTATCGTAGAAATCGCCGACCTCGCAGAGGTTGTTCAGGAACAGGTTGATTCGTGCCTTGTTGTTCTCGACGAATGGATTCAGTGACGCCATGTATGCTTCTTTGGCGTATGAAGGCTTGTTAGCGAGGTTCTGCAGCATCTTGGCTATCTACAGCCTAAATTAGCACGCCAACCCTTCATAACCGTTTCAGACCTACCAGGGTCAGCGTACGGCGAGGGTGCTTTGCAGGCACACCATCGACAAGCATGTACGCTTGCGGCGTGACGATGGCCGGGTTGATGAACCGCAGGAAGAAAAAGCCACCAATGAGGGAACAGATAGCATAGTCAGTGGCGTCGGGATATTTACGCTAAATCCCTTTCGTTTAGCCTACACTGGCGCCAGCAAAGTGGAGATAACGCACCCTGGTCAGACTCCTGATCTGCTTGCAAATCCACCGAATGCCATACGGGACCGTTTCCATACTCTCGATGATCGTGAGAAGAAAGCTGTTCGCAATCTCCATCAGCATCGTTAGTCGGGGGGCTATGATGGCCTGGACGTCCAGATTGGCAGCCGCCGTCTCGGGCGCGACACCGCGAGGTAGGTTTGGGGGCAGGGAGCCCGTCTCTTCTTCAATCTGCGTAACCATTTGCTCGTAAACCTTGAGGGGATTGATCTCCAGGTTCAGATCCCGGTGTTCAATCAAGCTGTTGATCCGATCGGATAAAACGCTCTTGAGATAGCTTTGACCGGGGCCCCGTCGAGTATACGTGGTCATCATCCGGGAGACGGGTGTGTTGGCGCGTAAGAGCGAGCCGAACTCTGTCGCGGTCTCGAACTGGGCTGAAAGGACAGACTGTATTCGGGGGATAGGGTATCAGTCGTCTGCACCATCACGACGGACTCAAAACGCGTACCTGGAACATGGTAAGAAGTAGATGCTCCTCACGGCTTTCGTACTGGTTGCCGTAGAGCGTGAACATGACCGTCTGGAGCAGAGTGTCAATCTCCGCCAGACTGACCAGGCGACATAGGGACGCAATGTGTCGAGGCTCGGATTGCAAGAGGAAGAATAGATTCGAGTATTGCTATTGGCGCATAAGAAAATTACGGCCGGATTCGGCTAGTAGGATCACGGACCGTGAGTTTGCGCTCGGGTGGAAAGACGCCCTCATTGGGCTCTATTTCCTCTAGATGCTGCTGAACTTCGTTTTGCTGTGAATGAAGAGTGTGAGTTGCGTGAGCGAACGAGGTCCTATCTACGCCGGGCGAGTGGCGGGGAAACAAAGTCGTACCTCGTCTAGGGCCATGCGGTTCTGGATGAGGAGAGCGATCCTCGAGTCGAGATAGCGCACGTCACGTTCGAGCACAAAGTTTTTCTTGGACTGAGCGGATATGCGTGCCTTGAGATCGCGCAGGCGTTTCTGTGCTGGAGAAGGCGGCGAGACGGACGTCAACGCGGGCGCTGGGGGAGCCACAGACGAGCACACGTACCTCGTGAAAGATCGTCTTCAATATCCGTGTCATTCTCAGCGGCCATCGAGTAGAGCTGATTGACAGAATACCGGTTCGTGTTTCTATTCGTTAGACGGCGCGAGTCTGTGGGCGACCCGGAATCAATAAAGCTGGACATGATGCGAGAGAGCGTTTCCTAGGCGGTTTTGGATGGAGAATTGGCGAGGACAGTCTATGGCGGTCGGTGGCTTGTTCAGATGGACGGCGTCGGGCGAATTGGAGCTGCTGTTGGCAATTTCCCACTGATTTCTCAAATTTATATTGTTAATGAAAGTTGCTGTCGAGGCTGCGGGCACAAGACGTGGATGGGAACAGCTCCAAAGGGTAACAGACGCTCGCCCGGCTGGCTGCCACTCGACGGCCTTGTAGATCTCTTTACTTCTCATAGATTTAGATAATCAACGTTGCCTCCCGCTCCGTCTCCAAGTCGCCCCATCTCCGGGTCCCAACGGCCGGTCGACCGCGCCCGTTTGCAATATTCGCCCTAATATTCACTAACAGTACAGGAAAGAAATGCGAAGAGCCAGCAGCATACGGCTCAGGCATCGCTCACGATTCTATATGCCACTCGACAATGTGCAAGCAGTGTAATTCAAGGTCGGCTTCATGCTACAATGAACTGGTAGTCTGTACCAGATGCGCAATCTACGTAAAGGAAACAGAAAAGATGATGGGGGGGAAAGCATTACGGACACGACAAGCCAGCGGACGTGATATGCAGTGTGTACGAAGGATGCAAGTTGAGCGAGAGGAGAGAGATGATGAGGACGGAGCGTTCGTGCAAGATACCGTTTGGCGGGAGAAAGACTTGGACTTGATGCAAAATAGCGTCGGGAACGAGAGATGCATAGGGTTGTATGAACGGAGCCGAGATTTGAATTTACTCGCGGCGTTGATTTGCCGTCCACGAGGGGGGGCTGTGATGGATACAGTGTTTCGAGAAGAGTCCTTGAAGCCGTGATGTTTCGGGGAATAATAAAAAGGGAGCTTTGCGTTTCTATACGGTGACACAGGCACGTCAGCATTGGTGCCAAAAGCAAATGAGGCGGAGAAGGGGAGAGGCGTTGCACCAGGGCGGTGCGACGAGGCGACGCAAGAGTCAGACGAGAATGACTGACCTAGATATCATTCTTCGTATCCCTGTTATCGGTATTGGGAAATGGCTACGTTGACGCTGGTGACATTGAGCGAGTAGACAGCCTGCCGGCATGCCTCTCGCTCTGCGGTTGTCCGGTCTGGTTGCCCTCGAACCTCTGCGATGACATACGGTTGAACACCAGCAGTAGTGAGACGTGGCTCCGATATCTGGCAGCCATACGTCTGCGAGCGTGCGTCAAACGTGATCGCCTTGGTGAGGCTACGACCCGTCGCGACGGCAAGGTCTGTGAGTTGTTGGCGGGGATCCATGAAGACTGGGGCAGGTGTAGCGTAGACTGGAACTGATGCCGGTATTATAAACTGAGGCATGAAAAACGTAAAAGGGGGAAGGGGGCAAGTTAGGCTGTGGGCTGACTTGCTTGTCGTGTAAGATCGATCGAGATTATATATTCTGGAGACCGACTCTATTGAGAACAGGATTCTGATCGCCTAGTTGGAATGACTGGGCGTAATATGGGCGAGGCCGTATAGAAGAGCGGTTCGAACTGGCGAGGATGTACTCGTGGCGACGGGTTTGTACACAATTGGGCGCTGTGACTTTAGAGGATACGATTGAGACGAGTGGTGGAGGGGAAAAGGTGGGCGGCTATCGGGGATATAGACCAACTGGGTGTCGTGCGCTCCGTCCGTGGGAGGTACGCAGCGGGTCTAAACAGTCCAATAGAAGAATTGGTAACCACGCTTTTGCCTTGTCGATCGTTTTTGCTGGCTGACCCGTCCGCGCTGGAGTGAATATGTCGTCAAATGGGTCAGATGCGGCGGCCCCAGTCAAATCTCCACCGGCGCTCGCAGTATGACTCCGGAGCGGTCGCAAAGATTAGATGTCGTACAAATCGTGAGAGAGAAAGAAGAGGACTGAATCTGACCGCGGGCCCTCAGCGCGCTGCGGGTTGGGGGGCGACGGGCAAGGGATATGCGTCAGAGAGGCCTGACGGGAGGGCTACGGGACTCGTCTAATGAAAGGAGGACTATATGTCCAACCTCACTGACCCGGAATCACTCTTTGCCCTTCTTCGTAGAAGAGACGACGGGCGTTTAGACGAACGGTTGGGACGAGGTCGGGTTCAGGAATGTTCGGCGGTCGAAGAGTGGCAAATCTACGCCAGGATGGAGTCAGGGTGCGGGTCTACGTGTAGAGCCACGACAAGCGCGGGGTGACTCACGACGAGGCGTTCCCAGCACGAAGTGTTACCACGGACTGCAGCCTCAGTGATAATACCGCAAGTGCACAAACGGAAGCGCAGCGGGTCCCAAGAGCAAGTCATCGACCGGAGCCATCAAGATGACTTGCTTCGATTGCCGGTACAGCTCTGATCGCTAGTTTACCATCTCCAACCAGACCTCCCGGAGATGGCGAGGCAGCTTGGAACCATCTCCGTACGGTCAAAGAAAGTCGAGATGGATGTCCACGATATCCATCAATGTCGAGCGCCCGCACGTTGGTGTTGCGGGGTGCGCGCGGGGCGCAAAAAAGACGCTGAGCTCAGCTGGGCCCGTCGAAGTCAGTCATTCGACTCGGATTGTAAACGGAGTTGCTTTGTCGACCAAGAGACTGCATATCCAATCAAAACAATCGCCACCTCGCATCCGACATAGTAACCCACGGATGGAGGGCTGGTCAAGTTTGCATAGGACCAGCCTCGAAACTTGTCCAGTCTGAGAGGGTGGTCAGATTAGTTTATCATACTCTGAACATGCACAAGTTTGATATATTTGACAGATTCTCAACAATTTCTTCGACTATCTGACGTATGCATAGGGTGGACTGTGCGCCGATGGTTGGAGAACCAGGCGTGTGGCGCACCATGAGAATGGTCGGTAATTTCTGAAAAAGGGGTAATGCGCAACTTTGCTCTCTTTGTATTCTGAAATAGTTTGTATATCCTTTGGTAGCTGTACCCCTAAATACGTATGTCTCCGCATCAGGCGCAGATAAGAAACAACCAATGTCGATTGACATCATAAGAGACCATAAAGTGAGACTGCATGTCCAAGAGACAGAAATAAGCAAGAAATCTTCCAACAGTCCTCCCAATGCAGTACTGGAAGCGATACCGAACTCTGCAGCAAACGGTCTGGGCAAGTCGAAACGAGGTTGACATTGCCCCGCAGTAAAAGGCCAAGCATGGTCAATGATCTGCGTGCCGACAGCACTCGCCGAAGAGAGATCGTTGGCAAGCCATGGGGTGCTCGTGACAAAGCACAACCGACTCGGCATTCCTGCCTTGTCAAACTAATAGGGAATAACCTCAACCTCTCTTTCAACTTGCTCCCGTGGACCGTTTGCGTCATCTGGGCTCGGTTATCACCTCTTATAGCGTGCATGGACCTGCCACACGGCCGGTAGTCTGCACTTCTGCACTTTTTGGTGTCGCTTAGGACAGATGTCCGACGACTGGGACGCCTCAAGCGTGAAGAAGCGATTACCAGTCCTTGGAAACCTTTATATGGCCCACGCTGAGCGCTAGTCTGAAAAAGGGCGCATGCTGTCAAGAGAATGGGCATCGAGGTCACGAATAACATGCTGAATCCATGAGTAGTCGATCGCTGACCACTTTCGTCACTCTGGCCAGGTATGAGACAGGTGAAAGAGACAGCCGCATTACGGTTTAGGGTTCCAGTCAAGCCAGCATTTTTCGCGTTTTGAGTTGCTACCGTGGACAGCGACCGTCCTCGAGGACGAGATCTCGCTCTAGACGCGTGCCAACGGGCGATGCAGCTCCATCGGTATTCGCAAACTGAGCTGGCGCTCCAAGGTGGCAAGGGGATTCTGTGGCCGTATTCCCAGTGGCGAGTGTTGTCCCACTATGTTGGCTTTCCTGCAAGCTGTAGCACCCTAACCAGCACAAAGGTGGGTGGCTTGCAGTGAACGACTGTGTAGCAGAAACTCTGTGGCGTTTCTTGGGTGGTCACGATGGTAGGTCATTGGCTGTACCGAACCTGACACCTCGGAACATCCAGGTCGAGACATCCAACGAGAATGAGCGCATCTTAACACCTGTAAAGCACAAAGGCAGCTGTACGACAATCATTTTCATTTTGATTCGTCCTAGCGTCGGGGTGTCTCGATCGATCCGCAAATGCGTCGTCTCAGGGGGGTCCGTAGTGCTGGCTCCTTGGGCCTGAGCCGATTGCCCTAAACAGGCTACTTCTTGGCGTAAATTTGGCCTGTGTAAGCGCGCGGTTTCCGCCAACGAATCGCAACTTGAATGTCGAGGGATCCACCCACCCGTCTCGAGAGGATTGCAACAGTGGACAACCTATCCGCCTCTTGCAATGGTCTCCTCTTTTGCGTCGTTTTCTCCTTGCATAAGCCATGCCTTTATGGTCCGCAGCCCACTGCTATGCGTGATCGGAGAAGAAGTGGACGCCACAGGATAAATGTCTCAAGGGTGGGCAACCCTTTCATGGCAGTTCCAGAGCGGCAACATGTCTTGTTGGCGTGTTTCTATCCTGGATACCTGCCGCCTCGCGCCCCCCACCTTTGCTCCCACTCCCGCTGCAGCCGGGTTTAGCCGCTATGCAGCCGTCAATGCTGAAGGAGCATGTATTCTTTCGATTTAGTCTGTTCTTCAGTAATCCTGACTGCTGTTGAGACCTGGTTACTCGAAAAAAATGGGCCGGAAAGGAAGGGCAAGCCTCGACGTTATCCACAGGATCAATTACTCCGTTCCTATCAAATTCCCCAAGGACTCCGAAGCTCTACCTCCGTATTAGGGTGAACCGATCAGCTCTTTACGTCGACCAATCACAAGTCTTGTTGGAGCAAGTGTAATATAGAGCGTCTTGGAGGCTATCCTTTGCGTCAAAGTTGATCTAACAGGCTCTCGAGCGTGCTGCGATGTCGAGGCCGAGGTCAAGCTTTACGCCATCCTCTGTACTGGCCCTTATGACATCCTAGATGAGTCTACCGGAGTCTGGACCTCTACTTAGGCTCAGATTGAGGACATGCTACCCGACCAATAATAGGGCACGGAGCGGCTTGGAGCGGTTCACAATTGTTATACGAAGCGCCCATAATTTTAATCACTCTATGAGACATCTAGCGTAAGTCAACGCATCTCATCTCGAGCGAGCATATCAGAAGTCCTGCAACCTCCCTCGGGTAGCTTTCATTGTGGAATACTGCCGGTGCCCTTTGTTACCCTCGGACGGGACGCCCGGCAAGAGTGACTATCAGGACCTCGTTCATGATCTGGGCGAATCCAAGATACTAGGGTTGTCCAGCCCAGAGGCATTCCTCCAGACTGCCCTCTTATGAACTGCGATTGTCAAGTCGGGTCATTGAACAAGGACTGTGTGCCGAAGCCACGGCAATCTTGAAGTACGATTCAAACAAAGTAGCCGGCGAATCCAAGCTTTGTGAGCCCGATTCAGTAGGATAGCTTACGCCAGTAGATATGGATAATATTCACTATAAGATTATGCAGGTCACCCAATTGGATACGAAGGACACTACTTAGATATGTTAGTGTGAGCTCCACAAGGTGTAACGCTGCATGGCTGGAATACGGAGTAAAGAAGGTCGTATTATAGGATCCATAACAAGCCACTGGAGATAGTTCTGTGAGCATCTATAATCTAATGAGCCCATGATAAGACTCACGCTGTAGACGTATTCCGTTCAGGACTACGAGTACCAGAACATGCCAAATAGCTTTGACAATATCCAAAGGCCGATAATACCGCCACAGACGTATAACATTATCCGCCACGTCTTCGTTCCACCAAACGCGCGTGTAAAGTTGCGTGTCGACTGAGACAACGAGCTGGCAAACGCCGTGAACGAATTGGAGGTATCATCTAGCATCAGATTTTGTCTCTCTACATCGTCGTGGATGTCCGTTGTAACCTAGAGTTATCGGAAACGTTGAGCAATCTGCTAGTGTGATCCAAAGAAAGCGGCAATACCCCTCGAAGTGTCCGTATTTTCGAATGCAATTCATCTAATCTTTGGTCGTTCTGTGACTCGTATGTATAGGCGTCCCGCTGTGACGAGGCCATTGTCGTGGTCAGGGCCCAAGTTTCTCTCAGCCTCGACCGCTTTGGTGATTTACGGCTGCGTTGAGCTACAGTGCAAAATGAGCTCATTAAGAACGATTGGAATCGCTCGGTCTTCTCTCTGGTACTCCCTTTAGCTTTTCGTGTCATTTGGGTGGCTTACGGGTGGACAGTTCCCGAGCCGCATCGCTCAAAGCGGCCAAGGTAAGTTTCTTGCTGCTCATTCTCATCTTGTATACTCAAATATGCATTTATAGATATCTAGGATGCCCCATCTTTCCCCTGTGATTCTGCCGTCTGGCAAGTCGATGTCATCACAGCGTTTAGGAGGCGCACATCTAGGATCTACCAGCCGCTCTATATTCACGAGCAGTCGGATCCACACGGCGACTGCAGTCAAACGCGAGCCAGCGCCCACACCGGCAACCTCTGAGGAGACCGTCGAATTACCAGAGACAAATGCGGACGATACACGAGTGGCAGTTGGGTGGCCCGATGGGATTTGGTCTCGATAGTCAGTTTTAATCAACCAACTACATGGATTCGGTCCACTGACTTCTCGTCCAGCCACCATTTCTGGCTCCGCGACCATTGTCGATGCCCAGAATGTTTTCATCCCGTCACCAAACAGCGTATGGTCGACACATTTGCAGTAGGCTCCTTCTGCTGAGGAGATGAGGAATGAGCTGAATACGGGCAGCTTCCACCAGATCTTCATCCCAAGTCGGTGGTCAGCACGCCTCATGGGCTCGAGGTCACATGCAAGTTGCCTTGTTTGAACCATTTAGTTTGTTAATTTCTGCTTAGGGCCGACCTCTCCCCCGCATGTGTCTCTCTACTCATGGCAATGGTTGCGGCGAAACTCCTATGATCCACAGACAGAGCCGATATCGATTGCAGGAACACATCCACCACCTGAGCCTGAAGAGTAAGTCTGGGTCGCCTTCTGTAGCAGTGCCTCACCTGTTTAGAAAAATCCTGTGGGGAGCTGGTATCGTTCGCGACCCACCCAGTGTGGCCTATGAGGAAGTTATGCATGACGAGTTTGCGGTCTACAAATGGCTCGAAAAGATTGTATGTGGCTCTACTTTATTCTCGACACGACGTTTACCATGCATAGGACCGCTTCGGATTCTGTTTCATCTCCGGAGTTCCAGCCACGACTGAAGATACTGAGAAGTTGGTGCAGAGAATAGCTTTCATCCGCCATACCCAATGTAAGCAAGCGTCTACTTGCGCACCTCCGCTGATGGGTGTCGACAGATGGCGGATTTTGGGATTTCACGGCAGACCTTGCACACGGAGATACGGCGTACACAAACATTGCACTTCCAGCACACACCGATAACAGCTACTTCACCGACCCATGCGGTCTACAAATGTTCCACTTATTGATGCACGAGCAAGGAACAGGTGGTCAGACACTCTTGGTAGACGGCTTCTACGCGGCTTCAATACTCAAAGAACTTCATCCAGATTCTTATGAGCTACTGTCCAACGTCCTCATTCCAACGCACTCTGCCGGTGATGAGGACACCTTGTACAGAGCTCGTCCTTTGTCTGGCAACCCAATTCTTCGGCATGACCCTCTCAACAAGAATACACTTATTCAGGTTCGGTATGCCAACGATCATCGAAGCGCGATGCGCAATGTAGAACCCGGCATGATGATGGACTGGTGCGCTTTTCATCTAATATATACACTATTTCCTTGACTTGCATGCAGGTACAATGCACTGCGTCACTGGAATAGCTGTTTGACGAGCTCCGACTCGGAGTATTGGGTCCAACTTTCACCAGGAACTGTCGTCGGTGCGTGCGCGCTTCGCTTCCTTTACGCTCTCTGAACCACCTCAGTGGTTGACAACCATCGTGTCCTTCACGGCCGCTCTGCTTTCACGGGCAAGCGCCGCATGTGTGGCGCATACGTGGGTTTAGACGACTGGCGAGCAAGATTAGATGCACTTCGTGGTAAATATTTAGGAGGAAACCGTGATACTACAGGAAGGAGTGTGTGGGACCCAGCGTTCTAAACTTTATCAGTGGATCAAAGCACAGATTTCGAAGAGTGCTCACCCAATGTAATTTAGCTTCAAAGACAATCTACACTGCTTGATTTTGCAGCTTTTGTACGACAAACCCCTCAAGCCCGTTACACGTCCATAGTTCTTGAACACTCTGCCCGACCGGACGAACGGTGTAGAATCGCTGCTCCCCTTCCTCTGTCGTGACTCGTATCGACCCATTGGCCATTTCGACCTCAATATTCCATCCTGGATTGATGGTGAGCTCGCCTTGGAGGCCGCCTTGACCGCGCTTGTGTTCTGGCGTATATTTTTGCGTGAGATCCTGGACGAGTTCGGGACACTCCATGCAGATGAGTGCATTGTTGATGGCGTTTCTCTTGAAGATGTCTCCAAATGATCCAGCGATGACGAGCGGCACTCCTGCAGATTTCAGAGCAGTAGCAGCCTGCTCACGGGACGATCCGGTACCAAAATTGTATCCAGATACCAATATCGCGCCTCTCTTGACTGTATCACTTGCGGGTGATAGTCCTTGGGATCGGACGAGCCCGGCGACGGTGGAGGCGAATGATGGATCATAGTTTTCCATGACCACTTTAGCCTGCTGCTCGAGCGTCATGTCATCCTGGTATGTGTACTTCCCAGGATAGATGCCATCCGTGTTTAAGTTATCTTGGGGCGCAAAGAGGAGCGGTCCACCGAATGTCGTGGGGAACCCAGGATACATTTTCACAGCTTCTGAGCCACTGGTCGAAGACTTGCTGGAAGCGATGGTGTCGATGGAGTGTAATGGAACCTTGGACGTGAAATGTGTCTCATCCTTGAGGTGATCGGGTCCACAGATGTATCCTTTGACGGCACTCGCAGCGACGACAGCGGGGCTGGCAAGGTACGCGAGAGCCTTGGGGCTTCCCATGCGGCCCTTGTAGTTTCGGTTCGTCGCGCTGATTCCGACTTCACCTTCTTCCAGGAGCCCCGTTCCCAATCCAATGCAAGGTCCGCATCCTGCAGGCAATACTCGTGCTCCAGCACCAACAAGTGTTCCCCAGTCTCCTGATGCTTCCGCTTCCTGTTGGACGACAGAGCTGGCCGCGGCGACGTAGAATTCGACGCCAGGAGCAATCTTGTGACCGCGCACTACTTCTGCTGCTGCCGCAATATCTGAAGCACGCGAATTTGTGCAACTGACTAGGTATGCCTTATTGATGGCAATCTTCTGGGCGGTTAACTCTGGGAGAGGGGTGGATACCTTGACGCTATTGGGACCCGAAACGTGGGGGACCAGTGTGCCGAGGTCGAGTTTGAGATGGGAGGAATACTCGGCGTCTGGGTCAGAATTGATGATGGATGAACGTAGCTTGTCTAGCCGCTGACGATTGAGTCGGGGATGATCTGGAGGGGGAGGTGCAGAGCCAATTCGCGAAGACGAGAACGTTCGCAGCTCTTGCTTCTTCAACATGGCATCATACCACTCAAGGAGTTTGGCATCCACTGGGAATACACCCGCCAACGCTCCCCATTCTGTCGTCATGTTGGCTATAGTTAGCCGATTGTCGATGTCCAATGCTGATATTCCGTCTCCAGTGAACTCGATAGCCGCGTTGAGGACTTGGTCCTTGTTGAACGTCCCGCATAGGGCAACGATCACGTCCTTGCCTGTTACGCCAGGCGAAAGCTTTCCGGAAAGTTCCACCTTGACCATACGTGGGACTTGCCACCAGGTTTGTCCTGTAGCCCATATGGCGGCTGCATCCGTTCGGACGATCGGTGTCCCGACGCAGCCCACCCCTCCGTACATGTTACTGTGGCTGTCAGACGCGACAGTGAGTGTTTGAGGAAATGCATATCCCTCTTCAACAAGGATTTGGTGGCCAATGCCTCTACCGGCCGGATAAAAGTCGACGTCCTGGCTTCGGGCGAAAGCCTCTATGGTCGCGTATTTCTTCAAATTCTTGTCCGACTTGTTCTGTACGTCGTGGTCGAGTGTAAACACGGTTTGACGAGGGTTAAAGATGCGAGAAGCGCCTATAGCCTTAAATCTGCAACGCCAGAATCAGGATTGGCTGCAACGAATGGGTCAGCGAGCACGTACTTGGAGATGACGGGACCAGTGTTATCGTGACTCATGACATGTTCTGGACGAATCATGACATAGTCTCCTGCATGAACAGTCTGTCCTGGAGCGAGGCCGAGTGCATACTTCTGTACGACTTTTTCGATGAATGTCTGTGGTCGTCTTGCGTCTGTTATCGTTGCTAGAGATCTTGTGCAGATAAATCTGAGTTGTATTCCCGTCTGGGGGCGTAGACAGCGCATCGGGGGCTTGTCGTGGTCGGCTCACAGAGCGCGATGTTTGGCCACCCGAGTGTTCAACTCGAACTTGGACCTGACGTCGCTCATGGCTTCAACGCGTGCGTGAATCCAATTATATGGCCATCACAGGAAACTCAAGTCTGAGTTGATTTAGAGACGATCAAGAAGCCAAAGGGCAAGATTGTAAGCAACTTTGCTGTGAACCAAGGGCGCCTAATGACATAGAGGTGTTGATATATCTAGGTTCCACCGAGGAGGGTAAATACCTATCATTGCATTTTGCTGAACTAGCTTGCTAATACCCTACCGTTTGCCACACAGCTCGCTCCAGACAACGCAACGCAGGACAACTGGGGTCGTTTATCCGCTGCAATCAAGGAGATCCAGAACGAGAGAGCGTATAAGCTCTCGTTTGAAGAAAACTATCGATATGCATACAACCTCGTACTCTACCGGCAGGGTGACTTTCTGTACAAGAATGTGAAGCTCATGATATCTGAGCATCTGGCTGCCATGACAGAGGAGTATATTATTCCAGCGTTCGCAACCGGCAATCGCGATGACCCCGTGACGCGTGGTCAGGAAGGCGAGGTGCTCATGAAGGGCGTACGAAAGGTTTGGGACAAGCATAACGACAGTATGAAGCGACTTTCGGACATTCTAAAATACATGGCGAGTCAGATAATGACATTTCGAAATCTCCATGCTCATCTCAATTGACAGGACAGAGTACATACCGTCAACGCAGAGGTCCCAACTATCACCGTCGCTGGATTGGCAATCTTCAGAGACGAGGTCTTGCACCGATCATCTGCACCCGTACAGGACCAAATCGTCACCGCAGTCCTCGGTCAGATCCAAGTCGAAAGAGACGGCTACAGCATCAACCAAACAGCCGTAAAAGAATGTGTCGAAATCTATCTCGAATTGGCCGACAATTCAGGCAAGAAGATTTACCATACGGATATTGAGCCGGTGTTTCTAGCAGAGACACGAAAGTTCTACGTCCAGGAGGCGCAAAGGCTGCTTGACAGCTGTGATGCTGCAGAATATTTGCGTCGAGTGAGTCCTTCCTGCTGCCTTGACAATCAGTTGACCATACTATGTTTTGCAGGTCGAACAACGCCTAGACAGCGAAGAAGCTAGGGCGTACCATTACCTTTCTTCCTCGACCTCAGGTGCAGTACGGACGATTGTAGAAGGAAATCTCCTTGGTCCTCTACTAGAGACTATCATTACCATGGAGTCGGGTCTGAACGCCATGATTGACGGGAACAGAATGGAGGATCTCAACCGGATGTACAAGCTATTCTTCAATGTTTCATCTGCCACGGGTGGACCGCAGGCGTTACGGAAGGCGCTCAGAGAGTCTATACTTTCCAGGGGAAAGGCCATCAACGAAGCCAATGACCCCACCAACGTTACGGCTGCAGTTGCTGGTTCAGATGACGAAAAAGAGGCCAAAGGGAAACAAAAGGCGGGCGGAGCTACCCAAGTCCTCAACGTCGCACTCAAATGGGTCCAAGACACGTTGGATCTCAAGGACAAGTTTGACCTCATCCTGAAACAAGCCTTTGAGGGGGATAGGGTATGTGAGGCGACAATCACAGAGGTGAGAAACTAGAGACGTGAGTTGCATCGACTCATTCAGTGAAAGGCGTTTGGCTCGTTTGTCAACCAAAACCCACGGGCTCCCGAATTCATATCTCTTTTCATTGATGAGAACCTCAAAAAGGGTCTCAAAGGGGCACGTTTTGTGGTTCCATTTCTGGACTATGCTAACTTGATTTAGAAAACCGACGACGAGGTTGACGCCGTCCTTGACAAGACTATCACCGTCTTCCGTTTCATCACCGAGAAAGACGCCTTTGAAAGATACTACAAGGCACATTTGGCAAAACGGCTATTGCTCAACCGTTCGGTGTCAGACGACGCGGAGCGCGGGATGCTAGCAAAACTAAAGGTAGAATGCGGTTATCAGTTTACCAAGAAGATGGAAGGCATGTTCAACGATATGAAACTTTCCTCGGACATTACCTCTGCATACAAGGACTATCTTTCTGGGACAACGGTCAGTTTCAATTGGCGTAGACTAGTTCGTCTTACACAGCTATAGGCCCCTTCTGTTGAGATCAATGTGATTGTCATGACATCCACCTTTTGGCCTACAACAAACTCTGGGGCAACATGTACATTCCCGCCGGTCCTACTCCAAGCATGTGGATCGTTTGAGCGATTCTATAATTCTCGCCATTCCGGTCGGCGGCTGACTTGGCAGCCAGCGCTTGGCAACGCCGACGTGAGGGTCGCTTTCAATGCAAGAAAGCATGACCTCAATGTGGCGACGTTTGCGTTGGTCATCCTTCTTCTGTTTGAAGAGCTTGATGACGACGACTTTTTGACCTATGAGGCGAGTTCTTCACAATAACTGTGTAGGTCGGCTAACGTCGCCCTAGGACATTAAGAATTCCTCTGGAATCCCTGATACCGACCTCCAGAGGCACCTTCAGTCGCTTGCTTGCGCCAAGTACAAGATATTGAAAAAGCATCCACCCTCGAGGGAGGTCTCGACCTCGGACTCGTTTTCCTTCAACAGCGGCTTCACGTCACCACTACTGAGGATCAAAATCGCGACCCTGGCATCCAAAGTTGAGTCGAACGAGGAACGAAAGGAGACGCAGGATCGCATCGAAGAAGAGCGGAAGCAACAGGCAGACGTGAGCAACTGACCTGCTTGGTTTGAATCCGACTCATGCAGTGACAGGCATGTATCGTGCGAGTAATGAAGGACCGCAAGGTACTGGGACACAACGAACTTGTCAACGAGGTCACAAGGCAGCTGGCCCGACGGTTCAATCCCAACCCTGCAATGATCAAGCGACGAATAGAGGCACTGATAGAGGTCTGTGCTCGGTTCAGCCACGAGGAACGGTGCACTTACGGCGTTTTCACAGCGAGAGTACCTGGAGCGGCGAGAGGACCGAAAGTCTTACAATTACTTGGTGCGCCTTTTTCTCCCATGAGCCAGGGCGTGTTTCTGAATCCGATCAACAGGCTTAAGCGTACTGTATTTACAACTTATTGATCTAATGCGTCGGGGGACCTTGGGAAAGCTCAGCCTTCAGGAGAGGCGCCGCGGAAGAGTGACCGACTGGAGAAACTATCAATGCTGAAATGAGCCGCTCCAATCGCTAAGCATGGGTGTTTCTCCGGGTGGAAACATGAGCGCTGCGTCCCGCGGCGGGCCGTGTTATTGAGGAATGTCAACAACTTTCGGGAGAATCGACTACTCGGCGTGGAGAAATTGAGCTCTCCTGTTCGTCGCTGGGTTCGGGTGATAGCTCGGAGGGTGTCTGTCTGTGCTGTATGCCGGTCGTTGCCAGACGGAGATGGAACAGTGGGGCCGGAGGTCGCGTAAAAATGCTTGCAATTTGCTGTCGCTTGACGTGCCGCTGTCGTATTGTCGAGGCATTGGACCAGGGCTTCGGACTGATGGCACCTTGTGGACGGGGGGCAGTGGCGGCCTTGAATGAATTCCATGTGAAGTTGATGAGTGTTACAACAACAAGCCAGCAACTATTGGACCTTTTGCATCTTGAACCTCTCCATTGCCGCCCGCTGCTGGGGCTTGTCCGCTCCCGTTGACCCGCCCAGCCTACTTGGGATTCATAGCAGCGTCTGCGAGTTAGCTTGCTCAGCTTGTTCAGCAGATTTCTCTCGCCAGCCTATCCCTCAAGGGCCCCAGGAGACGTCGGAGCCTGATATTTCAGTTCAGATAGTCTTTGCTGATTATCTTGTTCTATTCGTCCCGCCCACTTTGACGCCCTTTTCGCGTCGTCCACTCCATTTCTCGACCCCCCGCGCAGCGGAAACCAGTCGCCCACCAGGCACCCACACACTCTTTTTGGTCCTACTCGATTTGGGATCCGTTTTATTCCTCTCATATAACTCTTTGGTGTCGCTATTTCGGTTTCTGCCACTTTGGAGGACCAAAAAGGAGACTGCGCATCATTTATCACCTCGTGCGAAGCGCCGTAGCCCCGAATGAACACCCATCTGGTACGTCACATTTCCTTGTAATTATTTTTACACTCTGCAGCACTTTGTTCTGTCCCATTTCTTTTCAGGGACACACTAAGTGTTCGCATACGGGTCATGCCCGATAATTCGCAGGCTGCGGGGTGCTGCTCCCATTGTTATTCCGTGTTGCATCCTTGAGCTATTCTTAACATTTCACACGTATCTGAGAATGCCAATACTGATCCATATTTGCAGCCACGTGCCGTTAGGCGAAACTCTGGTCCAGGCAATGTACGGACTATCTTTCTTCTGTTTATCCTTGAAACTGATACATGTTCCAGGGGCTTGAGCACCGTGGGTTTGACGACTGGTGGGACGCATGGGCTAGCATGTTGAGTGCGCAGTTCAACCAGGTAAACCATAGTAATAACGGCAACAATGGAAATAATGGCAACAACGGCAACAACGGAAACAACGGAAACAACGGAAACAATGGAAACAATGGAAACAACGGAAATAACGGAAACACACCACCTCGCACAACTTCGACGGTACAGTTTCCTACACCAAATTTCCCAGTTTACACCCCACCACCTGTACCAAGCCAGACCAACGTCCCAACACCTACCTCGACGACTGTCCGTCCTCAAAATGGGAATAATAGTGCAACAACCCAATCGGGCGCGACTGGGAATCAGAGCGAGACGGGTACTGCGGTGCATTCCACTTCGACCTGGCCGTTGACGAGTCCAAACAATGTTGGCGAAAATCCTCAGGGAAATGTCTCGAGCTTTCCTCCTACTCTGACGGACTCCAATGGCAATCCCATCCCTTCATACTCTGGTTCTGACCCAAGGGGGACGCTTCCTGTCGCCCCTTCCGGGAATACTGCATCACTCAACCAAGCACCGTACGTCTCTAGCGTCCTCGGTATTAGGAATAAGCTACTCATGTGTTATAGGTCAAACAAGGGATTGATTGCTGGTCTCGTAATTGGTCTCATCCTCCTCGTGGCGCTTTGTGCCCTCTCGGCGTTCTTCCTCATGAGACGGAGACGAAAGCAAAGGCGTGAGAGGGAGCAAACCCAGACATCGGATGACGCCTGGCTCGTCAAACGCGAGGAGAAGGGGCTGCCCGAGGTCTATGAAGATGAAAAGCGCAACTCTACCCCAATCAGCGCCTCCGAACCTGCAAGTGTCAGTATCCTGGCTCGAGATTCCAGGGTGTCTCGCTTCTCCAGGGGCTCCAAGACGTCTCGCGGCTCTCGACCCCTCTCCGACCAATCTTACGGTACCGTAATGCGGGCCCGCACGCCCGGCGGAAGCTCAGCTATCCCTGTTCCATATAACCCCTCCGAAATTAGCGACGACGTCTCGGCACACTTTACGTACTTCCCACAAGACGACTCTATAGGCGTGCCGGTGCCTTACCCCCTCGCTCTTCATGTTCCCGCTCGGGTTGCCCAAGCCATGGCCGAGAGGGATGAGAGATGGAAGGCTTACGAACAGCAACGAGGCGGCCGCAGACGGAGCAGTCTACTCAGCTCGGATACGGACGCGACACGACCCGACCTTCCGAGGCGTAGCACACTACAATCTATTCCAGACACCATCGACACGGATGCATCGTCGATTATGGAACGGGATACCAACGGCGTTTATATGTCACGACAAGGGAAGACACAGTCGTCGATATTGGATTCCAGTCGGTCAAATATGGTCAATGACGGACATGATCTGAGCCCCAACGACGTTGCTGCCAGTTCCGGAATGCCAGCTACTGCCATCCGACGGCTGCCACCTCTTCCAGTTCCTACAACGCCACCTGTCATTGAGCAAGATGAGAATCCATTCGCTACCGAACGGGATGTGCGCAGATTCTCTGCTTCTGCAGCTGGCCCATCGAGATTTATTGAACGGGAGTTGTCAGACGACGGCACCGAGTCCGAGACGGTGATCCAACATGCTAATGCGGAGGTTACCACCGGAACCGTTACTGGTTTCGCCCGCGCATCGCCAGCGGCACTCGTATCGCGTCCAGCCTCCACTGCATCCATTACCGGACAGGTCTACCCTGCGCCAGCTGCTTCTACCTCGACTGCACCGGGAACCATGGGTTTCGCGCCGCGCAACTATGCCAATCCTTTTACAGATGACTATATGGCACAACCACGTTCATCGGTAGTATCTCGAACTGTTCGAGACTCTACTGTCTCGGATGCCACTGGACGCTCGTCTGCGTACTCTGCATATGCGGGAGTGTTCGATCACGAGACAGTTGATGGACATGGTCAAACCGGAAACGTCACCTACAAATTCCCACTGCCACCCAAACCCAAGCCTTCGTGACACAGCCCTACGTTGATGTCTGGGGGTCATCTATCGTCTTGACACCATCCCCATCCCTACCTCTGTGAACGTCTTACACGCATCACAGATTTCACTCTCTTACGCCCCATACACTTTGCATCGTTCCGTTTAACTGGACTCCAGTTTGACTTTACTGTTGTGCAACAATATCCTCTGGATCGTGCGCGCACTCATACCGCCGCACACTTTATAGCGTATCCTTCTTAGCCTTCGGGCAAGTTCTACGCCTCCCCTCTTTCTCTACTCCAACGTCCCTCTCCCGCCCGTAATCTATACTCATTTGCTGTCTGTTCGTAGCAGTTGCATCTATACACGTCAAAGTGATTGAACTGGCTTGATGACTCAGGCGTGCCGACATGAATGGGAAGTCGGTGCTTTGTCTCACAAATCTGACACGATACCTGGCTGTTTACGGAACGAGTTGCAATTTCTTTTCCCTTGAAGAGGTTATGCATCCTTGCTCAAAAGCGCAATAAGCTGCAATTCGTGATGAAAAGCCAACATTGACCGGCTTACCAGCAAGGGAACATAGGATGATTAGAAACCTGTTGATTAATATGCTTCTGAATCGTCAAGGTGTACATTACCACTTCCTAGGAGAGCCAGCCGTAGTCCCAAGTAACTCGAGCAACCATTCATCCACATCTCAGCCGATGTGGAGGGGCAAATGCTGATGGAGCGACTCTAGGGAAGATACTTCAGCCAAATATGCTTGATTTACGGACGAAAGGGCCTGATGACCAGGGACCACCTTCGATGATAACGCGACTGTATACCGCTCTACGAAGATAGGCTGATAGAATTGGATCTCGCTCAAGATCCTTCACGTATTGCATATCATAAGGGGAATATATTGATAGTGAGAGCAATCTAGCCAGGGCCCGCTTTTCTAATGTTTGCCCATGAGAGGCCACATTGAAAGTGGCTAAAATCGAGTTTGGTTGCACGCAATGGACTCGTCGTTGGTATCGTTAGAAGATGCGAGTATTGGAGTCCATGACGATTCTCTGGTGGTACCCAAAAGAGATAACTACCAGATGATTGCACCCAGCCATCCTGCAAAAGTGAACACCGTTTATATCCAGGTACTGTGAGTTTCAGAGGAATGCCCGGCATTTCACTGCTTAAGCGCGAATTTGAGGACATCCCACCATCATCTCTGGAGGTATTTGTGTGTGAATCTAATGTTATCAGATCACCTCACATGAACTAAAGCCATTCTCACTGGTCTGTGCATTCCATAGTTGATCGTCCTGTCTGATGAGCCAGAGACAATTGCTGAGCCGTCTGACGAAAATGCGACTGTTGCGACATAGTGTTCATGACCTCGGAACGGCTTTCCCAATGGCTGACTACTCCCCGTATCCCATAATCGAATTGTCATGTCGGTCGAGCCAGAGATGATTCTGGAGCCGTCTAGCGAGAATGCAACCGTCTCGGCAGACAATTCATGACCTTGTAGTGGCTTTCCCACAACTGGCCGGACCCCATGTCCCACAGTCGAATCGTCTTGTCATCCGAGCCAGAGACAATTTTGGAGCCATCTGGCGAGAACGCAACAGTGGTGACCTCCCTTTCATGGCCTCGAAGTGGCTCCCCAAATGGCTGACGAGTCGTCGCATCCCACAATCGAACTGTCTTGTCCCACGAGCCAGTGACAATTTTGGAGCTATCAGGTGAGAAAGCAACTGCCGTTACATAGTGTTCATGACCTTGAAAAGGTTCTCCCAACGGCCAACCAGTCGCCGCATCCCACAGTCGGATCGACTTGTCCCACGAGCCAGAGACGATTCTGGAGCTATCTGGCGAGAATGCGACCGCCGTGACATAGCGGAGGTAACCTCGGAGTGGCTCTCCAAATGGCTGTCCAGTTCTCGCATCCCATATTCGTATTGTCTTGTCCCATGAGCCAGAGACGATTCTGGAGCCGTCTGGCGAGAATCCAACAGCCATGACATAGTGTTCATGGCCTCGAAGTGGCTCCCCCAATGGCTGACCAGTCGCCGCATCCCACAATCGAATCGTTTTGTCCCATGAGCAAGAGACAATCATGGAGCTATCTGGTGAGAATTCGACTGCCATGACATAGTCTTCATGGCCTTGGGGTGGCTCTCCTAACGGCTCACAAGTCTCTGCATCCCACAATCGAATCGTTTTGTCCCACGAGCAAGAGACTATACTGGAACCGTTCGGCGAGAATGCGACCGCATCGACAGACCCTTCATGACCTCGAAGTGGCTCTCCAATGGCTGACCAGCCCTCGCATCCCACAATCGAATTGTCTTGTCCCACGAACCAGAGACAATTCTGGAGCCTTCTGGCGAGAATGCGACTGAATCTACAGACCCTTCATGACCTCGAAGTGGCTCTCCCAACAGCTGACCAATGCGTGCATCCCATAGTCGAATTGTCATGTCGGCCGAACCAGAGACGGTTCTGGAGCCGTCTGGCGAGAATGAAACCGCTGTGACTTCGTCTTCATGACCTCTGAGTGGCTCTCCCAACAGCTGAGACGTTCCTACGTCCCATAGTCGAATCGTGTTGTCTTCCGATCCGGAGACAAATTTGGAGCCGTCTGGAGAAAATGCAACCGCCTTGACTTCATCTTCATGACCTCGAAGTGGCTCTTCTAACGGTTGTCCAGTATCCCCGGCATCGACTTTCGCTTTGCTGAATGCTTTAAAGAAGCTCAGTTCGTTGCGACTGCGCTTCTCCTGCAGATTGAGGACCATATTATGCGTATAATCGAGTAATCTACATTACTCAGCTTAATGAAACTCTTCAGATACTTCACTTACTCTACATAATTGATAAGCGGTTGACGGACCGCCTGGTCGATGGTCCTGTCCGTTAGGCGACGGGGAGGCCTTTTCGCAGATCCTTGAGATGAATGACAAAAACGAGACGGAATTCGGTGATAGTTTGGATGCAAAGGAGATCCTCGCCGAGAAGGAAAGGGCCTTGTAAGTGGCGTATTCATGGTAGAAGAGTCTACATGATTATCATATTTTATAGAGAAAGAAAGATATGCGGACTTCTTACGCGCTTATGCGGCAACTCGATGCCGCAGCCAGCAGTGTAGGCATGGTTGGGTTTGCCGGAAAGGTCAAAGCAATGAGCTACTATCGCACAGAGTGGAGTGAGGTCCCTATGTTGCCCTTGGCGCCCGAAGAATTCTCCAACGAGATCCCATCAAGGTCCGAACAAGCTAGAGAGGAGTACAAGAAGGCAGAGACATGGTTGTAGCGCTACCTTGGTGCCAATAGTGTCTAATTTCACTTCTATTCGACCACCCTTTCAATTCAGCTTGAGCTCCAAATGCCCCACAAGTCTGATGGGTTTTAATGTTCTAGCCAAGTCCATCGATAAGCGCCATTTACTCCGCTTTAGTGTGCTGTCAAAGGGTTCGGGAGCTGTACATGGCGTCGTGGTTCTTGTCCAAGCGTGTTCGGCAACAGTTGCCGCTGACCCCATCCGCTCGCCATTGCCTTCCTCGCCAGTTTGCCACAGGATTAACACGGATTGAACATTTTATCACACATCTACACTCAACGTTCACTTTCTTTGCTCCCGGACTTGTTCCAGCCTTCTTCTCCTCGTCGTCATAGCCATCAGCACCCGTAATTAACACGCTATCATGGCAGTAAGTATCCTTGGAGCAGTAAAATACGAGACATGTGAGCTTAGTCGTTGATTCTAGCACCGGGATGATATGCTGGACCGCGCAAAGGACATGGTCGACCACGACGTCTTTCTGCAACTGCTCGAGCTTGACGAGGAAGGCGAAACCGAATTCCTCGAGGGAATTGCAACAGACTGGTTCGAAGACGCACAAAAGACGCTCACGGGAATGGACAAGCTGCTGTAAGTTGTTGACTATTGGTACATAATGGGAAGATGCTGATTGAGATCCATCGACTCGCAATCGGCTGCCCTTTCGTCGCTTCCGACTCGATAGAAAGGACAAGAATCTCGACGAATTCTCCAAAAGGGCTCACTACCTCAAGGGCTCGTCTGCTCAGCTTGGCATGAAGAAGCTCTCTGCTACATGCGCAAAGCTGCAACACTATGGCGAGCAATGGGATGACGAAAAGGACGAGTCACGCAAGACGAACCTTTCAGAAGACGAGGCGCTCGCACTCATCCCACCCATGTTCAAACGAGCAAAGAAGGAGTATAAAGCGGCAGAGGCATGGTTGAGGCGTTACCTTAAACCTCATGACGACGGTAGTGGCAGTCCGAGCAATAGCGATGGAGAGGCAGAGGAACCAAAGACCCCAAAGGCTGACCTTCCAGAGGTAGAACCCCTTGCGAAGAAGGGCGATGCTCCTTCGCCGACGAAATCAACTGAGAAGAAGTGAAGAGTCGTTTGGGATCCCTACCCGCATTCATATAACCCATGTTTGCCCCGCTCATATGTAGTTCTACCCAGCATTTATTTCTTAGCCAATGTCTCGCAAATGGATCTAACGTACGCAATCTAGCAATCTTTGACACGTCCATATCGGCAATCTTGAGAGTCTACAGTATACACATAGCCATTACGCCTTGCCAGTCTTCTCCATCTTTCTCTGAATCCTCCGCAACATTTCACGATTGTTCCTCCGAACCGCAAGAGTATCATCACCAGGTGTTCTCGAGAGGAGACTGGCCGACATTCGTGGTGCGACTGTGTACGTCGTATTGCTCCGCTCTGGAACCGCGACGGCATGCTTGCGTACTCTTCCCGCTTCAGCGACGCGTGCTTCTTTGAGAATCGTCGCGAGTTTCGGCATCTGCGTCCGGACGCTCTCCATGTCTTCTGCGCTCGCCATTGGCACAACTTTGTCAAAGTACGAGGCGGATCGTTTGAGGATGGGTCGTGTCCATGCATCGACGAGTTCTGAGGCGATACGTTGAATCGGTTCTAGGACTCGTGTGCATTTGGTGTAGAATAATACGATCCGGCCGAGCCCGGATTCTCGTAGAGTTTCGGTGTCGATAGTCATCTAGTGACGAGATAAACCGAGTTGGTCCAAGCGTATCAGAGAGCGTACCTTTCGGAAGTGTTCAAAGAGTTCCTTTTGGATGTTCAACGCTGGCAAAGATTTGTTGTCCAATGGCTCCAACCAAACTTTGCAAGCACCGAGCAAGTCTTGATCCATGATTGCAGTCGCATACTGTCTCCTGTGAAGATGTGAGATGAGTAGGAGCCTCGCGATACGAGACTGACTTTTGCAGGGTGTCCATCACGCGAGGCAGCATGCGCAGTTTGGCAACAGCAGGAATCCCTTCTTTGTGAGCCTCTTTATCTTCATTCGCTGCAACCATCATCTCGACGCGGAGAGCAGCCACATAGTCATCTGCAATCTTGTCCAGCTATCGAAGACTGAGCCAAGGACCATGTCAAACCAAACGAGCACGCTCACGTCGTCTTCGTTCGCTTTCGTTCTCTTCTTCGCTCGCTTTGCGGGTTTCAATACGTCTTTGATCTTCTTGTCAAGTTCCAATTTGCGCACTATACGAGCAAAACTCCATCAGCGCCTCGTCATAGCAGAGACAAAGAGACTGTAAACTTGCATTGTTCCTCTGTCAGCTCAATTTCAGGCTTTGGACTCGCAGCTTTCTTCTTCCGTTTCTTCTTTGGCGCCTCGTCGTCACCGTCCACTGCAGCACGCGGCTTTCGCTTCTTTGTCGTTCTTCTTTCACGAATGTAGTCCTCCCCTCCTGATTCTGAAGAGGCTCTCCCCCCGTGTGCGCCCCCCGCAATCTTCACCTTCTTCGCCTTGCGCGAAGCCGGCATCTCGACGTCTGAGCCTACAGATAGAGCATAATACCGTGAGCCAGCAATACCTTTGTGCATTATGAGATGCCTCCTACGTACCTTCATCAGAGGAAAGCTCTGAATTCGAGCCGAAAATATCCTTCTCAAGATCTTCTGTCTGTTGATTGTATTGAGAATTGTTAATGGTTCAAGGTTGACGCCCACTTACTTTTTTCTGAGAGGCCATGGTTGGTGGCAGAGAGTGAGAAGGGCTTGACCGCGTTGACCACTTTTCTTCCAAGAACCATACTCGTATGTGCCTCATTCTCGCGTCATTTTACGCGTCTAAATCTCGGAATAGTTATTACACTGATAAACGAGGTTTTCTGAACTTGGGACGCGAACCCAGACTCAGAACACGGTTGTACAAACCAGGACATGGCCTCATCATTGTCCAGATCTGTGCGGGCAAATGCGCCTTTTCACTTTGCAGCTCCTATACCAAGGTCTGCACCAAGTTTGGTGCGGCACGCCCATGGCCTCACCCGGACCAGACTTTCTGGGCGGCAGGGAAGCCCAAACGACCGCCTTGCACTATCACGACTCTGGTTCTTCTCGCAGTTTTTCAAAGGCTGGAAGCCAGCGACAGTGTATTCGTTTACAATCTCGCACCTCAATAAGCCACGGCGAATCCCTTGGCGTATACGAAGCAGGTTCTACATTCTCATGATCAGAGAACTTCTCAATCGCAAGCAGTGGGTGCTTGCATACAAGCTACATGCAAGAATGACAGCAGAGCGCGTGGAAGGTGCCAACGCTCTCTTGCCAGAGTTGGTTATGGCAAGCCGGTTTATGCCCGCGAAATCTCCCGAAGTTGACGAAATCATTGCACGCTACGCCGATCACGTGCGAGAACCTGATGATCAACTGCTCAAGCTTCTCATTGCCCGTCTCGTTCGACAACGAGGGAGCATGGAGGCCATTAGCCATGTTTTCAAGAGCATAAAGGAGCGTAAAGGAGAATCATGGACACCAGGCTGGGAGATATGTAGCTTGATGGCCCAAGCTGAAGCACAGTCTGGCAGTATCAAATCTGCACGACGCTGGTTCGAGCAAGCAAGGGATCAGATTGGGAACTATAAGTGGGCTCCGAGTTGGCAAAAGGAAGCTATACATGTCAAACTACAAATCGCCTATACGCGCTTCCTCCTTGGGCTCAGCGAGCGTCATGGGCGTGCACTTCTAAACGTCTTGAAAAAGATGGAGTATGACCAGGTTTTACCCGAGCGTATACTGATCAATAAGCTCATCGCCAAGGCGGCGAGTCATGGACGGGCAGACGGCGCCTTCGCCCTCTATCGAGCGATGAAATTCTCCAACCCACCGATTCCCGGGAACAAACATACATTCTATCATCTCTTTTCCGCATCTACATACGCAGTGAGGGATCGGTGGTTGTTGGAGATGGGAGGCCGGAGACTTTATAGGGATATGACACGCCAACACCTCAGTAACACCAATCATGCCCCTCACAAACCTTCCAACGTATTCGACTGCTTTACGCTCAACGCCGCACTTCGATTTTTCCTGCGGAATAGGGACTACGCAGCTGCCACCGTCACTATGCGGACCTTTCCCGTCTGCAACATCCGTCCAACACAAAAGACACAAGAAGACGTTATTGAGAGTATTGTCTCTCGAATAAAACAAGAGATCATGAATGCATCTCCAGAGCCGTTGCTTTGGGCAGATAGAATGCTAGGCGAGGTGATACGACTATGGCACTGGGATCATGAGCAAAGAATCTCGATCGTTGAAAAGCTTCATCGTGCTGTGGGACATGTCACCTCGTCCCTGACGAGTACTGGGGTCGATTTACAGTTGATACTCGCGCTCTTACGGAGAGCCGTTCTCGCCTCAGAGTCGCTATGGCCGGGAAAAGACCCAGAGCTCGACAAACGAACATTCGCTGCGGTCATGGAAGAGGCAAGTCAAGACATGCTGCCGCGCAAGGGGAAGCATAGTCCAGGTTGGAGCATGGTTACGTCTAGGTAGACGGGACCCTTACTTGTACACAATATCTAATGCACACGGCGTATACTCGTGTGGTTGGCCGTACCCACTTTCACCGTTTATTATTGATCTTGACTATGGGCAAACTAAAGCATATTCATATTACATTGTACGAGTCTTGTAGACTACATGTCATGCAAAAAAATACGCTCCCGGCGATCAAAGCCATTGAAAACATCTTGAACCCATCCGCAACCTCTCTACGGATGGCCACTGGCCGACGACGCTCTGGAACGCTCGTCTCCCAACTGAGTGCTCAAGCTCAAGCTCAGGCTGGCCATTTTGTTTCGACAATTACGCTACAAGCCTCAACGCATGGGAATGCGTCCAACAACTATCCGAATGTCCTCCTGAATCGAGACCGTTGGCCTGGAATCCAAGTTGGGGATGTAATAGAACTCAGGGCGTCGCATATGGCTGAGCCCTGCGTCTTTATCATCGATGCTTCGGATCCCGTCGGTCTGCCGTATAATCTTCAGGTCGGGCGATTCGATTGTCAAGGCTATTATTGAAGTCATTAGGTTTCTCTTTCGAATGATATTGCCGCTTGTTTCGATATACGGAGTGGTTCAGAAGTGACTTTGACCAAGGTCGGTTTTGAATCTCAGCTACAAAGAGTTTCTCACTGTTCATAGACCAGAGTGGACAAATATACAGCGGAAGCTGTAGAGGTAACTCCTTCACTGATGTTGAAGGAACCGATACTCATCCTATCCAGGTTTTCTTTAGCGATCAATATCTTGGAAGGTAAGGCGACCAAGTCAAGTTTAAACGCTCTTATAAGCGATTTAGAGGCGATATGTGGCGCCTCAGCTCCAGTTTAGCTGGAAAATGTTGGCACAAGGTACGCTGCTATCATCGAGACGTGCGTAGTACTGACCGATTTGCAGGAACAGAAGATAAATTTTGTCGGTTGTATCTCTGCCACAATCAAGACTATCTTTCTCCACAAAAAAGAAGTAAAGTCCTTGCGAATATACAACCCCGCACACCTGACGAGGCTACAGGCAAAGTCGGCGTATGTCTCACCAGAAACTAAGATAATATACCGCTCTCTTACTGCAAAATGCACCATATTTATCCAACTCTGCCGGGAGATATGGGACTTTGCTGATGATGGCGAGCGATACTACGAAAAGGTCGTGCACTCGTTCCTTCCGGCATTGTTCAGGCGTTGGAAGATGTTATCCACTCGACACGTTATCACCATTGTCCTTATATCAAGAGTCTTTTATGACTCGTCGGAGATTGAATACGCGGCGGGCCCAATCCAAAGAGACGACGACGGGCGGGCATACAAGGACTTTTTTAAAGTGGTCACCGATATTGAAGTGATCAAAGACTGGAAACCCACTCTCAATGCAATGAAGGAATCCCTTATTGCCTTTCAGGTATGTTGGAATTCTAGTTGTAAACCGTCCTTTGAACAAAGATTAGCGAGATATTCTATTGACGCATCACTATCATCAACACAACGATGGAACAGACAAGCCTCCCCGACTAATCGGCCAAATATCTTATGCGCATGATGGACCAATCCTTGAAGCGATCAACCTCGGCCTTAATCCCACTGAAGCACACTATATCGACAGATCACTCTCACTCACTGGAACGTCGACCATCTTGATCACACCTGGGAAAGGCCACTTCCGTGTCTCGAAAAAGCTTCTCAAGCTTACCACCACACGTCTATTGGACCAAGGGTTTGGGCTGGACGTTATTGCCTTGGGAAAAGCTCCCCTTCACGCAACTCCACTGTTCAGTTTCATCTCAGTGGATCCATCAAAGTATGGAAAAGAGGGTGGTTCTGATCAAATAGCGGACCGAGTGGACGATGTGCTCTGGGGGGGACCGATGGAAGACCCGCCACTAGGGATGCCTGGTCATGTCGATGGGCGAAAGGTTTTCTACTGGCAGCCATTCTGGATATTCCTCATGTTTTGGGACATTCAGATGGACCTACCATTTAGAGAGGATCAGTAAGTTTTCCATTTCTTCTGGACCACTCTGATCTCTTGTAGGTACATTCCCAGAGCACGAATGCCGCAATTTGAACTAATGGGTCTGCTTCATTACGACCTAATCTCCTCGATTGCTATCCCGGCGCTAGACACCTCGGCCTCTGATCTTCGTACTTCCGAAGCGCAAGATCACTTTGACCAAGATGTTTTTTCATCCGGCCCTACCAGCGTATCCTCTCCAACCACGACAGATCCTTCGTCCCTTCCCAGAGGATCAATAATCAAACAATCCGGAATACCGTCGTCCTTGGGGGTATCAGTCGCAAAGCAGCACATAATACGGCGCACACCTTCCACGACCTCCCTCAATAATTCTGCTAGACCCGGGAAACTCAATCGAACGGATTCCATCGAGGATGACTACATGCCTCGTCGCTCGAGGCCAAACTCCAGCCAGTTCGACGACGCCACTCGGGAACGATTGGCGGCAGCACTTACGGGGACGTCTCCAAAGACGGGTCGACTAGGGCAGATCCAAGCCCAGGCCGAACGTCGTGCAAGGAGCACGTCGCAGAACCTGACAATGACGGAAGCATCCTCATCTAACCTGATACGTAAGCCCTCTGCCTCAACGCGAGGTAAATCCCCGCCTGGGTCTCGAAGGAATTCGACTGCGCAGCTACCGCCCAAGGCGCGCAAGGAAGCTCCCACGGAGTCGATTGCCAGTGTGCCACTCCAGCCAGAGTCGAGCACGAAGGAGGTGTCAGCATCTAGGAAAACCAGCGATGCAGCGGACAAGAAGTCAGCAGGGCTACAGTTTCCATTTGCTCGTTTGACAAGCAGCTGGCTCCTCACCCCTTGGAGGCTCAATGCGCCGCCTGCCAAGGAGTCCACCGTCCCAATTCTTCCTTCTATGCAACCACAAGAGGTTGAAGTGAAGAAGGCTCTTCCGGAGCCAATGTCATTAACAAAGCCGGTCACGACTCAACCACTAGCAATCAAAGATAAGCGGCAAAATAGGATGAGGACTGTAGAGGATGTCAACATGGCTCCTGGTCAGCGGCTTTCTGCAAATAAAGGGTCTCCAGCCTCCACTTCCCCTGCCGAGACCCCTGTGCTTGGTACATCGTTCCGCAATTCTACGGGTTCCGGTCTCGGACAACAACAACTAATCAACCCATCCGCAACGGAGGTGCCGGTACTCAAGACACAGACTGCTCTTGCTCGTCGCTGGGAGCACATATATACACTTCCGACAATGGAAAACGAGATGAAGTGGAAGTCCATTGAATCCCCAGGATGTCTTCCATTGACTACGGGCTATTTCCCGACAAAGGAAGAGCTGGAGAAAGCATATCGAATGCATTTTTACGATGTCACCCTTGGGCTCGAAATGAGCGAGTCGTTCCTGGTCAAACGACCCGTGCACGACGGCCCCATCCCTGAAGACAAGTGGGCGCTGGCCATCATGCGAGTGATGGTAGGCCTACGCCTTGCCCAAGGCTTTCAATTCGTATTGCTCTCCGAGGAGAGAGCGCGAGAACTTGGAGGCTTTGGTCGTATCTCGCCTCCAAGAGGACCCTCAGAAATCCTCAATGACGTTGAAGCCCCAGTATATCTCAGCATGAGCGATCAGATTCACAGACTGCAGTATGATCCCACTGGACCTTCGATACGGGTGGAAAGATTTGTACGAAAGTCGGCCACTGTGCCACCACCGATACCCTATGCCTGCTTGATCTGGCCAAAGAGAGGTGGAGGGTATACAGAGTGTGCCACCCACTTCAAATCCCCCGAGATGGAGATGTATGGCTGGAATCGGTGAGAGGTTCAATGGCTATTGGATCCAGTTACTGACTCGGCGGAGTTTGGATATGCTTGCGTTTGGCTATGAACAACAATTCTCCGAGTCCCTTCGATACTGGAGGACGCGGTTTATCGTGATCCCAACCGAAGAAAAGCCCCAGCAACGCGGTGCTCCCAGAGGTGCAAAGCCGCTAAGCGACGAAGAGCTACGACTTGTTGGCATGGAAAAGTTGGCGGATCACTTTACAAGAGCGCGCTGGTTGAAGAGTGGCGAGACGTTAGATTCATATCCTCCCGTCAAGTTCCTTCCCACTACACTTGATCCTGTGCCCTCCGTGCTGGATGATGGGCTAATGGCAAAGCTAGAGGAGCTGCATGAAGCTGGAGCTCTTAGGAAGCGGGCGAACAACTCGCGAACATTAGAAGCGACGGATCTTATGGCCTTGGCCAACATGATGCGGCAACCTGGCGGACTTCCAATTCGAGATAATCGCTGGCACACGGCCTTTTATCCGGATAGCTTCACGGGTGAAGAGCTCGTCTCATGGTTCCTTCGAGAGTTTAATGATGTCTCAACCCGCGAACAAGGAACCGAATGGGGAGTCAAATTGGAGCAGATGAAGTTCCTGAAACATTGCAGAGACTACCATGGCTTTATCGACGGGTAAGATGACAGACGAATAGACTCTTTTTGTTCTGAAATCGTTTCCAGGCATTACTACTACAAGTTGTTACCTCCATTTCAGAATGCGGGGGCAATGCGTCCAGCTCTGCCTTACAAGTTTACAACCCGGATTCTTCGCAACGCCGAAGAGCGTAGTACGAGCGTTCCCGGAGGCGGCTCGAGTGGTAGCCCAGTTGCAGCACGGCGGGACGATAGGTGAGCGGTAATAGTGGCAAATGATCTCTCTTGACGACAGAATAGTCCACGAAGTGCCCCTAGCAAGCGACGTATCCTCTCCTCAAGCATGATAGTGGACATGGACCCTCACAAGACGAGCACCCAATCCGAAACTGCAATACTCCATTATGACCTCATCCAAAATCCTGGAACAGCCTTTCATTTCCAGCTTCATTGGGTCGGCACGAGCGCCAAGTTTATAGACGAGATGGTCAAGACCTGGAGCCGTGCCATCGACTGGTACGGATTGCGCCTCGTCGAGGCGTATGTAGATCAAATAACGGACATTACGAAGACGAATGTCTTCCAGAGCTGCTTTCCTATCGACTTTGCCGTCCCACCACCAGCCCTCCCACCAAACTCTGGCATGCAGCCTGACTATTTTGAGGGCCAGTTACTGCGCAATTTTAATTACGTACTGGATATCTCGAGTTCACAGCACTATGCGAATCGAGTCAACGTTTATTACTCGTACCGCAACTCCGAGTTCAACTTTTCCCAATACGTACACAAGTCGGGGCTGGCGTTTGTGCAGGTAATCGAAGGCAAAGGATTCAGCTGGCTAACGAACCGGTTGGCGACCACTCGACAACATTCATCCGACCACGACGGGCGGGGGCGAGATAACCAAGATAGCCAAGAACGTCCGAACCGGATCATGGACGAGCTTAACAGCTTTTGTACGAACAAGGAACTGCTGCAGGGTTTTTGGGACGAAGAACTGCATACGCTGATGCGCCGGCTGGAGGCTGTTGGGACGGCCTAAAGTGTACATTGCCACATCTTTTTTGTAAATGTAGCTCGAATTCTTAATGTAAAAACCCATCATACTAAGAATAAATGCCTCGTCCGAACGCGGAGAGCAGAGTAAAGTGCACTGTAGCGAGGACGGCGCCAGGCAGACTTGCCATCGTGCAACGATCATTGTTGCTGAAGTTCTCTTCTGAACAAGAGGACATGCGGTTCAGGAGCTAGACGTAAAGTCGTCATCATCAGTCGCCGAGCGTCTTGTGCGTGCAAAACTGGACGCACCGTGCACCTCGTAGTGCACCCATCCAGGGCTCTGGGTGATTCCAATATTTCTCCATTCTTCTTCTGTCAACAGACGTAGGACACCGGGAGTCGTATCGGAGAAATACGCGCGAGGAACCATCTTGAGCAAGGGCTTGGGGAGGATAACGTGTCTAGTGTCTTGCATTTTCAGCATCAGAGAGCACATAAACAACAAGAGCATCCACCTGTACTCGTAGAAATCGTCCGAGTATCGATCCGAGTAGTGAATCCTGCGAGTTGATGCCCATCAGCGACCGCGAGGTTTTCAACGGGCATAGACCCGCACCGTTCTACATATTCCTGGAATTTTTGCTGCTGTTGCTGTTGCTTGAGCTTGGCTTCCATATTGATGTTCGGTAGAGGAGTGGTTCAAGTTTGAAACGGCGCTGACACCATAGAGGGGCAAACACCAAATCCATATTAGTTTCCTACAGAACAGTACGAATCATCACACGGGAGCCTGATTTCTGGTATATATAGCAATAAAGAACGCGTCGAATCAGAGGTCAAGCTTTGCCGTCGGAGGTGGGCCGCGCACGACCTCTTTGACGACCGACATGATGGAAGCTCGGCGTCCCTTCTGCGCTTGAACGACTCCGACGGGAGCGCTAGCGCGGCGCTGTGGTTAGGCGTCAGTATCAAAACGAGGATAGGTACCAGAAGTTCATACCATGGCAATTGCCTCGTCTGAGAAGATTTGGGACTCGGTCATACCGACAGTTTGAAGCTCGGACACGTGCAAGAATGCACCTTGAAGACGGTATTCGGAAAGGCGAGCTTGAACCTTGTGGCGGCTGCAACACCATCAGATCAAGGCAATGAACAGGACCATATAACTGACCCATTGAGAGATACGATGAGAGAGAGGCCATACAAGGAAGCGGTCGAGTATGCGAAAAAGTTGCAGGATACGCTCTGAGCAATGTCAGTGCGTGCCATCGTTTGTAGAGGAGAAGCATACTCGGATAAGAACCGCAAGGCCGAGGAGGAGTACGAACACGAGGCACGGAAGGGAGCTCTCGAGCGAGATGGCGAGCAGACGGACAATCACTCGGTCGAGCCCATGTATTCCCGTTCTAGACGACCAGAGAAACTTGAAAACTAGAGCTTGTGAGTTGTAATCATCAAGTGAACATTTGACTCACGGATGCTAACGATGAGGACCTCGAGCACTAAATCCTGTCAGATATAGGAGGAACGACGAGAGAAGGAACTCACAGGCGGACGAAACGCCCCACATGTAGAGAAATATTCGTAGCGTATGTGCATAGATTGTACTACGATGGAAAGATATTCCTTCGGTGATGACCTTCAACCAGAGTAAGCTTCAAAACAAGCGTGAGGAGAGGTACATACAACTCCAAAGGTACTTGTAGTGATGGCGGAGAGAAGAAGGATGATAATCACGGTGACCCCACTGGACTTGCGTGTCACATTCCAGCAACGGTGTGCAAAGAAAGTTTGTGCTGACAAACAAATCGTGGCATTCTGAGAAAGAATCAACCGACAACTCGAGTTGCAACACCGAACTCTTACCATGGCTGTATCGAAAATGTTTAGCTAATAGTGGGTTAGACATATATCCTCCTCTTTCTGTATACCGCGAGCGTACCCAATGTTCTCTCTGAAAATGGTCAGTAGTATCCTGAACTCGGCGAATTGGCCTACCCAGAAGACACGTTCAATGGCAACGTAGTAGACCTTTGCGGTAGCCACTCCAGTGTGAATCCTGTGAGAGCTCAGAGTGATTGCATGAGTATGCAAAATTCTCACAAGACGAGTAGCATGACACCGCCCACAAAGACGCGAACTGCAAGGCCATCCCGCGACGCCTGCGTAAGCGAGAAGTATCGGTGTGTCTCGGCGAGCAAGACGCCCTGCAAGATGCACTTGAAGACTGTAGTAGCGAGAACGGTAGTGAGGTACGAATGGTCAGTCGGCAGCCACTGGTCAAAGTCGTCGCGGTCTGGAATCGACATGATGAAATCGTCGAGGCGAAAGACGGAGACCACGAAGAACAATGCACGAAGGATGGGTGCCGTGACGAAGAAAATGAAGAGAAACTGTGGTCGAAGAAGAGACAAAGAGACGAGAGACCACTGGTAGGCAGGTTTATATACGCACAAACAAGAAGCTCAAACGACAGATATTCATATTCCAGAAAGTGCGCTGTCAACCAAGGACACGCTCGGTCAATCATATTCCAGACAGAAGCCCCGACAGATTTGAATTTGATGCCGGTGACAGCATCAGGTTTGCCCTCAGAGTCTGTACATCCGCAAAGTATGTCAGAGGCACACCGTGAGGGATGGCCGAGATGTCCCCCGCCCCAGCACAGTCACCAGTCTGCGCGGTCAACCGCACAGAAAGCTTGCGGCGCGTCATGGAAGAGGGATGAATATAGTGTTCATAGAATCGAATGACTGTCGGGAGATCCAATTCTTCAATACGCTGAGCATCTTGTTCGGCTGTGGCGCAAAGTCAATGACCAATTCGTAGATCACTGAAGTCTGGCGTCGTACCTTGATCAAATCGTAGATCATTCTTGTCGATATGCGACCAGAATCGACTTTGCTCCTCGCCGAGGTTGACCAATCGCTTTCGCATCTTTTCGACAACCCCTTTCTTGTGTCGCCCAAATTGCTCCTGAGACATATCACAGAGTGTCCGAAGATATGAGTCGATGAATGCGTCGATTCGAGTCTCCAAATAGTCGGGATGCCGCGTCGACTGCACACGAAAGCGTAATCCCGTGCTTACGGTATTCGCCCATGGCACGCAAGAAACACTATACCCTAACTGCTCCTGCGTGCGCATGATGTGAAAGAATGGCTCATTGAGCATTGTCCCCAGGAGCGCGACCAGGGCACGCGTTTGTCCATCTGTCATCCAGCCTGCATGACAGTAGTACGAAATGGCACAATTCGGCTCTTTGGGATTGGGAACAGAACCAGAAAGGGCATAATTACAGCCTGCACGTGCGGTTGAGTCAGTTGGTCCATCCAATTGCTCCAAACTAACCTTCAGGGAGAAGCAGTATACGATTTGGATTACATTCTGATATTGAGACGGATCTTGCCTTGAAACTTGTCTCGATTTGGGCTGACCAATCCAAGGCGACCTGTTGATTTATTAGCCCACTTTTGGCACGCAATGCAATGCAAAGTCGACGTCACCTGCCGTTCGATATTTCCATGCACCAGCATCGTCAGTTTCAACTTCTCGAGAAGCCGTTTACGATGCATCTCAATGGCCGGGACGTCGACGTCTATGGATAAATCAGCCGGTCAGCAAACAAGCCCTAATGTCAAACATACAATCGAGCTCCTTGCGAATTTCGGGCGCTGTATACAGTTTCTCGGAGATGCCATAAGCCAGGAACGTGTCCGACACCTCTCCAGATTGTTTGATATACGCATTGTCATACGCCCTGCGAAGCTACAGTAAAACACAATATATTAGTGAAATCCTGACACATGGCTGATTAGGGCGTACCCTCTCCAATATCACATTCATTCGCGTGTCTTGGACGTCCACTGATGTGATCTGACCGAGCACTAGCTTTAGCAGCTCGAAGAGCTTGTCGTTGTATCCAGAAACGGTGAGATAGATGGCCTCTTTTGACAGGGATACGCTGTAACCAAGCCCTGCCAACTCGGCTGCATACGCAGGAGATTGAAGAGCGTCTAGAACGAGCTCAATGTATGCACTGTTGTTCCCTCAGTACGAGAAATTTGTCTTTGTCCCATCCACGTACATTGATTGCACATACTGTGCGAGACTATTGCTGAGAGCAGGACTGACAAGAATTCAGTAAGCAGGAGAGAGAATACTATACTAGATGGTACCTTTGGATCTTGATACTGACTGAGCCACGCGGTCGCCAAAATTGATCATCTTTTTTGAACCAAACGTTCGCGAGGGTCGTCTCCCTGATTACGCTTGGTGCTGTGAGCGGCTATGATGAGCATCAGTACCCCTTTGAGGTAGCCTTTGTGGACACATTGCGCACCGTCGCGGAGCTTTTATGTACGTCCAAAGTATCTGGAAGATACGGATTTGGACCAGGCAGAAAGAGATCCTTTGCCTCCTCTTCTGAAAGCACCTTCAATCGAATTCTCGTTAGTATATCAACTATCAAGAACAGGGACCGTACCGGTAGCGCATTCACGGCAAGTTCACCTCGCTGAAACTCTGCGCCATACCATGGCTCTGTCTCCCACCTCTCATCATCCAATTCAGCTTCAATTCCTTTGAAGTTTCTCGCAGCAACAAATACGCTTGCCCGTTGGGGCACTAAACACTCGAGAACGTCTTGAACCGCACTCTTGTCCAGCTCCCACTCGCGAACTCCATGTGATACAATGTGCGATCGTTGCAAGTAAGAGTTATTCATGGCTTGTGCGAGCGACTTTGCAAAAGTGTCCGGTGCATAGGGCTCGGCATAGTCGAATTTGAGTTGAGCGACGCGACGAACTTCGTCGAAATGATGTCTTTCGTTGATCACTCTCGGTAGAACCATCGTGAGGTAGTGAAAGATGACGGAGAGTACTTTCTTGTACTCGACTAAAAAGCGGTGAATCGGGGTTCAGAATAGCTATATGTAACCTACACAGTCCGCGCCTTGTTAATACAACATCAAGTCCGAATAGGGAGAATCCTCGTCCTGGGGCGTGTAAGCCTGCGGACAGGCTGGTCGCAAGAGCGTGCGTATGAAGGAAGTGAAGGATTGAACCTGGACCCTCGTGACCAACGATATGACTCAGTAGACGTGTCGGCTTGGTCATGTAGAGCGGCTCTTGGTATGGGATAGGAAACCGAATCTCCAGGCGTTGAGTGTCTTTAACCGTTCGAACGTAGTAAAGTCTCTGGCGAAGAACATAAGCCAGATGCTAAGCAACAATGAAAGCTCATACGGGCCCCCCATCACCTGACCAAGGAGGCGTTGAGACGCTCAACGGTGAACCTAAGCCTCGGTTTGGTATATGCGAAAAATTGGACAGTGTGAGGTCAATCAGCCGCTGGATAGGTTCTATAATGCCACGTGAGTCATAGAAAGCATGTAAATCAAGGCTTACGAGGCCCTACAATAGCAACCTTCATACGACTGGCGCAGTAATGATTCTCCCACCAATCCATCACCCGCCGTCTCGCTTCTTGACCCTTGAATTCATCCGTGGTATCGACGTCGTCTGACTCCTGGCGAGAAGATAGCAAAGTCTCACGACTACCACATCCAAATTTGCGCCAAGGATGGGTGGGGTCACTAGAATGCTTCCACAGCTGGTACAACCTCCTGGAGTCCATTTGCTAAAGACAAAGTTATCCAAACAGTTGTCATTTAATATTGCTGAACTTGCCTGGTTTTTTGATCCCTCAGAGTTGACTGCATTCACCTCACGTGAAACGCAGTCAGCTCTGAAGAGTGGTGCGTAGAAGAAAGCCGCAAAGCGTTCGATAGCACTTTCCAACACATCACCTTGTGTTCCAGTTACTTGTTGCGGTCCTTTAGATAGTGATCCGATATCTGCTTCATCATTTGGGACTTGAACTTTGAAGTGATACGTCGTATTACTGCTGCTCGTTGATGCGTTCGTGAGACCGCCGTGAAGCTTGATGTAGCGCTTATACTCGTTCTCCGACGGATGGGGAGTTGTCCCCTATATCAAACAGTTTGATTTTGATGAAATAAGACAGGATAACGTACATACCATGAATGAGAGGTGTTCACAAAAGTGTGCAAGGCCCGGCATATCGTCCTGTCTTCCAATGTATCATAGATCGCAACGGCACAGTCCACAGTATGGATGATTAGACAAATATAAATATCTGTGAATGGGTGAATCTCACCGGATCACTCATATGTCCAACTGCAACATCGAGGGCAACGCCTGCTTGCTCGAACGGAGCATCATTCACTCCATTATTCTGGTAGATTGCCCGCTCCTTGCATGCTTGTTGATCAGACACAAGTAGAACTTGAAGGTCGTTGGAGTGGAGGCGAATCAGTGCGTACTCCCTCGTATCCAAGGCGGGTTTCTCAATTGGGTTTGACATAATGTCGTACCCATGCTCTCCAATGGGACTTTTTGCCATTACACGCTCCCATCTTTCCGAATCGGCGCGATGTAGAGCAGTCATTGACCAAAAACGAGGGTAGGCTTGTAGTATCCCACGATTTGGTAAGCCAAAAAAGGCTTTAGAGGGGAGGAGAGCTCGAATTATGTCTGACACCGGAGGCCACGTAATATATGGGAGTATCCAAGTGTGGTTCATTCGTTCCAACTATCCAGCTACAGTAGGCTAGTTGTCCAATCAAAGCGTAAAGACTATGACCTTGTTAAAGCTAGCACATACAAGCATTTTATACGTACCGCACGCTCCCTCGGCGGGCTTTGTCGCAAAGCAAGTTTCAGCAAATGTCGCGTCGTCCAGATGTTTGTAGGGTCCATAGCTAGCACGCAGCTGCTTCATGAAATCTACTACGTCTCCTTCTTTAAGGAGAATGCACGCACATCCTCCCCATCCGGCACCTATTCGGCATGCGTCAATCAGTGCCCAGGGGCCAGGAGAATACATGACCGGAAAGGAAGTATGACACACCCGTCAAGCGCGCGCCATATGCGCCCAATGATTTGGCTAGTCCTACCAACTCGTCCAGCTCGGGACAGGAGCATTCGAAGAGCTCGGCACAGCTCTTCTGTGACGCGTCCATAAGTTCGCCTAGTTTCTCAGGTAGGGATGGGCCACTCTGCCTACACAAATCGCGAAACTCGAGGACGCGACGCGCCTCAGTGAAAACATGTAGAGCGCGCTTGTACAGCTGGAAGTATGTTGCTTCGACTTGAACCATTCATTAGTGTCACTATTATACCAAGAGTGGTGGGAATACACACCTTCGACCCAAGAGAGGAATACCTTGTGAAAGACATCGCTTGACAAGCCCGACATTTCCACCATTTCCTCGAGTGTTACCCCAAGCTGTTCTTTACCCTTCAGTTTCTCAAGGTATCCACCCTCAAGCAGGGCGGTAATCTCTTCCTTGAGCGCTTCCTCGCTATCCTTTTCCCCCCGCCAGCGCTGCAGCACCTCACGATAGGCAGCTCGCTCCTCTTCACCTGTCTTTACACCCAAGATATTCGCCAGAATCTTTGCCCCGACGAGTGTCTCGACGACGCGAAGGTTATAGCGTACTTTGCCCGTCTCTGCCTTGTTGGATACAGTGAGGGAGTTTGCGACTAAGAATGCAATTGGGTTGTCTGCCGAAGATGGAATCGGTACTGGGGATACCTGTAGCGACGGATAGAAAGAGATATAGAGAGCGTGTCCGGGTGCGCTGAGGATTGAGGCGGATTGATCCATGCTGTGAAGACCTTAGCAAGTAGAAACGAGAGATACGAGGAGGATTATGGAAGAAATGGGGAAAGAGCGTACCCGCCACTATTCACACCAACCCGCTTCTCATTACCCACTGACATCTGAACGAGATCAAATTTAGTGATTGAGGAAAGTTTGTCATTGGCCACGAGGAATGCCAGGGTCGATGCGACGATGAGTGCCGCCGAGGATGAGACTCCAGAGCCCGCCGGAACAGTACTGTCAAACAATGCCTGTAGACCAACTGGATCCGCTTTCGTGTCCTTTGAAAAGAATCGCTCTAGCACACCCTGTGTGATTCGTTCAAGATACTCGTCAGGAATGTCGCCAGTGTACACACCAGGTATCCCGCCTTGACGTAACTCTCCCACCTTAGACCCTTTGGATTAATTGCAAGATCCCATTCACCCTCCTGATCTTTCCCCCCGTCCTTTGATTCGCTCCTCCGCAACGCTGTAAAGCTGGCCTTTGTATACTTCGAGTTCATATTGTCAACTTCTACGAGGCCCTTGGATTCTGGTGTTGCTCGAATTGCGATCACAAGTTCCTTTTCGATGGCGGCTGGGAGAACGCCAAAGAGTGCATAATCAATGTGCTCTCCTAGAGCCCTACATCAGAATATGACCTTGCTTTCTTATTGGAACAGATTATGTACCGATAATGCTGAGAGATGTCAGTGCCTCTGTCGCCACAACGACTAAGAGCTCACTTTACTCTCCCTGGCGCTCTGACAATATGCGTCGGCGGGCTTCCATATCTCTCTTGAAACTTTTCTGCAAGCTCGTTCCATCGGTGCCTATAAAGGCCGAATTCCCGCCAAATACATCATCGTCTGAGCGCTGAACAGTGTGGGGTGGCATACGTACGCTGTATGCAGCGCTTCCTTGGTGCTTTGCGTAAGATCACGAACAGCATGATGGACGGTGATGGGCGAGTTAGACATGGTGAATCCGAATGGAGATGGTTGGGATCAGGAAATGAGTTCTAAGACCCAAAGTGAGATTCGGGCCTATACCAATAACAATATACCTTCGAACTAAATCGTAGTCCATAATCTGGTACAGAGGCTAGCAAGTGCCGGTTACCCTGATTGGGGCCACCTTCGTGAGGTTGGGCCAGGTCGAAGAAGATAAGAATCACATGAAACCGTAAGTTTCTCATCTTCTTCCCATAGCTCATTAAATGGTAAGTGTATTAAAGTTGTCTCCACTACTTCTTGACCCCAACCACCCCCCGAGCTCGAGCCATATGAATACAAACAATCCACCATGACACCATGAACGGTCACCAACTAGATCCTTTTCGACGATTCCAGTCCCACCATTCTTTATCAATCTCAGACGCGGACAGTTGCGTTTGACACGGTTTCATGAAGATTCCCGTATGTTTCAGAGTTATCGAGCTGTCGAAGAGCGCATAATCAGTGCTGTTACAGTCGAAAACGAGGTGGAATAGACTGTGTAGGCCTGACTCGCGAATTCGTCATCCAACATGCGTTGATAGACACTGATACCTACCTTGATGCGGGTAAATAGGAACGTTATCCCGAAAATCCAGAAGAATGTAATCTTCGAGTCCTCGCGCTTGCAACCACGACCCAAAGTCTTCTCTTCGGTCTTCGGGCGCCAAAAGTCGGCCATCTCGTGTGAGACTGATCCCCCATCTCTTCGACGGGATCACAAAATGAACACTACTAGGCTTCTCAGACAGGCCTATGGCAAACGCGGGAGATATCTCGACGCTTCCTCCAGTCAGATCAAATAAGCATCGATAGAATTCGACCGCATATCCGTTATGCTGTGGAGGAGGATACTCTGGGACACCAGGGTGCTCCAGCGTTTCGCGGGAGATCCACCCATGTGTACCGCGATGGAGCAATGGTGGGATATCTGTCAACACGGATGGGGCGAGGCGAGAGATTACCGCTTGTACAAGGGACAACAGGTCTTCGTACGCCAGCGGGGGAGTGGGTGCCCGTTCCCGACAGAGTCGATGCGACCAGAGTGCGCGGTGGAGTGGCGATGGGAACACATAGTTGCCATCCGCCATGTCGAGGATTCCCAAGATATAGGCTTGTCGGAGGTGGATGTGGTGGGATGGCTTTAGCTCGTTGTGCGGTGGAATACGCCCGTCGAGCATCACGCTGTCCAAGGCCCTGGCATAGGGAAGGAGAGATTGTGGCCATTTGATCACACCTGATGACTGGCTCATCAGGTGGTCATACAAGACCGTATATGATGGGTTGTCGCGATCAAAGTCGGCGAGTGAATAATGTACGCTGACGTCCTTGGGATTGGTTCCCTATTGATCATTAGACCTAGCCCTCCTGAGAGGTGATACGAACAAATCTGTGGATAAACTCCACTATGGATTTGACGGCGCCGACGTGTCCTCCAGTGACCTTGAAGATGAAATGGGCCAAATCAACACCAAAGCCACATCTCGGTTGTATCCGAGTCAAGAGGTCGTCGTATTCTTCTCGGCTAAAGTAGAGCCCACTCGACTGGAGGCTATATCGTGCGAGTCTCCTCCCTTCAATCTCTGCAATCCCCAACGACTTTCCCGCCAATCGTGGATTCTCCGCTGTGACATCACACAGATACCGGGAGGATAGGACGACGAATAGACGGGCGCTGGTGTCTACGATTCTTGGCCATGTCCAGGGCGTACCATGGGCCTCGTCGATGAGGATGTAGCGAGTCGAACTACTCTGATTACTCGGATTGACCAACTCTTCAACAATCTGTTCTCGTGATATGTGTGTTTTCGACGACGTTGGTGTCGAGAGGTAGACTATGGCATTAGGTTCAACGCGGTTGATATGCGCGTGCAAGAGCGCCAAGAGCGTCGTCTTGCCAGTTTTGGGACCTCCATACACCTTTGACGATCAGACGCAGTGGAGAGGCGGAGAGCAAATGCCACGTACCGAAACAAAGCGATGTTGAGTCAGGATGTCATAAACGGCCTTTACCGTCTTGATTCGTGGACACCAATCTTCTGCGAACCCCGAAATAAGCGTGTCTTGTCCTTGGTGACGGAATGGTAACGTACTTGGGATCACTGTGTGTGGTTAGCATTGCTTCCTCGAGCACGCGGGCAAATCCACTGACCGACTTTCTGATCCTGTAGACAGGTTGATATGAGTAGATGGGGACATACACGTCTCATGCAACGTACGAATAACTTGAGCCATTCACCTAGAGCGACTCAATTTATCTCCCACAGGTGTTTGAGTTTTCAATACTCACCATCTTCAGCACCCGTCGGCGGGTCATCTGACTCTGCCAAAGGAGAATACTTGTCAACCTGGGGAGTCGCGAGCTCTGGGTACGCCTGTCCAGCAAGATCTCTTGCCATGGCGGGTGCAATCGTAGGGGCCAAAGGTCAAAGGAACCGAAAAGGCGAGCGACGGTATGGATATAGGAGAGCATGGCGTTTGCCATTCCGGGCCTTGTATCAAAGCGAAGCAACCAAACAGTCCCCTTGCTTCTGCGGAACTGGCCGTATGACCACGGACCGAGAAATGCCTGTTCTTTGTGCGTTTTGGATGGACGCGCACGGCGCCGTCCGGATTCCATACCTTGACAGTTTTACGAAATCTTGCCTCGACGCCACTTGACCAGCAATCGATTGATTTGGGCAAAAAACGCGTCGACGGCCGACAGATGGGCGATGGACAGCGACGTCGATGAGCGGCGTCGTCGGGGCAGTCAAAATCTGCATTTCGATTTCGATTTCAATATTATTTTTTTCTCGGATGCGTTGTGCATCGGGCAGGGACAGGATCGGGTGCCTGTATCTGGACGCTTATGGCTAGTCTGCGCTCTCCTGAATAATTACGAGGCGTCAAGCCTTACTTTTGTGCGAATAAGATTGGAATTGGTATGCAAGACGTCACAATCTGTGACGGAAAGAGCTAGCTTGACAGGGTGCGCGTGTGCTCGATGGAAATAACACGATGCAGAAAGGGTTCTGCGATGGGAAAGGAATCATGCGCGGAAGAGGAAATAGTCTAAACCCCAAGGAAAGAGTTATATAGCCACACCGTAAAACCCAAGAAAAGATGCGAGAACGGAAGGTGTTATGATGCTCCATTCCGGATCGCTGCGGTTCTCCTTACGGGAGAGGGAGGAGTCACGACGATCTGATGAATGTTAGTAGAAAGTTTGGATTCACAATGTGAGGGACTATACCTTGGCGCACGTTTTGTGTGACCGTTGGTCCTCTCGCCTTCTCGCGATCAAAGACGGTGGGATCGGTGGTGGGTTTGCGACAATCACAAACCGATGGGGCTTTGCACCTGCATGTCCCCTCGCACTCGAAGGACGGACGATTCGACCTCCAAAGGCCGCTCCCGACGGGATAGGAAGAGGGGAACCATTCCGTGGAGTCAACACGCGATAGGTGGCAGATCCCATGCGTTCAAACGTGACCGTCGTCTTCAATACTGGTGATCTTTCTGGGTTGGATGGGTACTCGAATGGCTCGGGGCCAGCCCCTTTTGGAACAGGAGTGCAGCGTCCACTGCTCTTTTCTCCCTCCTCGTCGTCGTCGTCCTCTTTTGACTGCCGGCGTTCTGGACTCGACCTGGTCCGATCGTATTGGTGCGTCTGTGGAGAGCCGCGGCAATTCCCGATAGATGGATAACCGTTGGACTGCCGTGTTGTGCTCGCGGCAGCATTTGCCATGGAACGAGACGTGGTTAGAGGAATCGTTGAACGATGCATTCTTCCTCGTGATTTTTTGTCGCCAGAAATTTCTAGCCGATTTTGTAGAGTGCGGTTGCAGGTGAGTCGTCTGCCGCGTGTTGGACGATCGCACGGTGAATCTGGCTGGAAATGTGGACGAGCGAGGTGAACAAGTGCTGAAAGAGTGATGTAGGATTTTATGGAATAATTCTGGGTGGGTATCGAGGGCGCGGACGGGAAAAGTGGGGACGAGGAGAGGAGCAGAGACGAGGGCGCACACGAGGCGAACCGGTGGGCTCTGGACCCTAAAGTGGTCGAGGTGGAGAGTGAGAACCGCAGAGCGCCACTCTTTGCACCGCCACGCCTGCCATAAGTCACCGGTTGGGCGCAGTTCCGCATTCGCCTCGGAGCAGCAGCCATCCAGCCGTGGGATAATAGGGGCTGATGGTTTTTGGGAGCCAGCACAACTTGAACCCATCCACATCTGCCTGTTTATCAATATATCGCACTAGAGCACATGCACTAGCTATAGTCTGTCGTTTAGATCCCAAAGTGACCAAGAATCAAAGTGGCACAACTTCAAATACACAAATACACCCTTACAAAAGCAAATATCATGATGAATAGAACGACCGCTGCCAAACCTTGTCAGTCTCCAATACAATCGGCCCTTAGGCCAACTCACGCCTCCACCAATGCATATCGAGATATTGCATCTTGGACCCGTCCGCATCGCTCCATTATCGTCGCATGTCCAAATCCTGGCTGTTCAAGGGCAAGGACAAGGCTACTCGGCCAACGGATGTTGCCAGCACCCCCGCCTCTCAGTCCGGAACTTCGACGCCCACCTCCAGCAGTGGTCGGGAAAGGATCCGTGACACGGCGATTCCGATCCTAGATCTTGGTGCTGCAATCTCCGAGAGTTCAGATGTGCTCGCTCCCATGAAAGCAGCTTGTATGGCCACGAGAAAAGTCCTCGAGATCTCGCGCGTAGGTCCAACGGTCATATCTGCCCCCCTTCTTAACAGGGAAGATAGGCTATGGAGAGCAACAAGGAAGGCTGGAATACTCTCGCTGAACGTCTCAAAGACCATCTAAAATCGATGCAAGAGCAGATCACCATCTTTGAGGGCTATCCCGAGGAGAGGCTCAAGGCATACGACTCTTTACGAGAGCCACTGCTGGCCTATGTCAGGCAAGCTTCGCGCTACAAGCCATGGGACTCAGCTGATACCACGAACAGAAAGCTCGACAAAATACAGCAAGATGTCGAAAAGCGAACCCGTTCCCGATTCTTGTCTCGCGCGACCAAAGTGGACTCTGACGCTGACGACATCAAAAGGTTTAACGACGCCATCGACCATTGTCATCAGAACCTTACGGTGGGAGAATTAAAACCCTCTTACTAAAGCTGACCATATTTCAGGCCGCTCTAGCCGTATCCAATTCTGTTCATATCCAAGCAGTCAAAGCCGACACTGAGGATATAAAGGAGGATGCACGAGAAATCAAGGACAACACCAAGACACTGTTAACAGAAGGCAAGTCGTTTTCCTGATGGCTTGGTTCATCCGCCTGACTATTATCAGCGGACAGGATGACAATTAGGCAACTCCAGATTGTTTCCCCGAAATCGCCTACATTGCACGATCAGTGCAAGGCCGGAACACGCGTGGCCGTCCTCGAAACCATCCGCCGTTGGGGGGAGGGCGAGTTTCCTGAACCCATCTTCTGGCTCTGCGACATTGCTGGGTCAGGTAAATCGACAGTTTCGACTACTATGGTCGCAAAGTGGAAGGAGGCGCATCTACTCGGTGGCCATTTCTTCTTCTCTATGGCCAACAGTGAAGAGAGTACGATTGACAAAATATGTCCAACTTTTGCCACGCAAATCTCCGAAAACATTCCGACGCTGATCCCGGCGGTAGCGGACGCGGTGAGACGACACCCGGCGATCATGACAAACACCTTTAAGGAGCAGTTCCAAAAGCTCGTCGTTGAGCCAACGAAGCATCATGATAAAACTGTCATCATAGTCATTGATGCGCTCGACGAGTGTGAGCCCAAAAGGGAGAGGGACCTCCTACTTGGAGCAGTCTCGGCTGCGGCTCAAACTTCTCCTAATCTCAAATTCTTCCTCACGAGTCGACCCGAATCAGACATTGAGAAAGCGCTGGGGACGCAGGTGCTCAAGAGAAAGCTCGCGTTTCGGCTTCATGATCCCGACTATCCGGACAACGTCGACGATGTGGCGGCATATATTCGCGAGATGCTGAAAGACGAGGAAGGTCTCTCGCCTGAGCAAATTCTCAACCTGATCAAGAAGGCAAATGGTCTGTTCATCTGGGCAAAGACGGTTTGCGAGATGTTTGACTCCGACAAGAGAATCGAACCAGCCGAAGTAATTTACGAGAGAATCACATCCGGAAACAATCCCAGCGATATCGACACTATATACGAACTCATCCTCGACCGCCTCGAACCCAATGTTCGTCAAGCCTCGGACCGCCTCCTCCCACTCCTGGTTGCCGCCTTCGAGCCGCTCGCCCCAACGAGTCTGGATATAATTATCAAGGAATTTGGATTAAAGTTGGAGACGAAAACCGTGGTCAAACGGCTGGGTAACGTCCTGCATGTGGACCAGACCACCGGACTGATCAGGTTCCGCCACCCGACATTTGTCGAATATCTGAAGCGGCGTAGTCACCCAGAAGGATACCTTAGTGGACCCCAGGTTCACGCTACCCTGGGAGAATGGAGCCTGAAGACGATGAAGGACAAGCTCAAATTCAATATATGCAAACTTGGTTCATCTTCTCTTCGCAATAGAGACGTAGGAGACTTTGAGGACAGGGTTACCAAGCTCGTTCCGCCTGAGCTACGTTACGCTAGCTCCCATTGGCTCTCCCACCTTTCTGAGACGGACGACGCATCCCGACAGAAACTATTGGTACAAGTTCGACATGCTATACGAGCTCCCCAGGTGCTATACTGGTTCGAGATCCTAAGTGTGACCCTTGGAGTATCACGAGCAATTGCGAATCTCCGAGGTGCTGCAAGTCACTTTGAGGTGCGTCATTTCAGAGCACACTGGAAGCCGAACTGATCCAACTCGTAGGATGATATTTACGATCGCATGGTGGACATTCGACGATTCCTAATGGCATATTCGACGCCGATCCAAGAGAGTCTTCCCCACATCTATCTTTCGGCACTCCCTTTTACTCCAATCAACTCGATCCTACGAAAAGAAAGCCTAAAATGGTTTCCGAAGACCTTCTCTGTAGTTCACGGACTCGACGAGGCGTACCCTAGACTCACCCACGAAATCAGAGGCCACGAGAAGAAGATCTCCGCAATAGTCTTTTCTCCAGACGGCCTCCGCGTCATATCCAGCGCAGAGGATAGTACCGTTCGCATATGGGATCTAGAAACCGGCCAGATGCTCGGGGAACCTCTGCGAGGACATACTGAAGGGGTCAACTGTGTCGCGGTATCCCCCGACGGATCTTGTATTGCTTCAGGATCCAAAGACCGATCCATTCGTCTATGGGACCCTGAAAACAACTCCGCAATAGGGGACCCAATGCGTGGGCATAGCAGCTGGGTATCATCTCTATCATTTTCGCCAGACGGTCTACACATCGTCTCCGGTGGGCATGACTGGAATATACGCTTGTGGGATGTTAAAGGCCGAGTGCCTGTAGGAGAGCCACTCCGGGGTCATGAAGGCGTCGTGACCTCGTTAGCTTTCTTTCCAGATGGTTCACGAGTCGTTTCAGGGTCGGAGGATAAAACTGTTCAATTATGGGACATGCAGACTTTGCAACCGATAGGGGAGCCGCTAAGAGACCACGACGCACGCGTTACGTCCGTCTTGGTCTCAAAGGATGGTTCGCAAATTCTCTCAGCATCCGCTGATGTGAAGATTCGGTTCTGGGACAGTAAGACTGGTGAACTATTGCGAAAGTGGTCGCCAATGGGTTATGCCGCTGGTAGAAATGTCGTCTTTTCTTCAGATGGCTCGCGTGCGGTCACCATTGGCGAGTCTGGGATCGTCATGTGGGAGACAGAAAGTGGTATAATGGTTAAGGCGCAACAAACAAGCATAGGGGACTCCATCCATACTGTCGCGCTTTCGAGAGATGACAGATATGTGGTCTCGGGATCACACAAGGGAGTTATTCGACTATGGGATGGGCGCAATTTCCTACCGTTGGGAAAGAAGTCTCAAGGCCGTGGGGATGCGATATTCTCCGTCGCAGTATCTCGCAATGGCTCGATGATTGCATCCTGCTCGACCGATGCGACTATTCGCCTCTGGGATACAAAAACGGGCAAGGAGCGTGGGCGACCACTTCGACACGATGGTGTCGTTCTCTCGGTAGCCTTTTCAGCAGACGACTCGCTCATTGCCTCTGGTGGGAGGGATCGAGTAGTACGGGTATGGGAAGTTGATACCCATAAAAAGTATGGAGAGCCACTTCAGGGACATGAAGCGATCATTCTGTCGTTATGTCTTTCTCATTCTAGCTATACCATCGCTTCAGGCTCGGAAGACGGCAATATTTTTGTGTGGGACGAGGCTGAGGCACCAGGGAGGCATTTCCATGGCCATCTCGACAGTGTGCTCTGTGTTGCCTTCTCTCTCGACGATTTGCACTTGTCTCTGGGTCTCGAGACGGTATGATTCACCTATGGGACGTTTCTACGGGTGAAATCCTTAAGAAAATCACTCATATCGGACTCATAAGCGCCATCTCTGTAGCCATGTCTCTTGATGGATCGTATATCGCCGCTAGCTCCGAGAGCCCCAGCACTGTCCTTGTGTTGAACACAACAACAGAGGAGGAGTCCATTGTCCAGTTACCTGGCCGCAATCCCAAAGTTTGCAGCGTCGCATTATCGTATGATGGATCACAACTTATCTCCGGTTTAGAAGATGGGACAATACAGATGCGGGACATTCCATCGGATCAAGCGTTGGGAGCGCTACGAGGTCACACCTCTGAGGTGACAAAGGTTCTGCCTGCACGCGACGGGAGCTGTATTGCCTCTTACTCGAATGACTACACGATTCGAGTCTGGAACACCCTAACGTGTACGTATGGCTCCTTGCTGCACACTCTCAAACTAAAAGGAAGCAGTAGACACGGACGCTGCGACTACCTCAGCACAGTCTATCCAACTATCATCACACTCTGCTGCTAGCCACAAATTCTCAAGTGATGAACTCGAGAGGATCGCCCTCTCCGATGATGGTTGGATAACATTGGATGCCAAACTTCTTTTCTGGGTTCCTCCGAATCACCGTCATGGCCTTAAACACCCATGCATGTTGACCATAACGTCTACTAGTCATCTTCGTATGACAAAGTTCGACTTTAGGAACTTTGTTTGTGGCACGTCTTGGGCAAATGTTCAACGAGACGCACCAAATTAGTAGAACGAAACAGGATAGATGGTTTGGAGAGCTTACCATTAAATGCATGTGGTTGATACAAAGGAATATCAACTTTTCGAGACACAAGCTGGTCAAGCTTATTGAATAGCGCGCTTTCCGAGCTGCACTTCTAGCCATGAGAATTACGCTATCATGCAATGTGACGATTCGTAGCGGGGGATATGGTCCTATGTTCTTGGAACCGCTCGTGTTTGGTCTCTTCATTCAATAGCGCCAACTTAAAAGTTCTATGTTTATAAGATATTTATCGTGAACCCTAGACAGGAGCGAATAAGAGACCGGTCCTTGGCACAGATTGCTCTTAGACATACCTCCCACCTGTGACGAGACTAACGGGATATATCTTTCATATTATCCTCATACAAATCTGTGATTCAAATAATGTCGGTAGCCCTCTCTCGATCGTACAATGGAGGCGAGTCGGGCATGCGACACCGACTCCACAACGCAGCACGTGTTCATTTCCTGGAAATAGGCGTGGTGTTAGCCGGATCTACATGTCGTCACCAAAGTCGAAGGGAGACATGACGGAAGGATGACGTCGGGTTTAGGATATATAAGCAGGACAAGTCTACTCGTTCCAAAGACTTACCAGAGAACGAACAACCACCCAGTACACTTTGACAAGATGATGCGCTCTGTAATTATCCGACGCACCCTCAACGCAACGACGGCGACGAGGACCGCGCCCATGGCGAAGAGAACAATGTACTCGAGCCCAGTATCACACAAGACAGCGACAGAAAAGGTCAAAGAGGTCGCCGACAACGTACGTTTGCCCCTTGCCATATTTCCCTCCTATTCCGATCCAACAACCTCCTCGACCTCTTTCATCATCTAACGCGTACACTAGGTCAACAGGAAGGTTGGCCAAGGCCTCGCATCTGCCATTGAAACAGGCGAACACGCCGCGGAGAGCGTCAAGAACGCGACGGGGATGAGCAGCGGCGAAGCGAAACGGGCTGTCAACGAAAAGGCTACCGAAGCGAAACAGACGGTCAACCAAAAGACGGCAGAGGCAAAAGACACATTGAACGAAAAATCGCAGCAGGCAAAGGAGATCTGGAATGAAAAGTCGGCAGACGCAAAGCAAAAGGCGAGCGAAACGGCTGAAGAGGCGAAACAAAAGGCCAATCTTGTGCGTTTCATCCATTATTCGTTTCCTGTCTGGGGCTCTGACGCACTCCTGTAGACTGCAGCCGGCGCGCGACAAGCAAAGGAAGATTTTACTAAAGAAGTCCGCAAGTAGACGACTACTCTCGCATGACCAGTCACTGTATTACTACCCATTCAATTCCAGACATTTCATCATCTTACGAAGGAGCCTGATGTCACACATAGGGATAAACGACACAGAATCTTCCTACTAATTGCACAACTAGCCAAATACATAACACCTTCTGCGCAAATCTGCACAACGGCGAGCTGCATCATGGTACACTGCGAGTCTACGGAGAGAGAAAGGACATAGGAGAACAAAATGGAGAACAAGAGAGAAAGAAGAGTCATCACCAGGCACTGAAACAACAAGAGAAAGAAATACACCGAGCCACTCCCATCCAGTCGAGGCAGACCGTGTATCTAACCCAAGGCCTGGACACGAAACACAAAAGACAATGCATGACGTGCGAACATGGAGGGAGCCTTGTGAGTCCAGTCAAGCCATTATTGGATGTACTTCTCGTTGAGCAAGTGGACCTCGCGCGCCAGGTACGGCCACGACAGACGTCGAGACAAGTATGCATGCAGCGCTTGCTCTCCTTCTGACGCAAACCGTTCACGAGCGATTTCGGCCTCCCACGAGCTCAGGTTGTACAATAGTCGGAGATTTGGCTGGATCAATACACTAATCATTGGTCAGAATCGAACAAAAATGCCTTTCCATCACGAAATCAACGCACCTCAGGCGACGAGAACGAACGAGCAAGTAGGCATCGACCAGCGACATTCCCATATGCTTCATCACATACGCAATCTGTCTTCTGTCAGCACCAGTAATATAAGTTGGTTTGATATAGCACGTACTGTGACCGTCGCGCTCCTGGACACACCAACACGACAATGGACAAGCACCTTGCCACCCTCTTGTCGAGCCGCATCAATCCAGTCGCAAACCTCTCTGAATCGCGGCCGCAAGCTATCAATACCATCGTCGGATACGCCCTAAGCCATATCTGTTAGCACGCTTCCAAATATGGTCAAGATGGCAACATGCCTTGATATCGAGCACCTTGATTCGTCCCTCGCGCTCTTCTATCCAAAGCGAGCCCGGTCCAGCACCAAGTACTTTGCCACCGTACGAGAACCGGTACTCCGCCGCCTGCGAGGTGTTTCCCTGCGGCGGTACGAGCGCACATTCTCCCACGGAAACGACATGGGTGATTCCCAATGCATGAAGCATGTACGCATTCGAAGCGTGTGCCCTAATAGAGTGTTAGCAATCCAATAGATCACCGTACATCAACGAGGCGTCATGCCACCAACGGATTGGCCAACGCATTACGCCCACGAGAGAAGGGGAAAAGAGACCGAACCACTCACAGATTACCGAGGTAGAGGAACGGAAGCACTCGAGACGGGAATGAACCGTCGAACCGTGGGTCACTGAACCATGCCCAGTGATCGGCCCACACCTGAGGCATGGGCGATGTCGATGCTCTGGCCCGCCGCTTCGGTGTTCCATTGCTCACACCACGGGATCCAAGTGCACCCGACGAGTTGTTCATCACGAGTGCAGAGTTTGGCGTCGAACTCGAGAGGACCATTGCGGCCGTATTGGATGATGAAGCTGGCGCCTCGTCTTCTTCTGGTGGTGGAGCAGGGATGCTGAAGCTTGCACGAGAACCCCACGTCGACCATTTCCATCGGCTGAATCCATTCGTCGACTGATTGGCATTATCGGCGCCCCCAGCCCCATCAATCGTCATATTCCTATTGTTCGTCACCTCTCGATCACGGCCCCGCTCCTTTGGAGCGTTGCGAGAAGGCACATACAACCGTGCTTCTGCTCGTTTCAGGAGATCAAGGTCGGTCGGATATACGTAAAACGAGCGACCTCGCGCAATCTGCAATTCTAGATACGCCTCGGGGAGCGACATGCCTGCCGAGCTGCCGCCGCCCGACAAGTACGTCTTTGTGACGGTGGCTGAGTGCGTTCTGTGGAGAGAATGATGCGTACCCTCGGGATCCGGATGGACCGAAGTCGGATCTACAAACGCGGAAAGCATCGAGGATTGCATAGGGGTGAAGTGAGATGGCTTACGCGCCATGAGCAGGCACAAGGCGAGTATAGACGTCTCTGTGTACCCATCAGACGAATAAAGCAGGATTTTGCATTTTCGCAGCGGTCTGTTTGCATGAACCGACTTGTTGGAGCCGGCGCTCTCGTCGCGACGGTGATGAGGGAACGAAACCGAATTAGAGGAAGAGCTTGGGGAAAGCTTCCAGAGTTACTGTTACTATTGGATAGTCCTGGTGATGTGAAAAAGTTGGAGCCCGATGCAGATGTCGGAGACGAATTTTGGGGTGCCTCTGGGTACAAGAGACCTTGTAAAAAGGCGATGAATGCGATAAGCTGGCTGACTGTGTGCTGGTTCACGATCGGAGAAGAGGGAAAGGCGAGGTGGAGGATGTGATTGGCACTCGGTGGTGGACGAACGGGTGGCTCGTCCGGTTTGCCATCCGCGGGCGTATCTTGCTGCCATCTCGAGACCCAGAGCTCATCCAAAAGTCTCAGATGGTTTTCTACAGACTCGAGTTCTCGAGAGGTCGGGAAGTGGGTGCCATCGCAGCACTCGATGCAGATATCAAACCCTTGAGGGTTGTTCTGCGTTGCGCCTGTAAAGGGATCGTTTCCGAGCAGGCCATTCTGATAGGATGGGACATCGTTTGAATTACCCAACTATGCAGGCAGCACGTCAGTACGACAAGGACCCCTTGTTCAGGGACAAGGCACTGTACCCATAGTCCATCGCAAACCTCGGTGGCCTGCGTGAGATTGCATATCTCTTCACGTTCGCGAGCGGCGAAATCGACGTATTGGATCGGTCGACCTATCGAATCCCAAGCGACGAGGTGTGGGAACTTGTTCTCGAATTCGGAGAAGGGATCTAAATATCGCGTCATGGGCACGCAAAAAGGAAGGGGCAGTTGGGCGCACCAGTGATCACAAAGACATTGTAATGGACAATATCACCCTTTCCGTAACGTTCACGTTCGCGCGCCTTTGCCTCGATGGCATGCTTGAATCGCTCTGCGAGTGCGAAGCTGGCTCTGGTCATGCCTCTGGGTGAGTAGATGACCACATCGGAAAGAGTGGCATAGATGGGCTATCATGGGAAGAGCGATCAGAAGGTGTTCCCCAAACATGAATGAATGGAGAAGACCACTCACGACTTGGATGCCAAAGTTGCGTCTGCAGAGAACCAGCCGAAATGTCAGTAAAAACGACAAAACGCAACAAACAGATGTAAACGGCACGGCAGATCATATGAGGGGTCTGCCATCGGGTATGGTTACGGTAAACTCTCGCGTGGGGGAATGTGGGGTAGCCCTCCCCGCACAGCCGAGAGGGAGAATGAAAACCCAATGAGAAGAGAGACTCACAGCGAGATACCATCAGGCACGCGCGGAGGAACGAAACACGGGCCGTCCGCGCAAGTGGTCAGCAGATCCTCCGCCCTGAGCGTAGAGGTGAGCAGGTTGGAATACATCGAGGAGAAGGGAGTCGAGCCACAGTGGGCGGACGAGGGCGACGTTGGGAGTGACGTCGGAGCTGTACTGGGCGAGATTGGGACCTCTGAAGACGAATAAGAAGTCGTAGACGTCGAGGCGGAGCGTGCAGAACGTCCGGGGATTGCAATGGCAATGGACCCCGCAGCCGGCGGGTTGCTCGCAGTGGCCTCGTGCGCGTGTTCACTCGTTTGCTGGCTATTGTCGCTCAGTTGTTCGTCCTCGTCTTCGTCGAAATGGGAACTGTCGTGCATCTCAAAGTCGTCGCGCCCAACGACCAGGCCGGGACTCGCGTGTCCAGGACCGTCGAGATCGTCTGCGCGCACCCAGATGAGGCCTCGGTACTCGGGGACCTTTGGCGTTGGATTCACGGGTGGGAGCAACGGGTGCTGGGCATATGCGGGGAGTAGACCCCGTGAGGCATTGGCAAAGAATGTATTCTGGGACAAATTGTTGCCCTCGATGCCGTGGAGAAACGGGAACAGCGTTGAATCTCCTAGGAGATCTTCATCTGCGAGAGAATAGAGTGTATGAATCTCTGCAAACTGGGCGGCGGTGAGCGCGCGGATCGGGGCAAACGGTGCCGGCCGTGGGAGCAAGATGGGGAGCGAAGACAGGAAACGAGGAGGATACTTGAGACCCGCAGGCTCAGCATTCGCAGTATCGCTATGGCCGCTTGAGCTCATCGCAGTCGACGAGGGAATCCAAAAGGCAATAGCAGGGCGCAACCACCTCCTGCCACTCACTCTAAACGGCAGAGGCCCCACCGCGACAAGAAGCTACGACTGCTGACCAATCAACATCCAGGAAATCAAAACAAGAGCTGTATTCAAAAGACGGTGCATCATGCCGCCGAAAGCACAGACAAAAACGCCTCGCCAGCCGCGTGCTGCTTCGTCTTCTTCTCGCCACACTTCTTCAATCGCTCCTGTTTCACTGTAGGTGGGTTAGGAATACTCGCAAGACACCCACAACAAGGACGCACAGAGCTCTTGACGACGAAGCGTCTTGGCATAGGGATTCAGTCGGAACAAGACACCCTTGTTCACCAATGGATTCTTCTTCTGCGTCCAAGGCCTCTTTTGCGTCTTGGATTTTGCAGGGCGGACCACCGACTGAATCTCGTCGCTATTGATCAGTCGCGTGACGTCGGGATTCGCCATCTTCGCCGTCGGGAGGCTATGCAATTCCATCATTAGCCCTGCAGCATTAGGTAACCCATCCCACTCACATGTAATCTCGCTTGTACAAGGACGCCTTTTCGAATGTGCCAAACACTTCATCGAGGACGGAGAATGCACTCTCCGTCCAGATCACAAACCGTCCGAGATGTCCACCGGGAGCGAGCTGGAGGAGATTGAGCGCCCTGACATTGGCAAGCTCTACGCCTGGCAAGTTGCGGAATGCTGGCACGATGCCCTTGTCCTCATTGTACACAATCAATGGTCCACGGCGCTGACGATGGCGACGTCCACGCATCTTGCCCTTGCCTGCACGGAGCTTACGCGAGTTGGAGACTTTGACCACATCATCATAGGCAGCAATGGCCTTGAGGAACGCGACGGCTTCACGCGTCTTGGTGAGCGACTCAATTTCAGACGACACGACGAGTGGGACTTCGCGAATCTTTTCGATACGGTGGCCGCGGGCGAGGACGAGAGATGGCAAGGCAGAGGCTGCGAGTGCAGACACGACAGCGAAGCGGCGCTGGTTTTGGTTAATCTTGACGTGCCATTTGCGCCAGGTCTTGGTGGGTGCAAACATACGACCGCCACGGCACATGTTACCAAAGGCAGCCTAGTAAACGAGGCGTGAGCTTTGCTTCTCAGCGTTCAACTTTGGACAAACCTGTCCCGAACGGTGTGTTCCACCACCTCCAACGCGAGGAATACGAGCGACGGCACGACCCGTTCCCCAGGACTCTGCGCTTGTCTGGTGGCCAGCCTTTTCGCTCACGGCATAGGCTTGTCTCCTGTTCTTTGCCATGCTGGCTATTGAAATAGATAAGAATATAAGCATCCTAGGCGGTATTCGCACTTACTGTGGACCTGTTGGACGACATCGAGACGAATGGGAGCAGTAAGAACTGCTGGGAGAACGAGCGAGCCAGAGCCCTCTGTCGCCAGAATTTAGGACTTTGAATTACGCATAACCCTTGCCACAAACCTCCAGTTTTTGAATGGACGCAGACACTTGGACGAGACGCCATTTGGTCGAGAAAAGTACGTGTGATCCACCTGACACCCACAATTTAGAGTTTCCAACGATAGGAGGGTCTGAAAATGGTTATATAAACATATATACTACTTTTACATGCAGTTTTACAAGTTTGACACGATTATAGACGCTCTCGGATATCGAGATGTTGAGCACCAAACTTGGCTTCTACTCCGTCGACCGTTTACCTCAAGCTGCCAGTTTATTTGCAGAAACTATCTGGAGTACTAATATCGAGCATATATTATATCTTAATTGGCTTAAGGTCTCGAAGCTGTGATCCCATCTGACTCTCGGCGGAAGAAGACCCACTTGTGGACCCACTTGTGGACCCACTCGTGGACTCTTAGACATTTGAATATCAGATTAATCTCTCACAGACTCCTACGCGCCCAGCGAAGAGCGTGAGGGGCTTCTGCCCGTTAGCGACATAAAGTCGATGTGGAGCATTGTCGGTGAACGACTGGACGTAGATCGTAGCGAAGGGAGACGTTCTTAACGCTCAAGGGCTCAAGAACATGGCTAGAGAAGCAGGACGCCTTCCGCGCGCTCTCGGATGTAATCCTTATCCAACCACTCTGGAGGTCATTTATACCATCTCATGCGGTCGTTTCGCCAAGATAGCGATCGAACCTCAAATCAAGATTGGTCGTCGCAGCGTTTCACACCCCAGCACGGCTCGTGTTCATTTGCTACCGGTGAGCTCTACAATCGCATATCTATTTCACTCTCTCACGTTTGCGCCACAGGGTCACCTTTTTTCAGGGAGGAGTGCGAACGCGCGACGCTTCTCCCAGCATGGATTTAGAGAGAAGTATAGCCTATTTATAGGCAACTGGGAATCTCTGTACTGTGGGTTCAACGCCAACTTTCTTATATTCGGGTTGTACTCTTTCGTGGGCTCTCCCACCATCTTCTCCCCGTCTCCATCCCCCTACCCTCATTTATCATGTCCGAGAAGCACAAGCTTGCTGTGGTCATACAAGGCAGCTCAAAGTCGTCTGCAGAGTCTCTCAAGGATGCCAAGAAGAATGAGGCAATCTTCGACGAGCGTCGTAGCAAGAACCTCCTTTGGAAGCTAGACCGCAACATCGTGCCCTTCTTGTCCTTGTTATATCTGTGAGTGAACCGTTAATCTGTTCCCCAGTCCTTAGAATTCGTGTAGTCTGTCCTTCTTGGTGAGACTCTTCACCTCGTGTGTTTACAGTGCGAATCCACTGTCGAAAGGACCGAAGCAATATCGGTACATGATCTCCATTTACGAGATCTCATGGACTAACATCAGAGAAAGGAAACGCTCGTCTCGCTGTCAGTCGCCTTGGGCTTTGTAACAATCCAACACTAACGCCATCTAGAACCTGGAGTCGTCGCTCGGGATGAAAGGTTTGTAAACCCGTGGATACCTAACAACGTTAACAAGATATTCAGGACTCGACTATAACAACGCACTAGCCATCTTCTTCCCCTTTTACGTCGGTACGTGCAGCGGTTGTGGTGCACAGATTGACACTAATTCTCCATCAGCCGCCGAAGTCCCCAGTAACATGATGCTGAAGCGAACAAAGCTCAGTTTTTGGTTTGCACTCATTATGGTTCTATGGGCTTTGTCCACGATTGTCATGGCGTTCGTCAAGACGTATCGCCAACTACTTGCTGTGCGCGCGATATTAGGCTTCTTCTAAGGCGGATTGTGAGCATGAGCTATATTTGGGCATGATTCAATACTGATAGCACCATAGATTCCCCAGCATCAACTTCTATATCATGACTTGGTATCGTAGACATGAATGCGGCCTTCGCATGTGAGAACTTCCCGTGCCAAATGTGTCCCTTCTTCTGACATGCACCCTCCTCTCTAGGGCAATCTTCTTTTCTGCTGTGAGAACTCTATCGGCTACTCGTACCGAAGACCTTCCTCACATCTTTCGCGCAGGCTACCGCGGCAGGTGCCTTTGGGGGTCTGCTCGCACGAGGAATCTCTGAAATGACTGGTGTTGGCGGGCTCATGGGATGGAGTTGGATCTTCGTACGCCTTTTCGACGGCGACTTTACTCAGGACTGACGAAAGCGATGCAGATTCTCGAGGGCATCGTTACGTTTATCGTCGCGATTTGGGCCTACTTCCAAATCCATGACTTTCCTGATACAGCCAAATTCTTGACCGAAGAGGAACGCTTGGAAGTCCATCGAAGGCTACGCGAAGATCGTTCTGGTCTTGCAGAGGAATGGCACATGAAATACGTCATTCAAGCTCTCACCGACTGGAGATATCTGGATTCATATGCTAATCACTCTTGGTGAGAGCATCTCCAGAGCCGCTCTATGTACATGTATCATTGACTGACGTTGACGTATAGGCATGTTTATCGGCCTGTACAGCGTCAGCCTGTTCCTGCCGACGATCATCAAGAGCATGGGGTACAAGAACAGCAAAGCGCAACTCATGACTGTCCCACCATACGTCGTCGCGTGTGTCTTCACTATTAGCGGAGGCTTTCTCGCCGACCAGTTCAAGCAGCGCGGTATATTCATGATCGGCTTCTGCTTGCTCGCCATTATTGGATTTACCATGCTCATCTCCACAGAGAACGTTCATATTCAATACGCTGGAACCTTCCTCGCCGCGAGCGGGATTTATGCCAATATCCCCGGAGGTGTCGCCTGGAACAGTAATAATATCGGCGGATCTACGAAGCGGTGAGTGCCCAAAGGAGTTCTCTACGTCCCACTTAAACCTGCTTAGAGCCGTTGGTCTTGGCCTGCACGCAGCTTGTGCCAATCTGGGCGGTATTTTCGCCTCGTATCTCTTCCAGGTATGTGAAATCTGTCTCTCAACATGATCATGTCTACAATTTTAGCAGAGCAAGCAAGCTCCACGCTACTTGTTGGGTTTGGTACCCTTCTAGGAGCAGCCGGCATGTCGTGCCTCCTCAGCATCTTCATGACCACCTACTTGCGTCGCGAGAACTCGCGCCGTGATCGCATCGCAAAAGAAACAGATGCCTCTTCGGAGTCCTCGCTATTGAATTTCCATCTGTCTTATGGATACAACTCCTATGCATATCGCGTTGTGCACTTTTCAGATCCAACGTGTTATAGAACCGTGACCCTCAGCTAGTGGCTCTACAATTTCTTGCGATAACGACCGACGCGATGCCAAAGAAGATTTGGTGGCTCCTCGGGTACTTTGCCCTCCAAGTTGCGGTCCTCCCATATATCCAGCGCGTCGATAATATGATGCGTTGGTTTATCTAACCGACAGCCTAGTATTGGTTCACATATCGGTGTCCAAACGGCTTGCCACCAAGCAAGCGTAGGCGAGGGGTCGCAGCGAACGTGCTCATAAAGAGGAACACTCCACCTAGTTTGAGAACCTTGTTCGAGTCCAGCCACTGATTTCTTGACGTCGGGGATGCCACAGAGACTGAGGATGGAGACGAGCGTGTCGACTTGCTCTCCCCCAAGCGCATCTAAGATTTTATCCGTCTCTTCAGCACCGTACGAGATTATCTGGATCTGTGCGGGCTCGAACCCGGCCTTGACCGCGTTGGCAGTGATGTGCTCATGTATCTGTGTATTCGGCTCGAGGGCAATGTACCTTGTGACACGAGTGGTGTCCAGGTACTTGCACGAGTGGCCGTGTCCTTTGCGGGCATTAGTCTATCTTGTTCTGTGTATGGAGTTTTCGAAGACGACACACCTGCCCCTATTTCAAGAACGACACCATAAGCAGCAGGTAAAAGTGCCTGTTTAGTTTCTGCACCCGCAGCATCCACACCGTAGCCCATGAAGGCCCAGACGTTTTGAAAGAACACGTCTTGCAATCTTCGTGGGTGGACAAGAAGCGACGGCTGCGTGAACGTTGCTGATATTGTAGGCGGAATAGCTGCTTTTAGGATGTAAAAGAGGTCTAGTAGGACTGCGAAACGGTCAAACCAGGTGACCGACGCCATGGAAGTGGTCCGCTCCACGCTGGCTTCGGGTGTGTCGATAGTCCGCCTTCCAGTTCTTTACCGTAACTTCCAATTCTTTGTCTCTGGGTTGGCCTGAAATTATCTGCGAGGTTCCATGGGTTCTGCAATATGGACAATGGTATCTATTCGTTTCGAATTGCTCTGTACCTTCAATGATTAAACTCTGTATTTGGCCTTGTCCTTTGAGCGCCGACAATACGGAGAGTGGCATTGGCGCTGACCATATCTTGGAGCCATCCACGTTCACGATGTCGACCCAAAAATCAACAAAGCACAAGAAACGACACCTGCCCACAGATTCATCGGGATCCTCGTCAGCACAGCGCCCAACAGGCAAAAAACGTCAAGTATACGACACGCTCAATGTCGGCCTGGATGTAGTGGCCAACATATCCGAGGGATCAGATGTACTCGCTCCTCTCAAGGCAGCTTGTCGAACCACCAAGTCAATTCTCGAAGTCGTACAGGCAAGTTGGCGAACCTGTCACGACTGCGTCTAACGGATTCAATAGGCAACAGAGATCAATCAAGAGGAATGGATTGATCTAGCCGGACGTTTGAAGGAATACATGTCTGCGCTCGAGAAACAAATCACCCTATTGGAGGCATATCCTGAGGAAGACATGGCCGTTGACGAGGCGTTTAGGCAGCCGCTAATCCATTATGTCGAGTACGTAGCACTTCAAATTTGCTTCAGTAGGCTGAATGATGTAGATTTCTCGAAAATATGCACGATACAATTGTCGACCTGAAGGAGAAACGCAACCGCAGCAAGCTCAGCATCTTTAAAGCGTTCAGCAAAATGAAAATTGACGCAGAAGAGATTCGCAAACTCAATCGAGACATCGAGGACCGGCATAGGCAATTCATGGTGCGAGCCTCATCGACCTTGTTCACAGTACTCACTATCGACAAAGGAGGCCTTGGGTATTTTTACAGCCTTGCGTATGCAAAATGTCGAGAGGAATACCAAAACCACCAAGGCGAACGTGGAGACCATTCTTACAGACAGTAAGCTGAAATTTGGGATGAGACGCTTACTAAACATTCGAAGTCGACGCCAATGCTATACTACAGCTACCGGTGGTAGCTTTCGTCGCATCCTCAGTCCACAAGCCCTGTCTGAAAGGAACACGCGAGGCTGTTCTTCAGACCATCTACCGCTGGGCCGACGATAATACGTCAGACAAGCCGATATTTTGGCTGTGTGATATCGCCGGCTCTGGCAAGTCCACAGTCGCAATGTCTGCAGCAGAGACTTGGAGGAACGAAGGAGTGCTAGGAGGCCGGTTCTTCTTCTCCATTGCAAGCAGTGAAGGATCCACCACAGACAAGTTCTGTTCCACGATAGCAAGAGACCTGGTCGACTACATACCCAGGCTTGCGCCGCACGTCGCTGGAGCTGTGAAGCGGCACCCGTCGTTCATGCGAAGCTCTCTAGAAGAACAGTTCCAGAACTTCGTCATTGATCCCATCCATCATAGTCAAGAACGTGTCATTCTCGTCATCGACGCTCTTGATGAATGTAGATCTGGATTGCAGCGAAGAGAGCTCGTCGAAATGCTTTCTACAGCTGTTCGAGGAACAAAAAACCTCAAGGTATTCATGACGAGTCGGCCAGACCCCGTAATCCAAGCCGTCTTGGGGTCACTCTCAATCAAATCCAAGTTGGAAGACCGACTGCACGATGTCAAGCATCATGATAACATTGGTGATATCGCAGTGTACATACACCAAGCACTAGACAACGTACTGCCGGAGGGCAAAAGGCAGAGACTGATCGAAAAGGCCAACGGATTGTTCATCTGGGCGAGCACTGCATGTCGAATGCTCACCAGCCAGACAAGCTTAAGCCCTCCGGAGATCACGTATGATCACCTCATGTCCATGGACAAGGCTGGGGCCATAGACGATCTATATAACCTCATCTTTGTGCGCATGGATCCCGAGTTCCACACGATCATGTACAAGATGCTCGCTGTACTGCTTGCAGCGTTTGAGCCGCTGACTGCGACGACGTGGACGACATTCTCAAGCATTCCGGGGTATACGGAAGTGCAAAGGCACTGGTACGGAATCTCGGCAGCGTACTTGTTGAGGATGGTACCACGAGTCTAATCCAATTTCGGCACCCACTTTCGTCGAGTACCTTCGGCGTTGCTCTGTTGCCCCACCCATCGATACGCGTAACAACGTGTATATCAGGATTCCTGACGCACACGGCCAAGCCGCAGTTTGGTGTCTCAAACATCTCACATCGCGAAGAGATGGTCTCAAGTTCAATATATGTCAACTGGAGTCATCTTTCTATCTTAATAGAGAGATTCCAAACCTCGATACGAGAGTATCGAGATTCATTTCAAGACGCCTGCGATATGCCAGCTCTCATTGGCTGTTCCATGTGGCTGAAGCTGACGACAGCTGGCGGTCCATCGTCAAGAAGAAAATCCAACAGATTACTCAAGTTCCATACGTGTTATACTGGATGGAGGTTCTGAGCTTGACCAGAGGAGTGCCACGAGCAATAACCGGTCTTCGAGCTATTAAACGCCACGCAGGAGTAAGTTGCTGATCCGAGCCAATTCAACTCTGACGCCACAGATAGCTTGAAACATGGGATGAAGTCAACATGGACCAGATTCGACGGTTTATAATGGTATTTTCAGTACCGATTCAAGAGAGCGCCCCACACATATACATTTCCGCACTCCCATTCACCCCTACAAATTCAATATTGCATATTGAGGGTGCGAAGATGTATAGTAATACCCTCTGTGTAACCGAAGGCCTCGAGGAAATGTATCCTGGGCTCCCAAGTAGGCTTCGAGGTCATGAGGGCGAGGTTAGCGCCGTCGGATTCTCGCCAGACGGCTCACAGATTGTGTCTGGCTCGTCCGACAACACAATTCGATTGTGGGACGCGGCAACTGGTCAGGCTGTGGGAGAGCCACTCCGAGGTCATGAACATTGGGTCAACGCCGTCGGATTCTCGCCAGACGGCTCACAGATTGTGTCTGGCTCGTCCGACAACACAATTCGATTGTGGGACGCGGCAACTGGTCAGGCTGTGGGAGAGCCACTCCGAGGTCATGAGGGCGTGGTCAGCGCCGTCGGATTCTCGCCAGACGGCTCACAGATTGTGTCTGGCTCGTCCGACAACACAATTCGATTGTGGGACGCGGCAACTGGTCAGGCTGTGGGAGAGCCACTCCGAGGTCATGAAGGCAGAGTCAACGCCGTCGGATTCTCGCCAGACGGCTCACAGATTGTGTCTGGCTCGGACGACAACACAATTCGATTGTGGGACGCGGCAACTGGTCAGGCTGTGGGAGAGCCACTCCGAGGTCATGAACATTGGGTCAACGCCGTCGGATTCTCGCCAGACGGCTCACAGATTGTGTCTGGCTCGTCCGACAACACAATTCGATTGTGGGACGCGGCAACTGGTCAGGCTGTGGGAGAGCCACTCCGAGGTCATGAAGATTGGGTCTTGGCCGTCGGATTCTCGCCAGACGGCTCACAGATTGTGTCTGGCTCGTCCGACAACACAATTCGATTGTGGGACGCGGCAACTGGTCAGGCTGTGGGAGAGCCACTCCGAGGTCATGAACATTGGGTCAACGCCGTCGGATTCTCGCCAGACGGCTCACAGATTGTGTCTGGCTCGTCCGACAACACAATTCGATTGTGGGACGCGGCAACTGGTCAGGCTGTGGGAGAGCCACTCCGAGGTCATGAACATTGGGTCAACGCCGTCGGATTCTCGCCAGACGGCTCACAGATTGTGTCTGGCTCGTCCGACAACACAATTCGATTGTGGGACGCGGCAACTGGTCAGGCTGTGGGAGAGCCACTCCGAGGTCATGAACATTGGGTCAACGCCGTCGGATTCTCGCCAGACGGCTCACAGATTGTGTCTGGCTCGTCCGACAAGACAATTCGATTGTGGGACGCGGCAACTGGTCAGGCTGTGGGAGAGCCACTCCGAGGTCATGAACATTGGGTCAACGCCGTCGGATTCTCGCCAGACGGCTCACAGATTGTGTCTGGCTCGGACGACAACACAATTCGATTGTGGGACGCGGCAACTGGTCAGGCTGTGGGAGAGCCACTCCGAGGTCATGAAGGCAGGGTCAACGCCGTCGGATTCTCGCCAGACGGCTCACAGATTGTGTCTGGCTCGTCCGACAACACAATTCGATTGTGGGACGCGGCAACTGGTCAGGCTGTGGGAGAGCCACTCCGAGGTCATGAACATTGGGTCAACGCCGTCGGATTCTCGCCAGACGGCTCACAGATTGTGTCTGGCTCGTCCGACAACACAATTCGATTGTGGGACGCGGCAACTGGTCAGGCTGTGGGAGAGCCACTCCGAGGTCATGAACATTGGGTCAACGCCGTCGGATTCTCGCCAGACGGCTCACAGATTGTGTCTGGCTCGTCCGACAACACAATTCGATTGTGGGACGCGGCAACTGGTCAGGCTGTGGGAGAGCCACTCCGAGGTCATGAAGGCAGAGTCAACGCCGTCGGATTCTCGCCAGACGGCTCACAGATTGTGTCTGGCTCGTCCGACAAGACAATTCGATTGTGGGACGCGGCGACTGGTCAGGCTGTGGGAGAGCCACTCCGAGGTCATGAACACACAGTCAGCGCCGCCGGATTCTCGCCAGGCGGATCACAGATAGTCTCCGGCTCGTGGGACAAGACGATCCGATCATGGGATGCAGAAACAGGTGAGTTCAACTCAGCTCGCCTTCGAGATTGTGATGCGACTCGACAAATAGCCTTAAGTACAAACGCAAATTCTTCTGGTAAAGAGTCTGTATATTCAAGCCTCAGTGAGGGCCTACAGGCCACTCCTCTAAGAATCCATGTACCTGGATTCCAAATTTGCTTACTCTCGCAGGACGGCTGGGTACATTCTTCCGGCAAACGTCTCTTCTGGGTACCACCAGACAATCGACACGGACTAAAATATCCATATCTCCTGACAATTCCAAACGAGGCTCCATTCCGCAAGACCAAGTTTGATTTCACCAATTTTCAATGTGGTCTCTCTTGGACAAATGTTCGAACAAATGTCCCATAATGACACTGAAGGGCCCTCCGGGCGGACCCTTGACCTTTATCTCCTTTTGGGCTGGACGTTTTATTGCGAAATATATGTTATACACACAACTCGCGTGGGACCCCTTAGACGCTCGCAATGAACAGGTAGAAAGGGTGTGAACGAAATAGGAGATTTCATCAGAGACCTAAATGATAAACAAAAGCAATCGTGCCATCTGGATCCAGGAGGAGACAGAGCACGCAGGCGGAGATTGTGAAGGGCACTAAGACTATGGGCCCGAGCCTTCAGTCCTCTTTCCTTGATCTGCTGGAGCTCGCGCTCAGGTGCATAGGAGTAAGCTGTTCGACAAAAGAACGTAAAGTCTTAGCTGGTGATACGCTCACAATACTCAAGGGAGCAACGTCTCTCCTGGAAACAACAGATGCATGCAAATTCAACGGATAACAAGTGACATCAAACGTCTCTGACGGGTGAAACGGAGCGCAGAGGCTCGTGGGAAATGACATTGGAATCCTCATGTGGTATACAGGCGGCGCAGGCGACACCTACAGGCAGTCAGAGTAAGTCCAGGGGTATCAAGAGGTCCGACGCACCTTGAGGTGACAAATTAGATAGCTTTACAGGAAAAAAGGTCAGCGGTGAGTAGACTTCGAAGCCAAACTGAACGTGTTCGAGTGGGAGGGTGTTGTCTTGGGAGTGTCAGTACAATCCATAGTGATAGGGAGAACGTACTGGTGAGAATTTGTCGCGTGTAACAAAACTCAATGAATTAGGTGAGATGTCCCAGATGTTCGTCAATGTTTCCAATCAGATGAATGTGGCGAGCCAGAGTGTCGGGTGCCAGGGAAGCTATTGGCAGCATTGCAGCTTCCTTAGTATGCAGAAGCGTTGAGCGATACTGATAGAACCCCGAATTGTTGAGCGAAGGGTGAGTGGGCAAGCTTGACTCCTTTCGGCATCGGTGCTGAAGTCAAGAAACCGGGGAGGATAGGCCAAGAAGCTGCGGTCAGCCTGTACAATTAGCTGACAAAGTTCACTGATATGCATTGGGAGCGCAAGGTCCGAGGGGAGGCCAGTGAGCTTAGGCCAGGAGAACAAAGACTAGGACAAAGGCTCAAGCGGGGCTTTGAGGTGGCCGCTGCAGTTTGACAAGGAGCCAAATTAGTTGAAAATCGTGCAGACATTTCAATTACTGTGCCTGGTAAAGGCTTGTAAGACCCTTCCCTCCACTTCGTTACGGTCAGGGGATTAAACAGCTTATTTGATTTTGGATAGAGGTACATGGGATTGCAATGACGATGACTAGACGACACAGATACGGATCAAAGAGTTGAAGAGTGCAATGCGCGTTGCATGTAGCGCGGTATAGCGTTACTATGCCCAGTCGAAGTGAATCGACCGCGGACAGGCCACAGGGACAGGAAATGATGAATAGATGGAGTCGGATCAACAAGTCAGCACATAGGACATTGACCACTTGTTCGGGACACGATTCTGGCGGAGACCTTTAGAAAGGCAAAAAAAAAGAGACAGGAACAATGCCCATGGTCAAGAGATGGTGTCAGAAGGAACGAGATCAAGACGGCACTAAACGCCCAAAGGCCAAAGAGCTCACGGACCGGAATGCGAGGTCGACGGCATGTATGGTAGGTATGTTGAGGTGGAATAACCCTGGTTGCGACGGTCAGCATCATATACTGGCAAAAGAAATGTAGGTTTACCATGTGTTGGAGCTGTACCAGCTGTTCCATCATTCTGATGTTAGCGTGCGATTGCCCATTCTGAGGGCGAGCCATCGGATCCCGCTCCTCTTGCATGAAAAATTCTTGGACATCCGACTCGCCGAAGCGGTATCCACTAGTAGCCAACAAACCCGTGACATCGGTGTCCTCGGGCTTGAAGTAGCTATTGTTCCTACCAGGCATCGCCGGTCCGATCATATTGGGCGTCGAGCCGGAGGAGCCACGCGCGCCGGTTCCGCCATTGACTACATTAGTCATATTCAACGACTGTGGGACAGCGTGTTGTCCAATGGGACTCGCCGACTTGCTGCTGTTTGAACCGTCGTTGTGCGCACGGACAGGGACAGGGTGGTGCTCAGGCCAGAGCGGTCCTGGTTGCCAGACTGTCGCAGGCCATACCTCGAGATGGGCATCGACAGGTTGCGCAAGGTGTTGCCTGTCCTCTTCCTCCCAGCTCTCTTCGGGCATAAATTCCGGAATCGGCCGAGGGCCATCGACGCGCGGACGACGCTTGAACACTTGTTTCGCAAGCTCCGAAGTGATAGGATGAGCACCTCCACTGGCGTCTTTACGCTCCCATTGCCAACGCAGCGCCGGCGTGACATGAAGCGCGGACTGAACGTCTTCGTAGCCAGTCTCATACGGCAGAGTTGGGAAACCGCATTTGTGTCCGTAGATGATCGTCATCGCGGCAATGTGTAGCGGCAGTGGGGACACAAAGAAACCAATGTCAGGAATCTTCGTGAGGCTCGCATGCATGATGACGATGTTGTGCGATGTCTTGATTGCTACAGTTCCCAGGTCAGAAATACAACCGCGAGAGACCTAGACGTTACCATCTACGAGCGCCTTTGTTCGCAAATCGTAGCGAGCACCGTTGTTGTTGAACAAGGTGCGGAGCAAGAGAAGACGCTGGATGTTGTACTTTAAGAACGTCAAGCCCTTTTCCGTGGTCAACTCGTCTCGCAGCTCCTTCTTCGCCGCCTCGGACCAGCCTTGAGTGCCTTGGAAATATGGCCAATATTCCTTGGGAAGCGTCTTTCTAAACGAAGCAAACGACTTGAGAATTCGTCGCGCATGGTCAGTGACTTCGCTGCTCGATTGAATGTCGGGTCGGTAGAGCGAGCTGATGATGTCCGCGGCGATCGTGTTCAAGGGTGCGCTATCGACAAAATGACGAGAGACGACACCGGGAACTTCAACCGGATGAGAAGTGTTGAACTCGTCTTCGGAGATGGCGGCTGGGCGTCCGAGAAGCACCGATGTTCCTCGATCGTGAATCATGACACTGTGCCATAGGTTGACGCGCAGTGTGCACTCTTCGGGCGTAAAGACGCCTCGCTGTTTAGCTGGGTCATGATGAAGGCCCAGTTCTACGGCGAGCCGGACCAACGTCCCAACCAAACGCCACAACGAGCGACCGTGACGCTATAAAATACGTCAGTTTTCTGAAAGAGCATTGCACCCGACACATACCTCTGAATAGAGATACCACTGTAGCAAAAGCAGTGCTTGAAGACTGGAAATGGTGACCCTGAGCTCTGGTTTGACGACCAGTGCTCTGGCAAAGAGCTGTTCATGTGTCGGCCAGTCTTGCTTGAGCTCCATGACCCAGTCTGCATTCTGTTCTGGTTGATGCATCTCCGACAGGGTCGCAAGCGCAAGAATTAGGTACGTGCTACACAAGAAGCCAACGTCGTCGGTAGAAACCGTGTCGTTGCTGTACAGCATGTCGAACCTCCTAAGGTAATCTTGTTTCTCAAAGATGGGGCGGTGAAAATTGAGACGTTTGAAGTACATCTCGACCATATGATTGGCAATTTTGCGGTTCAACGGGAGCCACACAAGATCAAGTTCGGAGGTGGAAAAGGATGGGGAGGGAAGTGAACCACGCTTGAAGGGGCGATTATACCAGAGTCTTGGGTGGAGTGAACCATGGGTGGTCGCAACCGGCGCAAGTTCATCGCCATCGACCTTTTGGGGCTCTGTCCGTGCATTAGACCATTATCTAGAAGAGTAAGAGCAGTCTGACCTCTATTACTGTATCGCGGATCTTCAAGGAGCTTTGAAGTGACGCCAAACTGCCTAGCAATGGCAGTCGGATCCGCCATATTGCGGCCGCGTGGATCGAGACCCTTCTGGCCATTGTCCGCTTCGTACTCCATCTTCGCGAGACCCACATCTTCCGTCTTTCTCTGATTGGGCAGAGCATTATGTTGGTGCGGAGGGAAGACAAATTGGGAGGAGGCCGACCCTGAGGACGCGGCCTGGGAATGTTGCTGCGACTGCGAGTTGTTACGGAAGAAAGGTGCGTGTGGTGACGCTGGCGAGACGAGCTGAGAACTGTCGACAGGGCTCCGAAGCGAGTACGAATCAGAGCCGGATTGCGACGGTGAATAGGGCATCATGGACATCATGTTGAGCGGAGCAGGGGGCTGAGGATGATGATGGTGCTGATTCGAGCCGTGCTTACTGCCTCCGCCAGGCGGCTGCAATGCTGGGTGAGGGGTGACCGGTGTGAGAGGCGTCGGGATACCGGGTGCAGCTTCCGAACCCATATTAGCCAGATTAGCGGGACGGGGCGGAAGCGTTACGCCATATTTTGTGGCAAAATACTGTGTCTTATTGGGATCAAAGTCAGGAATCCACTTTTGGAGGATGAGAATCGTTTCGGTGAGCTGCTGCTCGATGATCTCTTGATGTGCGCGGGCTTGAAACTTGTTTCTGTGTCGATCCTCTTGTTGGCACGTCACCCCAGCGAGTACACAGGCCGAGCAACTTGGGTGGCCCGAATCGCACTGATTTATGGGGGGTTGCACCGGCACCGAAATAGCGGGAAAAACGGTAAGATATAAGAATGCGCAAAATAGCGTTGGGATGAGCGGGAGCACACACCTTTATTTTCTTTTGTCGACAACGTGCACACGCTTCATGGCTCCGTCTCAATCGACGAACGGCCTCCCCCTCGGATGGCTCGCCCGTCTTTTTCCTCTTGCGGGGCGTCGAGGCTGGCGGGATGGGTGATCTAGAGACATTGGGAGCGCCTGGATGATGCTGCGATGGATGGTGGGTGAAATGCGGTGGTTTGGTATCGAGCTCGTCGTCCTCTGGCTCGTGCATCGGATAGTCAGCCATCGTATCGCTGTCGTGGATACTCCCGTTGCGATTATGAACGCTCTGCGTGTGATGGTGAGCGTTTGGGCTTTGGTTTGGGCCGCGATGGGGAGCGTAAAAGGCGGGCACGGGCCGTGGGTCCTGGTGGTGGCCGTTCTGAACGCTGTCTAAGCCCTTTAGACTCATATCTGTGTGACTTTGGATGCTGCTCGTCGCTGTCAATGACGACTTCGACGCGGCCAGGTCCAAGAGTGAACTTATCAAGGTGCGGCCGGCGAAGCCAAAATGCAAATGGGAACTGGTGCAGCAAGGCCAACGCCTGTTTGGCTCTGATCACTCGCGGGGCTTGAGATCGAGTATTATGCACACCAGTTATTATATTTTTTTACAGACATTTACAGCCCTGCTGGTCTCGACGAGGACGGTGTACCTGTTTCAACGCCTTTGCTCGCACGCACGACACGGGCCAAGCCAGCTGCACGTTCACAAGGTTATAACTCGTATTTGCCACCCCCCCAATGTGCTTATTTACGTCGCCCGAGTTGCCACGCCGACATCAGGCCCCGCCAGTCTCTTATAGAGTCCACAAAAGAATAAGTCCCCCCCCTCATTTGCAAATCTCACTTTTCTCAGAGATCGTCCAGATTCCTCGCTGGACTCTCCACAAACACATTTTCAAAAACTTGGGTACTGCATGCCTCCAAGCTTAATCCCCAACAGCTTCAGGCCATCAGGTATCCCTGCATCACCGTCAATTAGGCTTAGCCGATCTAAAGGGCTTACGCCATCACTCATTCAAATCCTCCGCCTCTCGACGTCTCACCTGCACCCACAGCTCCGTTTTATCTGACATACGCGTTAGACCCAACTGTCGACTCAAACTACTCGGGACTTGCCGACAGTTTGACTTGTTATATGTGGCGTTGATCGTCCGTGGTGGGCATGCCGTACTGAGTACCAGGGTGCTGTTACATGCCCCGCTTATGCGAGTGATCGACATCAAATACCTTGCGCAACAGATCCCAACCTTTTTTTCCATTCGCTGGTAGGCTATAGCATGCGACGGATCATGAAAAAAAAAAATACCGTGCTCTAAGCGGCAGGGCTTGTGCCAGGCAGTCCACGAGAGGAGAACAAATTGGGCAGTGCCGAAATGACAGCGGAGCCATTGTGACTACCCCGCTTCTCGTGAGCTTCTCGTCAAAAAACCTCTTTGGGGATAACCATGGCCGGGGCGTTCTAGACCTATCATATGAGTGCGGAGAAATATCTTTATTGTGGCTATAAATACCGTAAACGTTTTACCTTGCTTATTCTAATCTCATAAGATATATTTGAGTGGAGTGACCGGCAGCCTTGTGGATATCCGCTATGCTGGCAAATTGGGGTGATGCGGCCTTGGTTGCTGCGAAAGCGAGGATGGTTAAGAGGCGAGCAGCGTGTCCCCGGAATCAGTCATGTCCAGGGATCCACTTCGGCCCAGAGAGTCGATTGGCCAGCGATACCATATGCTAAGCCCGTCTTGCTCGTGCAACAAGTTGTGACAGATGGCGAAAAATCGACTTAACCTCAGTGAGTTTGAACTCTCATAGCTGAGCGTATTTGATAGTCATGTCCATCAAGACTTTTTGATGGACGGTGTCGTCTATTCGGGGACTAACAGTCCAACCAAGCAAGAATCAAGCATCATGTCGACCGAGACCCAAGCGTGGGTCAGTGCTGGTGACTGTATCAGTCATCCGATTCCCGCTAGAGGATGGCTGCGCTTACCAAATAATTTAGTCCCGTCGCGGCCAGCAACCCGCAAGAGCTCTTTCTCGCCTCCCGGATGAAACGGTATATATGGTGTAATATTATAGACTTTACCACCGAATGCCGACCAGGCATCGTCCTTCTTATTATGCTCCTTGAGCATCGAAGGCGTCACGCGGAGCAGTTGAGTCACTCCGCCCTAGCGCGACCAATTAGTCAACGACAACCAATTGAATTCGACATAGCTACGCACGCGCAGATCCTTGCCCGAACTCTTGAGATTCGCCCAATCGAGCGTCGAGTGACCAGGAGCGAGTGCAACTTTTCGCGACTTTTTGACGACTTTGGTCGTGGTCAATGGTGCCAGGTTTGTAGACGCTGACGAAGACGGCGCGGAAAGGCGCGGCGGGGGTGGTGCCATTAGGCCCCTCGAGGTGCTACTTGGTTGACCTTTGGACGATGCTGAAGCTCTCTGAATCGAGTTTATGGCCGGAAACGCGGGAGGCCTGTCTGTATCGTAGCCATCGTCCGACCCTTCTGCATGATCGTCTTGAGGCTCTATAACTTCAATCTCTGGAGCATCTTCGGCGCGTTTAGGCTGCGTTTGCGGCGCCGGTTCGACAGGAGCTCCAAGGAGCCAACTACGAAGATACGAGGTCATGGACAAAGCATACGACGCGGTCTTTGCCACCGACCACGATTCACCATCACCGCTGAAAGCTGATTCTGGAATGTCCGAAGCAAAAAGAAAGCATACAGGAAAGCAAGGCGGCGCACGAAAGAGATTCAAAGCTGTCAGTCTAGCTGCGATTGCTCATCCGGTGCAGGATGCTCCACTCTCGAATACTGAAAAGATACAAGGATGGAACAAAGATTTCCAGCACCACGATACATGGTCCAGGTATCTTTGTTACGTGCGTCAAAGGCAAAGAACGATTTGCCGGGAGAGACTTACGAGACGTCCTTGAACCAGTATGTCAAATTCCAAATTTATTTGGATTCCTGACCCACATCTCCGTGGATCGCGGACAAATTGTGGCCCACTGAACGACCTCTCGAAACAACCACCGATGCTCCACCAGATGATGATGAGGATGACGACGACGAAGACGACGACATTGAGGCGATGATTTCGAAGGAAAGAGCGAAGATTCACGAAGAACATGCTGAGAGTACCGAGTTGACTGGCGAACGATACAAGCGTTCGAATAAACCGAAGCGGCGGATTGGTATGTGCGATACATTGTCTCATATTGATTCTAGAGCTCTCTCTCACAGTAATACACCATACGGATACGCCATGTGGTCAGTTTGAACCCAACTCCTCTACGGCGCCACTAAACAACCGTAGTTCTCTTTGTTGGCTGTGAGCCTCCAATCGACCCCGTAAGGCTCACTCTATCCTATTTGGATCAAATCAAACAGACCGGATCTGCCCAAACCAGGTATAATTCTCCAATGTCATTTGGACTTTTATTCACTGGGTCAAAGGTCTGTGCAGCGCCTTGAGCCTATCTATGATACGTGTATTGCGGCACTTCCAGAACTCCTTATCCTGGGCGAGAAGATATTCAAGGAAAAACTTGGTGGCGTAGACGCGGACGCGAAGCCGCAAGTTTCTGTGAGCCGGTCAATGTTATGTATCAAGATGTCCACTGATGAGCTCAAATCAAGTATAAGATATTATCGCGAATCCGGAATTGTACTAAACTGACTTCCGCCAAAATCATCGAGGAGCTACCGAGAAAAGTTCCACCAAGCCATCGAGTTTCATTAACGAACCCTGACATCGTGATTTTAGTGATCGCATACAAAGTGAGTATTGGCATGTTGTAATGGATGTGCGCTTAACCGGGTACAGTCAGTAGCCGGCATTGGGATCGCCCCAAGATTTGAAGAACTGAAGAAATACAATGTATCACAATTAGTGGACGTCCCGGATTTGGATCTGGATCAGGGTGGAAGGAGCCGGAGCCGCGTCACAAACGCTGTCGTGGCGCAGAGCACGTCTGACGCGTCGTTTGGCGGGAATGACTAAAAAGACGATTCAGATATCGCATATATGAGTGTGCTAGCACTGTATCCTGTCACCATATCAAATCCTACCCATGTGTCCTCCCATGTGTCCTTCCATGTGTCCTTGTCCTGTTCAAGCTAACCTAGTAAGTGCCAAGAGCCTGTCAGATAGTAAACCAGAATACTAGACTACTTCTTACGGTAAGAAAGATCTCCGGTTGCTGACGAATCTCATTCAAAATCGCAAAGTCCGAGTGTCGGAGTTGGTCAGGAAACCCGGTCGGCTCGCTCGGTCATAGTGCTAAATAGACGCAGTCTTTGTATATCATGAGAAGGTACCCGCCGATGTATGCTAAAATGAGTCTGGAACCTTCGCTCCAGCCAGAAGCCTACGGCCAGTTCAGTGAGTCCCTTCCTGATCCTCCTAGTACGATAGTTCATTTGTACATTTTCGGCAGATCATATCCTTTCACATGCATCCCCCGTATTTTGTAGGATGGTTCGTCCCACCGGGTTCTAGCCACCTCGCCCCGGCTGTATTAGCCACTATTCAACTACATTTATGCGGCATGGAAGCTTTATTGATATGACAGGTACATACGGGTTACGAACGCCGCCTGCATGACCATGCAGTCGACAAACGCTAGCCAGAGGCGGTCCGGATACATCATTCCTTTATACACTCTGTTAATGAAACTTGCCACCGGCGGTTGTCACGAATACATTGGCAAGAAAGCGCTCGTGGGGTGGTTGGTCTGTTATAAGCACTTACACCGTGCCCGCAGTGATTCAGCAGCCCAAGGGCCTTAGAAATCGACTCAGGCCACGCGTACCAGTAGTATTACGCATTTTCTAACGTATATATTACACATCATGGGTATGAATGCTCCGTCGCTGAGAAGGAGATATTGACTTCGTTGCAGATCCCCGAAACATTTGGTTCCCATACGAGGACTTCGAGACATGGAGCTCAGAGTATCAGAAGGATGCGACGGCTCCCTCTAGGCTGAGTGAAGACTCCGATGCGACGGAGCACACTCAACCCAGCTCCTCCAATGAGCCGCGTCCTTGCGTCTACAGATACTCCAACTTGCTTCCAGGACCTTTGAACGAGGTTTGTTCTAATTTGTCCTTCTTTTTACATCTTCCGAGCTGATGCTTCGGCCGCTACCTTATATACAGGCTCCAGTTCCTACTCGCTCTTTTGACTCCTTCGGTCCTCCTCATCAGTCCTCCACTACCACCCAAGGGACCTCAGAAACTGTGCTCCCTGTTTATGATACTTACTGGCTCCACAACAGTGTAGCTCCACGAGAGAAATGGGCTCAAATGCCGGAGCTGGTCACATCGTCTGGTATTCCATCCCAGGTTTCAGCCTCCAGCACCCCCTCCAATACAGTCACGGATCACTCATATATGTCTTCGAACACGAATGCAACGGGTGAACCATCAGCGCCGGCGAGTAATCATGACATGCCTGGCTCACAAGTAGGCTCGATCAGACTTCACCATCCCACCACACTCGCCGCTAACCAAACTAGTTCAAGACCCGAGGTCGAACAGCCATCTTTGGTCCTTCACGCCATCGACGAGGGGTTCGTCAAGATGTCTTTCCCTCTGCATACCACCGACCACCTTCTCAAACGAGAAGCCCTTCGTTCGGTGATGATATCCTCTTGGAAACTTAACAATCAATTTGAGCCGGAAGCGTCACTGCTCCTCCAGTTTATGCGACATGACACTACCGAGGGACGTTGGTACTGTTCCTTCTGGAGGGACGGCAAGGCTTGTCCCTGCTCATGCAAGAAGAAAGATCATGCCAAGGGTCATATTCGGAGCCATCTCGATTTACTGCCGTATGTATGCAGTGAAAGTTGGTACGTGTGCCAGTCGCCAGGCATTATTATGCTAGACCGCCGCTGACTCCGGAGTGTTTGAACAGCCCTACAAGTTCAGTTGGATGTGGGAGGCGGTATCCGGCGATTGAACCCTTGCAGAAGCACCGTAAGGGTAAAGCGACTTGCGAGAATTGGTATGTCCGTCGCGTCAAACCCTCGGGAGCACCATTTGATTTTTACTGAAACGCCTATAGTGGCATGTCTATTCTGCCTGCCAATTTGAAGAGGCATATGGCATCTTGTCCCGGTCGCGCAGCCAATGAAGTGAGCTAATGGTTGGGGAGAGGATAGCCTCCCGGATGCACGGCCAGTGAAGTCAGAACAATCTATCGGTTTGATTTCACTCGTTGGACTGGTGTAGCGCCCGTCTGTTTGACCGAATGAGGATCCTGGGAGAGGAGGACGCCCATCCCTATCAGCCGTCTCCGCCAACTAAATATTTGATCTAGTATGCACTGTATTTTATTTTGACTATACCGGGGCTATTTATTCACTTCAAGCTCCTTGTCTAACGCTTAGTCGTGAGCATTGCCATACGGACGACCGGCACCAACTGGCGCTACACACGTAAATAAAGAGTATTATAATTAATAACAAGTATGATCTCTGCGTATGGAACCGGTGGATTGTGTGACAATAACGAGTGTAGATGATCAGAGAACTTGTCCTCCACCGCCATGTTCTCCTTGTTCAGGTTGGTTCAATTCTCATATCCTGGTACATTCTATACTTGCAAACGCGATTCTGATGAGGATTCAATTCCGTTCCTATCGGCAGCGATTCATCAGCCCCGAATCTTCACCCAGTCTCGTCTCGGTACCAACCCGAGGAGCTCTTTTCTCCCTTGAATGAGACGGATCTTGAATGGACGTGTGCCGGAGGGTTTGCAACGGAGACCCAGACCTTTTACCAGATTCTCAACGATGGCCGCTTCCTGATGTGCCAAGTCATTCATTCTAGCACTGGGTTCGTACATCAGTACCTCTGCTCCTTCTTTATGACTGAATGGTCTCATTTCCGGTTGCCGTGATCAGACTCTGGTACCCAACAGTTCAGTTTACATTCAAATTGTACAACCCCGCGACGAAAGAGGTCACTTGGAGATCCAGCAGTGTTAGTAATTTCGTGACACCTCCGCCTGGACAGGACAAGCGGTCGTGCAAGTCGGACACCTTTAGTATCGTCTACCGCCCATCGTCGTCAGATCCAGATCATTCGGAGAATTACACCGTCACCGCAAAGGTATCGGACGACATCTCCGTCTCGCTCATCGTCACGCGCCCAAATCACGCGCCGAGTGTCAAGATTGGTAGCCTGCCTAAGGGTGGCTACACGTACTTTGGCACGAATATGGACAACGCCGATGGATATGTCGTTCACCGCTTCTGGCCTCAGACAAAGGTGTCTGGACATATCACGTTTGGCTCGGCTGGGGGCGCAGCCGGTTCCGCAGGTCGTATCGAACAGTTTACCGGGTTCGGCATGCTTGTTCATGCTATCCAGGGGATGCGACCCAATCTCATCGCCAGGAGGTGGAACTTTTGCTGGTTCACGGGTCATATCCCCGACAGCGACAAGCGGGTCAGTGCGATCATGATGGAATTTACGACGACGGAGAGTCATGGACGCAAGAAGGGAGGTGAAGGTGGGGTTGTCGTCAACGTTGGCTGTGTTAGCGTTGGCGAGCGTGTCGCTGCCACGGCGGAGACAAAGTGGCCCGATGCGCCTCGCATTCAGAACGCACCCGTCATCTCTCGAGCGACTCACCTCGAGACAGTATTGGACAAGGACACTGGTTACATGCAGCCACAGAAGATTGAGTTTTCGTGGCAGAATGTCATTGCGCAGGACAAGGAGCACAAGTTCAAGGCGGACTTGCTCTTAGACGTCGGCTTTGGGGAACATAGCAAGGGTTTGATCGAAAAGGTCGACGTGTTAGCCGAGATTCCCAAGGTGCTGAAGACAATTGTTCACGCGACAGGTACCAAGCCGTACATCTACCAGGCAAGTCTCTTTGGGTACGTTTGCTGCTTGCTGACGGTCCTCTAGTGGATGCAGCCAAATGCTGTTCTCCACCTTCACGGCCCCGAGGGATTCTTCCACCGCGATAAGGAGATTGACGTTGAGGGGACTGCCTATGTCGAGGCGAGCTACGTCTCCTGAGCATGCACATGGGTGTCAATGTTGTCGTCTGTGTACTATAGGACCCCAACAGCAGATCGTTTACACTGACGTGGAGGCATGTCGAAACGACCGAGATATCGGAGGTTCGAAGGGTAGGGCCTGAGGGTTCTGCGGGCGAGACCCCAGGATTTGAATGATATTTGGCTGCGGTGATCACAGCGAGTTTGCCTCAAGTAAGCAGGCTTTCCACTGGAAAGACGACGGCAAATGCGGGCCTCCCCTCACTTGCTCTCGCCGACTGTGGACGCGTCGCCCATCGGCAGCCACAATTGTACCGTATTCCTTAAAAATCAGCTTACTCAGCACATAAACCACATAGTCCAAAGTCAAAGCTCCGTTCGGGCGATGCTGGCCGCGCAGGGAGCACGACGAGTGCCCTTGCCGTCCCAGGAAATCTGTCTTAACCGCCCTCTTTTGCGCCCAAATTATCTCGGAATCACTCGCAACAGCTCTAGGACCTCTCGCGGCTCGAGGGGATATGCCACGGCCACGGATGCGGACGCTGGCCGATCGCACTTCTGGTTCCTCCCCAAGGACGGCTTCAAACGCTCAAAGACAAAGTCCTCTTCGTTTAATACAGGCAGAGGATCATGTTTTGGTAGCTGTTTTGGCCCCCGTCAGCAAGCACGACCATATGTTCGTTTAGAGTCCTACGATCCGTCGTCACGGCTGCTCGCCTGGATTGGACGATGCGGTGTAGGCTGTAATGCGTATGGAGGATCTCTGGTCATGATGGAGTCGGTACGTCCTGCTGCGACGTATGCTCATAAACCAACATTCCATTTCTGCAGATGCGAACCTCGAGCGACAACTGGAGACGAGTCCAGGCTAATCTACTGTCCTCACTGCAGCGAAGGATGACACCCGTATCTATTGTCGATGGCTCTCCACAGAAGCGCGACTTTCATTCGAGCAGCAAGCGAGATGGCATGTGGCATTTGGTGATACACACTGCTGCCTATCTCAAAGTATGTCCAAGTCTATTAGTTGTTTATCATCACTTACGAATGGGCCCTAGTCGAGCGGAGCACTTACTGCAGTCCAGACGGTAGGACGAATCGCGCTTACATTATTACCTATGGCTGTCATCAAGCGCTCGCTCTTTCGCAAGTTAATTAAGGTGCTGCCGCTCTCTGAACACCCAACCCTCGCTTCTCTCCACAAGCACATGCAATCTTCGATTAGTGCAATCAACGTCGCATTATGGGGCCTTTTGATCGTTCCCGCCGGATTTTTCGTCGCTACCATATTGGCAAGTATGGAACGCACCCCCATCACCGGTCGATGGCGATTGATCCTTTTGTCGCCCGAAGAAGAGAGAAGCGTCGCTGCTGACCTTGCTGGGGATGGCTGGAAGGAGGCAGTCGTGAACATTCTCACCGAGGGAAAGACGGTACCCTTGCCCAGGTTAGAGGGTTTCGGTTAGTTCCCCACCCTTGTCTAACGTTCCTCCAGAGTAATTCCCCGTTCTGACTGGAGAAGCGAATGGGTTTTGCAAACCTGGCGGCACCTCGAAGCCGTCGTACCACTCATGCAGGCCGATGACGCAGAGATCAAAAAGGCCTTTGAGCGATTCGCTAAACAAGAGCGAGAGGGACAAGATGTCATTCCTTTCCCTCCGCCGTCTGAATATGCGCTCATGCCTCGGCCTCGTGCAACAACGCTGTTGCATTCAATCTCACCTTGCATGTCAGACGTGATGGAAGAGGCGGCGCTAGCTACGCTTTCGTCAGAAGATGACCCGATAGAAGCGGACAAGCGCTTGACCTCTCAAGACCCTCCACCACATACGCTCCTCGGTCCACCGTATTCAGTCCTCCTGGTTGACAAACCGCAATCGGCAAATGCATTCTCCTATGGGTTTGGGCCGAATGGAGCGGGTGGCGTCGTCGTCTATTCTGGATTCATCGACGAAATCCTCAGAAAGACGGACCCGGCTGCGATCGGTGAAGGCTCACCGTCTTCGACTAATTCTGGAAGCAGAAGCTTCCTGTCACTCTTTACTGGCTCTTCTACATCACAGCAGCCATCTATACAGGCTGCCAATACTATCCCCACTCAATATACGCCTACACAGGAGCAAACCACACTATTGGCTATTCTCCTCGCACACGAAATGGCACATCTCGTTTTATCTCATCATTTGGAAACACTTTCATCCAACTCGATTCTTATTCCTACCGTCGTCGGCATGTTTTCCGACCTCGCACGTACACTCGTATTCCCGTTTACCATGGTCTTTGGACCATTCGTAAACGACGCCCTCTGGGAGGTTAGCAAGCTCGGAACAGGCGAGGTCGTCAAGAACACCGAGGCATGCACCGTCAGGGCCCTCGAGGTGGAGGCTGACGTTGTCGGCGCAAGGTATATCTATCACTGCACTGTCTGGTCCATTATCTAACGGTCTGCCAGACTCCTCGCATACGCTGGCTTTGACGCTCGAGCCGCTGTCAAGTTTTGGGAAGAGCGTGAAGCAGCTGATACGTGCGCTGAAGCACAATGCAAGAGCAAGCCTGCTGTGGATGCAGATTCTCCGAGTATCCTTTCTCGGATTCGCCAGCTGGTGCCCATCGCTGGGCCAAGTCTTGAGGGCGCATGGTTTACCAAAACCGGCAGCGATCATGCCGGTCCACATCCCATTAGTGCAGAGCGCCTCAATCGGCTCCGTGCGGAGCTGCAACGATGGGAGCACGAGCGCACCAAGTTTCAGAAGACTTTGAGCGACGATGTCTCATCACCGGTAGCTACCGCATAGATACATATTGCATCTAGATTCTCGGCCGACCTCGTGTTCATCTTGTCTTTCTATTCGCTTTCCATTTTTTGACCCGTTGGACGTAGGTACACACACTCCTTTCTTACGAAATTGTATCTGCTTGTAAAGTAGCTAGACCCTATATCCCACTCCAAAATGATATTCACCGTTGAAACACATATTAGCGGTTTAATGCTCCGACCACGACCTTTCATTCTTCAAAGGCTTTATCGCAAGTTTGGGATTAGCTACACGAGACAGCAACTGCAATGGATATATAAGGAGCTCTCACAGAAGCCAGCTACTGAGCGCCCAAGTTCAACTGGTTTGATTTACCGCTTGTTGAAGGACGAACCATTGGCGTATGTTCTTGGTAAGTAGGTGTGGTGAATATTGTTATGTTACTGACCTCAGTGGCATACAGGGACGCAGCCGTTCGGTCCTCTTACTCTGCGAGTTTCTGCTCCTGTCCTGATTCCTCGACCAGAGACTGAGGAATGGACATTTGAGCTTCTTCATCGGATATCAGCCTCTGATAACTTCAAACAAGCCTGGAGCATGCTGGATATCTGCACAGGCAGCGGATGCATCCCGCTTCTCCTTCTCGACGAATGGCCACAGGATCGCTTGGGGCCCATTCGTGCATATGGAGTGGATACATCTGATCGCGCTATCTCCCTTGCAAGAGCAAACGCGGTCTCGAATCGGGTTCGAAGGCAGTCCCATTCTTCCACTCGACCGTCCAATCCGAATCCAATATCTGGTATCACTTTCGAGGCGAACAAGCTGGATGTAACCTCGTCTATGTTCGAGACATGGGCCAAGGAGCACGGACCATTCGATATCGTCACTGCCAACCCGCCGTACGTGACCACGGCGGAGTGGCATACCCTTCCTGCCTCTGTAAAAGAATACGAGGATAAAGGGGCACTGGTTGGAGGGGATGACGGGCTCGTCTTCTATACCCGAATCGCGCATCTCGTCGCAAAGGGAAACCTCCTTCGTCCGAGCGGATGGTTAGTTGTAGAGATTGGTGCTTCACAAGGAGAAATCGTCAAAGGGCTACTCGAACGTGTCATTGGTCTAGAGGGCATTGAGGTTTGGAAAGATTCATTTGGGAATGACCGTGCTGTATTTTGTAGAGCAAAATCTAAGTAGAACCGTAGAATAAAAAGTAATGCGCCATATCCTCTCTATGCTACACCACAGATGCATCTCAATGAAACCGTAACTTTGTCCTCGCCATGTCCGAAGTGGCTCATTCAAACCAAGTGAGAATCCGGCATACTAGATACGTTTTAATCTTACAATTTATTAGACCAAAACGAAGACAAAAGCGAAACGGCGCTATCTCAAGGGCAAAAAGGAGAGAAGAAAGCAGCGAAAAGCTTTTGTAAATGCAAACAAACCCAAGACCGCGCATAATGAGGACTCAGAATGGGACTCAGAAGAAATAATAGATGGAGGTGATCAATCAGCTGCACTGCAACAGCCAGTAGATGGAGTCAAAACGAGACCACCTCGCGTAGAGGATGAAGACGATGACGCTGGAGAGGCGGAGAACAAGAAGAAAAGAAAGAAAGAGAAAAAGGAGAAGCGACCGAAAAAGCGCAGAAAAGAGGACATCGTTGAGCCAGAGGACAGGATGGATATCGACAATGTTCTTGAAGAGGAACGGACGGTTGATGAAGTGCATCCCCCGAAAGAAGATGAACGAGTTGTGATACCGTCCTTTCCACTCCCTTCCCAGCCTTTACCGGTATCAAAGGTGGAAGTCATACGACAAGGAATGGATGCCGCCATGCTTCAAGCGGAAATTGTAGACGCCTCCGTTACAGAGAGCCTGGATGTCGAAAATGGCAATGTGCGGAAACGACTGAGCTCACGAATGCTGAGACGGCTTGCCGACTTGGGAATCAAAGAACTGTTTGCTGGTGCGTCTGATCATTGCAACTACGACATACTTCTTACAGACCTTCAGTTCAGACAGTTCTTCTTCCATTCCTACTGCCAGAAGATTTAGAGCAATCTATGCTTTACCAACCGTCTCACCCACCCAGAGATGTTTGTGCGTCTGCTCCCACAGGCAGTGGCAAAACACTGGCCTATGCAATCCCAATCACCGAGGTATGACGCAGCCAAATTATGTGCACTTCTAAGAATATTGACAGATGCTCTCGACTCGCATCGTTACCCGACTGAGGGCTCTTGTTGTCGTCCCTACTCGAGATCTAGTCCAACAAGTTCGCGAGACATTCGAGGCATGCGGCAAGGGCACCAAACTTCAGGTGGGCAGTCTCAGGACTGAGGTTCATCGCTAACATATCAAAGATCGGCATCGCAACTGGACAGCATTCTTTTGCACATGAGCAAGCACAGATCGTAGGGGATATCTCTGAGAGGTTCTGAATACTCGTTTCCTTCCATGTGGCTGAACATATTCAGGTCTTTGGGTGGTCGAAGTCGAGTGGACATCCTCATATGCACGCCAGGACGATTGATAGACCATATAAATGGGACTCCAAATTTTACACTTCAACACCTACGGTTCTTAGTGGGTTCTCGATGAACTAACACCACTACATACACTCACAACGGTGCCAGGTTATCGATGAGGCGGATCGACTTCTCAATCAATCATTCCAAGAGTGGCTCAAGCAAGTTCTCAACGCCATCAGCCTACCATCCCCGAATGGCCCACGTCTGTCCGAAGGTGATCGTTCTGAATTGTTCCCCGTGCCCGATGGCATTGCTCCAACCTGGCTGTCCGCCTTAGTTCCGACCTCCCCTACGGATATTGATGAAGCACCACGCTCATCGTGCCAGAAATTACTTTTCTCTGCCACTCTTACTCGGGACCCTGCCAAGATTGTCGAGCTACAACTTCGAGATCCAAAATATTTTATCGTCAAGGGAATATCTGCTAGTCAAGAAGTGGGAGACGCAATGGACGTCAACGTTACGCACGTCGAATCTTTTGAGACGCCAGGGACACTACGTGTGAGTATATCATGTTCATTGATTGCATTGTACTCATTGAATTAGGAATGGATGATCGTTTGCGAATCAATCAACAAACCTCTACTTTTATTCTACCTCGCACACAAGCAACAAATCTCGGATATGCTCGTCTTTACCAAGTCTGCGGAGTCGACCACCAGGTTACTACGTCTACTTGGGTACTTCGAGGATGCAATGGCAGAAAGGGAAGTCGGAAGCAAGAAAATTATAGCAGAGGCCTTCTCGAGTGACCTCGCACCATCACAGAGGAAGACTGTGCTTGAAAAATTCAAGGCAAAACAGATTGATATGTCCGAGCCTTCAAACATGCACAAGACTTTCGCTGATCAGGTCCTAGGCTTATTTGTTCCGACTTAGTCTCTCGAGGTATCGATATTCCGCACGTGTCACACGTCGTTAACTACGACATACCGGTCGACGTTCGCAAATATATCCATCGTGTTGGACGAACTGCCCGAGCGGGCCGAGAAGGCGACGCCTGGTCCCTAGTTGAGGAACAAGAGGTTGGCATTATTTGTCCTATGGAATCGTTCGGTCTGACTTCTAGTTCGTTCCCAGATGCATCATTTCAAGTTGATGATGAAGGAAGCACACCATTTGCACGCCTTGAAGAAGAAGAAGGTGAAATCCGAGGACCTCTCAGGTCTTGTGGATGTATATCAAGTAAGCTTTGTCTCCTGATATGGTTTGACACTAACTTCGATAGGTCGCTCTGGGACGAATGAAAGTTCACTACGACAGAGGCCCTCAGGCCTAGTTCACGCAGCAATAATTTATTGATTATCTACGCGCCTTCTCGGAAAGAAGAATAATAGGCCATTCTCACACGGCACATCGTCCCCTGGTGCTACGAAGTTACAATTCGACCGACCCTAAGCTCAATACCCGGTTAAACCAGATAGAGGCACGTAAAAGATTGAGGGTTGTCACCCCTCGCCCTCGCATTTCTAACAAATGTAGCAGTAGCGACGAGGTACCTAGGTCCAATGTACGCTCGAACTGGTATCCAATGTACGCTCACCAAACTACCTCCAGACGAGGACCTAAGTCATGGGGACCCAACGGAAACCGAGGAGAATAACATCTCGATGGGTCGACTCCAGCCTGGCCATTGCCAAGTTTGTCCTCTTCGACGGAAGGCATTCTCTTAGCTGAGATTGAGGGTTATCCAGGCCCTTTTATTTTCAAGCATGCTTAAGAGATTGTAAGGATATCTCGCACGGCTCGTCAGAACCAGTTTCGAGCTGAACCTGAAGGTAAAGCACTAAAACGGCGAAATTCAATCATATAGGGGTATTTATGCATCGTTGGCCCAGTCAAAAGGACTTTGCTCAACGCCTTGGTCTCGAGCAATCGCCTCAAACTCTCTGTTCCGAGAGTTGGTGCCTAGAAGCTGATGCTGAGTTCCCCCTATAGGTGCCCCACATTCGTTGCACCTTCCAACCTGCATCGCACCTCCGCACTCCCCAATAACAAATGTATGGCCATTTGGGCAAATGAACCAATGCCCTCGGTGAGCTGTCAATATGTCAGGAACCCATTCTGCTGAGATTACTGGCGGTACGTACTAAACCCAAATGCTTGTTGTATCTGTCGCTTCTCTTCCACACTCACTGGTTGATAGAAAGTCCCACGCGCAAGTGTCTTGTAAGCATCCTCCCAGCGTCCCAGGATCTCCTGAACAGTCTTTGTGAAATTCTCCTTCACCCAAGGTTCCTCGCTGGTAGATTGAATCTTCTTTGCCTTGTAATACGTGGTTGTCGCCTGCGCCATGGTGATAGACGTTTTATGGTGGGACTGCTTCGCCTCGTCCGCCAACAAGCGACGCGCTTGTATGACCGTCTCAGTGGACTCGCCATCAAGTAATCGCACACGCGAATTGAACTCCTCTAGCTCCACTCGAAGCAACTTTAGCTCTGATAATAGAACTTGTTTATGAGCCCCAGACCTAACCGCAAGCTCCCTCGCCAGCTTTGCATCGATAACGCAGGTCTGGTAGATGAAGGCGACAAAGTCGGACACGGTCTTTGAGTACTTTGGCTTGTCCGGCTGGGAACTCAGTAGCCCCCACACACGGCTGAGAAAGTTTTGACTCTCTCGCTCTTCCTTGGCGACGTGATGTTGCAACGCGATTGCCACTTTGCCCATTATTAGCCGGATATCCACAGAAAGCCAGATGCTTTCGATGGCGAATCGTTTATCGGATTGCGGTGGAGGCGTTCCGATCTTGACTCTGGCGGTCTGAAGAGCCAATCGACGCTTGCTGTCTTCGTTGAGATTGGGACTAGACTGGAGAAGCTCATGCTCCTTCTGGTATAGCTTTGAAAGTGTCGCCTCATACGCCTTCGTATGGGCTGACCGTTGTGTCGCAATGGAGTATGATTCTATATAATGCAGTCGAAGTTGCGCCAAGACAGAGTCCCAGCGTGACCCGTGAGCCGGTTGCAACCCATAGGAATTGATCAAAGTTCCGCCAAAGAAGTCGCTGAACCTAAATGGATGCTGGTTCGAAGATTCAAGTTTGTCGCGATACATCCCACTAATCTCCAAGGCTTTGGCGGGATTCTGCTCTGATGATGCTAAAGGAGATAGTCGTGCGATAATTTGGCTCTCGAGGTGAGATACATTCAATGCATCAACTTGTTCTAGAAGCCGATGGATCCTTGCAGAGGAATTCGCCGCCACTGTCCGTTCCAAAAGATCGAGATTGCAGCGTTTGAGAACCCGCCCATAGCGAGGAGAAACAAATTCTCCTTTGCAAGTTGGGCAAGTTGGAGACAGGATGGTGCCGGGCGGAGGAAGGGTAGGACGGACCCATTTGTCTTCCCTTCGTTCGTAATAGTCCTTGAGACCCGTGATCCCGTCCAAGGTCTCAACGGTGAAGATGTGCTTGCAAGGAAGGGTGATGAGGATATTGTCCAGCCCCGGATCAGTAGGATTCACGTCTTTCAATGTCGTGAACAAGACGAGGTCCACGGCTTGTGCTTTTTGGTCGTCCGTCGCGCACTCGGGGCATACTTGATCTTCGCATGGTTCGCCACAAAGAGAAGGGCAAGCATGTCCACATCGAAGCATGCGACTACAACGAATGTCACAAGGAAGTCGCGTGCAAGGCTATGTTCTTATTAGTCATTGTAGATGGATCTCTTGATGCTTACCGAGCCACAAGGAGCTTCACATCGCTGATGATCACAATTCCAGGCGCAATTCTCGGCACAAGGAGTGCACGGGGTTGCACAACCCGCATTGCAGATACTGTGTTTGCAGCTTTGACGACAGGGATTTGTGCAGGCGCATTGATGTCCCTCGACACAAATGCCGATACACCGATGTTGACAATGGAGGGTTTTGTCGCAGGTGTGCTCAACATGCTTCTTTCTCCTTGGATGCGAGGCTTGGCAATCTATGCAACGAGAGGCACATTTTCGCGAGCAGCAGTCCATTTCTTTTGAGCAGATTGCGTCGCAAGCTCTCTTCTGTACGTCTTCGTGACAGGGCACATTGACAGTATGCTCGCAGTTTCTGAGACGCTTCTCGACGACAGTCGGACACAGAATTCGACGTTTGTTTCTCGCTTGTGCACTACATATCGTTAGCCAAAGACTTGTGATGGTTCGCGCGATGAGCATACCAAGGCACATCGTGGAGCTCGTGCCCACAGTCCAAAGTAATCTTGGGAACAGTGAAGTCGCACTTGCACTGCTCCCTGCAGAGACGAGTACAAGGGTGCCCTAGAGGACAGAGCTTCCCACAGGGTTGATTACATTGTGCGTTCGAGTGCGCTCCATCGTCAGGGTGACACTAAGCAAATCGTCAACCGCATGGAATTCCGAGGAAACACAAACTCACTTTCGAAAGACATGCGTGCCCACAAGGAAGCTTCGTATCACATGGTAAGAGACAGCGACCTACCAAGTGACTCAGCGGCTGGGTCAGGATTTCTGTGCGTATTGCCTACCATCAGGGAATAAAACGTCGATGTCATTCGGCTTCGAGATCCATTTTATATCCTTTGGGTGTCGATGACATGCGAATGGAATGGCTGGTCCATATGAATCAGAGCGTCGCAGCTCTTGAATGACAGATGACCACGTCCCGCTCCCATTCTCCAGTGCATCTCCATTTCCGAGGATAAACATGCCGTGGCGGGCACGGGACAGAGCGACATTGGTCCGATTGGAAGACTGGTTGAGGCCCGAGTCAGCATAGACAAGGTACTGTTGGAATATACAGACTTTAAGAAAACCTATACCCTTGGTGTGACCTTGTCCTGGATTTCTGACAGTGCTCAGGAGAATGATATCTGCTTCCTCCCCTGTCCTGAAATGAACAACAAACTCAGTGTAGAGTAAATGAAATGACCTTGGAAGTTGTCGACAGTTCGTATTCTAATCTGATAAACGCTGAGGAGTAGTTCACGGCGTCCTAATGAGCCCACATACCTGCTTCGAGACATCCACCTCCTTGGATGACGGCGTCGACTCATCTTGGACATCCTCATCCGCTAGCAACTTTTCGTCTCGCTCATCGAGTACGACAGACAGTTTACACGATGCCAAAGCTTCACGAATCTTGGTCAATTGCCCAAGATACGTGCAGAGGATGACAATGGATGATGGGTCGTTATAAACGCCTTGGCTGAGAGTGATTTAGTCGCAGGTAGCGCAGCTTCCTATCATACGAACCGGATGAAGAACAAAACCAAACTCTTAATCATCTCCACCTGGAAATATTATAAGGATAGGATAAGTGAGTCTCAAAGGACGTACCTCAAATAGATTGCATTTCGACACTGAATCCTCGCCGTCTCCGCCTTCCTTATTCGTATGATGAAGGAACCACACGTTCTTGACCATGCCCCGTACCGAGGGATATTTTGTCACATTCTCATGATCCTGAAGTCTGGGATACAGGCATCCTCTGTGAGTATGATAAGTACGTGTCATGATGCAACACTTTAGGTGCCGACCTGATAAGCGTCGATACCTCGGGTCGCATGCGACGCTGAATATTGAGTTGGGCCATGGGCAGTCCCGCTGCATCCAACCGCTCCATGAGAGACTGGTCAAACTTGAATAGGTAACCTCCACGAGGATTATCAGTCGAAAAGGCTGCGATAATTATTTAGCCATTGTTTGTGAACTTGGTATCCAAGACAATTTACCGTAGTTGTTGATTGTGGGTCTCAGTTGCTGAGGATCTCCGATCATGATCAAATGCTCGACAGACGGAACAAGTGTTGCGAGAGAGTGCGCTTCGAGTACCTGACCGGCCTCCTCGACTAGAACAACCTTGTGACCTAGACCCTACACAATTTGAGCTCAAACAAGTACTAAATTGATAGCGTAGCGCTCACCTTGAGGAGGTCCAGCAAACGAGCCGCGCCGTTCGTAGTACATCCGATGATATCCGCATTTTTGAGAGCTTCTAGTCGTTGCTGGAAAAGGTTAGCACATGGCCAAGCTCCATATTTTGCTCTCACCTGAGCTTGAAGTTCCTCCCACGCTCTCTTTGCCTCAAGGTAGTTTTTCGACAGGTTTTCGTACGTAGCCATGTTATATCTTTCTTCATCCTCACTGGATTCCTTCTTCCAGGTCTGAGAGAGCGACTTCCGCTCCTCAGGCTTCATCCTCCAAACGTCTGAATCGGACAATAGGGCTTGTACCTTCCTATTAGATCGACGCGAATCCCAATTTCGATCCCGTCCACTCAGCCAGAAATTGTAGATTTGTTCCAATGTTGGCGAACCTACACTAGATTGCTTATTCATTTGTTCGAGGGCTTGCGCCGGGGGAATGATCAAGCGATCGTAATGGGCCGGGTACATCGTCACAAGATGAGTCTCCAGAGCAAGAAACTCTGAATCTTTTGGTTTGTTGTCGCCCACGAGGATTCGGTTGAGCTCTTCCTCTGCTCGCTTCATCTCGCCGTAAGCGGCATTGGTGCCTCGTCGAAGAAAGTCGGAATGAAACCTCTCTACTTTGTCCAGAGTGTACTCTTGCAGTACCGGAGATTGAGAGCGACCTCCTAGTCGGATAACCCGTTTCGTCACGTCTGCCGCAAGGACAGATTCGAGCAAATGATCCAGTGCATGATTGGTAAAGGCGACCATTAGAATCGGACGCACGTTATTCGCAATTAGCACACGGAGGAGTTGTACAGCAGTATAGCTCTGGAAGTGTGTGAGTTTTGGGTATTTACGTTGGGCTAGTATATATACCTTTCCGGTACCAGGAGGCCCCTGGATCAATGCCACTTCGTTCGTAAGACACGACAGGAGGGCATCAGCCTGGGAAGGATCCAATCTCGTTCCAGTACCCTGCTTCAGACACTGGGCGACGACTGCATATGAACCTTGGTCGTTTACGCGCAAGGCAAGATTTCGTGGAGGGTCAAACATGGATGATAGGTTCCATTGAAACCCATTACGAGTCGTATACGCTGGAGGGTCGACACTCATTCCAGTCATTCCACCCTCCGGATGTTGAACCAGATAGCGGGAGAATGGTACGCTAGTAGGCTCTACTTTCAGCGCTTCGAGGAATGGCTTGTATGCGTCAAAGAGGACGGAGACCTCGATAAAGAAGTGTGGCGAGATTGCGTTGTTTGTCGAAGGCCTTTTTCTAGACGACATGGCTCTGAGCCCGTTGTAAGCGCAGCGTTCGATAGCATTATCGAAGAAGGCGACTGTGATTCGAGGTCGTGTGCCACTCTTCTTGGTGGATTCCACAAGGTCGTCAGTATTGCTCGTGATGAGACCCAGATGGACTTCAGTCTTGTTCCAGACAAGAGCAACAAGTGCTCCCGTCTTGAGGCGCCGCTTGGTCAAAGTTCTCCAATACGCCTCTCTTTCTTTGTCGGACTTGGTTCTACCCTTTCCGGGTGGAATGTCAAAAGTGAGGCCCACAGAGATGCTGCGACGCTCGACGGAGACACCTGTCAGCTCAACGTTGGTATAAACGCTGAAGAAGATGGTATCGCTCTGTGTGATCTCTTTGTATCGTCCACCTTTGTCGTTGATGATGTTTCGGAGAGTCGAGGGTGTAGTTGCTGGTAGAGCGAGGTCTCGGAAAATGCAGCCAACCGCGGCTTTGATAGGATATCTATGATATAATAAGACAGGCTTCCAACTCATTTGCGTCTGACGTACATTAGTTCCTCGCGCAAAAGACGAAACTGAATGTCCAACAAGCGATCCATCGAGTGCTCTGCGAGATGATGCGGAGCGTTGTGAACCGTGGAAGGGATATACGAGGACGCGGTACTCATCAGCTCTTTGTGCGTCGGTGCAATTAGAATATCCTCAATCTGGGCGTGGTCGTTGTCGTGTCGCGGTCCATCAGGACGCAAATGACCAGGAGGTACACATACGTTTACGAGAAGCACGAGTTGTTGTTCATTGGTTGGCACGCGGTCCCGATCTGACGTCGACGCCGTGGTTGTGGAGGCGTCAGGGACGGCCACTTGCGCCTGGCCTCGGTTGAGGATCGTAGAAAGTCTTTGGATATCGTTCCTTATGCTGCTAGCTGCTCTTTGACGATCATAGGTTCCGCCATGGTTGGGGTCGGAGGCCAAGCCGTTCAACCACGCCTCGAGCCACCTATTGAGCTGAGTCGGCATCTGTCGAAGGCTTGGATGTTCGTCTGGTGCTTTCTTGAAGATTTGTACATATCTTACATATGTTAGCTAGGGCTAATATCTCTATACCAAACCTAACGTACTCAGTCCAAAGGTTCGTGACGGTGGCCAAGATATCCTTGAAGGGTAGCGCCTGAGATGAGAGGGTATTGTCATTTACTGCTGCCGCTAGAGTACAAATCGAGTCCATTGCTTTGCGAATGGTCTCTTCAATGACCTTGTATGAGTTATGGATGAGCGAGTAGAACAAGCTTGCTCTTCGGTAAGCGATGTCTGCATAATGAGACTGAATCCTTACTTTCGACGATTTCTCAGTGTACTCCCTACAAGCGCGTCCGAAGTGAAGAGCTATACTACATGAGATAGAATGGGATGGTTACGCTTTTGCTTACCGAGAGCACTACTGCATATCCCGACTGAAAAGAAAGGCTCTGCAGTGTACCTTCCGTCGAAGTCGTAATATTCGACCATTCCAACAATTCTTGCAAGCGGTGTGTGCCAGATTCCTGCGTAGGGGGTGAGAACCCGGGAAGCCGATGATAATGTAAAGTGCCCTACTGAGAGCTTCTGTAGAGTGTCCTGGCGATCTGAAGAGGTCTATTTGTTCGGCGTTAGATGGAACCGGTATCGACCACAGAAACACCTACCCAATTCGATGTTTCCGAGCCTACAGAATCCAGAATCTGTATGAGTAATCTCGCTTGAGCCAAGCTGAGCTGCTCGGCTCTAGAAGAGCACAGAGTATCCAGTAGCTTGAGCGCTCGACCCGCGTCCATAGTCTGCCGCGTCGTATTGATGGGCATTGGATCTACTCGACGGGGTTGTTGAGGATTCACAAGTTCTTGATGTATGATACGTGCTGTAGGTATGTTTGCACCGTTGGTGGGCTGGCGGAGACCAGCTTGGCCTTGTCTACGATGTTCAAACCTGCAGTTCCGAAATCTGCATGGTCTTCCATTCCAGTACTCTCTACAGACACCATTTGGTGCCGGAGATGGTCTACCTTGTACGGTTAACATGGGAGAGGTTCAAGATGGTTGCTGTTGTCCAGATATCAATGGTCAGGCTCTGAGGCGTACCCGACGCGGTGGTCCTGCATCGCCGCATCCGAAGTCTTCAGAGCCTGATTCGGGGCAGGAAGTCTTACACTATTTGAATACTCTAAGCAGCAAATCTATACGTGGCTATCACCAAACCAGCCGCCGTCCACGCACGTCCGTCGTGCTTAGCCGAGTCATGGGCGCAAACCCATCTTCGTCTCAGGTGCCGAGTTACCCAAATACAAAGGAGCAACACGTAACATCAGATACCACAAGGGATACCTCGCTTCCCAAACACCAGAAAAGCTTGGTACATTCGTCTCGGATCGCAAAGTAGTTCTATATTTCCTCGAGAGAAGCCATGATTATGGATCACCCATCCAATACATGGTGCACTCACCCGCCTGGAAAGTGTGAAAATACAACCGAAGAGTATCAGGATATACTCACATCTTCCTCGATTAGAACGTTATCCGTGAGATGAAATCTTCCCATCTTCAAGGTTGCGGGTCGACTATTGAGCACCGTAAAGAGGAGACCGTCTGACACTTCTGATGGGCGAAGCATGGCAGGTTCAAACAGCGTCGTGTCCATGGTGCGTATGAGGCCTGGCTCTCTATGACCGCAAGGTATTGATGCGGCACCGGGATTGAAGTCAAGAAGGACGATTTGCCTCTCATTTGAGCACTTTTGTGGGTGCCCAAAAGCCTCTTCTCCATACAGAGAGGCGAGGACTACTGGTGACATGGAGAGCAGTACACGAGATCCATGGACGGAAAGTGGCGATACGGTATCTGGCTCCGTAATAGGCAGCAGGCGCGCCGATTGGGGTCCCCATTGTTCCCATGAAAGTTGGCAGCCGCTGTAGTTTGTGAAGAAGTGCGATAATGCCTTGGATTTGATTACTAGGTTGAAGTCCCACTCGTCATAGTCCTCCACGGACATCTGCAATCGGATACTGAGCAAGACGACGTCGTATGCCGTGGATGAAACCAGCATCTTGTGAGGCCTGGAGGATCTCGATGAAATCCAGGTCGAAGATACCGGCACCACGTCTGCAACGCACTCCGGCAGCTGTAACGTTACAGCTCGGTCGTCGTCGAAGCCTCTGATCACAATAGCAGTGGACGATGGATCTGTGGTCCCGACCAAGAAATACTCTGACGACAAAATGATTGGATCACAGAATTGATTATACTCTACTTCATCCTGTGACTAGTGAGCTTGATCCGTCAAGAGGTGCCGAAGCCATACCAGTATTGTCTCCCCCGTACGCCAGTCCTTGATACAAAGCCGAAATTCTTCGTCCCCTTGCTCGCCAATATAGCACAAGTTTGAATAAACCGAGCAAATGTGGTGATCATTGGGATTAATGTCAATGTCACTCGGAATAAGTTCGAGTGTCGAAAGTGAGAGGAAGAGAAGCCTTATATCACTGAGATAGTGTTGCGAGAAGATTGATGGAGCACGTTGAGTACTTACGACCAGCTCCCGGCTTCGACTGCCAAAATGTCCTGGACAGGATCGACCGCAATGATTGATAAGATTCCCTCCGGTGGCGTGGATAGGTTCTTCCAGCATATTGTCCCATTTTGACCGAGCTCGCGCAGAGAAAGGCTGAACAACGAACCTGACTGCGAAATTTCGACTCATCTACGAGGAGGTACCGCCTAAGCATTTTATATTCAGCATGGATTCAATCTCAACCCCCTGGTCTTCCACGTCCTCAAGATCATGTGCGCCTTCTTTCGCATTCTAGAATATAGGAAGATCTCGACTGAGGCAGAAGGTAATATAATTAGCATAGCAACGATTATAATAAAGAATTTCGTCGAACATGTGTCCACGACAAACCACACGTAAACTTGGTAAAGTCTATGTTTGTTGCGCGGTAGTTGCCTGTGATAGGGATGCTAAGGAGGCAAGGATATTCAAGGCCATGGCGGTTCTGAGGAGGTACCCAAAAGACCAGTTGGTCATTTGACATCACCCAGCCATCCTCAGAGAGCATGAGATTCCTAAGGTCAGAAATCGAGAATGGAAGTCGTCTTTCATGGGAAGACGAGGGCTCGGCTATGTCCTCAGGTTCCACCTCTTCGATTTTAGCTTGACCCATATCTAGCGTACTTGGTTCAGTAAAACATACATCTGTCATAGGAGGAAGAGCACGCACCGAATGAAGAGTCCCAAACTCGAATTGTAGCATCTTGTGAACCGGATACGACACGACTTCCATCAGGGAACAGTGTAAGAGCAGTCACACCGTCGGTGTGACCTCTCAGGAATGCCTTCCACCTCTGAGACTCCGTGTCCCATAGCTGTACCACTCCATTGGATAGTCCAGAGACAAGAAGCTGCCAATTGGATGAAAGTGCGGATGCCCAGAAATTTGATAGATGGTCCACCAATTTTTTTACTTCCTTGCCAGTCGTTGCGTCCAGCACGGAAACAGGGCCGGCACCTGGAATGACAGCAAGCTGTAGTCCATCCAGAGACATAGCTACCGAGTGTAAACCTGTGGTATATTCGACTCGGTTGATCATTTCCCCCGTCGAGGCACGCCATAGGCAAATCATACCATCCCAAGATGCCGAAACAATGCTTGAATCGTCAGGAGAGAAATGAAGAGAGGCTATTCCGTCATTATGGGTTTGTAAGAGTTTTCCAACTACTTGAACGGTCCCCACGTCCCAAAGATAGATAGATCCATCACGCGAGCCTGACGCTACGCAATGTCCGTAATGGGAGAACGTTAGAGACTCAACCCGTGTGGTGTGATCCGTAAACGGATCTCCGGACATCTGATGGGTTGCAACGTTCCACACTCGTACAGTCGAATCCTCGCCCCCGGAAGCAACGAGTGAATCATCACCCGAGAAAACGACTGATGAAACATCCCCGATATGACCCTCCAGTGGCACTCCATACTCTTTGCCTGTTTTTGCGTCCCATAGGTAGATATTTCCATCGAAAGAGCAGGAGGCAATCTTTGAACCGTCATTCGATACTGCAACGGACCTGACGGAGCTCGTGTGGCCTTGAGGGGCCTTGCCAACTGGATTCAAATCATCAGTGTTCCATAGCAAAATGATACCGCGGCCTGATCCCGTGACCACAGCGTTGTGAGGCTCGGAAAAGCAGCTGCTGTGATAGAGATGGTTTCTAGTCCTAGAACTTCCTCTGCTGACTTATCCCAAAGAACCAGAAACTTTCTGCCAAAGGATATGGCGCGTGTCCCGTCAGGTGAGAACGCAGTATCGACCCTGATATCTAAACGAAGCGCGCGACCCATGAGCGGCATACGCCACTCTTGTAACTGGTCGCCGGTCATGCTGTCCCAGCACCGAATGGTACCATCAAGCGATGCGGAAAGAATTTGCAGACTGTCAGGCAGGACGCTAACAGATGTAACCACATTGTCATGTCCTTCCATGGACTGTCCTACAGGCTGCAGAGTCTTGAGATCCCATATTCGCAGCGCTCGATCGGCTGATCCAGAGACAAGGCGCAAACCGTCCGGAAAATTTGCCAGACATGTCACAGCTTTCTCGTGGCCTTCGAGTGGTTGCCCCAAAGCTTCCCTACCCTCAACATCCCATAAACGTATAGTATCATCCACGGAGCCAGAGTATATATGCTGGCTATCCGGTGAGAATAAAACTGACAGCACAGGGTACGTGTGCCCATTTAGAGGCTCTCCAATGGCATTACCTGTTTCCACGTCCCATAAGCGTATAGTGGCGTCGTTGGACCCTGAAGCAATAAGGAATCCATCAGGAGACACTGCTACACATATTACTGCATCAGTGTGCCCTCGTAATGGCTTTCCTAGCATTTGACCTGTTTCGAGGTCCCACTGGCGAATAGTTCGATCCATTGAACCGGAGATAATACGGAGTCCATCTGGTGAAAGTGATATAGCAGATATTTCCTCTTCATGTCCTATGAGTTCGTGAGGAAGTCCAGGGTATCCCTCGTCGAGACCCTGTGTCACCGAGAGAATATTTGGAAACCACTTCTGGCTTTCCTTGCGTAAAGTAGAGTCCAAAGGTGTGAAAGATAGAGCTGAGATATAAATGTGGGGGAGACTATCCTGAATTGGCGTAGAGAAGGCCATCAGAAATCGCTTAATGTCCGCCATGCGGTCGTGGATGTCGCCCTGCTGATTGGGCTTTTTAGCGCTCGCGAAGAACAGATAAAAACGTACCTTGAAATATGACGCAACACGCCGTAAACCAGTTATTGCTCGTGGCACTCCGAGGACGGCGCCCATAACCTCGACCCAGTACAATACTTGTGGGCTTTGGACCGCATACTGAACTTGTTTCAATTCCATCTCCCGAGATCGGTCATCCATTTCTGACAGGTGAAATAGCCAATGAGAACTGGCGTAACGGAGCTCAGGCGAGATGAACCTGGAGACCCTACTCTCGAAATCTCCTATCGCTGCATTTGGAATAAAAGACGACTCGATCTGGCATATGTTGAATTTGAGCTCCCTTTTCATTATCTTCAAGCTCCATTGCGTGAGCGCTGTGTGGGATTCAGTCATGTTAATACTATCTCCCGAGCTACTACGTCGCTTAAGATATTCGAGAAATGTCTGATGGCGGAACCGGACCAGTGTCGTGACTGGTTCCACATGCAAGACACTACCCAGCCGTTTGGTCAAGTTGTCTGCATCCACTCTCTGTCCCATTTCCTCCAAAATCTTGCTCAAACCCACAAGAGTAAGGGACTCGAAGGCTGTAACCAGTACACCAAGCATCTTGGTCGCAGCTTGACGAGCATCGAGCGGCTCTATACGCTCGAGGACGAGTTGATAAACCGAATCAATGTCGCTGGAATATTCTCGAGAAGTTATTTTCTCATAAACGACGTCTGGAGGTTCAAATCGTCTCTCCGGATCGAACATCTGGCAAACGGTCTTGGCCCAGATGAACAGTCCATTTGCTTTTTTGATCAGGTTCAGACGTTGCTCGTGAGACAGGACATCTTTCAACGTCTCGTGGATGTACGTCGCTACGTCGTCCACATTATCTTGAAAACTTCGGTCGTGAAGGCGAAATTCGAGCTTCTTCTTGAGTGTTAGGGGACCCAATAGTTTCTCAATGTCGGGATCTGGCCGACTCGTCAGGAAAAACTTGAGATGCGGAGTAGTTTGAGACGCAGCCGAGACTGCTTCAAGTAGCCGCTGCCTTTCCTTTATGAGCCGACACTCGTCAAGTGCATCAATGACAATGATGACGGGCTTTCCATGGTGCTTTATCGGATCGACGATTAGCTTCTGGAATTGCTCTTCGAATGGTCTCGTCATGATGGCAGGGTGTCGTTTGACTGCGTCGACAGCATAGGGGGCCAGTGCTGGAACGTTCTCGTACATTTGTCTGGCAAATGTTGGGCACAGTTTGGTAATGGCAGACTCCTCCATGCTGTTGATCGAGAAGAAGAACTGACCCGCGAGCATGCCTGCGTCCTTCCAAACTGCGACCATACTCGTTGATACGGTTGATTTACCCGAGCCCGCAATGTCACAAAGCCAGAAGATAGGCTCCGAGAATTCTCCCTCTCCCCAGTGGCGGATATTGTCGAGGACTGCCACTCGGGTTCCCGGCTTGCAGCAATCATGCACCGTAGATGATGTCGAAAGAATGACAGGCAGCTGAAAAATAGCAACCACGTCCACTGAGACTGGTCAGGCGAATCGGCCGTGCCAATAAGCGTAGACTTGCCGTCGTTCAACAAGGCTTTAGTCCCCTTCTTGATCGTTTGTGCATCTTCCTTCAGAGCCTCAGTGTCACCTTTGATGACTTGAATGTGAAGTGCAGAGGTGACGGCTAGAGCGGCCTAAAGAGTCGTGAGCGATCAGTGGGAGAATCCTGATGATCCGTACAGTAAGTCTTTGGTGACAATCATCAATATCTTTGTGAAACTTCTGAATATCGCCTGCGTCAATGTCCACTTTTGTTGCTCGAGACAACAGCCGTGAACGGGTTCGCCCTTCGACTGCGTTCTGCATTTCTTCGAGTTTTCTGTTCACTTTGTAAGCCGGATCTCCCACCATGGAGTGCAAAACTTGCCTGACATAGGCAAGCAATGGTTGTCGCAAAGAGTCGTCGGCCTTGCGACTCTCCTCGGGATATCCTTCAAAGACCGTGATCTGGTCCTCCATCGATTCCAGATGGCCTTGAAGACGCTGAGAAAGATGACTCCAGTCTTCCTTGTTGTTCTGTATAGCCTAAATATTACTGTTAACCATGTCGAAGGCACATTCCACAACCTACGCGTATCGTTTCTAGCACCTTTTTCGTGGCACTACATGCTGCTTTAAGGGGAGCGAGCACATCAGATGCTTCTGAGATGTTGGCGACGAATTCTAGGAAGGGGATAGCTATATCGCGTGTTTTCTCCCAACCCCCACCCGTACTGGCGGTCGAAGTGTTTGACTGAGAGATAGTTGTGCCACCAGAATACTTTGGATGAGGATTTTTCCCTTTACGTTTGAACCAGGATTTGGACATGAGGCGCAGTCGATGGCAGATGGGACCAAAAGGGGACTGAATTGAGGACGGCATGCTGTGGACAGACATTCGGCTTGAGTACATCTCCCCGACTTTCGTATAAGGTGTCCATCACGAGCTCGGTACACGGTGGAGTATCTATAATCTCTCGATGTGTGCGATTCCCTTTGTACGTCTCTAGAGAGCAAAGTGAAAGTGATAGATATCGGACCGCCAAGGAGCCTGAAACACGTCTGGTAGAGCCCAAATGCGCTCAAACTACCCTCGAGCCCTCTAAGAGTCATTTTGAGTAGGCGGCGATTGTGCCAATCAAAGGCGTCCCCATTTACATCTCCGAGGTTGAAAGGACTCAATATATATTGGACCACTTCTTCGCGATAGCCGCGACAAAAAAAGATATTTTGGGTACTTTGCCATCTCTATATCCATCCAAGCCCAAAGATAACGTTGAAAGTCCAGCCTGGAACAGTCTACCATCGGTCACTTGCAACAAAGGGGATGCGGTGTCACGGATACAACCAAATTTCGAACAATTAGCTCATTTCCGACCAATTAGCCCTTCAAGGATCTCGAAATGCGCTAATGAATGGACTCTGCAAAGCACAGACAAGGCAACTCACAGCCAGTGGAAGGTTTTCCAGCTGGATGAGAAGCCATTCAAATGACGCTCTTTCTCGCATAGATCCCCAGCTTAAAATCTTTCTGTTTCATCGAGAAACTCTCTTCTCCACCCTTTTAGTTGAGCTTTCCGAATTTCGGTGTCTCCGGTACGTACAGTGACCATACACGGTAGCGAAACTGGCTGATGCGCCCTTGGAAATAGGGATTCCTGCCGGCCGCCGCAGTAGAGGTACCCAAGGGAATGGTAGGCCAGCGTGAAACGTCCTCGGATTCTCTCAACCGCAAATAGTTTCCGGTCGGTGGCAGAGGAGTGTGTTCAAGCAAGACCTGACGTCTCCGAACCTATAGAGCCAATATCTGTATCAGCTTTCTCAATTATTTCTTCCGGTCTGGAGGAGCGTGGAGTCAAGTGGTTTGAGTGCTCAACTCGCTTTACTCCAGAGTCTGCCGGCTCGTGGGGCCATTAGGCCTGGTCGAAGTGCTTGTTGAGGATCAAGACGATGCTTTGCGATGAGCTGGCTGTGGGCATGCTTCACCCATGACTGGCTGAGGTTAACCCGACCAAATGACGCCCGTAAAGGGTATTGAAGTAAAGTATATATTTTTCGAAACTGCTGGTTTGAACGTTGTATAGGAGCTGTCAGAGTTTGGCTGGCTTGTAACGTCAACATGGCAGAGGATCAAGATACGCTGGTTCCTGCATACAACACTCGGAAGCAATCAAATTCTCAGTACACTCACCTTGCATCATGAATTCATATACACTGGCAGTTTTGTGCTTTATCAACCTCTGATTGTGGAACCTGCGTTCAAGTAGAATATGTGTCTCCCACTTGAGCATTCTTTGGATGTTCAGAGCCTATTCTTCATATATGGAAACAACTAAAACTACCAGTCACCGAAAGAGTAGGGTGTAGCGTGTAGGAGTCATAGACTGCACTGTGAGCGTCGAATGGACTATAAGATAGGAACCGATGCGATATCACATCAGTCTTGAGGACTAGGTTCAACGACGACTCACGTGCTTCTAAGGACCTAAAAGCGACTATCAAGCTGAGAGTACCTTTGTGACAGCGTAATTTGTGCAGGGACGACCTGGCTAAAACTAGAATCGGTTTCCGTTTGTTACGCTTCACAAAATGCACATGAAATAAAACTTATATTGAATATCGTAGATATCACAACATCTCACTGACTGGAGTTTGTTCGCACATTTGTCCAAGAGGGCCCGCATTGAAAATGCGTAAAGTCAACTTTGGTCGTGCGTAATGAACTCGTTACCGGGATAGTCAGACGGTTTGGATAGACTAGCCCGTGGCGATTCTCTGGCGGGACCCAGAACAGATATTTATCGGAGGATTGAACCCAGCCATCCCGCGACAGTGTGCACTGATTGAACCCAGGTACAATGAGGCTCAGAGGGCTGCTTTGTAGCTTGTCCTGGAGACTCAACTCTGGAGCCTCTGCATCGTTCTGGTTGGAGTTATCGACGCTGGCAGCTAAAGGTACTTGTCAGAGTTGCTCCCATAGATCAAAGGCATAACTGACCAATCTCTGTATCCCAGATCTGAATGGTTTTATCGGACGAACCAGAGACGATTCTGGAGCCATCTGACGAGAATGCGACAGCAAAGACCAAGGATTGATGGCCCCGCAGCGGCTCTCCCAATGATTGACTAGTGTTTGCGTCCCAGAATTGAATCGTCTTATCATGGGAGCAGGAGACGATTCGTGAACCGTCTGGCGAAAATGCGAGGGCGTTGACCCCGAGTTGAGGACCTTTGAGTGGCTCTCCCAACAGCTGGCCAGTATCCGCCTCCCATAGCCGGATCATCCCATCTCCAGAGGCAGAGACAATACGCGAGCCATCTGGTGAGAATGCGACGGCGTTGATCCCAACTTCATGGCCTCGGAGTGGATCTCCAAACGGCTGGCCAGTATCTGCCTCCCAGAGTCTGACCGTTCCATCGAACGAGCCAGAAACGATCCTTGTACCATCTGGTGAGAACATGACGGCGTTGACATGACGTTCATGACCTCGCAGTGGCTGTCCCACTGGCTGACCGGTGTGCGCCTCCCATAGTCGGATTGTATCATCATCCGAGCCTGAGGCGATTCGCGTGCCGTCAGGAGAGAATGTGACAGCTCGGACCGAGCCGGCGTGGCCTCTGAGTGGCTCCCGTAACGTTTGACCAGTATCTACCTCCCAAAGTCGAATCGTCCTGTCCTCCGAGCCAGACACGATCAGTGATCCATCTGGAGAGAATGCGACGGCATTCACCCAACCTTCATGACCTCGAAGTGGCTCTCCCAACGGCTGGCCAGTGTCTGCCTCCCACAGACGAATTGTCTTGTCTTTCGAGCCAGAGACAATTTTTGAGTCGTCTGGAGAGAACGCGACAGTAAAGACCGAGCCTTCGTGACCTTGGGGTGGCTCCCCTAGCTGTTGGCCAGTAATTACCTCCCATAGTCGAATTGTCCCATCTCCGGAACCAGAGATGACCCATGAGCCGTCCGGCGAGAATCCAACTGTACTCACACAATCCTCATGACCTCGGAGTGGCTCTCCAATCGGCTGGCCAGTGTCCGCCTCCCACAGTCGAATTGTCTTATCATACGAGCCAGACACGATTTTGGTGCCGTCAGGCGAGAACGCGATGGCATAGACAGAGTCTTCGTGGCCGCGGAGCGGTTCTCCTAACAGCTGACCGGTATCTACCTCCCATAGTCGAACTGTCTTGTCAATTGAGCCAGAGGCAAGCTGTGAACCATCTGGTGAGAAGGAGACGGCGCTGACTCCGGCCTCATGCCCTCGGAGAGGCTCTCCCAAAGGCTGGCCAGTCTCTACCTCCCAGAGTCGGATAGTCTTGTCGTCCGACGCAGAGGCAATCCTTGAGCCGTCTGGCGAGAAAGCGACGGCGCTGACTGAGGATTTGTGACCTCGAAGAGGCTCCCCCAACGGTTGACCAGTATCTGTCTCCCATAGTCGAATCGTTTTGTCATCTGAACCAGACACGACACGTGACCCATCTGGAGAAAACGCGACGGCCAAAACGGGGGATTCGTGGCCTAGGAGGGGCCCTCCCAACGGCCTACCGGTGTCTGCCTCCCACAGCCGAATAGTCTTATCCTCTGAGCCAGACACAATTATTGACCCATCTGGCGAGAATCCGACGGCGGTGACCCAATGTTCATGACCTTGCAGTGGCTCTCCCAACGGCTGCCCCGTGTCTGCATCCCAGACTCGAATTGTCTTGTCGAAGGACCCAGAGATGATTCTTGAACCGTCAGGAGAGAACGATACTGCGCAGACCGAGCCTTGGTCACCTCGAAGAATCCCGGGAAGTCCAGGATACATTTCCTCAAGTCCCCGGGTCACAGAGAGAGTATTTCCATGTCCACTTTGACCTTCAATACGAATTAATGACTTCTTGGGTGAAAATGGAAGCGCAGAAATGTAGATGTGGGCGGCACTCTCCTGGATCGGCACCGAAAACGCCATAATAAACCGTCGAATGTCCGTCATCCTAGCTCTAGTTTCTTCTTCAAGCTTTATTCTGGTAAATAACGGAGTACATTCACATAGATCACTCACCCCTGAATGGCGCGTAACAGTTCGAAGCCCGTCTATTGCTCGTGGCACCCCTCTCGTTAGGCTCACAATCTCCATCCAGTGTAGTACATTTGGAGTTCGAATGATTCGTCCAACATCCCTCTTGAGCGCACGTCGCTGCTTGTCATCCGTCTCCGCGAAATGGAACAGCCAATGCGAGCTGGCATATCGGAGTCTCGTTGGGATGAACTTTGAAACCCTCGAGTCAAGGTCCGCTACCTGCCTATTCAGGTAGAAAGAGGATTCGATCCGGCATATATTGAACTTGACACCTTCGGTCGATGAAACCAGCCGTTTCAGACACCACGATGCTACTTGGCCATGTGCCTCCGCAACGTTGATGTGGACCTTATTGTGGCTATGGACGGCTGAAGCGTGAGAGCGGCGTCCAAGGTATTCGACCAGCGTATGATGCCGGAATCGGATGAGGTTCGTATTTCGGTCCACACTGAGTACGCTCCCTAGATTCTGAATCAACGCGTTGACATTTCCCCTTATTCCGACTTGTTTGAGAAGGTCCTCCAAGTCGTCGGTACTGAGGGGCTCGAATGCTACGAGCAGTATACCGAGCATCTTAAACATGATTGTGAAAGAATTTGGGTCTATGCGCTCGAAGATGAGGTCGTATATATGGTCTATATCTCCGGGCTGGTCCAATGAGACCAGACGATCGTATATGACTTCATGGGTCTCCAATGTTGTTTCACTTTTAAGCATCCGACATGCAATGCTTGCCCAAATGAACAAACCATTGGCATTCTTCACCAGTCGTCGCTTCTTCTCCTCCGCAAGCATTCCATTGATCACTTGTTCTATATAGGTTGCAATGTCTTCGATATTATCAGGGTGGCTCGCATCGTGTAATCGATCCTCCATCTGGGCTTTGATGGGAAGCGACCCCAAGACAGCCTGGATGACAGGATCCGGTCTGCTTGTTATAAATATCTTGAGGGTTTTGCTTTCCTGGACGGCGATAGAAAGTGTTTCAACGAGTTTCCGTCGTTCTGGTCCAGACTTGCATTCATCCAGAGCGTCTATAACCAAGATGACAGAAGTACTCTGGTGCCTCGTTGGCTCGACGATCAGTTTCTGGAATTGCTCCTCGAACGGCCTCGTCATAATGGCAGGGTGTCGTTTGACTGCTTCCACAACATATGGGGCCAATGCTGGAATGTTCTCGAACATTTGTCTGGCAAAGGTTGGGCACATCTTGGTAATCGTAGACTCCTCGCTGCTGGCCATCGAGAAGAAGAAGTGGCCGCCGAGTAGACCCTTCTTGTTCCAAAATTCAACCACACTCGTTGATACGGTGGATTTACCCGACCCGGCGATATCGCAGAGCCAGAATATGGGCTCGGCAAATGCGCCTTCTCCCCAAACGCGAATGGAGTCGAGAACAACCTGCCGAGTCCCCGGATTGCAGACATTATGCACTGCAGATGACGCGATCACCATCGGGAGTTGAGAAATGATAACTAGGTCCGCTGAAATAGGTTAGGCAAATCGATCATGCCAATAGCGTAGGCTTACCGTCTCTCAGTAGTGTTTTAGCATCCTCCTTGATGACTTGTGCATCCCCTCTCAGAGCCTCGGTGTCTCCCTTCACGACTTGAATATGAAATGCAGAGGATACGGCTAGAGCAGCCTGAAACACGGTCAGCCACAGCAAGAGAGCTTTCATGGTCCGTACTGTAAGTCTTTGGTGACAATCATTTATATCTTGATGAAAGTCTCGAATATCGCCAGCGTCCATATCTACTTTTAACCCTCGAGACAACAGCCGCGAACGTGTTCGTGCTTCGACTGCCTTTTGTATCCCATCGAGCTTTCTGTTGACTATGTAAGCTGGGTCTCCCATCTTGGGCCACAAACCCCACCTGACATAGGCAAGCAACGGTTGTCGTAAAGAGTCGTCGACCTTGCGACTCTCCTCGGAATACCCTTCAAATATGGTGATCTGGTTTTCCATTGACTCTAAATGACTTTGAAGACGTTCAGCAAGACGTTTCCAATCTTCCTTGTTGTTCTGGATGGCCTATTCTTGTCATCAGATCAGTCCAAGGTATACCAACCGGACATACGCGCGCCATTTCGAGGATCTGCTTTGTCGCTTTACATGCCGCTTTGAGAGAAGCGAGCACATCAGATCCCTCTGAGATGTTGGCGACGAGTTCAAGGATCGGAATCGCCGTGTCACGGGCCTTCTCCCAACCAGTGCTTGTGCTAGCGGGCGACGTGTTTGATTGAGAGACGGATGGATTACTAGTGTCCTTTGAACGAGTTGTCTTCCCTTGCCCTTTGGGCCATAACTTGGACATCGCCCGTGGTTGCGGACAAGACCAAGTGGGACTCCATGAGATGGTCTGCCGTGTATATGCACTCGAGTTGAGCGCTGTTTACACGAGATATGTAGGCATCAACTTTCTACTTGTTTGGCTCCCTACAAAGTCGACATGGCACTGCATGGAGAATACTGAGGCGCGACGATCTTAATCATGCAATAAACTGTGCAGGTGACTCTGCCAAAAGATGGTTCGTTTTCAGTCGTGTAATTCTTCACAAAGTCTATATAAAAGACAGGACGTATTGGCAGTAACATATCCCTAGTTGGAGTCTGTTCGAACATTGGTCCAAGACGAACCACATTGAAATTGCGTAAAGTCAAGTTTGGTTGCGCGGAAGGAGCTTGTGATCGGGATAGTCAAATGGTTTAGGTAAATGAGTCCATGCCGATTTTCGGGTGGTACCCAGAACAGATGTTTATCGGAAGATTGGACCCAGCCATCCTCCGACAATGAGCACTGCTTGAATCCAGGCACTATTATTCCTAGAGGAGTATGTTGTACCTCTCCCTTGAGAATCAGGCCTGGAGGCTCTCCGGCTTCCTGCTTCGCGTTGTGAGCCCCAGCGGCTATTGATACCCGTCAGAAATTGGCAGCAAGTCAAATGAAACCTGACCAGTCTCTATATCCCTCACTGAGGCTGCGCTATTGGGCGAGACTACGACTGCCAGCGTTGAGGACTGGGCAACGCGGCGTGGTTCTCCCAACGACTGACCCGCGTCTGCCTTCCATAGTCGAATCGTCCTGTCACGTGAGCAGGATACAACGTGTGAGCCGCTTGGGGAGAATGCGACAGCGTTGACCCAGCTCTGGTGACCTCGAAATGGTTCTCCTAGCAGTTGACCAGTATCTACATCCCATATTCGCACCATTTTATCATCCGATCCAGAGACAATTCGTGAGCCACCTGGCGAGAAGGCAACGGTCAAGACAGGGAATCCATCGACTCGCAATGGGTTTCCTAACAGTTGACCAGTTTCCGCCTCCCACAATCGAATCGTCATGTCGTCCGAGCCAGAGACGATTCGTGAGCCATCTGGCGAAAATGCGATGGCGTTGACTGAGGCTGCGTGGCCTCGAAGTGGTTCGTCTATCGGCTCACCACTGTCTACCTTCCACATTCGAATCGTTTTGTCCTTCGACCCAGAGATAATTCGTGTGCCATCTGGCGACAATGCGACAGTCAACACCTCGTGTTCATGCCCGCGGAGCGGCTCTCCCAAAGTTCGACCGGTAGCCACATCCCAGAGTCGAATCGTGTTGTCACTCGAACCAGAGACGACTCGCGAGCCATCTGGCGAAAACGCAACGGCGTTTACTGAGCCTGTGTGGCCGCGAAGTGGCTCGTCTATCGGTTCACCAGTGTCTACCTTCCACATTCGAATCATGTTGTCATCCGAGCCAGATGCGACTCGTGATCCGTCAGGCGAGAATGCGATGGTCAACACTGAGGATTCGTGTCCTCGCAGTGGTTCTCCTAACGGGCGACCAGTGCTGGCCTCCCACAGACGAACTGACTTGTCGTGCGAACTAGAAGCGATCCGAGAGCCGTCGGGCGAGAATGCGACGTCTAGGACCTCGTCTTCGTGACTTCGGAGGGGCTCTCCCAACGGTTGACCAGTATCTGCCTCCCACATCCGGATGGTCTCGTCACTCGAACCAGAGATGATCCATGAGCCATCTGGTGAGAACGCGACCGTGTTGACCCAACCTCCATGCCCTCGAAGTGGCTCCCCGAAAGGCTGACCAGTTTCTACCTCCCACATTTGAGTCGTACCATCTTCCGACCCAGAAATAATCCTTGAGCCGTCGGGCGAAAATGCGACGGCTAGAACCGAGCCTCTGTGACCTAGGAGAGGCTTCCCTAACGGCCGATCAGCGTCTACATCCCACAGCTGGATCGTCTTGTCTCCAAAGCCAAAGACGAGGTTTGAACCGTCTGGCGAGAATGCGACGGTTCGAACGGGGGATTTGTGACCGTGGGGTAGCTGTCCCAACGGCTGACCAATCGTAGCATCCCATAGTCGAATTGTCTTATCTTCTGAGCTAGAGACGATTCGTGAGCCGTCGGGCGAGAATACGACGGCCCAGACCGAGTCCTTGTGACCTCGGAGCGGGTCTCCTATGGGCTGACCAGCGTCTACCTCCCAAAGTCTAATCGTGGTATCTTCGGAGCTAGAGACGATCCGTAGGCCATCCGGCGAGAATCCGACAGCCCAAACCTCGCCTTCGTGACTTCGGAGTGGTACTCCCAACGACTGACCAGTATCTGCGTCCCACAATCTTATAGTCTTGTCCCATGAGCCGGAGACAATTTGCGAACCATCTGGAGAGAATCCGATAGCGCTCACCCACCCTTCATGACCTTGCAGGGGTTCTCCCAGCGGCTGACCAGTGTCTGCCTCCCACAGTCGAATCGCCTTGTCTGCTGAGCTGGAGACAATCCGCGAGCCGTCGGGGGAGATTGAGATGGCCATAATGGAACCTTGGTGACCTCGAAGAGTTCTGGGAAGCCCGGGATATTCTTCCTCGAGCCCTTGAATCACGGCCAGGTTATTTGCGAACCACCCTTCGCCTTCAGCATGTAATATAGATCTCTTGGGCGCAAATGGAAGCGCAGAGATGTATATATGTGCAACACTCTCCTGGATTGGCACTGAAAATGCCATCATAAACCGTCGAATATCCGTCATTCTGACTCTAGTTTTTCCTTCAAGCTATATTCTGGTAAGTAACGATGTACATCCAGGTACACCACTCACTCTTGGATGGCGTGTAACTGCTCGAAGCCCGGCTATCGCTCGTGGCACCCCTCTCGTCAAGCTCACAATCTCCATCCAGTGTAATACAAGTGGGATTTGAAGAATGTGCTGAAGTTTGCCCTTGAGCCTACCTCGCCAGGTGTCGTCCGTTTCCGCCAGATGGAACAACCAATGCAAACTGGCATAGTGGAGTCTTCTTGGGATGAAGGTCGATATCCTTGTGTCGATGTCCGGGATGTGTCTATTCAGGTAAAAAGAGGAGTCGATCTGACATATATTGAACTTGACACCTTCGGTCGATGAAACCAGCCGTTTCAGACACCACGATGCTACTTGACCATGTGCCTCCACCATGTCGATATGCGCCTTATCGTGGCCATGGGCGGCTGAAGCGCGAGAGCGCCGTCGAAGGTATTTGACCAGCGTATGATGCCGGAATCGGATGAGGTTCGTATTTCGGTCCACACTGAGTACGCTCCCTAGATTCTGAATCAACGCGTTGACATTTCCCCTTATTCCGACGTGCTTGAGAAGGTCCTCCAAGTCGTCGGTACTGAGTGGCTCGAATGCTGCGAGCAATATACCGAGCATCTTAAACATGATTGTGAAAGAATTTGGGTCTATGCGCTCGAAGATGAGGTCGTATATATGGTCTAGATCTCCGGGCTGGTCCAATGAGACCAGACGATCGTATATGACCTCAGGGGTCTCCAATGTTGTTTCACTTTTAAGCATCCGACATGCAATGCTTGCCCAGATGAACAACCCATTCGAATTTTCGACTAGGTGTCGCTTTTTATCATCTGCGAGCATTCCATTGATCACCTCGTCTATATAGATTGCGATGTCGTTGGTATTATCAGGATGACTGGCATCGTGGAGCCTGTCCTCCAACTTGGCTTTGAACGGGAGCGACCCCAAGACCGCTTGGATGACAGGGTCTGGTCGACTTGTCATGAATATCTTAAGGTTTGCGCTCTCCCGAACAGCCATAGAAAGCGTTTCGACAAGCCTTCTTCGTTCAGTGACAGACTTGCATTCGTCCAGTGCGTCAATGACCAATATAACGGGGATGTTCTGATGGTTGATTGGCTCAACAATCAACTTTCGGAACTGCTCCTCGAAGGGGCTTGTCATAATTGAGGTGTGTCTTTTGACCGCATCCACGACAAACGGCCTCAACATCTGAAGGTTGTCGAACATTTGCTTTGCAATGCTTGGACACATGTTGGCAATGGTAGACTCGTCGCTTGTAGCGGCTGAGAAGAAGAAATGACCACCAAGGAGACCTTTTTCATTCCAGAATTTGACCATACTAGTTGATACGGTTGATTTACCGGAGCCGGCGATATCGCAGAGCCAGAAGATGGGTTCATTGAATTCGCCTTCACCCCATATGCGGATGGAGTTGAGAACGGCCACTCGGGTTTTCGGATTGCAGCCATTGTGTACTGTGGATGATGAAATCGATAGGGAGACTGGTAACAGCGTCATGGCAATCGCATCCACTGAAAAGGTTAGACAAGTTGGTGATGTCAATCAGTGCAGGTTTACCGTCTTTCATCAGAGTCTTAGTATCCCCTTTGATGGTTTGAATATCAACCGCAGAGGATATAGCAAGAGCAGTCTAAAATGTGGTTAGCAACAGTGGGAATCTTCGATGATCCGTACCATAAGTTTCTGGTGACAGTCATCGATATCTTGATGAAACTCTCGAATATTGCCGGCATCCATGTCCATCTTTCTTGCTCGAGACCACAGGCGCGAACGGGCTCGCTCTTCGTCTGTCAATGCCTTCTGTATTTCATCGAGCTTTCTGTTCATAATGTAAGCCAGGTCTCCTACGCCTGGGTAACGAACTTGCTTGGCATAATCTCGAAGTAGTTGCTGCAAAGATTCATTCGTCTTACGATTCCTCTCAGGATCCGCCTCTAGCTTGGCGATCAGGTCGTTCATAGACTCCAAGTGACCTTGAAGACGTTTGGTGAGACGTTCCCAGTCTTCCTTGTTGTTCTGCATGGTCTACCCTCACCATCAGATCAGTTCTAAACGTTCAATTATGGACGCACGCGTGTCATCTCGAGGATCTGCTTTGTAGCTTTACATGCAGCCTTGAGGGAAGAAAGTATGTCAGATGCTTCTGCAATGTTGGAGACGAATTCCAGGATCGGAATCGCCGTATCGCGCGTCTTCTCCCAGCCGCTGCTTGTGCTAGCAGTCGTGGCATTTGATTGAGAGACTGGAGCAGTACTAGTGTTCTTTGAACGAGAAGTCTTCCCTTTGCCCTTGAACCACTTTGACATTGGGCGTGGCCGAGACCAAGGGGAGTGAATCGAATTGCATGCCGCGTGTAGACATTCAAGTTGAGATCAGCCACTCGAAATATGTAGGTACTGCTCTCTATCCTCAGTATATACCGAATTTTGGCGATGTGCTCGATATTCTGGACAGTTCTTAATTAGAGATCCCAGTGAAATTGGTATATAATAAGACTGCACTCCCAAAGAAATATCTAGTAAGCCATCAGGTAAACTCACATTACCCTCGAGCTCCCAGGCGACAAGACATTTGTCCACGACGTAGTGGGCAACGTCTGGGCGAGAATGACGGCTTCCATCTGAACCTTTTGCCGCACCCAATACACCTTGTCATCATCAAACGCTACCCCATTCACATCCCTCAACGGACATCCATGTCGCCTCTGGAACAGGCCAAACGGCACAAGGAAATTGATCCACTCGGCCCGATGTTGCTTTGGTTTGTGGAAAAACTTGAGCAAGAAGCGGTCCCAGGTTATCTGGAGTTGAAAGGATTCGACGTTGGGCCACCTCTTTGCGACAGCCGCGACAATATCCGGCGTTTCTCGCACTTTGATTTCTGTAGTATTCGGCATCCAGTCGACGCCAAAAATGGCATTGAGAAATACGGTGCGCACGGGCACGGTACGTGGGGGGACGGGCATGTGCAATAAAGAGAGTGCAGTCCCACCAATACACTCGAGGTTTGGACATTGCTCCCAGATTGTATCAGGGAACTCGAACCCAATCCGTCCGGAAAAGTGTGCAAGGTCGCGCGCGATCGAGAGGCCACGGAGTTGCGAGCCCGTTGCGCGTAGAAGTGGTTCTATATGAGATGTAATAAAGTGGGAAGTATAGATTCCCTTGATAAAGAGGTAGCGCAGCGATGGAAGATTCCAGATGCGTGGGTCCCCCCAACGAGTGTAGAGCACGGTCGGCGTACGGTTGGGTTGTAATGAAAGTGTCGTGAGAGATGGAAGATCGAGGCCCGGATCAAATGTATCTGGTCCAACGTCCAACACTTCGAGATGCGTAAGGCGAGGATAGGCTTCCGACAACTGGCGCATCGGAAGAGCACTCGCAGCCGTTCGATCACGCCGCAAGGACAAGATGCGAAGATTCGGCATCATCTTCCTCGAGTCTGCAAAATCAAACTCGTATAGCGCACCATGAAGACTGGTCACGGCGAGCGGACCGTCCGCCGACGAATAGATTCGTTCGAGTCCGCCTACCTCTGAAGGCGAGTGTGCGAGCGAGTGCTCTCTGCGCCATCGAAGGGAGAGATAACATGGGGTGTCGCACAGGCATTCATACGTGTGTACAATTTGAATGCGCCGAGCCTTGGACAACCGGTTCGAGGAAGGCCATTCCTCTGGACGATGCCAATACGCGGGGACGCAGGTGACAAAGCTCCCTTTATTGATGAAATCGAGGAGAAACTCGTTCCACGAGTGACAGACACGTCGAAGTCGGTTCAAAGTCTGCTCTGCAACCTTGTAGGTCGACACGACGGTACATTCGTCAGAGAAGACGCTCATATTCTCTATCAACCCGTCTTCGAGTGCCGGAGAGAAACCGACGGCGACGGCGGTCGACAGAATCTTCTTCCATAATTCGACTGGAACTCGTGCGACTGCTGGCTCCTGTCCAGTCATCGTCTGGCATTCCGGGGTCAACGTAAAGCTCGATACCGAAATTCAGAACGTACGAAAACAACTTCAGCGACGAGGTGGGCCACAAGGACAGTAAAGGGAGGAGTCCAAGTTCGACAAGCGCTCGTAGAATGTCAACGAACAGTGAAGATCAAAACATATATACAAGGAAAGACGAAGATGGCGACAGAACCTGGTAGAATTAGCCCCGCACAGGCCCCGCAGTGGCGATCCAACTACCCCTAAACGAAGCAACCGCCGCGATAAGTCCAAAGAAGTGGACCCAAAACTCGTTTTTGAACAAGCCACCTTTCAGCGACCTTGAAATGCGTTATTAGACAGAACTTCCAAGGCGCAGGGGAGACAACTTACCAGTGAACTGTTAGAGGAAGATTTCCTAAATTGACGACGAGCTCATTGAGAATGGCATTCTTTCTCCTTTGGATCTCTAGCCTGAGATTTTGTTGTTCCGGAGAGGAAGCCCGCTTCTCCGTCGTGGCGTCTTTCGTGATTGCGCGTTCGCGCATCTTGAGGAGTCTCCAATCTTCCTTTAGATGCAAGAATTGAAGAAACACGTAGAGTGCCCAAGCGCGACACGACCAGAGCGAATATTTGCCGATGCGCTCCTTGGAAATAGGGAGAATCCCCTGTGAGCCAAAGTAGTAAAGGTGTTCAAGAGGATAATAGGCAAGCATGGAAAGTCCCTGAATTCTCTCAATTGTCAACAGTCTCCTGGTTGGTGGAGGGGTGCGTTCGAGCGAGATGAGCCACTGGAAGATGGGAAGGAGACCTAGTTGGAGATCAGTATGTGGAAGGAGTGTTCCATTCCGCTGATGACTGACCCCAGAGTCTCAGCATTGTCCGTGCGTCTGAGATGACGGTGCCCAGTTTCTTCCAACGAGCCGCTGTCGTACTGCTAGGAATCTTGCGCAGTCCATTGCGATACTCCATCCGAGCGCGCATCTCGAGTAGCGGAACAGAAGCTTTGCGCTATTCTCCACCAGCTACTACCGTCACTACTTGTCTCCAAAAGTCGTTCATTAGAGTACCCACCTGGAAGAGTCTGTCTGAGCCTGACCAAGTGCTCAAGAAACGGACGGCATGGTCGAGTTCTGGCGACGGAGGCAGTCTAGAAAAGACGCCGAGGATGAGATCATTGGCTTTGGCTGTCGTCGACTTTGACATTATTAGTTAAGTCGTCGTCGTGGTCAATGTCCAAGATGTCGAGTGATAATTCGAGTTCAAGCCGGCAAGAGCAGGTAACCGAGCTGACATAATCATTTGGCACAAATAAGCCTCAAACGCGAAGGCTGAATCTTAGAACAAACCACGAGTACGTCTTTTACCACAAAGGCAGGAAACAAGACAAAAAAACTAATGCGAAATTAGGGACATAATAGTTCGGGTGCGGCAAGAGGCAACTCTGGTGCGGTTTCCGCGTTCCCGTCCTCTAGAGTGACGCCAGACCTTGTATTTTCATGCAAGGTTACCGTTGGATGTCGTAAGCTAGGAGGATCGTCTGACCGCTGCCACTTTTTCGTTCGTTTGAGGCGTCCTCGTTGATGTCCCATGAAAACCACGAGGTAGCGGGAGAGCCTCCCGGCGACGGTATCTCGGGTACAAATGATCATACTCGTCATTCGCATCGCTTTTTTACAACGTCATCAGCCACCAAACATTTTGGGGAAACGTTCCAGAGCGTAATGACAGCGTGGTTTCGATGAGGGTGTAATGTACAGTAATGGTACAATGGAATAGATCCGATGAGATTTACTCGGCATCTCCTGCACCATCTTTTGTCGATCCTTTGGCCTTTTTTGCCCATCTGAGCCCACAGGCATTGCAAAGCGTCTTCGGTCCTTGGGGTCCCTATAGAATGTAAGCTTTGGGTTTAGGGAACACAAAGTTTTCGCATACCTTTCTCCATTCTGGCGAGTTATCGCGTCCACAGGCAGTACAGACGCGTCCCTGCGAGCCCTCCAACGTGCGCCGCTATAGATCGTCAGCACATGAAAAAAGATAACACAAGAACACAGACCTTTTTCTTTGCCGGGTTCTCCACTGTCTCTCCAGACGTCGCAAAGGTATACGTGCTCGAGGTTGCGAGTTGACCCGACGCAGCGGCGGCAGCGGCAGCTGCTGCGTCGAGTGCAGCAGATGCTTGAGCGAGTGCTCTTTCCGACTTGTCGACGATATTTTCCTCTAGTGAAATATTGCGCATCGGCAGATCGGCGTCGTCGTCTGAGCCGGAATCAAACGTGCCCTCACTAACATTTCCATTTCTTAGTGCCTGTCACGGAAAACCCTTGTGAGTGACCGCATGTGGCTAATCGGAAATAGGGTAACGTTACCTCGAGCCGAGCGGCGAGCTGTTCGTTTTCAAGCTTGAGCGCTAGATAGTCGTCGAGATCGTTGATAGAGGATGTCGGATAAGGGGAAAGCATTGCGAATACACATAGACATTCGTCTGTATCCGATGCTTGGAATGGGTTTGCCTTGAGTTCGACGAGACGGGTCGAACGATCTCTTGGGTCACTTCCCTTGATGCGAAGGTAGAATGTAAGTTCCTTGTTGCTTGCTATACATCCCTCGAATGCTTTGAAGAATGCAAGCGTGTCCTCTTCTGAGAAAAGCGCATTAGTGATCACGTCGCTGGCCATCGGACGTTGTTGACGACATACGATGCAACAAATCTGCAAAATTCTTTCCGAGTACCTGGTCTTCTGCATAACCTGTTACAGTGTGTACAGCGGCGTCGCAATGGATAATGGTGCCAGTCTGGGAGAGGACGAGGATGGCGACGTTGACGAGCTCTGAGACGAGTAAATCTGCCCAACGTTTGCGTTTTGTGAATTCAAACCCTGATTTCTGGTGAGTGGTTTCTTCGTCGTCCATGGTATGCAGGGTCAGCAGCCTAGACAAACAAAAGGCCACTAGTTCAAACTTGACCTCTACCATGGACGGCTCACTCCTGACCCACTTTCTGCAGAGAGTCAACAAGGACATAGAACGCATAGAGTCTCTCATCCAAGTCGTCCACAACGGTATCTCTAAACTCCACGCCGTCGACTTGCAAACTGACCCCGCCTCGTCCCCCACCGCCAGACGTCAACTTTCTGCTCGAAGCAAACCAAATCCACGCAGACGATGCTGCGCTTATTCTCTCAAAGGTCCCAGCATCCGTGAGCGCATCGCAGCAGCAGCCAGTGGGCAGACACGCCCCACTCAGTCGCTCCAGAGTCTCGCTCGAGAGCAATGACAGCGCGCCGCTGGGTGACTTGAACAGCGCAGACAGTCTCGCCCCTCCGTCATACTCGTATCCCTCGATGGAGAATGTCATTAACAACGTGCCCCGCTCACAGCCCAAACGCCAGGCGAGGGCACTCTGGGACTACAACCTCGACGGCGAGGTATGAATGCTTCTATTCATCCTTCCTTGCTCCTTTCGTCCCTATCGCCGCTTCCCTTTTCTCCACCGGCTCTCACGGCGAGAACATCGAGGGCTAATCCCCCCCTCCCCTGCCTCCACACAGGAACCGGAAGATCTTGCCTTTGAAAAGGGTGCCATCATCGAAGTCATCAAAGAGAATAACGAAGGTGCGCAAATTCTCATGCGTTTCGACAAACGATTGACCAGACCGCCTTCACGTTGTTGCAGACTGGTGGACCGGCAAGTGCAACGGCCGCACAGGAATATTCCCATCAAACTACTGCGAGGTTCTCCAGTACCCGCTTCCCTCTTGGAGTCAGGTCCCGCCCGCGACTGCGACAAAGCCGCGACCGATACCGGAGACTGCGCCGAAGTACGTGCCGTACAAGCACGCCTCTCCTCCGGACCATGGGTCGCGCCCAACTGCACAGGACGATGACTTGAAGAAGCACAAGTATTCGCACTCCAAGAATACGGTGAGCGCTCGTTCCGTGGTCTGTGCGCGTTAATCACAGCCGCTCATACTATTCACAGTCGACTGGAACCGGTCTTGGGTATGGAGCCGGTGAGCGTCTTGCGAGATTTACCCTCTTGTCTGTTGACTGACGACTTCTTTGCCAGGTGCTCCCAACCCTGTTGTGAGGGCTATCTTCTAACGAATGACATGAAGGGATTCTATGAACACTGTTGTATACAAAGTACGTTTATGTAACATTATCTGTCACCCCGTTCTCGACTCCACCACTTGCTCGTGTTCTCTTTGTCTCTATTGGGCGATACTCCTATCGAATATAGCAGTTTCTCTTAGACTTTCGGGCGATCGAATTTAGAGACGGTACGCGCGGGAATAAATTAGCGAGAGGGAGCATACATCGATCACGTGAGGCACATCTAATAAACTGCAAATGGGATCAACCTCGTATCATGCGAAAGCCGATGGCAGGAGCTCAGAAGATTGCTCGAACCAGCCCACCGGTTATGGCAGCACCTGACAGACAGAGGTCAGCCCCCCCCCAATTGGCTCTCGCTTAGCACCGATAGGATCTCGACTTACCAGCGCCAAAGCCTGCGCCCATGGCAGCTGAATCAACCATCTGTACGGAAGGATCCGTAACGGAGAGGAGGAGCAACAACATCCATCAGCATCAAGGTCCGGGAGGACCAGTTGGAATACGCACCGTCGTCTTGAGATGTTCGTATCTGGCCCGCTTTGCTGGGTCGTGTTGCGCAGGTTGGAGTCCAATCGCATTCGGCCCTCCACTCGTCCCACCAAGACCAGTTGATGCATTGAGCGCGGCGTGTGTGGAGCGGTAGGGTGTGTACGTCGGTGCGGAGACTTCAGAACTCGGACGGGAACCCTTGATAATCATGGGGGGTGGAGTCGGTGGAACCATGTGTGTGATGCGTTCGACATAGGTGCTCGGGAACAGACCTGAGCGACCGCGGACGGTGCCGGTCCACCAGTCTGCATTCTTTTCGGTCGAGCGCTCATCAACTTCGATCACGTCGTCGTGCCAAAACGACAAATCCTCTGGATGCTAAATCCAGTCGGACCGCCGAACGAGCCAGACAGGATTGACAATAAGGGAGGGTAGCGGGTGGATGGGTGTGGGGAAAGGGTGTATCAGTGATCTGTAGACATAATACAGTTAATGTGGAACATACTTCATTATCGAGATTGTAGTCCCACAGTGCACGAGCTTGGAACGTGTTTACCACGGGGGGTTTAGGGACCGGTCGTCGTCCATCACGGACGTTCTCGACGGGGATCTGGATTCGTTCGGGACTGTATCTGATGCCGTTGGTGGGCGGCGTGTTGGAGGATGCTTCAGAGATGGAGAGCGCTTGAAAGGAAGGTTGCAAGGTGGACGCGGATGGATCCGTCGCGAGTGGCACTTTGGACAAGATAAAGGTGGCATCTTCCTCGCTGATTTGATTTGTGTTTACAAGGTAGGCAACATCTATGGACAGAACCATCCATTAGTTTATGGCTTGGTCGTCAAAAGGAACGCGATGGCAACTATCAAAGGGGTGGGATTATACGAATAGATGCGTTCTGGGAGGTTCTATATGAAGCGTGGCTTGCCTGCGTGAACTTGGTGAATACGGGTATTGATGCCTGCGACGTCTTCGTACAGTCGCACGAGAACACGGTCGAGGAGAATGCAATGCGGGTCCTCTAGCGCCATGTCCGAAATGCGTTGAGCAGTGAAAGGATCCAAGGAACCGATGGGCGATGGAGCGCCTGTAGAAAACGGTGGGAATTTAAGACACCAAGAAAGTCTTTGAGGCCTTTTTGGGTATTATCTGGAATTTATCTCGAATAATAAAGAATCTGGCCGGGGTTGAGTCACAATTTGTTGCTGGGTAGCAGCGCCTGAGAATCACGGCTGGGATTCGGAAGCAACAGGCAGGAATTAAAGCTTTTGTTGATCAACAATATTTACGAATTAGGTGCCATTTGTTGCATTACGCCATCCTAATTCGATAAACTGGTCGAGGAACATCCAGGCAGCGAAATCAGAGCAGAATATAACAAAACTTGAGTATAACCTGTGGAAATCATGTTGGCGACGCTCATCGCGGAAGAGGTTCAAACTTGGAATCCGACCACTTGAGCGAGGCCTGCAAGCCTCAGCCAGATGGCTGCCACGCCAGACCCAAACAAGGGTTCTCTTCCAAAACGTACACTGAAACGACATAAACCCATCCTTTCCCTGGATCACGGACACGCTTCAGACAAGAAGAATGGTATAACACGCGTATTCTCATCTGGAATCCTCATAATATTTATCTATCGTCCAGTTCACACCTCTGTATTTGCGCGTTTTCAGGCTTTGCTCCCCCATGCCTCGCCGCCAGCACCAGCAACGACGCCCGCGCCGATTGAACCTCCGCCAGAGATACCGGAGTCAAAGTATATCAAAATAAGAATCATCAGTTGGAACATGAACGAATCTCTCCCAAAGGTCCGCCGCCCGGCCGTCGTTTCCGGCGCTGGCTAACGGTTTCGGCAGGGTGACCTCTCACCGCTGCTAGGAGGACCTCTTCCAGCCTATGAAGCGAACCCAGATGCTGTAGGGAACATGGACATAACTGGTCTCTCGCTTGGGTCCGACCATCCATATCATATCGTCGTAATGTCCGTCGTTCGCACGCATATGAGATGCATACGTCCTGATTTATTTGTCTAGTGCCGGTCAAGAATGCCCAACTCTCATGGGACTCCCGTTGGGTCTAGGCGGAGGCATGAAATGGGACCGTGACAAGGACGAAGAGGAACATAAACGCGAACGCAAAGACAAAGAGGTCGACAAGAAGAAAAAGGACAAACCAAAGGACAAAATTGAAGAGTCGAATCCAACTGCCGGCACGAAAACACCAAAATATCATCACACGGTACATCAAACAGTGGGGTGGTCGAGTATTCTGGAGGATTACTTTTCGCGCGGAATCGGATCAATTCAAGGCGTGAAACCGGATATCATGTCTCCAAGCACAAACCCTTCGGTCTCATCGCTGGTCTCGTCAGACCGTGTGCTTCCCCAGGCATCTACGTCTAACATCCCAGGCATGGGTAATAAGGATGCCAAGTGGAAGCTTCCTTCTCGAGCGGTCGAGGTGCCAAAGATTGGTCCATACGAACTCTTGACAAAGGAACGTATGATGGGAATCTACTTGGCTCTCTATGTCCACCGTGATATTCGTCCACTTGTCGAAGGTTCGTCTCTACGTTCGTTGGAATTTTGGCCCTTTCTGAAGAACCGCCTCAGGGTATTCCCAGGACAGCGTGACCACGGGCCTTATTGGGGGACGGTTAGGGAATAAAGGCGGCGTTGCCATCAGTCTCAAACTCAATGGCACCACCTTTCTGTTTCTGAATGCTCATTTAGCAGGTATGAAACTCGTATCGAATGTTTTCAGGCGTTGGCTAAACGACTTTTTAGCCCACGAGGACAAGGTTGCGCTTCGTCTTGCGAACATGCTCAAAATCAAGTCCGAGTTGTCTATCGATGACTTTTTACCGCCAGACGATGAGCGAAAGGTCAAGGAGGATCCCACCGACCGATTCGACCACACATTTCTGTGCGGTGATCTCAACTTTCGTTTGGATATCACACGCCTCCATGCAGAATGGCTGATCAAGGAGAAGAAGTATGCCCAGGCTCTCGAGTTTGATCAGCTGCGCAAGAATATGCACGGCCTTGGTTCATCCGCTTTTGCCGGCTTTGATGAGGCTCCTATCGATTTTCCACCAACATTCAAGTATGACGTGTTGCGCACTCTCAAAGGCAACAAGAAACGGTCGAGAGGGAGTGCCAGGCTAAAGCAACGTCTACTCTCCGAGGTCCCAGAAACGCCTGGAGAAAAGGCGGCCAGCTCTGCTGGTGTTCCCGAGAATGCAGTTGCAGAGGACAGTGACAGTGATTCTGATAGGTCACATTCCACCAACGACGACGAAAGCTCATCGTCTTCGACTGACACTCCGCAAAAGTCTGCCAAGTCGGAACGAAGCATCGGTCTTGCCGATTTGACCTTAGAGGTGACACACGCTGCAAAACGAAAGTGGTATCATCTTGTCAAGTCTACCGCTAGCCTTCCAGCGACTGGGAGCCCTGCATCGTTCAAGCAGAGCGACGTGCACAAAGGGGCATCCGCGTCGGCAATAGCATTTGATGGGGATACGTCTACACTGGCTTCGCGCAAAGCTACCGGCGCGAGCAGTGGGAGTTTGCTGCAAAGCAGCCCTGTTCTGAACAAGGCCTCGAGTGTCAAGAAATCTGATCGTACGGGCACTCTCATGCCAGAAGCCCCTCCCACGACGAGGGTTGCTTCATCCATGGAGCTTCCTCGTAAATCCGAGAGCGAGTCTCTTCGTGCTAGCGTGCCGTTGCTCAGGTCACTGACGACAAAGTCGGGAGTCACATCGAGGTCAACAGGTGCAGATGTACCGCAGGCATCCCTGGACATTGAAGACAAGGGAGTGTATGATACCTCGTGGAAGAGGAGAGTACCCAGCTGGTGCGTGAGCGAATTGTTATTTAAACAATGCTGACTAGTCGATAGGTGTGATCGCATTCTGTTTAAAACCACCATTGTTATTCCTCCTAGCCCAGTTGCAGAAGAAGCTCCACTACCTGTTGTAGAGACACCACGCCCGGAGGGGACACCTCTTGCGCCACCGTCAAGTACTCCGAAGAGGACACTGTTCAATGTCTTTAAATCCAAATCAAGAAGTGGTTCGACTCCATCCACCACAGCAGATGGTTCCTCTGCACCAACCAATGCACCAGCAGGCTCTAGTAGCACTCAGGCCTCTCAAGATGCACCAGCCAAAAAGTCATCAAAGGGTTCCCAAAACTCGAGCCGTCCGCTCATGATTTCGACCAATCTAGGCCGAGAGCACGATTCACCCATCACGCTATCCAATTCCGACTCGCCAAACTCTGCACAGCTCCCAGTAATAGAAAAGGGATCAGGTCGACGAACGACTTCTCCTAATATTGTTCGTGGCTCTTCTGGTGGCTCGACTACTGGAGGGATCGGTTCATTAAGACTTCATGGGAAGCGAAGACGCTCTCTGAGTGCGACACTGCCGCGAACCAGCGACCCTGTTGTCATCCCAAACCGGTTCCCCGCCTCTGCTTCTCATCCTCCTGTACCCCCTCTAGCGATCACTGAACCAGAAAAGAGCGCGCCAGATGCTCCTCAGAGAAAGGGAAGTATGCCAGGTCTGCGAAGGATCCTTAGTCTTCTCCCTGGTTCGTTTGGAGGTGGTCATACTCCCCCTCGCGCACCTTCTCCTGCGCCGCCTCTTGTCGAGTATGGACCGCCCGTCAAGGTGTTCAAACCTGGAGAGATTCGATGTCTTGGCTATGGCACACTATCGGACAGAGAGATGAGGGAACTAGAGGGGCGAAGTGACCACAGGTATGCGTTTATACTATTTGACATACTCGCCGTTGACATATCTCCCTAGGCCAATTATCGGGCGTTGGGCGGTGTACGTTTGATGGACGGCGGATGGGCCCTGGTAACTTATTGGAGCTGTAGAGAATAGATCTATCTATAGATATACATTAGCTCTTGTCTAATCCCGTTTTTGTCCATCTGTAAGCCAAGAAGTTGCCATTCACTTCGCTAATGCCAGACCTCTTCTTGGTTCCGTCCTCTTCAACCTTTTTCACCGGCCTTGACCCCCAAAGCCCGTGACGTGCTTTCTAGGGGATTAATTCACCTTTAATATCGCATAAGAAGGATGTCGTGTGCACCCACGCCCACTTTGACGATATATTCGACGGGATGGGCATCGACAGTGTCATCGTCGGCATATGTATCCAACGAGGTTCACACAGTAACATCACCAGTAATCGTCACATTCACCCGCTGTGAAGCCTACAACACTTCAGCCAGTGGCACACCTTGCCTCTCGTCGACGATTGTCACGTCTACGAGCTACTCGGCGGGTACGTCTCTCCTCCATATTTCTTGCATTTTGCTCTGCTCTTTGTCGTCGTTAACTGGTCCGTTCCCGGCACAAGCTCAGCCCATAGCGAGGGCGATGCTGTGCTTCTTTCCTCGGGGACTGGCCCAACGATTCGGCAGGCGCTTGCTTGCAACGACGTACAGAAAGCGGCTGAACATTGTTCCCCGTATTCTATTGTGAAATCAAACGGCCTGCTGACGTTGCGCTCTTTATCCGCACAGTTGTCACCACTACACCGCACACGAGTTTTACTGCTGTCCCAGTCACCTTTTCGCAAGTCGTACCAGTATCAACAGCATATCAGGAATGTCCAGATACTCCTCGTCCAGATACTCCAGACGACGCTACGACATCAACTACAACTACACCGCGTCCGTCGCAGAGTGTTTACACTTCTGTCTCAACACACTATGTCCCAACCATTGCTACCGTGACCACAACAAATTCCACTAGAGACGATCCCAGCCCAAGCAATCAACCCCAACAAAATAAGTCAAACCTCCCTGCAATTATAGGTGGAACAGTGGGCGGCATTCTAGCCCTATTGGGAATCATTGGCCTCATTTGGTACATTCTATGGAGACGGGAGCAAAACAAGTTTTTGTTTGATGACGAAGAGGACGATCACAGCACGCATTTGGCTCCTACTCTGGGGAGACAGAAGCGTAGGAGTGCCAACATCACACAGGAGACCAAGGAGAACCGACCATACAATTATGGCGTTGTTGGCGCAAGCCCATCCCCGACGGCATCCCCCGTGCCGCATAGTCAATACTCTTCGTTGGGAGGGTATAGCCATCGGCGGGATACCTCTCGCGACCGCCTCATGTCCTCTCCGCCCGGTTCCCCGAATCGTTTAGATGTTCCTCTGCCCGGAACTCAACGACGGACGTCTCATTACAGCAGCGGCGTGCCCGAGTCGATTATGATGACGGCCACAGGAGGCAGCACCAACACACGCACAAGCGATGATGCCCGAGGTCATGAACGAGCAACTTCTGTGTCGCTCATGGATACTGCAAACGTCTATCCTCCAGGCCATGGCGGTTTCTACCAGCAGTATGGTCCCATGGAACCTGCTCAGTCACCAGTTGGGGCATCCACATCGCCACAACCTCCTCAAGGCCTATCACCCTCCAACACCATGCACAAACCACCTCTTGATCCCTCACTAGTTGCTGCGACGCGACCCATTCCAACCCATCAAGCACTCGTGGCAGCCGCCGGTTTATTGGGTCCTCTACCGCCTACGCCAACGACAACAGGACGTACTCCAGTGATGGCTTCCCCACCCCCCGGTGCTGCTGGAGCTCGTCCGTATACAGAGTGGAGAGAACAAGGAGACATGCTTTCAGCAGTCATGTCTAGTGGTGATCAGGCAGCAGCAGGTGGCACAACTGCGCCAAACAATGGGGCGGTTGGATTTGGAAGGCAGATGAGCCCCGAAAAGTCACCCCGAAGAGAGCTCGTGCGCTCTCCGGTGATTCAGCATCAGGATGGAGGACGAGTTCCGGATAATGCGCCTACTACAGAACCTGCGAACGAGGCTCCCCCAGCTTACTCCCAGTCGTAGGGGCGGAAGAGGAAAACTCAGTCAAACGTTTTTGGAATCCTTATCAAAGCGAGATTGCTTTCATGACTTGGTTATATGGACACTTTTGTGCGTTTCAATACCTTACATTCCAGTCAAAGCTCCTGGTCAGTGTCGACTGGGTGGCTTTTGTATTCAGTATATCATCTCTCGCATCTTATCGCTGTTTTATGGACTATGCATTAGTGATTTCCAGTAGGTTCTGGTTATAGATCCAAGCAATCAAAAGAGTTACTCGCTGTCAATTTCCTTTGAGAATCTGGATAGAGGCATGCTGAGAATAGTAAATACGGGCACAATGACACATGTAGAGTCTCTTGGGTTTATCCTCGAGGCTTTTTTATGATACCGGATATTGAAGGCTTCAAAGGCTTGCTTCCAGCGCTGAGAACGGGTCCTGCCTCTTCAACGCCCCCGAGAGGAGCGATGTCGCAAGTGTTCCATCTTGTTTAGGAGCTCGTCCCATCTCCGCCATTGTCCGCCTTCTTTTGCTGCGCTCCAGAACTTCCCACTCTCCTCTCTCCTGTGCCCACTTTGTGCTCGCTTCCTCCCGTATGTCCGCCTCGTCTACAAGTTTCAACGTCGACGGTAAAGCGTACTTGTCCTTGAACGAGTCGTCATCCTCCCGTTTCCGTTTCTCAATCTTCTTGTCTTCCCGGAATTGCTTTCGAACGCGTTTGGAGAGTTCGTAGGGGTCGGCATTGTATGTCTCTGATAGCTCTTGGAGTGACTCGATTCTTGGAGCCCCAACTTCACGGGCGTAACGGGAAGATTCTGCCGTCTTCTCCACTTGTGCTAGTGGGTCGATGGGCCCGGCTTTACTCGGGTCGTTTTCTACAACCAGTTAGTACAGAGAAAAGCGCCTATTGAGGACTTATTACCGTGTATCGCGTATCCTCCTGCCTCTTCGGGATTCCACTCTTCGTCCTTCTGGCGCGCACCACTGGTTACGACATACCGCGTGTTCTGCACTGCGTAAGAAGGACATCAACAACATATTGGTCAATTTTACCTTTGGGTCTGTCTGGATTTCGAACCAGCCGGAGCAGAGATGGCATTTACACCGGAAAGCAAATATTGGCGTGGTGTAATACATCCCAACCTTGCGCTTTTCGGCATTGTAACGGACGCCCATTCCAATATGCGCGTTACATGTTCCACTGGTGATATTTCAGACCGAAAGAAGAGGCTCAAATCCAACGCCTTACCACCAGATATTGAAGGGTAACTCGAAACGAGTGATGAGGATTCCTTGGTCAATCTTCCGTGCTCTATCTCCTAGTGCATGTTTCCCGTGGTAGTCGTTAAGAGTTCGGTGCTGACATCAAGGCTTGTGAGATATTCGCCGGTGAGATGGAGAGCGTCTGCACCTTCTTAGGGTCATAATCCGGAGGATAGTATCTGTTAAAGCCCTATTTAATTCTTGTAAGTCGATAGACGGAAATACTGAGAGAGAGTATTGACCTGCATGGTGAAGGTGGATTCCAAGCTTGATGCTGACCGTATCAACTCATGGACAAGGATAGCAATGGCCGGGAATTCCACTTTGCAAAACTCAGTGATCTGAAAGTACCGGTAACCTTTCGCATGTAGGCAGTCTCGATATCCCACGTAGCCTTGAATTGACGGCGTCTACCTAGCTCGCAACTTGAAGGAACGCGCAAGCCGCTTTCGTTTACTGAGCTGCTTGACAAGCCAGAACTCAAACATTCTGGGTTACAATTACCGTATGGAGTCTCTGTCATCCCAAGAAGTGCAACTCATTTCCCAAAGAACGCTCTCAGATCTTTACGTGACATGCCAACTGGTGGCAGATAACAAACCCTTGACGATTCCCTTTCGAACGTCTTTCAAGGCATTTAATACGAGCTACATGTACGGCCTCTTGTTCGTTCACCGCAACATATCTCATTCCCGGGTAGATGGAACGAATGGATCACCCTGCCGATCAACTACTGTGATTTGCCTCTAGGTGCTCAGATTACCTTTACTGTTTGGGACATTGCTGGTCCTCGAACGCCGATGCCAGTCGGTGGCTCCACCTTTCGTCTCTTTGGCAAGAAGATGTAAGCAAGCCGGTTCACTGGTGCATATCTAATATCTGATAGGACTCTTCGACGGGGGAAGCACCGGCTGCTGCTCTGGAAAGGCCAAGAGGCGGACGGTTCCATCAATAGCCAAACGCCTAGCAAAGTTGGCCTTCGAGATGAGATGGGAAGGCTAGAAAAGGTGTCACAAACGCCTTTCTATTATACATTATACTCACCTTTGGCAGTTGATGAAGAAGTTCGATCGTGGTGACTTGCCTAGGAATGACTGGCTCGATCTTCTAGCGTTTCGACGGATAGAAGAGATTCATAAGGTAGTCTGCCTATCTTTCATATGGCTAGTTCTGACTATTTTCAGACAGAGGAAGCCAAATCCGAGAACCTGTATTTGTACATCGACTTGCCAAAGTTTGATTTTCCGATTGTGTACAATGAACTGGTACGTGCTCGTATTAGCCGTGAGCTAGTTATCTTTCTAAGCCGCATAAAAAGGAGTCGTACCCCGTGACCAACAGAATTGTACCTCAACCACAGGCGGCGCCAGCCGCTGTGCAGCCTGTGATCAATATCAACCAGGACCCTCATCTATGGGCTATTTTAGATCCTGATATGGAATTGGAAAACCCCGTAGAGGACAAGCACCGTCGGCTTGTTCGTAGTCACCGAAACGGCCCATTGGATCGGGAACTCAAGCCTAATCCAGAGCTTCGAAATCACTTGGACGTATGTCTTCCATATTGCCATCTCATGGCTCTAAATATGCTCATTGCTTCACAGCGTATACTCAACTACGCACCCACACAAGTGCTCAATGCAGAAGAAAAGGACATGATCTGGAAATTCCGATACTATCTCACGCGTGACAAACGAGGGCTCACCAAGTTTATCAAATCGGTCACCTGGCGTGATGCGAACGAAGTCAAGCAAGCAGTTGAAATCCTGTTACCTCTTTGGACGGATATCGACACGGACGATGCGCTGGAACTTCTCGGGCCAAATACCGTTGACTCGCGGGTGAGGAGGTACGCAGTCAAGCAGCTCAACCGAGCAGGCCACGACGTACGTGCTTATTCCGTCCCCGATGCATCTAAGTCTCACGTAATCCTCGTAGGAACTAATGCTGTATCTGCTTCAACTGGTGCAAGCGCTCAAATTTGAGAGCATGACCAGCAGCGACCAACGATCTTCACGCTCTGCAAACAGCGCTATCGCACAAGAGGACAGTGGACTCGCCGACTTTTTGATCGATCGTGCAGTCAAGAATCCAGTGTTTGGAAATCGATTCTACTGGTACTTGATGGTGGAAATCGGTGTCGAAGACAAAGTCACGACCAAATTTTATGGAAAGGTTGTCTTTCGGTTCCAGAATCGGATAGCCGAAGCCGATATCGACAGTGAGGGCGTAGACAGGCGGGAGACGCTTCGCAAGCAGGCCGAGTTTATTCAGATACTCTCCAGCAAGGCAAAAGAGCTGCGGACATCAAAGGACGCACGACCAAAGAAGATTGACAAGCTACGGGCGTTTGTGGGCGATGCAAAGAATGGACTGGCGAACCTATATCCGGTACCTTTGCCTTTGGATGCTTCAAAGGAGATTGTTGGGATTATTCCCGAGCAGTCTTCCGTCTTCAAGTCCAATCTCTTCCCTCTGCTCTTACATTTCCAATGTTCCGACGGTACGACATATCCGGTCATCTTCAAGAATGGCGACGACATGCGGCAAGATCAGCTGGTGATCCAACTCTTCAGACTGATGGACCGATTGCTGAGGATGGAGAATCTGGATCTCAAGTTGAGCCCATATGAAGTCCTGGCGACGGGTCCACTGGAGGGTATGGCGCAGTTTATACCGAGCAAGACCATTCAAGCGATTGTGGACGAGTATGGCACGCTGGTGGAGTACCTCAAGGCGCACCATCCAGACGAAGGGAGTGTAGGGACATTTGGGGTACAGCCATCGGTGTTGGATACCTACATACGAAGCTGCGGTAAGTATTTTCAAGCGCATGATCTGACGTTGCACTGAGTTTCGATGATGTAGCTGGATACTGTGTCGTAACATACCTTATGGGCGTGGGTGATCGACACTTGGACAACCTACTTCTCGCCCCCGACGGTCATTTCTTCCACGTCGACTTTGGATATATACTCGGACGAGACCCCAAACCGTTTCCTCCACCGGTCAAATTGTGCAAGGAAATGGTGCAAGCCATGGGTGGCGCACAATCTGCACACTACCAGCGATTCAATCGACTGTGCTACACGGCGTTTACCATCCTACGCAAGCACTCGAACCTGATTATCAACTTGGTGTCGCTCATGGTCGATGCGAATATCCCGGACATTAAGCACCGGGATGTGCACGAGCACTTTTTGGACAAGTTTAGGCTGGACTTGACAGAGGAAGAGGCGATCAAGCACTTTGAGAGTCTGTTGCCGACGAGCTACTTTACGGCCATGTTGGACATGGTGCATCACTGGGCTCAGTACGTGACCTTTTGTTTCCGAATCGAGGTAATAACACTGACACGTGTCTGTAGATATTGGAGATCATAATGTACAGATAATAGAAGAGAATGTCCGTGCTAGATTATACACTTACTCCGTCTTTTCGAGTTTTGGGACGGAGACGAGCCATGGCATTGTACGTGCGTTAAGACGTCGGAAGAACTGCAGGAGGTGAGCTCAACCTGTAGGTTTTGAGACTGGGATACGCACCATGGCGACAAAGTTTGTTGGATGCTCTTTGCTGTTCCATTTGTCGTCGAGTTTGACAATCTTATCATCGTCGTCCAGCTCGATCACGACGGTGCTTTTCATCAGCTTCTTTGTGCCGAGACCTCGGATGGTGTACTCTTGTTCTTGATAGTAGACGATGCGGTTTGGATTGTGCGTCGAGCTGAGTACACGGTGAAGTTTATTTACGGATTGAGGGAATGCTTTGGGCATGCCAAACCATTGTGCTGCGTATTGCGGGTAGCCTATCACAGGGTCAGCCGTGTGATGCAAGTGGTGAGCTCATACGAACCTTCGCACTTCGAGAGTGGGTCCTGGGGACCGTGAATACATGTAAAAATGAGAAAAGGAGACATACCTCGAATACAGCATCCTCTCGCCATGAGCGCTGGAAGATTTCGAGTGTCGGCCGTGAACAGAAGAGCTGCGGACGGTTAGGGACAACGTGTTCAATAAGTATACGAGTGCTCACCTCGATTACATCCTCGAGAACCTGCTTGCGCTTGCCCTCGAGAATGAGACCAGAGTCTTGCGACTGACGGCGGATATGTGGATTGGACATGCTCAGACTACGACGGTGAGCTGTTGGAGAGTCTGGACGTGGATTCTGCTCTGGCGCTGCGGGCGTAGCTGGTACAGGAAAGCTTGTCAGCAGCGGCTTCAACGACGTCAATGCGGCACGACAAGTACACACATTGGACAGCGAGGACAAGAAAGAGGAAGAAAAGGGGAAACACTGAAAATTTGGCGTACATGAGGAGACGTGGGCGGCACCAGAGACTCCGCTGAGGAGATGAGTACCGGGGACGTGCACTTTGGGCTTGTGAAATGTCTGAATCGGCGCTGGAGACACGTCGGCAGGGCTTATATGCGACGCCATGACGCGACAGACGAGATGGAGATGTGCCAATCGACTGGGACCACGCATAACCACTTGACTAGCAGCAGAACAGGTGGGGCAGTAAACAAGTACATTTCCCATTATATACTGTATTTCTAATCCAGACGTAATATGCTCGATGCCCGCCCATCATCACGTCCGCTTGCTCATCCGCTCGCGCGTCCACTGCTTTTTCTGGTAGTCCATCAGTATCGGTGTAAGATCCCACAGTCCAAAGGACGGCCACAGTGTCTCCAGAAAGTGCACCTGGGTATCCGCGCATGTCTATATTCTCCTCAGTTTAATTCATCTCGACGCCACAGGGGAGCGACGCACCTGCCACAGGAAGTAATTACTCAGACGCCGCACGCCACTCGTCCGAACGAGAATGTCAAGTGGCGGAGAACCAGGGATCGAGGTCAACAGCGCCTCGTCAATGTCATCTTGGGTGATTTGGCTATGGAGAATTAGATTTAGTGAGAATAGGTCCATATGAACTCACTCGGGTTGGAGTTCTCTATTCACGCAACGTTGCACCGTCGTCTGTACTGCGGTCGCAATCTCGTCCTGCGAGGTATATGGCATGCAAATGTTCAAGAGTGCCCTACGTCGAATGAGCAATCGACTCGATGTATTGATAGAGCACACACTTTTTATGGTGTCTGGTCATTTCCTCCACGCCCCTTAGGACCTCCAAAACATCTGGCGGCAACATCTCTGTCTTGCCTATTCCCGCGACACGAACGCTATAACGTTCTAGCAGATCACTATGACATGTTATATATATATAGCCTCCCCAAGATCTTGAGACGCACCCATGTTGAGATATTTCGAGGAGGGAGCGCTTAATCAAGCTCATGAGAGTGTCCACTTCACTCTTTGGCCGCTTGAAATTCTCAATCGAAAAGGCGTATACGCTTACGCATGGGACCCCGAGGCGCATGCAAATCTCCAGGACCTGTGGGATGCCACGTCAATTCGACGGCGTAGTAAGACAAAGAGAGTAGTGAAATCAAAGTGTCGAGAACATACATTTCGGAGGGCTTGTGAACCCTGGTCGTGGCCCTTTGCGACGGGCTCGTTTTTGTTTCGTGCAAATCGTCGATTACCATCCATGATAAATGCAATATGATTTGGTATGGGTCCAGCAAGAAGCGCAAATACGATTATACGCTGGAGGAGAGACTGCATCCAGGACCGGAGGAGAGCAATGAAGCGACGAGTTCTATCCAGAGCCATGTCCGAATATAGAGTTTAAGCTCCAGAATTCTATGATTGAATTGTCCAAGCTCAACAAGAAAAGATTGTCGAGGTCAGATCCAAGTGGTTATTGAACTTGGAGCCGACCGACGATGGCCGCGCCGTCTGCAGTACGTCAAGCGTGTGCATACAACTCAGAGATTGACCCTTGGACAGTGGCGGCAGTTCAACTTTTTCCAAGCATCCCCCGTAAAGGATCAACATGATCTCGCGTCCCCACCAGACACATTCAAAGCGCGTATACACATTTCAGCAATATATGAGAAGACTGATGACGTATTACATTAGTAGAACATTAGCGACATTGCATGCATCGCTCCGAGTTCGCAAGGTTTACTCGTTGCGGACATTCATGGCGCAATACAAATTCTCGACAGTGATTTTGAGCTGGATAGGACATGGATTGCACATGAAAATGGACACGTCACCCATCTGCTCGAGAAACGGGGAATTCTGGTCACTCTCATCGTATGTCCGTCTCTTGAATGCTCCTACGTGACTGATGACTCTATCAATGTAGGAAGAAGTCGGTGTGCGCTACCCTATCCTCAAGATTTGGGACCTCGAACACAAGGACAAATCTTCTGGTCAGCCACCGCTCCTACGCTCAACAAAACTCCAACATGGCGGAGCACGACCACATCCTGTGAGCACACTTGCACTCTCCAATGGTCTTTCGCATCTCGCAGTTGGGCTCGCAGACGGCACTGTTCTCTTCTTACGTGGCCTCGACCAATATCTCTTCAGTACGACAAATCAGTCGTTGGCCTATTTACCAAAGGTCAAAGTTATACACGAAGCTGGTGATCCGATTACAGGCTTGGGATTCCGCGAACCATCCACCTCATCCACGTCCTCGCCCTCTTTATCAGACGATCCAACCTCAGAGAACCTATACCTCTTCATCGTCACTCTCTCTCAATTTTTTTCATATCAAGTCACAGGTCGTGGAACCGCTACATCCATTGCCATTCCTACAGACGACTTGGGTGCGCTCCCCGGATGCGCCACCATGAACCAAAAGTCGACGGATATGATCATTGCACGAGACGAGGCGATCTATCTAGCCAACATGGACGGACGTGGTCCATCCTATGCGGTCGAGGGAACAAAGACTACCGTGCTCACGTTTAGGAACTACCTCGTCATCGTATCCCCGCCATTTGTGCCTGCTGTTGGCGATGGAAGTGCCACAGTAAGGCGATTCGCTGCGAGCGGACGTCCAGGAAACGTTCCCGGGCCAGCTGGTGCAAAGGGAGGGAATGCATTGGGATCTGGTGCCGGTACAAAAGGAGATATCAGCAAAGTCGTCGTTTTTGATGTGGAGAACAAGTATATTGCCTATTCAAATGTCTTTCGCGAGACGGTCCGACAGGTCTTCACTTGTTGGGGACGTTTGTTCGTCTTGACGAATGAGTCGACGGTGCGCTTTATTTTTATTTTGATGATATTCTCCACTGATGTGAGCGGTCCGTAGCTGTACCGACTCACTGAAGCAACTATGCCCGCCAAACTCGAGATGCTATACAACAAGAACAACTATGCGCTTGCCATTTCGATTGCAAAAAGCCAGGGACTCGATGAGACATCCATCGCAGATATCTACCGTCGTTATGGCGATCAGTTTTACAAGGCGGATGACCATGAAGGTGCGATGGATCAATACCTCAAGACGATTGGATCTGTGCAGCCCAGTTACGTAATTCGAAAGGTGCGTTTGTGGTGGTCTTTGAGGAGTAGTCGACATAACCCGTAGCAATAGTATCTCGATGCCCAACGTATCCAATGCCTCGCGGTTTATCTCCAAGAACTCCATGCGCGTGGCCTAGCGAATTCGGACCACACGACTCTCCTCCTGAATGCATACACAAAAATGAAAGACGTGGACAGGTTAGACGCCTTTATTAAGGCGGACACCCACAAAGGCACCACTAGCGGTGAACTTCCGTTTGATCTGGAGACGGTCATACGTGTGTGTCGACAGGCTGGCTATTTCGATCATGCAGTCTACCTTGCAAGAAAGTATGATCGACACGACGACTACCTACGGATTCAAATCGAAGACGCTGGCAAGTATAAAGATGCATTGGCATATCTCCGCAAACTAGGTCCAGAAGCGGTGAGTCCATGTATTTCAAGGTAGCGTCACGGGTCTGACATAAGGATAGTCACAGAGCAATTTGACGCGCTACGGCCGGGTTTTGCTGGAGAAACTACCCGAGGAAACGACGCAACTGTTCATCGACATATGTACAGGCTCTGGCTTTTCGGTGACCGAGGCGACTGTAGAAACAGATCCAACAAAGAATACGGCGGCTGGGGGTCCGTCGTATCTCTCCTATCTGGCTTATAACCGTAACAGCACCGCACCTCCAAGTGATGCCGCGTCAACTACCGGTGCTACGATCAAAGAGCCACAAAAGGTGGCCAAAGAAGCGGCACCGTCATCTACTGGATCGGGAAATGAGCCTGGGCATCGCAAGCAGCAGTCGGGTATTTACTCTGGTTCTCGAGGCGCAAGTCCCTCACCAGCGAATAAACGACAGATCCCAGCTGTCAGAAAGCCGTCTCCAAGAGTGTATTTTGTGCACTTTGTCGATCACCCAGAGCACTTTGTACGCTTCCTTGAAGCGGTTGCATTGGCGAGGTGGGGACAACGCGTCGATCTGAAGAGCAAGGCCCCTGAACAGAAGAAGCCAGCCGTGGAGAAGGACGAAGTGGAAGGTGATCTGGACGTCGAGGCTGACAAGTTGGATCGGATGGCGGTGTGGAATACACTCATCGAGCTCTATCTCAGTCTCTCAGCCGACTATGCAAAGGATAAGCAAGACTTGGCCAAGTCTATGCAGTCAAAGGCGCTCTACGTCCTCAAGAGTCCATTCGAATTCGATTTGACGCATGCACTCCTCGTATGTTCGACCAAACAGTTTACTGAGGGGTTGGTGCTCCTCTGGGAGAAACTGGGCATGTACGAGGATATCTTGCGGTTCTTCATGGACAAGGAGAATGAATTAACGGCTTCGAATAGCCAGAACCCGACCGGAGAGGTACGTCCCTCTGCAGAGGTATCGCGATACCTGCAGCGGTACGGCGAGTCGGATCCAAATCTGTATCCGTTGGTGTTGCGGTTCCTTACATCCACACCAGAGCTCTTGCAGCGACATACGAGTGATCTGACGGGAATACTGGAGCATATTGAAGAGGGCAAGATTATGCCACCGCTGGCCGTCGTGCAAGTTCTTAGCAGGAACAAAGTTGCGAGCGTCGGACTCGTCAAGCCATGGTTACTGCGTAGGATTTCAGAGTCGAAGAATGAGATCGATTCGGTACGCTCTGGTGTCTTTGAATAACGGTTGTCAAGGGCTGAGCGCGCTCTCCAGGATCGCCGGCTCATCGATTCGTATCGATCAGAGACGGCAGCGAAACTGAAGGATATTGCAGAGCTGTCAGATCCAGACGCTCCCAAGATGTTCCATACGTCGCAATGTTCTGCGGGTGACGGACCCCTCGAGCTGCCGGTCGTGCACTTTATGTGCAAGCATAGCTATCATCAAAGGTATTTATTCTTCTATATAGCTCTGATATTTAGCTTATGCGGCTTAGATGTCTTGGGGAGCACGAGACAGAGTGTCCCATTTGTGCGCGTCAACACAGCGTTATTCGACAGTTGCGGCGTGACAACGAGCGACTTGCACAACAACACGATGTGTTCCTCGCGGAAGTCGAGGAAAACGGGTTCTCCGCGATCGCCACTGCGTTCAGCCAGGGGATCCTCAATGTCCCTCGCGACGAGGGCGTCGCATTATAGAGCGTCGTTGTGGGAGTATATCGTAGTCGTGGAATAATACCGATGATTTTTCGTGCAAGTATCATCGCCATTGACGGTGGCAGTATCATTCAGTTCTCTTGGACCCGTTCCAAACTCCGTGCGACGCGCGAGCTGCTGCTGGCAGCCATCTTGCTCCATCTTTTGGACTTTCCTTTCTCCTCTTTTTTCTTTTTGAGCCCAAAGACGGCTTATATCCACTTTCCTTGATCAAACAACGAATCCTTCACGACCTCAACCGCTTTGAAATGTCCTCTGCCTCCTCTTCAACTACTACGCTCCCAGGTAAGTGTTTCGCAATATGTTTATGTTGCGTTTGAGCTCTGCTAACCGACGTGGTAATTATAGAGCAACGCCCAGAAGCCGATCCACTACCCAGAAAGGTCGGCGAACTGGGATATATCGCCCCAATATCGCCCAAATCTCCAGAAATGCAGCCAGAACCTACAGATACGGCTGATGGGCAGCCAACGATGCCCGCTCGACACCCCGCGGACCACGACGGCGCTGCCTCAACCAGCACCCCAGCCGCTGGCGCATCTGAATCCCCAAATGCGAATCAGAATACAAATGGAAGTGGAAGCTCCGTTAAGAGCCGTTGGTCGCTTGGAGGAGTGTCGCCCTTGACGCTCTTCCGCATCATTCTGCTCACCCTCTTCCTTATGGGCACAGTCGTTGCCTGGGTCATTACTGTTACTCGCTTTGTGGGTAAAGATTCGCTCAATCTCGACGACGATAATTCCGCTGGATCTGGCTCAAGCTCAGACGACGACGGCGATAAAAATAACAATAATGGTAGCATGCCAGTATTCACTTCAATGGTGATTGTGCATGTCTCCTTTACGGTTGTTGTCCTTGTCGAGCTCCTCTTCCTCGAGCGCTCAGTCTACCACGCCCGTGCAGAACGATACCTCTTCAAGCATGGCATGCCTCGAGGTGCGACGGGTGCATCTGCATTTATTGGAATTGCTCCGTGGAACAGGCCGCCCCTGCCCACCTATGCCGCTGCTCTTGCGGAAAGTGGAGTGGGAACTGGCGATGTCGAGGATAATTTGAGTATGTACAGTACTTACTTGCGCCACTTTTCTCTGACTTGCACACCTTAGTTGCTATTGCACCACCTCCGGCGTACGGAAATACCCGCGGCTCAGTGCTGCTCCTTTCCGGTCACTTGCGAGACAGTCTCGTCCGCACCTTGAGCAGAATCTCGCAGGAAGGACAATCGGAAGATACTCACAGCGCCACCCCTCGCCAGATGGAGGAAGGAGAGCGCAGCCGACCTATCAGCTACGACGCATCGGAGGAAGTCAACAATGCCAGGCAGGCAATGGAACTCGAAGCCGCGCTCTCAAGACTCGAGAATACCACAGGGCGTACCGGAGCATAATTAGCAAGAACTTTTTTTTTCCGGAGAGGGCCAGATTCGTTTTCAACCGTGCAAGCCGTGCTTGCAATGGACACTTTTCGCGCTAGCTGGATGTACGACAAATGTACTTTAGCAGATTGAGTGTAGCTCATTCCTTTGGAAACCCTCGTAAGCTGCCTATTGAGTGTCTGCCTTTGCGGCCGAAACAAATTTGAGCTTGGACCACCCGTCGACCTTGCCTCGCCTCGTTTGTCTCATTAGATACCCAGATAGCTCTCTTTCTCTCCAGTTGTTCGTGAATCGAAATGTCTAGAGTCTCGACAACACTTGGTCGACTAGGTCGAACTCCGGTGACTCGAGTTGGTCGGCGGTTCATGGCTTCCAAGGTAATCAATGCCTCCTAATCATTTTTTTACAGTCTTTTATATTGTTATCAGTGATTATACTGACTCTTTTGACATTGCCGACTCATTTGTTCAGGCCAGCACGAGTTATGTCGCTGTCACGCATCCAGAAGACGCAGGATCGCTTCCCGAGTCCTATCTATCGCAAATAAAGGCGCACTCGGACTATCTGACCAACACGTACGCTCGTCCACCACTCATTCTTTCACACGGCAAGGGCTCGTGGGTGTTCGATGTTATCGGACGCAAGTACCTCGATTTCAGTGCAGGTATTGCCGTCAACGCTCTTGGACACGGCGATGAGCAGATTGCTCAGCTCGCTGGAGAACAAGCCGGCAGGATGATCCATACTAGCAACGTCTGGTATAATGAATGGGCAGGCGAGCTCGCACAACTTCTTGTCGAGACTACGAGACAGCATGGTGGGTTGGGATTCGCGCCTGGTGGAAAAGAACAGCGTGGTGAGGGGGGTGCAAAAGTCTTCTTCTCCAATTCGGGGACAGAGGCAAACGAGGGTGCGATCAAGTTTGCGCGCAAGTATGGAAAAGAGACTTGGGCAAATGAGATGACGAATGGAGTCGGCGCTGCGCGCAAATGGGAGGATTCGACAAAGACCAAAGTGATCCATTTCACAAACGCGTTCCATGGGCGCTCGATGGGTGCACTATCTGCAACGGCGAATCCCAAGTATCAACTCCCCTTTACGCCACTCATTCCTGGATTTGAGCTCGTGCAGTATGGGGATATCGATGGCTTCCGCGCAAGGATAGATGAGGACACTTGTGCCGTACTCGTCGAACCAATTCAAGGTGAAGGCGGCGTACATGAAGCCAGTGAAGAGTTCTTTAGAACTTTACGCGCCGAGTGCGACCGCGTCGGTGCAGTGTTGATCTTTGATGAGATTCAGGTATGTTTTTGACTGACAGACCATGCTCTGTACTGAAGACCGTAATAGTGTGGTCTCTTCCGCTCAGGCTCCATGTGGGCACACTCTAAACTTCCACTGGATTGTCATCCAGACATTGTCACCATGGCGAAGCCGCTCGCAAACGGATTCCCCATCGGTGCCATTATGGTCCGAGACCACATCGCCAACACTATCACACCAGGTCAACTTGCTCCTTTCATACCATATGCCTTTTACTGACAAATGGCTCAACAGGCTCGCATGGCACCACCTTTGGCGGCTCGGTCTTTGCCACGCGCCTCGCACACCACGTCCTCACGCGGCTATCCTCGCCCACGTTGACCGCGCACATCGACAGCGTCGCCAAGCACCTCGATTCGCGCCTCTCCAAACTCGAGACCTACTTCCCGGATCTCGTCAAGGGCCCCGCGCGGGGACGAGGGACTCATTAGGGGTATCCCATTCAAGGACACGACCGTACCATCAAGGCTCGTCGATGCCGCTCGTCAACGAGGCGTGCTGCTATTGACGGCTGGCAAAGACGCGGTTCGTCTCGTCCCAAGCTTGAACGTTGAACGTGCAGAGGTCGACTTTGCTTTGGATGTGATTGAGAGCGTGCTTAGCACATTGGCAACCAAGTAATTGTATTACATGTTGGTTCACAATAGACTTTTCTCTCCTTGGTCTCAAAGGCGCACGATGCGAATGCGAGATAGAGCGTTTTTTCTGTATTGGCAACTTACTGGAGGCTGGTTCGACAAATAATGTGACAAGGAAAGAAACAAATTTGGTATGGGAAAGACGAACGAGTGTGCACTGCGGGAAAGCCCAACAGGAGTGTGTTGTGCCAGTTAGTCGAATCTAGGGTAAATTGCAAGGAGGGACTTTTTCGTGAGAGCGTATAAGGATAGGAGAGGGTGGGTGGAAGCGCGTATGCACCTCGATAATGGTTAAGTTGTGTGTCCGCATGGAAGGGAATTTGCAGCCGACACGCTGCAAATGGGGAGAGGAGTCCGTGTAAGTAATACAGAGAGAGAAAGAAGAGAGGAAGCAGAGTGGAGCCCCAGCTATCGCCGGAACGGGCGACTACCAATGAGACTAGAAGACCCGGAAAGGCGGCTTTCCGACATTTCCACTCCATCTTCTTCATCCGAGTCTCCAGCTACAGGCGACAAGAATGCCTGTCTCTCGTCGGCCGTAGATGGCTCACGACTATGTCTGCTAGGAGAGAAGGGCGACCGCGGCACCATGCCGTCGTCTGCGAGTCGGGATCGTGGGTTATGAACCGGCAAGAGCGACTGGGACAACGCCGACGACTCGCACATGTCATCATCTTCGAGCTCGACGTCGACGGCTTTCCGCGCAATGTGGCCCAGGTAGATGAGAAGCAGGAAGCAAAGCACCACACCGACAATGGTGCTCCACTTTGCCAAGTAACTACTTTGTCGCTCCGCATCTGTCGTCTCGCCGTCGATACCTTGTCCTTCTCCTACGCCATGGTAGCCCTTGAAGCTGCGGATGCCGCTTCCGATGCTAGTGTGAATGACGACCTTGAGCAAGCTGAGGGCTGTGCAGCCAATATAGGTTCGCCACCGTAGACTCGGGCTAGCCGCAAGGACGACATTCATGACGTTGTAAGGGTACGGGGCAAACCGGACCAGGAAGAGTAATTTTGGATTCCGCGAGACGGCGCGCACGGTGCGAGCAAAAGAAGGCATGTGCTTGAGAAGCGAGACGAGTGATTTCCCAAAGAAATAACGAGAGATGAAGTAGACGACAATGGCGCCAAAGAGAGATGCAGTGTACGAGAGCACGAATCCAGGCCAGGTGCCCCATGTGTAGCCAGCCAACATCATGAGGGTCGAGTACAGAGGGAAAGGGGCTAGAAGGGAGGAGGTCAGACCCAAGAATATGAGGCAGGCACCAAAATAGTGATGCGGGATACGTACGGACTGTCGTAAGCACGATCAACGAAAACATGTATGCGTAGCCCGTGTAGCCTTCTGCGACGAGCCAGAGGGATAGATTGTCGAGCGCGGTAAACACTTCCGTCTTCCAGCACGCGACGGCGATGAGGAACCCGGCGCTGGTGGCGACCCATGCGCCAAACGAGAGCCATATTCGAACGCGAGGCGGCAAGTCTTGGAAGTACCCGCATGGACCCGCACTGTCCACGCGCGAAGATGTCGGTGGCGGGTAATGGGGTGAACGTGCCAGCGATACGGACGAGCTTCTCCCGCGGCGGGGTGCGTTTGCATACTGATATTGTTGGTGCTGATGCTGTCGAGATAACGATTGAGGAGGAGTCTGGGTGGCCTGTCTCTGCGGGGCCTTTTCGGAGAGCGTTTCGCCAGTGACGGTGTCATGCGTTTGGTGCCCTGGCATGACCCGGGCTGGCGAATATTGGTGATAATGTTGCCCTGCGTATTTTGTAACAGGCTTGCTGCTACTCCGACCGTCTGTCGACGACGCCCCGGCGGTAGCGATGCCTACGTCTGGGTTGCTCGGGTGAGCCTTTGTCGACGAGGACGGCGGAGGCTTGCCAGACAATGTCGACGACGATTCTGAGGCATGATCAAAGCGTGAATAGGCTGGAGGAGCTCCCTGAAAGTCGCTGGGGCCGGATTGAAACTGCATGAGAATGCGGGTGTTGCTGCTGGAACCGTACGGATCCATGTTAAAGGGTATGGTCAAGGTAGAGGTCAACTCTGCAAGTAACCAAATACGAGTCAGCAAATCAGTGGGATTCGTTGTGAGAGCGAGGCAGGGCTAGAATGCAGTGGCAGGCAAGCGGCATAAATAAACTGGGCGGGCTCAGGCGCAGGCGGATACTCGGGGGAGCAGTGCAGACGCGATAATGAGAATAAGAAACGTACAGTGGACGATAAGATTGGCCAAAGGGAGCACGTGCGTCCGCGGCTACGAGCTCGGAGCGAGCAAAGACGGGGAAAAACGAGAGATGGGCAAATCGCAAGAGTCTCTGCAGAGTTTCTTGCTGGATATAATGAAAGTGTGCTGAACTGGGCCCGCCGTTGGCTGCGTCGTCTATAAGCCCGTGGACGTAGAGTCAAAGAGGCGACCCGCAATTTAATGGGCCCGCTAACCGCAGATTAGCCTGCACCTCATCAACGCAAAAACGGTTTATTCGTCGACAGAAATATCGTAGACAAAATACATACGAGCGGAGATAATTAATGATTGTTCGCAACGAGTACGGGCTACAAGAAGAAAGGGAAAAGTATGAGTCAAATAGTCAAACTATTAGTGCCAGGGCGTCTGCACTTGTGGTGGCGGAGGATAGACACCAGCCTGGGGTACTGGCGTATGCGATGGTTGGCCAAACCCACCATTTGCGAATCCAGTCGCTTGCGGCGGCTGTTGCAGCCACGGGCCCTGCTGACCGCCTTGATACGGCTGCTGTTGCTGCGGGGTAAAGTTCGTCGCATTCGCGGCATATGGTGCCTGGCTAGCTCCGACTGGCGGCTTCGGTAAAGGCGGAGGGGGTCCAGGGAGGCCTGCTGCGTTCGGAACCGGAGCTCCCGTGTAGAATGCAGATTGCATCTGCGGTTGCTGCATCTGACCACCTCCGACTGGTGGATTGGGAAGAGGTGGGAGAGGAAGTCCTGCTCGTCCCGACGAACCGCCCGTATTGTGTGCAGAGATCGTCCCACCATTTGCTTGCTGTTGCTGTTGCTGCGGTGGAGCAGCAAAGGGTTGGTTCGCCGCGTAGCCATTAACCGGAGATGCCATCGGAGGAGCGTTCGTCGCACCTGGCACAGGCAACGAAGAACTACGATGCGTCTGGATAGGTGGTGGAGGTGGTGGAGGAACAAAGCCACTGCTGACGGCCGGCGGCTGCGTGAGCGGGCTCGGATGGGCAGTCGTAGGCGATTGTACCAGAGGCTGGTTATGATTGTATGGCATGGCATTTGGGAACGTCAATGGCCCTTGTTGAGGTTGATCAGGTAGTGGGCGACCACCTTGATTGATCGGCTGCTGGGCAAATGGAGCAGGGGTGGGTTGTGGGGCGACGCCATAAGGCTGCACGGGAGGAGCAGATGCAGGCGGTGCGGGAGGAACGATCCCCGTATGTGCTGGTGGCAATGCTGAAGGGAAAGAGTGTGGCTGATGCTGGAAAGGCGGAATCTGATGATTCTGCGGGGGCACGGGTGTCGGACTCGGATAGATGGGTTGATTAGGATACCCATGGAAACCCATAGCCGATGGTGGAGGGATAAAGTTTGGGACCGGCGTGGCTGCTGGTCTGGGGGCATTGAAGCCTGAGAACATTGGCTGGAAGCCAGATGGCTGCGGCGTCATGGCAGGCTGAGGAGGTGCAAAGCCAGATGAAACCATCCCTGGACCTTGTTGACCAAAGACGGAGCCACCAAATTGAGGTTGCTGAGGTGGATAGAACGTCGAAGGAGTCGGAGTGGATGCATACGGGTCCGCCGTCGGTACATTGACGTGGTTTGGGTCGTATGGATTTGCGATAGCAGCTTGGCCATAGGCAGAAGTTGCACTTTGGTACACAAAGGACGACTGAGGCGCGTTGTGTGGCTGATAGAATAAAATCAGTAAAAAATAATAATCCAGCGACGTCAAAGGTGACTGACAGGATAGCTATCTCTCCGCCTTGAAGCATCTCCAAACTCCATCGAAGGGTCATATTTGCGCGTATGATGAAGTGGCTCGCGGTCGTACGGGGGGACATATGGCCTCACGTTTGCTAGTGAGCTGTTCGACGGCAGCGGCGCATCCACCGCTGAGCTATTCCTTCCGTGTAGTGATACCCTGTTTCCACCGGCTGGTGAACTCCCAGAGCTATTCGTATGGCCGGGTTGTGCAGAAGCCTCGCCTCCGGACGGGGTAAACGAGCCGGGACCGCCGTACTGGGGGTTGAGCGTCGAGGGTCGAGCGGAATGTGGCTTCTCCGGAGGTTTGTCCTAGATTGTGCGTACGATTGAGGTTTGATCAAGAAAGGACTAGAGCAAAAGTGACCCACATTTGACCAAAATGTCAACTCTAAGTAGACTTCTCCCGAATATTTGTCCTTGTTCATCAGGGTAAACCATTCTGAAAACAAAATGAGTTTCAGGACTCTTGACATTCTGCACCCCTGCAGAAGACGCTGGTTGAGAACGGGGCCGGGTAACTAACCATCAGTTTCGCCCTTTGTCAAGACCTCTGTGAGATCGACCATGGTTTCTCCAATGAGTTCGGGCTCTCGTGGATCGTCTGCATAACAGAGCAAGCGCATCTTCTTGCCACCTTTGACTTTGCGGTCCTTGTGCTGGTCCTTGGGCGGGGGTGCCGGCGGGCTTGAGGCGCCGTGACGCGCAGTACGCGCGAGCTCATCCTCAATATCTTCAAAGAGATCGAATCGAATCTCCTCGTCCCACTCCGGATGCTGTCCACCACGCTTGACGGCCTTTGTTCGCTTCGTGTCGCTGTGTAGCTTGAGCGTACAGTATGGATCTTGCTTGCCAATGTGTCGTTTATTCGGTAGATTTTTCTGTCGAGGCATGGAAACGCTGGCGTCAACCGGCTTGGTTCACCACCATCGACACCAGCAATCGAAGGCGCGCTGGCGCTGAGCGGAGGGAGAGAATCAAAGAATACTTACAGCTTTGAGGACGACAACGACTAGCGTCCCAATCAACCGCGGGGTAGAAGCCATTCCAACTTATGGGCTGAGTGGTTGGTGTCCAAGCTTGCTCTCTACCGAATCTGGAAACCCGGCAGGTTATCCACTTTGAACCGCCAGCAAACATTTATTATTCTATTTCTCGTCTAATGCACTGCTTCGGACGCGTCACACGTTTATAGCAGCACCGCGCGGGCGGATTTTCATCGTCGCCAATGTCGACAATATTGTCACGAGAAATACTAGAATTAGAAGGGGGGTTCTATGATTACTCGTGTTCTCCAGGATCATCGCCACCGACTCACGTCTAACAGCCTCATCCTGGACCCGCGGCTGAATTCGTCTGGAACATCCGCGATGCAATTCAAGGAGTCGCTACAGGCAAACTAGTTTAACGCAAGGAGGACCATCGTCCGCCTGCAGGCAATAGACGAACAAACATTCCAAAGGGAGGATCAAAGGAAGGAGGAGGCGTAAGGAGAGGGGACGGGTAGGAGTAAAAGGTTTTGCTAGGTGTAGTCGAGGCAAAAGGAGATACAGTCGAAGCGGCGGCGGAGCGGATGCAGGGAGTCATTATCCAGAGTCGTCAAGAGGAACAGGGAGACGCGAAGCGTATATGCACAGCAAGAGATAGTGAGAGACTACATGTGTCTCCCTTTACTCATCTACCATCGTCCACCAGCAGCGGGGATTCCCTTGCCATAGGTGTGGGTCGATGGCTGGTTGGTGTCCTCGGGGAAGGAGCGGGCCGAGTCGAATTCGAGCGAGGACGCGTTGGATGCGCGTTTCTTCTTCTGTTTTGTTTCCTCACTGTTCCAACCAAAACGAATTCATAGATAAGTAAACTTTGTTCAACAAGGCGGCGAAGAGAGGAGAGGAAGATACTCACTTGGTAAACGTATCAGTCGTAATCATAATGCCATCCTTTTGACCTGCAACACCGCGTTCAAAGCCAACGGTGCGCATGGTGCCCTTATAGTCGTCGGACGAGTCGTCGCGCGCAACGCCGAGCTCAATATCGGTCTGGCGAGGGCGAGACCAGTTGACAGCAGACATGTTGGTCGCGACGTGCCTATCGGGCATGCCACCCTTGCGCGTGGTGATACCACCACGGCCTGGGTTCGACGAGTTGTGGACGTAGACGTCCTGGTTGGACCAGTTGGAGAGACGGATGTACGAACGCGCGGCGGCACCGGCAGTCAAACAGGCGGCGGGGATGCTGAACATCAGGTTCATAGCGGGGTTAAGGTCGAGTAGGAGCACAGAGGCAGCAAGGGCGTTGCAAATAAAGGCCACCAAGAAGAAAACAATGCCATCTTTGAACTGTACACGGTCAGCAGATTGAATGTACACTCATGCAGTTACTCACCAAGAGCTTCCAGAGCGAGGAGCGGCCAGGGGTAAGCAACAAACCGGTGATGGAAACAATCAACACGACAAGGTCGACGAACATGGCTGAGGGCGGGTCAGTAAAAAGGGCAGTGACTATTGATAAAATGTACGCACTATAGAGATAGAGCAAGTTCAGAGTCAAGTTGTTGTGCTGGTTTCCAGTCGAGACGACAACACAAGTCTTGGCATCCACGTTGAATACTGCACGGACAGCGGTCACCGAATACATGAGGATGCTCCAGTGGCCAAGAGAGATGAGCACCAGGGGAATGGTGACAAACCAGTTCTTGTTCCAAATAGCAATCGTGCGCAACATCAGGAGAGTCGAGGCCGTTCCGATGGCAGCGCTACCGAAGAACTGGTTGTAGGTGTACAGGGCCTGGCAGTCAACCTTTGTGGTGGTGTTGAGAGCGATGAGCATGCCAATGATGGAGAAGAGCATGGTGTATTTGCACAAGAAGTAAAGCTGGAGCATCGTCAGCAAGGTATTCATGACCAGGGAGAGATGAAGGGCTTACGATCATAGTGTGCCTCCAGGGACGCTTGCGGCTGATAATTGCCCAATCATAGTCTACAAACGCGACGCAGATATCAAAGGTATATGCACCGGCGCAGACGTGGGCGAGGTTGCTGAAAATGGCGCCGCACTTTGCAATCACGAGTGGGTCCGACCAATTGACCATGGCTGATGTTTGTTATAAGACAAGGGGGTTGTGGTCGTTGAAGAGGAGTTGTGAACGTCTGAGACGAAGGGGAGGAGACTAAGAGGGAGAGCGGCGGCGGGAGCGGTGCGTGAGGGCTGGGAGTGGCCGTTTACCGCGCCCGCTTTTATCTTGTCCTACAAAAACAATGCAATGAAATAGTTGAGTATCAAGCCTTCCGGTTTTGTTCGCGAAGGCGGAAGCCATGTGCCATCTTAGTCCGACCTTGTTCTCCGACAAGTCCCAAAAAAGGACATGGGCCCGAATCCGGCTTACCGGCCGCTCAGCAACAACCTCTTTGTGCTTTGTACGGCTTTGGAAGGGGATTGTTCATTGCAAATATGCCGTTGTAGTCGCGACACAAGGTTCGCCGTTTATGCTATCTGGTGCTAACGGAGACCCTGCCCTACTATCTGTAGATCATATCAGTAGAAATTTTACATGGCATGAAAAGGCACACACCCACGTTCCCTCTACGCCTCTCTGGCGGCTGCTTTTCTTTTGTCGGCGCGGCTGAATATGTAGCGCACCAGGTACCATCCCGACACGATAATAAAGAACCCACCAACGATTCCCATACCAATGTATCCACTCGCATCCGATGCCGATGCCCACGCTCTCCACCAGCGCCCAGCAAGGCCTTGATCCGTCTCTGCAGCCGCTCGACACCGGACACATTGCTCTCCAATCAGCGAAATGAGTGTAATGAGCGAGATGCTAAAGATGTATCATGTCGCGGCCGTCAAATGGTCGAGATCGTTTCGGGCGATCCATATAAGTGAACATTTCGGGTGGGGTGTTATGGGTTATGAAAGGCGTTAGTACGCCTTCCCTGGACTGATTACGGATGCATTTGGACCAAGACAGGGCGCCGCATCCACATGCCATCCGCCATGTAGAAACGGGACAGGTGAAAAAGGTACGTACGTGAATGCGAGGAGAATGCTGATCACTGTCAGCAGGATGCTCAGAGTTGACATTGAGTGGTCCTTTGTCGTCCACTGCGGCCGCTCATAGCTCGATCCTTCCTCTTCCCGTCTTTCGTTGTGGCCGGGATTATCAACCTCCCCCGCGGCCTGTTCATCTATCAAAATCTCCGTTGGCGTGAATTTCGAATCACTCCGCGCTCCGCCTTCCGCCTCTATGACGGGAGAATGCGTAGACATGGTTTCAGATGCCACTGACGAATGATAGGATACTTCTCTGCGCTTCTCTGGATTTCCGCCGACTTGAATGAGAGACCATCCTCTTTCTGGAAAGCCCGCGTACGAGTACCTGACGAGTTGGAATCAAAACAGGGCCAAACGAAGCAACTCCGCACCGACAGCATCAAGATGGAGTCAAGCGAGTCAACAATCGTCATTCCGGCTGTAAAAAGCAGCTATCGAGTATCAGGGATGACCGCGAGAGAGTGGGCTGATACACACTGGAAGTATAATGATAGACGCTGACGAGATATGCTTCCCGTGGATGTCCTGTTTCGCAAGTGCTGATACGGCAAGGAGTGCAATCGAGGACGCCGTATCGAACCCCAGACCGAAAAGAAGGCCAACTGGATACATCTATGTCGCATTAAGAGCTGGTCCAAGCCACACATACGACTACTCACTTTCCATGGTCGATCAACTATTTTGGTGACAGGGGCAAGTATTCGCACCAAGATACTCGCATGGTGATGCCCGATCCGGAGTGGTTCTAATCCTCTCTAGCAACCAATCAGGACAGTATGGAGTATTTTGAGACACGGCAAATACTCTGATTCGCCTGCGGTCACGAATGATTCGGTAGAGGATGACCGAATTGACCACGCCAATAACGAATAAGAATGAGCCACTAACAGCTGGTCCTGCGGGATCATGAGTCAATGGGAAAAGTCAAGAGCGCATTCGTCTGTACCGACGATCCCTCCAACCTTTCCAAATCCACCAGCCTTGTCGTAAACGTCGCTGGAGATAGTGATCGCAACGATGAAAACGACAACAATGGTGGAATGACCAAGAGAAAAGAAGAGTCCACAGGTGGTCGGCAATTGACCTAGATTGAGTAGACCTCTAGTGGCATTGTCGATAGCACTGTGAAAGGATCAGAAATGGAACAATTTCCAAAATGAGAGCGGGAACGTGCCTTATATGATCTGCGTCTAAAGCTGTGCATAAAATATACCGTCAATCGTCCTCATCTGCCGGTCATTCTGTAAATTTACCATGGCGGAGCCCGATAGTCTATTCCAACGTATCAGAGACACTGAAGATAAGTCATAGACCGATAAAGACCCAAGAGAGCAATGCCAATCCCATTAAACCGCTAGAGTCTCCAGTGGCATGTGGTTTGAACAGTAGTGCTGCGGCGACCCAACACCCTACGTTGAACAGTATTAACACCGTAATCAAGAGCAGAGAGCGCCCAAGAATGGTCAATCTAGGCCACCTCAGACCCATCGTTTGTGTTCAACGGGAGGACCAAAGTTTGTCCAATCGAATCTGCGCGATAGCGGTCGATTGAGCAACCCTTGGACGATCGTTTAATGAACCCGAGCAGAGCAGACATTAGATAACATCTTGGGGTAATACTGTTGATGTCGAAACTTTGTCTTCTGCCGCTGGTCGTGAAACAATAAATAGCAAAGGTAGCAATTAAAAGTAGGCGAATATACCCTCGATTAGCATATAATACCTATTCCATATCTCTAGTAACGGCGGTCAACTAGAGTGCATAAATATACGCGGCAGACCATCTCATGGAGTCCCACTTGGTCTTGTCCGCAACCACGCGTGATGTCCAAGTTATGGCCTAAGGGTAAAGGGAAGACAACTCGTTCAAAGGACACTAGTAATCCATCCGTCTCTCAATCAAACACGTCGCCCGCTAGCACAAGCACCGGTTGGGAGAAGGCCCGTGACACGGCGATTCCGATCCTTGAACTTGTCGCCAACATCTCAGAGGGTTCTGATGTGCTTGCTTCTCTCAAAGCAGCATGTAAAGCGACAAAGCAGATCCTCGAAATGGCGCGCGTATGTCCAGTTGGTATAAGTTGGACTGATCTGATGACAAGAATAGGCCATCCAGAACAACAAGGATAATTGGGGACGTCTCGCTGAACGTCTTCAAGGCCATTTGGAATCGATGGAGAATCAGATCACCATATTTGAAGGGTATCCGGAAGAGAGTCGCAAGGTCGACGACTCTTTACGACAACCGTTGCTTGCCTATGTCAGGTAGGGTTTGTGGTTCAAGATGGGAGACCCAGCTTACATAGTCAACAGAAAGCTCGATGGGATACAAAAGGCAGTCGAAGCACGAACACGTTCGCGGCTGTTGTTTCGGGCGACAAAAGTAGATATGGACGCTGGTGATATCCGAGACTTTCATCAAGATATCGACGATTGTCACCAAAGACTTATGGTGTGGATGATCAAAGATCCCCTCCTATGGCTAACCAGGTTTTAGACTGCTTTAGCCGTGTCCTCATCATTTCATATTCAAATCGTGAAAGGAGATACAAAATTTATCAAAGAGGATGCTAGAACTCTCTTGAAAGATGGTGAGCCTGCGCTATCAGCATGCGTGACTTGCCTGACCCCTCGCAGCGGACCTAGTAATCATTTCTCAGCTCCCAACCGTGCTCTCTACGTCAGTCATTGTGCACAATCGTTGTAATCCAGGAACTCGAGTGGCTGTTCTCAGTTCCATTCGCCGTTGGGGAGAAGGCGAATTTGCTGAGCCTATTTTCTGGCTCTGTGACATCGCCGGCTCGGGGAAATCGACTGTATCAACGAGCATGGTTGCATTTTGGAAGGAGAAAGGTCTGCTCGCTGGTCATTTCTTCTTCTCTGTGGCCAGCAGCGAAGAATCTACCATCGCCAAGATGTGCCCGACCTTTGCCAGGCAGATGTTCGAAAACCTTCCGATGCTGGCCTCGTCTGTTGTGGGTGCGGTCAAACGACACCCCTCGATCATGACCAGCATCTTCGAAGAGCAGTTCCGAACGTTAATTGTCGAGCCAACGAAACGCCAGAACAATCCCGCTATATTGGTCATCGATGCGCTAGACGAATGCAAATCTGTATCAGAACGGAGAAAACTTGTCGAAACGCTTGCTATGGCTGTTCAGGAAAGCAAAAACCTTAAGATATTCATGACAAGTCGACCAGACCCCGTCATCCAGGCCGTCTTGGGGTCGCTCCCAATCAAAGCCAAGATGGAAGATCGGCTACACGATGCGAGCCAGCGCGATAACATCGACGACATCGCAATCTATATAGAACAATCTATCAATGGAATGCTACCAGAGGATAAGAAGCGACGACTGGTTCAAAATGCCAATGGATTGTTCATCTGGGCAAGCACCGCATGTCGAATGCTGAAAAGCGAAACGACATGGGATACCCATGAGACCATATACAACCGCCTGATCTCTGTGGACAAGACTGGAGAGATTGACGATATATACGATCTAGTTTTCGAGCGCATAGAGCTCAGGTACCGCAGGACCATGTGTAGCATGCTCGCTGTACTGCTTGCAGCATTCGAGCCGCTCAGCATCGAGGACCTAGAGGAAGTTCTCAAATATGCTGGCGTAGACGGGAGTGCCGATGCACTAGTGCGGAACCTAGGAAGCGTACTAACTGTAGAATCAGGGGCAAATCTGATTCGATTCCGTCATCCTACCCTAGTCGAATACCTCCGACGCCGGTCCCGCGCCTCATCCATCGATAGCCATAGCAAGATTCATATCAACATCACGGATGCACACGGTCAAGTGGCATTGTGTTGTCTGAAACGGCTCAACTCACCGACTGAAGGTGTCAAGTTCAATATATGCCAGATTGAATCCTCTTTCTACCTGAATAAGCAGATAGTGGATCTTGGCATGAGGCTATCAAAGTTTATTCCAAGAAAACTTCAATACGCCAGCTCGCATTGGTTATTCCATTTTGCAGAAGCGAACGAAAACTGGAGAGGTGCACTCAAGAGGGAAGTTGAGTGTATTCTCCAAAATCCATCTGTACTGCACTGGATGGAGATTTTGAGCTTTACGGGAGGGGTGTCACGAGCGATATCCGGACTTCGAGTTGCTACATGTGTTCCAAAGGTGAGTGACCTATGCAAATATATTCTGGGTTTTGACCATACGAAGCTCGAAGAAGAGACTAGGCGCAGAATGACAGAGATACGTCGGTTTATAATGGCGTTTTCAATGCCGATCCAAGAAAGTGCTCCACACATCTACATCTCTGCGCTTCCGTTTTCGCCCAAGAACTCAATACTGCATATAGAAGGCCAAAGGAAATATGCGAATACTCTAACTGTGATCCGAGGGTTCGAAGAGGTGTATGCTGGACTTCCTAGAACTCTTCGTGTCCATGGTCCGATCATGGCGGTCGCATTAACTCCCAACGGCTCGAAAATCATCTCCGCCTCATTAGACAAGACTATCCGAATCTGTGATGCGGACACCGGGCAGCCGTTGGGAGAGCCACTGCGAGGCCATGAACGTTGGGTGACTGCCGTCAGTTGCTCGTCAGACGGGTCACGAATCGTGTCTGGTTCAGAGGACAGGACGATTCGATTGTGGGAGGTAAACACTGGTCGGCCGTTGGGAGAGCCAATGCGAGGTCATGAAGGCTCGGTCAAGGCTGTCGCATTCTCACCAGATGGATCCCGAATCATCTCTGGATCGGATGACCAGACGATTCGGGTATGGGAGGCAGACAGTGGTCAGCCGTTGGGAGAGCCATTCCAAGGTCACAAGTCCTCAGTCAACGCCGTCGCAGTTTCAGCAGACGGATCGCGAATCGTCTCTGGCTCGGATGATCAGACGATACGAATCTGGGAGGCAGATACTGGTCGGCCGCTGGGAGAGCCACTCCGTGGTCATGAAATGCCGGTCAACGCCGTTGTATTCTCCCCAGATGGGTCAATAATCGCCTCTGGCTCGGACGACAAGACAATTCGACTGTGGGATGTGGATACTAGACAGCCGTTGGGAGAGCCACTACGTAGCCACAAATCTTCGGTCCTAGCCGTCGCATTCTCGCCTGACGGCTCAAGAATCGTCTCCGGCTCGTTTAGCGGGACAATTCGAATATGGGATGCAGGCAATGGTCAGTTGTTGGGGGCCCCCCTCTTAGGTCATGATCTCGCTGTGACCGCAGTCATATTCTCGCCGGAAGGTTCACAAATCATTTCTGGGTCGGCTGACGCGACGATCCGACTATGGGAGACTGAAACCGGTCAGCCATTGGGCGACCCACTCCGAAATTGCGGAGGACCCGTCCGAGCTGTCGCATTCTCGCCCGACGGTTCACATGTAGTTTCTGGTTCGGACAACAATATTCATCTGTGGGAGGCGGACACCGGTAGACCGTTAGGAGAGCCACTCCGAGGTCATGAAAATTGGGTTACCGCTGTTGCCTTCTCGCCTGACGGGTCACGAATCATCTCTAGCTCCGGTGACGAGACGATTCGCCTGTGGGAGGCGGATACTGGACAGCCATCGGGAAATCCACTCCGTGGCCATGAAGGTTGTGTCAGCGCCGTTGCATTCTCACCAGATGGCTCACGAATAATATCTGGCTCGGCTGACTATACAATCCGATTGTGGAAGGCAGACACTGGTCAGCCGTTGGGAGAGCCACTCCGAGGTCATGAAGGTTGGGTCAATGCCGTCGCATTCTCACCTGACGGATCGCGAATCGTTTCTGGCTCAGGTGATCGGACGATACGAATCTGGGAGGCGGATACTGGTCGGCCGCTGGGAGAGCCACTTCAAGGCCATGAAGGCGCGGTCAACGCGATCGCCTTCTCGCCAGATGGCACACGAATCGTGTCTGGCTCGAACGATAATACGATCCGACTCTGGCAGGGGGTCACTGGTCGGCCATTGGGAGAGCCGCTCAGCGGCCACGAATCTTTCGTCCATGCCGTCGCGTTCTCGCCGGATGGCTCAAGAATTGCCTCTGGCTCGAGAGACAAGACGGTTCGACTTTGGGACGCAGACACCGGTCAGATGTTGGGCGAGTCACTCCGAGGTCATGCGGGTGAGGTCAAGGCCGTCGCGTTCTCACCAGATGGCTTGCGGATCGCCTCTGTCTCACTTGATGAAACGATTCGAATTTGGGAGGCAAATAATGGTCAATTGTCGGGGGAGCCACTTGGTCCTCATCAATCCTTGGTCTTGTCCGTCACACCCCCATCAGACGCCTCAAGAACTGTCTTTAGCTCGTCGGATAGGACCCTTCAGATAAGGGATGCAGATAGTGGTCAGTTTTACTTCTATTTATTACTGATTGCGTGATGTCCCTGACAAGTATCTTTAGCCGTTAGCGCGGATAACTCTAAGCAGAAAGACACAGAAGCCTTGGACACAAGTCTCAACGAGAAGTCTCAAGTTACTCCTGTGAGATTCCTTATACCTGGATTCGATCAGTGTACACTGTCGCAGGATGGCTGGGTGCAGTCTTCCGATAAATACCTGTTCTGGGTACCACCAGAGAACCGCCATGGACTAATGTACCCGAATCTTCTGACTATACCGGTAACGAGTTCATTCCGCGCGACCAAACTTGACTTTTCCCATTTTCAATGTGGCTCCTCTTGGACAAAGGTTCAAACACATTCCACCAAGTGATGTGGCGTGATTTCTATTTCTAGGAATACATGTATTGTATTCACATGAGCCTGGCGAGGCGGCTTAGGAGGCTTATCTGGCTCCTTTGGTTTCCCCTCTCGCTAGTCCCCAGTCCTTGCTCTTCTTTGGCCTCTGTATTCTACTAGTCTATCTAGTTGCATCAATAAGGTATCCCTATTCCGTCTTGCTTTCATCCAGTGCTTCCAGTCGAAGAATTATATTAGATGCATACATTCCGCAACTGCAAGGAATTACGTGGAGGCTCATCGATTCGTCGACGAGAACGATATTTTCTTCCCGACCATCTCCGCCACTGGGTCCAGAGGTGCTTCCCTTACGCCAAACTCCCACGCTGTCTCTCCAGAGGAAGCCCAATCTTACCATGGATGCCTGCATTCTTCACACACACTCGTCTACCGAAGGGATAGGTGGCAGTGGTCTCCGTCCAAAGGCCCAGCTCCGTTTGAAGAGCGTCTTCAACCATTTGGTTGCAAAGCCTAGGATCATGGACATTCATACATTCAGTGGCCATAGTCAATTACATGGTTTAGCCCGCTAACTAGGATGTTTAGATCTGCTTTATGGCCATAGATGTCGTTCGTTTCAAGAAAGTAGGGTTCAATTACGAGGAGGCGGGGTTGAAAAAGAAGAAGCAGCACAGTCGAAGGTCAAGACCAAGAAACAGGATATCGGGCCTGTGACGATTAGGGTCGGTGTCGAAATGAGCGCTGGAAAGGGCAGAAGCCAACTTGGACTACAACCACATTAGGTGATACCATATAAATCTTTAAGATAAGCAAAAGAGGTTCTGCTGCATGTTCTTTCTTCGGTGCGGAAGTTGTGTAATTGGCCTCCAAAACGAGGAAGCGGCCCGACGACGGATAAGTATCAGCCAGCGTTTAGTGACTGGCCGTAGTACAGAGTGAGTATCTAATTTCCTATCCAGTTCCAGGTTGAAACTCAGTAGCAAGTGCCCCACTGGTCGCCCCATTGCTACGATTCGTGCTTGAACCCATATCGATCACCAAGAATAATGTGGAACGCCTGCTGATCTCAGAGATTTATCCATCTTCGTCATTGAATTTCGAATAAGGGATGCATCTCTATACGGGGCCTACCCCACTCTTCGATAATCTGACGTCTTGAGGGTTTGAGCCTCCTGGGACGGTTATTTGGCTTGGACTGCACTCTGGTCCGTATGTTGATCACCGATTTGCCCTCTTCAAGCCGTTCTATGCGAGCGAAGACTGAGCGGCAAATTGACAGTCCCTATGCTCAGACGTGGGGGTGATGAATTATCGACGACAGTGGCCGTCAGCCAGGCTCTGATGTTCAAAAGTCACTGATCTGCATCGAAAACTTCCACTGACGCGGTTTTTTATCTCACCGCCTCTTACTATACGTCCCCGTTTACAGGGCATATTGGCGCTTAGGGATATTGGGTACAACGAGCGAACCATTGATTCTGAGGGACATGGTCCCTGGAACGAACATCCTGTATCTTGCGAAACTCCTCGTGATATGTTTGCCCCGCGTATCCGAGCCGAGAATATCCTCTGCGGGAGTCCTTCATAGGGCCTCAAATTATATAGGGCAGTCATTTCACGACACAGATGATGCGTGGCACCCTTTCAGTTCGCCTTTCTTTTGCTTGCAGTATAAAGCTGGTTCGTATTCCACCTTTATCGCCCCCCCCAACGCGTCCTTATTCACAGGCTTGAGGCTTGAGGTTCAGGTCACTATGCCCGAAACTACTCACCATGGTCGGACACTTATTATCCTGCTTGACGGGACTAGCAATCAGGCAAGTTCACTCACCAATCTGGAGAAATCGCACACGCTGACTTGATCATTCCCTCCCTTAGTTTGACGCTACAGTCAGTATCTGGCAGCCGCATGATCCTCTACTTACCATAACACGAAGAACACAAATGTAGTCAAGCTTTGCCAGGTGCTCGTGAGTTGAATTGCTCATCCTCGATGATTTCTGACATTTTGAAGCGAATGGACGATCGTGCTCGCCAAATGATATACTATCAACCTGGTATCGGGACATATACAGAGCCAGGAATCACCGGGACCGTCGAGGTGGGCCCAGCTGAGGAGTTTGATATCATAGGCGGCGCTAATCGTCGTGTATAGCGTGTCGCTGCAGACGCCGCAGATCTGGCTGTGGCTTGGTATCTTAGTGGGCACGTTATGGACGGTTTGTTACTTTCTTGCATTAGTTTGTGCCGCTGACGAGGATTAAAGCCTACAAATTCTTGATGGAAAATCATCTTCCGAAGGATCGCATTTGCATCTTTGGATTCTCGTGAGTGCGTTAGTAGCGGTTCTTAGCAGTCTTTTACGTCTCAGTCGTGGAGCATACACTGCACGCGCGTTGGCTGGGATGTTGCATGCAGTCGGATTACTTCCACGGGGGAACTGCGAGCAGGTAGAACCGTCAATTCCAATTTAGGGTAAACTAACTGGTTGACAGGTATCCTTTGCGTATGACATGTACCGGTTTCAGAATCCAGTGGCTTCCAAGTTCAAGAAGACATTCTGCAAAGACGTTGACATAGAGTTTCTCGGGGTTTGGTCTGTGGGCATTCTCCGAGCCTCCAAGTACTAACCCCTCACGACAGGGACACAGTTGCTAGTGCCGGCATAATCGTCCAAAAAACCCTACCATTCATCTCGACCGATACGATAAAAAACTTCCGTCATGCAATCTCCTTGGACGAGAATCGTATACGGTTCGGGCTTACACCTTGGTCCCCAACCGAGGCTTCGGGAGTGGGTACCGAAAAGTATGATGGTGGGAAGACGGTTTCCGTGAAGGAGATGTGGTTTTCCGGTACTCATTGCGGTACGCCTGTTGTCTCTTCGTATTCTTGCCCTGATATACAGATAGACATTGGTGGCGGCGAGATGTTCGACGCCGACAAAGATAAGCCTTGCTTGTCAAATATCGCACTTCGTTGGATGCTTCATGAAGTTGTAGAGGCCGACTGCGGCATTCTCTTCGATAACGAGAACCTGGACGACCTCGGTATTCCAGATGACTGCGTCCCTCGAGTGCATGAAGATGGCGGGAAACTTACACAGCAATCAAGTAGCGAAACTATGGCTGGAACAAAGAAGAGATATGATGCGAAACACCGGCCGCTCTCTTGGAGGGAAGCAGACAAGATTGATGCAGAGGCGAGGATGCAAGACCCGCTTTCTGACAACTTGCTCTGGTGGCTGATCCAAATTCCAACTTGGGATGGAAAATGGTACGTGTCGAATAATCCCATAACTGTCGCTGAAGGCGAGCGTACAGCCTCAAAGTCAGTGGACGACGCAAATTTCCATCGGATGTAGTCAGAAGGCCATACGAGAATATCCATTGGACTGTACTCTATCGTACCAACACCGTGAAAGGGTACAAGCCTCGTGCCATTCTTCCCGCCGACTGGAAGGTGCTTGCTTCCATTGGCACAGAGTCTTGACAAACAGTGCCCATTGATGTAGCCACTGCAATGTAGCAATCTCGTCGTCTATTCAATGTCGAGTAAGGCGGACCACTACTGCCACCCATGACCGCCACGGCGTTTGGACACTGTACCGACTTTTGGATCAACTGAATTCGCAGTCTGCACATGCCCGCTATGGGGCATTTCTGCTCCACGAGACAAACCGATTATCCTACCATATGGCAAGTTTGGATTCAGACGGGCTCGAATTTACTCATGTTGCCGTAAAAAATCTCTACGGCACACTTTACCCATCAAATTTGTAGACTTTAAGAAGAAGTCGAATACTTTCATTATAAACTGTGCTTCGAACAATTTACCTACATCGATGTGCTACCTCTTCAAGGGTGCTGTACGTTTCACCTCATTACATGTCGTATAGGACCCCTTCTACGAGCAACAGACTCATATAATCTGAGAGCAAATACTTCGACACGGTTGCGTTGTCCATTGAAGTATGTGAATGGGGTAACGTTTGATGGTGGCAAGGTGCATTGGACACCACAGAGGATTCTATTTTTGCCGCATTGCCCACTATTAACGTGGGGACAAATGTGTTGTCGCCCAGAGGGCTCAGGGGTGACGTGAGTCTACCTGATAGCTTGACAGATATTTCTTTGGGAGTGTAGCTTTACAATATAACAACTTCACTGGGTCCTCTGGAGAGCCACTGAGACCGTCGGGTGTATGTACGCGGCATACCATTTCATTCAGTCCCCCTTGGTCTCGTCCGCATTGACCCTACACGCGTGATGTCCAAGTTATGGCCCAAAGGAAAAGGGAAGACACCTCGTTCAAAGGACACAAATAATTCAGCTGCGTCCCAATCAGACACTTCGCGCGCCAGTACAAGCACCGGTTGGGAGAAGGCCCGCGACACGGCGATTCCAATCCTCGAACTCGTCGCCAACATTTCAGAGGGTTCTGATGTGCTCGCCTCTCTCAAAGCAGCATGTAAAGCGACAAAGCAGATCCTCGAAATGGCGCGCGTATGTCCAGTTGGTATACCTTGGACTGATCTGATGACAAGAATAGGCGATCCAGAACAACAAAGAAGATTGGAGACGTCTGGCTCAGCGTCTTCAAGGTCATTTAGAATCAATGGAGGATCAGATCACCATATTTGAAGGGTATCCCGAGGAGAAGCGCAAGGTCGACGACTCTTTACGACAACCGTTGCTTGCCTATGTCAGGTAGGGTTTGTGGTTCAAGATGGGAGACCCAGCTTACATAGTCAACAGAAAGCTCGATGGAATACAAAAAGCAGTCGAAGCACGAACACGTTCGCGGTTGTTGTCTCGAGCGACAAAAGTGGACATGGATGCTGGCGACATTCGAGACTTTCATCAAGATATCGACGATTGTCACCAAAGACTTACGGTACGAATCATTAAAGATCCCCTACTGTGGCTGACCATGTTTCAGACTGCTCTAGCCGTATCTTCTGCACTCTATCTTCAAGCCGTGAAAGGGGACACCGAGGCTCTGAGAGGGGACACAAAAGACATCAAGGAGGGTGGTAAGACACTACTGAGAGATGGTAAGCCTGCACTCATTGGCATCACCAACTTGTCTAATGTTCTCAGTGGATGTTATTGCCATGGCGCAGTTACCAGTCATCCTATCGACTTCATCCACAGTACACACTCGCTGCAATCCGGGAACCCGAGTGGCTGTTCTCGACTCCATCCGCCGTTGGGGAGAAGGCGAGTTCACAGAGCCCATATTCTGGCTCTGCGACATCGCTGGGTCAGGTAAATCGACCGTGTCGACTACCATGGTCGCATTTTGGAAGGAGAAAGGTCTCCTTGGTGGCCATTTCTTCTTCTCGGTCGCTACCAACGAGGAGTCTACCATTGTCAAGATGTGCCCAAGCTTTGCAAGACAAATGTTCGAAAACCTTCCGATGCTGGCTTCGTCTGTTGTGGGTGCGGTCAAAAGACATCCCTCGATCATGAGCAGTACCTTCGAAGAGCAATTCCGGACGTTGATCGTCGAACCAACAAAGCATCATAATATGCCGTGCATATTGGTCATCGACGCACTCGATGAGTGCAAATCTGTATCAGAACGAAGAAAGCTAGTCGAGACGCTTTCTATGGCTGTTCGGGAAAGCACAGCCCTCAAGATATTCATGACAAGTCGACCAGACCCCGTCATCCAGGCCGTCTTGGGGTCGCTCCCAATCAAAGCCAAGATGGAGGATCGGCTACACGATGCGAACCAGCGTGATAACATCGACGACATCGCAATCTATATAGAACAATCTATCAATGGAATGCTACCGGAGGATAAGAAGCGACGACTGGTTCAAAATGCCAATGGATTGTTCATCTGGGCAAGCACCGCATGTCGAATGCTGAAAAGCGAAACGACATGGGATACCCATGAGACCATATACGACCGTCTGATCTCTGTGGACGAGACTGGAGAGATTGACGATGTATATGAACTGGTATTCGAGCGCATAGAGCCGAGATACCGCGCAACCATGTGTAGCATGCTCGCTATACTACTTGCAGCATGCGAGCCGCTTAGCATTGAGGACTTGGGAGACCTTCTCAAACATGCTGGCGTAGACGGGAGCGCCGAAGCTCTGGTACGAAACCTAGGAAGCGTACTAACTGTAGAATCAGGGGCAAATCTGATTCGATTCCGTCATCCTACCCTAGTCGAATACCTTCAACGCCGGTCCCGCCCCCCATCCATGGATAGCCACAACAAGGTGTATATCAACATTACGGAGGCACACGGCCAAGTGGCATCGTGGTGTCTGAAATTGCTCAGTTCACCGACTGAAGGTGTCAAGTTCAATATATGCCAAATCGAGTCGTCTTTCTACCTTAATAGGCAGATAGTGGACCTCGACGCAAGAATACTCAAGTTCATTCCAAGAAAACTTAGATACGCCAGCTCGTATTGGCTGATACATCTAGCGGAAACGCATGAGAAATGGCGAAATGCGCTCAAGAGAGAAGTTGAGCGTACTCTTCAAACTCCATACGTACTGCATTGGATGGAGATCCTGAGCTTCACTGGAGGGGTAGCACGAGCAATAGCCGGGCTTCGAGCCGTTACACGCCATCCAAGAGTGAGTGGTCCATGTGAATATAGTCTGGTATTTACCAGAATACAGCTTGAAGAGGAGATTAGGAGGAAGATGACAGAGATACGGCGGTTCATCATGACATTTTCAGTCCCGATCCAGGAGAGTGCTGCCCACATCTACATCTCTGCGCTTCCATTTTCGCCGAAGAATTCAATGCTGCATATTGAGGGCCAAAGAAGATATGGGAATGGCCTAACCGTGATTCAAGGGCTCGATGATGTGTATCCTGGAGTTCCTAGAACTCTTCGAGGGAACCAGGGTTCGATCTGGGCGGTGGTGGCTTTCTCGCATGATGGCTCACGAATCGTCTCTGGATCGTTCGATAAGACGATCCGAGTATGGGATGCGGACACCGGGCAGACATTGGGAGAGCCACTTCGAGGTCATGAACACTGGGTCACCACTGTCGGATTCTCACCAGACGGGTCACTGATTGTGTCTGGATCGGATGACAAGACAATTAGGCTGTGGGAGATGGACACTGGTCGGCCGTTGGGAGTGCCACTCTTAGGTCATGACTCCTCGGTTTTGGCCGTCGCGTTCTCTCCAGATGGATCACGGATTGTGTCTGGCTCAGAAGACAATACAATCAGACTATGGGACACAGAAACAGGCCAACCATCAGGGGAGCCACTCCAAGGTCACGAATCCTCAGTCTGCGCCGTCGCTTTCTCGCCAGACGGCTCAAGAATTGCCTCTGCATCAGAAGACAAGACGATTCGAATATGGGACGCAGAAAATGGTCAGCCGTTAAGGGAGCCACTCCGAGGCCATGAGCTCGGTGTAAGCAGTGTTGCATTCTCCCCGGATGGCTCACGGATCGCCTCTGGCTCTGGGGATCAAACGGTCCGACTGTGGGAGGCAAAAACAGGCCAACCGTTGGGGGAGCCATTTAGAGGTCATGAAGACATGGTATTGGCCGTCGCATTCTCGCCTGACGGCTCACGAATCGTTTCCGGCTCGATGGATAAGACTATTCGACTGTGGGACGCAGACAATGGCCAGTTGTCGGGGCAACCGCTCCTAGGTCATGAAACTGGTGTGGGTAGTGTCGCATTCTCCCCGGATGGCTCACGGATCCTCTCTGGTGCTGGGGACGGAACAGTCCGGCTATGGGACGCAGATACCAATCAGCCACTGGGAGAGCCACCTCGAAGTCACGAAGGCTCGATCTATGCTGTCGCCTTTTCGCCTGAAGGTTCGCGAATCGTCTCCGGCTCGTACGATAAGACGATTCGATTGTGGGATGCAGGCACTGGCCAACCATTAGGGGAGCCACTTCGAGGTCATGATGATCATGTGAGAGCCGTCGCGTTCTCACCAGACGGTTCCAGAATCGCCTCTGGCTCTCAAGACACGACAATTCGATTGTGGGATGCAAACACTGGCCAACCAATAGGGGGGCCACTCCGCGATCATGAAGACTCCGTTACGGCGGTCGGATTCTCTCCAGATGGTTCCAGAATCCTATCTGGCTCGGACGACTGTACGGTTCGATTATGGGATGCGAGGACAGGCCAGCCGCTGGGAAAGCCATTCCGAGGTCATCAACGTCGGGTCAGAGCCATTGCATTCTCTCCAGATGGCTCGCGGATTGTCTCTGGATCGGACGATGAGACTATCCGACTGTGGAATGCAGACACTGGTCAGCCGTTAGAGGGGCCATTCCGGGGCCAAGAGGGCTGCGTGTACGCCGTCATGTTCTCGCCAGATAGCTCACGGATCTTCTCTGGCTCCGGAGATGGAGCAATTAGAATATGGGATGCAGAGACTGGTCAGTTGCTGGGGGTGCCACTCCTGGGTCGCAAAGACATTGTCAGAGCGGCTGCATTCTCACCAGGTGGCTCGATATTTGTCTCTGCATCTGACGACTTGTTGATTCGAATCTGGGATGTGGAAACCGGTCAGTTGTTGATTGGGCCACTACCCGGTCATCAATCCTGGATCTCCGCCGTCGCGGTCTCTCCGGATGGCTCAAGAATACTCTCTGGCTCAGATGATATGACTATTAAGATATGGGATAGAGATACTGGTCAGTTGTATCTTACTGGCTGTGAGGTCACTCTGACAAGTACCCGTAGCTGCCAGCGGCAATATCTCCGGCCAGAACGACGCAGAAGCCTCGGAGTCGAACATCCAGGATAGACCACAAAGCACTCCTCCAGGAATCATTGTACCTGGATTCGATCAGTGCTCACTATCGCACGATGGTTGGGTCCAATCTTCCGATAAATATCTGTTCTGGGTGCCACCAGAGAATCGCCACGGACTAGTCTACCCAAACCGTCTAACTATCCCGGTAACGAGTTCATTACGTACGACCAAGCTTGACTTTACGCACTTTCAATGTGGGCCTTCTTGGATAAATGTTCGAACAGACTCCAAGTAGACAAGTTGTAATTTATGTGGTTGTCAGCGTATACTTCTAGCCTCAATTCACTGTACAGTCATTTATTGCAACAAATGTTCTTTACACTTTCCTGACTGGCCTTTATTCAAGCCGTTGCGGCTGTGCCATCGGTGACTGCCACCCTTGGACTCGGCGTCGACTATGGACCATCGCAGGACTCAGTCTGCGCAAGCCCGTGTTCATCCTCCGCCTGCCCAGCTTCCTCCAGGCGCTCAACAACCTCAGATACGACCATATGGGATCGCAGCTGGCTTGCTAAACGCCAATTCTGCCTTTCTCCAGCCCCCCAACGCAGGCAGAGGCGGAGCTCCGTATCGCGAACGAACATATTCCACGAGTTCTGCTGATTTATATGCCGATTCGCCTTCTTCGTCGTCTTACTCGGATACAACGCCTAATGCTGGAGGCAATCCTGGACACTTCCCTTTTCCTGAACCTGGATTATATCGTTCAACATCTGCTGGTGCCGTTCCTGCTGGAGGATATAACCCCGGCAGCATCAGAAGGGCACAGCGTCAAGACACAATCACACCAGATAGCCCTGGCCTCTACGATGGTGCATTCTCAGACGAATCATTCGATAGGAATGAATACGCTCAAAGTGTCACTTCATTTGGCTCGCCAGAGCGCTCACCCTCGCTACGAGCCGAGGCGTTTACCCAACTTGGGTGAGCGATATTGATAGCCATCGAATTTTCGTCGCTGACAAGACGGTTCCCACACATTCAGGTTGGATCAAGATGCGATCAAAAAGTTTCAGGAAGGGAAACTGAACCCAAACGACGAAGAGTGGCATAGGCTTGTGGACCCGGAAGCAAGAAATGCGCTGCCGAATAAAGAGGTCAGCCGACAGAATGTCCTCTTTGAAGTCATCAAGTCGGAGAAAGACTATGTCCAGGATCTTGAAATCATGCGCGATGCAAGTCGCTTTCTCGCAGCTCAAAGAGATTGCTGACTCTCGTAGGTCTTTCTCCAACCTCTAATACGCGCAGCTCCTCCGATCATTCAAAACGATCGACTCCACAATTTTGTCAGCGAGGTCTTTTGGAATTTCGAGCCGATTCTCGAGCACCATCAGCGCCTGCTCGGGGCCCTATACGAACGACAAAGGGAACAACATCCCATCATACAGAGTCTTTCAGATCTCATCATGGAGGCGGTTCTCCAATTCACCGAAGATTATGAAAGCTACATAAAGGTGATTTGACTTTGTTCACCACCCAGAAATCTCTCTCTTATCGACGTGTGTAGCATTATCCTCTGGCAGAGGCGCGTCACCGACGGGAAATGCGCCGGAACCCTGCCTATCAAGAGTTTCTAGCGGAACGGACCGCAGACAAGCGCACAAGAAAACGAGATTTGATCACATTCATATCAAGGTCGGTCACACGACTGCCAAGACTAAAGCTTCTACTCGAAACCGTACTCAAGCACACACCAGAAGGTACTTTGGATAGCCCCAGTTGTGAAGTTGATACTCAAATTTTGGGTTTAGATCATCCAGACGCAGAGAATCTTCCGGTTCTTCTTGGTATTATTGGCGACTTCCTCAAAAGTACGCAAGTAGGCATCGCGGTGGCTGAGAGTCGAGTCAAATTCGTATCCTTCTGTGAGAATCTCACATTTAAGAGAGGCGAATTGATCGTAAGTCGGTTTATACCACTGACCGCTCATGTATCTCATTTCCCAAGGACATGGATCTCTATGGAGAGAACCGCACGTTGATTCATATGGGACCTGTAGCTCGGAAAAACAAGAACGACTACTCGTGGGCCGACTTGACTGCTGTTCTCCTCGACCATTATTGTGAGTGGCTGCAGCAAATCGTCGCGAAACCTAATTGTCATAGTTATTCTTACAAGAGAAGAAGCAAGAGGGGAAATCACCAAATATTATGTAGTATCTCGGGTTGGTGCTCGTCTCTCCCTCTGAACTATGTGCTAAGAGAGGATAGCCTATCCCACTGGATTTCCTTCGCCTTGGTCCTTTTATTGGTCCACCAGAAAGTCGAAGAGATGCCAACTCGGAGAATGCAGCGTTTCTGAACCTCAATATTTTTGCCGACGCGCGATCGTTCTACCCATTCGTCATTGCCGATGCTGCCTCTGAGGAACGACGATATGTGTTGTACACACCGAGCGATCGAGAACGTGCCAAGTGGAAACAGGTCTTGGAAGAGACAATCTCTTTGAGACGCGCATACGTAGATGCCAATAAGGTGCGACAACCGTGCTCGCCATTGGTTATACTCATTACCTGCAGCTCTTTGCCTTTGAGGTCATCTCGGATGATTATATGCGAGAACGAACCGTCTTGGTACCTAGCTCCCGCAAGAGGGGATTGACTGGACCGATGATATCGGTCACCACGTTTAGTGAGTTTTCGCGTGGAGACTTTTCTACGCGCTCATCCCACTATCAGATATCAACGACCGCGCTTTCATCGCAGTGGCCGCTCAGAACGGCGTTTATGTTGCTTTCCGGAGTGACCCCTCTGGTGCGTTCTATCGTGACATACAGACAAAGAGCTAATGTCCGGTATAGTATTCACTCTGGTACTTGAGCTGAGCAAGATCACAATGATTACTGCGTTGCCCAAATACGACAGGCTATTCATCCTTTGCAACAGCACGGTCATATCGTACTCGCTTCGCGTCTTTGCCGATGTAGCCCAGAACAAGGTGGAACCGACGGCCCTGGACAAGACGCTCGTTAAGCTCACTCCAAAAGCGGCTGGGCATGTCAGCTTCTTCCGTGTTGGTCGATTAGCAGGGAGGGATATGAGTGAGTCGGAACCGTCCTGGTGTTTCGGTCCTCACCTCGTTTGCTAGTGGTCTACGATGAAAGAGGTCTTCGCTCATCGACCATTCATACGGTCGAGATTCGGATAGGAGGCTTGACTGAAATCAAGGTACATCCCAACTTCTTTAGGAAGTGGGGCTGACGCGCTGTACAGAAAGGAGCATACTTGCCTGGAATCGCTACAGATGTCCAGTTCCTGACTAAACATTTGGCAATCGTCTCTGATCGGGGAATGACCGTACTGGATCCATTCGAGTAGGCATATCCTATTCTACATTCGGTTGGAGCTGACCTCTTGTAGCATTTCGAATGTCCTCACAGTCCCTGACTTTTCTGCTGCGCACAATGATACAGCCATGATGGCTCTCAAGGATAAATGCGACTCGTCGCGGACCCTTGGAATGGTGCCTGCTCTCAATGGAGAACAGCTCTGTATCTACGAAGGTGTGTAATTACACAAACGATGTAAACTTTCTAACAAACGACAGAATACGGTTGCTACATTCACAAGCATGGCTACCCCATTCGAAAGTGTGGGTTCGTCAAATGGGAAATCAAGGCGACGTCTTATGTGTTCCGTGCACCCTATGTTCTGCTCTTTGGAGAAAACTTTGTGGAGATTCGTCACGCGCCCACAGGCCAATTTCGACAAATGCTCGAGCACAAGGGACTGCGGCTCCTCGCGCAGACTTCGCTCGAGGGAGATGTGGGCGATTTCATGATGTCTTGGAAAGGAGAAAAGAACGACGAATTCGGTCAGAGTTACGCTCTTGTAGAGGTAGTGGAGACGCGAGATCTCCGTTCGCTCAGCAATGATGCTGCCTCGTTGGAGAGGAGCATCAGTGCAATTTCAGCTCAACCTCTTGCCAATGTCCTTTGGGAGGAGTGGAATTGATGTGGCCATAACTTATCCGGCTTATTCGCTGTACGAGTAGACTGTAATCGTCTGTTATGTATACACGATTCCTCTTCCCTATTTTACGCAAACTCTAGGCTGCAAAAGTTTGCAGGTACGTTACTCTGTGTTGATTTGCGTCCGTATCTGCAGAGCGGTTGTAGGGCGTCCACTTTGGTTCATCCTTGAAGAGCCGCATGGCCTTGATGTAGTCCCCCTCGTCGAGAGTAAAGCGGTGGTAGATCCCTGCGGGCAACACGAGAAGGTCACCTTGGTCGACGTGGACGCGGATCCATTCGTCCTTTTGTGGAGACCGAACGTCGAAGAAGCCTGCGCCGTCTAGGATGTACCGAATCTCCTCGTCCTCGTGCATATGTCTAAATATCCAAAGTCAGTCCCCCTCTCGTGTATCCCCAGTTGGACGTACTCTTCGAAAAAGGATTTAATCTTTGATTCGTATAGGTCTCCCAGCCCAGTCTTTGACACGTTGATAATGTCTCTATTCTTGTACGAACGCTCCGCGGCAATCTGATCAATAGCCTGCACGAACCATCAGTGCTCACAGTGAATCAGGGGCGCAAAAACTGGAGCTAACTTGTTCCCAATTGCCATCTTGGTCGATTGGAATGTGCCAGTAGAGCACGCCGTACTTTGCCAAATCGCTCTGCGAAACGGGTGGCAAAGCACTGTCAAAATGCGGCAAGCGCTGATCGCCCTCGACGTTGTCAAAATAATACGCCTTCATCTCTCAAGCTAGACTTGTGCCTCGAAAATTGTGGCGGATAGAGCCGGTTCCAAGATTTAAGATGACGTGAGAATGGCGAAAAGCGCCAAAGAGGAAATGCTCAAGTAACGTCTTTGTTACGAGCTACTGTGTACATATGTTATAAAGAAAAGGAGGAGTCAAGAAATAATTGATCAAAGAGAGGTATTTTGGGTTGTTGGTTACACCGCCGTGTCCTCCAAGACGAGTTGCTGCCACTCTGAAGGTAGCCGAGCACGAGGTTTGTAACCAGGGACGGCATTCATGCGATAGAGAACCGTCCAATGAATATTCTCGTATTGCTTCCGGAGAGCATCGGATGGAACGGTGCGACGACCCGTAAAGTTGAACCTGTACCACGGGTTTAAACAAAGCTTTGTGATTAGAAGCAGTAACGCGCACCTTTTACCAGTCCACACCGGAATCTGTACAAGCCACCAGATTGGATGCAACTTGAGCTGATCGTGGATTGCACCCTTTGCGTCAAACTCGTCGGCCTCTTTCCAGTTGCGAAGCGGAAGTTTGGTCTTTGCATTCGTCTCTGGGGATCCAATCACGGTGTCATCGCTACTTTGCCGACTAACAGATATAGAACCCTCGGGAACGCGAGGGACACAGTCTTCTGGGATGCCGAGGTCGTCGAGAGCTTCATTGTCAAAGAGGATGCCGCAGTCTACTTTGACAATCTCATGGAGCATCCAGCGGAGAGCGATATTTGCCAGACAAGGTGCTTCAGCGTCTGAATCGAACATGGCTCCACCTCCCACGTCTACCAAAGTCTTAGCGATCACAAGGAGAGATGCAAGGAAGAGAGCTCACCGGTGTGGCAACCAGAGAACCACATCTCCTTGACAGATGCGACTTTGCCGTTTGCATATTGTTCGACACCGGCTCCAGAGGCTTCTGTGGGTGACCAAGGTGTGACTCCAAACTTGGTACGATGCTCGTCTAGGGAAATGGCGTGGCGAAAGTTTTTGATCGTGTTGTTCGAGGCGAATGGGACCGTTTGTGGGATTAAGAGACCAACACTTGCGACCGTATCCCTGCCAGGCAAAATAAGACGCGGTACCGAGTTTGAAAAACAGGGACATACCATACGCCGAGTATCTCAACGTCGACACGTTTGCAAAATGTCATTTTAAACTTGTGTGCCAGCTTATCTTGACGGTGATACATATCGTATGCAAAGGAGACCTGGCTGGCATGTTAGTTGACAGGGTTTGGCTGGCGCGTGGGACGGGACCTGTTCTGAATTGCCTTTGGGCAATAAGCCAACTGTATGGAGCATCCCAGCCAATGCACGTGCAGTATACGCTCCTCGACTATGAAATATGAGCGAAATTTCGACTACGGCTCGGGGGAGGTGAACACGTACGAGAAGCCAAAGATGCAAATACGATCGTTTGGGAGGTGGTTCTCCATCAAAAATTTGTACGCGTCCATGACGTGTTCACTGAGATACCAAGCGATGGCCAAGTCGACTGTTTTGGCAAACCAGCGCTGATCGGAGAAGGGTGAGCGAGTTCGGTGGCATGGGCGAGGCGTTTGTTGGCGGACATACCTCGATGGTTCCTCTGACTCCGGGGTCGGTAAAAGTGCCGATTCCGGGCTGGTAATAGACCATTTGACGTTCGCGGTTGTGCATTTGCTGTTGGAATGGATGAGACGGCTGCCAGCACGGAGGGATTGCGGAGCTTACCAAGAGACTGCAAAGTTTGACTACGTTGGTATTCTTTTCAAGGAGAGTCAGTTTGATGTCGACGGACGCGATACCAAGGTACTAACTGTGTCGTCAAACTGGAGTGCGTGCAGGCGTCGAATAGCATGGATGAGATGAAGTGAAAGAGTTGATGTAAGCTGCCAATTATGCGAGTTGTATGTGTGTAAGACTTGCCTGGTTGCTTGTCCCATCGAGGAGAATGACGAGGTTACGAGACATTACAGGAGATAAGAGTGATACGAGTAGAAGAGGCAGCGAGTGCGGGATGAGGGAGAGACCAAGGAGCGAGAGATGACCCGTCTTTTATGATGGCCAGTCACCCTTGACAGAAATGACTGCGGTACACCATCGTTTGGCCAAATCTGCAAATCAGGTGTCCGACAAGCTCCCGCGGTGATAAAGGGCGTATTGATTTTGTGTGCCAGCACGTAGAAATGACGGCCCTCCCGACTTTACATTTGATCCGGTGCGCAATATCTCCTCAGAGCACTCTATATACGGAATCTGTCGGGCCAATCCAAAAGGCCCCGCTAGCTGGCAGCCAAGTCAGCGGGGTCCAATGCAATCAGAGCGCCTTGACCGACGCACAACTGAACACTGCACGGCAATTGGGTTACGCCTAAAGAGTTGTGTGGTAATGCATTCCTCGACCTGGCCACTCCATGGCAGAGCACTATCCTTTGGACCAAACTCGTCCAGAGAGACCTCCATTCATCTCACGTTCAGCAATCCTACACAACACATCGTCTAGCCTGCAAATCCAACCGCCAACTAAAAGGCGCAAGCGAAAGCCGTCCAGGGAGAGACCAGACACCCTTTTTACCAACAAGGAATACACAATACAACCCAGGCCCTTTACTCTGCCAAAAACGCCATGGATGCCGCCTGGTCTTGCTCCCCCAGTCTTTGTTCCCGCTACGAGCACAAAACCAGTCTTGCCAGTCGCCCAGTCCTCTACAACCAATTATATAGATTCACGCTTTCTTGATTCATATCCAGGCACTCGGGACCCACTTGCCCACTCCCTCGATAGCACTTTCCACGTAAACCCTCTACCCACAGGCTATGTACACGTTTGTACAAAATGCAAAGCACTAGAAGAACGAATGATCAAGCTGGAAAGCCAACTTGATACCGACAACGTGGATTCTCGACTTGCACATCTCGAGGCACGAATGACGGAGAAGCACGACGTGCTACAGGAGGCTATAGGAAAATTGGCTGAAGTCACCAGTCAACTTGCCGCAATGATCAGTTCGCCGTGCCTCCGTCAGCAGACCAGTTAAAGGTGTTTACAACCAGGCTTGATTCTGTCGAACAGCAGCATCATCAAACATCAAAATCTGTGGAATCGCGCCTGAGTGCCGTCGAGAACCGGTATGAGCAACTAGGAGAAACATTGCTTACTATCGGGGTACGACAAGACCGTGATAGCTTCAAGGTATGGTTTCTTCACCAGCATATGATTTAATTTACTTAAATTCGTCTAGTTGTTACCAGAGACCAAAGAAATCTTGGGCTCCCACCCAGTCGTTTACGACCAAAGAAACAATCCTGCAACGAGCCTCCGACGTATCAAGATTCTCAATGGTCGCGTGAAATCTATGCTTGATGCTGGTATACCCTCTAACGAAGGTGAGCGAGCGACTCCTCTCGCGGTCAGGTAGCTTATCATACTCTCCAGTTTTACTCCAATACTCGAATGCAGAAACGATCTCTGCCAATGAAAGAGAAGAGCAAGCCAAATTATTACATATCATAAACAAGGCCTTTCAGAATGAGCGATCCGACAACGAAGACGATCTTAGGAAAGAGGGCTCTGAGCAAGCAGCCGCTGCCGCAGCTCCAAATTTCAATGTGGAATCAAGACTAATGTCCTGTGAGGAACGAATCAATCAGCAAGACGCAGCCATACTCTCACTCACAAAGGCCGTCGCCGCAAACGAGCAAGAAATTCTTGACACCACTTTGGCTCTCAGAGTACAGGTTAACCCAGCAGAGTTCACGGTATAAAGGTTTCTCTATTATCCTAATAGACTAAAAATGCTCGCAGTTGCTACCAGAAACGATGAATATCCTCGACTTGAACCCAGTCATTTATCATTGCGGTCAACAGCTTATGGGAGTCGAACGTATTCTACACGTCAACAAACAGGTCCAGGAAGCGATATCAGGTGGAATAGATCCTACGACAGGTGAGTTGCCCCTGGTCCTCTGATGCCTTGGTAATGTGTCCAAGTGATCGCCCAATACTCCGACTCGAACGCTGGAAGAGTCAACGAAGATGAGAAGAGAACCGAAGAAAGGATTGTTAGGATCATTCAGCGCGTTCTGGAAGACCAGTCCCCAGATTTCGATGCAGCGGGGATCAATACTCTGCGTTGCGCAGAGAATAGCGATCCTACGAGGTCACGTACGCACAGTAAGTCATCACTCCGTCTGGCTGTGGCGACAACTGGGCTCGCTCCCACCATTCGTGAACCGAGAGAGGATGCAGGTGACAAATTACCTGATGCAGGAGACTGGGGAGAATCTCAGGGACGTACCTTTGAGCACGGGACCGACCCGACTCTGCAGCGCCTTATCCCTGTTACCTCTGAGCTAACGGTCAGTTTGCGCACGGTATCCGACAAGCCGAGCTGATTCATGATTATTAGACAAATGAACAAATCTCCGACGCAGACGATGCCATGAGTGACTCTGAGGATGATCTCGAGCCAGAATCTCCTAGGGACGTAAAGTCTCACGAAGATAGTGTGCTCTCAGGTGATAGATGTCAATTTTACACCAGAGAAATTCGATGCTGATTCTGATATAGCCTTCGACAAAATCTCTATTCTTGAAGAGGACCCTTCTCAAGTCGAGACAAAGGAGATATCGAAAGCATTCGAGGATGGCAAGATTGTTCCGGCTCACACTCACGGCCTACAAAGCAATGACGAGAATCAATATCCACCGCCGGCCCCAACCCATGATTGGAAGCACACCGTTCAAAGACGATTGGAAGACCTCGAACACGATGCTCGTCAATCTCAGAAATACCTGGTGGCACAACATAGTGCCCTGTATCAGCTTTCGCAATCAATCCAGGGTCCTCTCGCACCTCGGCCCCTTGCGTCTGAGTCTCAACTACAAGACCTCCGCAAAGAATTACAGGACGTGCTCACGGACCATTTTCTTGACATAGAACAGAGGCTTCATCAAGTCGTTATCAAAGCGGCTCAATAGTGCGATGGCGCAGAGGTGATTGACCTGACTAGTGCTTTGATGCCACGAGAGGTCTCAGTCACACTTTAGAGGTAATGAAATGGCAAGTTTGATTCATTGTCCATGATTTTACAGCGAGTAAAGATGAATTGTCCAAGAGGGTATGTAGCGAAGATTGTTATCTCACATTCAGGGAGTTGGTTCGATAGCTCATCGAGGAGGGACGGCGTTCCATGACTGGTTGATGTTGGGGGATTCTGGCGTTCCACATTGCCAGATCTGGACCTATATCCGAGTCAGCTCAACTTCTTTTTCTAGTGTCAAAGCGCACCTGTGTACCATCGGCTAGGTTTCCATCCGTCAGGTCGAGGCACTTGTTATGGCCTGCCCACTGGAACGCTCCATCACCGTTGACGCGCCACTTCTGATTATTATTACCATCGTAGCACGTCCATATTTGCAACTTCTGGCCGTTGGAGTTGTTTCCGTTTGGAACGTCGAGACATTTATCGCCATAGATTTTGATTTGGGTGACCGGTCCTTTGTTGGTGGTACCTTCCTCTGCACCACCTTTAACGACGATCCACTCACGCTGTGCGCCGTTGAATGTACCGCAATTCGCGATGGTCACTGGGGCGCCGTCGTAGTTTCCGGATGCCTGAAGGCAAGGCGCAAAGCGAGCTGAGCATCCAAAGGTGAGTTTTGACCTGTATTATGAAGTGGAGTAGCCTACGATTGACGATAAAAGTTTGAATTAGTGTTGGAGTGTTGACACTGAACGAATCAGTAGGGACCGCAAGGAACAGACTCGTACATACGGGGCTTGGAGGATTCTACCAAGAGGTCAGTCGGTGTTATTGTCCAGACAGGTTCAACTCACGGGTCGGCCGCAACAGAAAGAGCCACCGCCAACAGGGAAGTAACGAAACCAAATGATTTCATGAAGATAGATGAGAAGAAAGCAGGAATGATTCCAGCTCGCATATGCTCTTCTGGTGCCCTTATATGTGGCAGGGGTCGGTCACTCGGGCACCGCCATACGTACATAGGTCACGATGCCGTAGATGCACTGCCATTAGAAGTGTAATTGTTTCGGCTTGAATGACGGAACGATGTCATTCTGGAACGCGGGGACGGCTTCGGTGGAACGGCTTCGGCGAGTGCTATGACGGTCTGGAGAGGCCTCGATGCGTCAATGGCCGTGCTTTGGTTGAAAAACGCCATCATCGAGACGCTTCTCGAGCGCGTGTTCTTGGCCGGATGTGCCGCCCTGTGAGCAGTATTCTAATGAGCAGACCCTCCTGCTCCCAATTACTGTGGACTTCAAGGTCCGAGTTGTTGTGCCCCATTCCAGTGAGTATGCAGCTTATTTGCGTATCAAACCTGACTGATGACCCTAGTAGCCACTTGACTATCTGAGACCGATACCTGGACGAATACCAAGTTCCTTTTGTCTCAACCAACCGCATCTGGTAGCCACTTTCAATGACCAAAATCGAACTTGGACCGAGGTATGGACCAAGCTGGAGTGCTATGTGGCTGCCACTCCTCCTAGTTATCTGGCCGCGGCGAGATTTACCGGGTCGCTCCGGACTTACAAGTTCTTCCCCGCACCCATTCAAATACCAGGAGCCGAAGTTCGGAATAGGCTGTCCGTTGCCGTCGGGGAGCAACCCGCAAGGAGCGGGTAGTCGCAGGAGCTTTTGAACTGGACCTGAGCACCCACCATGCGGCAAGGTGTGGATACTTTCATCGTCCGTATCATGTCCTCAAGTCAGTACGGACATCCTACACTCTCTACTGGGGACCGAACGGAAAATGCCACCCTCAATGGGGATATATCAATCTCGGAAAAGAACAAAGAGATCAAGGCCAAGAACGAGCGATTTGATGGTAGAGATCTAGAAGCCGCGACCACTGGGGTTGTCGCTGTGGATGATACTGCACCAGGAGGTATGTCGGAGATGGAGAGAAAGCAAATCGAAGCTGGGAATCCAAATATCGTCGACTGGGAACCCAATGACCCTGGGTACGAGAGATCCATTTTTAGAACGGGCACTGAACCGAAAAACTTTTCGGTATTTAGAAATCCATTGAACTGGAGTAGCAGCAGGAAATGGTTCAATATGGGTACTGTCGGCCTGATGTGCTTTGTCTCGCCTTTCGCGTCGACACTACCGGCCCCAGCCTTACCCACGATTGCGCACAACTTCCGTATCACGAATTCAAGCGTTGCGGCCCTTTGTATCTCCGTGGGTCCAACGCAAATGAGAACATCTAGGGTCTCAGGCTGATTGTTGACAGATTTTTATTCTTGCATATGCGTTTGGTCCACTAGTCGTAAGTTGATATCCTCTTCTCTGATTTATGCCCATTGCTTATATCGACACAGGCCAGTCCTGCGTCTGAACTCTATGGGCGAGCACCCGTTTACAAGGCGTTCTTCGTCATCTTCTTTCTATTCAACATCGGATCCGCTCTTGCCAAAAATACAACCCAGTTTATTCTTTGCCGTTTCTTTGCTGGCATCGGTGGCTCTGCTGCCATTACTGTCGCCGCTGGGTCCAGGCAAGTGCATGAACAAGAACCCGAAAAGACGCAACTGATTTGGGTACAGTGTAGACTTGTTTCGCTCGGAGCAGCGAGGGGCAGCAATGTCTACCGTAAGCTTGGGACCACTTCTTGCGCCCATCATTGCCCCAGTGATTGGTGGCTTCATGGCTGAGCGATTAAACGTGTCATGGTCCCTTTGGTACGTTTGACATTACTCTCAAGGTATGCCCCCGCACTAATCAGTGAATTAGGCTACTTTCCATCCTCTCTGGTCTCGTGATGATATTTTCATTTGGTAAAGACTCTTTTATATCCTTTATCAAGCTGACACGGGTCAGTTTTCGTTCACGAGACCAATCCAGAGGTTCTCCTCCGTCGGCGCGTCCACAGGATGCGCCATGAGACAGGCAATGAGAAACTTATTTCCATATACGATGTCAAACATGGAGAAAAGACTGCTCGAGAGGTATTCTTCATCAATATGTCGCGTGCCATCGTGCTCTTCTTCACTGACCCAAGCTGTATGATGATTGGCATCTATATGGCCATCGTCTAGTGCGTATTTCTGGCACGAATCATCTCCTATCACTAACGCGTCTACAGTGGATAGTGAGTATCCGACTCTTTGTCAACATGATCACTCAGGTTTGCCCAGTTTATATCTCCTCTTTGTGACATTTGGATAGTACGTTTATTCTAACAGTACTGACCCATCTTGCTGATGTTTCACAGTATCTTTACTCTGAACTATGGTCAGAGCACAGTCAGTTGTTCGGCTGACCCTGTAGCCGTCAAGACTCATCATTATACAGGAAATTGCAGGCCTTCATTACATTGCTCCAGGTATTGGACAACTCCTTGGAGCAGCATTTGCCAGCATTGCCATGGACAAAATCTTCATTACCCTCAAGAAACGACACAATGGCGAGGGGAGACCAGAATTCCGGGTCCCATTAATGTTCATTGCCTCAATCCTAATGCCCGCTGGTCTGTTCATCTATGGGTGGTGTGGAAAGTATCACACTCACTGGATCGCGCTCGACATTGGAGTTATGATATTTGGCTTTGGCACCATTGTGTGCTTCCTTGCTCTCAACACATATCTCTTGGACGCATTTACATATGCTGCTTCTGCAGTTGCAGCTACCACGGTCATTCGATCCATTGCCGGCGCTCTATTCCCATTGGTACGCACCCTTGCATGATGAACCTACTCTGCTGATTATATATCCAGTTTGGTCAAGCAATGTTCGACAAGCTTGGACTTGGTTGGGGGAACAGTCTCCTAGCGTGGGTCGTGCCCTTCTTCCCGTTATACTCTCTGACATTTATCCGTGATAGGTTTATCGCGCTTGTTCTTGGAACTGTATATCCTATCTTCCTCTGGTACTATGTGTGTTTCTTTTGCCGTATTTGATTCCCGGTTTGACGTGTCATAGGGACCGGCCATTCGAGCAAGTGGCAAGAGCGAGCGATGAAAGGGGTCTATTCTACAAATTCGAATGTTTATCCTACAATACACGAGCATTTAAATGAGCTTCTGAGAGTCTCTGTTTGGAGTAAAACAAACTTGACCTCGACCTCAATGAGCGCCGCAAGCGAAACAACCACTGGGCCGCCATGCAAGAGTACTTCCTGTCTCAATGTATAGTAGGATGCTATTTATAAGCGTTTAAACTCTAACCACACGTTGATTCTGTTGTTTCATCGTTTATTAGGGTAATCCTCCTTCGCGGCTGGAGTGTCCGACATGTGTCAAGTACGTTGGATCACTGTATGAATATATAAGATCACGCAGACTAAGAATTCAACAGACTTGGTGTTAAGGGATCACTCTTCTGCTCACAGGAATGTTTCAAGGCGAGCTGTACGTCCTGTTCACGCGTTGGTCGACGTGGAGATATTTCTAGCAACTCAAGGCTCATATTAATCCTTAGGGGTCAGTACATCGTCGTGAAAACGGGTTTTTCCGCCGATTGATTGCAGACGCTGATGGTGGATATTCTTCTGGCAACACGTCGATTAGGGAGAGCACAAAGCTATTCATAGTGCCGCAAAAGCTGCAATGGCACCCCGTAAGTAGTGCTCTTTCACCTCAGTTGTGGTGTTCTAGGTTAAAGTTGACATGAGCGCCTTTGCCTGGTTCACAGAGACATACAACCCGTTCCCTTCGTTCCACTATGCAGGATCACTGCGTCCAGTCTATCCCCTTTCCCCACGAAGGATAATCCCAGAGGGCATCGCAAAACCGGAATGGGCCGACACGACCCAAGGTGGCTACAGTTCTCGACTTGATTCTGTTCGCCTAATGTATCATGCACAGGTATTCCTCATCAAGAGCAGACAAGAGCAGCTCAGACAATCAAGATCCTCTCGCCCAAAGAGCAAGATATTATGCGCGAAGTGTGTGGGGTGAGCATTTTGATCGTCTCCTGTGCCATTTATGTCTTACATGCGTCGAAACTGCAGCTTGGAAGGGAAATATTGGATATTACTGCCGCTGCTGTCAAGCCTGGTGTGACCACGGACGAACTGGATGCCATCTGCCACAAGGCGACGATTGACAGGAATGCGTACCCATCTCCCCTCAACTATAGGCGTTTCCCGAAGTCTTTGTGCACGTGAGTAGCCCCCAAAAGCGGCCGGATCCTGGCTCAGACTTTCGCAAAGATCCGTGAATGAGGTCATCTGCCATGGCATACCAGACGGTCGAAAGTTGGAGGAGGGTGATATCATCAATTTGGGTGGGGTCCATAGTTCCCGTGCGCCAAAACAGTTGTCTGACGACCCCGGTCAGATGTATCGCTGTACTATAAAGGTGATGCCGCTCTAGCTGCGATCGACCTCGCACTGAGACGAGCCAGGATTTCACGCAGACCTCAATGCCACCTACCCAGTTGGGCAGATTGATGAAGACTCTCAGCGCTTGATACGCACGACGAGAGAGGCGCTGGACGCTGCGATCGCGATGTGTAAGCCAGGGGCCTTATTCAGAGATATTGGGAATACGATGTGGGTGATTTCCACTAAACGTACGGGCCCGCCGATGCCGGCGCGCTAACCTCGAGGCTGCCTCCTCGCAGAGAACCGATCGCAAAAGCCAATGGCTGTAGCGTCGTGCGACAGTATAACGGTCACGGGTGCAACCAACTGGTACAGTCTCTTTAGTTTCGACGTCGAAACGTCGTGTTCTGATCAGCCGCTATCTCTAGTTCCACACTGTTCCGACCATTCCCCACTATGCAAAGAGCAAGACACCGGGTGCGATGAAACCTGGCATGGTCAGTGACTCGTCTGTTTCTTCCACCCATATCCAGTGTACCCATCTCACTCGCGACGCCTTTGTTCTCCACTGATGGGAGTGGCTGACTGACATCACCGCGGTTACAGACGTTTACGATTGAGCCGGTGAGTGAAATTTGTTGAGCTGCTGGCTCCCTTGGCAAGGTTGAAAATTTGGACTCACCCCGCAATCCTAATCATAGATGATCAATCTAGGCACGCATCAGGGAGTCCACTGGCCAGACGACTGGACATGTACGACGCTTGATGGAAAGCGATCTGCACAATTTGAGGAGACAATACTGTGAGTTTCCGTAGAGTCGCCGAGAGGCATGGATTGAGTCCGGACTGACGGCATCTCCCCCTTTGACAGTATCACAGAGACGGGTGTCGAGGTGCTCACGGCAAAACGGGGATAGGCGTTGCGGGACGATGATACGCGTGGGTTTACGTCACACGCCTTGGCCACAGTCCTTCCTCTCAGCGAGGTAGGAGCTTCTGCAAACTCTGGGCCGGGGAGCACGGGGAATCATGCCGACCCGAAACAAGGATCGAGCAGACGGAATGGACCAATCCAAACGCGACTTTGAAGCTATCTATCACGCTACCGCCCGTAGTGCATCGTCACCGCATCTCAGACTTTTTTCTTATCTCACTCCACGTTGTTGCTCGCATGTCCAAACAAGTTGAAAATGCCTGCTATCGCGGCTCAGATCCATCTCATCCGGGCTCGTCGAGCGTATGTTGCCGTATTGGTCGTCGCCGTCGCGTCCCTTCTTTCGAGCGTATTATCCTCGGCGCAAATCCAGGTCGTGATTAGGCCTTGTGCGAAGATAATTGAGCGTCAGATGTTTGTTCCCAGCCCGCGGGAGATAAAGGCGGCTAGGCTCTCGGTGGCTCATCCTCTTGCAAAGGTTTGCCCCCCTCCTCTCTCTGCGCTCGCGACGAGTTGCGCTCCAGAGGCGCATTACAAGCCCAAGAGATCTTGAATCTCGCTCCCCTGACCGTCGTCGCCATCATCCCTCGTCGTCCCTGCCCCTCACCGCCAGCCCGTGCTCCTTGACCCCGACCGCAAACGCCAGCCCGCAGCGAGTGCGTTCGCGATGAGCCACGACGATTTCGAGGCCTATCTCCGCCTCACAAGAGGCGGTATGACACCTGGACACGAGCAGATTTACAATTTTCTCAAAGTCGACGGGTGAGTCCCGGCGGCCCCGTTTTGCGTTCTGTGACTGACGGCCTCTGGTAATGCTTTTCAAACTTTTCCATAGGCCTCGAGCTGCGGGTGTATGTGCTTTATAATTTCTAGGGTATACCGTTACTAAACCGTTTGCAGTACGAGATTCGCTGTAAAGACATTAACCGCCTCGTCTTTGGTGATGCTGGCCGGCGCGAGAGCGTAGGGTGCAGTAACACGCAGTTTGTCAACCGTGGCGAGAATATGCAATGCGTTCATTGCTCGCATCAAGTCGACAAGTTTTACCTTCGCGCCGGTAGCTACATCGAGACGCACGACATCCCTCCAGATACCTGAAGCCAGCCTTATAATCGCCCTCATATGCAGCCACATACCCCCCAAATTAGTACCACAGCTCTATATTTCTTATTCTTTCTGACTGCATCGGATAGACCGCATTAATGCACTCTGTACTGGCGCAACTGTTTCTAAAGACTTGCATGTTCATAGATAGTGATGACAGTAACGAAATTCTTTCATACCAGACGAGATAACGATACTCAAATCAACCGCGCGGCGACCAGATAAAAAAACACGAAGCCTGACCCTGGCTTCCTGAAGGGGAACCAGCCGGTGAAACCTCCCGACGGTCCAGGGAGCAGGACCCTTTTTGAAAGGAAGAGCCTTTTCGGCTCCGGAGCATGCCGACAAATGACGTTTAGTCAAGTCCTTGCGATCTTCTCTTTTCTGCAATCTCCTTGTTAAGCTCGTCCGTCGCCTCGTCAAACGGTTCCTTCCGATCGATTTGACCAATTCTCTCCACCGGCACTGAGTCTTCGAGTGACATCCTCCTTTGCCGAGGTCGACCGGACCGAGGGCTGAGGTTGGGTGAAGTGGGACTACTACCAGCGCTGCCGTTGCGATCATGGGGTACATCAAAGCTGACCGTCAAATTGGCGTGCGAGGGAATTCGTTTCCCGACATTGGTTGATGACAGTTGACGAGTCGTCAACATTGGCGAAGGTGGCTGCGAGCGTTTGGGTGTGCGCACACCATCACCGTACCGAGCCCGGTCTTCTTCGGCACGACGAACAGAGGGCAAGTCCGCAAACGATCCACGCAAGCTCCTTGGAGTCTTGGAGCGTGACAAGCCGAGGCCGTGAACTGCGTCGCCGACGATGGATGGTAGATAGCCAAGAACATTGTCGTAGTCCCCGTGATCCTCATCATCCGAGGCATCTGGAGTCGCAACCCTGCTGGTGGAGCTGGAGACTGCGCCTCCCCATGCACTAGTGCCGCGCCGTGCCGAACGACTCCAACCAAACAGACGTTCATCAAGCCAGGTCATGGGATGAACGAGAAGGCTGCCTTGACTATCAATGGTGCCGGTATGGACCTTGCGTCGATACAAACCCATCGTCTCTCCTGATGCTGGTACGCTGGCGGTTGGTGGGAGCATACGCCACTGTAAGTTTGATGAGCAAGTGTCAACATCGGATAGAAGCACGCACCTCGTCAAAGTCTTCGTACAACTTTGGACCAAACTCTTCAATCGTTTCTGCAACCTCCTTCTGCAAAGCCATTCGCATTCTCTTGAGCTTCTCAAGCTGTCTTTCTTGACCGGGTATGAGCGAGATGACAAGCGGTCGCAGGGATCTACAGTGAATGTGAGAATATGCCTCTGGAGCCGCACAGGTAACACACTTTAGAACATCAATTCCAGCTTCCCCAAACTTGAGTGCGAAATAACCCAATACGGGCAGTATACCCATTGTCAAGAATGGAGTCCAAATGCGCCACTTCATTGGTGCGTTTGCCTTGATGGCCACAAGTGTGGCCAGGAAAGCATAGAACGAATACAACACTGGTGCAGCCCCCAAGGAAATGAGTACTTTCCACGTGGCGAGAACGTCTCGACCAGCAACTTTAACATTTGATGCAGCTAATGCTTCTGCGGAGGTTGGTCAATAAACACGCTAGGTCCCCGGAACGAAATGAATAAGATATCGATGGGGCCGATAGAGGAGTCATTCATAATCTGAGACGCACCCTTCGCCTTTTGTTTAGAGATGATAGTCGCAAGCAGGAAGATTGGACCGTTGAGAATGACTCCCGGAAGAGCAAAAACGGACCATATAACGAGGAGAATGGTACGATAAAGGAGGAGGCCAAGGGTTTTCCAATATGCGCGCCTCGCTTGGCTAACCTGATGGTCGCGCAGGCCGAGGTCTCGAACCAGACGATTATATTTGACGACGTTTTCCCGGAGCTGCTTCACGCGAGGTTCGTCTTTAAAGTGTAGGTAGCCGGCGATGAATCGCTTGTTGAGTTCAACGACCTGGCCCAGGCTGAGATGTTGACCAGGGGCCTTGTACAGACGTCGCGCAGCTTGGATGACCTAAAGGACTCAGTTCAGGACATCGATGAGACAATAAGGCACTCACCATCAACGTATCATAATCCGGTGCGCGCACGGTAACTGTCTTGAGTGCATCGTAAATTACTTCCAACAGCTTTCCAGATGCGTCACGTTTGGCAGGTCCACCAGACTTGAACTGCTCAACAAGCTCTGGTGGCACGTCGATGCTCTTGCCAAACTCGACGACTGCACGCGACCTGAACCGATCCGGATGGAAGTAGGACAACCCGACTGGAACAATCTTGACTTGGAGACCAGGGTTTGCCGCCATTGCACCAAGTGCCATGATGGCTACACCAGCCTTGAAAGGCAGGAAATCAGTTCGGTCGTGACTTCCGCCTGTCGAAAGTTCAATAGTGAGGAAGCATGGGCGAGGAGAACTGACCCTCTGGGAATATTCCGATGCATTGTCCTTGCTTGAGCTTCTCGTATACTGCGGCGTACATCTGTCCTTGGTCGATGTATGGCACGACTTTGTATTCCAGGCCCTTGACTTGTTTCTCTTGTAGAATTTCGAGGAATTTGGTCGTTCCTTTGCCACTCTCGCCCCAAACTCCTTCTTGAGCTTCATTTCTGTGTCGGAGATGACCTCGACGACTTCGGCGGATGCCGAGTTGAGTGATTTACCGAGCATGACCTGCATCTTGGGCTTGAAATCTTTGGTAAATTGAGTACCAATACCATAGACGGTCGTGGGATTCTCTGCCGTGATGTAGACGAGTCCTCTGCCAGGCTTCGCATCGTCGGCTGCTCTGGCGACAGGAACTGTGAGCCGATGAGAGCGGTCATTGATTCGAAATCAGAGAGATGTTGGTGAATAGCCGGGACAAGATTGTCGCGTTTGATGACAGGCATAGACGGCCGGGAGGTTAGCACTAGACAGCTGCATATGGAGGTAAGAAATCACGCACTGCTGGCCATGAGACTTGCAAAGAGCCCAACTGCTTTGCGCTTCATGCTTTTTGCAGCAATGAGAAAGGAGACTCTACGGCCAGCGTCTCGGTAGGCCTCGGACATGAGCAACAAGGGGTCCAGAAACTATTGGGGGTGACGTTTCCGGCACGAGGAAGTCAGAGTGAGCAAAATAGAAGATAATGCTGCCAATAGACACATATAAGGATGCCATTTACCTGGTTTGCGTGTGGTCCAGCGACAAAGATAACTGGGCCTTCGCGCGGGATATTGAACGCGCCTCTTGGGCGAATTTCGCGAAAGAAGATGTTTGTAACGATACGCCAGAATAGGAGCATCGTATCGTACGCCAACGAGTCTGCAGCGCTCTTTGGAGAGACCATGGCGGCTGGAGATTAACAGGGTCGTGGGGCAAACTTACAAGTCAACCTTGTCACCATTGACCGTGGTAAATGTCAAGAACAATGCACACAAAATTCATACACAGCTAAGACTACACGATTTTTCTTCATTTGCTTCGATGCGGCAGCAGCGGCACCTTGGGACATTCGTAGATGGCAACTTGGTGCATTTACTCAGTGAGAGGAACTAGAAGGAGTATCAGAATCAACTCTTCAATCCTCTTAGAGTTCACTCACCAATCTTGATTGGGAGACGGGGCATGGCGTACTTGCCCTCGCTCTTGACAAACGGTTTCGTCAACATGCGGTTCCACCCTTCAATCTCCTGTTCAAGAGGATCATCCGGAGGCAGGAACTCGAAGTGGGTCAACAGTCGGAGCAAGATTTCTTTAATTTCCTGCAGAATGTGTCAAACACGAAGATCAGTCTGTAACATATGGCGCACCATGACTGCAAATCCTGCTCCAACACACTGCCTGTAAGAGGTTAGCCTTCACTCGTGTGGTTGAAATGAGAGCGAACCGGTGTCCGCTGCCAAAGTTGGCAACACCCTCCCAACCCGGCATAGTGTCCTCTTTTGCAGCAGTGGACATGTTGATCCATCTCTCCGGGTTGAAGGTCATGCTATCCTCGCCCCACACCTCTGGGCGGCAATTCATGGTCATATGGTTGAACACCACCTCCTGACCTGAACAAGCGTAAGCTATATTCGCACCTTCCTTACTTTACCCACCAGACTTGATGACCAGCCTTTTATGGCCATTAACAGGCTTCTCCAACGGCACGACGTCGTCCACAAACGCATGGCGAATGCTCTGTCCAGAGGTCGAATGCAAGCGCAGAGACTCGTGGACCACGCCGTTGAGGTACGGGAGCTGCAATAGTGTGCGCACATCGCAGTCGAGACCAGCGGCGAGCAACTCAGCACGGAGCTTGGATTGAATGTCTCGGTTTCGAGATAGTTCGTAGAAGCTGCAACCAGAGTTCAGTCCGTGCTCGGACACTAACAAGGTACTCACAGCCATGTCATAGAGGTGGCTGTCGATTCATGGCCTTGGACAGTGTAAGTTCATGTCTTTTATCGTGGATCTCACACACTCACCCGCCCAGAAAAGTACCATAATCTGTGCGAGAATCCATTCGTCGTCCAACTTGTCAGGATCATCAGGGTCGAGCATCGCCGCGTCCTAGCAAAATAAGCCTCAAGCGTAGAACAGAAAAATATACTCGCCTGCAACATCATCGAAAGCACATCATCGATACCCATTGCAAAGTTTCCTACTCGCTCTCGGTCGATCCTAAGCCCAGCTTCCTTGATATGTTTGCGGTCTGCTTCCGTCAAGACTCCAAGGGCCTCTTTGCGCATATACAAAACCTCGTATGCGACCTTTCTCAGTTGCTTGACATTACGATCAAAGAGTCGTGAGTCTGCTAGAAGCCACCATTCCAGACGCGGAAGATATGCTCGAATCGCAGTTGGGAGAGGGACTCGAATCGTGTCATTGGAGACCTGAGAGACGATTGTTTCCAATGCGACGGCAAGTGGTGTATCCTGCTTCTTCAATACACCAGTCGCATAGCCGTAGCTAGCACTTCCGACTGGGGCAGGTGAGTGAGTGTGGATGCATACCGAGGAACGGCGCTTACTTATGTCTAGTGCGACATGCTTCTTGTACTTCAGGAGATTGTACTCGGCGGTCTTTCTTTCAGCCCTCAAGACCTCCACATATTGATCAGCGTATTCGCGAACAGTCGGATGAAGACTGCGGATATGTGCCGGGGTAAACGCATGGAGCATCATTTTGCGCACTCTCTTGTGATCATCACCTGGAAATACGTGAATAAGCGTCATTATAGCCAGGTGGCGAACCTTCAAGGGATCCCATGCCATAGTTGCTCCCCTCAATCCATCGGAATACGACGCGGACGCCTGAAAATACGTAAATACACACATTAGGACGAATTTTTAAAACTAACCTTCATGTTTGCCCCAATTGTAGCCATTATTCACCATGATATGTCGGGTAGCGACTGGATCGTTGATGACCACTGCGAGACAGTCAGGGGTTTTGCGCCCAGCGCTTTACACGGCCACCCACATCTGATTGAGCCCATAAACCCTATATAGGTTAGTCCCTTTCTTCTGAAGGACTTTACTTGCAGGCCGAACTCACCTCGAACCTTGTACACAGGGCCATACTGCTCATGCCACCGATGGTAGACAACACCGACTTCTTCGCGAAGGATTTCAGGAAACTAGAATGGAGCAAATAAACGAGGGTGAGTACACGTCCTGCCTGCTACTTGTGAGACTAACGTGTCCGAACACCAGATTTTTGGTCGGAGGACCGTCGATAAAGGGGAATGGGTCGTGATAGAGGTTCTTTAACCAAAGTCCAATGGAGATCAAACCTGTAAGGAGAACCGTCCCAGCAATCAGCTGGAACATGGGCGGAGAGACGTGGACGTCGAGCATGGGGGGAGAATGAGAAAGACCCTCTAACTCACCTTTGAGTCCAACAGGATTGATTATATACGTCGTATATGATAGGGAACGACTCTAACCTCCTGAAGAAATGGATATCCACGATAATGGGTTCAGCCACCCAACCAGATGCGATCGCCCAGCATCTCGCGCCCAAGCCATTGTCCCATTCCTGTTCCTTGCATGATCGATGATGGCATCCAGGCCGGTAACACGTGTTCTTACTTTTGGTCGAAAGGCTCAGCTCTTTGCACAGCTATCGAAAGATTAGGAGGCCGGTGGTGGCCTGCGAGCGGGTAAAACTCTAGAGCGCTTATAGCTGAAGAGGACAAAAGTCATTGGAGCATCATATGGTCAGGAACAGGGATGGGATCGATGCTAACCATATTTCATTGTCCTCGCCGGGAAATTGCGAGGTCAGCCCGAGACTGGAAGAGGCCAGGGGTACCTGCGTGCTGGTCACCAAATGTCACCTTTGTATAGACAGTCCAAGGGAATTAGCAAAACCTAGAGATATGTGCTAGGGATAAACCTCGAGGTGTGTCCCTCAACCGGCACCCACGGTTCACAATTATACCGGGTGAACACTTTTGCATGTCACTCCTGCCGAATTCGGCTTGACACCCTCTTGCCACTGCCGGTTGTCCCGGGAGAATCCACCTGTAACCTCGTATACTCGTTTTCATCCTCGTTCTCATCCGATACAACTCCATCGTAAGGCCACAACTCGTAATTTGACGCGGTTTTTGGGTCCATTCAGAGTGCTCAGAGTGCTCAAGCAGTCCACGACTTGGCAGCATGGGTTCGGCCAGAAAACTCTACGCAGGCTTGCCGAGAGCAGAAGAAACGGTGGCTCGCCTCCAAGATCAATAAATATGACCTGATGCGATCTCTAAGCGAACTACGGATCATATTCAGCGCCCATTATCACCATCTCTGTATCTGCAGTCGCCCAAGCTCCGGTCCATGATCCAACGATCCTGTCAACCGCGACGAATATTCTCGATACAAACTCCATACGGTCCTTTTGGTACTCATGCGGACCGAATGCTTATCTCGTCTGGTTGTTGATCAACGGTCGAACCCGCGCACATCTCCGAACCAACGGCACGGTCGTCCCTGCGTAGCCTGGGCTCAACAAAACACCTTTTATCGGAAACCTGATCAACTGGATATGACACCGGATCTCCGTTGTATCCGTCCCCATGCTCCAAGAGCTTCTGAGACCGTACTGGTCGAACGTCTATCCTTGCGTACTCTTGGACGTCATCGGCCGAGTTCGGAAGCTGACTCGATTAGAAATGCGTACATAAGGTGGAGGGCAGGCACATTTGTGGACCCTCACCAGAAGACCCCTTGTAACTTGGTCCCTCCCCGACCCAGTCTTTCCCCTTTCAACCGGCGTCGCCCATGTCGTCCTACAAAGAATCTTACATGCCACAAAAGAAGAGACTCAGATTTGCGGTACGCAGAATCTCTGCGTCGTCCCACGCAGCGTCCAGTGCTGAACTCGCCTGACGTTCACCAACAGAGAAATTCAAACGTTACATACTGGTCAGAAGAGCTTCAGCAGAACATGACGGGCCGTGTAACAGAGCTTGATCACGTATACTCGTCTCCCTGGATGCGTTTGACTCGGTTCTCATTCGCCTATAGGACAATCTCGCTTATACAATCAGACGAGAATCGGGCGTGACGGAAAAGGTCGAGGAGCATCACGTTATAGCGGCGCAAGCGACGTACTGATACCCTTTGGGGGGCCGTCCTTTCTACTCGCCGGAAAACCTCCACCGCACCTAGTCTCCCTCTTCGAGACTACACAGTCGGCAGAAAACGTGGAGTTGTCCCGTCGCAGGCACTCTAGACTTTTGCTAACGTTATAGACTATGATATATTTAACAATCTACTCGTTACATGCGTCATCACAGAGCTGAGCATCTCAGCCACATTGGTCTGGAAGAGGCGCCAGTCGAAGCGCTCGGGTCCCATCCACACAGATGCCACATGGTCTCAGCATGGAGTAAACCAGCATTTGATCAATAAGCGACCAGTTGGAGCAGATCCTGGGCTCCAACGGAGAACTGTTGGTCATGCGGAGCACATCAGGACCTCTAGCCAACCAGGTCGAGAGCCATTCTTCACAAATCATATCATTTGGTCGCTCAGGTGATAAAGATATTGATATATCTCGAAAATGATCGATTACATACTATACTAAACATACAAACAGCAGCCCCAACGAAGCGCAAAAGTCCTTGAAGAGACAAGACAAGTGGACGGAGGCAACAACTATGTCTGATAATACGATGGAGGCGGATCATCTGGGGTCCTGTGGGGAATATGCGTGGCGGGCATCGACGATGGGTCCGAGGAACTTTGTCCATGCGACGAGGTTTCCCAAGACGGACCAAATGTCGAATTGGTCGTACTCGTCGCAGGGTTAGGAGTTGTAGGCGAAAGCATCCCTGTACTCCCATTGTTCCCATGGCGCATTCGCTCGCGCGCAGCTTCAATCTCTGCTGCCTTTCCTTGGCGGCGTGCTTGGACGGGGTCGATGATACTGCTACCGTGGACGGACGAGCTGTGCGGCGTGGGGTATCCTCCACCAAACGCCGCATACGGGTCGTACCCGCCCGTAGTCGTAGACATGGTCGAGCTCATTGGAATGGAGCCCTGTTGAGGAGAACCCTGAAGGAGAGCTTGGCTCTCGTGAGTAAATGGGCTACCGGGTGTACGGTATGGTGTGACGTTGCCGTGCGTTTGAAGTGGAATTACATGGTCATTTGAGCTTCCTTTTTGATCGTCCAACGGGCGAGTCCCTTGGTTACGTTGGACACGAGTCGTTCTTCGTTTCCGAATGAACCAAATCAAGACAAGCAAGAGTAGCAGGAGCGCAACGCCACCAACTACAGCGCCAATGATGATTGGGAGATTGTTCTTTTTGGGTGCCGGCGCGAGAAGTCCACTGAAGCCACCGTTCGGAGGTCCGCCTCCGGTGGATGTGTAGATACTGATATAGTCCAAATCCAGATATGTTCCATTTGTAGCTCTGTTCTTGAGCGTGAGTGTATATTGCTGCGATGGATTTAGTCCGCTCGCGAAGAAGAATGGCACAGGGACAGCTAGGAATGGATTGAAGCCAGTCCGGACTGCAACTCCGTCATCCGTGTATGGATCGGATGCCTTGCGTAAAGCGACAGAATATGGTCCATGCTGGTTGTCCACGCTGCTCCAAACCACGATGGCGGTCCCGGAAAATGTGAGGTTCATGGTCGCACCAGAGACGCCTGTATAGTGCTGAAAATGTGTCAATCGGAAGAAAACATTCAAGACTCTAGCCGTACTTGCGAGTCTCCGTAAAATGGCGCCGCCAGACCTTTGGTCTGTCCCCAGTCCACGTCAGAATATCTTAGTTGCTAACAGAAAACATTGATTAGTAGCCGCTGGCTGTAACCGGACTGACCACGTACATTAGACTGGTCATCGAGTGTATTGTTAGAGACTGTTCCACCATCCCCACCGACCCATCCGTCTATGACGGCTTGCGTTATCTTGAGGAAGGAGCCGTTGGAGCAGTCACCTCGGAGCTTGAGCACCCAGTTGTCGTTTTCGAGACCTGTAAACTGGGCGAGCATACCCGTTGCGGGAGGCGCTGTCTGTGGGCTGATAGAGGAAGTATCGTGCTTGTTACCTGCTCCTGCGGACAATACAGCCGTATAGGAGCAGTAGACACCTTGGAGCGAGCCTGCTATTGAAAATCCAGTGCCTGAGCCGCACAGAGCGCAACGGGAGTACCGAATCAGCCCCCAAAGAGATACCAAAGCTTTACAATGACATACCGAATCCTTGAACTGTGACCGTACCCGTCCCTTGAAGATATCTGCCTGGATTGCCCGTGTTCGCATTCGAATTGACCATGGAACCTGAATCACTTTTCCATGGCGAGCCAGGAGCATCGGGTCGCTGAGGTGCATATTCCAAAATTGGAGATAGAGCAGAGATTTGAAACGGCCTCGTCGACATTGCGAGCGGCGAGCGGCAAAACGCGCTCGGTCTTCAATCTCCGAGAGCAGAAAATAGCGGCCAGGCAGCGACCGCAGGTGTGTCCCAGGACTATTTTAAGTACAGTCTGGTGATGCTGGGAACTAAGGGATAGCGGCAGAGTCCAAGAGTAGTCGGGGACGGTCTGGCAGTTAGGTGCCCAGACCACACTTAAAGGCCACTCATATACTTCAAGAGACTTGGCTATTTATTTCCCGAACAACAGCGGTACCGGTGCAAACCCTAAGCTATCCCGCAGCGCCTCGTTGCGAAGAGCCATTTACTCGGGGGCCAGCAGAGGAGCAAATGGAATTCGTGAAGAAAAAAAGCTATAATTTACAGGAATACTCAAACAGGCTACAGGAGCAGGAGCATCAGAGTCGTGAGCCAGCAATCTAGGCAAGGTCCATGGACAGTAACGACATCAAGAGCGAGGGTCATAGAGCCCTGGACGTAAGAGATTCAGAGACAGGAGATCGAACAAGAGCGTTTTATGAGGTAGGGGCAGACAAGAGGGCGGATGATGGGGGTTCAGCGACGATCAGGAGGGATAAACGGCTCGTCGCGGGCTTCTGATGCGCCCGACGACGCATGCTCGCGGGAATGCAGAGACCGTGGGACTCCAAAGGTCCCAGAAGATGCTTCACGGCTTCGGCCTGGTGGGTGGTATATTTGACCCGCAGACGGCGCTTGCGAGTGGCCCACTTGGCTGGTATACGCAGATGAAGAAGGTTCCGAAAAGTGTGAGGTTGGATCGTAATAACCGAGATGAGGGTGTGATGATGATGGCGGTGATGCTTGCATATAGCCCAAATCTGAGTCGTGGTCTTCCACGACTGCACGCATCGAACGTCCCCCGATATGGCCCGTCTGCTGTACACTTTGTCGAGCCCCAGGGGCATTCCGGGCAACAACTGAAATGGTGTCTCCCCCGCCCATCGGCGCGCCTAATGCGCTAAGACCAGTCTGTGCGTGTAGCATCCCATACTCGTCTGCTCCGCCACGACGCTGAGGAGCAAACTGTTCCGGCTGTGAAAAGTTGGAAGCCTGAGTTGTCGCATTTGCGTCAGGTTCATATTGACGGCCGGTTGGATCTGATTCACTCGGCTGCTTGAGACCTCCCCAGCTACCCATCCCAACCGTGCTGTCCCCACTTGTCTCCCACCCACGGCCATTGCGACGAGGACCAGTGAGATTAGATGGCTCGTCCAGTTGAGGCGGTTGAGATGGCAGTCGTATTGGTCGGTATGCTCCAGTCACGTCGTAAGAGACTGGTTGCCGGCCACCGCTTTGGTTATATGGATCTTGGTATGGAGCAGGTGGATATTCGTAGCTGCTGAATTTACCGGCATTGTGAACCGCGTCTGTCGAAATGGCGTTCTGACCATAACCCCCGTAACCAAAAGATCCCATACGCTGTTCGTTATTTCTCACCGGTTGCATTTCTTCGTCAACAGAGTTGACGTCTACATTAGAGCTCCGAGCAAGGTACTGTGTTTCCATCGATGGAGCAAGCGCTTTTCTAGACGACCAATCAGAATACTAGTCAAGAGTGACAGATAGATACTAACTTTTTCGCCTGTCTACGTTCCTTGAACACGGCGGGTTGAACCCGATTCATCTCCCTCCAGATGTACCACATTGCCGCGACAGTGACGAGAAATGTCACAGCAAGGGCAACATCAGATATAATTCTGCTTGTCTTGTTCTTTGCTTGTTGCTCAGGGGTATCATTTGATTGCTCCAGGAGCACTTGGAGGCGTCAGTACCAACCACCAATATGCAACGCACATACCTCCCAAATATACAGTAATGAATTGCTTAGGCAAACTCAAGATGGCGGCAATTGTGAAGACAACGATGCCCATTCCGCAAGTGGAGAAGACAGCCGTCGTAACTGGACATTATTAGTGGCGAACTAGGAGGCGGTGTGAATGAGCTCACAATGCCCCGGGATGGCACTGAGCCGCGCAATCAAAGCAATCTTGAACCCTCCTTCTCTGACGACTCGTGCGAGACAGGCATAGCTGAGCTTTTGCCTCTCAAGCTTTTCGCCTCGACTCGCACAGCAATATTTGAAAGCACTAGACGCTGTTAGCGTATCCTATCACGAGTAGAGAGGAGAGAACTTACTAAAAGTTACCGATTTCACCAAGGAGCGTACCAACGGCGACAATGGCAAAGCCCACACCAATGCCCCAAACCACGCCACAGAGAACGGCAACAATCTCGTGCCCAAAGAGTGGAGGGAAGGATATAACAAAGAGAACAACAATTGGGATTATCCACCCGTACTTGAAACTGTATGGGCGTAAGCGGTGATGCCGGTGATGCAGCTAAGAACCGACTTGTGCATCCAGTTTGCGGCAGGTGTTAGCCAGTGTACGATTTGTTTGTGATACAGTGTCATGAGAGCAACGACGACGAGGATGACGATCAAACCGAGAGCCCAGGCTATCGAGACAGAATTAGCATCACCCCAGTTTTTTCGAAAAATAATGGTATCTTACGGATGTATTTCTTGTGCGCATATGTTCTCCAGTTGAATAGCTTCTTCCAGTCGATTACGCCTCGCTTAGTAGCCTCGAGTTCAGACGGTGTCGGCGAAGGTGAGCGCGGAGGACCTTGAGCATATCCTCCGGAAGCATAGGCACCTTTGTATTCTATATATCGTAGACAAAAATGAGACGAATGAGCTTAGCAAGCTTTGTCGGCAGTCTCTACACTTACCACCGTTGCCAGCACCGGCCTTGGGTTCGGCAGTGTACTGATTCTGAAAGTTATCTTGCGATTGTGACCCATGGTACTCGTTGGCATAACCTACAGTCGATTGTTTGTTGGATGCGCCATAGTTGGGCTCGTAGAGGGTCGTGGACGAGTTGTAGCTATTATATGGCTTAAAGCTTTGTTGTGAATGCGTCGCCTGAGTGTTCTGCGATGGATAGAAATGTGTTTGTCCGCGATTCATGGCCAGATGGCGAGAGCCCGCAAGCCGAGGTGGGAGGTGTTGCCGGGCAAGAAACAAGAGTTATTTTGAGATTGATTGCAGCGCTTCCGGAATCTTTCAGAGAGAGACGGATATCGTCACCAACTATCAGCTGCGAGACGCAGTGGCCGTCGGGTCTCAAGCGGTTCTCCTGTTTACAACGATGGGAAAGGCGCGTTGCCAGCGAACAAGGTGCGAAAATAACTCTAGAGTGATTCCTGAAATACTGAGAGATAGGATTAGGGGTTTACCGGCAGAAGGGGTAAGGATCCAAGTTGCGGCTGAGTTTGAATTCTCCTTTGACGACGCCCATAATTACGGTTTTCTTTCGCTCCTTTACTGGAGCACCAAATGGCCCCAAAAGAGGACTGCCCAGACAAGCGTCAAGATTAACCAACGGTGGAACATTTAAAACAGTCTGTGCTGACGCTCCTCCCCAGCGGGTAGAGGAGCTCTGAGGCCGGACCACCTAGTGCTTCCAACATTTCTCATTGCTAGCCAATGTTTTATACACTCTTTGCTTGCTAACGTGCTCTTTTTTCACAACCACAACTTGCCGTCATGATTGAGTCTTCTCATCCTTTGCACATAGACTATTCAAACACAAGCGATACACCCTCTTTTTTTTGGTGAGTCCTATTGATCCCTTTTCTGCCAAGATCGCTCGTCGAAGAAGAGAACTCTGGTAAACAGAATGCACCCATGACTGCTTCATGCAGTTCCATGACGAAGATGGTCATCTTTTGACATGTTTTTCAACGTCTTTGTAGACTTGTACAAAGCATCGTCGGATGACTGGGTGTTGGAGCTCCATTAGGAGCTCGACCCTTTTCATTTATTAGATGATTGGGTGCATATGGGGAGGTATAAGGCGAGTCAGAGACGAGCGACATTGGCTTTTAGTGTCTTGCGCATATTGACCGCGTTCCCATCAGGTATATCTGAAGTAAATGCATCGAGACATTAGGATTCCGAGATAAATGTAGCAAACTTCCGAAATGCGCAGACTCTCGGTGGCGACTGTTTCTTAAACTCCGCCTCATCCGGCCATTGGAAATGGCTGAGCGAGACTACGATCCGTCCCTGGAGTTTCCTGGGTTCGAAAACCCAGAGGAGCTAGAACAAGCACCGCAAATCAAACGTCAGCCGTTTTCTCTGGTCCTGCTGAAGAGCGCCGTGCTTTCGACAAAGAGGCGCGTCGTTGACATCACCCAGCATCTTGAAGTCTCTATTGGTCGCGATCGTCCAACTGGAAGCTCCTCGTCTCCCAGGCTCCGCTTAAAGGAAATGGCCGTGTCCAAGTATCATGCCATCTTATACTGGGACGCGCAACGGGACCTGTGGGGTCTTGTTGATGTTGGGAGTGTCCATGGGACGTTTGTTCAGGCTGAGGGTGGAGCCTCGAGACGATTATCGCCACCCAAAGTGGCCAGTCATCCACACTTTTTGCGACATCTGGATGTAATTACCATTGGAGGGACGCATCTGCAATGTCACATGCATCCAAGCAAAGAGGGTGCATGCAGTCAATGCGAACCCAATGCGAGCAACCTTATTCCCCTCACATACCCAGACGCCATTGCTCAGAAGGAGTCTGCCCCAGAAGGGCATGTTCATCCTTCTAGCGATCCCAAAGCATCGATGGCGAGTTTAAAGAAGCAGCTATTAGCAAGGCACGACCACAGTCCACGAGGGTCGCCTGGCCCATCAGTATATGTGGACAGAGCTGCTTTACGCAGAGAACATCTAGGAGTCTCGCAACCACCCGTATTACCACCTCCTACCACTGTTCTACAACCCACCACGACTCGACGCTCAAATCCGTATGCTCGACTGAGCAACGCCCCAACACCAGAACGTGCAGAGCCGCCAACACCACCGCCAGCTATTTCCGAATCCAACATTGGGCACCGGCTTTTAGCCAAGCAAGGGTGGCAGCCGGGAACAGGATTGGGTGTCGATCAGACTGGCCGTGCAGAGCCTGTGATACTCAAGTCATCGGACAAGCGAGCAGGCTTAGGGATGCCATCTTCTGAAGTTTAAGCGGAAAGTGTATATTAAACAAATGCATGTACTAATCAGATTCTACCTCGAGTCCTCAGGGTCAGATCCTGAGGGTATTCTCCCAATGAGCTTGTCCAAAACTGAGAGGGTGGATTCTGTAGACACCTTGGGCCGTTGCAAGCGCTGAGGGCGGGTAAGACTATTGTTAGCCACGTTGCCCATCGGCGTCCTTTGTGGTTTTAGACCGATGCTCTTAGTTGGAGGTGTAGTCGAGTAAAGCATTGAGCCTGGTCGGTAGATGTTGGTACCTTGAACCTCCTTGACCGTGACGCCCTCGACGTCTATCATGGCACCTTCCAGGCCAGTGAGATAGGCGTACGGTGGCGTAGTTAGGTCCGGAACGTTCTTGCGGAGTGCGGAGCCTGGAGGAGCGGAGAAGGACAGCTTTGATGCTGGCGCCGATGGATTGGCCACCACATTTGGTGGCTCAATTAGACCGGCCTTTGCAAAGCGAACAGGGACGCGTCCTTGTGTGACATCCTTGCCTTGCCAATCCACCGTGCTCAGCGGGTCTGAATCCCTTGTCAACTTGACGGGTAAGCCAACGGCATTGGCTTCGACAGATTTAAAGCTGCGAGAGCTGATGACGTGAGATGGAACGGGTGGGTAGAGGAGGTAGGTTTGGAGCCAGTTGGTGGTTGGATAGAACAGACCGCCGTTACGATGAGGATATGGTTCAAGGGTCTGACTCTCTGCATCGCCATGCAGCTGCATCGACATCTCATCCAAAAACGAGTCGATACGATCCGCGGCCATGGTTTCATGCTCCTTTCGTATCTTGTATAGATACGGCGTCTCTTGTTCGCTCGAGTCTTGCTGTGCCCACTGCTTCTCGAGGTACTTTCTGAACAGAGGACGCAGCCGCCGCAATCTCTCTAGGTACCTCTCAAACTCCTTTTTGTTCATCTTCAAGTACTCTGGTCTCGCCTGTGTCGAAGGCGCGACCTGAACCGCCAGCGCGTGATTTTCACCCGCTGGACCCGCAATGGGGTTTGTGTGACGCGTAGAATTATAGTTGGCAAACTCCGAGTCGATCATAGCATCATTCTTGGGCCGGTTGGCGAAATGAGACGACCAAGCACGCGTATGCAACGTCGACGTAGGACCAATGTCCACCCCCGTCTCTTCCCAGCGCTTGACAAATTTTTCTTCTGGTGCTGCGCTGCGGAATTCCGTCTGCTGTTCGGGCGAGTCGATGGATTGGATGAGGAGCGTTTTGCCGCGTTGGCGGACGGATAGCGGCCTTTTAACGCCCCAGTCTCCTCTATGTGCATGTCCTCCATGTGTTGTGTATACTTGGGCGATTGCGGGCGAGTATGTTGCAAATTTCGACTGCTTGAGCAACGTCGCAAACGACGAGCTCACTGAAGAAGCACCGGGTGCTGCCATTGAGCAGCTTCAAGTGGCTTTTATAACAGGTTTTGCAAGCTATGAGAGAGTCGGGCGTTTCGCCCTCGCAATGGCCAGGTCGAAAGATGGCCAGCAAGGGGCTCACACCAAAGCAGATACCACAACTTGTCTATAACATTTTACTTTTGTATTTATGATACCCAAATTATCGCCTAGTGTTAGGTGACTGCACCTTACCACCCACCATCACAAGTAGTTGATCTTGACCGCTGAGGAGAATGTCTTCTGCGTTGACAGAAATTCCCGAGCTACGAGAAGTCTCTTTGACACGACCAATTGCTCCTCCTTCTCACCGAATACGGCAAGATCGGGACATAGACGCGTGGAAGAAGACGACAGGCTACAAGGACTATTGTTTATGGGTCGTTCGTCTTAATTCTTCAGTCATCGGTCAAGATATTCCGACTGTGGCTGGCACTCCCAGGAGTCAGGTCGGTGAATGACTGCTATTCACTATGCTCATATCTCATCCGTCTAGGCAGTCAATAAGGTTGTCGAACTCTTAGACGAGCTCAAGAAATGGGTGGATGAGATCCCACCATATGGAGATAAACAACGCTTTGGAAACCTGGCTTTCCGAGATTGGGGTAAACGATTGCAAAACGTAAGTACATAACCTGGCTATGTAGGAGACGTAAACGACCCTTGTTCTCCAGAACGCCGCCCAGCTATTGCACAAGACACTCCCTCAAGAGTATCATCCCGCCATTCCTCTGTTGATGCCATACTTTATGTCATCTTTTGGAGATTTTACACGACTGGACTATGGGTCTGGTCACGAGCTCTCGTTTGCAGTCTTCTTGATGGGCCTGACACTTGTGCGCTTCTTCAAACCCACACCAGACGAGGAACGCCACCTTGTCGTCACTGTCTTTGGCAAGTACTTGGAGGTTACATGGTACTTGCAGGACGTATACCGTCTCGAGCCTGCAGGGAGCCACGGTGTCTGGGGGTTAGACGACTATCACTTTCTTGGCTTCTTATGGGGTAGCGCCCAGCTGAGAGGTGCGTCTCAGATCGAGGCGGAGGAGGATGCTGATCGGGATCAACAGGTCAGAGTTCCATCGCGCCCTCGTCGGTGCTCAACCCACCTCTGTCGCCGACCAACTTGTACAACATGCAGGTTTCGAGAATCTATCAGCTCAAGATTGGACCCTTTTTTGAGCATTCGGCACAGCTGCATGCGATTGCGACGGGCGTGCCCAACTGGGACAAGGTCAATGCGGGAATGCTCAAGATGTACGAGGCGGAGGTGCTGAACAAGCGCGTAGTCGTACAGCATCTTCCCCTCGGCGGACTGCTGGCTTGGGACTAGTGGTGTCGGGCGTGTCGAGATCCACCCACCTCGACAAAGAATTGGGGGCGGGCCATTCGGAGCGAATCCCGTGGCGCTTATCCGCGTATCATGACACAGATCATCAGTGTCCTGTTTCAGTTCGAAAAGGAATGCTGCCGGTGTGTGTCGGAGGGTCGGGGAAGGACTGGTCAGATGTCGGCGGCGAGCGTGAGATTGATCCCAAATCGAAAACGTAAGAAATACATCCGGGTGATTTAGCCGGTCTCCATGAGGCCAGCCTTGAGTCTTGTGCGTCCCTTGCCCGACGAGTAATTTCAGGCTGGTTCCAACTTGAACTTGAACCACGTCGGGAGGGCCTGGCATAACTGTACATATTGCCAGCCAACATGCCCGTAAAGATGCGTAGACCAGGTGCCAGAGCTGCTTCATCGACGAACATTGCGGCAAAGATGGGCATGGCAGGTCTCACCGCTGCCCAAGGCCAGACAGCCGACAAAGAGGGCGACAAGTTTGGTAAACGGAGATCTGCATCATCACATGTACGCATTATTCTGCACTGTGGTTGCTGATTAATCATCCTTGTCCATCAGGCCTTGGCTCAACACCAGCCTCGCCCATTCTCCAGGACAGGCTCACAGTCCAAATTGCTCCATAAATCAAACGGTAAACAGCCTGCTCAGCACCATGACTCGCCTGTTGCGGACGACGAAGACTGGGTTTCGAGCTCGAGTGCGGTTGCAAGTCCAGCGCCTGAACCAAACGACGAAGAGGAAGATGAGGCTATCTATGTGAACCCACACCTTCACGGACGAACAGCCCATCACGAGTCCCCTCCAGCGACACCCCGCCGGTCGAATACTCGAGCGCTCCCCCAGGACCAGCGCCACCACCCCAATAGTGACCTACGTAATAACAATAATAATAATCCTGGTGCTCTCCACCCGAATCCCACAGGTGCCCAGCGCCATCACACCACAGAACCAAATCACATCCGCTTCGTTGGTGAACCTGGGCATCTGCATCATCAACATCCGCTCGACCAACGAATACATCACAACGGCGCCGCCCATCATGTGTCGCCCCCGCCTCGCATGTCCGCAGTAGACGAAGCAATGGGCCAGCCCAGCAGTTCTGTAGTCCGGATAGCAGGCCCATCGGTGCCTGAGCAAGCTAACAAGCCGGATGCTGAGTTGCTTCTCAACGGGGATGGACGACGAGGAAGGGGAGAGCAGGCTTCGCATTCAAGAGATGAACAACGAGTGCACGTCAAACAGCATCAGGATCAGATAATTGAGGCTTCTCCGCGGCAAATAGCTGCGACGTCCGCTGTGCGGCCGGCTGTACCCGAGGATGCAGACGTCGGCGGCGCCCACGTTGGTCAAGGAGATAGCGGGAGAATGTCGACGCAACGCGGTTTCGGCGCTGCCCTGACCCCTTTAACCCAGGTTGAAGAAGGCACCCCTTCAACTCCTTTGGCCCCTTCCACCACGAATGCGACAGTCTCTCGATCCGCGTCTGCAACTCGCCCATCCATGCTAAGGAGAGACACAACGCCCAACACGGTATCTCGTTCTCCTATCGTTGACCACCCTCCGCGATCTCAAACACCGCCGGCCAGCATGACCCACGACGAGATGGTGGCGAACAACAACAAGCGGCATTCTATTCATTCTACGGGTGCGCAACGCAGGCCAATGTCGCTCTTCCAGCCCTCTCTGCAGGGCAAACGGCACTCTGTCGCCTCTAGGCCGCTCTCACAGCATATCCCGGGTCATCCAGCACCCATTTCCCTTTTAGCTCGACTTAATACGTTGCAGAGTGGTAATGTCACCGCAGCCCCAGCGGTGTCCCCAACCTATGAGAACGAGGACGAATCAGCGTATGCCTCAATGTCGCCCACTCGATCGCGTGCAGGCCACACCCTACGAAGGCGTGGTTCGGTGGCCTCGATCAACTCTGTCGCCACTGCGCCCGTTACATCAACCTCTTCTGCTACCGCTCAAGGTGCGACGGCGTCGCCCACAACGCAGGCAACGACATCGTCTGCCATTTTGCATAATCTAGCTACCCGGCCGACCAAGCATCTCTCCATGACTTCTCGATCTGATGTGCGACCGGACGTACGACGATCTGAGCTCCGCGTAGACGACAATCCGCTCTTCGTTAGCCAATTCTGCCATACGAGAGCGTTTAACTCAAAGGGTCCGGAGCGCTGCCTTGGAGAGGAAATGGCGGGCGAGGAGGAATGGGAGTCTCATCTTTCGATCGCAAGGTATCATAATCTTATGCGAGATAGCATCGGTCGTATCACGGCCGCGAGGAGCTTACGCTCAAAGTAATGGGGTCGACACCATTACTGCTGTAGTTTTATTGCAGCGGCTCGCATACCTCTTCTCTGCCCCGCTATCGCTGCTGTCAGCCAAGTATATCTGGTGTTTGTGGATGACTGTCTATCATCCTGGCGTCAGTGTGATCGCCAGGCTTTCTGTGTCTGGTTTCGAAATGACTTGACATGCTACTTTGTCCTGTTGTGCTATAATCTTGTTTGCAACCCCCATGTACGCTTGTGACTGCCACAACTTAGCTTATTCGCTCCTCGTCCATTATTTATCGCCTTGTAAGAGAAGCACATGCTTTGGGGGATTACAACTACCAAGTTGAGTTGCGGATATGATTCACGTGCTGGTGTTGTGCCGGAAGCCCGGATCAAGGAATTGGATCTTGGACCTCTCCGCGACGACACAAATGCAACGAACTTTTCTTCAACGAGTTGCCACGACTTCTAGGACGACGAGGAGTTCAGTCGTTAGGAGTGCTCGTCTAGCACGATGCTTGAGCACGTCGAGACCGCTCGCAGCGCCTACGTCGCTGCATACGCTCACAGAAGAGGAGCAGATGCTCAAAGAGTCTGGTACGAACCTTGTACTTCTGTTGCGCTCGACTAGTTCTGACGAGGCGTATCGTTGTATCCTATAGTACGGCGCTTTGCGGTCGAGGAAGTGGGCCCGAAAGTACGCGAGATGGACGAGAACGAGATGATGGATCCAAAGATAATCCAAGGTCTATTCGAGCAGGGTGTGCGTATGAAGCCGGAACCCCCCGTTATTCGAACTGACGCTCGTCCGTAGCTCATGGGCATTGAGACGAGCGCTGAGCATGGTGGCGCTGAAGCATCATTTACCAGTGCGATTATTGCCATCGAAGAGTTGGCGAGAATCGACCCAAGTGTGTCCGTGGTACGTACATTGGTTTAGGCCTCTGCTCGCCCTTAGTTTCCACAGCTCTGCGACGTACACAATACATTGGTCAATACCATTCTCCGCAAGTATGGTACAAAGGAGCAGCGTGACAAGTTCCTTCCAATGCTGGCCGAGAGCAAGGTGAGTTGTGCTCAACGACTTGTGATTATTCTGACATGCTTGACCAGGTTGGATCATTCTGCTTATCGGAACCCGCGAGTGGAAGTGATGCATTTGCTCTGCAATCACGAGCTGTCCAAGATGGCAAAGACTGGATCATAAACGGCTCAAAGATGTAGGAATTTGTGCATTGTGCCCCACTTCTCTAAATCTCGATATAGGTGGATTACGAACAGCTACGAAGCCGAAATATTCCTCATCTTTGCCAATGTGGACCCGAGCAAGGGGTATAAGGGTATCACTTGTTTCATTGCGACAAAGGATATGGGCATCCAAATCGCTAAGAAGGAGCAAAAGCTCGGTATTCGAGCGAGTTCAACATGCACTCTGAACTTTGACGATCTCAAGGTGCCCGAGGAGAACATCATCGGAGGCTTGGGTAAGGGCTACAAAATTGCTATCGAAATTCTCAATGAAGGTAAGTTTGGATTGTCGTATGAAACTCTGTTAATTGGTTTAGGTCGGATCGGTATTGCCGCTCAAATGCTCGGACTGGCTCAAGGTGCATTCGATAAGGCCGTTCCATACACCTACGAACGCAAGCAGTTTGGGCAACCCGTTGGTACTTTCCAAGGAATGGCTTTCCAAATCGCGGAAGCCGCTACCCAGATTGAGGCCGCACGGCTCTTGACGTACAACGCTGCTAGGAGAAAGGAAGAGGGACTGCCATTCACCAAAGAAGCGGCAATGGCGAAGTACTTTGCCAGTGTTGTTGCACAAAAGGTTTCTGGCAGTGCGATCGAGTGGGCGGGTGGTGTTGGGTTCACACGAGAAACTGGCATTGAAAAGTTTTGGCGAGACTCAAAGATTGTGAGTGGGCTATTGTCGTCAAGGATGGGCGGCTAATATTCCATTTAGGGTGCAATTTACGAGGGTACCTCCAACATCCAGCTCAATACTATCGCCAAATTCATCCAAAAGGAGTATTCGTAGAAGGAAAACTGGTGACGAGCTGGTTAATGAGTGGAGTTGGATCCGTAGAGATGCATACGTCGTGTTTTAACGAGGCGCCAATGCAATACCGCATATGCTCTATTCGAGAGCGCATCATCAAAGATTGTGAAACAATCTAATCTGTTGCATTTGGAGTTCGTTTCCGAGTTGAGTGGGTCTCGGTGGTGAATGGCGATGTCCCTCACCTGGACCTGCCTCTGCCGCTTCTACGACTTTGGCCGTTCTGCAAGCACGGTAAGGTGTCTTAATCAGGGATCTAGTAAGGATTAAAACAGGTGGTTCAGTTTCATCAAATCCTATTCGACCACCCATTTTTTATTGTACAGTTTAATGGACACCCCCATCGTTGTGGATCCCCGTGAGTCCAGCCCTCTTTTCTCTCGTTTCTGCTCAGCATCTCTCTTCTGATAGATGCCCCCGAGAATGTCAAACGACTCGTCGAGGCTTTGGGTAATCGGCCGGATTTCAAGGGTGAGTCTGGTTTCTTCTCGATCTTTGTACCTCACTTATCATATTCATTTCAGACTTGTTACCTTTTGTTATCGATTGTATGACCTTAGCAGACGACGTCGGGATCCCTACACCAGGGGGCCCGCAGTCTTGGATGACGACTCGTGGCCTTCGATGCGCTTGACCACCTCCAGGGGAAGTGACCAGACGACTCGCCCTGCTTTCGCTGCATCGGCAAATGAGAGAGCCTGGTACTATTATGGCATTACAGACGACGGCGACCAATCCGAGTTGCTCTACCGCACGAGCTGGGAGAAGGAACCATGGGTGACCCCGACTGGCAGATTCACGCAACCCCCCCTCAAGTTTGCTCGTGCAGTCCATAATACGCCTCTCAACAAGGTCTGGGACATGGCTGGTCCCCTCATTGACGACCTCGTCTACGCCACCGTGAAAGAAGAGCTATTCCATCAGCACCGCCCGCTTCCTTACTATCCCCGATGGTGAAGACGTTAAAGAGGGGACACTCGGTCCTGTCGTCATCTGGATTTCCGTCCATCCCGGCTCCACTTCTGTTGAAACTGCGCACGAGATATCCCAGAAAAATCTCAAAATTCTCGCTGGCAACGGCGTGGATGAGGTTGAAGTTGAGTGGTGCGAGGGTGTCACGTCTCGGCTGACCGCTTCGGCCCTGCTTCCGGTGACGAGACACGATGGGACCGTCGACGTCCGTCGCCATCTAACGACTGGAAGGACGTCCAGGGCACTGGCGGGTTTTACTTTCATGAAGTCATCGACACGGATGACAATCCCAGCGACAAAGTTCTCCTCGTAACGAACCATTATGTTGTCTGTGAAATCGAAAACAAGAAGTATGACTACAGAGGCACCAGCCTGCTTCACCCAAAGATCCGGATCTGCGGGCCCCGCCGCTTCCAACGCGGTCTCGACGAGATCAACTCTGCAACTATTTCCGAGGGTATTGATGCTACGGAAGTTGGCGAATCTATCAAGGAGCCCAATGCCCAAAGGGAGCGCGGGGATTGGACGGAGGCTGACGCCAAAGAACTCAGGAAATACCTTGCGAAACTGGACGAACACGAAGCAGCCATGTTAGAGTTGGGGCAGCTCTACTCGGAGCTGACGACGAATTGGGCGGACATTACCCGTCCCACCATCGGGGCACTTGAATACTCCCCCCCATCTCGATTGACGTGAATAATCAAAGTTAAACCCAGGATTGGGCTGTTATCCGACTCGATAAAGCCAGATTCAAGCGTAACTTCATGGGTAATGTGATTGACTTCGGTGCGTTTCAAAATAGTTCCTCCGATCTCGAATCTTGTCTGACAGAAAGCGCTTTCAGGAAAATATCGGCGGGAAACTTCAGGTCGCTCATGCATCCTCGATATGATACCAAGCCATTGATCCAGTTTCCAAGAAACGGGATGTTGAGGGTCAAGGGCTGTGTTCCCGAATCAGTTGATATCAATAACCAACCCTGCATCATCGTTCTCAAGGACGGATGCACCACTGGTCTCACCTTCGGCCACTTCTCTGGACTGGAATTTTTTGCTGCGACGAGAAATCCGTCCGGTCTGTTGAACTTGCGATCTATAACTACGACAAACAGAGCAGGCCCTTCTCATCTAAGGGTGACTCAGGATCTCTCATCGTGAATGGTTGAGGAGAAATGGTTGGGCTCCTTCACTCCGGCAAGAAAAGGAATAAATTCGATTCGACTTCCACATATGTAACGTATGCAACCCCTGCCTGGCGTCTCCTCGAGTGGATCAAGGAGGTCTACCCCCACGCCGATTTTGTTCGCGAGACCTGGTAGAGGTGAGAATAATGGCATGTACGAGATTGAGAGGGACAATTGTCCGTGTCAAGGTCGCCCACTCGATCGCGTGCAAGTCACACCTTACGGAAGCGTGGTTTAGCATTTCGTTCAACTCCATTGCCACTGCCCCCCGTTACATTATACTGCTATCTGCTTCTCTGTGCACGCTTGTAACTACAATCAACGCATTTGCCCCTCAACTATGGACTTGTCATCCCGTAAGAGAAATTGTTTGATTGCTCTGAGCACTTACATGCACGAAGGCGTATTTGGACAAGGAGAATGAAACGACAAGCCGGTAAATCAGCACGTATGGATTTCAGATTCAAAGCTATATGTATACACCTAATCGTACGCAATATGACGAGAGGGCATGTAGTATGTGATCACTCCGCCATGCTTTCTGTCCCCCACATAGACGTATGCAACGACACAATAGTTTGGAGCAATTCCTATTGAAACACATCAACCAGTCCTCTTCGTTGTGGGTAGGCTTACCTGCAATGATGTGGTTCTGTAAGATTTGGCTAGAGAACCATTTTTGCAGAACCTTGGAGGCAAGAGGTACGACATGCCAATCTGAGTCATCTATAGACTGATCTTCCATGTCGTCTTCTTCAGTCTCTTGGCGTACTGCGAAACTGAGTGGCTACGAGGCCAAGCATAAGACTACACACCAACGGTGGCATTCTTCAAATTCTTCCACATTGTTTCTATATCTCCAGCGGTGGTTTTAATTCCCAACCTAAACCGACCGTCTCGCGTAGCACCAAGCCAGATGATATCGCCTATGCGTGACAAATGTTCGACCACGGGACGACACTGGTCCACTGAAGGAAGCTCTATGTGGGTCTTGATTATGGTTAATAATCGATATCAGAGGACACGAGTCATACTTCGAGCGGTGGACATCGTGGTTGAGCCATTTCGTCTACTTCGGCCGCTCTTCGCACCTGCCGTGACCTTGAGAGGTATTCAGAGCGAGCCGAGGATACTCACTACGACATGGACGTCATGTGTAATATTGACTCTCTTCCCGTCTCTCGTTTGCGCCTTGGCCTCGATGCACAAAGCAGCCTCTGTCCCCTTCTTTGCTAAACGCACCGTCGTTTCCGCCGAGTCCCTGTACCCAGCAGAGCGAATAGCCTGTAGTAATGGGGTTATCGAGAACTCTAGTGCAATTGTATTGTTGTTGGTGTTGGATTCAATGCGGTAATCGCCAAAGATGTTATCCTTCGAACTTTGCATTCGCTTTCATCCATTGATGGGTTGTAAGACTCACTGCTGGTACTTGACTGCGAGAATCAGTAAAGTCAGATCGTTCGTGACCAACGTACTGACGACCACATCTGAACGTCACCTTCGCCCTTCGTACAGATGAGAAACACCGTTTCACTTGTCAACTTCAATATGGCGCGTTTCCCCATTTTTTCCGCGCTTTGGAGGAGATCTGGCTCGGAATGAGCACTTCTAAGAGCATGTGCGAAGATGTTAAGGCCAACTTGTAAGGAGGATAACATTGTCAATCTTTGCCTTGAAACGCATTGCTCCTCAATACGAGGCTGGCCTTTAGAGGGGATATGGCGGAAGACAACCTTGGAGTTGACTGCAATTGGCGAAATGTCTCAACATGCCCATATCAAGCCGCATGCACTCAAGTTTCCCGGAATCAACAAGATGAAGAAGAAGAAGATTGTTCTCGCCTCCAATAGCCCGAGGCGACTCGAGATTCTCAAGACGTTTGTGCGTGATCGGCCGGTTCTGTTGTCTAGAGGAGGTATTCATACGTCGTAGGGACTGGAGCCACAAGTTGTTCCCTCGATCTTTGCAGAAGATCTTCCCAAAGGCGGCTACGAGAACAAGTATGAATATCCAGTGGCAACCGCTACGGAGAAGGTGAGACGCACTGTGATCCACCGAGCACGCTCTAAGCATATTCCAGGCCGTAGAGGTCTACCGAAGGCTGGTTGTAAGTCACAATTCCGGGCCTACTTTCACCAGGACTCACGACTGTCAGGAAGAAGATCCAGACGATGCTCCGGATCTCGTTATCGCCGGTCAGAATTTGTGCACCTATGCTGCTCTGAACATTTTACTGATTGCTTTGGCAGCCGACACTGTCGTGTTTACGCATGACGACCCAAACGTTGTAGGATACGAATCAACGCCGTTACACGCAAGCATATTAGAGAAGCCCGAAACTCGTGAAGAGAATCTACGGATGCTACAAGAGCTCAATGGCAAAGCCTGCGAGGTCGTAACTGGTGTTACGGTTGGTGAGTCTAATTCGGTGATGAATATTATGCAGGCTTACCTTCATTAGTATGGCCTATAATCAGCGCACCTGGATACATGATAAAGTATGCAGAGATCTTGCAGACCCGACACTGATGCGGCATTAGATCCATGGATGAACGAACGATTGTGCACTTTGCGGACAATTCAAAGCAACGGCTGAAAGCCTATGTAGAGAGTGGAGAAGGTCTGGACAGAGCCGGAGGATTTGCCATTCAAGTAAGCTTACTCTCCTCTTCTTATACGATAATCAACCTGGATCAGGGGCTGGGGGGACTTCTAATCGCCAAAATTGATGGAGACTTTTGGAATGTCGTAGGCTTCCCGGCGTCGTCTTTCTTCCAAATGCTGGATATTCTCGCCGAAGAGGAGGAAGACTTCCTTGCGCTTTGAGCATCTATCGGTGGCATTTACAAGGTTGAATGAGTAAATTTGAATATCCGTGGGTCCCATGCTCATGCGACCTTGCATAGCCCGGCGCTTTCGTGGTCATTGTAGGCGTCGTACATTAGGCGCCGTCATTTCGTAAGGACTGGACATAAGTGCACCAACCCGGCAATCAGCCAGACAACACTTTGGCCTTATTATGCACTCAGCAGTCGAGCAGCTTGCAAACCCTTATCTTATTGCGCCTATTGCGGGCACTGTAGCTTTGGGTATTTTATACTGGTCGAGACATACTTTTTCACGTCCAAACGAACCCTTGTTGCTCCCTGGAGGCCTCCCACTGATTGGGCATGCATTCGAGTATGCAAAGAATTCAAGCGAGCTGTATTTGCGCATCAGGTAAGTCCTATTCTCTACTCAGCGATGGTCCTTACCGACCGCTTGAAGGGAGTTTGCTCGGGATCTTCAACCAATCTCAATCACGCTAATGGGACAACGAATTTATATCGTAATGAAACCACAGGATATATCGTCTGTCTGGAGGACCAAAGCACTCGATTTCAACCCCGTCGTCGAGTGGGGATTGACGGCCCTCTTTAACATGTCCCCAGAGGGTGTCCGGCGACTGCATTTCGACGCTGAAGATGGGATGGGTTCAATGTATGTCAATTCGCATACATTTTTCCGAGATCATCTTGCGCCTGGGGAGCCTCTCAATATTATCACTCGTAGCTTTGTCGAGTATATGATGAAGGACCTCGAAACTGCTAAACAGGAAATCTGCCGAGCTCCGGGGGAAACGCTTCAAGTTGATCTCATGCGGTGGATCAGATATCGCCTCGGTATTCCCTCGACCAATGCCATGGCTGGAGAAGGAGTGCTTCAATACGACCCCGGCATCCTGGACGCGGTAGCCAAGTTCGATTCGGACATTGTCCGCCTATCCAGTGGATTGCCAAAGTGGATCAATAAGGACGCGCACGACAACGTACGGCGCCTTTCAGATGCGTTTGAGCACGGAATGGATGTGGAGAAGACCTTATATTGGATCCAACTACGCATAAAGATGATGGCGGATCGAGGGGTGCCATTCCGAGACCAGACCATAATAATACTGATTTTATGGCAAGCGTAAGTTTTCTTATCTGGTTCTCTGACGGTATCTGATGCAACAATTTAGATTGCAGGCAAATGCTATACCAGTGACATTCTGGATGATCTATCAGCTACTTCGTGACCCTAAAACTCTCCAAGAGTTAATGCAGGAGGCCAGACCGTCATTAGACGAGAACGGCAATCTGGTGGATATTGGATACCTTTCCACCAAGACACCAAAGCTCAATGCTTTCTACTGGGAGGCTCTCCGATACGCTTCAGCAAGTGCCTCGGTTCGAAAAGTGCTTGACACGGTCTCAATTGGTGGCCGAACGCTCTACAAGGGCGCAATGGTCATGCTACCTGCTCGCCCGTATCATATGGATCCCGAGATATTTGGGGATGACTGCGACAAGTTTGTTGCCGACCGCTTCCTGCGCGACGGTAAGGAACCAGGCAAGCTGAACCCAGGGTTCCGTTCCGTTCGTGCCTTTGGAGGAGGGATTTCTCTCTGCCCTGGACGTCATTTCGCCATTAACGAAATCTTCTCCGCCATCGTCACCATCTTCAATAACTTTGACATTTCCCTCGTCGATCCATCCCAAACTGTGCATCCTCGGACGGAAGGATCTGCCGTGTCCATCCTGCCTCCGAACGAGAATGTTCTGGTCAATATAAAACTCAAGGGAAATAAAGAACCGAACGAGGTGGATGGATTGTTCTTGGAGCCCAGCATCTTCAGTGATTACAAGACCCAAACTAGTGTATCCGATTCTTAGTCACAAGTTCGAATTTGTATAGCTCCAGCGCTTATCGAAATTTCGTCGTAATTTACTCGCGTCAAATTAGGCGCCATCATTTCGGAAACCCAAACACCAGGACAAAACATTCTGACCTTTGACCTCGACCATGTCAACACTCGAGCAGTTGGCAAATCCTTCCTTCGTTGTATCTACTCTATGCATCTTAGCATTAGGTGTTGCCCTGAATCACTGGTCAAGACGTACCGGGCTACGTCCAAATGAACCAGTGCTGCTTCCTGGCGGTCTACCATTGGTTGGGCACGCATTTGAGTATACAAGAGATCCAAGCGCGCTATATATGCGTATTAGGTCGGTCTATTTACCTCCACCACACGAAAGTACTGACCGGTTGTTCGAAGGGATTTCGCGCGGGATCTTCAACCCATCTCAGTTACCATGATGGGACAGCGAATTTATGTCATAATGAAACCACAAGATATCTCTACCGTATGGAAGACTAAGGAACTCAGCTTTGACGCCATCGTCGAATGGGGATTGAATACCATCTTCAGCCTGTCTCCGAACGCGGTCCAACGACTACATCTCGACGGTCCCGATGGAACGGGTTCAATGTACGCCAGCTCTCATACCTTTTTCCGAGATCATCTTGCGCCTGGGAAGCCCCTGGAAACCATCACTAGCGATTTTGTGGGGTACATGATGAAGGATATCGAAACCGTCAAGCAGAAACTTCGTAAAGCCCCAGGGGGAAAGCTTCGAGTTGATCTCATGCACTGGATCAGACAACGCGTCGGTATTCCCTCGACCAACGCTATGGTAGGGGAAGGACCACTACGATATGATCCCGGCATCCTGGATGCCTTGGCTAAGTTTGATACGGATATGTTGCGTCTCTCCAGTGGATTGCCGAAGTGGATCAATAAGGACGCACACGACAACGTGCGACGTCTCTCAGATGCGTTTGCGCATGGGCTAGAAGGAGAGAAGGGCATATATTGGGTCGAAAAGCGTATGAAAATGATGGAAGATCGAGGGATTTCATTCCGAGACCAGACCACCGCCACAATGTCCATCTGGCAAGCGTGGGTTTCTCGTCTTGCTCCCTGACGTGTATCTGACGCCAAGATTTAGACTACAAGCAAATGCTATACCAGTGATATTCTGGATGGTATACGAGCTTCTTCGGAACCCTGATACTCTCCAAGAGTTGATGCAGGAGGCCAGACCGTCTTTGGGTGCAAATGGCAATCTGGTAGACATAGAGTATCTTTCCACCAAGACACCAAAGCTCAACGCTTTCTACTGGGAGGTTCTTCGATACGCCTCTGGAAACACATCAGTCCGTCAAGTGCTCGAGACAGTCTCGATTGGTGGTCGAACGCTCTACAAGGGTGCGATGGTCATGCTACCTTCTCGCCCGCATCATATGAATCCCGAGATATTTGGGGATGATTGCGACAAGTTCGTCCCGGACCGCTTCCTGCGCGACGGCAAGGAGCCGGGCAAACTCAACCCCGGTATTCGCTCCGTCCGTGCATTCGGAGGCGGAAATACCCTCTGTCCTGGGCGCCATTTCGCAACGAATGAAGTCTTCTCCGCCGTAGTCACCATCTTCAATACCTTTGACATTTCCCTCGTAGACCCATCCCAAAGTGTATACCCCCAGACGGAAAGATCTACATTGGCTACTTTTCCCCCAAACGAGACTGTGTTGGCCGACATCAAGCTCAAAGAGGGAAGGTAGACAAGTTGCCGGAGGAGCAGCGCGTCGTTTCTTGCGCCCCCGCACCTCCGATGCTCTCTCAATCGTTCGTTTCATGGATTTATATACATACATAAGCATTACAGAGTGGAAATAGTAACCATATCTGAGCTTTGTAAACGCGCCTCACTTGGAGCTGGCCACTGTGACCACCCCTAGATGTTCTACCGCACGAGCTGGGAGAAGCAGCCATGGGTGATCCCTACTGGCAGGTTTGCGCATCTTCCTCTCAAGTTTGCTCGTGCATTTCATAATATTCCTCTCAACAAGGCCTGGGACATAGTCGGCCCCCTTGTTGGCGACCTAGTCTATGCTACCATCAAGAAGAGCTAATTCCATTAGCACTCGCTTCCTTACTATTCCCGATGGTGAGGACATTAAAGAGTAAGGGGACATCCGGTCCTGTCGTCATCTGGGTTTCCGTGTATCCCGACTCCACTTCTGTTGAAACTGCGCACGAGGTGTCCCAGAAAATCCTCAAGCTCTTCGCCGACAATGACATGGACGGGGTTAAGGTTGAGTGGTGCGAGGCTGGCAACAAATTGCGAGTCTAATGACTGGCTTTCCTTAACGTCTCTGACTCTTTAAGTTAGCTTCTTGAAGCCATCTTGAAGACTCTGACCTTGCTGGGTGGTCTGTCAGGGACGAATGAGGAGGTTGCTACCAGGGAGGCTTCGGACAATCGGTTAGCCGCAGACAGCTTGCAATTCAGTCTTTATTCAAAAGGCGGAAAGTGCCCACACGAACTCATCCCCCGATTTGTACGGAGGAAGTTAGGCCGGCAAGTCCCCAATGCTCGGAAATTTTCATCGTGATTTACTGGCGTCAAATTTAAGCGCCGTCATTTAGCAACAGCAACACGAGAACAGCACATTCCAAGCTTTAACCTTTACCATGTCAACACTCGAGCAGTTGGCAAATCCTTCCCTCGTTGCATCTACTCTGGGCATCGTAGCATTAGGTGTTGCCTTGAATCACTGGTCGAAACGTACAGGGTTACGTCCAAATGAACCAGTGTTGCTCCCTGGTGGTCTACCATTGGTTGGGCATGCATTTGAGTATACAAGAGATCCAAGCGCGCTATACGCGCGCGTTAGGTAAATTTATTTACTTCCACCACACGAAAGTACTGACCGGTTGTTCGAAGGGATTTCGCGCGGGATCTTCAACCCATCTCAGTTACCATGATGGGACAGCGAATTTATGTCATAATGAAACCACAAGATATCTCGACCGTATGGAAGACTAAGGAACTCAGCTTTGACGCCATCGTCGAATGGGGATTGAATACCATCTTCACCATGTCTCCGGACGCGGTCCAAAGACTGCACCTTGACGCTGAAGATGGGACGGGTTCAATGTATGTCAATTCGCATACTTTTTTCCGAGACCATCTTGCGCCTGGGAGGCCCCTGGAACTCATCACAAGTGGCTTTGTGGAGTACATGATGAAGGATATTGAAGCCTTCAAGCAGAAGCTTCGTGAAGTTCCAGGGGGAAAGCTTCAAGTTGACCTCATGCACTGGATCAGACAGCGTGTCGGTATTCCCTCGACCAACGCTATGGCAGGGGAAGGGCTACTACAATACGACGAGGGCATCTTAGACGCCGTGGCACAGTTTGATAAGGACATGTTCCGTCTATCCAGTGGATTGCCAAAGTGGATCAATAAGGGCGCACACGACAACGTGCGACGTCTCTCTGATGCGTTTGCGCACGGGCTAGAAGGAGAGAAGAGCATATACTGGGTCGAAAAGCGTATGAAAATGATGGCGGATCGAGGTATTTCACCCCGAGACCAAACCACCGCTATGATGTCCCTCTGGCAAGCGTGAGTTTCTTGTCTCATTCTTTGACGGTATCTGATAATACAATCTAGGCTACAGGCAAATGCTATCCCGATGACATTCTGGATGATGTATCAGCTTCTCCGCAATCCTGATACTCTCCAAGAGTTGATGCAGGAGGCCAAACCGTCCTTAGATTCAAATGGCAATCTGGTAGACATCGAATATCTTTCCACCAAGACACCAAAGCTCAATGCTTTCTACTGGGAGGTTCTTCGATATGCCTCTGGAAATACATCAGTCCGCCAGGTGCTCGAGACAGTCTCGATTGGCGGTCGAACGCTCTACAAGGGTGCAATGGTCATGCTACCTTCTCGCCCGTATCATATGGACCCCGAGATATTTGGAGATGATTGCGACAAGTTCGTCCCGGACCGCTTCCTGCGCGACGGCAAGGAGCCGGGCAAACTCAACCCCGGTATTCGCTCCGTCCGTGCATTCGGAGGCGGAAATACCCTCTGTCCTGGGCGTCATTTTGCGACGAATGAAATCTTCTCCGCTGTTGTCACCATCTTTAATACCTTTGACATTTCCCTCGTAGACCCATCCCAAAGCGTATGCCCTCGAACAGATGGTTCTACAGTGTCTACTTTGCCCCCAAACAAGGTTGTGTTGGCCGACATCAAACTCAAGGAGGGAAAGTAGACAAATCGCTGGAGGAGCAGCGCGTCGTTTCTCGCGACCCTGCATCTCCGATTCTGCTCTCAATCGGTGGTTTCGTAGATTTTATATACATCTATAAGCACTCCAGAGTGGAAATAGTAACCATTATCAGGGCTTTGTAAACGCGCCTCACTTGGAGCTGACCTTAGTTGTGGATGAGGGGCAAGCGGATACGAGTTATTCTCAGACCGCATTCGAGATTATATGGAACCACACGACCGTTTCAGTTTCACATTGGGGCAAGCTTTGCCGGCAAGCCTGCGCACCCAAACGAGAAACCGCCTAAAAACGCACGCTTTCCGGATGGACAGCTAAAGGAATGGCGTGATAAAATGCTTCAATGGCCCAAAGGAATCGTTTCTACGCAGGCAGGACACGATTTTTTCTACGTTCAAGAGGTGCGTCAACCCCAAACCGTGCTCGTCAAAATGATTACATTGCTCATTAATCCATAAAACGATGATGTATGCATGTAGATGCGAAATAGGTCGGTAGGTAGGCCTCGGGACTGTTTGTGTCACGTTTTATGTCCGGCTGACGGAGATATATGGTGCAGGGAATGTCCCTCGGTGTCGCTGATGGTGTAGGAGGATGGAGTAATATGGGGATTGACCCGGCGATGTTCTCGCAAGCTCTGATGTTCCATGCACATCGATACTCCAAGGGCGCTTGGGCCGGAGAACCCGAGACAGACCCAACCCAGGACCTTGACGAACCCGTCGAAGGCTGGGAGCTCACTCCTCAGGAGTGCATAGACCTCGCATACGGTGGAGTGCTACGAGAAAAGGCTGTGACCTGTGGTACGCTCCTTATTTTAACGAGGAAACTCTTCTTAGCTTACGACTGCACCTAGGCTCCAGCACTGCCTGTGTCATCAACCTCAACGCGTCCTCGGGTCTGCTGAGAGCAGCAAAGTGCGTTATTACAGTTCAATGAGCCTCTTATGCCTCACATCTTGCAGCCTAGGCGACTCGGGGTTTTCAATCATTAGATCCGCCAGCCTATTACACGTACAGCCTCCACAGACACACTATTTTAACTGCCCAAAACAATTGTCAAAGATACCAGATGTCATGAAGTGGGACGGCTCGATAGTCGACCACCCCAGGGACGCCGATGTAGTGAGTTCAGCTTCATTCCGCTTTGGACCTTGCAATTGACACACTCTCCCAGTATTCTGTGAACCTTCAAGGCGGTGATATCGTCATAGCATACGTGAGTGCTGTCGGGCCACTGCTTACCGATCCTGATTTGTGGGCAGACCGACGGCCTTTCCGATAATCTATTCCCTAAAGATCTCTTGTCGATATCCGCTCTTGTTATGCGTGCAAACTCGCCCCCGGACGAGCTTGCTCAGACCTTGGCAGATCGACTCGTATTGTACGCATCACAATGTATGTGGGACAAGAAGAGACCCTCGCCGTTTGAACGTGAGTGCCAGTATGTACTACATTAGAGCATCAACTTATGTATTTAGTGGGATGCGTGGCCAGTGGACAGTATTGGCGAGGCGGGGTGAGTTTCTTACAACGTACAATTTGTTCCTTACTAACTAGTTCACTTCAGAAAGTTGACGAGTACGTGCACAGGTCTGTCGATCAGCTATACTTACCCTCTTCAGTGTCACCGTCGTCGTCGCGTTGGTTTCCGAGGACGCATAGTATATTCAAGCCGTGTATACACTGTCGCGCAATGGTAGATTCTTTTAATCCTGACGACACTGGTGGTCATCCCAACCCTTGGGTCCTCACCTTAACCTATACCAAGAAACCTACAACCTTCGAAACTCGTGACCCAAGGCGTCGTTCTTTCGCACCAAGATCCGACGCAGGCACAAGGCATACCCTACTCAGAACTCTCGCCATACTGACGAGTTCGACGCGAACGTGACGGATGAACGTTCCAAGCAGCTCGCCGGCAAAGTTTTGCAAACCATGCGACAATTCGAGCCTGCACGTGCTCGTACCCGTACGGAAACTGGGCCGGTTTTACCCATCCGAGCCCAAATCCAAACAAGCCAGCCACATGTCATAGCGTTGCCGCGCCACCCCGTTTACCCTCCCGATCATCCCCCCTGTTTTTCCCTTTTTCTTCTTCGTCTTCTTCTTCTTGTCCACTCGATCGCATGGGTACCGGTCTCATGAGTCGGTCGGATCTGCGGACCTTTTGTTCCATGCGACAGGATGCCACCTCTCACGATCGGCAAGCACGTTCAAGCGTGACGTGTGTGTTTCGACAACGGCGTCAAGCCTTAATTTGGTCTGTCACCTGAGCAACTAACGGTGGTCGTCCGCGTAGCCACCATCATCGCAAGGTGTATTCGCCAAGGATCCTCACACGCTTAGGGGACATAGACTTATTGCGAAACATCCATGTGCTTAGTCGCAAATGTGCCTCAGAAATTTTTCTAGAGTTCGAGTGAGGGACATGCATTTGTCTTCAAGGGACGCTACGAGCTGTTACAAGAGAATTAGGAGAGTAGTAATTGGCTTCAACAATGCGAGTACGTCCACAAGTAGGTTTGTGATGGGATAAATAGAATGCAGGGGGGGACGCTTGGAGTCATTCGAGACGATGGATTGGCGACGACGGCAGAAGACGATGGAAGATGTGGGTTACATCGGCTATGAGTGTCAACAATTATTGTGAGGGAACAGAGGTAGAGCAGGGAAACCATTAGGGATGGGTGGGGGTGATTACGTGCAACAGAATTCGGGGTTTGAATAAGAATAGGATGATCACTCATCCCGCCTCACCCGTTGAGGAAGAGGCTGGCTGCGAGTGCATGCAGGGGCGCTGACCCAAATGGTCAGCGCAGACCGACGCAGAGTTCCTTGCAATGATGCAGTTATGGGTGAATCCGAGGTCACAATGCTGATGATGGATGAATGCAGAGTCGTCCTCTGGCAAGAACCACGAGTCGACGGTTTGTGTGAGACTTCCTATTATTTCTTCGTATGGAAAAAAAAAGAGACGAATGCTAAGCGGGCCAAAGAGAGAACAGAACCCCGTCTCTTCTTAGCCTATCAATAAAGGACGCTTCCGTCCTTCTGTTGTCGAAGCTCGACCTTAGAATGAGGAGCCACCTGTGGACATTGGGCGGGGTGCACTCGAACGCGGAGACTGGAGAGGCGAGGTGGAGCGTACGATCATGGGCGGCAACGTATTCGGATGGGGCGCAGAGGATGGTCGTGGCGAGGCCGCAATATTAGGGCGGAGGTCGCTCTTCCTCGTAGACGACGCCATGGGCGTCGATTGCATATTAAAGTGCCACGACTGATCTTCGTGACTCCACATTACGTCCGCACCATGAGGAGACTCGGAAAGTAGCGTCCACTGCTTTCTCTCCAAACTCCAGATGATGATGCACGGGGTGACAGGAAGTTGTGCTTCTGCGGCCGGTGAGACGTAGTAGACCCATGCATGAAGCTTCTCTGCGTCAAATGCGCACGTTCCCTCAATAGACGGCAAATGTGTTGGGTAGACGGCATGACGTGCAAGGTGTCGGCTCGACGACAAATATGCATCAATTTCGTCGTGAGACGGGAGCTGGAGTTCCCACCGCTCAATATCGCGGTTCCAAATTGCTCGACCTATTTCGGGCTGTGTAGAGCGGCATTCCCACTGATCAGAATCCCTATACCAGCAAACAATTCCTCCGTCACGGCAGGGTAACTTGCGAAGGCCGTGATCCGTTTGGACCTTTAGCACCCATCCACGGTTTTGGGCGTCCCAAGCGACGACAGAGGATGGGACATTTGGTACATGGGATGGAAAGTTTGTCTGGCCAGAGGTCGAAGGCGACGTGCTGGTGCTCGAGGCTGCACTACGCGGCGGAACAGGTGGATACGCAGTGAGTTCCGAAGCGTTCGAGGTCACCGTCGAGTGGGATCTAGAGTGCGAGAGTGGAGGTGAGGGTGGTCGAGACCGGATTGAAGACACGCCATTCGTGGACAATAGTTGTGAATATGGGTGATGGTGAAGAAGGTTGTTCTTTTGACGTGAAGTGGACCGAAGAGAGGACGCGGTGCGCGGAAGACCATGCTCCAAAGTGAGCACACGACCCCGAGTGGGGAAGAAGTCGTCTTGACTTACGGAGGCCAAGTAGCCTCCGCGAGTGGAAGAGTACGGTGGCTGTCTCTGATAGCGTCCGTCTGAGAAGTTGCTAAGCGGGGACGGTGAGCGTGAAACGTCCTCTGGAGTCTGCAGGCCGCTGAAGCTTGTCATCTTGGACAAGCTCGGCAAATCCAAACGCTCCTGATAGTCGGCATGAGACCGAATTGGAGGGAGTGACAAAGGATGCGACGGCGGTGAATAGTCAATATCAGGCGTCATGGTAGCGGGCATATGGCGGGCCTCGGGAGCATACTTGCTACTTGTCGCAGGATGCGGTGCGGGAGATTGAGCAACGATTCCAAGGCCTAGGAGCTTGTTGCGAACCCAGTTTTCGGAAAACTCGACAGTCGAGTCCTTGACGTTGCCAAAGTCGTCGACGATTTCGAATATGACTGCACGATCTAAGCGAATCAAGTTAGGACCATAGCCGTAACGGTTACTACCTAGAACGGCGACGGGAAAACGTACCATCCGGGCGGGGGAGTACTTTGACAGCGCCTTTGGCAATTTGTGCCTCCATAGCGCGCTTCTGTTTCAACGACCACTGGGAGGGACCCGTCGATGCATCGATGCGGTCGGGATGCTTGTCAGACATTTTTGGCAAGCACTTTTCTGGCCAACCAGCGAAATAGCAGCCGATTCTGATCAATGCGGCTGGGAGATCGACCCAAGGGAACTTCTTCTGGCCTTGCTGGACGGCACATGTGCCACCGCCTGCCTCTGAAAGAGATGGTTAGCCTGGAACGTACAATGCGGAAGCAGTGCCGAGACCCAAAAAGGCGGCTGGGAACGAGAAGGTCACGTACCAAAGATTTCAATAAGCTTGTTAAGCAGCTGCTTTTGCTGCTCTTTTTCACGTTCGCGTTGCTCTCGCTTGCGTGCAGACTTGTCGACGGCACCAGACGCAGCGTGGCTCATGGAATCTTGTACACGTTTTCTTCGTGCGTCTGGTCGTGCGTGTAGAGCTTGGGGAGATGCGCTGCCTGCTTGTTGTTGCGAGGCGAGCGATGGGTGTTGGTTCGATGGACCCGCAGGAGCACCGTCATCATCGTCGAGCTGGTCTTCACCTTCTGCCTCCATTTCGATGTCGTCGTCGACAGCGGGCAGGTCATAGTCGTGGTCCGGGTTGGCAGCGCGTGCGGCCATAGTCGTGGTAGGGGTTCAAGTGTGGGTAGAGGACCAAAGGGGGAAAAGGCAGCATAGAATTAATTCGGACAACCAGGGTTAAATAGGTACCGCTCGAATAAATTTGCATAGCCGAAGGGAGGAAATGCCAGCCGCCGGAAGTCCCATACCAACTCGTCCCGTATGGGCCCATCATGGGGTTGGGTTCATTTCGTCGCCACTCTATTCCTTCTCATTCTCCACGTGAAGGGAATCCATCTTGTTCTCCATCAACCGCGCGCTTCTCGCCATCATCTAACCATGATCGTCAGTAGGTGTGACATACATGTTCATATTCTCACCCAGGTCTCTTGTAGTGTTTTCCCCCCCAAGCGACCGTCATCGCACTCGAGCGCTCCCCCCGAGACTCGGTCATGCGTGGCTCAATAAATCCTTGAGCGCTCTCGCATCTTGTAAGCTGCCGCCACGAGACACTGCCCAAATAAACCTGGCCCGAATGGACGCAGTTTGTTCAGTGGCAGCTGCTGTCTGTCTCGAGGTGTATACCGGGTTTTGTGCAGACTTGGCTTCCGTCCGTGAGTATACGAAGACTGAAACGCGCATGCATTATTACTCTCTCCCCACACGGCGAATCTTGGCATATTGTTAGACTTGCTCACACCCTCTAGGACATACTTGTATCGGGGATTTATGCCGACCACGCGGTTCATCCACACCAGACGATATTCCAGATGGCGAGAGAGCCCCATTGCTGCCTTCGCCTTCCCCAGATGCTGTCGTCGCATCGCAACCTTCTGTGAATAACATGAAGTTGCCGTCTTAGTGTTCCCCCCCGCATGTGCTGTAGCGATTGTATTCCTTTGTCTCTGTTGCTTTGCCTGTTGCTGCCCTACTTGGACAGCCATTTTCGCCAGTCGTAGTAGTCACTCGTCCAGTTGTTCCGATCTTGACCTATCCTTGACGTCTGCTCATTCTGCCCACGGAACCGGATGACATGACACGTCTCACGCCAATACAATTCGATTAGAAACCGTGCACATAACGATCCAAAGTGTTGTCCCGAGAAAAGCGTTATGCAGTTGGCCCCGCCTGTGTGTCCGCATGGCTCAGGGTCCTAAACTTTTTATGCGAGCGCACTGGAGGAGAATGGAGCGACCGGAATAGAGTCCTCATCCCCCGTAACCCAAGCTGTCCACTCAGCCCCGGTATGGCCATAGACAGGATACGTCTCCCATTCGGGTATGAATATGCCGGTATACCGAAGTCGCCTCGGGCCACACCAAACAGCGGATCTACGTTTGGAGAAATGTGGACGCCAAAGATTCATGAAGATTCCCTTCTTCTATTCATTCGGCAAAACTTGCCGTCGTAGCGCGAAGCACCGAAATGCCCCGAAAAGCACATGCATACGCCGCCACTTGATTTAGACTTTGACCATATGAGTCTCTATACTGTCTATGTGGCCAATTGGGGATCCCATATGCATCCCAACCACTTTGGAGATGGAGAAGCAGCTGATCCAGGAAAAGTGGCTGCACACACGTGGATGAGTCGGTCACCGTTACAGAGGAGCTCCATCTGGATTCGTTTAGAGCATGCCCGTTGCTGCCAGCCGATACCTTCGGAGGGCTGAACTCGGTCAAAGCAACAGCAGAAGAGGGACAGCGGGCACATTAAGCAGAATAGACGTTTACCCGCTGTAACAACGTATATCCGACACGCTTGTGTCCAATTTGTTGCTGGCACCCTGCCTATTACGACTCTTCTTGTTCCAAATCCTGTACTCGGATTTTTATTCCACATGCTACCTATGTTATTTTGTTAGATCCCGTGTCTAATCTGATGTCTTTTGTCCGGGCAACAGAACGCGGTTGCGGCTCAAGTTTTCAACTCCGCTCATGACCGCGACTGGGTCCATAAACCCGGTTCTGAGCCAATATTATGCGCAAATTTACCCCCTTTCCGAGTACTTGGACGCGTTGATTCCTTCAAAACCACACTCCTGGACTACCGAAGCCGATACTGCAACGTTTCGAGATTTACTACAGACTACACTGGTCGCACTGCGCTCTTCGACTGAACAAATACCAACCTATGCCTACTATCATCCACAATGCTCTCAATCAGAGGTCAAACCACTCTCTCGTCTTAATACTGTTCTCAACATTCTCAGATCATGGACCGAGCGCATGGAAAGCTCGTTCAACGGCGTCATGCACGATCACACAACATTCTTGCGCTCGGATATCGACTGGTTTGTTCCATTCTCCTTGTACGAGCATTTTGCCAAACCCTTTTATCAGTGCGAAACCAAGGATGAACTAGGCAAACCACAGCCAGGACGTGTCAATATTTCAAACTATGCTGTAAACTCAATGGTCGTCAGTCTGACTTCCCCCGATTGGTCACTGTTGTTGCAGCGGTTTGCCTTTTGTTTATCGAGTCGAGCACTCGTTGACAATACGCTAGGATAGGAGAAGGTCCAATGTACCATCTCCTGGTCTCAACGAGTCTATTTCTTCATGTAGGCAACGATTGCTTTTGTCAGGCCACTGGTTCGCCCATACACGAACTCGGGCCTCTCCAGCTCGGATCACGCAAAAGGGCTCGGCCAGGGATATGGTCGAGCTATCTTGCGCTTTCAAGAAACAGAAACTTGGTGAAGAGGTTTCATTGAAAAAACCAAGGTATGCTTTTGCGTCCTCCACACATTGGATTAAGTCGCTCTCTAGGTTCAACTCTCCAAACGACATTAGGATCATGAGAGCACGCATGTTCTACGCAAGTGCAAAGCACCTGTCCCACATCAAGCTTCGGACCGGCCTCCCTGCCAAACGTTTGTTCTGAGACTCAAAAGCTCTGGTAATGAATCATCTTCAGATATCCTGAATCGCATTTCCTCGGGTGAGATACGTTCGATTTCTGTTCGACGGGACAGAGAATGGGATGGAGGAGATGACATTCGTCTACTTGCCAAGTATATCTTTCCGCGTCAATACGGGCTCCACAACGTCTTCACCTGTGAAAAGGCACGGGGTCCATGGCCATTCAAGGACTACACCGTCCGAGATCAGGAGATTCATGTGAGTGAACGACATGGCGCTAGATGGCGCTAACTGGAACAGTCACAAGGGACAAAGAAGACACCTAAGCGCTTACAGTCTGTCTTACCTCTGCTTGGACGTCTTCTCAACGGACACAAGAAGTTGGATTACGACGCGACCCTCTCACGCACTTGTCCGTCAAAAGTTAGTCTTCAGTTATTGCATGTATAGTGCTAAATCTTCTGCAGTTGAAAATGACAGCAAATAGCACTGTTGATTCGTCGGTGATTTTGGTAAACCTCCGGGCATGGAAGATTCGAACCTGCTCACAATGAACAGGAGCTCATGTCTGAATCAACGCAACCATCGAGTACCCAACTATTTGCTCCGGATGGACATCAAATAAATACCTCGGCACCACCCATTCACAAGCAGACATCCCCTAAGCCTAGGTTTGCCGAGTTTATGTGCTCGCATCGAGAGGTGAGGCTGAGAGGTTGCAATTGCATGGGTGCGCTAAGATATACCACAGGTTATCTCATTTGTGCTTGCTATCACCTCGTCAGTCATTCCAAATGAGTTATGGGGATCAGCTGAGAATTATAAGCATGTATCGAAACGTAAGCACGAGCACCCTACTTCTTCTCTACTAAGTTTGATCAGGAATTGCCGAGTTTATCGATTTGAGACGCCATGAAAGCCTCACTCTTCATTCTGTCGCACAAAATGTCAAGGTGTTAGATTTTGCTTGGGCGTTCCCAGAGCATAATGGCAACAAAGTTTCAAAGAGACCCCCTTCAGATGCGAACAAAGCTCGAGAACTTGTGGACGAGTTTCTCTACTGGTACTTTGACTCATTTCTCCTTCCACTCCTCAAGGTAGAGACCATCATTCAATATCAAACGCTGTCTCACACTCTTTAGACAACGTTTTATTGTACAGAATCTTCTGCGTTCAAGAGCCGAGTGCTTTACTTTCGCCAAGACGACTGGCTGCGCTTGACAGAGCCCCTGCTCGACAAGCTCTGCTCAGAAACCTTCATCAAAGTTCCACTGGTGTGTATTTGGCGATATCAGCTTCTCCCTCTGATGGAATGCAGAATGAGGTACAGCAAGATATAGAGGGCAGGAAGCTTGGGTATGGCCAAGTTCGGCTACTACCAAAGGAGACTGGGGTGCGACCAATTGTCAATCTTGGCCGCAAACTAGCTGTAAAGGTACGCAAGCATCTGCACTAAAAAAGTAGGATTCGGTGGTTGATGGTCTTCATTCACAGGAGAGACCAAAGGATCCAGGATTTTCAATCAATCAGATGTTGCAAGCCACCTTTCAGATATTGACGTTTGAAAAGGTGTGTTGTAGCGTTACTATTTTTCAGAGACTGACGGTTGCAAATGATAGCAACGCAATCCATCCCTTCAAGGCTACTCTGTTACTGATAGCACCGGTATCTACACTAAACTCAAACAGTTTAAGGAACGGCACCGCTCTCCGGATGGGCGAATGTGCGGTCTTTGATCCAAGCACGCCCACTTGCTTATATTCTACAGGCCGAAGCTCTATTTCGTGAAACTGGATGTCCGTGCCTGCTTTGACACGATCGATCAAGGCTTGCTTCTTGAGATCATCCAGCGCATCATCCAAGAGGTAAAGTATCGCGAATATGTTGATGGTAGTTACTTAGAATATTAGGAAAATTACCTCCTACAACGCTACACCCAAGTTTATCCAATGGTTGGAAAGATACAAAAACGCTTCACTGGCTACGCTATTCCCGAAGGTATAGCCAGGAGAAGTCTCAACTCCCTATCTGAAACTTTACAGATGAGACCCTTGATGTGCTTACGCTCGCATCCAAGCTGGCGACAATAGTCCGGCATACCGTGTTCACTGATCAAGTTGTTCAAACATTCGAGGAGCGGGACGAAGTTCTCTCGCTTCTTGAAGAGCATATTACATCCAATATTGTAAAGGTGAGCCATAGTATCATGACAACGTGGATATCTATCTCATGTTGCCAGATTCGAGGGGAATTCTACAAACAACAAGTTGGCATTCCGCAAGGGTCTGTCCTATCCACTATCCTATGCAACTTTTTCTATGGAGATCTCGAAGCTTCTAATCCGTTTTCATTTGTCAATGATCCATCGCATGTTGGTCATATTGTCGTCCTCGATTATCTTATTGACCACCACTACAGGTACTTCTACGGTATATGGATGACTATCTACTCGTTTCAACCAGTCTTTCTGCAGCACACCAGTTTCTCGAGATGATGAAACAGGGACATCCACAATATGGCTGTTTCATTGCCGAAGACAAGACCATCACCAATTTTGAACACATAGCAGCCGGTACGGTCGTTCGAGAAGAAAATTGTGCGTCTCGACTCTTGATAACTACCAATTCTAATGGACGTCAGATATGCCCTGGTGCGGGCTACACGTCAACCTCCAAAGTCTCGATGTATCCATCGACTTTACCCGTTTCCAAGGCAAAAGTAAGTCTCATTCTCTACCATACCGAATCATCAACTAATGCTATTATGAGACATCCTGAATGCACTCAGTGTCGACTCGAGCCATCGTCCTGCGGCGTCGTTCAAATACAAGATAATGAGGTAAGTATTAGTTGTTTTTTAAAGCAGGTCTTCCAACATTTCATAGGACTGCTCGTGATAGGTGTCATCTCTTATTCCTCGATGTGAATTTCAACCACCGGTTTACTGTGCTCTGCAACGTCTTCGAGAACTTTCTTCTGGTTGCAATCAAGACTCTCCATTACCTTCAGCAATGGCAAACTGACCTCGCGAAACATCACCAGTTCATTTGCAGTACGTTGCGCATTAAAACTTGAGCGCAATTCTAACTCCTTCGTAGGTTCGATTAAAGAAATAATAGCCTATATTTCTCTGGTCATAAGAGTTCGCACATCCGGACCCTTGGCACGGACGCTTGGGAGTAAATGCGACATACCGACTAACCTTATGTCATGGTGTGTCCTCTGCTTCTCTCTCTACCGGCTTTATCTGTTTATAGGCTCGGGTACCAAGCATTCTTCCACATTTTTGCGTCGAAAAAACCGCATTTAGGCAGAATTTCTACTGCCCTTCTTGTCGAGATGAGGAAATCGCAATATCGAGCGCTCAGAGATACTTCTCGATACCGTCGGGTAATTCAGAGAGGTAAACAGGCCATATCTTCTGTTTATATCTAGTCACCGTTGTATATCCGCTTGTACTCCCACTACCATGTCTGATCCTCTTCACGAAGTTCTCGAAGTGCTGCTTGCGCTATACGCTTCGAAAGGTCGTTTTCCTCGTCCAAATGCCGTTACACAACAGCAGAGAAATGCGGTCCGTCAGGCAGGACCAATTATTGTGCGGCGCTTGGTAGAGATTCTCGGCGACGCGCCATCTCGCGCACAATCAAACGCTCTTTTAGAGACTATAAGATCATCAAACGAAGGCATTAACAAGTACACTGATGAGAACCTCCTGGTGAGTTTCGGTTGCTCCCAGGCTCGCCCTAAATGTCTGTATTAGGCTTTAGCACGCTCGGAGATTCCTGTGGAAGAGCTGAAGAAAACAGCCGATGATATCCAAGCCAGTGATAAACGGCTACCTTGCTACGAAGGCGAGTGGCCTACCCTTCCTTTACCCAGAGACAAACTGACCAATCAACTTCTAGATGCGTTAGCAGAGGCACTTGTGAAATGGTTCAAGCCCAACTACTTTACATGGAGAGGTTTGTATTGCCTATAAACGCTGTTCTATACCTCAGCCTCTCTAGATCCGATTCGTTGCACGGCATGCCAAGGAGAAACACAGTCGATAGGAATGGGGCAACCAACTCCAGATGATCTTCAAGGTGGAGCAGGTCGAGTCGAACTCCATCAATGCAAGACATGCCGTACGGTTGTTAGATTTCCTCGGTACAAGTAAGACCCTCGCTTGATGCAGATAATTAAGCTAACTCCTTCAGCGATTTAAAATACCTCATGCGTTCTAGGACAGGTCGTTGCGGGGAATTTGCGAATCTATTTGCCCTCTTCATCAATGCGGTTGGTCTACGAGGGAGATATGGTAAGAGCATCCCCACATCTCAACTAACACTAACACACAACCTACAGTCTGGAACGCAGAGGATCACGTATGGAACGAGGTACGCTCGAGACTGTTCACCATAGAACTACAAGCTGAAACTAGCAGTACTACTCCCCAGGCATGGACCGCTGGGTGCACCTCGACTCGTGTGAAAATGCGCGCGACCAGCATCTTTTGTACGACGTAGGATGGGGCAAGAAGCAATCGTACATTCTTGCATTCGGCCCGGACGGCGCGCAAGACGTTTCGCGGGCATACATTAAGGATTTTGCCGCAGCTCTCCCGAGACGGAATCGAATTAGTGAAGGGGAACTCGAGAAGGCGTTGGCAGACGTCACCCGCGCGCGTAGAGCTGGGCTCAGCGCAGAACGATTGGCGGCGCTCGCTCGCGAGGATGAAGGAGAACGTCGTTTTATCTATGGGGAACAATTGGAGGATACGGAAGACTTGCCTGCAAGGCAGAGCGGGACAGCTGAATGGAAAGCAGCCAGAGGCGAAGACGGGAAACACAGCTCATGAAATTTCACAATCATGTTCAGTTTGATAGTCCGTTTATTCAAAAACGAAACAAAAACAACAAAAACGTTCACCGTAGAAATACAGCTTATGTATTGTGAAGGAGTTGAGAAAAAGAAAACAAAGTGTCCGTGAATTATTGCATGATTCCTTCACTGGTAGTACCCAGAATTACGGCGTGAGCTGGGCTGCGAACCATTTGGTACAAGCGAGGCGCCTGCTGGGGTTTGTTGAAGTAGCTGTGGCTGGGGTTGAGTATACTGGGAGAAAGCCTCGGGAGCGAAGCCCTGCGACGGTCCCGTACTTGCTCCAGAGAGATATAGCGACGGATCTCCAAAGCCGGCTGCACCCTGTGCACCCTGAGTCTGTGGATAGGCACTGACGGAAGAGGCAGCCATCAACGAGCTATACGTCGCATCGACTTCAAACGGAATATCGACCGCACCAGCCCCTCCAGCAGCATTGAACCCGTTGGCGGAATACGTGCCATAGTTGGACACACCTGTTCCCAGCCCAAAGTCAAAGCTGGCTTGTGGGTTCCCTAGCACGGCAGCATCCGATATACGGCGCTCACTCTCTCGCTGCTGGGCATATCCGGAGATACTGACCCCCGTCCCCGTCCCTGTTGTATCGTGGAAGCCAGGGAACAGCTGACCCTGGGATTGTGGATGACTAAGCCCAAAAGACGCCGGGTCCAATCCCGACTGAGGTAACAGACCCGTAGAAGTCGGATCGCCGCCGCCGAAGTCGAAGCCGGGAAACTCTGATAGGTCAGCCGTACCGGACAATTGGTTCGTTGGCGCTCGTTGGTTCTCGAGTAGAGGCAAGTGTGGGTTCGCGTGGATGGGCATTGGTTGAGCAATTGGATTTATGGGCATTTCATCGTTTAGATCCAATGCCTCAAAGTCGTGAAAGGCTGGAGTACCATGTGTTGAAGAGACGGGTGTATGTCCCGAATTGGCCACCGAGACCAAGGAGCCGAGAGAGTATTGAGAAGATGCATCTGTCAAGCTCGAGTCATAGCCCGAATAAGAGCTTGGGGTACGCATCGCGGCAAGCGTGTGAGGGTCGTTCCAAAACGCGCCAGGCGAAGTTGAGCGTCGCTCGAACAGGTCGGAGCCATATGCTGATGACCCATCATCTTGGGAAGCGACATGGTACAGCTGTTGATCCTCTTGGAACAAGCCAAACGCCGCTGGAAATCCGCGGACGCCTGGAAGGATCGAAGTGCGTGGACCCGTGAGTTCGTGTCGGAGGACGCGTGTTGCTTGCTGGTTCTGGGTCCAGTCGTTGCTCGCCACCCATTCGCCTGGAGTAGCGCTGATCTGAGGCAGTGGAAGATGCGGAGCGATCCCAATTCGCTTCCGGACGTCGTCCATCGTTTCGCCAGGGCGCATTCGAAGATCGGGTTGCTGTACAAAGAATCGCGGTACGGCGTTGAGTTCGAGAACCAAAGTCACCAGGGTCGGGGCCCTAACGTCCACCAAGGTCGCTGAACGAATAATGCTGAATGGCACTTCAATCTTGAAGGCCAGACCGGATGAACGAATAAACCAAGAGATGCACTGCCGAGCTTGTGACGTGTAGGCGAGCACCTCGTAATGCAGTGTCGAAGGGTTGATACGTGTCCAATGACCAATCTTGAGGTCAGAGCATGGAATTAAAGTGACCGCTGCGCACAAAAGAAGTTAGAGACTGCCAAGTGCACCTTGTGGTACAAACTATACTGACGTTCTTTTTCCCGGATAAGCTGTGCAATGTACGATTCCAGCTGCGCAGAGGATGGGAGGCCAGCCGCATCAAGCGGGTTTAGGTTTGGTGAAGGAGGTCTTTGCTCCTGGTGCTTTGCCTTTGCTCGTCTGTAAAATGCGATGAGATTCCGATTAGCGGGCGAGTCGAGGGGCGAGCAAAGGACGAGGGAGTTTGGGGGGAATGGGCGGTACCGACTGACCTGTTCTGAAACCATATTTGAGTCTGTCTCTCTTGCATTCCAAGTCGATCCGAGATTGCTTTACGCTGTGCGCCGGTCGGTGTTCGATTGATAGCAAACTCTTTTTCGAGTTCGACCAATTGCTCCGGAGTAACGCGGCTACGCTTTCGTTTCTCGGGTCTGTTCTTGAGTACACCATCTGCGTCTCTGTGAAGACCACCAGAGACACTCGATTGGCGGCGATGGGCACCTGAAGATGGATCTACCTGGGGTGCGTCTAGTCCACTCGCGGGATCAAACTCGTCTGCACTTTCATCAAAGTCTAGTTTGAGGTTTTTTGACGTTTCTGTCATTGTGTGCGTGAAGATACTGGAGATTGGAGAGTAGGAAATGGCGAGGGGGGTGGCTAGGTTCGGAAGCGGAGGGTAGAAACGAGAGTAGCAGAAACCAAACGTTTTAGAGGGGAGCGTGAGAAGTTGTGTGGGAGTAATCGACTGCCGCGGTGGAGACTAACGGGCGTTGGTCAACGCGACGTGAAGACGGCAGGGTCCGCGATAAAGCCTACCGATGGGATCTGGGTGTATATAAGGGATAGGCAGCGGAGAATCTCTCGTCTCCTGTCCGTCTGTGGGGGTGTTTCTGTCCGTGTCTGCTGTGGCGACGGCTGCTTTTGAGCACAAGGCGGCTCGGATGCCCAGACGGACGTTTACAATCGTTAAATCCGTGAGAATTGACGCCGAGGCAGTGACTGGCCAGGCAGTGTAGGATCTCCGCAGTGGTAACCTCGAACAAGACGGGTCGAAGTGTGTAGGTGCTTCCAAAGGCGCCGGCCTACCATGGCTTGTGGCTTACCCAAATGGCAAAGGATTCTCAAGGCAAAGTCATATTATCATGCAACAGGCTAGTATTGCAGCAGACCTACCAGCATATGCTGTCTACATACTTACAGAACCAAGAACAAGACACACACAGACAACGGGTCCACTGTGTTACTGATTACCCACCAGTCTCTGTACACGATTGGTGCCAGGCGCGCCGGTTGCCGTACAGTCAAATAGACCTCCGTGAGCTGGGAATGCGCTTGTTTAGGGCTTGTCGGCATGGGGGTCAATGAGTCTCCAGTCAGTATCTCCGGCGTTTTGGGTCGCTGTCGTAGCCGCCTTCGTACTCGCGCTTCATACCGCCCCCTCCAAACCCAGGACCACCCGGAGGTCCAAAGCCCGGAGGACCTCCACCTCCTCCAAACCCACCCTGTTGCATAGGATATCCACCTGGACCGCCTGGAGGTCCATTCGGTCCCGGTCCACCTGGTCCGTACCCGTTACCCATAGGCGGAGGGCCGCCTGGCCCACCAAAACCGGGGCCTTGTTGGAACCTGGAGCGGTGAGCAAGGTCCGACAGGGATGGATGGCCAAAAATACCTTGGGGGTCGATCTCCACCGCCACCTCGGAAGCCGCCGCGATCGTTGAACCCACCTCTGAAGCCTCCGCCCCCTCGAGGTCCTCCAAACCCACCTCTGTATAACGTTAGCGCTGAAAACGGATGTGAGATATATATATCTAACTAACCGGAAACCACCGCGGTCTCCAAATCCTCGACCGCCCCCCATGCCGCCGCGCATTCCACCCCCTCCTCCACCACGGAAAAAGTCGGGCTCTTTCTTGGGTCGACCACCGAGGCCACCTCCTAACCGACGAGGTTTCCATCCTCGGACGGTTCTGCCGCGCTCGACGTCGACTAGTATTCGCTTTCCTAGAAGCTGCATATGCTCGCCTTCTTTGTAGGCGACTAGACAGCGTTTAGTACCATCAAAAACTCCAAATTTCAAGGGCTTACCTTTCATATCACGCTCTCGTTCATAAACGATAAACGCATACCCTCGAGAGTTACCATTCTTGTTCTTCACAATCTTTATGCGCGCAATGACACCAAACATTTCGAATTCTCTTCGTAGATCGTTTTCTGTTGCTTTCTTGGGCTAGAGGAATAGAGTAGAGGAACGCGTGAAGAGTCCACCACGTTCAGCGTCAGCGAATGTGCGAATCTACCAACCGCGGCCATGCTCTCGAGAAGCAGACAGAGAAAAAGAAATACCAACCAAACGAGCAACAAATAACGTTTTGTAAGGGTCACCTTGAGCATCTGGATTATCCACAGGACGGTCTAAAATGCACCAGTGAGCACGGGCGTCGTTGCGCATGAAAAAGAGGCACGCACAATTGTTCACAGCATTCTTAAAGTCTTCGACCTTTTTCTTCTTCTTTTCTTCTCGTCGAATCTCGCGACGCGTTTCCTCTGCCAGGGTAAATTTCGAGTCCTCTTCTGTGACAGCGCCGGCCTCGTCCTCGGCTCTGCCTTGGTCAATGAGCCCGGCTGTATTCTCTTCTCTTATCGCGGCGAGGAGCGCTGCGACGCCCGTGACAGTTTTGGGACGAACAACATTTGGATCCTTGTCGATGGGACGCGCATATGGCAACGGTGGTCTCGGAGCGAATAATTTCAGGAGATTAGGAGGTAATAGATGCTAGAAGAAATACGTGTCAGCTAGGTGCAGCCGAGTTGGAAGAAAAGCAGCGTACGGTCATGGTTCAGAGACGTTCTCCACCTGCGTCGTCTCGCAAGTCGAGTAATTACTCGTGGGTGTGGTTATTTCTTTACCAGTATTAACGTGGTCAATCCCTTTACCACTCAGTTCATCATTCTCTCTCGACCACTTCTTGTGAGTTTCGAGGTTAACTCCAAACACGTCCAAATACAAACTCAAACTTACTCTTCAGCTTTTCTTTGTATTATTCAACTGTATGGCCGACGCCCGTCTCCCTAGTGTGAGAGCCACAGAACCCTGTTCGACGAATTCGCGCAAGTCCGAATCAGAAGACGACGAACTCGAGTCACCAACCACTCACTGCTTCGTATTGGGAACAAAACCGCGGAGAATATTGTCTCGTCGTCCAGTCTCGACCGACGTGCTCCACTGCCTCGACGTCGAGACCCTCAAGCTGTTCATGAATGGTCATAAGCGCACAATTACACCTCCAAGAAGTCAGTCTGCAGTAGACTTTCGGCATCTGGCGGCAAGGAATGCAAAGGTGGAGATTCCCCATCTCGGAACTCGGCGCATCTTTACACGTATGCCTTTGAGTATGCATCACATGAATAGCCCGTTGATCATCCTGTTTCAGCATCTCCACCTCCCCTTACCCTACTCTATGCGCCGCGAGCCAGTGGCGACTGTATGGATCTCGACCAAACTACTTCGCGTCTTTCGCCCGTACAACAGACTGGTGACATGGAACTTGATCAAAAGCCTGGTTTTCTCAAGCCGGTAGATCCCACCGCGACAAACAAGCCTGTGATCCTGTCTCAAGATTACAAGGGAACTGGGAGATATAGTACGGACGACGAGATGCATACGTCCGGTATTGACGAGGAGATATTGGGTGAACAAGGACCTGCATCCTTCTTCAACTCTCTTCGAAAGCGCTACTCGACATGCCTATCAACTCCGAAGAGCTTTGTATCTGCCAAATTTCTCTCGCAGCGTGACTTGGCACAGCTGGCTCGTCCTCCCCCATTGCACAAACCGTAAGAACCGTCAAGCCTACGTGCAGTAGTTTCAGCTTGCAAATATTCAGCTCGGTTCATTCATCAAGGCTCGCTCACTATCCTCAACGGGTCGCGCCGTTTCCGACCATCGTCATTCCTTTACTTTTCTATTACAATGAACTGGACACTGTCCACTTTGGAACATTCTGTGCTGAATTCATGACGTTCATGACTCTATCATGGTCCTCTTCGGCCTAAGAAAGTACGGCCCCTAGAAGGGTCGAAAACGCTCTTCCTTTTGATCTGACCTCGCCTCGCTCTCCCATAATGGTCAAACGAAGGTTTGCCCCTATCAAACCCTTGTCACCAACTTCGGCATCGATACTCGTGAGCTCGTAGCGTCCAAATGCCCAGTTTAGTATCATTATCGAGTTCACTCCGCCTTCTTCTGTGAGTTTGACGAATCCTTTGACGCGGTAGACGACCTCCTTGTTCAGGCTAGCCAAGGACTTTTCCAACTGTGCCCGGGTAAGCACGCTCACCGAGGTGACATCCGGTTGTTTGAGGTGCTCATCCGCATGCGTGTGTCCACAGGATTCGTTGTGGATGTGACCCATAGATGGCGAGGTTCCGCGAGTAATAGTAAACGTCTCGACTTCTTCTTGATGTTCACCGCAATATTCAAGGCACTATCCCCATCCGACGTGAGGAATAGTTTTGAGTCCAGGCCAAAGATAAGAGACGGGTCGACACCTGCGCGCCCATTGCATTTAATCTTTGGCGTCGACTCGTTGAGCGTAAACAAATGGTCCATGACAATGTCTAATTGTCGTTCTGATACGAGTTCCCACTTGTTCTATGAGCAGATAAGCGTCGACTAAGTCGAGGTAGGGTAGAACCCACAATGAGGAGAATGTCGGTATACGCTGCTTGCATCTTTGCAGTCGTCGATGTATCTTCGTATCCAGTAAAGTTTTCTGCGTCAATCACAGTTGCAATGGCGTCCAATTTAAACGCTCCATTGGTTTCCTTTTCCAACTCCCTTATCTGGAACGCGAGCGTGGCAGGGAACGCAGATCTAATAAAAAGTCAGGGAGCTAACTAAAGTCGTTTGAAGCGTACCCGGATGTTTCGATGATAATCCTGTCTGGATTGTAGGTCCTCTGCAGTCGTTTAGCATACGGTGTGAGACGGACAGAAAACTCACTCTGAATCTCCAATAATGCCGTTTTCATCTGCCCGACGAGAATGCAACACCTTTTGGTTGATGAGCTTTTGGACATCGGAAAAGGGGGTCGCGCACATGCATCCATTGAGGATCTCCGATACAGCCGCAAGAGACGATTGCTTTGCAAGTTGTGAATCGACTACATAGATTAACCTTGTGCCACAATGCCGTGAAAAGCTAGACCTTCGACATCTCCGAATTCATTCTTCAACAGGACAACCTTATAATCTCTCGGGAGCTACAAGATGAGCGAGGGTTCCGATAACACGCGAATGAATACCTGAGGTAACAGGGATAAGATTGTAGTCGTTTTCCCGGATCTAGAGAGAACCGACGAATCAGAAGAAAATCAATGCCACATTTGTTGAGTATACCCGAGGAACCCTGTAGGACCATTGACCGATGTTCCTTCAACAACTGAAAATCAGGACGGTTGTGAGCTTCTGACCGGTGAATACGGTGATAGGGATTGGCTTCATAGTGGTAGTAGAGGTCAAGTTATTGGGGGCCAACTCTGCAATCTATTTGCACACTCTATCTCTTGAATAGGCCTTTCATGACTCTCGTGACAGGCTGTAGGAACCGTCTTGAGAATGCCGGGGAGAGGTATAGCGACGCGCCAATGCGCACAGGAAGTAGAGCCTTCAAAGTATGTAAGTACTATAAAAGATATTAAGGAGAGCTGCATACCTTGACCACTATGTATGCAAAGGCTCCGTTGGCAACTTCACGTGCGACCGCGTCTCCAAGCTTGCCCAGATCCTCTTCCGTGACTTTTTGTCCCTTTTCAAATCCAAATACGCCATATCTTGCGCCCACTCTAACCATTCTCCGCTCCCCTTCTTTGGCCCACGTTGCGAGCGTCTCATTAATCACTCCAGAGTCTTTGGGCTCCTCAATGTCATCCTTTCCTTTCTTAGGAAGGTACTTCATCATTTGGTCTCCAACTCCAAAGGTTCTAGCTCCCCAGTACACGCCGACGAGCGGCACGAGCGCCGTGAGTTCATGAAGGATTGCAAACGACACAGCTAGTGAGGTGATAGGTGTCCCTGTTCGTGCGGACAATCTCTGAAGAGCGGCCGTATACCCCTTGAGGCGGTCTGGTATTCGCGGCGTGGATTGTGGTTCCATTACAAGATGCAACTACCGTTGCGGTACCAGCGCGTCTTCACTATCTTCATCCTCCTCTTCACTATCTTCTTCCTCATCAGTCTCTTCTTCACTCTCCTCCTCTTCCTCGCTTGCTTCTGGCTGAGACCTCGCTACTGTTGCTGCAGCGCGAGCCGCGACTGGCCTCGCCTCTGTTTCATCAGCGTAGAATGAATCAAGATCTTTCCATTTCGATGTGGATCCCGACGGTGTATTCGTTCCCGAAGGAGCCAACGATCCCGTTGGCACCGGTGAGACTCCGCCCATAGGCGAATTCCCAAAGCCTTGCATCGTAGTCCTTTTTTCGATTGGGACAGAGTATGCGGCCAGGGGAGGAGCCTGCTTATCTTCCTGCGAAAAGGTGAGTATCCTTGATTCTCTCTCATTCTGAAGCGTACCGGAGAATCTCGTAGCGAACCTTCTGTCCCTTTTTCCTCCCAGGGTGGGAGGACCCAAGACGAGGACATCATCTTTCCTGTAACAAGTGCCATTGATCCTAGCGTCATGGTAGGATCTGTAGGCAAGATCAGTGAAGGAACAGTGGCGCTAGTGCATCTCGCTCACCGATTGGGTCCTCTTCCTCTTCAGAAGGAACCTTGCCTCGGAATAGAATCATTTGAACTTGTGGAGCTCGAAGAGTGATGACTCCGCGACCAGCCTCTTCGCTACCATCCTCCTCAGCTACCCCATTGCTTTGCATCATTTCACTTCGCAAAACTGGCGAAATATCTGAGAGTAGTGTGGACAGCATTCTACCACGATCTCTCACGTCGTAGTCTTCGTCAAACCTCGCCAGGTTGAGACAATAAAGGGTCATTTTGCCTATCACGTCGGTTTCAGGAGACAACGAGAGTAATTTGGCGGAGAGGGTCATCGTTTGTAGCTTGACGACTTTGTACTGGGCTGATATCAGGTATCCTTTCCTCTGGGCCAAAAGACGAACTTACGTCCTTTGTAAAAGACTTCAATGCTCGACGAAGTACGTCCGGCGCCCAGTTTTCGATTCCTGGAATGGTCACCGATTCACTCGTAGTACGAGCGTATTGACCAACAAGCCATATTACACACGCCTTTGCCCGCGGATGCTTGACATCGTCAAACTGGGAGGCGAGAGATGCAATGATCTCGCTTGGGCTCTGTATTGATGCTATTCCTTCAACAATAGTAGTTCCAGAAGTCGTGGAGTTGAGTTGGACAAGGTCCTTGAGGACGCGCACGGCGCCGCTACCTACTGCATCTAAATGAACGTCAATAGAGTGCAGAGGATGTCTGAAACGGATTTACCATGGCTATCTTTCATGAGCGAGATGAGAACATTTATGCATCTCGAAGTATATTCTGGGAGGAGTCGTGCACATGTTCCAATGGCGTTGACAGCCGCCGCTGCCACTGAATCATCACGGTCCTTCACATACTCCTAAGGAGAATTCAGTCGAATGCTTCGTACAAAGGGGATACTCACGCCGAACTCGCCCAGGAGCGCTCCAGCATTTTCAGATTTCATGATTTTCACGAGGTTTTGAGCTTGGCAAGTTTGGTAGATGTCGCGTCTGATGAGCGTAGGAGAAGTCTGCTGTAGTGCGGTGCCATTAGGTTCTAACGTAAATTCAGTCAGAGATACAGCGGAAAATAGCTGACCTACGGGTGATGCGCGAGAAATGAGGTAGAGCTCTTCTACGACGACACGTTCCACTTCGGGAGATGTATGCAGTAGTTTGAGGAGAGGAGAGACCGCCTTTGTGGTTTGTGAAGGTGGAGCAAGGTAATAGATTCCTCGACTGGCAGCCATTACAACCTAAGCGGAGCTCAGTGCCCATTGAAGTATATGTGGTGCAGACCTACAGCTGCATTCCTACTCAGAAGGAGAGGTTCAACGCCAGTAAGGAGTAATTGCAAGTCCGGATCAACAGTTTCAACAACCGAATTACTCTACCGCAGAGATAAGTCACTATCATCAAGTTGATTACTACTCACGTAGTCTTCACGAACTATCGGCTGTGGCAACATCCGACGAGCATAACGAACCAACAAATTGACAATGGTAACCTGTCCCCATTCATCTGCATCTGGTAGGAGCCTGCAGAGTCGCCGATAATGTGGATGTAAAAGATCCAGTCGCTCCGGACAGACGGCATTAAATGCCACCAGCACGGTTCCAATGGCCAGAGGGGAACGCTCGTTGAGCAAAGAAATGAGTATAGTCATGAGCTCCCGACGCTGCGAGTCATCTAGGCTGCAAATATGAAGTTTGCGTCCAGTGGTTTAGGATGAGGCCTTACACACCTCAGGCACTTTGGAATTGCCAATGCTGCCGTCTTTCTGACATACGGACTGACGTCTGACGCACACTTTTTGATAGCAAGCACGACAATAGACCCAATCATAGAAACCCGAATCCCAGACAGCACTCGAAGCGCCATGGCTCGGATAAGTGGATTACTATCTGTGAGATCCTTCTGAAATGTGTTCTTTTTGAGTGGTAAGCGTTTGGAAGAATGTAAAGCAGACTCGACGAACAATGCTGAGCAAAGCTAGGTCGGGCTCTGATTCTGCATAGCGCAAGATGTAGATGTAGACCAGTTTCCTGACTTCAAGGTTGTGCGATGCAACATTCTTGACGACTTGGGCAAAGAACTCGGATACATTTCGACCTTTTGAGATCATCTTGTCCGGTCAACGACGCTTCGTGGGCCAAATCAAGATTATATACCGCAATAAGCCGTCTGAGCGCATCAATCTTTTCTCTATCACTCGTCGAGTCGAGCTGCTTGCGGACATCGGTGAGTCTGTCGTCTGGACTGTCAAACAGAGCCGCAGTACTCGATCCAAAGTCTCGAGTGAGATGCTCTGAGAGTGATTCCTGTATCCTCATCCCCAGCCTTGCTGCATTTTCCTGGAAAGCATTGACGGGCAGAGTGGCCATGAGTCGTCGTTGGCGTCAAGCCTCTCTTAGACCTTTCCTTGACTGCGTTATCGCCGTTCATCAAAGTAGACGTTACAGAATTCTAGAAGTTTGCCAGACTTTCTCTTCTTTGCATCCCTTTTCTCCCAGTGCCCAACGATTCCGAAATGGGACCGTGATTGGGCACTGACGCCGGCGCGCTTGAAGTTCAATAGATGACCGCTGTTCATCCAAAAGGTATTATAGGCACCGTATGGCACTTGGCACCACTTTCACACCCCCGTCTCCACTCAGCCTCAAACCTTGGTCTCCTCCCTTGCCAGTGACTTTGGCCGTTCGGACATGCTCTCCTCGTTACAATTCGCTGTTCTATCCCTGCTACTCGCCGTTTCATTTCTCGAGCTTGCAAGAGGGGCTATTCCGGTTCAAGGCGGCGATTTTTATCTTCCAGGGCGAGGTCCAAGCGGCGCAGTCAAAGAAGCAAAGCGAACTGGTCACAATCTAAGCTCTCGAGCTCCTGGAGATGATCCCCAGTCGTCTTTGAGTACGACAGCATATATGACGCTCACCCACGGCCTAACGTTCACACAGCGCTCAACGAGACACAAGTGCAGCAAGCCCTTACGAACAGCGGTCTCAACGCCAGTGACCCTGCCTTGACAGCATCTCTCACGTCGGAGAACAATTTGTGCGCATTCCTGCGCTCACTGCGAGATGGGTGACTGATAGCTCACTTAGTATCAACTTTTGTATGACCCAAGATGTCGCCCTGACCAATGGCGCCCAGAATGCGAACGGGTCCTGCAATCCGACACCGGTGGGTCTCACCTCCCGTTTCTATTCATTAGTCCCGCGCTTAATGATCCCGGCGCGCAGATGGGCCGTCTACTTGCTCGGAACAAAATGCCCTCTTCAAAGTTCAAGTACCCAAAAAACGGGTCCCTGCTAATTGCAAACACCACGTTTACCGTCCAGCTGACCGTTCGTAATTTTGAGGTTCGTTATTGAGTTTTGCATATGGTCCCTCACTAATCCTTTGAGAAGACTGGCTTGTATTCCAATGCGGAGACCAACTTTTTCTCAGCGCCACAGACAACCAATGCTGATGGATTCCTGCGGGGACATAGCCATATCGTTATCGAAAAAGTCGCTTCCTACACCTCTGAGGAGCCCTTGGACCCTTCTGTTTTTACCTTCTTCAAAGCAATGAACGCCGAGGCCGATAACAATGTTCTATCGGTCACCGTCACGAATGGCCTACAACCCGGCGTGTACAGACTGGCATCCGTACGTTATCCACACGTTCATCTTCAAATTTCGCTCATTTTCATATCAGATCAGTACGGCCATTAATCATCAGCCTGTCCTGATAGGGGTTGCCCGTACGTCCATACCCATCTCCAGGCGCTCATCTCACATGAATTTGAAGAGCATGGTCATGTCGATGATATGGTTTACTTCCGTGTCGCTTCGGGGGTGAGTATAGTGTACTGAGTATAGTGCCTGGCTGATCGCTCTTAGGTTGTTCTGCAATAATTTCGGCTCATACATTGTTCGTTCCATTCTTTACTTCCGAGTTACACTCGTTAGACTCCCAGGAGATTATGTAAAGCATAATGATGTAAATATACACGATCGAGTTACTTGATAAACTTGTGCATGAATTTTCTGCAACCCCATTAGTCGGAATTATGATCAGAAAGCAACGCGTACCGATGAAATTCTGTCCGTAGGAGGTCGTTGACAAACTGGCCGCTCGGTTTATCGCTTTGGCCGTTGGCTTGGTTTTTAAAGATGAGGTCTATCAAAGAGAATGAACAAGAGATATGAACAGATATGGAGAGGAATTGACCATCGTCCCAACGTTTCTTGACTGCAAAGGAGCCACTGGCTGATGATGAGCCTCCTTTACCGAGAGCGGCTTGCAAATTCAGGAGAGGGTTGGCTGTAGCGATCTGCTCCTCTCTTTCGGCATCATGAGCAGCTTGTGCGGCTTGCTCCTGTGATGGCTTGTCAAAATTAGATCGGATATCTCGAAATTGGACAAACCTTGCGAGCTTGCTCTTCAGCTCTTTCTCTCCTAATCTTCTCTAGTTCTCGAAGTAGTTCAGCAGACTCGTCCTCGTCTTCTTCGTCGGAATCTTCATCCTCGTCACTATTGCCAACGAGCGTTAGCGAGACACGCCGTCGTAAAAAGAAGCATACATACCTGCTTTCTCCAGATGCGTCAGCGTTCTTTGCAGCTCCAGGCTTTTCGCTCTCCTCATCGTCTTCATCGTCGTCTTTGTCGAGCGCAATAGCTTCTAGAAGCTTGCGTCGTTTGACTTCTTCCGGGTTTCTGTCCTCAACATCTGCCAGTAGCTTTGGTTGGTCGTCTTCATCCATCGCCGTATCGTCGACATGTCCAGCAGCCTTGCGTTTCCTCGCGCGCGCCTCTGCCTCTGCTTTTTCAAGCTGGGCTTTCAAGTCGCGTTTCTCAATCTCGTTGCTTCCTCCTTGACCGGGCTGGCGAAACTTTAGCTTTGTATGCGACGCAACATCGCGTGTGGAGAATTGTCTTGAGCCGCCTTTGACCTACAATTTATTTGCAACCAAAGCGAGTCAGCCAATGTCCATTTCTCTCCTTGATTATGACACTGACCTCCTTTCCAATGGCTGGATTCCACGTCGGTCGGTGTGCGGTGGACATGGCGGAATTCAAGGCTTTGCCACTGACCATGTCTACGACTGGCCTCCTTCCGTACCAAAATGCCATTCTCTCCGTCACATATAGCCAAGATTCGTCAGATTTGGTAATTATGGCCCGTGGTTTGGGCATGCGTAAGATTATCTGCACTTTGTTGCAAACCTGGGCAAGCCCATCGTGTCTCGTCTTGCTTGTCGGCGCTACATCTGCAGAGGAAGCGGGTTTGGGTGAAGAGCTGAGCGTCATGGGGTACCGCGACCCAGGACTGCGCTTGGTCACGTTTGAAATGGATCGAGCAGAGAGGTGAATGCGCTATCAACACTCCAGGTCGATGGATTGTCTCACTCCCATGCAAGGCGAAACTTGTATCGTCAGGGCGGTCTCATTTCCGTCACCTCTCGCATCCTAGTCGTCGACATGCTCTTGGAGGATATTCCCATTGATTTTATTGGTGGAATGGTGGTACTCCACGCAGAAAAGTGAGCTTGATGTTCGGTGTCACATCCTATTCTTACCTCGACCAGAGTTTCGCCACAATCGACAGAGGCCTTTATCATTCGTTTATACCGACAGAAGAACAGCAAAGGATTTATCAAAGCTTTCACGGATGAGCCAGAAAACCTCACTGTAGGCTTTTCACCACTCAAGGATGTGATGAAGGAGTTGCAGCTCCGTAATGTGCACATCTTTCCGAGGTATATACGCCGTATACCTCTTTCACATCTACTCAATCTCATAGATTTCATGAAGACGTGAAACGATCCCTCACAAGACGAAAAGCAGACGTCATCCAACTTGCCGTCCCTATGACACCGAACATGAAGGACATTCATGGGGCAATCATTCAATGCATTGTAGCCACGCTCTCAGACCTAAAACGCAGTAATACAGAAGTAGGTGCTATCTCATCTCACGCGTCTTAAATCTGACCAAATGGAAGCTCAACCTCGACGACTTGGATGTCCAAAGTGCCTACTTCCGCAACTTTGACCTGATCGCTCGAAAGCAACTCAATTCTGTCTGGCATAGAGTTGGTTTCAGAACGAAGCAGCTCGTGGGCGATCTTGCCACCCTTCGACGATTACTGATGTGAGATAGCTTTCTTGGGTCGATTGGTGCTGACATGTCTGCAGCTATCTTCTGTCTTATGACCCCATCTCTTTTCAAACATATATAGAAACTATAATCGCATCCAACTCTACGACGGCATCTGGTCGACCCTATCATGATCGAAGTGCATGGCTTTCGTCTGATCCAGCGCACATTATCTTTCAAGCTGCCCGTCGACGTTGCTTTGTCTCGACAAAAGCCAAAACACCGAATCAGCCTAGTCGTGACGATGCTTGGGATGTTTTGGACGAAGTTGATGGCACCATCGGCGCCCCGGTGCGTCCTAAATGGCTTCCCGACAATATAGAGCCTGTGCTGGAGGAGCTTCCTAAGTGGGAGTATCTATCAGAGATTCTTACTGAAATCGAGGATCTATCGATGAGACACCCAATACCTCAAGGTAACTTTGATAATTACTTCGACCGAGCTCATATAAATAATAGAGAATCCTGGATCAAATGCCGTACTGATCATGTGCTCTTCGGAGCGCACATGCACCGAAATCAGAGAATACCTCTCAACGATAAACCCACTGGCCGAGCCAGGCACGAAAGGTCGAAAGTTTATGGAAACGCGACTCCGCTCGTACTTATATTGGAAGGGTCGACTCGGTGGCTCAGGTCAGAAAGCTGGAAATGATGGATCGGAGGCAGTCCAAAAAGAACCAGCTGCGGGTCAAGATGATGGTATTAGCGAAGCTCTGAAGAGGAAGAATGCTCGAATGAAAGAGCGACAAGCCAGTAGACGTCGAGTTCGTGGTGGCCCCGCAAACATGGTTGTGGAAGGGCGAACGCCGACTGAGCGTGCCATTGATCCAAATGCACGTAGCGGTGCCATGGGTGGAGAGGGTGTTGTCAAAGAAGCCGATGAGCTGGCCCTATTGTAGGCGTCTTCTCAATTTGCTCGACCATAGCTGATATTGGTACAGTTTTGATGGACAAGACGAGACTACAAATACGGTATTTGTACCAGATGTGGGGCAGCTCACGCAAATGGCACTTGAAGCGGACGATTTTGACGAGCACTATGGACTTGTTCAACCAGAACAATTGATCATTGTGCGTTCGTACTCGGACGATACAGATGACAGGGTCCTTTCAGACTTGATGCCACGCTTTATCATTCTCTTCGAGCCCAACCTGCAGTTCGTCCGACGCATCGAGGTCTACAAGGCATCTAATCCAGGTCTGACGGTGCGCGTATATATCCAAGTGTGGGACACCAGTGCGGAGGAAGAGATGTACCTTGCAGAGATGAGGAGGGAGAAGGAAGCGTTTGAGCATCTCATTCGGGAACGGGCTGTCAGTCCCTCTTGATATTATTGTGCAGTCAACTCACACTTAGTCCAGAGCATGGTCCTGGTGATCCAAGAAAGGCCGAGTGATGCACAAGCACGGACGAACTCTATGATTCGAACAATCAGCACCCGAAATGCGGGGGGCAAAACTCTTGAAACCGGACGTCCTCTGGTACACCTGGTGCTCATGGGTATGACCCGCACTCACTCGAAAATAGGTTGTTGTGGATATGAGAGAATTCCGATCCTCCTTGCCGGGACTGTTACATGTCGGGGGGCTAGACATTCACCCAATCACTCTGACAGTTGGCGACTATGTATTGACCCCAGATATGGTCGTTGAGAGGAAGAGTATACCCGATCTTATTGCCAGCTTTAATAGTGGTCGATTGTGAGTGCGTTCTTTTCCCGGTACCCTATGTTCATCACTGGCCAGATACACACAATGCGAGATGATGTCGACTCACTATAAAGAGCCACTATTGTTGATAGAATTCGAGCAAGACAAGTCGTTTGCCTTTCAGGTGTGCTCCCACCTTATCCCTGTCATCTCCGTGCTAAGACGTCCTAGACCCTTATGAATGCCAAAAGTGGAGCCCAGTCTACTGGGAAGTACAATTCGAAGAAGCCAGGTACTGGAGTCCCAGATGCCGATCAGATGGAGGGCGCGAACATACAATCGAAGCTGGTGCTGCTCACGTTGACCTTTCCCCGCCTTCGAATAATCTGGTCCTCGTCACCGTACGCCACTGCAGAAATATTTGCCGACCTAAAGAACAACAATAAAGAACCCGACCCGAAGAGAGCCGCAAGCATTGGTGCAGAGGAAGAAGGACTAGACTCTGCGGGTGTCAACGTTGCTGCTGAGGAGCTCTTAAGAGCACTTCCAGGTATCACGGCGAGAAACGTTCGTCATGTGATGAGTATGGTTGGGAGCGTTCGTGAGCTGTGCGAGTTGGATTTAGCTGGCGTACGAGCAATATTGGGCATTGAAGCTGGTAAAACCTTGTACGAATTTCTACATCGTGGATCCAAGTAGGTCAGTTATTGGGCGCTGTTATTGTAACCTAGACTTGGATCTTTCCACTCCGGGCAATTTAGCCTTGACAAATGAACTACTTCGCAACATTATTATCTAATCAACCGCAAATAAAATCCAATCAAGATCCGTTAGGGGATTTCAACCGTTCATGGCTGATCATCAAAGTTGTCAAGCTCTCTGCGCTAGGATCTCCAACTTACAGACTCTTAGAGCACACTACAACATCCTGATGAAAGACAATTGTCTCGTGGTATCAATGCAACTGATGTTCCTGCGAGGCTACGTGCTCTGGGAGATGCACTGGTTCATGAAGCCGCTATTCCAGAGTATGAAGGGTAAGTGCGGGCTCATAAAGTTAATTATGACATCTTATCTCCCTCAAAGAGGCACAGGTCCATGCATGGAATACCTTCTCAAAAACGGTCAGTCAATCGGGTCGTTGAATAAACTTTAACTGATAGCATACAGATGTTCTAGGGACGTTGGTTCGTCTCAGTGAACCAGACCGGCCTGCCGGAGTCCTTGCAGAGGTTCTGCGAACCGTATCGAATATGGTTGTCCTGCTGGACGAGCAATTCTTGATCCATTCGGCTGTCCACAAAGCAATCATACGTCTCCTTCGAGCGTGTACTGGTGACGAATTCCAAGACAAAGTTGATGGCAAGAATCGAGTGGTTGGTGCAGCCGCAGAGGTCTTGCGAGCACCCCCTTCCGACTATGAGTTGGATCGTGAGCTATACCGTCCATAAAAGCCTGGGTCTAACGCATGTCTTAGTGGTAGATCTTTTATGCGTGCTTTGTAGCCGTATTCGCACCTACCGGCAATTGCTGTTGATCTTCTTCCACGACAAGAATTGGTTTCCATCCAACCTTACAACTCAGGATGAGGAGAACAAAGACTTGGATGAGGATGAAGAAGAGGAAGAAGATGCCTCTCCGTCGCCAGTCGACTCCAATTCTACAATCACCTCCGTGCCTTCACCAAAGAAACCGGAATACGAATTTCTTCTCTTCAACTACCTTCTTCGCTATGTTCATCGAGAAGGCCGTATCGGCGACTTTGCTAGAGCGGGAGTACTCTTTCTAATGGATGTCGCTATGGGTGCCCCATCGGGAGACTCAAGGCAGCTGCAGGAAGTGGATGAAGGTGACCAGCGTAGATCTGTCGCCGATCCTATTGGAGATGCTTCATTAGCTCTCGCAGAGTATGTCCTTGACGGGGACTTTGCTGACGTGCTTGGAGCGGGCTTGGTGGCCGTGTATTCTCTACTGCCATCAAAGCTGGAAGTGAGGAGGACGGTACCTCTGATGAAAACGGAGGAGGTATGTCGCTTGGAGCAAGGCTCGAAGAGACACGACTGGAGAAAGATGAAGAGCTGGAAAAGGCAAGAACCTTCGGCCTGGAGTCGTCTGCGGATCCGACGTTCCAATCTCGACTGGATCATTTCCTAAAGATCATCGAATTTCTTCAAGACGTCTTTCGACGGACAGTCCAACAAACTGCAGATAGACTGGAGGCTTGTGCTTTGGTTGGCGCCGCTATATCCACTTCGATCCTCCAGTCCATCAAGTCCATATTCCTGGAGAATGTCCTCTATCCATCGATTTTGGAGTCTTCGGATACAGACGGAAGCGCTGTCGCCGTCGTGTCGTACATCGACATGATGTTGAAGACACTGCCGGATGGTCCCTTTGCGGAGCTTCTAATCGATTTCTTAATGAACGAGGATGAGTCTGAGGCACCCAAACCTTCTCCTCGCGTACCACCAAGTCGCAACCCTCGGGAAGCCAAATTGAGGAAACGGAAGAGTAGTGCGATGATGCTCCTTGAGCTCGACGCGCCAAAGGATAGGAGACAGTCAACATACTTTGCCTCACTGGGTCGTTTCACGCTGAAAGATCTCGTCTTCTCCAACTTGAGGTCACAAGCAGACGCGTCTTCTGCGGCCGTGCTACAGCTGCTACAAACTCTCCTTCAGCGCCATCCTCGTCTTACGACAGATCGTCTCCTCTCAACCTTCGGTCCAGTAGAAGTAGTCAGAGGCGACGAACTGCCACCCTCGCCTCAGTCGGACGAAGAGACATTTACGTATCCGGGCTCAGGTACGGCCAATGATACTACTCGTATCATTATGCGGACAGAGACCACACTTTTCGCACATGAGCGCGAGCTAGGCCTTTATCTTAACCTCGTCTCGAGAGTAGATCCGACGTACGATGGTGATGACTTCAGCACTGGATACGACAATTACCTTCGAGATGCTCTTGAAGCGATTCAGATGCAGCAGGAGTTGATTACTCCGCATGATGGGACTACCTCAATGCTGAAGTATCGCCTGAACGCCGACGACACGCTTCTCAGCCTACTGCTTCAATCTCTGAGAACTTTCTTTGCGCATTCAGTGGAGTACAACGTTGCATTGACGGGCACTTTGGCGGCAATAGCCTCGTGCCCAACACGCTCGTTGGCTGGATGGATGACATTTGCTCCTCCACCACAAGAAAAAGATATCAAGGAAGAAATAGACTCACTGGATCTTCAAGACGATGGAGACGACCGCTCTATCGACCTCAGGTTTGAGCAAGGAACGCTCACCATCTCACAGGACCTTAGTATCTACGACGCCAAATCACCGATACTACATGATATCCTACGAAGCCTTGTCCTGCAAATCGACAGATATCGACATAAAGTCGACGGGTTCGATGATTATCTCAAGGAGCGGCGACAAGGTCTCATGTTCTCCGAGAATCTTACCGATGCGCTCAACCTGTCTATCGAACTCGATGCGGACAGCTCGTTCTTTTCTACCATCAGAAATACGCTCTCGACTCCCAGCAAGCAATTGCCCGATACCGGAACAGCGACGCCACCTCAATCTCGCAGCTTTACCTCACTTATCCCCTCATTCTTTACGCCCAAGAAAGAAAGGCCTTCTCCACTCGCGGCATCGCATTCATCGCCGGCAATGGACCGCTCAGCCTCGGACAAGGACAAGGAGATCAAATTAGCAGCCAGTCCATTTGGTCAACACTATAAGAAGACATGTAGTATATCTGTTCAACCCTTGTTGGTTGAGAACTCTCCAGAAGGATCGATTCCTCAGGAATCGGAGGAGAATGAGGAAGGTGGCGAGGCAGAAGACGTGTTCTCACCGCAGTGGAATGCAAGGCGGAGACAAACAGCTGTGCAGAGGATCACACTCTCACAATTGTTGGATAATGTTGTGATCATGGAGGAGTTTATGAAGGAGTTATCTGCAATCATCCAAATGCGACGAAGCATTGGCATTGATTCGGTTCGCTATGTATAATAATATTTGGCTAGTGATGTCCAGCTTGGAGTCGACCACGACTACTTTGTACCCTGAATGGCCCAGAAGCGCGGAATACATGACGTGGATCAAGATCCAATAACGAAATTAGAAGAGGAAGTTCGGTTTGGTCCACGAAGACGACTGGAATCTAGTCACGAGCTCGGCCAAAAGCTAGAGTTGCCCTCAAAATCAACACCTCCCACCCAAGTCGCATTCCAGAAGCCATATCAACTCGTATCGTTCTCATATACACCCCAGAGAGAGCTGGTGTTCAACGACTCGGCATTGCGATTTTGGGTCGAGCCTCCCCGGAATGCAGACCTCAACTATCGGTATGCCCATTGGATAAAGAGAAAGGAGGAGAGAGGTAGACTGGATGGATTGCTAAAGGCGGCTATTCATGCGCGATGTGACGAGACTAGAAGTCGTGCTCGCACCATTTGTTGGAGAGGTGTCCTATGCAAGTGAGTTATGTCGCTATAAAACGTCTTTATTTGATGATACCAGGATTCTAATCGCGCCGTACGAGGAACGGGATAAATGGGAACTCAATGTAATGCGACTCGGGGATACAATATACCTTGAGGAACACGCCACAGATCAAGCTCTGGCACAAAAGTAAGACAAATCTTGCTTCCCCGCCTATCTCACGGACCACAGAGAAAATATGAACGAACATCAGCGTAAGCAGACATATTACGGGTACTGAAATTCCATATCAGACACTCAAAGACTCACTCACGATTAGTTATTCCTTTGAATCATGGTGTACGGACGTCCGTCCGCGGGGACACGACCAACAACCACGCTGGGGTGGTGATGTGGACACCAATGTGCAATGGTGCTCTGTAGTCAAAACGAAAATAGGTCAACATCGGCTGCTCATAGGCGGGGAGGTAGATTGCGTACGTGGTAAGGGAGGCGACCTCTCGCCGCTATGGATGTTCACATATATGCAGGCCGATATACCGAACAGCCAGATACCTTTGTTGAGCTCAAGACCTCGATGACCATTCGCCCAGGCAATGGCTGGGACGAAGCAAAGTTTGAAAAGTTAGACGGGCTCGGTCTTCCGTTTCCGCTTCTAATTGACTTGCCAGGAAGCTGCTCAAGTTTTATTTTCAATCATTTCTACTGGGAGTCCCAGAGATTGTGGTGGGCTTCAGAACGCCACAAGGTCGGTTGCAGACTGTGCAAACGTTTAAAACGCTTGAAATTCCTCGTATGGTCCGGGGTAAGCCGAGTGAATGGAACCCCGGCGTGTGTCTCTCTTGGGGAGACAACTTCATATCCCAAGTGATCGAATGGGCAAGCAAACTCACATGTACGCTGGAGAGGGCTCAGGTCGGGCGAATCTCCTTTGAGCCAGGGGTCGGAATGAGATTCAACATGCTGTCCGAAGCGGAAATAGAGGAGGTTCGAGACGGAGAAGATCGCATAGGCTTTCTTCCTACATGGTTTGTGGAACATTGCTTGGCTCCTCCAAAGCCGAGTCTGTCTGACGAAGGACGAACACTATGAGTACATCTTAGAGTAATTTGGAACCGCAATTGAATTGAATTGCGTCAAACTTCACTTGCCGTCCGCTGATTTGATCCGGTTATCATGTGCCCGGGACCTCTGCTTGGTTCGTCGATTCTTGGACACTAACCACAACCTTGCCACGATGGGTTCCCAGTCCAAGCCGGTTCAACAACTCACGCCGTTTGGACATGCGCTTGCTGGTGCGCAACTCTCTTTCTCCCTCGTTCCTGCGATTGTCTGAAATGTCCGATAGGTGCTCTGGGAGGCGTCTTTTCCAATGCGTATGTACCCCATGTATCGTTTCAAATGGCTACTGATCGGTTTCCCTGCAAGCGTCGTATATCCGCTTGATACGTGAGTGACGTCCTGTTCACTCAGCCTTCTATGCTCAAACCAGTGCAGCGTAAAGACCCGGATCCAAGCAACGTCGAGTGATGAATCAAGGAGGAAAGGGAAATCAGTCCAGTCGACGTCAATCACTTCGCTCCTACTGCAAATTCTCAAGCAGGAAGGGGTCGCCGGTTTCTACAAGGGATTTGGTGCCAGCATGCTCAACACATTCTCAATGCGTACGTACTGAGGTAGTGTATTTACAGCACCTGACGTTTGCTAGAATATGCATATTTCTTCTTTTACAGTTTTGTGCGCTCGACATATATTAAACGAACAACAAAAGCAGGAAAGAAGCCAGAGGCACTCTCAACAGCCGTTGAACTCATTTTGGGTGCCGTAGCTGGGGCACTAGCGCAGATATTCACAATTCCAGTATCCGTGATTGCGACTCGCCAGCAAATTGGACGGTCGGTAGCCGTCAAAAAATCCAACTCGCTACCGTCTATTCCCACACCGCGCTCTCAAGATCAACCATCACCTTCAGAACAAGTAACACTTCCTTCGGTGATTCAAGTCGAGCAGTCTGTCGAGGAGAGTCCTGTTGAGCGAACAACGGACGACTCGTTCTTGGCTGTAGCACGTGAAATCATTCAAGAGGATGGGGTTACTGGCCTATGGCTGGGTATCCATTCAAGCCTGGTACTCACTGTGAATCCAGCAATTACCTATGGTGTTTTCGAGCGCGTCAAGTCGATATTTACTCTAGGAGATCCAACGGTCAAAATGGGTCCCTGGAGAGCATTCCTTGTGGGTGCCTTGTCGAAGACACTGGCCACGATAGTGAGTCAAATAGTCAAGTAAGAATCCCGTCTAATCCATATAGGTCACATATCCATACATCATGGCCAAAGTTCGTGTACAGGCCCACGGTTCCAAGCTAGAAAGCTCGGAGAAGGGATCCACCACGGCTGCGCCAAAATACAATGGTGCATTGGATGTACTGAGAAAGGTTTACAAGTCAGACGGCATTATTGGTTGGTACCAGGTACGATATATCCGATCCGAATGAGGCCGGGTATTGATCCATCTATAGGGAATGAGCGCTCAGATCCTCAAGGCCGTTCTCGCACAAGCATTCCTTTTCATGACCAAGGAGCAATTCGAGCAATATGCGCTTATTATCATGGTTGCATGGGGGAGATTGAGGAATGCGTCACCGGCGTGACAAGAAACAGTTACAATATATCCATGCATTATATACAGTCCAAAATCTCTTTGTTCCATCTGTTTGTGAGAGCTCGGGCTGGCAAGCCCGAAGCAATTCGCCGGCTTGCTCCCAACGATCACTTTCTTTACCAGAGCCACTATTTGCTCCATCTCTGTACGCCCTCTGAGAGATCCAAGAAGCAAAGGATACCATGTATCAACAAGGATATGGCCAACCGATGCAGCAGCAAGGCTACGGAATGCAGCAGCAGCCGCAACAACAGCAATGGGTGCACATCGACCAGCATAACAATATTCTCAAGAACTTTGTAGGCGATTTCCACAGGTTAAGAATTCAAAATGTCTCATATTGTCCTCGATTCATGTAGCGCCTTGCCCACGAGCAAGTCGAAAGTCAACGACGGCAGATGGAGGAGCAGGAGCGAGTCATTGCGTCACTTCGAGATCGTGTGAATAGGCTTGAAGGCGGTCCAGAGGATAATATCCGTCCCGGTGGACCAAAGGGCGGGTCTTCCGTCGATGATTTCTCTATCAAGGCAAGTTTCCAACGGTTTGGAGATGTACACTCTTATCATAGCTTTCTAGAATGCCGGCGCCAATCTCGAAAGGCTGATCAACCGATGGGCAGTCGACACTGTGCGAACTCCACCAGCTACGCTGAATGTCCTCCGAGACGCGGTTCTGAAAGATATCTTTGGGAATGCACCACCTCCGGATGATACTGCTGCCACGCCTGCTGTTGTTCAGGCGCTTTTACGGCACGCAATGTCCGAGGCTGTCTCGGAGGGCATTGTCAACTGCCTCATTGTGACCAACTCATCTGAAGCTAATGTCCAACTGACACGAATTCATGAACACTTGTTTGCGCGTACGTATTGTCCGCTTGTATCATTAGCATGTACGCTTACGCTCATTTATATAGGAGACGCAACCGTCGCGTCTGTATGGCGACGACAAACCTATTCAGCCGCCGTCGAGTCGTGTACTCCAGAGATGTCGATATTGATCATGAAGGAAACGATACCAAATCTGACCAAACTGGTCTCGATAGATGGCAAGACTCCACCTCCGACCTGTACGCAGATTCTGGACAATGCATATGCGTTTTCGCGCATGCTGCACGGGTCCAAGTCGACTTCTGGCGGGACGACGGACGCATTTTATCGTGCATTCGTTCCGGAACTTGGCAGTGTACTGCATCCGAGGCAGATTGAGCTCATCAAGCGCTGCTTGAAGAGTGAGCGCGGGGAGCAGGATCGCGTCGGTGCATGTGTGTTCCCGGGCTTGGTGAAGATATCCAGGGGTCAAGCTGAAGGTGGGAAAGACGTAGAGGACACGCAAGTTGTGGTCAGGCGGGCGCAGGTACTTTGCCAGTGCGCACTTGGGTACCATAGCGAGCAGCAGCAACACCAGCAGACGCCTTCACATGCATCGACTCCACCGTTGCAATATGCGCAATCGACGGGATCAAGTATGCCTTACCAACAGTATTGATGATTGGAGTCCGCCCATCTGGGCTGTTTGATGCGATACGACGGCGTACCGTGTGAATGTCTCTCGAGTTTACGTATGGACAGCGAACGATAATCAAACTTGGATTCTCTTCTTTCTTATGCTTCGGGAGTCAGAGGTACATATGCGTGCATGCCAGAGAATGATGGATTATGAACGAGAAATGTGTATGCGCGTGAAATGTAGAATGCTGGTGACGAACAACAAAGACGAGAGAAACACGAGTGGACGAGACTGGAGGGGTTCCCATGTGGAGTGGCAGTCATTGCGACGAATACGGAAGCCTCAAGGAATGCGGTGATGGACCCCTCGGACGATCAGTGACAATGGTGACTGGCTCTGAATACACGGGGCCTTTCTGGAGGGGTGCGAATCCTTTTGCTTCGAACCAGAGCTGAATAGTGTACTGTAAAGGGTATGCCGTCAGTATCAGGAAGAGAAGCGTCTGTTACGCAACGTACTTGGAGAGATAAGGAGGGGAAGCTAAATGAGGGCTTGAGATCCTTTCGGACGATAATTTCTGCATCAAAGTGCCGTTGATTGGCATTGCTCGTGGTGGAGGATATGCCGGACGACGACGAGGGCCAGCATGAACCCTGGACGGCAACTTCTTCGTGCTCTCCGTCTGCTTGGAGTTTGTGCAGCTTGTGAACAGTATGTGGGTGACTACTCGACTCGATGAGCTGTGTGCGCGTGCTCTGGACGAGAGCGACTTTGATGGCGGATGCACCCAGAAAGTCGAGGAGCTGGGTGTCGTAGGACTCTAGTGTGACGTGGAGATGTATCACACAGTCACGGGCGTATATTCGCTGCTGAGAGCCAGATTCATACGTGTCCGAGTGCCTTCTGTCGGCGGCCAGCTGCCGTGTGGGCTGGGAGACGGCGAGCTATATAAAGGGGGAAAGATGACGTGAGAATGAAGCCAGACTTACGGGATAAGGAACACGAGACGTACAGTGCATTCTAGCGAAGCTCTTCGAGCGCCAAAGAGCATTCCGTGGACAACGCGAGGCGGTCGAGAGTCCCACCCTTCTGGATCGAGCGAGGGACCAAGTATCGGGTGATGGTTCTGATACGCAGATTCTAGGAGCGGCGAAGGCCGCGGGGCTCGGGCTCGGGGGAGATAGACAAACGACGTCGTTAGCCTAGAATGGTCAGCATAATGTGACTCTAAAAGGGACCCACGCACGTATTATCGACCCTGAGAGATCCTCTTTGGATAAGGACTTGAATCTTGTAGTCAATAAACGTCGAGTGGCCTTTGGGCGCAAACGTCGGTGGGAGTGGCACAGATACCGGTCGACCATGGTTGTCGTTGACGACAATCTGAGTCGGTAGAGGTATCGAGAATGGCCATGAATACGACCCGGAGAGCTTGCCACTAAAGGCAGAGTGGCGTACACCCGGGTCGTGAGGATGGCCCATAGACGACGTCCACAGCGTCTGGGAGAGCTCTAGAAAGGGAGATTGGTCTGCTCCAACCGAGTAAACCTGGCCGCGAACCTGAAAGAAGTGATATCAGCGCTAAGAGGGGGAGCCGGCTGCAGCTAGCGACTGGGACGCACGAATACGACAATCCCATGAATTGTAGTCGCGTTTTCCGCAAGATCTAGGTCAACTGAACCCTCGACAATGTCGCGGTCAAAGTATAGCGGATGCGCTTTAGGTGGGCTGGCGTTACTTCTGACTCTGAGCGTGAGCCACGGAGCTGAGTGACCGTTTGTAGAGAGAGTAAATGCTTGTTCTACACGCTGTGGGGGGCTTGCCGGCCGCGAGGGAGACGCAGACGGCGTCGAGCGTCCAGAGCGGCTCTGACTCGTGCTCTTTGTCGCTGCGCGTCTTGTTGCAGGAGAATGTGCGAGCATTGTCGTCTCGTGGACGAGCATCTTGCCTGAGGGAGAATCGACTCCCCGGACTATTTGAAGCGTTCTGGACACTGACTGCGGCGACTGCGAGCGGGAACGAGCTCAGGGTGTATCTAGGTCGGGTTCTGCACCGATTTGGGCTGTTTATATAATTTCTGTACATTTATTCAGGTCGCCACATGCTTGCCCATGCGGTCCCTTCAGTGGGGTTCGGCACCTCGTTCATTTCGAATAACACCGACGAGTTTCCTTTTCTTATTTTTAACATTATTTTTATTTCGACCATCAGCGCCCGCCGGCGATCAACGCCATTGTTTTCAGCTTCTCTGTCCTAACCCATGTCAGGCCTATTTGGCAGGTACCCACAACTTTGCCCTCTATGTTTTCTACGTCTTTTCTGACAAGGTTTTATATTTTTCAGCTCGACGTTCGGCACGCAACAACAGCCGGCTGCTACGAATCCATTCGGACCTAAACCATCTGGGACACTTGGGTCGGCGCTTGCATCCAGCACAGCTCCTTCTCAGCCCTCTGGCTTCTCCTGGGGCACTTCCTCGACTGCCGCTCCCTCGACGCCGCTCCCAACATCCTCCCTCGGCGGCTCTGGTCTCTTTTCGTCCACCGCGACCGCAAAGCCTGGAGGATTTGGACTCTCCACGCTCGGGTCATCGACTGTTGCACCTTTGCAGCAACAACAGCCTCCTTTAGGTTCATCCACCCTGACTACCTCCGCGTGCGTCCTTGTGGCTTTAGTTCCGGCTCGCGTCTCTCATCACGCACATGTCTCTTTACATACAGCGCCCCCACGACCTTGCCAGTTCTCAACGGAGCCGCAAAATTCAATGATCTCCCACAACCCATCCAGGATCTTCTCAATGACACTGAGCACGTTTTAAACCTATTTCTGCATCGTTACGGCTCTAACCTCTTGATCAGATCGCTCATTCAAAGCGGCTTAAATGCTGCAAAGGACCTCAAGGGTCGAAAACTTGGCGACTCTATCCTCACCAACACGGAAAACTCGCGTCAACTCTTTCATGTGCGTAAAACATTTTTGGGCTTCATTGTCTAGACCATGACCGCATTGCTTGAGCGGTTCCCTCATTTTCTCCATCCCGTCATCAGAGCCGTTCTATCCGGTGCTCCTCGTCATCTATTCTCCCGTATTCTCGCGATGCATAGTCGGCTTCACACACACGCGCGTGTGCGTACGCGCGCACACATACACATGCGATGACCTCGCTCGTCTATTCTGTTCGTCCCGCTGCCCTCGTCTAACAAAACTCGCACGTGTAGGATCTGACCTCGAGTTCGAACACGCTTCAAGCCGATGATCTCTTTGCAAAGAACCTCAGAAAAAAGGTGGACCAGGCCGTCCAAGATGTCGTCGTTTGCACGCACATTATCGATGGGTTCCGGGAAAGCGGAATCCAGCATCCGAATCTCAAGACGAATGCACAATATCCTATAGAGTGCGTCCCAGTCATCGTCGACTTATCTAACCGGCGTTCTTTACCCGATTGTATGACTAATGGCCTCGGGCTCATTAGATTCTTTGTCCGTCTGACCGACGAAATGCAGGACCGGCTCACGCGCTACAAGTCGATTGTCGACGTATGTCCCGTTTCGACATTCTTGCCGTAATCTCTGACAAATCATCTCGTAACAGCAACTCAACCGAAAGCTCGCATTTTCATTTCAGGCGCAGCAGACACCACAAGGTGTGTTTCTCGAGTCCCCTTGCCGTGACCAACGGCACGTTCAGGGCATCCCACTAGCTTCATCCCTGACATGATTCTCCCCTCGCAGCAATCACGACAACTCTACAGTCGCAGCACGCTTCCTTTATCGCGCTCGCGGCAAAAGTAGCAGAGATTGAAGGCTCGTTCGAGGACGTCAAGCTTCAATTTGCAACGCTCTACAAGGCTCGCACAGGGAGTGCCCTTGACCCTTTCGGCCGTACACCATCGTGATCGCAGCACCGGACAAGTCGACAGTTATCTTTGGGTGATAACCTCTCTTCATTGTCATAGACATATTCGAACCAAGCTAGTCACCGATAGCGCCATTGGCGCTACATAACATGAGCAGGATTTCAAACGTGTCGTCCACCTGACCACCGTAAAGGAGCTCCTTGTCATCCTGTGGACACACCCAGTCTAGTGTCTCTGGACGCCGATGGGCTACGAATAAGAATGAGAGTCCAGGCTCATCCCAGCCTACGCGCTGCCATTCGCTATAGATATCCGCATTTGGTCCATTTCGATCATTGGCTGTAGTTTGGGAGCGTGTGAGAATGGGCTGAAAATGAAACCAGGCGCCGAAAGCACGCCAGAAGGGTGTCTCTCGCTCGATGCTGCGAACGCGGTCTGCATTATTAATGAGAAGCTGATGACGAGAAGGTAGTGGGGTTTGGAATAGGGTACTTACAGGCTATCAGGATGGTGGCCTGCGGAGACGTACCCGGGAGAAAGTCCGGCGAGGTGATTTGGATGAGTGAACGCAGTAGTGGTGCAAGCAGGGTTGGAAAGTAGACCTGTAAAGAGCCAGACCCGAAGCCCCGAAGGATCAGTGACAGCGACGAAACGCATGCGCATGCCATGGGGTCGACGATCCATGTGGAGCACGGAACACGTTTGTGAGCGCGCTAGAACAAGCTTGTTTTGAACCATGGGACCCACCAGGTCACTACACAGAATCGTCAACCGTGGACCATGCTCGCCGTCTCGTTCGACAAGGTACCGCGTACATAGTTCGGTCGATAGCATCCGGACGTGCTCCGCGTTCCCCCACGCGAGATCTCGGACTTGTATCGTGACATTGCCGGCAGAGTTTGATCCTCCTCGGTTATCCTCCCCCTGACCATCCGTTCCTCCCGGTCCGAACCCATTGTCATCGCCATCCCTGGCCATATCAAAGGCGATGCCGTGAATACCATCACGTTTCCACTGTTCCATCTGCAACGCCACGTTCTCTTTCAGGAGCACGCACACGTCTGGAAGATCCGTGAGGACGACCGCCGCCACCCCCTTGCTGGCATCCTGTACGAAGCGTAGAAGCGATTCTGCGGCCGCAAGCCCGACATAACCCATCCCGGCTCCGAGTTCGATGAGCACCACCTCGCGCGTGTCCACTTCCACCCGTTTCCTCAACCCACTCGTGTCTACATCCACCACCGCCGCCTTCTCGTCGCTTCTTGCGTGCCGATAGTAGTCCACGTTGGTACCCGGCAGCGTGAATCCCGGTGTCCACGGCGGATCATACTCGACGACCCTCATGCCGGATGGACCCTCATCTTTGCCTTGCCCACGCATGTCCAGGCGAGAATATACCGTATCCACACTGCCCGAAGCCAGATATCGTGTCAAGAGGTATGCTGCTTCCCTGTAGAATGCACACTTTAGGATTTTAGACTTGGTTCGACCATGCGCAGAGAAGAGCCGAGTCAAGGGAAGGAAGAAAGGATCATAACACGATCGATAAACTCACCATATGCGGCCGGGGATTCCCCAGCGAGAGATGCCGTCCCGTTGGCGCGACATAGCTGCAAACGTAAACAACACATCTTCGTCTTTATTCGTCGCATTAGAAGGCTCCAAATCACGAGATCCTTGAACGATGGGAGTGGGCTGGGCATCCATCATGTGCAACGCTTGGAACGAAGTCGGGAATCAGTTTTACGGTGCCACACTTTACCATCTTCTGGACGGTTTCACCAGTAATAAAGAAGCCTATAAGTACATCTCTGAACATCGATGTTTAGGAATTCACCATGCGCACGACTTAAAACCTGCCGGCTGGAAAGTAATATAAACATGTTAAGGTAAGTTATGTACCAGGAAATGAGAAGCTATATCTATGACCAAACGAGGGGAACGGTAAACGACCGCCGGCGTGAAGAGTCCGTGAAGATACGCCGAGACCCTTTGCGCGAAGCGTAGCTCCTGCAAACGCAAAGGTTCTCAACATTTGTTAATAGTAACCGATGTACCCTGAGCGATAGAGTTGCAGTTGATGGTCGGATTGGACGCGAGGATGACCTGTGCGGTAACACCGACCAGAGTTCCAACATTGTCGCATGTAGTCGAGCCTTGAGTAACATACACGCTTGTGCACGAGGATGGGATGCAGACAGAGGTCGAGGCGCCTATTAAATTGTCAGTTCTGAGTCTGAATAGTGCATGGAAACTCACCGATACTGTTGCAATTGAGGCCGGCGTTTGCAGTTTGGATATCAGCGGCTTGAAGGCCATAGGCGAGAGCGATGGAAGCGCATGTATCTCCTGCGATTGATGTGTATTGTCTCACACAGGCTGGCTTGGATGGGCAGCTAGCACCGGTGGGGGTAGAACTTGGGCTTGTAGAAGTCGACGTTCCCGTTGGCGTTGTATACGTGGATGTCGACGTGGTTTGGCTGCTCTGGCTCGTCTGACTGGTGGAGCTTGTCGAGCTTGTCAAACTTGTCGAACTGGTAGAGCTTGTCTGACTGGTGGAACTTGCAGAGCTTGTCTGGCTGGTAGAAGTTGAAGAACTTGTAGAACTCTGAGTCGTCTGGGTCGTCGAGCTAGTGGTCAAGATGTAGAGAGAAAGTCCGTTTGGACCACCGCAGATCTCTGCTGGATTCCCATTACAGCTCATGGAGCATCGTCTATGACAGGTGAACATCGAAACCCAGCCACAGACCAAACTCACCCATCCTCAGCTTTTCCGGCCGCAATGCTGGAGCCACAATAGCACTCGCCGCCGTACTCGGTACCAGCATATGTATATCCGTTGGTACCGCAGGCATCAAGGCAGCTCTCGACGGTCATTGCTGCTGGGCCCCCGCTGACGGCCATGGCCACAGGGAGGGAGCGTTGGGCGACGGAGTCCACATAGCAGCCCTGACTTGTCCATTGACCATAACTTGGTACGACTGATGGCCCACTAGACCCGCTTCGATAGATATTGATTGCATTTCCACCGCCGCAAATCTCAGTAGCATCACCTAATAGATTTAAGAAGGGTAGATAATAATATTAGAAGAGACATACCATTGCAAGCCATATTACAAGCACCACTGGCGGCGACGGTCGCCGTGCCGAGGATGGTGTTTCCACACCAGCATTCACCACTACAGTGATGAGCTTTGAGATTACGCTTCATGTATCAACTTACCCATACTCGACACCAGCGTAAAGGAAGCCGGCTGCGCCACAAGCGGCCTCACACTTGCCAATGGTCATACTTGCGATACCCAGTGGGGTAGGAAGAGTCCTCTGACCCACACTGTCGGTATAGCAGTTGACATATGACCATGATGGATCGCCTCTGCCAAACGTGCCGGATTGATAGAGCGTAAGCTGGAAAACGTAAGCTAGATAGGTGAGGACGGTAGAACGCTTACCCTGTTCCCACCACCGCATAAATGTGCTCCGTCTCCGGCACAAGGCTGCCTCGAATGAGCATTTCTCATATTCAATTGTCGAACTCACCATGTTACATCCAGTTTCATCCGCCAAGGTGCCCGAGTTGGTGTTGCCGCAGTCTGTAAACGAGTTAGTCCACACCACGATATCAGGTACAGTCACATACAGCACTCTTGAGCATATTCGAGCCCGGCGTAAGAGTACCCTTGAGCGGCGCAGGCGTCGATGCACTTCTGTGGCGTCAAAGAGCCAGTAAATCCCATACCCACAGGTACGGATCGAGACTCGATAGAATCCGTGTAGCATCCCTTGTATACATAGCCATTGTACGAAGAAAGCGGAGTCGCAACCGCGTTGGAAGACTTGTAAGTCGAAAGCTTGTAGCCTCCACCACAAACTTCGGACGAGTCTCCACTGCAGAGAAGATTGCAGTCTGTTGTAGTCGTAGCGCCGTTTTGCAAGGTATTGTCACAGTCTAGGCGGGTAAAGATTACTTCGACGTCCCTCCGACCAACAGAAACGACTTACAGCACTCCTAATAATAAGGTGTCAGATGTCAAAACACAAGGATGGGAATAAACGCGACGCACCCTCGAATATTCGAGACCGGCGTAAACGTATCCATGCCCGTCGCAAAAGTTTACGCAGGACTCGACGGTCATAGAGTCTGACGTGAATGACATGGCATTAAGAGTACGTTGGGGACCATCGCTGTATGATGAATATCAGCGTCAAGAGCCAAGCGATTATGATGGTGGACGAGAGACGGACGTTATACAGCCGTAATAGGACCAAGCGCTAGGGAGATTGGGTGCTCTTTTGACCTTTCTCGAGATGTCGCGGTGTCGTGTGCTGCGCTTGTGCGCGCCGGAAGGCTAGAAGGGACGAAGTAAGCTCCTGTTGAGCGGAGAACCAAAAGGAGGGTGAGCTCACGAGTTCAAAGATTAGTGCATTTGCTGTAAGGACTGTAATGAGCAGCGTGCTGATCTGGAGGACGAGCACCATGGCTAAAGAACGGAGATGGTCGGGTCGAAGATGCTGAGCAGCGCCGAGTCGGTGCCGAGATCTTAGTCGGGACTTCTTCTTTTTAAACAGTATTATTACTATATAGGCTACATATACCAAATAAGAAACTGTGTAAACGAGATGGACGCGGTAGACGACCGCGGGCGTAGAGTCCATGATAGAGATAGTCCATGCAGAGATTCCCACCTCTGCATAACGAGAATAGTCCCACAGCACAATGAATACTTGTCAACGGCAACAAGAGTTACGCCTTTCACAATTCAGTGTAGGGCCAGATGGTAAGACTGTCAAGGCCACAAAGCCTTCAAATCGAGGCGGAAGATGAACAATTCAGATGCTTCCACAAGAGTTGCGGCTATAAAAAGTCAGCCCAATGTCCCTATAAGTTTGATTTGAAACGCACCCATGTTCGCGCAGTGGACGGCGGCTTCAGAGGCGGCAATAACAGACTCTTGAAGACCATAGGAAGTGGCATTGGACACACATGTGTCACCTTGACAAAATGAGGAGATTACACAGATTGGTGTGGTAAGGCAGACAAAGTTTGTGGGGGATAGAAACTGGAACATTGGATGACGAGAAGGATGCAGATGAAATAGATTAGATGAAGCCGCAGCTGCGAGCGGAGTCAGTGGTCTCCGTTTATTGAGCCCTCGGCAGGCAGAGCGGAGTGTACTCCCCTTTGAATAATCAGCCAATCACTCTTTAATACTTTGCCAACACGTACAGATGTCATCGCAGTTCAGCCATGATGGGTTCGAACTTTTGATGGCGTCCACAGTGACACCATATTCGGCGGCAATCTTTGCGCATGTATCACCCTTTTTGGCGGTGTAAGCAGTGCAGATTGGATTAGTTGCAGTTGCAGTCGGAGCCGACGAACTAGAGGTTGTCGTCGAGCCACCGCAGACCTGAACTGGAGTCCACTCCCCTTTGAACGGTCAGTACCTCGCCCATTCGATTTGTGCAATCTAAACTCACAGATGCTGTCGCAGTTGAGCCACGATGGGTTGGCGTTTTTGATAGCATCGGCAGAGAGACCATAGGCTGCACCAATCTTTGCACAGGTATCACCATTCTTCGCAGTGTACGTGATACAGGATCCGGTGGGTACAGAAGTGCTCGAGGAGGATGTCGTAGTAGTACCTAACGATCCGCAGATCTGGACGGGTGTCCATTCCCCTATAGGAATTAGCGCTGCCATGTTTCAGCCTTGCGACTTACAGATATCGTCGCAGTTGAGCCAAGATGGGTTGGAGTTCTTGATAGAATCAACTGTGACTCCGTATGTAGCACTGAGCTTTGCACAAGTATCACCATTCTTCGCCGTGTAAGTGAAGCAGCTTCCCGTCGGATTTCCGGTGCTCGCAGAAGATGTAGACGTGCTTGTGCTTGTGCTGATGCTCGTGCTCGTGCTCGTGCTAGTGGTTCCGGAAGAACCGCAGACTTGTACCGGTGTCCATTCCCCTGATTTGCGTCAATATGCAACCAAACTGGCGAAAGAGGCGGTGCTTACAGATATTATCGCAGTTCAGCCAGCTTGGGTTGGCATTTTTGATAGAATCCACGGTGACTCCGTAGGCAGCTGCAATCTTTGCACATGTGTCGCCCGCCTTGGCGGTGTATGTAATGCAGGTTCCAGTTGGAGACGAAGTAGGAGATGTCGAAGTAGAAGTAGAGGTCGACGAAGTAGAAGCAGGAGTCGAAGTCGAAGTAGAAGTAGAGGTCGACGAAGTAGAAGTAGGAGTCGAAGTCGAAGTTGTCGATGAGAAATCAGCTGGGATCCAAGGACCATCACAAGTCCATGAATCATCACGGTCGCCAAAGTAGCCAGTCACGGTCTCGTACGCCTCGACACCAAGACACTGAGCAGTTGTGACCAAGTTTGCACCAGCGTTTTTGAGGTTCCTAGCTGTCCCTTGCTGCAGGGCTAGGACAGAGCCATCCACAGTCTCATGAGACAGGGCAAGATGAGGAGCATTAGGCGATGTCTGAGCCAGATTGGTGTAGTAGTTGTAGTTGTATAACTGTGAGGGATTGCCACTAGCATCCTTCGAGTCGTCGGACCAGATCACAACAGTCATGCCCCATTTTTGCTGGATACGCTGAGCAATTTGCTCGTTGATGTCACCATATGGAGGACTATAATTCGTTGAGAGCGAAAGATGTCAAAGAGGGAGCCTGCATACCGGAAGAACTTGGGCTTGACGCCCAAAATGCGCACAAACGCATCGTTCAGACGGCCGATTTCCTCATCAACCTCTTCCATAGTCTGCTTCTTGGTAAGGAAAGGGTGACTGGTGGAACTATTAGTGGATGTTTAGTTATATGGCATGGAAGTTTACCTCCACTACCAAGTGTCAGTTGAAAATCTATGCATGAACGAGGTTGACATACAGTGTGATGAGCGATTTGATGACCTGCAAGATAGGATTCGCGGATAGCGTTGACGTTATCCTCAGAGTAGATGCATCCTGACCAGATGTCAGCTTTTGCTTTCACACTTTCAACAAACCTACCATAGTTGTTGCCATTCAGATAGAAGGTCGTCTTGCCACCTGCTTCGTTAAATGCAGTGTTGATATCGTGATGGTGAATATGTGGGCCCTAGCGAGTACAAGGTCAAACTCCAGCCCGGCGGCCTTGCGGTTCGACTTACATCGTCCCTGCCATTGCGGTCAATACCAGTAAATATTCTTAAAAAAATCGACAACGTACCAAGTGTATGAGAACCCAGAGTTGCATTGATAGACGAGCTCTTGCATCCCCCTGGAACATCCTTGAGCGCCATGTCAGAGGAGACACACACGGAACACGGACCTCTTCTCAAAGGGAGCAGCTACAACGCTCGTCGCAGCAATCAAAAAGAAAGGAATGACAGCCAGCATTGTCGCGCTGGAGATGACGGTGTTGATGCAGAAAAGAGTGACTGGAGGGAAATCCCTCTTAGATGGAGACGGACGGGGCCAAAGAATAATTTCCTTGAGTAAAACAAGCAACCCATGCTTTCTCCGCTCGGTTGTACACAGCGACCGACAGCAAATCGACGTGCCGAAGGCAAGGTACGCGATCAGACAAACTGTCTAGGCTCGGGTCCAGAAATGGGAAGAGTAATTCACAAGGAATCTGGTTTCGCAAGCTTCAAATTGTACAAAAAGCTGTTCGACTTCAGTCTAGCCAATGAAGACGGTCCGGGAACCCAAGATGGCCCCAGCCGGTTCATTCTGGACCACACGCTCGGTAGGGTGACGTGTCGCTGAGGGTAACCAACTCCTTGATCTCATCTTCCGAGAGCTGAATGACTTCCGCGTTGTCTACATGAACTCAGCACCGACAAAATGTCTACCTAGAAGATGGGCGCACCTTTGATACCTTCGGGCGTTACGGACTTTGGAAGCACTGGAAACAGATATTAATGGGCTTGGCGATTCACACGACTCTGCGCACCTGTCGTGTTCGGCAGACTAGTCTGCAGAGAAATGAGTATAGTTGCCGGTGTAACGGAGTGTTTCTCCGCAAGCCGCAAGACAATTGGCTCTGTCATGAGAGGCGATCGATCGGAGCCCAGAGGGGAGTAAGAGGTAACGACGATTCCTTGCTTCTGGCAGAAATCTCGCAGCTCGGGTTGGTGACAAGAGCTACAATATATCAAAGGGGAAATCATGTCAGAAAAGGCAAATTCGGATGTAGTTTTATCTGGTTGACTGCCGGGACGATGGTCGCATTGTTCTAGACTCTTGAGATACTCTTCTGAAAAGTTGCTCACTCCTGATACGATGTAAGTGCTGTGGTAGACAATACTTGGACGTACCGATAGCTCTGAGCTTTTCGGGATGCTTTTTGTAGAGTCTTTCCATCTCCTTCCAGGTGTCCAACCAGTCGATAGTCCGATCGGGTTCTGACCACTTATGACTCAGAGGACGAGATAGCGTGACTCATACCTTCGTCCTTGGTCATTGGAGCGGGCCAATGCATTAAATCTTTCCAAGATTAGTGAGAGGTGCATTAGCTCGGACTCTATCACCTACAGAGATCCAAATACGAGGTATTTAGCTTGGAGAGAGATTCTAAAAGGGCTTCTTCCACCCTCTTATGGTCAATATTGTCCAGCTTGGTCGTAAGGAAGATTTCCTCTCGAGGGACTTCGGAGGCGACGATGCCTTTGCCGACTTCTCATTCTCATACGTAGATCAAGTTTAATCCTTTCTGCTGCTGTTTGAGAGTACGCACGCAGCAGCAGTGTCGATGCCTCGATACCCTACATCACGGAGTGCGTACGCCACGGCGTGTTCGACGGTGCCGGGCTGGCTTTTCCAAGTGCCCAGATTAATCACTGGCATCCCTGCACCAGTGTTGAGTTTGATTTTGGACTTGAGAATGGTCATCGTTGAGAATAGAACAATTCGCTGCCTGAAGGGTTGTGGTTGATGGCAAAGTCTCAAGCTTTGTTTAATAATACCAACAGATAGCATCGATAACAACCGCAATTGAGTAGAAGGAGAGACGATGGCCCTTGATAACGTCACTGACAGTCAGATCCAGCCTCTGAATCTATTTGGTTTGCTGAACTCAACAAATTTAGATATGACTAAGAATCCTTGCCTTAATCAGAAGATTATTCAGGCTTATGGCGGAGGTCAGGTTTGTGGCAGACCTGCACGAAAAACTTGACCTCTGCCATGTCCAAGCATCCAGCAGGCTACTACGCCGCTCAGCCGCCAATTCCTCCCGGACATCCTCCTCCGGCTCCAGCTCAGCATTATGATGCGTACTCGACGTGGAGCGTTGCAGCAGCGGCAGCACAACAGCAATACTATCAGGCCAGCGCGGCAGCAGCCGCCAGTGCAGGTCCAGGGTCTCCACCCGTGAACCCATACGCAAATTATGGCTACGGTCCAGCTGCAACTTGGGCTCATCATCCGCCTCCACCTGCTCATAGAGCTCCTCCACCTCCAACCCCTGTTCCGCCGCCGGCCCAGCCATATGGACCATATATCCCGCAGGCTCAACCCCAGCCATATTCTCCGCATAACCCATCGACTCCGTATGCTCCCAGGCAGCTCCCACCTCCCATTACACCAAGTCAGCCTCTACCTGCGGCCCCTAGACCGTTCCAGCAGCCACCTTTGAAGCGGCAACGTGTTCACTCTCTTCAGTCCAACGGTTCTCGATTTCCTCCGATTCCAGCCGGGCCTGCTCGTCCCCCAACAGACGCCCCTCCACCACTTCCAGGGCTTCCGTTGCCTGTGACGGGTCCTAATTTGCGATCAGGAAATGCCGTGTCTTCTCGAGGAAGAGGGCATCCGCTTAGACCCTCCAGAGGGGGGCGTGGAGGAGGTGCTCCTAACCGGCATGGTAGCGGCGCGTCTCGTCAGTCTGCAAACACGATCCCTCGTGGTCCTCGTCGAGGGGGACTCTTCCCCCAAGCCTCCTCTCGTTCGTTCCGTAGCTCTAGTGGTGGCGATGGTGCACAGTCCAGCCGTGGTTGGTCGCACGGCGTTTCCGAAAGTGGCACAAGCGTCTTCAATAGCTCGACCGGCGCCTCAATGTCGGATAAGGAGGGTAAGCGCACCCTCACAGATTTCAGAATTATTGGCTTTGGATTCGTTTCGGACCAACTTACATGGTCGTGGGGTGCTACGCGTCCCATTGACGACAAGGTGGTGTTCCCTCCATCTTCTACAGCGAAAGAGGATCCAAAACCCACTGCCGTCGAGAACCCTTCTCCTGTCAAGCAGGATGATATCGCTCCGAGTCAGGGCTCTCCCTCGAAAGACAAGGGCAAAAAGACGACGAAGGACACGGCTCGAATTCGGATATATTTCCAGCCCACATATTTTCCTACACGTGGCGGTCGTATGCCCCCTCCGAGTAGTGTTCCGTCCAGGCCCAACGCGAAAAGAAAGAAATCCGATAGCGAAGAAGACGATGGCGAGCGGGGGAATATCAAGCGTCATCATGGTGAGAATGAAGAAGGTTCTCGCAACGGGATTCTCGCAGAGATCCCACTACCTACCTCAAACGGAGACAAGAACGTCGAGAAGGACTCGACAGAGGCCGTGACTGACGAGGCAACTCATGCTCAAGAAGAGCAAAACACGGATGCATCGAGCGAAGCTGCTGCCTGGATGGGGCAGGCATTGAAAGATTTGAAGGAGGATAGCGACGATGGCCATGAACATGATTTGCGAGAAGACGACGATGATCAGAACAGCGAAGCCAATGATCTGACTACCGAGCTGGTCGAGGGTTATGACGATGAAGAGGAAGAGGGCACGTCTCTTTTTGGCTCTGGAGTACATCCCTCTCCGGGCGCAGAGGATGCCAGTGTCGATCTCATTGTTCAATCTGTCGAAGACGTGAGCAATCACGGAGACGGAGTGGAACGAGGCGAGGAGCCCAGTACCGAGAGTCAGAATCCGAATAATGCCAACGGTTCGTTCTCTCAAGCCGGTCAAAGTAGTGGTGCTGGCGGACCTGGGGGCTCCAGCAACAAATTATCCGTCTCGTTCGCCTCCTCGAGCAGAAGGCTGGTGCTAGAGGCCGAAGTCATTACTTACCTCAAGGTGTTCCGCGCTGAAGGCCGTATCGAGTTTGCATCTACCCTGGAAACCGATCCATTGAACGTGGGTGCCGAGGGATCGGATCCTGTGATCAAAGGAGTCTTCGTGCGTGTCTCTCAGTTGGTCCGAGAATATGCTAAATAATCCTTGTTTCAGCTTGAAGTATGGAACGAAGAAGCCCAAGCGTTCCACACAGTTCCCGTCCCATCGACGAGTGCTGCAGATTCGGATCTCCCTCCGCTTCGAGGCTCCAAAAATGTGACATTCCACGTATTTTTGGACATGGAGAATCCACTCTCGATGCCGCGATGGGTCAAGACTGGAGACGTAGACGACTGGCTTTTGACTATGCTTGGTTCATCTAAACATATGAACACGTATCGACGAGAGATGTCAACCTCGGTTCGAGGTTGGGAGGGCAAAATCTCCGTCGTGGATCCCGATCCAGTACGTCTAAGCCTCACTATTGACACCCTCTGATCGTTGTATAGGCCCTCACGCTCCAGAATACTTTGGAACACTGGGCAACCAATTCGGTCGTTGCTCAGCAAAAGGATCGTGAACAGTACCTCAAGTCATTCTTCTATCATCCAGATACTGCAGAGGAAAAGCGAAAGCCGAATATGGACAGCATGATGGAGCTTCTGCTCCGTCCGATACGAGGTGGACAACCAACCATTGGCTCTCATCTCGACTCGCACCATCACCACCACCACAACTTTTCGTACAATAACAGTGTCAACCCAATTCTTCAAGCAGCAGCGAACTCGGATCCAACTCTGATATCTGGGCAGACTCACACATCCTTAGCAGTGCTCGCACTCTTCCGTGTACTGCAGCAGACGGCGACCAAGTATGGTGGGGACGAGGCGCTGAAGGAGGCAGAGGCAAGAGTACGGGATATTATTCAGGCTCTACCATCACAAATGACGAACAAGAATCTGGACGCCATGTTCCAGCGATGGAACCATTCGAATGGGGGAGCCTCAAAGGGAAGCGCGTCGAATGGAAAGTCGCATCGTTAGATGGAACCAGTCAATGCTCGACCTGGTAGTCGATAATCTAAACGCTTCTGCAATCATATTGTCATCTCACAATTCAGACCTACACTCATAAGGTTTCAACCATTAACCTAATGTACATAGGTCTTTAAGTGCAACCATTCATCAGAATCCCATTATAGGGACCAATATGTTGAGTGAAGTTGCCGACGAGGATATTTGGAACGTCGGCGATAGTGCACCCGGCCGCGACTGAGTCGTTGCCTGCCAAATTTATCAGTATGTGTGCACAGCTGGTTTCTACATGAAGAATACCTGGGCAGACGACCCACGCCTCGTCGGATGCACGAATATGGATTTCGTCCTGGCTTCCGACAAAACCTAGTGACCGTCCTGGAAGAATCGGAACAGGATCTTTCTATTAACACATAGTCAATCATACGGTCCTTGGACTTTACAGAACATGCCTTGTTTGTCACTCTTGTAACCTCCAAGTTGCTGTCTACCCAATCGACCCAATTCCGGTCACCAATCTATGCGAATGAGACTGGTTTCTCATGTGACAAGACAATCAAACTCACGCGAGGGCAGCTGTAAGAGACGACTTTGAAGGAATAGTCTGGACCAAGACGAAGTTTCATGCTGGCGGCTGAAATTGTCGCCAGTGCGCCTCCCAGAGAATGACCAGTGAGGAGCACCTTGTTGGTTCCAAAGGTGGTCAGCGCCTGTTGCACTCCAGCGAATACTGCCGCCTGTGTTCTGCACGTAGATATAAAAGGATGAAGGTTGTAATGAAGAAAGTGACTCACTTTGAATACGCGTCGAGGAACCCACCGTGGACCTTTGCAGAGGAGGGAAGCCCAGGGAAAAGGGACTGAGACGGAGTGCGAGGGAAAAAATTGAGGTCGGTCAGGATGGCCTCAATGTTGGATAGATTGGTGCCTTGGTAGCCAACGACAACAGAGGAGAAAGTTGGATAGTATCCAACATACCCTAACCCGAACTATGAGGCAAGCACAATACCAAAGGTGGATGGAGGCCTACAGTTCTGGATCGCACCCCCGTTACCTCCGCTAGCGACGGTTGTGAATCCAGGAAGTTGCTCGCACCAAGCTTTTATCCATGATCAGTGGTTTCGGAAGACTGTATGTGTGTCGAGGACGTACTCCCACAATTCCAGTTCTGCGTCTTTGCAGGGCCACAGTAGCCTGTTTTGGCAAAGAGGCTGTAAGGAAGGAAAGAATTGATCTAACGGGCTGTCAGCACAGTGCGGACGTCTCTAAAGCCAAGACCAGCCTCGTCTTGAGAAAGCGTCGCCAATTGCCTCTCCGCAAGTGGCCCAGCATGAGTACTGGGCGAAGAAAGGAGAGTGAAAGCAGTCAAAATGAACGTTGTGGCGAGCTTCATGCTTTGAGAGAGTGGCAAAGGGAGGGAACACCCTTGTGCGTCCTACGTCGATGTTCATCCTTATTTATAATCTACTTCTCGCACGTTGCTCCAATGTGGCTCGTATCGGAGAACTGAATGAATTGCCTGAGAATGCGAACGTCCCCGCACGTACGGGATTACTGAGCACACGGATCGCAAGGAGAGTCAAGACGGGCGCCAGGCTGCTGGAGATGTAGGAGAGAATGACCGGTTACCGTATTAGCCGAGAGATAGTGCCTCCTTGGTCCTTTGGTTCGCATGGATGGACTGTGAGAGGAGCAAGCTCGATGGCTGCCGGAATAATTAAGTAGAGTGTTCTCTGTCATTAGCGTAATGGTGTGTAATAAACTTCCCCTCTTCCCCCCACTAGCCGACGTCCTCTCGCTGCCGTATCGTCGCCGGTTCCTTGTCGACGAGAGATAGAATGTGTTCCGGGTCGCTCCATTGCACTCAGTCAACCATGCGCTCTAGGAATGACTACGGAACTAGGAACAATCCACTCTGTTCATTGGCCAGGAGCTTGGCCGCCTTGGTTTTGATCAGGAGAAACAGTCCTCGGATCACTTGATGGAGCCTCATTTTTCCGCTCATCCCATGACAGAATCGTCCGATGTGTCATATGGATGCCCCGGATAATCCAAAACTCAAGCCAGTACTCATTGGTCTTGTGCAACGGTTCGACATTGGTACATTTGAAACGAGCGTGGTGTACATTTGGCCTTGGCTAGTTGATATTTTCCCTTCTCGCGACAGTTCAGCAGCCGTCGATGGTGATGCCATTATATGGGCCAAGATGGTCCATGACATTGGAGACGAGGATGTTTGGTGTATCCGCAATCGTGCATCCACTAGCGGTGTTGTCATTTCCTGGACAGTTTACCCACGCGCTGTCCGAGTTGCGGATATGAATCTCCCCTTTGCTGTGCTGGAAGCCGAGGGATCTTCCGGGGAGGATCGGAACTGGATCTTTCTGTGAACCTTTGTGTAAGTACAGTACGACAGAAGTGCGCCGAAACTCACCTTGTTTCCGATGCGGGTGATGTCGAGGTTGCTATCGACCCAACTTGCCCAGTCCCTATCACCAATCTGCAGAGTATGAGTCGAATTAGCCACTCCCCATCAACAACATACCCTGGGGCTCCCGTAGGTGACCACTTTGAACGTGTAGCTTGATCCCAGGCGCAACTTCATACTCGCAGCAGATATGACCGAGAGCGCACCCCCCAGAGAATGTCCGATGAAAGTCACCTTCTTCGTCCCGTAGGTTGACGCAGCTTGCTGGATTGCGGCCAGTACGGCAGCCTGAGAGCTACAGGGAGGGTTAGGCAAGAACTAGCATCGTAGTCTGAACTTACGCAGTGTACGCGTTGAGGAAACCACCATGGACCTTTGCGGCAGAAGGAAGACCGGGGAAGAGAGACTGCGATGGGGTGATGGGGATGAAACTGAGGTCGGTCAAAATGGCTTCAAACTTTGAGGGATCGGTTCCTTGATAGCCGACAACAATGGAAGAGAATGTCGGATAGTATCCGACATACCCTGTACCGTGTTATTTATGAGTTAGAGCCACCAAGTTCGTCTTACAGTACTGCACTGATCCACCGTTCCCTCCACTGGCTACCGTCTTGAAGCCGGTCAGTTGACTGCAAGAGGCTACGTTCGTTAGGGCGAGTTCGATGAGCAATGAGCGACCTACTGCATGACCACGCTTGGGTAGTAGCAGGATCGCAATAGGCTGACTTTGCGAAAAGAGCGTACGGATTGAACGAGTTGATCTAGTAATACCATTTAGTTTGAGCCTTTAAGCCAAGGTAAGCATACCTGAGCAGTAGTGAGTGTCGAGAGCTGTCTTTCGACCAGTGGCCCAGCGCGAACGGTGAGCAAGGTGGCGAGGACATAAATCAACGAAAGAAAGGAGAGACGAAGCATGATGTTCGCGGGGGAAAGCTGTAGCACCCTTACTCTCTGGAATGCAACCCCAAGTCGCCTTTTATGCCTTGCCATCGAAGCACTTCACTAGGTCACACTACCACCGATTTACTTTGGTCATATCATGGGAAGAATCGGTGCGAAGTTCGCCATCCCTCATCGAGGCCCTCCCGCAGCTGATGGAGAGCCTTGGGGCACAATACTAGGGTATACGCACAGCGAATAGCCAGTACCGAAGACCAAGCGTTCCGCGTGCTAGGCTCTCCTAGGCGGTATACCGAAGCGCCCCTGATGCGGGGGTGGTGCCATTCTGATTGGTCGAGAAGCGGCGCGAGGTCGTCCCAAGTGCCGAGCGCACTGTACTCATGACCTCTCGTCGGAGATATGAAGTAGAATAGAGTAGGAGAAAGACCAGAGTTCTTTTCGATGAGCTTGATCATCCCATTGGTCACTGCTCTGCGGGGGCGTCCCGTCATGATCCACGACTTAGTTGAGACCGCGTGCTCCGGAGATCTTGGATAGGTTCCATGCATCGTTTCATTCATTCAAATAGAGGTACATGAGGATAACGGCCCGCCAATTCGACATACGGTCGGATCAGACGTCGTCTATTACTGTCTCGTGATCGAACATGCTGTAAAAAGCTTGTGATATGTTTCGGTAATCGTGTTACCCGTATCCTATCGGATGTGAAGGGGTCCGCCGTTGAGATGTGTGGGCGGGGGCGGGATAGGAGGGAGGCAAGGTGACATTGGTGCTTGAAATTATACGATGCAATGTTTCTACTTAGATTTACGTCTCCTTGATTGGTTCAAGTGCTATGAGGGCCATCAATCTACAACCCATGCACAGTCAAGATACTTACGACAGCAGGTTTGCTTGACACCACAAGTGTTCGGAGGGCAAGTAACCTCACACTAAAGCGTCTGTAAGTAAGATATGACATAGAAGGTGACATTAAGTACCTTGGTATCTGATCCATCGTCTGCAAATTCTGGTTGCACCGTTCCAGAATGAATGCCCGCCTGATGCAACATGCTCTTGACATCTCGCACAATGTCCATATACGGCCTAGTGGGCGACACTTTGATATGTACCGATGCGATCAGTCGCGCCTCTGAAAGCTGCCAAACATGAAGCTCGTGCACAGATTCTACACCATCCACAGATCGAATATCGCGCCGAACGTCGGTAAGAGAGATGTCTGAGGGGACACCTTGTAGCAGAATGTACCCCGCAGAACGTACTATTCGCGCATTAGCCAAAGAATCGTTTCGTAGGGACCCTACGTACCCAATGGGACTGCAGAGCAGATGATGAGAATAGTGATGATCAAACTAAGAGTCGGATCGGCATAGAACCGTTTTTTAGACTTTGTGAGCCAGATAATAAGCCCGGAGATGATCACCCCGACGCTGCCCAAGGCATCGCCGATGACATGAAGCAACACGCCACGAATATTGAGAGCACCGTCCTTCCTAGGTTGAACATGTTGATGCCCATGGCTACTTGAGAGCCTCGGTGGCGTGATTCCTCGCCTTTCATCCCCACTTTCGGCTTGTCGAACAACAATTCCGTCCCCTCCGCGCTCCTCGGTATCGAGAGCATCATCATGACTCCTTGCGAGGGTCATTTCGTAGTAACTTTGTTGAGCGGCTTGCTGCAAGGCCATACGGTTCTGTGCGGGATGGCCATAGAGCGAGTGGATAGAGTTTGAGCGCCGGACGGGAGCTATAGGCGAGCCTGGAATCGAAGACGTGACTGGCTCAGTTACCCCCGGTGACAAAGTAGCCTTCGTTTCTGGTAAATTTGCATGGATGTGACCACCATTTCCATGGTCGTGACCATGATCTGTGGTGAGAATAAGCCATCATGTAATAGAGCAGTCAGAAATCTGACCATGGAAGAGGAAGATGCCAAATATGTTGCACCCGAGGCCCACAGAGCCAACTGACTGAAGTAAGGCAGTCATCACGAGATTGGGCATTACGAACCAATAACGACCAGGCGCGGATCTTTAATCTCTACTCAGATGGTTAGGATATACAGTAAACGTCTTAACCAATTACCTGGGACGTGTGCAAAACGCTCTAATGACTCCATGATGATGGAAAAGCACAACGCAAGGAGAAAGACTCCGTTTATAAGAGCAGCAATCACCTCTGCTCTATGCCATCCGTATGAGTATTTCGAATCAGCTGACCGCTTTGCGACCTAGGTAGGGCTCATCAAGCAAGGCGCGACGGTTTGGGGAGCGGAGGTGCATACCCGGACAGCATAGAGTGCAATGCACATGCTCATCGCGTCGTTGAGCATGTGATATGCATCGGCAATAAGGGCAAGAGATCCTACAACGTAACCTATGAAATCCCCATCAATATCAGCATAAGATCAAGGCGAAACCAGGTCAACAAGTAAAATTATAAGACGCATATAACATCTTCTGATAGAGGAAACGCCAATTGGAAAGACGGCTTACCAACGGTGAGTTCGACGACAAACAAGCAACTCGTTAGAGCAAGGAGAATCGAGATTTTGGTCGTTCGTGAAACCATTGTCAACAAAACACTACGATTTGCACGCGGTCGGGACCAAGAAGGAAGCAAGTCTCGCCACCTTTCAGCCGCCTCGGCAACTCTAACACACCTAGCAAACGTGGAAACATGTGTATCATGCAAAGCGCTTGGATGTACCAGAATTTGGGTAAAATCTAACTTGGATTGCATGCGAATCGAAGCAGCTACGGAAATGCGGCAGCTCTGGGTCAAATGGAAAACAGCGGGGGTGGAAGAAATACAAGTCGGATAGAAATCTGCGAACAGAGTCTCTAATGAGAGGAATAAGTGCACAAATCGCGAAATCATGTAACTCTGTGAGTGCAGAGTTACATATTCGAGACCAATACGACGGGACGGAGTCGTGTGTGGCGTGAAGAGCGAATGATGTCCGAGGAAGAGGTAGAATGCCATCAAAGAAAGCCTTGCTGTCTCAGAGGTGGGTAAATGCCAGTAGCATCAGGATTCGTGGCTTCATTCTTGTCGTCCAGGAGTGGTAATCAAGAAGGGGGGGAAAGGTCTCCATTACGAGATTCTTGGATAAGTCGTTGATCCTCCTCAGCCATGGAGAGGGTCGACGCTCTCCATGTGCACCGGACGAGCAGCGTTTTGCCGTTGCTGAGCGTAGCCCTGTGGGTCCAGCGCAAAGGGGTCCGCCATTTTCATACCAGCGATTGCCATGACCATTGGATCCCAGTCTTCACTCCAATGCTCATCACTTCCACTGGTTCCTTCATAATCTTCATCTTCATCCATATACTCGTCCGAATCGGAATCGGACTTACTATCACTCGTCGTGCTACCTTCTGAGCTCTCCTCGATAAGGATTGGATCGAAAGATGCACCACTTTGCACCGCACCGCTCCCTCGCGAGACATGATGCGAGGTGTGATATCCCATGGCAGCCAGGCTCGCTCTACGCTGACGTTCGCGCCATTGCATCAGCCACCTTCTGATACCAGTGCCAGCCTCCTCTTCAAACAGTCCCAAGTACTCGACGTTGCGAACGACACCGTCCCAGCGGATGCGCCCAAGACTAAGCGCCTCTTCGATGAAGGCGGGCGAGCCAAAGTAGAGGTAGTGAACAATGTGCGGAAATGAGGCAGGGTCTGGCAAGGGAAGATAGAGGGTTGGATGGTGGGCCGATGATGGGAGAAGCCTCGGGATGCGGGCGAGTGATGGTGTCGAATCGCGTCGCCCGATCCCTTGAACATTGATAGTACGATGTCCAGCAGCAGATGAGGACTGGGCTGATACGAGTCCAATGGCCGACGAGCCGCTGAAGAGGGCTCGGAGGAGGCTCGACTGAGAGGTCAAGTAGAATTGGTGCAGCTGGGAGGGCGCGCGTCAGAATATATCAGATTGATGCCTTTTAAGCTTACTTTGAGTGTAGTAAACGAGCGAGGGGTTGGGTTTGTCTGACTGCTCACGGGCGCGGATCCACGACGGACGTCGAGATTAGCATTGAGGACACCAGTATTTAGACCACCAGGAAAGTCGAAATTAGGGGCTCGCGAGAGGCGGCGCTGGTCGATTGGGACCTCTGGACGGTTGTGGTCAACAATGGGTCATAAAGGACTGACAGCCATTCCACTCACGAATCGTGCAATCTGTCGTTTCTGGTTTATGCCAATAAAACGGTCCTAAACGATGCAGCTGATCCACGATGTATTGGACTGGAATGTCTGGTGGCATCTGCGATGGAGCAGGCGCGCCCTCGTCGTTGGCGGCGTTTGTGTCCAACTGCTCTGGGCCAGCTGCTTGAGCCCCAGACTCGTCGGGAGTACCTCCAATGTGTCCAGGAGCCGAAAAGTGGACTGTGTTATGCTTGCCCGGACCCGGGAGCGAATTTCTGCGACGATGACAGTTGCAGACGGGGACGGCAGAAAGGGCGTCTGTGTCCATGCTCGCTGGAAGTGCACTGTTCTGCATTTTACCGCACAAGGTGCTTTGGGTACGCTGGGCGCTGCGCAGGAGAGCTCGACGTGGGAGGAGGGGAGTAAGAAACTCTGAGCTCGTGACGAACGCCTCGCTTGCAAGGACGACAGGACCTGAGTCTCACACACAGCAGGTAAGGGAAGGGAACTCCTCAACAGCTCCTCGCGTCTATAAGACTGGGCACGGGCGTCCTGGTGGTCGGAGTTCAAGTTCCTTTCTGAGGGGGACCAAAGAAGTTTGAGACAGCCGTCCAATTGTCTGCAGTCAGAGCCAGCTCGTTGCGGTTTTCCAAGTCGCCGCTTAAGTCGAGCCACGCCCATTGTTGATCCTATACGGGTAGCAATTCAGTTTTTTTGTTCATCAGCCAGGCGTCCCTGGAGCTCGATCACGGCCGGGATTGTCTTCATCTATTGTTGAGCGAATTCGGCCTGGCGGGAAATCCGCTCAAAAAAAAGCGGCAAAAATCGATTTATCACTAACAATTGGGTTTAGTGTCAAACTGGCATCATAAAACTCGCAGTCTTATACCCTCGGTCAGCAGTTTCATTATCCTGCCATCAGCAAGAAAAGGGCATGCCGACGAGAGGGCGCATCAGCGGATGATTCCGTGCTTTCCCACTCACCATACATGGCCACTTCAGGCCATAGGCTAGATGCCCAATGTCTGTAAAGACCCAATCGCACAATAGTCTTCTGACCTAGTTGGGTTGACGAGTGACGTGGTAAGCCATTCCCTGGGATAACCGGCTGACAGCTATCAAGTTCCAGAGTCCCTCCCAGGTACATCGAAGAAGGATCCGTCCCGCCGTCCCACCCGTATTGGAGTGTCGAGCCCACCACACCGACGAGTTTGGTCGAACAAAACCTCATAGAAAGACCTCATTAATATAGCGAAAAGAGCATGTTTTCATGCATATATCGTATCCAGTGGCCGGAAGCTTGCGAAAAGTGCTTGATTGGCCATTTGTCGCCAGCACCTAGTACCTTTGGAGGCGTTAGACAGGTTGGTGATGAATTAGAACATGCCAATCACCTTTCCCTCCTCTCTCTATCTCCACGGTCTTCACGCCTGCGTTCCTCTCCTCTGTCCCTCTCTTCGTATCTATCCTCGCGGCGGCGTTCGCCCCTATCCTCATCGTATCGACGACGATCATCATACCGACGCGGAGACCTCGAGCGGTCGCGACGGTAACCCCCACCTCCACCCCCATTATACCTATCACTGCCACCATATCGGTCTGATCCCCTACTGTAACCTCCACCGACAGCGCCACGACGCTACAGCTTTGTAAGAAGCATGCGATGGAACCAGAATTGGTTACTCACGTCATCAAGCGCGACACGAACGCTGGTACCACGAATTTCCTTGCCATCCAAATCTCTGATGGCTTGGTCCGCTTCTTCGCGGGTCGAATATTCGATCACACTAGTGTTGCTCATCAATCAAGGATGACTTGATCAAAGAGGGAGCTCGTACCCTTGGTTAGGGACATCGCGGTCAATGTCGGCGAAGGTCACGTTTCCGGCTTGACGTGCAAAATCCTTGAGGTCCTAGAATGGGCAACGCCACGATGACGGTCCGCGTATGAGGAATGGTCCAGAGTACGAAGCGATCCCGAGCCATGGCAGATCCGTCTGACACACGACGAGCCTCGAGCGTCGTGTGTACAAAGCCAGCGTCCATGATAAGTAGGAAGAGTCCACCCGATAAGCAGTTCCTCAGCCGCCCAACGATATGCGCATAGGTATGGAAGGGAAGCCAATGGGGAGTGACCGAAGACCTGTGAGGAAACGGGATGAATACTCAAACACACCTGCCAGCTAGTGTCTCGAGACACACCCGTCACAACGAGACGAATACCAGGCACACGAGGTGGTCGACCACCTCCCCCGCCTGGGCCACCACGATCACCACGGTGACCACCGTCTCCACGATAGCTGAAGAGTCGTTAGAAAAGGCCTAGGGGATAAATAAAGCGAGTACCCTCCACCCCCGCGGTCCTCGTATCCTCCTCGCTTGGGTCGGCTGTCCTTTGCTTGCTCGACGATAATTTCTGAGCCCATGAAATTCTTTCCGTTGAAGTTGCGAACGACATCCTCAGCATCCTAGATAGACAACGTATCAGCAACACTTTGCGTGGTTGCATGAATGTCGACTCGCCTTTTCACTCTCAAACTCGATGAAACCGAATCCTGAGAGCACAAATAAGCACATTTAAACATGTGTAGTCGCGAAATATGTACCGGTCAGGATGCGGCAGTCGACGATGGCACCACCGCTGCCAAAAAAACTCTTTACGTCCTCTGGGCGTGCATCTGTAGGTAGTTCTGAAGAATCCAAGTGCTTGAGTACACATTCAGGCGACGATGAGAGCATGGATTCTTACTTCCAACATAGAGACGTTTCGACATGGCGGTTGCAGAGAGGTCCAACGTTGAATCCTCCCACCCATGCACAATTCTCCACCAATCCTCTCTTCCACCAGCGGCTGGCTGCTTTCAGGATTCTTCGCGACTTCATATGTTGCGTCTTTGTACATGTTTCGCGCCGGACGCCTCGTCTTTACAGCCCAACAAACGGAAGTCGGGCCCAACGCGAGTCGTGCACGGGCTGAGAATGAACGCTGGAGAAATGACCCATCTACGATACGTGCAAGAATTCTTAGTGTCAGCATCAGCACCGCCGTCAGCTGTGGCGTCGTTTATGCTGTTGTAACAAAAGCTGGTTCATGGCAGGTAAGGGTAGCTCTCTACCATCTACTGAGGTCTCATATACTTTAGTGGGGGGACAAGGAATCGATTCAACAAACTCTGCATCTTCTGGGGCTCTCCTTGCCAACTTCGGTCCCTCTAGGTGCTTGGTTCCTTGCACCGCTAATGTATACGGGAACCATATATGTCCAGTTGCTTGATAAAGAACTGCCTCTCCAACGAAACTGGTCGTTTGCAGAGTCGGTCAAGCCGATATTCACAACATGGATGGGCTTCCGAAACATTATTGCCGTACGTAAACCACAGGACGTCAACCACATACTTATACCCGCTAGGCTCCTATCACAGAAGAGATTGTATATCGCTCCTGCATAGTGGGAATCATGAAACTCTCCGGGGCATCGACCTCGTCCATGATCTTTCTTAGCCCGCTTTGGTTTGGTGCAGGTGAGCATCATATTGGGCGCTTGACGCTCTCTGAGCCATCTAGCACATCTCCATCATGGATGGGACTTATATAATCGGTTCGGAAAGACGAGGAGCGCACTCAAACGCGCTGCAATGAGCGTCGGTAGGTCAATTGTTTCTTTGTCGATATGTGTTAACACCTTTCAGCCTTTCAGCAGCTTTATACCAGTATTTTTGGGTGGTTTGAAGCATTTCTCCTCCTAAGAACAGGTATATACGTTGGCCGCCCATGAAGCCATGGAGCAATCGCTCATCTATCGCAGGTTCAACATGGCCCTGTATATTTGCACATGCATTTTGCAATCTTTATGGAGTCCCGCTACCCATGGACGGAATTAGGGACCATCCCAAACGCAAGATTGGTTCGTATTCCTTTGGTTAAATCGGACGTCGCTCATCCATCTTCCGCAGACATTCTCGGTGCTTACCTACTGGGGGCAGTCTCTTTCGGCTTCGCACTCATGCCTTGGACGCGGAATTGATCTAGTAATTTTATTCGATGTTTGCTTTCTACGCACACAATCATAGGAATCTTCCAGCAGTCCATTCCTGTGTCCCAAGAGCCATTTCTACGGCAGCCGACGCCCAGTCAATGCCATGATTATGGTTCTTTTCTTCATTGGACGAGATCCCGGCCCGTTCTAAGGCTTGTTCCTCCGTCAGAGCGGTTAACACTCCAAAAATGACTGGAACTCCGGAGTCGAGCTGGACACGCATGAGCCCCTTGGTGACCGCATCAGAGATGTACTCGAAATGCATAGTCGACCCTTTGATTAATACGCCAACGGCAATGACGGCGTCAAAGGCGGTCGAGAGAGAGGTCGAGCTGGCCTTTTTCAAATCTTCCGCCAAGTTTGTAGAAGACGATGCCAGCAGATCTGTTGCGGTCATTGTCGTATTCGTCTGCGTCTTGGATGCGGCGATCATCCTGAGGATGTGTCAATGTGGAGCTTATTGGACGAATGAAGCCCACTTTGAGCATGCAAATGGGAGTTCAAAGCTCCCCGGCACGCTTTGAACGACGATGTTCTCCTTTCTGACGCCCATTTTCGCCAACTGCGTATCGACACCCTCAAGGAGGGCAGATATGATAGACTGATTCCAGCGAGCATGTACAATACCAATGCGAAGATTGGAACCGTCTAGTTGCTTAGCTTGAGGAGCGCCTTTGAAACCCATGGTTGTGGTCAGAAGCAGAGTGGCGACGGACTTTCGACGGCACCACACTCTTTCCTGTCACCCATGAACGATCCAGACCAGCAAGTTGTCGACAGTTTGTTTAATTTTTGTTACAGTTGACTCGAAATGACGCCGGACAGGGACCTATCTGTTGATACACTCGTATCTCACCTCGCATGGTCATGTAAAGGCAGCAAAGTCTGTGAAAAAAGCCGCAAAGGCGTACAAAAACATTAGAATCAAGCCTGGAGAAAATGAACCATCTGTTGGACTTGAAACCATCGTCTCCGAATGGGCACACTTTTCCTCCAGGATGCCGGAGTTGGAGAATACCGTTAAAAAGCTAGAGCAGCAAGTCAAAACTCTGGAGGATGAACGAGAACAACGCAAGAGAAAAAGGTCTCCGTCCTCTTCATCCTCCTCTTCTTCGTCTACTTCATCTTCTTCGTCTTCATCTTCAAGGTAAGTTCACGATATTCTATCTTGATTCCAGCTCTCTGATTATCGGATAATTCAAGCTCGAGCTCAAGTTCAAGCTCTGAATCTGACTGTAAGTGGAGCAAAGAATTATTGGTGTGCGCTAACACTCTATTAGCCGGTTCTTCCTCGAGTTCAAGTAGCTCTAGCTCATCTTCATCTCGCAAAAAGTCTTCAAAAGGGAAAAAGGAGAGCGCGGCGAAGAGAAAAGCTTCCACAGGAGCGCAGGAAGAGTCCAGCGACTCATCCACTTCAGAATCTGAAGAAGAGGATGAAGTTGCCAAGACCGTTCTCGCTCCAATTACACCTCAGTCGGAGATTCCGCAGCCAAGGCTAGTAGATACCAAGATGACCTCCGAGAGCTCTTCCTCATCAGGTGACACTTCGCCTGCTGCTCAAACCAAACCCTCGACGTCTGAAAGCACAGAGGTAGAGGAAGCCAAAGTGACCAAACGACGAAAGCTCGAGAACGGGTCGGCAGCTACCCAATCCGTATCCACAGCCCGAAAAGATAAATCGGATCCGGCCAATAGTAACAGAAACCGTCGTACCGGTGTACCGTTTCAACGTATCCAGGTAGACAAGATCCAGTACGCTGATCCTCGTTTGAAAGATAATACGTTTGCTGCACGGGTTAGTAGGCTGTTATCAACGATTCTCCAGCTGACAATGTACAGGGGGCTCGTCACGATGACTATGGTTCCAAGGCGTCAGCCGATCTGATTGTGACCCGAGGTGCTGGCTTTCGAAAGGAAAAGAACAAGAAGAAACGGGGAAGCTACCGAGGGGGCGAGATAACGGTCCGCATATACTCTTCGGAGTCATGTTCGTCAATATCTCACATCCTTTCCGCAGATGCAAAGCCACAGCATCAAGTTTGAGTGACAGCCCTTCAGGAGTCGGGACGGCGGAAAAGGAAGACTGTCCTGCTGCAGGTAGATGACAGACAAAAGTACTCACGGCGCATCTTGATCATGTCGTCCCTGCACATCTCGCCCAAGGGAAGTGCAGGGCCACAACACCCTGTAAATCGGAGTACGTCCGAGAGTGTTTGCACCGTAATTTGGCATACGAATCCAGTGAATTTCTACTATATGACGTGTCAGAGTGCTCCGAGGGCCTTGTCATTCCCGACTGATAGTGGCTAGCGATTTACACGAGGCCTGAACTTGGTCCCCTACGCCGCCTGGCGTTTGCGCAAAGCGTCCACGGAACGCCACGAATAATGTCCAATCAACTTGTATTACCGTTCAAGCGATCAACAAACCCGCCAATATCCGACGCGGTCCAGGAATACATCTCGAAATACCACCCGGAGACGCTCCCTGACGCTTTTACGTGGGATGTTGCGCAATGGGTCTCCCTTAGATCAGAAATATGCAGCGGAAATGTTCATTCGACCGTCGTAGATAGCGCTCTCAAGTTCGTACCATCGCTCTCATCCTGATTTCGGATCTTGCCGCTAACCTGCCGCATCTGTGTCTCCAGATATCATGCGCAGCTCGTCCTGATGCTCACAAAGCTCCCAGTTGACGTCGGTCTCGCCCTTGCCGTCATTTGCCACTGTTGACCTCGCTTTCAGATCGACCTCCCGTTTACTTACCATCACGCGTTCCAAGACACCCAACCACCTCTGTCGCTTTCTAATCTCGCATACGAACGAATATGCGTCCTTTTCAACCTCGCGGCCCTCTTCTGCCAGCTGGCCGATGCGCAGAACCGCTCTAACACCGACGGCATCAAGCGTGCCTCTGCATATTATCAAGCATGTGGCTATGTTTATACCAAATTGCAGCTGCTGACCAGAATTAGAACGCTGCGGGCACTCTGACATACATTCTTGACAATGCCCTCCCTGCATTCGTCTCCTCGCTCACTCAGCCCATTTCAACAAACGACCTGGCAAAACCAGTCATTAAAGCTCTAGAGTATTTGATGCTTGCACAGGCGGCTGAGTGCTACTGGCTCAAAGCCGTATCAGGTATGTGTAGCATCCATTCTCCGAAATCGGTCTGAGCCGTGGTTAGACTCATTGCGAAACGGAACCATTGCTCGGCTATCGATGCAGGTGTGCAATACAACACTCTTAGTCCTCCTTTTCTTACAGCACTCAGGTTGCATCCTATTATGGCTTGGCTTATAGCACGCTTCAAGCTGCACCGGCCCTCGTGGCTTCAGCCTTGCCATCGGTTAGTCGTGAAACCCGCACTGAGCTTAATCTAATTCTCCGAAGCATTGGATGGCCCACTTTCAGACCAAGCAGCATCACTTTGAGGCTGCCGCTCAGGTACGAAAGAGCATGGATGATTCTGAGAATGGAAAGTAAGCATCATGAATGCGTTTCAAAGGCTTAGGATGACATTTGAAGATACGGTATTGAGCTTGGACGACTCGCTAGCGCCCAAATACACGCAAAGCAGGGCCAAGAGAGCGCACGAAGAGGCGTGATGGCAGCTGTTGTTGAGGATATCAACGTATGGAATAGCCGTGATGATCTATAAGTGCTCACCTTTTCTAGACATTGTCTAATTGGATTGAAGAGCAAACCGCCAAGTCGCGGCGGGACAACGACTATATATATCATCAAGATGTTCCACCTGTATCAGCGCTGGAGATAATAGAACCGGCAAATCTGGTCAACAGTGCCGTTCTGGGAGGCTTACGAGATCCTCAAACCGCACTCAATGGGGACGACGCTTTGTTCTCTGGTCTTACAAGCTGGGGTGCACGTACAGCAATCGGTATGACTCTTAAAGCGGAATATATTGCATCTAACCGCGTGCAGAGATCTATAACGAACGCAAGCGCACAATCATCAACAACCTCAAACAGCTTCAGCAGGATCTCGATCGAGTAGCTTCTACGTAGGTGGCCATAATCTTGCCATTGATGAATCTGACCTCGCGAAAAGCAAACTCCAAGAGTCAAACCTGCCAGCTGGCCTCGAGATGATGGATCGGCCCCTGACACTGCCACCGACGATCCTGGCAAAGGCTGCAGAAGTACGAGCAGATAACGGTGCACTGCGTATTCAGCAGATGTTGAATGACATTGATATCCTGGCCAACCAGGATCGTGCTCTCTTGAATGAGGTGTGTTGCTGTGGTTTGTTGTGTACTCTCCACTGATTATGAACTAGGCCTATGACATTCTGGACGCGGAGATTGAGGAGGACGAGAAATATCGCAAGAGGTTCGGAAGCAAGTGGTCCAGGGAATCATCCAACGACGCAAACGAGGAGCTCATCTCCAAGGCCAAACATTTCAGTGGTGTTCTGGAACGTGCATCAGAGACGGATCGCACAGTGCAAGACAAGTGGCACGAGTGGCGAGCGGGGATCGAGACCCTGTCCGCCAACGAGGAGGTCTTGAATCGTCTACCGTTGATCAGCCCCTCCTCCAAGAGCTCGTCTTCACCTTTGTCCACACAGACAAAGTCGCATGCCCGGATCCTTCGCGGACTTTTGGAATCGCTCGACGAGCTGCGTCGAAACCGGCATCATAGTGTAATCAGAGCACAGAACTTGGCTTCAACCGATGACATTTCGGATCGTATCAAGCTGGCAGCACTCGGTTTGGAACGATGGACACAAGTCAAGGCCGAAATGTTTGAAGACGTCTTGGCCGAAGAATTGCAAAAGTACGAGAAATATCGCAGCGATATCCTTATGTCAGGCGAAGAACAAAAAGGCCTCATCACAAAGATTGAGGTGAGTACACCCCGTGCACGATTTACAATACTTGACCAGAGTACAGGAGAGAAACGCCCAACTTCTTCAGAGTCGACGGGAGGATCCAGTCAACAAGAATCTTGACAAGCTCGTCAAAAATCTGACAGCTGCCCATCTCAAATACAAGGAGATCGTGCAGAACTGCTCCGAGGGCATCAAGGTACGTTCCAGAGTCCCTCGATCCTCCATGTCTTACGAGTTTCGATAGTTCTACAATGACTTCCTCCATCATCTCAATGAGCTGCGAGACTCGTGCAAAGAGTGGGCATATCATCGACGACAAGATCTGAACTCGTTGGTGGAAAACCTCGAGCTCATCGGATTAAGTACTCCTCCCAGTCAATCTCCCATCACTCCCAGTGACGATATCGCCCCTACTTTGTCACCTCCAGGCTCGTCACCAGAGACAACCACATCCTCGCCTCCAGCATCGCCGACGACGTCTCGTAGCTCTAAACGCGACAAGCTGACGCCGAGAAGCAATTCGACTGCTATTATTGCCGATCTTCCTCCTCCTAACTCCAGCCAGTGGGAGCCACTAGTACCGGTGCCGGCCACCTCGTCGCCTGTTGTGCGAACGAACAAGGGCACGACGACCCAAAAGGCGAAGCGCCAGTCGCGAGACGAGGAGGGACCTTCTATTCATACGCCACAGAGTGCTGGTACCAGTTCTGCACCAAAGCCAAAACGACAAGTCTACTGATCCATACACATGCGCTAGTCGCTCTGGACACCCGCATATCATGTCATTATTCGTCTAATACTGTCGGAACACTCCCCACTCTGTCCTGCCCTGCACATGTCCCCCCTTTTGTATATCTCCTATGCACTCTTTCGTGTCCGATCTATCACCATGTCGATTGCAGTTTCATTCCTAGTATCTGTCGCTAGTCGAGTAGTCGTAGCATGCAAACAGAAGCCTTTCTCAATGGGCCTTGCATTTGGACTTAAAGCCTGGAGCTGACCTCGACCCGTTAAAGTATGCACGCCCATCTTGTGGATCAAAAGGAGCTAGGTTAGCACATAATATGCTTCCAGGGCAATTCATCATGATCATTACAGCCTGCAAGGAATTTGTGGAGGCTTTGCGAGCATGCCATGCAGGTACAAATTGTTCAGCAGCTCTCAAATCGCATCCAGACTGAGACTCTGTATATTAGACTGGGCCAAAAAGTTTACTGGGGGATGTAATGACGCCAAGAACGAGCTCAACTCTTGCTTACGACGAGAGGTGAGCCCGGCCGCTCTTAACATTTGACTTAAAGTCTGATAATACCATTTTACAGCGTGTAGAACGGACGAATAAGCACCTTGAAGAGTCCAAAGCACGAAAGCAAGCGATAGACGAGAAGATGAGAAAGTGGAGAGAAGAAGAGTAGTGAGGGTGGACCACACGACGAACTCTTGAGCACCATTAATCGAAATAGGGCATTTCGGGACCAAGTTTGTCAACTTGTTGAAGCTTGAGCTCTTTGACGGCCTCACGGCGAGCTTTTCATAAATCTTATTTACTGTAGCACATTTCTGGCTTTTATCATCAATCATTCTAGTCCTAGACCCTGAACAGACCAACTTGACCTCTCCCGCTTCCAAGTCGAGACTCTCGACTCTTTCTTTCGACTGCCGTGCGAGGCCAGTCATAGTGTTATAAAATTGAAATAGGCACAGAAGTGTCTAAGAATTTATAAGGATGATTGTCACTCTTGGACGAGGCGTTCGTCCACGGGCTTTGCATATTTGGACGCGCCGGTACTCGAACGGAATAGAGGGAGTTACGTATAACAACGTATTTTATCCTCCAGACGAGTATACAAATATCCGGTCGTCCATTTTATCGCACCTTGGACGCAACATCTATCTTCAAAAGGACCACCCAATAGCCATAGTCCGGTCACTTATAGAAAAGCACTTTGGGTCCTCCTTTGTCCCTATAACTGCGCTACCCCCAATCGTTAGCCCACAGCAAAATTTTGATGAACTCGAGTTCCCTCTGGACCATCCTGGAAGGCGACCATCGGACTCGTACTATCTCAACAAGGACTGGATGCTGCGGACCCATACGAGTGCGCATGAAGTGCAAGTCTTTAGAAGCGGGATTCCGAAGTGGCTACTCTCTGCCGACGTATACCGTCGCGACGAGATTGATAGAAGCCATTATCCAGTATTCCATCAAATGGAGGGTGCCCGGGTGGTAGAGCCGTCAGAAATGGAGGACCTGCGCAAGGAAAATGACGAGCTAGCTCAATCGTTAGCCGCGGTCAATATCCAAGTCGAGGACGTTTCGACTATCGGTGAGAAGAACCCATATCAGCCATGGCATAATCCGGACCATGCCAAACTTGTCAACGACAACTTAAAGCATTCGCTCAACGGAATGATTTACGCCCTTTTTGGTGGATTGGCTACACACAAGGGCAAAGGCCCACTTCAAGTTCGTTGGATAGATGCTTACTTTCCGTGGACGTCTCCTTCGTACGAAGTCGAGGTTCTCTTTGATGGAAAGTGGCTGGAGATTCTTGGTTGCGGTGTCATGCAGCAAGCTGCTCTGACGAGATCAAGTGAGCCCACGTTGACTTGAATTTATGACTCTCGCTGATGAAGCAGGTGTTCCCAAGGATAATGTTGGATGGGCCTTTGGACTTGGTCTCGAGCGAATAGCCATGGTCCTTTTCCAGGTCCCAGACATTCGGTTGTTCTGGTCTAAAGATGCTCGCTTCCTCGAACAGTTCAGTGATGGGACGGTCACACAATTCAAGCCGTTCTCCAAGTACCCGAGCTCAAGCAAAGACGTTAGCTTTTGGCTCGGTGAACGAGAGGTGCATGAAAACGATGTCTATGATATCGTTCGTGAGGTTGCTGGAGGTCTTGTCGAGGAGGTGAAAGAGGCAAGTGTAGCTCTTTGTCAAGTGGGCTGATTCTTACCGCCTGCAGGTTGACAGGTTCACTCATCCCAAGACTGGAAAGTCGAGTAGAGCTTATAGAGTGACATATCGCTCGATGGAACGGTGCGTTTTTGGCGAGACAGTAGGAGCGACTGCTAACGTTGTGAGTAGCACATTGACGGGAGAGGAGGTCAACACGTTACACAACGATCTTGGATTGAAGTTGATAGAAGCATTCAATGTACAGTTGCGATAATTTTATTGACTGTCTTCGCCACTCGACATGTTTCAAGCTCCGCGTGAAGCGTGTTGTCCTCAACCTCAACAACGGTTGGCTCCGGCCACGACCAGATCACAGACTCTCCAACGAGGAGCATAGACAGAGCCAAAGCATCCTTCATCCAGAATTTCTACCAGGTTTCGCGCACTGTAAACGCGCAGGCCCCATCGCAAAGGACGCAGAATGAGCACCACGCCGCTAGCAACACTCGCAGCAAACCAGCAACCGCGTCCGAGACTCCCATTCTCAGACGCGCGGCAGGGTAACAACGTCCCATCTAAACCTCAACCGCCACCGAAACCACAGATGCCGCCGACGGCCGCACGAGCAGCAGAAGTTCAGCCACATGAGAAACAGAAGCAGCTACCTGAGCCAAAGAAGGAAAAAGTCAGGCCGCCTACACCTCCTGCACTCATCTGCGACGCGGAGGAGACGCTCGTGTTCCACAAGGTTGGGTTTTTGGGCGAGGTGAGTGTCTCCACAATCCTGCAAGTCATGATAAGATTGCTTATTAAACCTGAAACTTACTCCTAGGGTGGATTTGCACGTGTATACGAGGCGACAGACGAGAAGGGCGTCCGACACGCCATCAAGGTGATCAACAAGGCCGCTCTTAAGACTACGAAGAACAGGACAAAGGCATGCACTCTGAATTAATAGCGAAGTCGACTGACGTACAGTAGCTCTTTGCCGAAATCAAAATTCACAAATCGCTTGACCACCCAAACATTGTCAAGTTTGAAGAATGCTTTGAGGATGAAGAGAACGTCTACATGGTCCTAGAGCTATGCGAGAGTGGCGTATGTGATTGTCCATCCAACGCTCTCTTGGCTAACGCAGAATAGTCGCTCGTTGACCTCATTCGCCGCAGGAAACGTCTTACGGAGCTAGAAGCGAAAGTACTCCTGGTTCAGCTTATTGGAGCGAGTGATTGGATGCACAATCATCAGGTTATCCACCGGGATCTGAAGCTGGGTAATATTTTCCTCGACGCCGAGATGAACGTCAAAGTGGGAGACTTTGGGCTCGCAGCGCTGATAGAGAACCCTGGTGACAGGAAAAAGTGAGCATTACGTCATTTATCTGGCTCTGTATCTCATCCTTGATTCAGGACCGTCTGCGGAACCCCGAATTATATCGCTCCAGAAGTGCTCTTTGATCCAGGCAATGGGCACTCCTTTGAAGTCGATATATGGTCTATTGGTGTCATTCTTTACACTCTTGTTGTCGGGAAGCCACCGTTCCAGAACAAAGAAATCAAGGCCATCTACAAACGGATCAGGGATAACATCTACGAGTTCCCTCCAGATATCATTCTTACTCAGGACTGCAAGTCACTTATTTCAGCAATGCTCACTAAGGACCCCTGTACGTTGCTTTGCCTTTTGTGTACAAACAATGCTGATAATCCTATAGCTCAGCGACCTGGACTGAGGGAGGTACTTGAGCATCCCTTCTTTACCTCGTCTCTCGTTCCCGCCTCGATACCTTCTACTGCTCATGAGACTGCACCTCTGTGGCGCGGCCTCACGCTTGCCGCGTCTAGAAAGAACCTCGGCCGCACTGCGAGAAGCAGCTCTTCTCGTCGATGAACCTGAAGAAGAGGAAGGACCAGACTCTGCTCAAGCTGTGGCCGGAAGCTCACCAGCCTTGACGGCGACCTCTGTCGCTCAACAAGAACGCGATTTCCAAAAGGCTGTTCAACCCGGATCCCCTATATCTGTTCTGCTTCAATCGGCAAAGCAACCTCTGGTTGTAGCAGCCAGAGACAATGAAAACTTGATCAAACGCCTAACAGCGTCAAGAGAGCGTGACGCGAGCGCAATTTCCAGCTCGAGACGACCAGTTGCTGGCTTGAAAGGCATTACAGAGGAGAAGGAGCCAGAAAACGATCGTGTCACTGCTCTCAAGAGACAGCCTCGGGAGTTCAGCCGGAGCACAGTGGTGGAGAACCAAAAGGCTCGCATCGTCGCTCAAATGACAGCCACCCTACCAGCATCTTCTTCGTCAGGTGCTGAAGAGGATATGAAGGGGAAGAAGTCACTTGCCGCGTCAAGCAGTGGTGGCCGACCGGTCAACGGCGCTGGGAGTGGTGAGGTTATTTGATACTCGAAATGCCGTTCTTTCTGACCAAATCTCAGGGCTCAAGAACTCGGTAGCCACCCCTGACGTCTCCACTAAACTCAACACCTTCAATGCAGTTGAAATCACGCTGGCCACCGCTTTCACTTGCATGAGTCGAAATAAGCGGTTTGATCCACCTCGTATGTTTCCTATTAATACCCCATGAAATACTAATCTTGTGAATAGAATCCATGACAAAGATTCCGGAGATGCCAAACTTTTTGATCTGCTGGGTAGACTACTCTAGCAAATACGGCATGGGATATGCCATGAAGGACGGCACCGTTGCCTCTCACTTCAACGACAGCACCTCTTTGATCATGTCACCCGATGAAAAGTGAGTTGTTTGTCCCTAAGTGAATTCTCCATTGACACAGATTAGGCATTTGGAGTACGTAGTACGCCGAGGCAAAGGGGGTTCGACCTATGTTCGCAAGCATTATGAAGTCGAGAAACGTCCAGACGACCTGGCCGATAAAACGCGGCTTCTCGGCCATTTTTCGACCTACTTAATGCAGAAACTTTATGGCGAACATTCGTACACCTCTATGGACCTCGAAAAGACGACTAGCATGGACTTTGTGCAAAAATACCTTCGTCTGAAGCACGCGATTCTCTTCAAGATCAGTAACGAAGTTCTTCAGGTCTGTAGGATCCTATTTTTGGTCTCGACGCGGCGCTGACCCCTCCTAGTTCAACTTTTACGACCACACGAAACTGATATTATCTCACGGCGGCCATGTCGTTGCTTATATCAACAAGAATGACGAGTTGACCCAGTACTTCCTGGCCGACCTCATCTTGGAAGGCACGACAGAAGAGGAAAAGCGACTACACGAAAACTCGTCTTGAAGCTCAAGTATTGTCGACAAGTCCTTCGAGAAATCCGCAAGGGCGAGCTCGTGCAGGTCAAGGCTGGTGCCGATGGGTCAACACCTGTCTCCAATTTGGATGGCACGCCAGCTGAGGATGTTGGTACGGTGCCTTCGAACCTGAAGATTGAAGACATTGGCCGGAAAACTTTGCCCCCTTCGACCTCCGCGCGAATGATGAATGGCCAGATTCGATGAACTCGACGCCGATTGCATTCAAACGTGCTCCGAGTATGTACATGTTTATCTGGTTGTTTCGGCTCGATTTCGCAATTGTATTGCAGTATTATACAGGACTATGGTTCGCGCATGATCCAATGTAGGCTCTTCTTGGTATCCAAGCTTCGAATTTGATGTAGAGCATTGTGATATGTTACATGTTCTTGGTAGTTCATTGCATGATGCACTCCTTGGCGGTGTCAGTGTCGTCCTCTAAACGAGGCATGATGCCTGCAGCTGACCGGTAACCTGAAGTGAAACTCGGTGATCGACAGAATACCTTATTTCCTCGAGTAACTCTAATGATCCCCGTGTATATAGTGAAGTGTTCAATTAGGAAAGTATTACCGACAATGAAGGCCAGGTCTCGCCGACGACCGCAAGTTTACCCAATGGCTGCAATGACGAGCTGAGAAATCTCTGGTTTCTCTGCACGGACACTCAACCGCAGCGAGACACCAGTGCTCGCCGTATAGGCCATTTGACATCTGGCCAGTACTTTTCCGCCACCTCCCACTACGAGTCCAGAAAGAAGAAGAGTATGTACGGCTGTCGACGACGGATGATCCGAACCCGCGAGTGCCTCCATACCCAGTAAGTTGATTAGTGAATCGCAAGCCTCTGTAAGGTGGCATTAGAATCAATAATCAAGAGCATTTATGTTACTTTCCTTTGATGCTCGACATTGAGTTGAGGGCAAATTCTTCTGCACCCGACTCCTCGCCCAGTTTCACCCACTCAGTTTCGAATGAGCAATAGTTGGGCACGATATAGTCTCCGCCAACACTTAGCTCAACTTCTTCGAGTTGATACTCGTCGTCGTATCCAGTCTCCTCTGGCAAACCACTGGATGGGTCCACTTCTTTTGAGACAAACTTGAGAGTGCACGCGAAGCTTCCAAGGGGATATTCCTCTGGATCTGTACGGGTGAACGAGACGTATACAGGTTGAGAGCCAGCCGCAACGTCAAGGCTGTCAACGGGAATGATAAAGTCCTCTTCCACACCTTCTGCCGAAGGTTGCATAACGACAGACACGTTCTCTAGGACTGTGTCCGGAATGGTATTGGCAACATTGAACTAATGGCGCATAAGTGACCATTGAATGGAGAGGCGTATGGTGCGTTACCTGGAAGACAATGTGCTCCTTGAAGATGTGCTTTACGCAAGTAACCACGTATTCTGTCTCGGTCTCCGTCAATGGCGTGGGCTTCGGACTGCTCGTAAGCACCGAGCCGTAACCCGAGAAGTTGGGGATAGCTGCAAGCTGAGATGCATAGGCAGATTGTGTCTCCTGGGCTGAGGGTGCGGCAGGAGCAGGGACGTTTGCTTTTGGCTGAGGAACGACCGAAGCCGTAAACGTCTCGAGTGTGGTTGGCCTTGCTGCCTCTTGTTGAGCTTGCGCACGGCTGATTTTCGGGATGGATGAGATATCAAATTCCTCATTCTGCGCATCTGGATTGCTGACATAGGCCGCCAGCTTTGACTCCAGGGTCGCCAGCGAGTAAACGGAGTCTAGGTGTTGATTTCAATGGAAATTATTGAGTTAGAGGGGAATTTACGCACCTTCCTTTACTAGTGGCTCAGCGAGGGCATCTTCCTTCATAACTCGGAGATACATTGCTGCACGATCCCGAACTTCGTCGTCAATGTCGTCCAAGCACCTATACCGATGAGACCATGCAGTTATACGTTATTTACGCGTACCTGCTGAGCAGCACGCTGACGCTGCGCTTGATTGTTGGGTCCGAGCCACACACGCCAAATTTGGCCAGGCTGGTGACAGCAGCGGCACGGACGATTGCATTCTCCAAGACGACACGATTATAGATGTAGCGGATATATTTTGTTGGATTTGGCGCCTTGGGACCTTCGATGCCGAGAAGATGCAAGACCCGAACGGATAATTTGGTGAACTCGCAATCTTCGATGAACTCGCACAGGTGTGCCAAGGCAGCCTCTTTACTTTCCGAGATGAATTTGATCATGTCAAAGATGGCCTCTACCACTGCCCGCTTAAAGTCATATCCACCTTCGTCGCGTAGGATGGAGGACAAGAAGGTCAGCATTTGCGACTGCTTGTTCGGGAACTTGAGGCAAAGCGAGCGAATGGCGTCGACGACGATAACCTTGAACTCGTCGCTGATTTCCGACATAAAGCCTGTAATCGACTTCATCAGCCTGTCGACAGAGGCTTCGTTTCCAGTCTTGAGCAGAGTCGTGATCGCATACGTCGCGATGCTCCTGTTACTATCGGAGATGAGATTTTCCATCTCGACGTTGCAGGTAGCCACGCTCGTGGGATGGGTGAGAGCGAGCGCACTGAGAGTTCGCATGGCAGCGAATCGGAGAGTGGGTTTGGTAGAGGACAAGAACAGCATCATTTGAGCCATTGGTTTGGTTAATTGTGCGGCTGTCACGTTTCGCATTTCGCAAAGAGCCCGTGAAGCTTCAAACGTGACCATGTCGCTTTTGTGTCGGATGAGACCTTCCAAAAGCTCCACCATTTGCTTCTGAAGGCTGATCAAATGTGAGGACTATGCTTGAGTGAGTTTGGTCGGTACGTACTTGGGATCCTCGTCCATGACTTTGACTGCGAACCGTATAAGCATACAAATGGCCATCGGGTTCTTCAATAGACCACCGGCACCAGATCTTCCGCCGCCAAATTGCTGGATCATTTTGGTGACAGCCATACGATCTTGTTGTCGGATTACGTAGAGAAGAGCAAGGGCATGGTACTGGGTAATGTTACTTGTCGACGGTATGGTCGGTTGGACTGGGGTCGCAGGCGCAGATGACCCAAATCCAAGGTATCCACCAGCACTGGAGAGATTGAGACCGCCTCCACCGCCGAGACCGCTAAACGGATTTGACGCCGGCTTTAGTTGTACTGCCTCTTGTACTTCGTTTACCCAGCGTTTGATGACCTCTTTGGAGACTGGGAATAGCTGGTATGAGGAAACGAGTGCAGCCGATGAAATCGAGGTACTCTTCTCGACGATTGCTGCCTTGAAATAGCGTTCGAGATTGTGGACCAAAGAAGGCTGAGAGAAAAAGATTAGAAGGGCCATCGGAAGAAAACAAAGCGTACGCACGTCGATAATTCTGACGAGAGCTCGGATAGCATTAGGGCGATAGACTGCGTCTGTCTGGGTTTGCATATCCTTTGTGATGCTGCTCGTCACAATAATCACGTCTTCTGCTGTCAAAGCAAGCTCCTTGATGGCTACATAGACACTTTGACGAAGGGCGGGCTGCCACGACAGCCGTTAGCACTCGCGGGTGGATTGGGGCGACAGATGAATCTCACATCCTTGTGCTGGAAGAGCTTTGTCGTCCCGAAGAAGAGCTCTGTGGCCTCGCGCGTTGAAAATGTTTCTCCCGTGTACAACAGATAGACGATTCTCGTGAGGAGCGAGCGGCATTTGCGTGGATTGACTGGAGACTCGTTGAAGAGCCTGGCTTCCTGAATGATGGTTATTTTGTTGTTGTAGTAAGTCTCCTCATCGTCCTTCTTTGTCGCCATCGTGGTAGTGGCTTAAGCTTTGACCTTGATCCTCGACCACGCCAACACGCCAGGCTGAAGAAATGTCAAGAAATCCCCAAGCAGCCCGCAACACGGTCCAGCACGCTCCTCAGGCTCTCCAGCAACAGCCGGGTGCAGATGATCAGCCCATGGCAGAGGAACCGCAGGAAGGCTACGGTCGGTTGGCATACGAGACGGCTGGATCAGCGCTGATGTTGCATCTATAGCGTCTTCAACACCCACATCCTCGCTGACATGGATCGCTTGGTTCTGTTCACTCCCTGGCCACGAGTACTTTTGCGAGGTCACCGAGGACTTTATCGAAGACGATTTCAACTTGACTGGACTAAGCGCCATGGTTCCATTCTGGAAAGAGGCAATGGAAATGGTCCTCGATGTCGAACCGGGTGCGTAGCCTATGTTGGACCGTAGCGCCTCTACTGACTTTTCCATAGAGGATACCCACAGGATACCGGATGTTTCAATCGTAGAAGCATCTGCAGAACTCTTGTACGGTCTCGTCCACCAGCGATACATCCTCACACGGCCTGGTTTGCAAGCCATGGTACGCGGTCTGCTCTTGCATTCGACGAATCTCACATGCTTTCAAGGCAGAAAAGTATGAGAATGGGGTATTTGGAAGCTGCCTCCGAGTTTACTGCACTTCAACGCGCCTAATACCCTGTGGGCGCTCAGATATGCCTGGCGTCGACACGGTGAAACTCTTTTGCCCAAACTGCAACGACATATATACACCCTCTTCCAGTCGATTTAGTGGAGTGGATGGTGCATTCTTCGGCACTACCTTCGCCCACCTCTTCTTCCATACATATCGAGAGTATTGGCCTGCCCCATTCATGCCAGGAAGACGAGTTGGTGCTTCGCCAACGAATCATGCCTCTCCTCAATCCCCCAGTAACATGGTCAACAATGCGCCGAATCCTACGCAAATCAATCCAAACCAATATGGAGGACAGAAACGACCTGAATGCCGTGTCTATGTACCAAAGATCTACGGGTTCAAAGTTAGCGAACGATCAAAGAGTGGACCGAGAATGGCCTGGCTGCGTCAGCGACCAGCAACGTTTGAGGACCTTAATGCTGTGGATAGCCGAGGCCGATGGATCGCGGAACATAGCGATTCTGACAATGACAGAAACGGACCTCCTGGGCCTGGAAAGAGAGGAAGGTTTGACGATGTGAGACTATTTAAGTTGACGTGTTCATGGCCATGTACTCACTTTTGGCCCTTAGGACGATGATCCAGACGAACCAATCGAGGAGGATGAGGAAGAGGAAGACGATGCGCCGCCTCACGGCCCATGGTCAGGGCCTCCACCTCCATTACCTGGACAGGGCCGGCGACCAGCCGCAGGAGGGGTAGGAGGTCGAACGCGCGCTCTCGCGCTCCCACCAAAGGAACTACGCACGCGTAGACGAAAGCTACCTCCAATGACCAAATGTGACTCCTCTTCCACTTCGGAAGATGAAGATGAGGGTGGGCTAGAAACGACAGAGGACTCCGCATTGGATACGCCGGCGGAGGACAGTGGTAATACCTCCTCATTTACTTCTGGAAATCGAGGGAGAGATGAATGGGGTCGCAAGAAGCGCGAGTTGGTGGCTGTCAAGCTCGCCAACTTTATGGGCAAGAATGTGCAAGACATGTTTTCTGGTCTACAGGCGAGGACATTGATACCCACCGACGAATCACTCCCGAACAACGTAGCAATAAACCAGGGTCTAGTCATGTAGCTTAAGCACTCTCAAATTCATCCTTGTAGAATCATTGGAGGCGATCACAAGTTGATTAGCAAGGAACAATAGTATCATCCAAAATTTCGTAAGGTCATGATCCAAAATTCCAAATCCCCTGACCGTAACGAAGTGGAGGGAAGGGTCATACAGGTCTTCACCAGGCACAGTAATTGAAATGTCTGCACGATTTTCAACTAATATTTGGCTCCTTGTCAAACTGCGGCGGCTACCTCAAAGCCCCGCCTAAAGTCTTTGTTCTCCTGGCTCGAGCTCACTGGCCTCCCCTCCGACCTTGCGCTCCCAATGCATATCAGTGAACTTTGTCAGCTAATTTTACAGATTGACCGCAGCTTTTTGGCCTATCCTCCCCGGTTTCTTGACTTCAGCACCGATGCCGAAGTGCGAGTCAAGCTTGCCCACCCTTCGCTCAACAATTCGGGGTTCTATCAGTATCGCTCAATGCTTCTGCATACTAAGGAAGCTGCAATGCTGCCATTAGCTTTCATGGCACCCGACACTCTGGCTCGCCACATTCATCTGATTGGAAACATTGACGAACGTCTGGGCCACCTCACCCAATTCATTGAGTTTCGTTACGCAACAGACTCACCAGTACGTTCTCCCTATCACTATGGATTGTACTGGCCTCCCGAGACAACACCCTCCCGCTCGAACATTCAGTTTGGCTAGAAGTCTACTCACCATGACCTTTTTTTCCTGTAAAGCTATCTAATTTGCCACCTCAAGGTGCGTCAGGCCTCTTGATACCCTGGACTTACTCTGACTGCCTGTAGGTGTTGCCGGCGCTGCCTGTATACCACGCAGCATTCCAGTGTCGCTTCATGAGCCTCTGCGCTCCGTTTCACCGATCAGAGACGTTTATGTCACTCGTTATCCGTTGAATTTGCATGCATCTGTTGTTTCCAGGAGACGTTTCTCCCTTGAGTATTGTGAGTGGATCACCAGCTGAAACTACGTTCTTTTGTCAGAAGGCTTACTCCTATGCACCTGAGCACAGCTCCAGCAGATCAAAAAGGAAAGAGGACTGAAGGCTCGGCCCTAGTCTTAGTGCTCCTCACAATCTCCGCCCGCGTGCTCTGTCTCCTGGATCCAGATGGCGCGATTGCTTTTGTTTGTCATTTAGGTCTCTGATGAAATCTCTATTTCGTTCACACCCCTCCTCCTTGTTCATTGCGAGCGTCAAGGTCCCGCGGAGTTATTGTATAACGTATATTCCGCGATAAATCGTCGAGCCCAAAAGGACATAAGGTCAGGTGTCCGCCGGAGGCCCTGCGAAGAGGTGGCTGGGACACGTAGATTTTCGCTTGTTGTCATGCGTGGGCTGGCCCAGTACACTTGGCAGGCTTTCTCGACCAGGCGCAAGTCTAACATGCTCCCAACAGGTCGGTAGTGAGCGCCGTGCTTGGATTCGTCAAATCAAGTATCATATTGACACATGTGTCTGGCACGGTTGGAAAGTGGCATCGACAGACGCTGTCCACATCTTGGAGCCATCCACCTTTACGATGTCGACCCAAAGTCAGCCAAGCGACAAGAAATGGCACGATTTATGAATTTATTTGGTTCCTCATCTTCACATCCCAAACAAACAGAAACGCCAAGTATACGACATGGTCATCGGCCTCGACATAGTAGCCAATATTGCCGAGGATCGACATTCTCGCTCCTCTAAAGGCAGCTTGTCGAACAACAAAGTCGATTCTCGAAGTTGCGCAGGCATTGGCAGAAACCGGCAAGGCATTTATCTGACAATACGATAGGCGACAGAGAACAACCAAGAGGAATGGACCGAGCTAACAGGACGTGTGAAAGGATACATGTCCACATCGAGGAACAAATAGCGTTATTTGAGACATATCCTCCAGAAGACATGGCCGTTAACGAGGCGTTCAAACGGCCGCTCGCCCACTATGTCAAGTATGTGCACATTCAAGTTTGCTTCAGTAGGCTGAGCGATGCAGATGCCTCGAAGACATGCACGATAAGGTTGTCAATCTAAAGGAAGAAACGTACCTCGACAAGCATGCCTTTTCTAAAGCAATCATCAAAGTGAAAATCGACACGGAGGAGATTCTTAAACTCAATCGGGATATCAGAGATCAGCATAGGCAATTCATGGTACGAATTTCACTCGTCTTGTTCACGCGTTCACTGCAGACACAGGAAGCATTGGGACTTTTTACCGCATGGCGTATTCAAAGCGTCGAGCGGAATACCAAGGTTATCAAGGCTGCGTTAAGCCACCAAGGCAAACATGAAAACCGTCCTGACAGACGGTAAGACTTGAGCTTCGTATGGGACATGCTTGCTTAGTATTTCAAGTTGACTCGCCGCAATACTTCAGCTACCAACAGCAGCTTTTGTGCATCCTCTGTCCATAGGACCTGTCTGACAGGAACGCGCGATGCTGTTCTTCAGACCATCTAGCTGGGCCGGCGATATTACGTCGGATAAGCCAATATTCTGGCTCTGCGATATCGCTGGCTCTGGCAAATCCACAGTCGCCATGTCTGCAGCAGATGCTTGGAAGAAGGAGGAGTGTTAGGTGGCCAATTCTTCTTCTCTACAAGCAGCGAAGGATCGACCACCGACAAGTTCTGCTCCGATAGCAAGAGACCTTGTCGACTACATACCAAGCTTGCGCCGCACGTCGCCGGAGCCGTGAAGCGGCATCCCGTTCATGCGAAGCTCTCCAAGAGCAGTTCCGATATGCTCGTGATCCTCTTCATCATCTTCAAGGACGTGTCATTCTCGTCATCGACGCTCTTGACGAATGTCAATCTGGATCAGAGAGAGAGCTTGTCGAAATGCTATCTACAGCTGTTGAGAAGCAAAGAACTCAAGATATTCATGACAGTCGACCAGACCCTGTGATCCAAGCAGTCTTGGGGTCGCTTTCAATCAAGTCCAAGCTGGAAGACCGCCTGCACGATGTTCATCATCGTGATAACATCGATATTGCAATTTACAACGGCGTGCTGCCGGAATGAAGGCTGAGACTGGTCGAGAAAGCCAATGGATTGTTCATTTCATTGGGCAGCACCGCATGTCAATGCTCAGTAGCGAAACTACATTAGACTTGCCGACATCTATGATGATCTGATTTCAGTGGACCAGACTGGAGAGATAGACGACGTTTACAAGCTCGTTTTCGAGCGTATGGACTAAATCCCACAATCATGTCCAGCATGCTCGCTCTGCTTGCTGCATTCGACCCTCAGCACCGATGACTTGGACGACATCTTCAAGAACCTTGGGCTCAAGTGGGTTCTAGGGCACTGGTACAGAACCTAGGAAGTGTGCTCAGTGTAACCCAAGTACAACTTGGTCCAATTCCGCCATCCTACCTTCGAATACCTTGGGTGTTCCCTCGCCTCAGCTCCCGACAGCCAATACACTCCATCTCGACGTGACCAGCGCATGGTCAGGCCGCATCATGGTGTCTCAAACATCCGACTCATGTCGCGGACTGATGGTCTTAAGTTTAATATATGTCAACTCGAGTCATCTTTCTACCTCAATAGAGATTCTAAACCTCAAGACGAGGATATCGAGACTCATTCAAAGGCACTTCGATATGCCAGCTCTCACTGGTTGTTCCATGTGAAACTGATGACACCTGGCGATCCATGGTCAGAGAGAACTCAACAGATTATTCAGCTCCACGTGCTATACTGGATGGAAGTCCTGAGCTTCACTGGGGGGTGCCACGACAGCAGCTGGCAGAGCTATTAGACGCCACACAGGGGTAGTCGCTGATCCAACGATTCAACACTTACACAACAGACAGCCTGAAATGTGGGATAAAAGCATGGACCAAACTCGACGGTTTATAATGACATTTTCGGTACCATTCAAGAGCGCGCCACATATTTACATTTCTGCACTCCCATTTGCCCTATATGCCATCGAGGGTGCAAAAGATACAGAAACCTTCTTCGTGTAGCGAAGGCCTCGAGATGTATTCTGGGCTCAGTACCAGGGTCATGAATCCGGGTCTTGGCCGTCGGTTCTCGCCAGACAGCTCACAGGTGGGTCTGGCTCGGGACAAGACAATTCGATTGTGGGACGCAGCAACTGGTCAGGCTGTGGGAGAGCCACTCCGAGGTCATGAATTGGGTTTGGGCCGTCGGATTCTCGCCAGACAGCTCACAGATTGTGTCTGTCTCGGACAAGACAATTCGATTGTGGGACGCGGCAACTGGTCAGGCTGTGGAGAGCCACTCCAAGGTCATGAAGGTTGGGTTTCGCGCCGTCAGATTCTCGCCAGACGGCTCTGGTTGTGTCTGGCTCAGAGGACAAGACAATTCGGTTGTGGGACGCGGCAACTGGTCAGGCTGTGGAGAGAGCCTCCAGGTCATGAATCCACGGTCTTGCCGTGGATTCTCGCCAGAACAGCATGGGTGTGTCTGGCTCGTCCGACAAGACAATTCGATTGTGGGACGCGGCAACTGGTCAGGCTGTGGGAGAGCCACTCCCAGGTCATGAAGGTTGGGTCAGGCCGTCAGATTCTCGCCAGACAGCTCTGGAATGTGTCTGGCTCGGAAGACAAGACAATTCGATTGTGGGACGCGGCAACTGGTCAGGCTGTGGGAGAGCCACTCCAAGGTCATGAATCCACGGTCCTGGCCGTCGGATTCTCGCCAGACGGCTCACAGGTGTGTCTGGCTCGAAGACAAGACAATTCGATTGTGGGACGCGGCAACTGGTCAGGCTGTGGAGAGAGCACTCCAAGGTCATGAATCCAGGTCTTGGGCCGTCAGATTCTCTTAGACGGCTCTACAGATTGTGTCTGGCTCGGACGACAAAGACAATTCGTTGTGGGACGTGGCAACTGGTCAGGCTGTGGGAGAGCCACTCCAAGGTCATGAATCCACGGTCTGGCTTCGTGGATTCTCGCCAGACGCTCTGAATTGTGTCTGGCTCGTACGACAAGACAATTCGATTGTGGGACGCGGCAACTGGTCAGGCTGTGGGAGAGCCACTCCAAGGTCATGAATCAGGTCTGGGCCGTCGGATTCTCATGAACGCTCTGGTGTGTCTGGCTCGTCGACAAGACAATTCGATTGTGGGACGCGGCAACTGGTCAGGCTGTGGGAGAGCCACTCCAAGGTCATGAATCCGGGTCTTGCCGTCGGATTCTCGCCAGACAGCTCACAGGGTGTGTCTGGCTCGTCGACAAGACAATTCGATTGTGGGACGCGGCAACTGGTCAGGCTGTGGGAGAGCCACTCCAAGGTCATGAATCCACGGTCTTGGCCGTCGGATTCTCGCCAGACGGCTCACAGATTGTGTCTGGCTCGTACGACAAGACAATTCGATTGTGGGACGCGGCAACTGGTCAGGCTGTGGGAGAGCCACTCCAAGGTCATGAATCCACGGTCTTGGCCGTCGGATTCTCGCCAGACGGCTCACAGATTGTGTCTGGCTCGTACGACAAGACAATTCGATTGTGGGACGTGGCAACTGGTCAGGCTGTGGGAGAGCCACTCCAAGGTCATGAAGGTTGGGTCTGGGCCGTCGGATTCTCGCCAGACGGCTCACAGATTGTGTCTGGCTCGGACGACAAGACAATTCGATTGTGGGACGCGGCAACTGGTCAGGCTGTGGGAGAGCCACTCCAAGGTCATGAATCCACGGTCTTCGCCGTCGGATCCTCGCCAGATGGCTCACAGATTGTGTCTGGCTCGGACGACAACACGATCCGATTATGGAATACAGAAACTGGTAAGTTCAACTTGGCTCGTCTTCGAGATCGTGACGCGACCCGATAAATAGCATTAGGTGCAAAAGCGAATACCTCCAACCAGGGTGATAAAGAGTCCGTATATTCAGGTCTCAGCGAAGATCTACAGGACACTCCGCTCCGAATCGTTGTGCCTGGATTCGATCAGTGCTCACTTTCGCTCGATGGTTGGGTACATTCTTCCGGCAAACGTCTCTTCTGGGTCCCTCCAGACAATCGACGGGGACTAAAGTATCCGTACCGCCTGAATTCCGACCAGCGCTCCATTCCGTGTGACGAAGCTTGATTTCACTAATTTCCAATGTGGCTCCTCTTGGACAAAGGTTCGAACAGACGCGTGCTCGTGATTTGCTATGACTGGTATCACTGTATCCCCTGACCGTAACGAAGGGAGGGAAAAGTCTTGTTTTCGCGTTGCCAGGAACGTGTCCTGCTTGTCCGTACAAATTTTACCAATTGCGTTTGTTCCCCTGAGCCTCGGCTAATGGAGTTTTGATTAGAAGCCGTATCGCCAGCTAAACCGCAGGGTGGCCAGGTGCCATTGTCTCAAGTCGTTTGTCCGAAACTTGGACTCTTTGTCTACAGAGTCCATGCCCGTCCCTGATCTTTCCGAGCTCTGTGCAATCCTTGGAGTGATTGTTCTGGTGAGTAAAATTGTACTGTTCTATGGACCTGTGCTCACCGTTTCGTATAGTCTGCTCTTCACAATAAACCAGTGCCTGTACTGACGCTCGATGCATCTTTGCGTGCCTCTGAACACTCTATGATAAGTGATATACCGATGAA